GAGGTATGTTCTAGACGGATCTCGATGAGAGCTGGGCGAGGGTCGTGTGAGGGGTATTGTATTGACAGGCTCGTGCGCGTGGGTCGCGAGTGCGGGTGTGGGTTTCGCGGGGAATTGTTTCACTGTCTGGTGGTTTGGGGGGATGGTGCGTTCTTGCGCAATGGGATCGAAGATCTGTTGGTATGCCGCGGAGAAATGGGGTGGGGGTAGGTAGGCCAAGTGGTGATAAGGATTGGCTGGATGCAGAGGCAGAGGCGACGATTATGTGGTGAGAAAGAGGGGAAAGACGGTGAATAGGGTATTCGTCGATGGAAAGATGTCGCTGTGAAAGATGGGATTTGTAATGCGAGTGATGAATTTCGATCATTGTAGTAGCTGCACGATGACTTCATTATGTTTGCGTTGCAAGGAAAGCCTGAGAAGACACGCGAAAGAAAGACAAGACAGCGCGAGCACTTATACAGCGACGTGTTCTTCACAATAGTAGAAATGTCAATTAAATCAATAAAGGCAACGGTCTATCAGGATATCCTCCAAACCCACGTTTCTGGGCCGCTGCACCGAAGCATAAATCGCTTGCTAACAATATCCTCCCAATGAAAAATCATACCGTCTGGTATCCTGCTGTTGCCCTGGTGTATCTCATATTCCCAGTCCTCTATGGTCGCTTGCAAATCAATCGAGTGAAGTCGCGGGAAGTTGTGCGACGTGGTCACAAATGGCTGAGCCCGGCTCAGCTTTGCTGACGTAAGTCTATTTGGTGAATCTAGATGGGAAAGTCAAAGAGTGAAGAGTGGTTGCGGTTCTAGTCGAGATGAGTGGCCGTCGTTCTTAGCGTGTAGAACTTAGCGAAGGAAATGTCGTATCATTTCCCCAATAGTAGCCTTTCGAGTTCAGACTCGACTCGAGAACATTGGAAAAGGTGTACTATGGGGTGCGGGATTCATTAGATCCTGAACTGCGATCTTTGGCGCCTGTGGAACGGGCAGTTTCCTAGTCGTCCCATCCGTCCTGTTCAAAATATCCTGTAGTCCAGGTCCCTTGCTGAATCCGTTCTGGCTCTGAAAACCACCCTGAGGAAAGCCATTCTGGGTGCCAAGGCTCCCAAATGGCGACGTATCGGTACTCAAAGTCTGCGGCTCCATGGGTGCCAAAGCCGGGGTGTGGGCCAAACTCAAATGTCGGAGACCAGGGAGCTGCAAGCCACCCGCACCATCGCCATGTGGGCGTAGTCGAGGAGAATGCGAAGGCGTGGCGAGAGGTGTCGAATCTGGAGTTGGAGACAACGAGTCGTGCGAAAATGCAGGTGACGAAGGCGCAGTACTTGCATTGGGTGAGTTGGGGCGCGAACGCTTGTAAGGTCTGCCGATCGCATTCTGCATGGCATGCTCATGAGAGTAAGAGCGTGACATTTGCTGCGAGAGCGAGTACTGAGAGAGGGAGGGCAGACGGGTGCTGCTGTTGCTATTACTGCTGCTCAGGCGGGGTGTGTATCGGGGTGCGGAGGAAGAGAGGTGTCGTTGCTGTTGGTCGTGTTGCGAGACTTGTGAGGCTGCATTCACGAGGAGATTCATATCAAGAGGACTTGACTGCGAATTCGGGCTGTTCCTGCTACTCGATGGGTTGAGCGACGAAGGCATGTTGCTCGAGTATGGAGAATATGAGTGTGGTGGGGAGACGTTAGGTGAGCCGACTTTCGATGCGGGAGCTGACTGTGTAATCATTGAGTTTGATGGTGGCATCAGCGAATTGGAAGATTGCTCTTGATTGTAGCTGTTGTGGATAGCCGCAGCATTATGTGCCTTGTTATTTCTTCTCGAGTTCGGGTTCTGGTGTATTCTTGAATGCCGGGTCAACTCATCGGAGCGGCTGAATCGCTTGGTGCAACCGGGATACTGGCATGCATGTGGCTTTTCTCCTGTATGTGTTCTTATATGCCTTGTCTGGTGTTCCAAGCGGTGGAATGCCTTATCGCACATAGGGCACTTGTAAGGCCGTGGTAGGTCTTGGTGATGGTCTTGCGGTAATTGATGTATTGATCCTGCTAGCGATGCCATATGTCCAGCTGTTGCTGCCATTGCTGGTGTACTTTGAGGAAGACCTCCGAATGGGTACTGCGGTACTTGTGGTAGCCGAGAGGCAGAGGAGGTATCTGGGTTCAGCAGGTTGGAGAATTCCACCGCTGAGCTAGACCGTTGCATGAGATGCAAAGAGCGCACGGTTCAGACAACGAGGGTTTGAGGAAAGAGCCGCAGGGAAACGAATGTTTGAGGCTCTGACCTGTCTTTGTTGAAGTAGCAAAGTCGAGTCAAACGAGTGACTTGGTGACTTTGAAAGTGACGGGATGGCGGTTGATATTGGGGGTGCCGTGGGGTGAAATGCGAGAGCGTCTTGCGGGAAATTTTTGGCAATAGGAGATCCGACGCATCTACCATGCACGTCACAGTTGCGGCAGTAGTTGGGCGATTAGTGGAGTGGAGGCTAGACTGAGGATACTTCTTTAGTCACTTGGTATGGTTTGGGGTATATTAAGAATTTTTTGACCCTTTTTTGACCCCACCAAATTTGCGCGATAGGGATTAGGGCCGCGAGGTTGAGGCGTGGTGGGGGTGAAGCTGAGATTGCTGGGGGGGGTTGTACCGCCCCGATGGTTCCGGAAAGGCGCGCGAGTGCCAAAGCTTTCAAGCCGTCTTAGGGGGCTTCTTAGGCCGGTCCTTGCCCCAAGCGCTTTTCCTGTTTGTGCCTGCTGGGGCGCCTTTTTGTGGCTGTTCTCCCCCAAGAGCCGCCAAGTATTTCCCCGGGAAGTCAGCCCAGCGCCGGTCGGTAAGCAATGGAAGATCCTCCAGAAAGCGGGTCGATCACCGGGGTTGTCAACTTTGTCCTGGGACCTTGATAAGCTGTCTAACAATGCGCTGCTGTGTCTTGGTGTTGGGATCCTGCGACGAAGGATGGATGACCTGCACGCTGATGACTTGGGGTGGTCTGACTGATCCAAAATGTTTGAGTCGCTCCAAGTGGGGCCAGTAGTGAGACAACAGATTGCTCACACCGGCTCTGCAACAAAAGATTTTGGCGACAATACGAGATAGTGGTGATGTTATGGATCTGGTTGGTCGACACTAGATCTCCTCATACCATCCAACGATGTCGCGATTCTGTCGCACGAGTAGGAGAATTTTCGTGCCTGCAGATAAAGATGTCTTGGCGGCTTCCTCCGTGTCCAATTTATGGATTTTCGTGGTTGGAAGTTGGAAAGTTGACGAGAGATATGGGACGACTTCTGATAATGGATTACGCCCTCTTTCTTTTGGTGGACAGAGAAGCCGAGAGTGCCCGATTTGCGCAATGGTGATATTCGGACTTGCAGCTGGAACCTTTGAAACGTATGGCAGGGGGGTGGCTCTCAATTTAAATCACCGAAGGCAACAGGGTGGTGTGGTGCGGTGTGGATGTGGAGAAGCACGTTTTTGCACGGAACAACTATGGAAGTGGAAGGAATGCTGACAGGGGCACGGAAAGGGGTATATATCACTTCATGCATGCTTGACTCCGTCTAGAACCTGGCATTGGGGCCTTATCTGACTGGCTGAACCACGACTCAGCCCGGTCCTGTGCTAGGATATGGGAAGAACGTGCTCGCTCGATCGAAGCTGTCAGATGGTTGGCCCTTTGCTTTCGACGTGCGTGGGGAGATAAGCATGCCCCGGTGTGTAAGCCAGCCCTACTAGTACGTCCACTTGTAGGATTCCGGGGAATTCAATCTGAAATCCAGAGCCTCTCATGGCATTTTCAAACCACGGTCCGCGCGATCGTGCTACTAGATTGGTCCAGAATACGAGCATCGTTCTATATCGCTATCATAGGCAATACTATGTGAAGAAGCGGTGAAGCCCATGGTTGAATACACTACGCTACCAAGATTCATACCAAGCCAGATGTGCTCGTCACTGATAGGCTAGCAAGCGCACGTGTTGGGGATGCGGAGGTATACTTTTATCAAAATGAGGGTGTGGATGTGCCCTCCTTCTGATGAGACGCCAACAGGGCGATCAAACGGTGCAGACTGGTTTGCTTATCCCACGTCATCCTGCCTCGCTCGGTGCTCGTTCAGAGGTATCCTGCACAGTCACCCCCAACGGGCTGACGCAGCCACGCAGCATGAGAGCCTTCAGCTTGCGGCGGTGTTCCCAGCTGGGCGGGCTGCGGGAGCAAAATTGGTCCTGGGCATTTTGTTGGCGTGTGGGGGTTCCTGCGGGTTCCAAGTCTTTCAGCCGAGTCTGGCATGTTTAGCTGCTCTTCCACTAGGCTGTGGGGGTACGGGGAGGCCTTCCCCGGACTGTGATTGGCACCTGCGTGATCGACGTTGTGGGGATTCGGTCGCTTGCGGCTTGTCCTCATGCGCTGCTTGATAAAGTCGTCTGGCCATTAGATCGGGGAGTTTCAGACGCGTTGCAGACAGGGACTCGAATGAATCCCTGGAAAGCTGATCATGGCTGGTGAGTAGGTGGCTCAGTCGTCTTCGATGTTCTGGTGCAGGTTTGGTTGATGGGAGCCTGAGGAGTGGACTAGGAACATCCGTCTGTCATGGTGATGACAGCTGTCATTCTTGTGGCTCAAACTCGGCGTGATATTCCAGACCGATCACCTCATACTCATCTCGCCCGAGTAGCCGGGGTAGTGCGATGGTGTGGGGAAGCTACACCGAGCTTATCTATCTCCAATTCCCGCCAGACTGGTACGCCATCAAGAGACTTCGTGTGGGGCCGGCATCGTGGGGAAATTGTTTGGGGCTGCAACGGCGCCATGGTCACCAAGCTGCCCCTTATCACAATCCATCCAATTCGCGCATTATCGGAGAATTTGCATTGTTCCCATTACGTGGTGCGGTGCAGCGCATAAAGGCACGTCTTTCCCGGACCCTGCCGGTAGAGAATGGATCGCGATTGTATGCGCATGGCATCTGATTATTTCGCTTATTGCGTCTTTTGATAGGATGGTTGTCACCCGTTTTCGACATGACTGTTCCCCAACAGCGTACGATCCTCCACTTCCCAGTCATACTCGATTTCCGATTCTAGGTCTTCAGCTCCACTTTGGCTGCCGGCAGTCTCGTCTCGTTTGCGCTTAAGTGTTGCGTTTGCCAAATCTGGGGAAAGAGAAGCCAGTTCAGATTCGTCGAGCTTGATTTCCCGCAGGCCGTTCTACTTATATGAGTACGAATCCAGTGTTGCAATGAGGTGAGGCCTCTTACCTTTTCAATGACAAATGCCACGACTTTTCCAGTCCTTCCGTACGTAGCACCCTTGGCTTTCAGGACTCCAGCGAACCGAACAGAAGTGCGAGGCTTGCTTTGACTAGTCGAGACTGTTTGGCATAGCCAGTCTCGGAATAGAGAGACACGGTTCGCAACTGCGCTTTCCCATGCTGTTCCTGTTATCGCGGAATAGAGCAAGGCCCCAGTGTCCGCGCGCACCCTGGTCGTGACTTGATTGATGATGAGAACAGCAATGTTTCGAGTGACCGCTAGTCGCCCAAGTTTAGATGTGAGATCACTGATGACTGCCCATCGTCTGCCAGAAGCCCATTGTGCGGCCTCGCTTCGCTTCTGCTGCTTTTGATCGTGGAAGTCTTCGGCTGTCCGTGGGAAAGCCAAGGCAACGAGTTCCGAAAGGGAATCGATCACGATGAGACTCGTATTCGCTGGTGGGAAGTAATCTGTCGGGTGCGCCAAAAGTGCCATCAGATGCGCCAGAGTGGGTGTAGTGAAATGGTGCAGGCCATCTTCGGGGCTGCTCAACGATCCGGAATTTGCACTGGCAGGGAGGCTTTCGCCGTCTACGGGTTTCATCACATCGTGAAGCCTTGTTGTCGAGCATTGCGAAGAGCTGTCTGGTGACCTTGCGCGTGGTTAGCTAAAATGTTTAATCGCAATCTACTCATGTGTTGAATTCTCATACCGGCCCACAATACTTCCTGTCGAAATTTCAGTGCGTTTGAGACAAGCTGTAATCTACTGAGGTTCAGACGACGACCTCAGAATTTGGGGGGCATCATTATTACGCTAGCGTAGTCTTACCACTTCCAGGTGGACCATAAAGCTATGTTCCTTAGCAAAGCTTCATTGAAGATCATCTCAACTGCTCACTTCCGTGATCGCGCCTCGACTGAGGCCTCCGACCAAGGTTTCCTCAGTATCCTGAGGGTTTCGGCCTTGCAGGCATTTGTCAAGTCCCGCTAACGAAGTGGAAAGAGGCCGTTGTTGGGTAGACGAGAGCTGCTGCAAAGCGTCTGAAGCAGAAAGAGTCGGAAGTCGGTCTTTGCGAGATCAGCGAGGTCAATTGATGTCTCACTCGACAACTGACGGGGAGACGAAGATGAGTAATTATGCTCGTCCGCCATTCGAATATATCCCGGGATCAATCCTGCTGCATTATCCCTCTTCCATAGCACAATGGAGACACGAACAATTCCATCATTGATGTGTTGAGAATTGCCCTATTGTCCTACGGATGGCCGATTGAGGCTCTACGAAAACTCCCAGATGATGAGTCAGCAAGAGTCAGACTTGCGCTATATGGCGGTCAAATGCCGGCCAACATTTCCAATCAACTGCAAGTGTTGAGATCGTGTGTCATCCATCCTTTATTGCCTTGTAAGCCTTCAGTTATGACACCGCGCACCATTGTAGGCGGCGCAAGCCTCCTTCCCTTCTTCCCACCTTCAACGAACAAATTGGCCCACCGAACCGGGAAATGACAATGATTGCTCCACTGCTTGACTACTTCCGCCACATCCTCATTGATACACCTTCGTCAGGTATCATCGCTGTTCTTCTTTGCATTTTTACAACATGCTTATACCTTGGGAAAAGCTGGAGGAAGAACGCGCGCCTTGAGCACACGTTAAACATAAAAGATCCAGGCAACGGATCTACACGAGAAGAGAATGGGTCTGGAGATATAAAACTGAAGCCCACGGCTAATGGACATCGTTTCACTCCATCTATCTCTACCCATGCTGTCGTGCCCTTGAACAAAGATGGCAAGCCAGTAGCCTGCCGAAAGATTGGCCTCCAGTCGCCGAGCAACCTTGCCGATGAATATGACTCTGTCTACGATGGTCCCGCTCAGAAAGAGAAGAACAGTACGTGGCGAGTCAAAAGCGCCTGGGCATATCCTGTCAAAAGTTGCAAAGGTGTAGAGCTCGATACATTCAAGGTCACAGGGTTAGGTGTGGAGTATGACCGACAATTCTCGTTCGCACAATATCAAAAACGACCAAAAACGCACGACGAGGGCTGGAAGTTCGTCACACAACGAGAGATACCCGCATTGACGAATATCGAAACAGAAATCTGGGCGCCAGATCCCTCAAGCTCAGACTACACTCCTGACCACCCCAATGTCCAGAGCGAGGGCGTCATCAGCATCTGCTGGCCAGAAGAAATGTCCAATCGAACCGTCTACGTCCCCTTCAAACCCTCAGCATCACAGATCAAAGAACAAAATTATGCAACTGTCGACATGAACATCTGGAACGACACGCCCCCGGCCCTAATCCTCTGCTCCACCTCCTCCCTCTCCCATCTCCCCAACGGTCCCACCCCCTGGCTCTCCTCCTTCGTCCACTACCTCTCTACTACAAGCAGACTCCTCAACCCTCGCCAAATCTCCTCCTCAGGGACCCTGACCGGCCCCTCCTACGACCTTAACAAACCCTTCGCTCTCCTACGCAGCGCCCCGGCGTACCCCCGATCGGTCTTCCGCAACGCGCCCCGCAAAGAAACACTCGGCTACCAGCCCACCATCGGCTTTCAAGACGCATACCCCGTCCAGCTCCTCGGCCTCGCCAGCGTGCGCGACGTGGGCCGAAAACTCGCGCCTGGCACGCCGCCTCTCAGCGCGAAGAACTTCCGGTCGAACATCATTGTTGTAGGCGGGAACGCGTATGAGGAGGATCGGTGGAAATACATCCGCTTTCACGAAGCCACGGAGCAGGGGAACGAGGAAGGGAGGGAGAACGGGGCAGAATTCCACGTCGCATGCCGCACATCGCGCTGTCTGATGCCAAACGTGGACCAAGACACAGGGAAGAAGGATGCAGTGGAGCCGAACAGCACGTTGCGCAGTTTCCGCAAGATCGACGCCGGGTGCAAGAACGATGCGTGTTTAGGCATGCACATGGTCCCCGCCGCGCAAGAGGGGCGGTGGATCAGTGTTGGAGACGAGGTGGATGTTGTGGAGGTGACGGATGAGCATTTGTATGTGGGGAGTAAGCAGGGATAGGCCCGCCATAGAACGGAGACGCTGATGGGATATAACAGTGTGATCTATCCCTAAGCCGATAGACACCTGAGGTACACACTGCCTTCAGATTGCAGCGAATGCGAATGGATTTCCGAGCTGCTTTCTACACCTCTTTCTCCACAGCCTCAGCCCCCACCCCGGGCCCAGATCCAGGCCCTCTCCCCTCCTCTTCCACTGTCCCCCTACCTCCCTCCATTCCCCCCTCCTCTCGCCTGGGGTTTCATTCAATCAATCATTCACCGCCACCATGACGTCCCGCCCTCTACAACGTTTCCCGATGTTTGCAAGGGACAGGGAATGACGAACGTGGAGCCACGTGAGAGACACTGGAGAACATTTGGGGGTGGGTATAGAAGGGGGAATTTGCTTAAAACATCTGGTGTGGTAGACGAAAGAGAGGAAAAGGATGGATAGGATGGATGGCTGTTGGGGCGGGTGGAGGGAAAAGGCAAGGGGAGGAGATTAGAGAAATCGGAAGGGAGCCAGAGTCAGCGTTGCTATCCAATGTAGCTCATTTTCTCGAATTCAAAGATAATTTCTTGCTTTTCTTCTCTATTTCGTCCAGCCGGCCTGTCACCTCATGAATTCTATTGCATCATCATATCGTATCGTACAAAAAATCTCACCCACTGACCAGCCAGTTCGCGCCCCCCCCCCTCCCTTTTGTCCACCGGTGATCAAAGCACGGCCAGCCGTTCTCCCCCCTTATTTCCCCTTCCCCTCCTCATACTCCCCAATAGCCCTCACCTTCTCCGCACTCGCACTGCCCTCATCAAATCGATACGCCACCCACTCGCCCACCAGGCGTTTCGCAACCTCCAGCCCGACGACGCGCTCCCCCATACAAAGCACCTGCGCATTATTACTCAAGACACTCCTTTCGACAGAATACGCATCATGCGCCGTCACGGCCCTGACGCCTTTCACTTTATTTGCCGCGATCGCGACGCCGAGCCCAGTGCCGCAGATACAAAGCGCGCGGTCGACTTCGCCTGAGGCGACTTTTTCGGCGGCCGCGATGGCGGGGGTGGGGTAGGGCGTGGAGGAGGAGGGGGAGGAGACGCCGATGTCGATTATGGTGGAGACGTGCGGGGAGGAGGAGAGCGTGGAGTGGAGGGCGGTTTTGTAGGCGTGGCCGGCGGAGTCGGAGGCGATTGCTATGCGGAGGGGAGGAGGTTGGGATGGGGCGGACATGGTGCGTGAATTATAGAGCGTAGATTAAGTCGATTGAATGCTGTGGAGGCAAGATATTCGAGAGTATGTGGTGGTGTGAGGTGGAAGGATGAGTACACGCAGTTGTTGAGATACTTTTTGAAATTGGAGGTGGGGAAGACGTCATTGGTCAATTGCCGGGTGTGTCTGCCGAAGATCCGTAGACCGATGTATGATTATTCAGTGCGTGCAGTCGACAGTCAAATTTCCCTCGGCGAGGTGAGGAGGGTCTGTTGAACAATGTGATATCTGCATACTCAGATGGCTGGATTGTTGTCGAGTCGATGGTGTGGTAATCATAGGAACCTGAAACTGTTGCCACCAATCTATGGATGCAAATGGTAGGATGAGGGATGAAGTTAACCATAAAGGACTTGCTTCGTCAGTAAATATAGTGTGATAGCGACCAGCGCCAGGCGATTTCATCTTCATAGTGACGGTTCCTTGTTCATTCTTGGGCGTGCTGTTTTGTTATCCGCGGCTGCCCTCTATTACCTATAGTCAAGTTGGCGAAGTCGGCGATTTTGGCGGCGGCGAGATCCTGCTCATGTCCCTAGAATCGCGCATGAATGTCGTAAGGTACTCCCTGACCCATAATCGCTGCGATTGTGGAATGCATTCCAATCGGGAAACGAAAGCGAGAGGCTGCATCATCAGCCAGCCTCCGACTGCACCAGACGCAGCGAAGTTTTCTGGCCAATTGGCTTGACCAGGAGGATGCGGATAGGAATTGAAAGCATTCTTTTCGCTTGAGTATGCTTCATGATGACCCAAATGGAAGGGGACGCTGGCGCAGATGTCGTTCGTAAGGCCTTTGAGGGTGTCGAGAGAAGTTTCGTATTCGTAAGCATGTGGTGTGTTTTTGATGGGTGGGTTGATGGTATCGGCGCAGTTCATGATGATCTGAAGGACGCGGATGCGGGTGATGCGCCAAGTATTCCAGGTGCTGGCCATTGTGTGGTCGTAGTAGACGTCCATGCTTGAAGGGTACATGTCTTTGGCTTTCTTGTCATCAACCACAGGTAGTTTGAACGAAGTAAATTGGAACTCTTGAGGCATCATTGACGCCCAGAAGTCAAGTAGTACATCTGTATCTTGAGCATCGGCCAGAAGCGCTTCAGCCTGTGTCCGCCTTGCGACCTGGTCGGGTTCTTCTGCCAGCTGCTTCTCCCTTCGCCGAAGGTGAGGTATGTCCTTTGTCAGCATGACAAGCCTATCAGCACATGATGGAACAAAGTCATCTGGTATTGTGCCCTCGGTGACAGAAAGAAAGTCCTCGAAAGGTTCCGGGTCGCACTTCTCAATGCATTGACTCAGCTTTTACTGTCAGCCGAGAATCACCGACGAGACGAGCAAAGCACCTACCAGTTGAGCACGCACTGCGAGATAAAGTCTCAAAGATGCGCGAGTGTGAAACGACTCAGGCTTCCTTGCTTTAATCAGAGCAATTGCACCTTTCGTATGTGACTCCTTATCCGATCTTTGCATAGTCAAGGTCTTGATGTTCTATCACCACATAGTAAGTAATCTTTATCTCGCAGATTTTGTTCATGGCAGTCACCTCATAGAAGCCAAGTATTAGCACAGCCATCAGCAAGTTGTCTGACTTCGCCTGCTTGGGATCTTTCAGAGCATCATTAATGCGTTTCAATGACGTCACGTATCTCGAAAGGGATTGTTTTCTAAATTCCTCGCCACCAGGGGACCAAGCAATAGCAGCCATCGATGTGGTCGCCGCTGCCGCAGCGAGTGGAGACTTTGGGGAGGCTTGTTCAAGGAAGGTAGGCAATGCCGATAGACAGCCACCCCATATCTCTTCACTCTGCTCGGCTCGAAAAGCAAAGTTGCTCATGAAGAATGCGACAGATTGTTGTTCGGGATCCTGAGGGAGACCAAATTGTATGAAGTCATTGGCGACAATGACTTCATTTGCGTCTGGCTTTACGAGCATCATATCGAATGGCTTGTCTTGGTGGTCTTCGCCTGTCCGTGGAATCTCAATTGTGTCTGTGCTAGCTTTCTTGCGTGGAGTTTTGTTCTTCGCAGTAACTTTCTTGGGAGCTGCCTCGAAAGATCCGGTGGATGAAGTTCCTGACTTGACGGCAGTGGAGCTTTTGTTGTCTTTGCTTTCCGGTGCTGGTTGCGCTGATGTTGGGGTTTCATTTTCAAAAACGATCGTCCCATTTCCCCTGTCGTAGCCCGGACACTCCCTTTTGGATTTCTCGCAGTTCCGACAAAAAGGTCGTCTTTCATCACACTAGTGAAGATGTGAGCAGACTCGGGCTGAGCAGATGGCTCTGAAAGTGTACCTTGATCTTTCGCTGACGGCACCGTTTACAACCTTTGCTGGGACCATAGCAAACCATGTTTAATCTTTATAAGAGAACAAGCTAATGCTGTTGGCGGCTGGTAATAACGCTTGGCGATTCAGTGAATAGAGTGATATGTGAAGAAAATAGTATCATCGAAGAGGGCGGTATAATTATACTTATAGTCGAAACAGCTGCTCAATGACGACGCAGTGGATCATGATCCGTAAACAAATGAGATGAAACCAGACACACCACCTCGTACCTGCATGAAAAGACAGGAATGTGGATTCGAACAAGGGTAATGCGATATTTGTTTCAATGTTTCATCGAGGTGGTCTTGAGAAATTGCTCGAAATGGACAAAGCAGCGAGCGCGAGAGAGGTCTGAGGCACAAACATACTTTAAGAAGCAATATGAAGAATCTAGAGGCTGAAGGGTTCGATATGAAGGATTGCACGATAATGGATAAGCTATGCCCGCTAGGCCAGGAAGGGTCAAGGATACCTCGGCGTCGGCCTAAGCCCGCCGCCTCCCCGCATCGCCACGAGGAAGGCGTGCCAAGGCGTGCTAGCACTGCACAATTCCTATCTATGCGTCTCTCGCAAGCCCATCGTCAAGCCATCTTCCGACCCTTACTTCATGCATACAGCTCTGGTAAGATAATAGGGGGAGGCATTATCGGCAGTTGCTTCGAGTCCCTCGTAGGAGGCCATTGCTATTGCTGAAACGTGTCGCAGGATTAGCCTGCAAGCCATGGGGGACTGCAAGACATCAACGGAGGCGGCGCAGGCACAATTCTCCACGTCAGCATCACAATGACTTCTTGCGAGAAAACCATTCACCAAAGCACAGGACTCAGTATACGAGTGTGATTGTCTCATGCTTGTTTCAAGCCAACTGCTTGAATACCTTAGCTGTGAAGACTTGGCGCATGATATACGTAAGATAGGATCCTGACGGTTGATTTCAGACACTCCCACGCCGCTCGCATTTCGCAAAGGCCTATTCCACGTGGTTTCACTGCCTAGTCGGCGGGTACCTGCATGATCAAAGCTCCTACCACATAACGCCATGTGGGAAATGGCCCCCAAGGTCGTGTTTGGCCTTGACTCACTGCCACCATCTCTTCCGTGGCGCGCTTACCAGCCTTGTGCCCACGTGTCTGTGCTCTTCCAGCCTTCAAGGGCGCTGCGCAGTACGCAATAGCCCCTGCATGGGCCTTACGCCTTCCAAAATTGTTTGAAGAATTTGATCATGTCGTCAGACAGCTCCTTCGGCCTCTCATACGCAGCAAAGTGTCCTCCACTCTCGTGCTCCGTGAAGAACTGCAGGTTGACTGCTGTCTCAGCCCACGAGCGAGGGACAGGGCTCAGCTCCTTAGGAAAAGTACTCAGACCAGTGGGAATCTTAACCACATTCTTGGCAACAAGTCCCGTATGCGCGTTCTCGCTGGGAGGATTGTTGTGATACAATACGATTGCGGTCACTGGGCCAGGGAACCAATGTAACAATGTCCAGGTAATCAGTTCCGACGGCGTCCAAGGGTAATTGTCCGCCCACAAGAACAGCTTGTCAGTCATCCAGGCCAGCATCCCAACTGGGGAATCATGAAGGCCGAAGCTTAGATTCCGTGGCTTGGTGCTCTGTATTTTATTGTAATCCGAATTCGTATCCATGAACCAGCGGTAACGCTCAATTGACTTTTGCTCGTAGGGTGTGTATTTGGGCTCGCCGTCTTTGAAATCTGGAGGGTTGATATAGAGCTATATAATATTTGTCAGCCTCGCCCCAGCTTGAAATCTTGTTGGAGCGACGAACCATATTCACGTGCATGGCTTTCACATTCTCAGGATACATGATTGCCATGACTCGAACGACCCAATGCCCCCAATCTCCACCTTGCACAACGTACTCCTTATGACCTAGCTTTTGCATCAGTTTGTGCATGATCTCTGCCATATGATTGAGCTTGAAGTCCCTCTTGTCTGTGTAGGAGGAGAAGCCGTAGCCAGGAAGCGATGGGGCAACAACATCGAAGCCAGAGTCGTTGAGGATTGGCAATATCTTTTCCACTTCTGCGAAGGAGCCCGGCCAGCCATGTAGGAATATAAGAGGTATCCCGTTTGCCTTTGAGGTCTTTGAGTGAACAAAATGAATGTCGAAAGTCCCAAAGCCATCCACATCAATTGGGGTTTTGAATTGCGGCAGCTTGTTCAGCTTGGCCTCCTCTTCTCGCCAACTGTATTTGGTACGCCAGAAATCAAGTGTGTCGCTAATGAGCTTAACGCCGACTCCGTTCTCTTCGCCCCAATGTGCGTTGGTGATATAGGTTGGAAGGCGGGCGAGCTCGAGCTTGCGATTGAGGAGATCCAGTTCCTCATCAGGGATGTGGATCTGTAGAGGAAGATTAGAGTATTGATGGCTGATAGTTACGAGCCCTCACCTTGAAAGGCGTAATAGACATGATGTGCTTTTCGTGTGATGCTTAGACGAGAGAGTAAGGCTTGTAGATCGTGGGAGACTGCGTTCAAGATGGCCACTCAGCGAAGAGGACGGAAGCCAGATTTATATGCACAAGAGCAGGCTCAGAGTTAGGCATCAGAAGTCGTGTATTATCAATCAAACAGGGTGACGCGACTCGAGAGAATTCCATGGTCGACAACGAGCAACGTGAAGCTCCCCCAATGTCATCGATGGTCCGAGCACACCTGGAAAGTTTCCCGCTTCTGCATCGGGAAACTTCCCTTTTTTCACTGGTGCTCGAAAATTTTGCCAATTGTGGAAATGTCACACAGGCAGACAACCAGTACGCTTTATTGACGACTCTACCCAATTACTTTCAGTCCATTGCATAACAGTAGCAGCTGGCAAATCGATTGTAGAATACGCCGGGCTCTCTGATGCCCACCATTCCGAGCACAGAGCTGTAAAGACTTTGTCAACCCAGAGAACATGAGAGCCCCTTCGTAATTGTTCGAGCACCAAGAAGTCGGATTTACCATGAGTATGTAGAGAGCTACGAATTCGCTTGAGATAAAAGATGCGTTACGGTACTGTATTTAGATATGAGGGAAGTGCAAAGAGCATTGCAAAAAGAAGGATTCCTCGTCACTAAGAATCCGGCGCTACCTCGAGGGACTCTATGGAAACAGGTGTCACGCTGTCGACATGCCTAAAACCCGTTCAAGGAAGAAGTATATCCTTTCCTTGTGGAAATCTTCAATCATGGATGTTTTCTATAGCGCGCTGAGCAGAGACTTCTGATCTGTCTACTCATTCACCAGCGTTAGCAACAATTGTAGGTCTCGAAAACCCGAACTCACTTCTTGCGCTCCCTTCTAGCTGCTTCTTCTCCAATTGTCGATGATAATAAAGTGAGTCTTTATACTGCTGGGTCTGATTATGCAAAACGTTGCCCTCTAGCACTCCTTCGGGATACAGATCTGTAGACGTGACATCAAGGATTAAGACTCGACACTCATTCTGGTATTCCTGTCGTAAATCAAAGCGCATCAAACATCCAGACTGAACAGGGTATAGCAGTGGCTCATTAGGAAGAAGGGTATTCTCGTCATCAAATCCGTGAGAAATCTGAGCAGCTGTCCCGAACTGCTTCAGATCTTGAGAACGAACTTTTCGGACTTCCGGCCAGATTGAGGGTCTTGACTGGTACACCGACCAGCCTGCCAAAGTAGAACCATCTTGGACTTGGAGGGTGACCTCGAGATATCGAAGAATGGAGCGTGGTGGTTTCAAAGCTAGTGAAGGTGTAGTTTTTGCGCTAAATGGTCCTGTCTTTTGGGAAGAATGCCAGAACGCGCATTGAGTTCTCTCTTTTGTGAACCCCAGGAAGTTGATCTTTGCGAGTGCGGGAATGTTTCTGACAGCCTTTATGGGCAAACCATCTAGTTGAGGGTCTTCAAGCGACACATAGAATGTCTTGTCCTCAATGTACTGTTGGATGTTGGAAACTTCTACAAATTGGTGCACGTGAGGTTCGAATCTCGTTATGACAGCTGTGGTCATTTCGACCAGAGTAATACATATCTGCCGAGAGTTATCCTTCTTCCTCTTCCAACATTTGATTGGGGCCGCCCACGTGTGGGGGCCAAGCTTTCTGACGTTGAGAGTGATAGACAGACCTCTGTGGGTGATTGTATAAGGTGAACGGGGAATGTCCCCTTGACCTCTGTGGGTGATTGTATAAGGTGAGCGGGGAATGTCCCCTTGCTTTTCACGTCCGAAGTCCCCGGATTCTACGAAATCAAACGGGCTCTTGGCCAGTATTCCTGCATGAAGCCTTTGCGGTCTTGTCCATGCAAACACGGTTTCGTCGTTGGTTGTGCTGATGATTTCATATTGCAATCGCCGGAACGCTTTTTCACCTGTGGTCCTTAGCAATCTTCTTGAGGCGCTGCAGGTGCTGTGCAGTAACTTCATATTTCCAAGTGGAAGCTTCCTCACCTTCACCATAGATTAGAGACATGTTGACATTGAATATACCCAGAAGACAATATGCAATGTCCTCGACCCTGGATGTCTTGCGACGTGATGCCCATGACATTTTCCTTGCAACGCAAGCGCCCTCTGGAGACCTAAGATCCTCGGGATGCATGTTGCAAGCTTCTGATATCTCCGAGATGAGGCTCGACTTCGAACCTAAAAAATGCCAATCACAATCGTAAAACATGACATTTGGAGGTGCGAGCAGCTCTTGAAGAGTCCAGCCGCGAGTGAACCATCTACTATCTCGAAACTTAGTCGACTTTTCTCCATAGGTCGCAGCCTTCAAGCTGAGATCTGCTAAGTAAGCATAGCACACTTCTGCATTCTCATACCACCTGTACATAGAATTGATCGACTCAGTTAGCTCCGCACTACTACTCTTATCAATGCAGCAAGTGTCGACCCAAAGGTAGTCCCAGCCTTGAGACGCCGCGAGTCTGCAGCAGCTGGAGATCTTTGAATCCTTGGGGATTCCAGATTCTCCGGACATTTTTTGGAAATCCGCGTAGGAGATTTCGTCCAGACCCCAGGTATGTGAAAGGACAGCATAGCGGGGGATGTTTTCATCAAAAACCTCGCGAATCTGGAACTTCGAAGTATGTATAAGTTTCATGGCAACGAGCTTGAAATTGGACGAGGCTCAATCTCTGATTCAAGTTATTGAGCATCACACCCGTTCTCGGGATACTTGTCGAGGCTTTCAGCTGATACGCCTGACAGTCCACTTACCCTCAAACGTCAACCTCGTAAAGCTAGGCCACCAACAACGGAGCCACTCAAACACGGTATCAAAGATACCGAAGACGTCTTGCTTTGCCGAAGAGGCCCAAGGGCACTAGCTATCCCTAGTGATCGTCACCCTTTTCTCGCGTGCAATCCGTAACTGAGCGAGGTTCCGGAAGTGAGGCGAAGAGGTGCCGGGTAGCACATGTGGAAATCTCGGAGCCCCTCGTCCATTTTCTTTAGTTCATTCTCTCATCCTTACTCTGGCCTTCCTGCCCCTTGTTTGCCATTTTCTCCCCCTCTCTCTCCATTGTCAGCCCAAAGCATTATTGAGTCACCTCTGGACGGGGGCGGGGTCGTAAAGCGTGGCATGGGATGGAGATGGAGGGGGAGGCGGGAGTGGAGAGGATGAAGAAGGAAGAATGGCGAAAGGAAAGGCAGACGAAGAATCCGCGACGCGCAGGGGAGGACGAGAGATCGTGAACAGTCGTAATTTTTGCTAAATAAATATGATAATTGGCAAACGTGCAGTATGTAAAGCCTCCTCCTGTCTTGTTCAACCTCGATTTCATAGCCATATCTCCTAGAGCATCTCCCCATCATAAATCATAAGGCATGCGGCACTAAGCGATCAACTCATTCCATTGCAGGCGTGAAGACAATCCCGCACTTTCGGCCCCGAGGAAAGGCAAGGAAGTAATCTGTCTGCTCCATGCACTCTCCTCTGCCCCTTCCATTCCCGCTCTTACCCTTTGTATCCTCATCTAATTCCACGTTCCATCCATTGACAAGTGACGCAAGCACGAATTTGAGTTCCATGGTCGCGACGTATTGGCCTAGACAGGCGCGCGAACCTTTAGACCAGATAAGAAGCGACGATTGCATTGTCTTAAAGTGATTCGATGGTGTGACTGAGGGCTGGCTAGAAGACGTTTTCGCGTTCTGGTCCGCAGAGGCGAAATCGGCGGCTGCGGAGCGGGCGTTAATCCAGCGCTCAGGGAGAAAGGAGTGAGGTGAAGGATAGACTTCGGGGTCGGCATGAACTTCGCGGGAAGGGACAGACACATAGGTCTGGTATTGTCAACTTAGATTCGGGAAGTGGGGTAGGAAGACGGCAGCGGGAAGAAATGGAGGAAGAAATGTAGGGTGTAGGGGACTTACGCCTTGCGGAATAACAATACCGCCAATGCTGGCAGCGTTCGTGCATGCTATCCGTGGTAGGCCAATCGATTGCGCGGGGTGCAGGCGCATACACTCCAGGACAAAGCCGTCGAGGATAGGGAGAGATTTGATCTCTTTGTATGGCGGGACGCCGTTTGAGAAGGCGACTTTGTTGTCGCGAAGCTCGGTGCGTAGCTCTCTCTGCCATTCGGGCCTTTGGGCCAGTTCCCAAAGCATCCAAGTGGACACTACGACCGTGGTATCGGTCGCACCGACAAGCAGACTGCCAAGCTCGTTGCTGATCTCTTCGTCTGTCATCCGCTGATATCCTTTTGAGCCCACCATCTTGGTCAGAAGATCGATACGGCCGGAGTAACGTCCGTGCTGCTCGATGTACTCATCAAACGCTTTTCGACCATAGAGATAGCAACGATGCTGCGCTTGGAGAAAGCGCTGGATTGGTACGACTGGCAGAATTTGAAGGACGCCTAGTATCCAGGGAGCTAACCAACGAAGGGCTGTGATTGCAAAGTAATCGTCCAGGTCGTCGAGGAACGCTGGAGGTGTGTCGTCCTCGAGAGCGCCAAAAGACCGACCAAGAAAGAGGCCACCTTTCGCGATCAGAGTCAGTTCATAAAAGATTTTAGGGAGACACACCCGCAGTATCAAGCATTACTCTACGCATCCATAGCATAACATCCAGCGACGACCCACTACTATGCTTTATCCACGGCAGAGCTTTGCGCACTTGATCAGAGATGAGGGGTTCTGCTTCATCGATATGGGATTGTGCTAAGACATGTCGGACCAAATTTCGCCGTATACGGTGTTCGTGTACCTTTGTCATGTCGAAGGAAGCGCGCGTTGTCGATGCAAAGCCTTCATAGCGCCGAGATTTCGGGAATTTGCTGCCAGCAAGATAGAGCTCCTTGACGCAAACTCGGTCAGAAAAAGAGAGCTCATTTGGTGCCAGACGAACGACTGCACCGTATTTGGCGTGTGCTTGCTCAACGACGAGACTACGTTTTCCCAATGTTTCGTTGATAGTGAGCCATTTGGTGGTGACTTTGGCCAGGAAAGGACCAGGTATGTTTCGCAAGGGAGAAAGGAACAAATTGTATACAACCTACGAGCAGAAGTTGAGTTGTGAATATCTCATTCTTTTTTAATGTACGCACCTTCCAGATCAATATCCCCAAACACCAAGTCAAGGCGAAAATCATCAGCGTTGTCCATTTGCTCGGTATCATATCCAGATAATGGAAAATCACAGGTCGTAGAGTCCATGTATACTTCAACATAGTACCATAGTCATTGAACCAAGCCTGCACCTGAAATCGATGCAGTCTGGTCGCCATGCGGTTGCCAAAAGACGAACTTGAATGGTTCGACCCAGCAGGCCACGATACATTCTCCATGGCCGACGCAATCTTATATAATCCAATTAAAAGTAGTATGCCCGGGGGAGCGGATAGCAGTGGAGTTTTGGTGAATTCAGAGAGGTGTCTCAGTAGGCCAGTCCAAAAAGGCTTATCTCGCTTTCTATGCACGTGCTTGTCATGAAATTCACCACGAGGCGGCACGTGAGGGTGATGTCCTCCCTCGCTGAGCAGTATATAGTATCAGTAGAGCTGCTCAATGCCTGAGGATTCAGGAAGGGTGTCTGCTTTTAAGCCCTTGTAGGAGATGTTCGATGCCCCTCGTCACCAATTCTAATGTCGCTGTAGCTGAATAAAGACAGTTCAGCTCTGGCGTTATTCATTCGCTAGGCCACTATGCACATTGCAAGTGTCCTGTCAGCAGACTAACGTACACAATTCACTCCCTGACTACATGTCTATGACATTGTAGCTTGTCTCGATTTCAGCTCTTCGGGGCTTTGAGGAAGATAGAGCTGCACGGGATCAAGCACAGGCTTTGCTCGTAAAAGTCTGGACAGATAGCAACGCTTCGACGATAGCACGCCAGACTTGCTGGCATTTGGCTCTGATCTGTATGATCTGCAGGCGTGGACTAGCGGGATCCTCAAGCACCCACTATCTTTACAATTTTGTGCAGCATTAATGCAAAGCTTGGCGCCATGCATAAAGCACCTGCCGAAGCCGGAGGTGCTAACATTTCCTTCCCTCCTTAAACAACGACGCGTGCATTGATGTGTACTTCCCTTTCTAGTAATGCTCCAGTCATCAAAAGACAAAGAAACGATCTGCGTAGTGCCAGCACAACAACCCTGAATTCTCATGCAGAACTACAGTGGAACATGAGCATTCCAGTTGAACTCTACCATGCCAGCTCATAGATGTTGGTCTGCTGCTTCCCATACTCAACGCGTTCGCCACTGGCGAAGGCTATTTCCAATCATCGAGCTGGTCCTGGGTGATCAATTCGAAAGGTGTCATGCCCCTCTTGCACAACGTGCGATCATGCCAAAGGCAGTATTCAAATCAAGCCATACGCCACACTCTACACTTTCAATTCTTAATGACCAGTGATACAAAGCAGATCATAGTGTTTGTTCCCCAGGAACATCGCTTAATCACGGGATTCTACGCAGTGAATCATAAAAAGCAAAAGCTGTTTCTGGTTGTACATGTCTATTTAGTTCTGCGGCCAGTGTATCTCCCCATGCTAAGAATCTGCAATTTCACGATCACACATTTGTCCAGACTCAAATCTGAATGACTTTTCATTTTTGGATACATCTCAGCGTGTGCAACTCGAGTAAGACATATTCTGCAAGAGGCTATTTTGGTCATTGCATCGGACACCTGCATACTACCGCTAGACAGCAACGGTTCTGTTCACGCGCTAGGCGAAGCTCCATGATGAATTTCACCTGCACTTGGATATACAGACGTACCACTTACTCCAACTTGATAGCACTGCCAATCATGTTGCATATTCTTTCCCATCTTTTGAGAGACCATCACGCTCCTATAAGCTCACAGGCGCGCTGGGCACTCTTCTTGTGTCTTACATTATTCATCATCAAGTCCACAGCTTTGACCGTTGCACATTTTCCCACTAACAGCACAACCAACGAGTAAGCTCGTCTATCGATCGGTACCACTGACCCACTGACCAAGTATCCACAGCGATCTTGAACCAATACCACCATTCTCAGCCGGCGGTCTCGACTACGTAGGCAATATCGACCGTTCCAAAACCCTCGGCGAGAAAACTTTCTTCATCTTACGGCAAGCAATCCGACCCTCATGGAAAGGCGTCCGCGAGAACGTGCGCACACGCGCCGGGCGCACCGAACTCGATTACCAAGGTGTCAAAGGCCAATACACAGCCACCTTCGACTTCCTGATGCAGGGCGGTCCCGCGCTCACATACGGGCAAGTAGCAACTATAATCGAAAATCTAGCGGCGCATTTAGAGCAATATCCAGACCTTGTCATCCACCCGCTCCAAACTCTCGTCTCGGTTGGTCAAAATATCAAGATCATCTGTACCGTTGACCAAGACGACGGCGCCGATATCGACTTCGAAGTCGATGACACGTATCTTGCCTTTGAAGGGAAATCATATCCCGACAGGCCACTGAAGACCTGGGAAATCTTGACCCTCATCGACAAAGTGAGAGCCCGGTTCGAGCGAGAGATAGTGCGGACTTCGCTACCTGCTCCAGTGCCCTTGTATTATGAGTTGAGTCTTGTGTCTCGACAGTCTCAGGTGGAGATCTCGTTTGATGATCTGGATGAGGGCGGGAAGTGGCCGTATTTCACGTTTCAGGAATTACTGTTGTGGCTGGGGGAGATGAAGGTGTGGGTGCAGGAGCATTCGGGGTGTGGTCAGATATGGGGTCAGATTATATGGGAGGTGCCCACGTCGGACAGTGTTACTATTGGAGATGTGAGGTTTACGGATCTGGATTTGGGTTCGGCTGCTGTGTCGTCGAATATAACGACTATTTGAGACCATGAAACATCTGCAAGAAAAATAACTTGAGAAACAGAAGCATAGAGTAATATAGGACTTGAAGTCTTATTCGATCGAGGCAACACACTCAACCCTAACCCAAGATACCTTATACCCACCGCTCTAGCGCTTTTCCGAAAGTAACCCATATGTACACAAAAACCGTGTCTTCAAGCCAACGCCTAGCATAAACCTGTTCACGCTCTTGCCATCTTATCTCCCGCTTTGTCGCTCGTCCTCGCTCTCTCTGCAGATCCCTCCCATACCCACCCATCCACCACTCACTAAAGACTAAGCCTATCCACACTCCCCCCCTCCATCTCCAAACTCCTCCTCACAATCCCCAGCCTCAGAAACCTCTCCTCCCCACCCGCCGTTCTGCCCCCAATATACCACCCCTCCTTCCTGACCTCCCTCCACCCTTCCGCCCCTCCCAGCGAAGAGCTGGAACTGCCCCGCCGCCGCGGGACCATAGGCGACGATTGCGGTGAAGCTTGCGTTGTACGGTTCGGTGATCTTGGTGGGGAGGAGGATAATGTGCGCTGGTGGTTTATGGCGGCGGTTGTGGAGTGCTTCGGGATTGTGCGCGGGGAGGAGCGCGAGGGGGAGAGGGTCGTGTATGTTTGTTGGGCGGCGCTGGTGGTGGTGGTTGTGCTGCTGGTGGGAGAGGTGGATTTTGAGACGGAGCGGGAGGCGCGGAAAGCGCCTAGGAGTTGGGAGAGGAAGGAGGGTTTGGTGGGCATTGTTGTTGTAGTGGGTTTGTGAGATGTGGAGGTGGATTAGTCGGGTTTCTCGGGTTGAGGCAGTCCGTCGGAGGTTTTGAGAGAGGGTGAAGGAAGCTGGAGCTGTAATTCGTAGAAGTACTGAGCTTTGAAACCTGGCAAGCAATCGCCGGTTGTGTGGGGAGAAAGTTCGTGTTAGTCTGTTATGGTTGAGGCATTTGATAGATTGGAGGATAATTGGCCGCGGTCTCCTCTCAAGGTAGGTGGCTCGTCAATTGTACCACCTCGGCGTCATACAATTGTAGGGAGGCCCAATTTGAGGTCATGCTGTAGGACGAGAGGAGGATTGATGTAATGCGGAGTAAAAGGACCGATTTCTATGGTAGCTTTGTGACGTTTGAAGAGCCGGAAGATGACGGGAAAAAGCCTCCGGGTTTGCAGCCAAGACTCTTTGGCTCGGATTTTTTGCAAATGCGGCTACTGCGGGCTTGGATTTCGACTTCCCAGCGTTCTTGTACTTCGGTATTCACAGCAGGCATTCTTTCATTGCAAGGATGGTACAAGGTCATCATGGGATACCGTTTGCGACAGCAAAGCCCAATTACGAGACCTACAAGTCGCCATATGGCCCGAGGTACGCTGGCTTGTGTTTTGCAATGAGAGCGATGAACTGATTCTCTCTGTAGCTACAAGATACAGCCGAACCTCAGAGGCATTGGGCCTGGAAGAGCTCTGAAGTTGTACGCTTACCCCTCTACGATTCACTCCCTTCCTCTATATCACGGTCGATGGGCGCGTGAATGAAAATGCTGATTGTTTCACTTCAGCGGCATCACCGCAGGATCCTTCGCAGTCGTCGCGGGGGTCTTCGCCCTTCAGTTCTTCTCAGATGTACCGAAGGTGCGGAAGGATATCGTAGGGGTAAGGCTCCATCTCAAGAATTACAAGAGTCTAGGCAGAAGGGGCAGGTTGCAGAAGGCGGCTGTGGCTCAATCAGATATGGAACAGGCTCCCGGGGACATTCTGTTCAGCGCTGTGACGGGAAACTTAAGATGTCTCACTAAGAACCTGATGTGCTGATGTCTCGTCTCCAACAGAAAATCCCAGTCATAGGCGAACACTTTGAGAAGTCACACGAAGTGGCACCAGAAGACAACGTAGGTCCAAGTGACCTACGACTAGTGCTCCAGGACTGACCTCTTATACGAAGCCATTCTAGATACTTTCTAGAACTGTACTATCAAACTTTTCAATCTCTGTCGCAGCTGCTCAAAAGGACAAGAGTCTCTTATGGCAACCACTTAGCTTCTCGCCCTCCGCTCCTTCCGTTTTAATTTCATGAGGCATTATTTATTTCATTGCACAATATTTCATCCTCTTCATCGTTTTACATTTCATCATCTCAGGCCCGAAGGTCTCATTCTCTATCTGCTATTCGCCAGCTTAGCAGGTTATACTCCGATGTATTGGCTGCTATTATTATCACTTGTCTGCTTACTGACTCTGCATAATCTATTTATTCGGTCTAGAGACCGCCCAGCAATATCGAGGTCGTTTACAATGCCTTCTCCACCCAAGGGACCACCCTACAATTGGGGCTTGCCAAGTCTTTCTCCACCAGACCCGCCTTTAGAGCTTAACTACGGCCCCGATCCTAACCTTTGGTTCAAATCTACTCCTGCAGATATGCCAGAAGTTCAGAAGTGGCCCAGAGTCAGAGGGGTTCTCATCAATTGCGACGGCGACATGGAACGGCACCAGATGCCTCGCTTCGTTGGGATGCTAGTTGATTATAACGATCACATATTTAACACCCCGTTCCTCCATATGATGCCCCCAGATTTGGAAGAGCTGAACTGTGCTCCCCAGATTTCGAGTCTCGCTGGCTCCGCCCTCCTCATGCGTCGTTACGGGAATGCGAGAGCAAACACACAAGAGAAGGCTGAGAGTCCCACGAGAAGCCGGCGCTACAACGCAAATCGACCAGCCAAAATGCTAAACCTGTCATTAAATCCGGGCTTCAATTTTGGCACATTCTCAAGAGGCTGGGGTTTTGAGGTAGACCCAGGCACAGTTTTAGTGGTATGGAAATAATCGCCCCTTCCCCGGTGATCCAAGACTTGCTAAAGTGTCACATTGTAGGTTCGCAAGGATCATAAGGACCTTCTCCCCTGTCACGTCGAGGTGTTGGATTATATGTGCGGCTATGACATTCTGAATCTTGCCATGCATTCGGACAAGGACGAATCGATTGAGGCAATGGAGGCTAAAGATCAAAAGAGGCGAGCCGGGTTGGAAGAGCTCGTGGGTGATCATGGTGACAACTTCAAAAGGTATTATCAGAGGTATATGATGAGGAAGTTAGGTCCCGAAGGGTGGATGACGGTTCCTCCGCCTTGGGTTATGTAGGAGCATAGTCACATGTTCGGTACCTGGTCCTTAGATGAGGTCGAATTCATTACTAATATTACAAAACGAGGCAATGAGCGCATGAATCATTACTAAAACTGGTATGATAGGTACTCACATGGACACAGGCCGATCATTTTCCAAGCGCTGACTGGCGATTGCTGTCTACACTATGCTCTTCATTGACTGTATCTGCCCGCATACTTATGTCTCTTGACGGATTCCTGCCAATTTCGGTACCATTACAACTATCCGTTCGACGTCCGACATAACTTTCGAGGGAATGAAGGACCTTCTCCAGGACGGTTTTTTGGCAAAATGTCCATGACTACCAGCAAACAAAAGGCTTTCATGCCTTTACAAGAGCATAAGACTTTCAGTCCGCTAACTATCCACAGAAGATGTTGCACAATTGAGCCTCAGCTCCTCGTTTCCGTCTCCATTGCCTGCCTGCAATTCAGCGGGCAACTTCGCATCAGCCCACTCCTTATCGACTCCCTCCTTCTCCGCCTTCCTCATCTTCCAAAACTCCTCAAACGCTTTCGGGTCCGAGAACCTCTTCATCGCCGCGCTCACATCCTTCTCGACCTCGATCCTGTACAAAGCGCACCAATCGCACAAGACCTCCACATGCTGCACCGTGATCTCCGCCCCTTTTTGCGACTCCTACACAACATCATTCAGCGCGGCCTTTCCTACCCTCTCCCAGTCTCGAAGTGGCGTCAAGGGACGGTTGGGGGGGGGGGGGCGGAGGGGCTTACCACAAAAACCCTCCCCAACTTACTCGCCCCGTCACTTCCCCACCCTTTCCTAACGCTCCCCGGCCTCTTGCCCACATTCTCTTTCTCGAATCTCCTCTCGTAATAGAACCACACAGCGGTGAGGTTTGCCGCGACGTCGTTGTTGAAGAACTTCTGCTCTTCGTGGCCAGCGTTGGGGTTGCCGTGGTAGGTTGTCCGCACTAGCCAGATGGGGAGGCCTACTTCCCTGGGGATGCTGCAGCCTGTGTAGAAAGGGAGTTGGGGTTCAGACCTTTTTGCTTCACGGCGATCGCGCATCGTTCGCGGGTCGTGGGAGATGGCTGTGAAGCGTGGCCGGCCGGCGGTGAGGTCGCCGTCGCAGGAGATTTGGATGGCGTTTGTGACGGACATGGTGGATGGGTAGAAGGTGGGATGTTAATTCAGATAGGAGGATGGATGGGGAGTTGTGTTCTTTGTGGATGTGGGGGGGAGTCTTGTTTTCGTGGGGTTGGCGGATGAAGGAAGGGAATACAAAGCAGCGTCACAGGTCGCGGAGGACAAAGAGAATTTCGTATCATTTGTGCTCGTGTGACTGTGGTCTTGCAGCTAACCCTTTGTTTCAGTTGCCTCCTTGACAACGGAGATTCTCAACTTCTACCGGTTGGGTTGCCTTGAATCTGGAACGACTTGCATATACGCTTCGATCAGGTTGGATAAGTCACTTGCGCAGGCGGAAATGGATCGTATTTAGTGCTTGCATGATGAGCAAGTAGGAAAGAATGCCAGCTCCTTTCATCCATCATTGCATATCATCTCTGCCTTACAATAGACTAAACATTATAAGCCTTTTCGAAATTTCCCTAAGTGACACAGACTCTCTTACTTCTTTCCTCCACCTCGTACCCATCCTTTGTCTTTCACTCAGCGATTGGTTGACTCGACGCCCTTAGAATCCCACCGCAGCTTCCTTCCCGTCATCCTCTTCCGAGAGGAGCTCAATGTCCCATTCCATCAGGTAGGACCACCTTGTCCCTCCAGGAATTGGATGCTTTGGAAGGGCTAAAATCTACTGTGTTCCGAGGATGAGATGCAGGAAGTGCGCCTTGCAGCACTCGTCAGAGGGCAGATAGACGAGCGGAGGTGTGAAAACCGAGGAGAATATACGTTTGGTGTTTTCGTTTTTGCAGAATGGGATTAGTAGGGTCTCGTCACGTTGATGGTGGTGTATACCCACACTGCACAAGACAAAACCAAAGCCACCACGCCCTTTTCCTGGAATCTCGTTCGATCTGGGTTGGCGGCTGTTTAAATTACAACAATGCATTGAAAATTATACATAAAGTAGTGGTGATAGTAGTAACAGTAGCAGTAGTAGTGACTAGATGTTATTGGATTGAATCAGCATCGCTTTATCGTGCTGATGGTAGTGCAGACTCACACTGTGCAGCAGCCACAAGAGCCACCACGCCCTTCTCCTGGTATCTCGATCGATCTGGGTAGGATGCCGAAATTGAGTTGATGGAATTGAGAATTGCGCGTTGGGTAGTGGGTGTTGTTGTGAATTGAATCAGCATTGTCTCACGAGGCTTTGGGTGGTGCAGACTTACACTGTGTAAAAGGAGTAATCGAGTTGATTGAATTGGCATTGTATATCTAGTAGTGGTCATTGTTGTTATACTGGATTAGCATTGTTTCATTGATGTTCACAGTAGTGCAGACTCACACGGTGTAAGGGGAGCACTTGCATCGATAGACAGGAGATTGTGTATATGGTAGTGGTTGTATCTGTTACATGAATCAGCATGGTTTCTTGATGCTTGTGGTGGTGCAGCCTCATACTGCGCAACAGCAACGAGAGCCACCACGCCCTTTTCCTGGATTCTCGATCGATCGCTGAGTTGGCAGGCATTGAGTAGGAAGTTCAAAAAAATTTGGTTTGATAGAAATGAAAAAGATGAGTAAAGTAAATGATGATGTGGTAGTCTTCAATTGAATGTCTATTAATGTTGTCTCTTTTACAAAAGAGTCTCAATGTGCCCGAAGGCGAAGAAGAAAGAAGAGAGAGAGAAGGAGGGTGTTTATATACCCAATGCCAAGGACGCCAAATGCACAGATTTCAGCCAAAAGCCACCTCACGTCTCCTTCTCCACCTAGACTTGGCGGGTCTCTACAGACGTGTAGCTCACCGAAAGGCTCCACCTGTGCCACTGAAGATGGCGGAAGTTTAATATCAGCCATTTCGAGGAAATTCAATTCGTTGCTATGGGCAACATGAAATAGACATGTTCAAGGCATGTGACGAGGGAAAGAGGCGCCTCTCAATGATGATCTTCATTGCTCCTCGCAGGCTTTCGAGAACCTATGCTGAAACTATCAAAGTCAAGCCATCTCCAATATCCTTCCCATACCACCATCATCCCTGTTATCTATCGTTCAAGGACTCCACCTTATTCCCCGAAGTGATAGAACCTTTTAATTTTTGATCTTGTTGCCAACTGAGTTGAGGGTCGTTAGCTATTTCAGGTTTGGAGGCGGAATACCCCTCCACGCCTCATCAGTCTTTGCCTTCGCCTCCTGATACTCTTGCCAAGCGTACAAAAACTGAAGATTTTCCATCCTACCATGTATCTCTGCCTTCCCACAATCCCACAGCATTTCCGAACCACCTGCCTTTTCGTTCAAAGCTATCGCATCTCTGTAGGCGGCGGCTGCATAGTGGCAAAGGAACTCCACATGCTGTACAGCTAAATGTGTTTTGGCAACCTGTGAATTGTACCACGTCAGCTGAACTCGGGAGGCCTGGTGGATGAGAACATAGCCTCACCAGGACGATTGTTCCAGGATTATACTCTCCATCCCCTTCGAATCCTACCTCTCTTAGACCAATCCGTTCAATTGTTGTCTCCCCGCAAAAAGACAAGCTGAGATTGGCAGCATCATCGTTCCTGTAATGGGCCTGCTCGCTTTGTGTAGCGTCTTGGTTACCAATGTAATCGGTATGCCAGACTTGAACATCCAGACCAACCATTCGGACAATGTCGCTCTTGAACCATGAAAGAATCGTGCCATTCAGCTTTCTCGGGTCGTGCGTGGTGGCCTCAAACCTGGATTTGCCCAAAGCCACCTCTCCATCGCAACGAATCAGGACTCCATTAAATTGAGGTTCCTCGAGCGTGTGGCTGCTGGCCTTGGGTTTGTCGTAGCCTTTTATCATTTTGGAATTAGACGTTCAATCAGCCCAAAACTCGTACTCCGATAGAATTTATGGTCAATAGTTCTGAATAATGGGTGTGTTAAAGTTGCACGGGGGAGAGACGAGATGATAAAGAGATAAGAAGATGTTTGAGTGACTTGAGATGAAACAACGCCTGTTTGTGAATCAAAGAGACAGCTAAAAGAGTTGGACGTGCCCAACCGGCGGAATAGACTCGGGTGTTACAGCGCTCCGGAAAACATTGCTATGAATGGATACCCGGTGGACGCGTAGATTGCTGCAAGTCCAATTTTGTTAGATCTCTGTGGACTGTTGTAGCGTTCCACAGCATGGTGACATGACACCTCGAATATACTTTATACAATCGCGTAACTACTTCGGCGGTTCTTGCGTCCCTCGTGTATGCTGATCTCTCGAAAAATATTGCCACTGCTCAGGCAGCGGCTTCTCCTCCAAATCCTCCCACCTATCAGAGTCAGGCAAGACAAGCCGCAAAATCAAGAAGAGACACTAGCGTGGAATGACGTACACTTTATGCTCAAGCATGGTATCTGCCAGCTTCAGTTCTCCCTCAGCGACTTGTATCACCTCCTCAATCAATCCAGCACCAATCTTCTGCTCCGCATCATCAATCCTGCATACTGCATCAGTAATCTTCCCCTAATCAATTTAAGACTCCTATGGTCCAGCACAACTCACTGCGCAGCATCCAAACTCGGCTCAGGCTCCCACTCTACTGTCGTCGTATCCTCCTGCTTCCTCATGAGTTCCCTCGCATTGTAGCTCCTGCCGTCCTCATCATGGCCCCCCTCCCTTGACGGCTGTCCCTTCTCGCCATCCCACTCCAAAGGCTCCCCTCCAAACTCCGTCGGTACTTCCTTTGTCTCGACAAACCCGACTTTCCCAGCCTCCTGGTATACGTGTTGACTTTCTCCCTGCCGAAACAGATGCGGGTATTCCTCAATTTTCTCTTTTGCGCGCTGCTGCCATTCTTCCAGGCCAGCAGGCTTTATCTCTTCGATGATGCGCTTACGGTGGTTTGTGAGTGCTTCGGCGGATTGTCGGTAGACGGAGTGGTCGGGAAATGATTGGAGTTTGTCGAGGGTGCTGTGGTAGAGGTAGAGGAGGGTGGAGCGAGGGGAGGGGTGGGTGAAGAGGCCAGTGAGGCCGGTAGGGTTGCCGGGCTCGAGGTAGCGGCCTGCACCGGCTTTCACGGCCGCGAAGAGGCGGACAGTTGGCCTCATTGTGCTTGTAGAAGGGGAAGACAGCGCGACCGGCTTGGTGTTTTGCACATTACCTTAATGCCGTCTTGAAGGCGCTACCTGCAAGTAGACTAGCGTAGCCCTCGCGCTAGCTGAATCAAAATCCAAACTCATGTCAACACATCAATGACTTCGTAACACCAGACCTCGAAGCTGATGCTTCCCTCTTTGTGCAGGGCGCTGACAAAGTTTCCACGTACTATGCTCTATGATGAGCTCAGATAGTCTAATGGTACCTCAGGTGACTGCACCTGGCAGCTTCTTCAATCTACCTCCTGAGATCAGGAGGAAAGTCTACCATTTTTGCTTTGCGCCTCGTGATGGTACATTCTATCTGACACGCAATCACGGTTTCAAACATCGGATTTCTACCGACTCCGGTGGCTCCTCATCACTTATCCCTTTACTAAGAACATGTCGTCCTTTGTCTCTAGAAGCAACGGAAGTGCTTTATAGCCAGAACGTGTTTTGTTTCAGTGATCATGACCGACTTTTTAATTATGGTTCTCTATGTTCTATGGGTCACTGGGTCAAGCGTATTGGGCCGAAAAATGCCGGACTGGTTCATCATCTGCTTCTTCAATTCAGGGGCACAGCCAATGGCCCCGGCAACCAGGCCTTACGTCACGCTCGTGATGGTAAATTTTGTTGTAATTTTCACGGCCTTGAACTTGCTCTTGCCCGACTACAACCTCACCATGCTTTGCAGACCGTCAAGATGACCTTTGGTGATACTTTACATCGCTGGGATTCCAAGGAAATTGCAGCAGCCTATGACGTACGACAAACCTTCCTCGACTTCTTTTTGCCCACCTCAAGGGGGAATCCTCTGCGATGCACTTGGATCAGAGAGATGCTTTACCATCTGAAGGGCCTGCAAAGATTTGATGTCTGCTTTGGAGAGAGTGAGGACATCTGGGAGCTTGACTGGGAGCTTCAGGAGGACGACGAGAATGCGACCAAGGATCTGAACATCGCGCGTCAGGGTGTGATAGAAATGAGGAAGGAGCTTTTGACTCCTTGGTAAGATAAGGACGACGCATATCACGAGTGTCCTGGATGGTAATGGTAATTTGGAGACGAGGACTCCACGGAGACCAGCTCCCTCATACATGAATTGCTCGCCACGAGCGCTCAGTTTCTTTTGCACACCTCAATCTCGGAAAAGCACATGCTGGTAAGCGACTTTAATCCATAGGATGAGCTCTACAACATATCGACTCTCTGACACGCCCTAGATGCTACTGATCGGTACGGCGAGTACCATCTTCGAGGATATTCTACGATGGCTGCAGCGGTATGTGCTAAGCCTTAAAATCATACCTCGGGCCGACGAGATTATTTTCGCTGAGAGACGATAGACGAAAGCAGTAAACAACCTCGCCGACGCCTTAGAACATTGAACACAGCCCATTGGGCTATGAGCTTATTTACAGTCAATGGGAGGCTGCAGCACACGATGATAGCTACTTTTGCACAATGACAATTATTGCACCTAAAATTAATGCATATTTCAACATTCAAAGAATGGGTGTGCAGTTGCTCAAAACCAAGACTATGTACCTCTCCTTTCTCAGGTTTAGCCCCAGATATCTCGTCACATTAAGCTATTGACCTCCACGACTCATGCTGTCTTAACATGTTACGCAGCAGAAAACCACAAATATTGCCATTTCATCCTGAGCTAGGGCATATTGTGGTCCCTAGTCTTTTCGTACTGGTCGCTTTGCAAATTAGCCCGAGCAAGTGGTTGAGCTAGGAAGACTATTGCATCACTCTTTGCCTTAGAGGGCTACTTAGTAAGTCTTTTCAGCGGATTATTTCATAAATGTGAGGTGTCATTAGTAGGATGGTCACATTCGGATATCAGCCGCCAAACAATGTTGGTGTATCTGGGTGAGACACCCAACCTTTTCAACCCAATTCGCAGCGCTTCCCAATGTCCCAACATTCAATGGCACGTTTTTCGACTTTAAGGTTGCAGAAGCGGTCGCAGAGTGTTTCTCACGGGCCGCGTGTAGATCAGGTACAAGAGACAAACAGCCTCACAGGAAGCTGAGGAGCAAAAATTGGTTATCAGCTCTAGACTATTAGGGCGAGCAGTAGTCTTGAGCGTTGGAACTTGAGCGACAGACTCAACACTTTATTTAAGTTAAACATAGCTGATAAGGCACATCATGGCAGGACTTTGGTCCCATATACGCTCTTTGCTACTTTTCTTTGTGCATATCTACGTCGTCATCCGTAAGTTACATGCACTTTCTGCGGTGCAAGCATGACACCTAACAGCCTTGAAGATACCAATCTTCCCCTCTCGCAAGCTCGCGCAGCTGGCACGGTCTTGCAGCACCGACAGCAGCAAATCAGCTTACCTGATGGTCTTTCGATCGATTCCCGCTTTGGAGGTTGCGGAAACGATCAGCTCCACAGCTTGCAGAGCGCCAAACTCCAAGCTTATAATTTCGCTCAAGCAGCGCTCGGCAACATACAAACGGCAGATCTCTTCAGTGTCTTCTTCGGAGATGAAGACCAAGAAATTGTGAGGACAGTTTTCCAGAATGTTACTAATATGCTGAATGGTCAAGGTAAGCAAACAGGAAGACTGTTCCTTTTGAAGTTTCACACCTGGAACGACAAAATTCATCATTGCATCAATGCATCATTGTTTGCCATTCCCTCTTCAAGGCCCCAGTCATATGCGAGAATAAGGACAGGATCATGAGGAATCCCTGACTAATCTCTCGTCCAAAGGTCCCAAAACAGTCCTTACCTGCCACGATGCCATGAACCACTGCCCCGAAGGCAATCCCGGAGCCTACTATTGGCAAAGAGATGACAGGGAATGGAATGCGATTATTGCTTGTCCGGGATTCTACACAAATCCATTAGCACCCGATCCCTGTAACAAGCTATCACTTGGTAGGTCGCCCACGGTCATTCCATCAAACGATCGCTGACAGCTTTACAGAGGGTCGACACGGTCGCGGCATGGCGTCCGAAGCCCAGCTTCTCGTGCACGAACTCGTCCATACCGCGGGAATTGCTGGCCCATCGAGCGCCCATATAGCGGACTATGCGTACAATGCGTAAGTAACGGTCTGTCATCTTCCCCCTTCAAACACGCAAAACTCACATTCGAAAACCAAGTTATGGCGCCCACGCCATGCTCAACAAAACCGGTCCGGGCTCCCAGTACATCCTGCCCGGCGGCGCCTCCCACGCAGCGACCGAGAACGCAGATAACTACGCCCTGTTTGCGCTCTGGTCCTGGATGCGGAACCAGCAGGACGCGAAGTGCGTGCATAATTGGCCTCTGTGGAATATACCTGCATCGCTCGGCCTCTTTCAGTCATCCTCCTCCACGTCTGCCTCCTCGAGTACTCAGTCCGGAAGTCTGAGGCAATTACTGGGTGACTCAGATTCCGATAATTTAGCTGAGGACGACACCACAACCGATCTTGTCGAGGGTTGTGGCGGGGGGGATTGTCCGAGCACGCCGTATGATGAGGGTTCGGGAATTACTTCGGTGGGGAATAGTACGGATATGAGTCTTGCGGGCGAAGGAAGCGTGGGCGGAAGCGCGGGGTCTACTTGCAGCGGAAGCTGTTCTGGTACGGGCGATACGTCGTCGTGCGGAGTGAATTGCCAGTGTGTTGTTAAAGGCCGCATAGATCCTGGGGACGGCAGTGCTCTTATTGAGACTTATGGATGTTCAGGCAAGTGAGAGTTGTGAAAAGAGGTGTCTCGAAGGTGGCAATACTACTTGGATTCCCTCTGTAATCTTGCTCACACTATCGGCCTCATTGGATGGTGCTCTGCCGTCGATGCAGTCCTGTAAATGTTATGTGGTAATATTCACTGACTTGATTGAGCACGAATGAACGCCTCAACAGGCACTCCTGAGCTCTTGATGAAGTAACTAGGAAGGTACGACTTGCTGAGGATACCGCAAGCAAGCTGGGAGCCATAGGTAAAGGTTCGTAATATTGACATTCGACACATTCAAGACGGACCCGAAATGGGAAATCTTTGAGTTGAATGGAGCTTTTTCTACAGTTTTTTGCACTCATTCATATGAACAGTCTTATTCATCGTTAGACCGCAACACTGCCACTTGAGCGGAGTCTCAAGGTTGGTCAAGAAGTAAACACCCTCAGACACAGTCCCCAACATCGTCAGAATTTTTCACACCAATTTCCCTTCTTCAATCTTGTTTTCGCCATCTCATAATTTCATTAATGAAAATGCTAGAACAACTATCTAACTCTTGCGATATTAGTTCAAGGATATAAAGGACTTGGGGGTGCAAAAAGGTCATCTGTCGCAGTGGATATATCAAGCACCTGGTGACCTTACGCGTATTCGCTTTGTAATCCCTACTTGAAACTGACGGTCCGTCGCTAACGTGGTCACTTATCTCGTTTGTCATGCTCGAGACGCGTTACTGGAAGCGTCTGGCTTGTTTCTCTTGAAATGGTAGTCTCAGAAGGTCTGACGTTGCAGCCATCGTGTAGCTTCGATCTTCTAGACTACTCAATCACACAGGCTCGGGTGACAGCTGCGAGTGGATCGTTGAGTTCAGCTTGTAGGGTAATTGGCCGTGCTCTGTCAGATCTGCAATTTTTTCCAGTCGTCCAACATTGAGATGTTGGACAGCCTCAAGGAAGATGTCCTCGGATTCTACGCTTCCAGAATAGCTTGGGACCGACTTCGGAGTTTTGAAAGTCAAGAGACTCTCCAAAAGATCCGTGAACCTAGTAATCCATTCCAAGTTGACGATATTCACCCCTCGCGCCTCCTCCTTCACCTTTCGGTTTTCGGCTATTGTTATTGGATCCAATTTGTCGACATCTGGATCATCTGCGTTAAGACCGAAAAGTTGTTCGCGATGCAAAATATTCAAGGTCTTCAGATCAGCATATTGCGCAGCATAGTGAAGTACAGTTCGACCTTTGGCATCCCGCAGTGTATGATCCACCGCTGCGTCCAGGAAAAGGAGCAAAGCCTCATGGCTGTTGTGCCGTACGCCTTCATGTAAAGCCGTTGCGCCAGCATTGTTTGCATAATTAACGTCAGCCCCATGGTCTAAGAGAAGTCTCACAGCTGCAACATTGTTCTTGCTCACAGCCTCCATAAGAGGGAATCGTCCCTGGCTGCACCTGGTATTCACCTGGGCGCCAGCTTTGAGGAGTAAAGTGGTAAACGACACCGGATCGGGGTAATAATGCGCGGCCAGGAGACATGTCTGCTTCCAATCATCTGTCTGATCGACTGTTGCACCATAGTGAAGGAGCAGCTGGAGACATTTTGCATCCGAAGCCTTCAGTGACTGCCGCAGCGGCCTTTGGCCGATTCGATCGGGGTTGTTTGGTGAGGCACCGTTTCGCAAGAGTAATTCAACAGACTTGCTGTCTCCTCGAGCTGCAGCCCATGATAGAGGAGTACGTCCATCAGCATCTCCTTTGTCGATGCTCGAACGATCTTTTCGAAGCGCTTTTCCGAGATCTAGGGCTAGGATCTGTAAAACGATCTTATGCATATGAGTAAATTGTCGTCGCTCTTCCACCCATTCTGTGATTGGAAATAGTTCACGCATCTCGTCCACGCGCCACGTAGATGCGTTTGGAGTCCCTTGGAAGTAGAAGATGTTATCAGAAGCTGTGTCATATGGAGTCTCCTGCTGCCTGTTTTCTAGGAAGGGTTCAGCTCCATGCTGAAGAAGGACTCTGATCACTTCAACGCGACTATCTCTGACAGCAATGTGTAAAGGTGTATGTCCAGAATCGTCCGATATGTCCCGTACTGACGCTTGGCCAGAGGCCAAAAGGTACTGTATTGAATGTGAGTCACCACTGATCGCGTTTTGAAAAATCTCGTCGTAAGAATCACGTAGATTTAAAATACGCAGCTTGAACTGTGGGATGGTAGACCTTTGTATTTTCATAGCCATAGATAGTGCCCTGGCGAGGAACCAATAGGGAAAGTAGTAGTTGACCTGCAGGAAGACTTCGGAAGACCGACGACACCTGATGTTGGAGCACTCAGGAATTGTAGTAGGCAGACCTGTGTAGCCAAAAAAGAGAGCTCCAAGTATTGATTCAATGTATTGAGGAGCACGAGTGCGCTTATACATGTGGCATTTGCAGTTACACCACTGCTCGCATTTACTCTGCCTTAGAAAACGCATTCGTAGTGCACTGAAGCTATTTCCGGTGAACATCGACCCCGAAGAGTTGCGCGGTAGTGAAGGGCGCGCGAATTCTTGATTCGGCGCATCGATTTCTTTAACGCTAGATCTCCCTACGAGCTTAGAATTTCCAAGTAGTGATTCCTCCACGCGATGCAGCCTTTCATGGAACCTCTCATGGAATTGTTGCTGGGCTTCGATCATCTGAATGAATTTGCTCTCTAGCGATTCATTTTGTGACAATAGACTTTGAGAAGCGATCTGACTTTGCTGAGTTGCATCTTGAACATCCTTGAGTTGGGCCTCAACACGAAAGGAAGCAGAGCTACTGGCGATTGAGTGAAAGAACAATCTGAAGAGATGAGAGGGCTTTGAACATGTATACTCACGTAGTTACAATACCGAGCATCGTAGTGACATTCGACTTAGCTTTTTGAACATCAAGTAAGGCTTTCTGAACTTTGTCCTGTTCGTAAAGCCAGCCCAACTTGTCTTTGGTACCCATTCGTCTCATTAGACGATTCCCAATAATCGATTCCAGTTCCATGAGTCTATCTTTGGCTCGTTCGATACTAGATAGCAGTGATTGATTCTCGATCGCAGAAGAGATCGTAGCACCCTTGTGTTTTTCCAGGAGAGGTTCTGCTTCACAAAGAACAAGACGGAGGTCCGAGACCTCGTTGTTGAGGGCAAGGACAGCGAGAGGAGCTCCTCTGATGGAGGCCAACTTGTCAAGACCTTTTGCAACATGGTTTGCGGCCGCCAACAACGTCAACAGACTGGCCGCAAAAGACACCGGGTCCATGTTGATAGCAACGTTGAAGCCTGTCTCTTGAGGTTGAAGTCTCAATCCTCAGCCTTGCGAGGTTCACCTCGGAGGTGCCACGGGACCACTAGAATTACACGGATGTGTGTAATTTACACTAGAATTCTTGGCATGAAAAGTAGTATGCCTTCCTTCCTCAGCGAAGAATCATGATGTGGATCGACAGTCAAGTTACGGGATTTTCAGCGTTTTCATAGTAAATAGAGGCACATACGCCGTGGCAGCCCGCTATGCCAACGAGCCTGTCTTTCTCCAACCTGACACCAGACCCGGCCCTCATGGCCGCGGCATCAAAGTCTTCGATGCTCAAGGGCCCCATCTTGATACTCCAGGCAACTCAGATTCAAGCACCCAAGATTTTGCCTTCAACAATACACCCATGATCGAATTGACTGACATTGATACCTGTCTCGAGATCATCCAATTTCGGGAGAATTACTTTGACTCCGCGACGAAATTCTCGCTTGCAACAATTGCAAGCAAGAGCTGACGCTATGAAGCAAACTGCCCATTCCATGCTTCCGAATACCAATATCAATAGTATGCCAATATTCGTGCACTCTGCCTTTCGTTTTGGGGACTATTATCGCCATATAGCATTGTTTCCTGCAACGAAAATCATGAAGAAGGCCACCCAAGCCGTCTCTTCTGATGCACCACCAGCAATCTTGTCAGATTGGCTGAAAGACTTCTGCGCCAACAATCATATCGAGTATGAGTGAATCATTCGACCGAGGACGCAGCTATCGTACGGGACGAGAAGACAGCGCCATGGCAAACGATTGGCATCATTGCATTCTAAAACAGCAGGGCCTGCAGGGAATTGATAGGAGAAGGTTTTGAGAGGAAAAAATGCGACTGGATCGCCGGGAGGCATTAATCGCCTGAGAAAATGGGTGAGTGAGCGAAGTCAGAAGCAGGGAGGCGAGCCGAACGCGGTCGACAATAATTAGAATATGCAGACCGCGGACGATATGCCTTGGAACTCATGATGTTGACAGTACATAGGAACTTTTTACGGAATACACATTTCACCAACCCCTGAAAAGTTTGACGCCTTGGCGCAATCTTCTAGAACGTCGGAAGCGTTCCGCCCCCAGATTCTGGGCGCGGGCCTTGGGCGTCATTGGCGCTTGCGACTTCGGACCCACACAATACCTTAAAGAACGCCCAGTCACTCTTGTGACTCAAGCGCTCGAAAGCTCTTTCAGACCACAGTCACTTCCTGATTCCCACAGCTAGCCTACAATTTAAGAATCAAGATGTGTCCCTCCTGCTCCGGCTGCAACGGAAACCTCCCCAATGGCAACAATGGCAACACTCAACCACTTGCGAATGGCTCGTCCAACCCTCCAACCCATGGCATGACCAATGGAAATGAACCTACACGAGAAGCCCCTCGCCGCAACTCCCGACGCCAACCATTCGACCCAGTCCAAGACTACCTGTCCAATGTCTCGAATTTCAAGGTGCGACTGAGCAAGAATCCTCCGAGGAGTCAATGGGACTGACTCACAGTGGACTAGATCATCGAATCTACCCTAAGAGAAGGAGAACAGTTCGCGAATGGTATAACCCAAAGTTGAAGATGTTGTGGGTATTACATTTGACTCTGATCAGCCTTCTTCGATACGGAGACGAAGATTCGAATAGCCAAGGTGGGAGGCAATAGGAGAGGAATACATTTGGGAAGGCTATTTCTGACAAGAGAATATACTAGGCATTGGATGCTTTCGGTGTTGAATACAGTAAGACAAGTGGCCCCTCGTCTACCAGTGAAGGCTCTGACGAGCTTTGCCAGTCGAATTGACAAGCCCCGCAAGCTCCAAGCAATCGTACGAAGACTGCAAGACAATATGCAATTTGGGACTGAAGGTACATTCGAGTGTGCTTACATAGAGAGATTGGAAGATGACCGTGAGACCATGACAGGCCAAAATCCTAACGCATGTACGGTGCAACATGGACGACGCAAGATGTGCAGTAGAAACAGGAGGTACATCAGGATGTTTCACCGGCGACGGCTTGCACTGACGAATGCAGTCGACGGTCTCGATGTTGTCATTGGCACAAGTCCACAGCTGATGGAGGTGAGCATGCTCGGCGCTCCTAGGTCGCTCCAGTCGTGGAGGAAGATACACAGTGAGGCTAATCATGGCTTCCCCCGATAGCACTCCCACGGCAAATCCATGGAATACATCAAGGTAATTTTGCCGCCCAAAAGGACTCATATGTGGCTAATTGGTCCAGAATACCGCGCTCGAGGTCATATCGTACATACAGAGCCAAAACCTTGAAGTGAGGTTCAGCTCAGAGGACTCGTTCCGATCAGACTTGGTCGATCTGTGAGTATACGGTTACATTGGACTTGCTCACCTATTGCTGACGTAACCAAGGCTTAATATATGTACTGTTCACTGCCTGTCGCCCCACATTCCTACTGGCTAACCCGCGTCTGACAGACACGGCTGTTGATAAAATTGGCGTCAATCGGTGAGAACTGGCGGGTTTAACATTCGAGTTACGCTGACAATTAGGGAAAGGGTGGGGATTGCAGATACAATCGGTCAATAAAATCATTCTCAGTCATGTATGCCTTGCTGATCAATGCAAAGGCATAGCAAACCCTCGGCAAGTCTACAACCTTGTGAGCACACTCAGAGGGTGTGTGAGAGCAGGTGAGCAGGCTTCTCAAGCAATTGAGGTTTAAGCCGGAAGCTGACTCCAATTGATCAAGATATCGAGACACACATGCACAACGACACTGGCTGCGCAATCGTAAGCCACTAGTGTCCAATTCCAATGGCCTAGAAACTCCGCTAATCATAATGCTACCATAGGCGAATAGCTTATGTGCGCTGGAGGCCGGCGCAACACGTGAGTATAAAAATTTTCGTTGCCTCATCCTTGAACTTCTCGAGGCATTTGTCTCGCGACGATGCTCAAGGATGCAAGTTGGAACGGAGACTTGAACCTGCTATTTGCTCCAACAATCATGGCTGAATCCTATAATTACAGATGTTGACACATCTGTGCTCGGTATCGGCGAAAGAAATGGCATCACTCCTCTTGGTGGATTCGTCGCTCGAATGTTGACACTAGATCGCGAATACGTCAAGGGGAAGTACAACTTAGAGAAGTTGAAGCCGCTTGAGGACCTCGTAGCACACGCTGTCGAAATGTGAGCACTGCTTTCACGCTTGGTATTCCTTTATATTGCTTGAAGTCTAAACATCACGAAGCCGTACCTTCGTTACATCCTGGGCTCTGACGATGAATACAGACATATTCCTTTCAACAACTACGTGACTGGGTTCTGTGCATTTACTCACAAGGCAAGTGACTTCCTGCATTAAAGTTCCCTCGCGATTATGAGACGCCATCAAATGCTGACGAAGATACACACTTAGGCGGGCATCCACGCCAAAGCCATCCTAGCAAATCCGACTACTTATGAAGTGAGTCAAGGCTTCCCGCCGAATCCTTCTACGCAGTAGCGATTTATGGGGCGGTGCTGACCCTTGACGTTATAGGTGATCAACCCAGCCGATTTCGGAATGACCCGATATGTGCATTTCACGTCGCGTCTCACAGGATGGAATGCGATCAAATCTCGCGTTGAGCAGTTGGGGTTAGAGATGACAGATGCCCAGATCAAGGTGGATTCCTCCGTGTGACATACTAATCATGTCAAGCTGACAATCTTCAAGCAATGCACCAGCAAGATCAAAGAAATGGCAGACTTGAGATCTCTAGCAATCGAAGACACAGACGCAATCATTACAGCATTCTACGAGAACCTTAACGCAGAAGAGGGCAAGGAGAAGCCACTCTTGGACGACCTGACAAGCGCAGAGCAGGAGGAGCTGGCGCAAAAGGAGGCAGAGACACACGCAGAGCCGGAAGCGAAGAAATTGGACGAATTGGTCCATGCGCAGACGAACATTATTGCGGAAAAGAGCATGAATGGGATCAATGGGCACGATCTCGTGGATGGGTTGAATGGTGAACGAGTAGCTGCAACATGATGCTGTTGGCTTGGGGGAAACATGAAAAGTGCTTGTTATGTTTTATGATTGGCGTGTATCTATGGCTCTATGAATGTGTATCTAGCTTTCTTGCACAACAACTTGACCTTCAATATGAGTCTCTATATCTGAACACCAGCGTGGCGTCGGAGCGGCGATACTTTGTCCCGAAATTGTTCTGCCATTGTGGAATCGCGACCAAATTTGGACACAATATGTCAGGAAACACTGCTGATGTCGCCCTTGATTGAGCTTATTTCCCGCAGGATTTGGTGACGAGCTCACCCCTGCATACAACGTGGCTGCACAGTTGAATGAGTTGAACCCAACAAGAGACTCATGGTCTCTCGACAATGGGAAGGCCGCTCTGGTAATATCTCGCAAGGAATATCAAATTGGTAACATCCTCGGTATCCCTTGCGTGCTCTACAAGTTGTACCCATCATCAATGGATACAACAGGCGAGATATCTTCTCCATTCTTAGCCATCACCCAGATCCTACCAGCGATTCATCAGCATCTTCAAGGACGTATCAAGTCTCATCTATCGAAGGAGGTTGTCGTCCGCAACCAATGTAGGAACCCTGGGATACCACTGCAGCTGAAATCACCCCTGGAGAATGATGTCAAGCTAAGATGCTCTATGGGAAGATAGTCCTGTCGATCTTTACCCCAGCTCCGGCGAGTTGTTGGAACGGCCAAGCTTTACCTAATGAACCAAGGATTATATCCTTGCGCACGAATCGTAGCCGGATCTGGAGCTTTAAAGCCTTGCTAGACATACTTCATTCGAAAATAGACTGCAGTTTCCGGTATAAACACCATACACAGTTTGCACTGTCTGATATGCAGAACTCACTACTACGTCGAATCCGTATGGACACCAGGAACCAACTCCGCCACGTGCGTATGCGACCTAATGATCTGCATTAATCCTCCGACGCTCAGATCTGGGTCAGGGCAGACTCGAGCAAATCAGAGCCATGCCCGCCTCGGATGACTGCAGATCTACAAGTCATCATATCTAGGGAAGTGGGAATGCTTTACCTTTCTTCCCTCTCCCACTTATACACCGCCAACGTCCTCGCGACCAAAGCGCAAGGCCTGGGGTTTATTTGATGCTGGAGGCTTCTCAGTCACTGTCGAAATGTCACACGTATAGCTTGCTTACAACTGAAGCGACCACTCTTGACAAAACATTGTGTATCCTAAGGGGTCCCTGATGAGCTCGCCAAGTCAATCAACGCACCAGGAGCAGCAACGATGACCAAGTCTGCCCTCCTAGGCCAAAAGGCAGCGTCGAAGTTCGATGGCCTCGTCATCGAAGGCTTTTGGCGCTTTGTCCACGAGAAAGACTTCAAGATGGGACCATCACTCGTTCCACCACATCCTCCAATCATTCCGGTCATGCGGCCGCCCGATGCGAAGATCGAGGCTCAGCAATGGAAGACGTATGCGTCTATGGGGGCATTGATAGCTTTGACGGTCTTGATAACGGGCACAAGACTCGTGCTTCGCTTGACGAAGAAGGAGCTGAGATGGGGCTTGGACGACTGGGCTGTTATTGTCGGGGCCTTGTTTGTGGTATCTTATGGGGCTACCTGTATATCGGCAGCGACATTAGGCGGTGGTGGAAAACATATGTGGGATGTCACTCACGAGGAGTATGATTATTGGACTTCTGTAAGTGCGGAAACAATATTTTTCTCTGCCTTCTAGATCTTGTTTACGTCCATAGCGACCATATAATCTAGAACACCCTGCCCCGGCAATAGATCTGGGCTAAAGCTGAGAATGTACAGACTCACGGCGTCGCTCCTACCGTCTTCTTCGTCGGCCTTGGCTTCGTCAAAATCAGCATCTGCCTCTTCAACCGCCGCCTCACGGGCCTCACGTCCCGCAAGTGGTCCATTTACCACTACACCCTCCTAGTCCTCCTCTCTCTCTATATTCTTTCCGTCATCCTCGGCATGACGCTGATGTGCATGCCGCTCTGGACATCCTACCGCCTCAGCGACATCGGCGCCCGGAACTACACGACCAGCTGTGTCAACGCCACCCTCATGACCGTCGTCTTCAGTTGGATACACACCTCATTCGACATCCTGTTGCTGCCGGTCCCGCTCATCGTCATGTGGCGGCTGCGCCTCACCAAGTGGCAGAGAGTGCGGATATTCTTCCTTTTCAGCATCGGGAGCATGAGTTTCCTGGGCGCGATTATGAGGGCCACGCATACGGAATCTAACAGGAAAGATGCGACTTGTAGGTTTCCCTCTCCTTCCCCTCCCACACTAATCTATCTACATTCCTCTTTCTTTCCGATATGACTCCTGAATGAACCCAAGACACTGACGCACCCTCTAGTCGTCTTCGCCTACACAAACCGCTGGTCCATCGTCGACGCCATCTTCGGCGTCGCAGTCGCCTCCCTCCCAACCTTCAACGCCCTCCTCCCCGCGTCCTGGCGCAGAGGCTCCTCGAACGACCCCCACCCCCACCAGCGCAACGCTGTCCTCTTTGGCGCTAATAAGGCGAGTTCTGCGGGCAGTGATTCGCCTTCAAGGAGTGGTGGGGGAAGCGAAGGCTCGCAGAGGGGAGGCGATGAGGAGCTAGGTGAGGTCAACGTGGGAGGTAGATCGGAATGGGGGAGGTGGGAGGATAGGAAGTGGGCTACGGCAGGTAGTGGCGAGGAAAGGGGGAGAGGAGAGGGGGCAGTGGAGAGGAAAAGTAGTGCTGTCACCGCGGTGTTGCCGCCATCGGTGGGGGAGCAGCCGAATTGGGATAAGTATGCGCCGGGGTTTGGGGTTGCGAGATGATTATAGCTGTGGGATGTTGAAGAAACCAGTCTGGCTGGATTATTTCGCATTGGAGAGCGGAGGGGTGTTCATAGCAACAAATATACCTTTGTACTTATTAGTGAATGATACCCAACAACAATCTCCCACCAGCAGCTCTGGCCGCTGAGAATCTTACACCGGAAGTGAGATTCACGATTTTTCAGAGTGCATTGCGTTCTCATCTATATACATAAAACACCTCACCATCATCAACATAATTTATACCGGACTTATAAAGTCGCTGGAAGCGACGGACCGACTGGATTCTCTCACTTCTGCCCTTCCAAATCACGTACTCCAACTAAAACCATTCCCATTACCCCACCAATCCAACTCTATCCCCATCCCCCCTGGTGGGAAGATATTCCAGAACTCTCATAACTCTGAATCGAGAATACGTAGCTGAATTTCATTTCAAGGGGGGTTAGGAAGCGGGGAAAAGTGGTGATTTCGATGACGGCTTTGGTTGCGGGAGGGGTTATGGCTTAGGAGGGGGAGAGGCGAAGGGTTGGAATGAGTGGTAGGGGTTGGTTGAAAGGTGGGATGGGTTGAGTCTGGTTGTGAAGAAGTTAAGAGGGGATACGGGAGGGGGAGGGGATGGGGGGAAGGGGGGGGGGGTTAGAGAAGGATGAGGGTGGGTGCGCTACTATTTTGAGAGTAAGCCCCGGGGGAGGATGGAAGAGAGAGGTAAGGCTGAAGTCAGAGGGATATGTTTTGTATCAAGTGGAGATTGCAGAGCTTGAATTGGCTGGTTGGGAGAGTAATTGCATCCTTGTATAGACGGACATACTCCTGGGAGGTGAGTGTGGAGGCTCGAAGTAGGTAATTGTCCTGAATGGGGAAACCATCGTCGTCTGGGAGGTCCGCAGTGAGGAGACATTCTCAAAGCAAAGTGACCAACGTGTCAGGCGTGTAAATCAAGCATATCCAGAGAGACATCTGGGACACTTTCGTTTTGAATATGTGGATATAGGAGACGGTCAAGTACGCGAAGGCCCGGATCCGGGGCTGCTTCCGCGAAACGTATTTTGATACTCGTGACTGTTTCGGCATTGCGCTTTTGGTGTTTGGAGGGTGAAAGTGGACTTTCTGGCCCCATTTGGCTGTCTCATGATGGTATCTTCCTCTTTGATTGACAGGGATCTTGTTATGGAACTTCGATGAGAAAGCTTGGTTATTCACTGAAGAGGGCAAGCCTTTGGAGTTTGAGACCTGCTTGGAGTCGTTGCGGGAAGGATTGGGAAGAAAGACGGATTTTCTGACATGAGGGTCAAGGACGCCAAGTAGATCGCATTGACCTTCGAAAGATCTGGAAGTACTGAATTCCTGAAGTGGTAGTCTGCTTCTCCGTCGTTGAGGCTGATCATCGCTGGGTAATCGTTACGGCTTGTCTTAACAGCTTTTGCAATTGCCAGGTCAATCCAGAGCCATTCAACGACTTCATTGCCTGATAGAAGGTCTGGTGGCTCATTAGCGCTTGAAGCCATGTCATGGGGTTCATTTGTCCGAGAGCTGAAGTCATTCGGGTACCGAAATATCGTGATGCACGAAATCAAAGTGCCGATCCCACATGTGCATAGTTAGTCCCACTCGAAGACTGTTACGCTCATTTGACGATGATTCATAATAATTACGTTTTCAGAGTAGTATGATACTTGGGTGTGAGCACTGGCCCTTTCGAGATAAGAGTTACACGAATGCATGACATACGAGAATAGACAGATGTTGGAACACTCCAGAAGTTAGCAAGCGATGTTATGCGTCTTTGACGATGATTTACACACATTCTTCATCTAGTAAGACCTCGTGCTTTCTGTCTCGGAGTATTGAGGTGGCCCAGTCATTGAACGTTGCAAGTCATGCAAGACATTTTGGTGTCCGAGAATAGACAGCTGTTGGAACAGGCCAAAAATTACCAAAGCGCTGTTATGCCCTTTCAACGATGATTTAGATCAATCCACGGAATAGGAAACCCGAATGTGATGACATTTGAAGCACAAATGCAGACCCTGCATGGCTATGATACGTAACACTAGATCGTATTATGGCTATTTTGGTGACCATATATGCGCGACTATTTTGGGAAGGCGAACCCAGATTAGTACACAGTAAACATGACACGAACGGTACTTCGCAGCTAGGACTGTACTTTTCTTTGCGAAGGACTAGCCTTCGAAGTAATGCAAGTCATAATTGCTTGAGGTGACATGACCTCTTCGAGTCTTTGTAGCAAAATCTGATCCCTCCCACCTGCAATCGCAGTTTCAAGGGGTTGGAAGACCTCGAGTCTCAAGAGCGCTCTCTGTTCTCCTTAAAAGAGCCATTCAACGAGAAAAGGCATTTAGCAAAGTATCTAGATCGTGAATGTCTTTGAGTCTTGCTGAAGAGTGTTGCAGAAATGGTCACAATTGATACGGCCAGCGCACAATGGCCGAGCCGCACGCAGAATCCCGAATCTTCTTATATTACCACGACGACGACAAGCGCGCACGCTCTCCCACCCTCGTGCGTTACGAATTGAATCAGTATGGAAGAGAACAAGATATATAACGGAGAAGATAAAAGGGTACCGAACGATCAATAAAACATGGCCTGTCAGCGAAAATCGACTCGCCATGCATGACCCATGGGATAGCATTTCCCACATTCTTTGTGGAGGACATGAGCCTGTGATAGTTCTCGTAAATTTGCGGAAAGACTTTCTCAGCCTTTCATGAGGTTACGCAATCTTAGTAGACTGCGGAGAGGCCCATCAACAACCACACAGAAGACTTGGATTGGTACATTTTCGGTGATAGTTGAGGTTTGATGACCAATAAAAGCAGTTCCTCACATGGTATCACGATATTCATGTCAGAACCATCCCAGGTCGTCGCCTTGTCCGATACACAGTGTAAGGCACGTCTTTCAGGATAGTCACAGAAAAGATAAATCACTCCGATGAGATAGCAAATGAAAGATTGAGTCTTTTTCTGTTCGTCAGCATCTAAATTCAATTGAATTTTGCTTTGGCTCCGCCTTTTTTTTGAAGTATTGCGCTGCTTCGGATCCAATAACGGGTTGAACGAGCACCTGCTACGCCAGAAGCTCATATAGGTCGACAGTTTCCTTCTCCATTCAAATACAGGCGTCTCAAGCTACGTCTGACCGACAGCACGAACGATTCGTGAGATATATGTTGTTGTCGAGGCTACGCTCCCTCTCCGAGGTCATTCGCTCGTCCGAGAATAACGATAGGGTATCTAGTTTTGAGAAATGATCTTTATTTCCTTCATACATGAATCAACGACTAAGTAATCTCTCTCGTTGTGACGTCCACGGGTAATAAACGATCGCATCATTAGCATTTCTCTCTCTCTCAGCCAAGCCAAGGTCAAGTACCTAAAGCCGGTAAATCCGGCGCTAGTGAGGGGTCAAGACGAATTGCGAAATGACAGGGGTCAGACCTTCACACATCTACAGCGAACGCCCTCCCCCTCCAGCCCCTCGTATACTACGATTGTACCGTGACTCTTTCGATCAATCGCCCTCAACTATAGCCTTTAGCATGTAAAGTCTTCCCTCATCACAGGCGTAGAAATCTCCCAGAGGCCCGGTCGCCAACAAGCTCCCGTTTACATATTGTCTCTAGAGAACGAAGGATAGGTCAGGCCAGACTGGCCAAGACGCGCACCTATATACAGACTGCAGGACATCCGACACTATGCAGCGGCCTTTAGCTGCCCTTGTTCTGCTCATATCTCTCCTCCTCTCCTCCGCAACCGCCGCCGCTGTGGTCGATAAGCAACAACAGCTAAATACAGTCGAGGACGCCCTATCAGAGCCGAAGGCTGAAACGCCAAAAGCAGATGGAGCACAGGCCGGTGCAACGAACAGCGAGGCTGTCTCAAGCACGAGTACAAAATTCAATGGCATGGAGGTGCCGCCAATGAAAGAGCTGACAGGGGAAAATGCGGAATCGGACATAAAGAACGGTTACTGGTTTATAAAGCACTATTCGCCATATTGTGGTCATTGCAAAGATATAGCGCCGACCTGGCAGACCCTCTATGAGTTCTACTACACGTCCAAACCCGTGCCTGGGAAGAAAAGCGATAAAGATTCAATGAACTCCTTCACACGATACTACGACTTTCATTTCGCTTCTCTCGACTGTATAGCTTATGGCGATGCTTGTGCAGCTCACGAGGTCAACGCATTTCCTACTTTCTCCGTGTACAAAGACGGCGCGCTTCTGAAGAAGTTTGACGAACATAAGGATATGGAGAAGCTGAGCAGCTTTGTGGAAGGGATGTTGGAGACGATACGGCCTGGTTCGCGACCGAAGGATGGAGTCAAGGTGCCTGAGCCAGGTGCAACATCCAGCGAAGGGCAAAAGCTGGAGACAGCCGCAAAGCCAGAGAAGTCTTCGGAAAAGCCTACAGACAAAGCTACAGAAAAAGACTCGGAAAAAGCAAAGACCAAAGAGGTAGATACCGCAGAGGCGTCAGCACCTACCGAGACACAGAAAGCACCATCCAAGGTCAAAGGCCTACCTAAGAAGAAAAAGCCATCTGGTCCCGCAAACCCAGTCGGTACGTCAATAGCGCTGACGCAGGAGAGCTTTCAGAAGCTAGTCACAAACACCCAGGACCCTTGGTTCGTCAAGTTCTACGCGCCCTGGTGCCACCATTGCCAAGCACTGGCGCCTTCATGGCTGCAGATGGCGAAGGAACTACAGGGTAAACTGAACGTGGGAGAGGTGAATTGCGACCAAGAAGTCAGATTATGTAAGGATGTACGTGTAAAGGCTTACCCTACCATCCACTTTTTCCGCGGCGGTGAAAGGGTTGAGTATGATGGCCTACGAGGGTTAGGCGACCTGGTCAGCTACGCTAAAAAAGCGCTAGACGTCGGAGCTGGAGTGCAGAACGTGGATGAAGCGGCATTTAAGAAAATGGAAGAAACCGAAGAGGTCATCTTCGTCTATTTCTATGATCATGCCACGTCCACCGAAGACTTTGAAGCCCTGGAAAGGCTTACACTCAGCCTCGTTGGCCATGCGAAATTAGTGAAGACGAATGACTCGGCCTTGTCGGAGCGCTTTAAGATCTCTACTTGGCCTAGGTTACTTGTATCACGAGATGGGAGGGCGAAAGTGTACGAGGCACTTGCGCCAAGGGATATGCGGGACTTCCGACAAGTGCTTAGTTGGATGCAAAAGGTTTGGCTACCGATAGTGCCGGAGCTGACGGCAAGCAACTCACGCGATATTATGCGGGGCAAGTATGTAGTCCTTGGAATACTATCCCGAGAAAAGGCTGGCGACTTCGAGCTCAACAAGAGAGAAATGAAGAATGCTGCTTTAGAGTGGATGGAGAAACAAACGCATGCGTTTGAGCTGGAGCGACAGGAGCTGAGGGATGCCAAGCAGCTCAGATTGGAGGAGGCTGAAGACCGAAATGATGAGCATGCGAAGCGAAAGGCGAAAGGCATTCATATAGACTTGAGGGAGGACGATCAAAAGCAAGTAGGATTTGCTTGGGTGGACGGTATCTTCTGGGAGCGATGGATCCGGACGACGTATGGGTTTAATGTGAAGGATGGTGAGAGAGTGATTATTAACGATGAAGATGTAGGTTTTCTTTGTCTTTTGTGTGATGCCTCATTGACAAGCTTTTTGCAGAATCGACGATTTTGGGATACGACCATTTCAGGTGCTCCCATCACACCTTCACGCACATCCATTCTTGAGACCTTACCCAAGGTCATATCCTCGCCGCCCAAAATATCAAGCAAGTCAAGTACGGGCATGGTGCAAAGACTCTTCTTCGGCCTCTCCGGGCTGCTGACGGGACATCCGTACTTGAGTGCGATCTTGCTTACTGCAGCAGCCGTAGTCGGGTGGACGCAATTTGGAAACAACAAGCGAGGACGGAGGAGAGGGATAAGTCTTGGAGGAGGTTTGCCAGGTGGGCTGGGCAGCGGATTCCTAGGCGTTGATGAGAAAGAGAGGACGTTGGCTAATGGGAAAGGTGATTGAGCGAGCTTATGCTACTATGGCGCACGGCGTTGGTGATTGAGCGAAGCGAAGCCCAGATCTGGGGGCCTCTCTCATGCCTTTTGGTACTTTGTACAGTGTCAATTGATTACATCCGGCCTCCCCGTCCAACAAGGCCATCGAATCAATTGAGCCTGCAGGTCGGAGACTGTGGCAGCAGTTTTGTCATACTCCTCTCCAGGGTCACGTCAGCGTTGATGACAAGGGTCTGAGAACTAATCGATAGGGCACCCTCTTGTCTGAACCAGCTCATGCTGCGCCGTTATGCAGCCGAAACAAAGCAACATAACATTATTGTGCATTTGATATATTCTAGGAAACGCAGGCTTGTCGGCCCAACAGCCTCCGCGGTAGGGCCCTCTATCGTATGCTGCTCGAGATCGAGTCGCATCGATCTTGTGCTGCAGTTCCTGCAGCCCATCCTTGGAAGTGTGCCTATCTGCCACTTCCGATCTTGCGTTCCTCAGATACGCCTCTTAGACACATCTCATTCACCCCTCAGTGGTTGGTACGCCAGCGCCAGCTCGAACCCACAGCCACGTACATTTCAGTATATGTCGAATGAATGGTCCAGCTCGTGCATAGAGAAGATACGATCCAGCAGAGCAGACAACGGCCATCCAGTCGTTCTCCCAATTGTACTGCTGTCGTGTAAATGCAGCTCTCTCGCAAGGATAAGGCAGTAGAAATGAAAAAGGATCATGGCAAAGTAAGTTTGAGATACACGAAGGGCTAGCGCCTGGGGAAGGTGATCCGAGTCGAAATGCCTCGCCAGACCAACAAATTAACAAGCCCCAGCGATTGCGTAATGATCGAGCCGATGCGCTCCGAAGAGACGCTGGCGGGCGAAAATCCCTGAGGCACATCACCCAAAAATTATATGGCATGGTCAGCGTCAGCCAAGGTGACCACGAGGCCGCCTGATTTTTATACAGAATTAGATAGGCAGATACCCACGATCTAGTTGGGCGTATCTCTGAATCTTCACAAGGCTGCATAGATCCGTTCAGCCATCGACGTAGGGATACTGTATACTATCCGCATCGCCATAAAGCTCTGGGGACTTTTAGTCCCTGGAACATGCAAGTCATAAGCTGTATGCCCCTGGACTAGGCCCCTTCCAGGGCCTAGTTCGACCCCCTTCGCTGTTTTCCCAAGCCCGAATTAGCTGCCGTGGCGGCGCCCACTGCTTAGGCCCCTCAAGTCCTTCTCCCACCTATTCCGCTCAGGGTCAAGTTTCCTTAACCCCCGCTCCAACTTTTCTCTTGCATCGTTCTTCACCTTAGCATCCATTTGGACCCACTTTGCTCCATCCTGTCAGGTACGTTGCTATATTCAAACCCTCTCCATCGTCACATTAGCTTTGGATCACTCGCATTCCCGCCTAGGCGTGCACCTATCGTGTGGTTCGTGATGCAGATCTGCAGGCCTCAGCACAAACTCAACACGTCAAACAACCGCTGACCGAAACAGGTGCTTGTGCGTAGCAAGACAGCTACAACGGCACAAATTGCGACAATAGCATGCTGATAAGTATATCCTCACCAGGATCACGCTCGCTATCGTCCACCTCCAATCTCAACATTCCCGAGTCAAGAAAAATTTCCCACCCACGGCCAACAAGAATAGTCGACGAGTCACCCCTCACGCTGCAGCACATGGAACCATCAGCTTAAAAGTGGAAAGAGGAGGAGCTGTTTGTGATCCATAAAAACTATATACGGGCTATTCCACACTCACAGTCTCCATGATAATGAGCAACCGCATCAACAGCAATGGTCAGGCCTACCCACATCATCAATTGCCAAACCCACATCGGTCATCTTTCTCCAACGATAGTGGCCACTTACCCACCTCATACCCCGCTTCACAGGCGCCGCTACCACCACTTTCGGCCGCCACGAACATGCCCATGAATGACCCTCTATCATCACATCGGTTACAGCAGTTGCAGCCTTCAACCTTCTCGAGTCAACATTTCCCAGTCTACGGGCCAACAGCAACGGCATTTCTCCCAAATGAATTGCCAGGAACCTCACAATCTCCGGCATATGCACCAGCTGCACATTCTCACTACTTCCCGATAACAGAAGGCCCCAGACCCTCATACACCACAACCGCGCCACCCAGTCTTCAACTCCCCAAAATACAGCCAGCACCGTTGACCAATGGCGATCTGAAACATTTTTCCAAGGATGCCTTGCAATCTCTCGCAGCTGCGCCGCCTCCGCCCGAAGAAGAAACAGCACCAAAACACGTTGTTGGGTCGCAAGGAAGAAGAGGGATTTTGCCGAGTGCAACGGGCCGTCCACAAGCTACAACAAACCAGAACCTGAGCAATGGGAAAAATTCCCCTGCATTGGCGAAAGACTCAGAAGGCAAATTTCCTTGCCCGCACTGCAACAAGCCGTATCTGCACGCGAAACATCTCAAGCGACACATGCTTAGGCGTGAGTTTCTATTTAACTTATTTAATTTCCGATTTATCTCATGCTAATACGTAAAATCTAGATACCGGCGTGCGGCCGTACGAATGTGCCCTTTGCCACGACACTTTTAGCAGAAGCGACATTTTGAAGCGCCACTTCCAGAAGTGCTCTGTGCGGCGTGGCAACCCAAGCGGAGAAAATCACTTAGCTTATTCTCGCGCGAATAAGAAAGCCAAACAGCAGGAACATGAACAACAGGAACAGCAACAAGCAAACATGGCGGTTAGCCCTTATGCAATGACTACCGAACAGATGCCAATGCCAGCATATTCGACTAGTCTGAATAGCCCGATCGGGCTTGCTGCCATGGATCTGGGCCCGGGCTTTGACAATCGCCCAGAACCCTTGGCAAATCAAGTCACGCGATCAAATGAATTGAGGAAAGCGAACGTCATTGGATCTGTATCAAATCGTGGGAGTACATCGTCGATCAACACCTTTGAGAATGCGGCATTCTCGACTGGCCACGTAACGCCTGATTCGGTTTCCACCAGTGGTGCTGCGACACCGTATACGTATCAACATGAAAGATCGAGCTTGAGCTCACCTGCCGATGCCGGCTTTGACCATCTAAATTTAGGCAGACTGTCAGGCTCAGGATATCCGAACGGACAATTACCTAGCATTGTTGGACAATCAGGTGGGCGAGGGAATTCTTTCGACTGGTCCCAATTCCCGGCTCCATATTCTCATGACGATTTCCAGCCATATCAGTCGGGCTCCAACACACCACATCATAACCACTTCAAGCAAGAGACCGACTTCGCCGGCTTTGAGTGGCCAACAAACTCAAAATAATAGATTTCTTTTCGTACTCGACGCTTTTCTCAACATCAGGCTCTTTGACGGCTGAACCTATGCATTTCGGTGGTGCACTTGCCTTTTCATAACGACGCAAATGACAATGACTCTTGGGGTTAGATAGACAGTGGTGCGTTCTAGATCGGGAGACACAGCAAGACATAGACGACTCAAAGCTCCACAGAGTGACATTGATTCGGAGGCAGATACTCTTTTCTCGGTTGATGAAGGCGCAAGGTTCACACCTGTCCCTTCATTGTTGCTATATACAAGGAAAAAAGAAGCGCGTTTTTGTGGGATAGATGGGGGGTTGAGCGGGCAGGGTGTTAGAAGGGTAGATAGAGTGAACAAGTAGGCGAGAATTTCGAAATCGAAAGGTATACAACATCACACACACACCATGCTCGAAGAACAATGCCGTTTTCATTGTAGCCCATTCCACGATGCAGCGGATCTTCACCGATAGGAACAGGTATAGCGCCATCTCATCGTCCCGTCTCCCCCGTTGCCCATTCCATATCCGCCTGCTCCACCAACAACTTCTGGCCCCACACCACCATCATGATACAACCCCAGTCCCTCCCTCTCCACGCCAATTCTCTATAAGCTTACAATGACTACACGCTCCTTCTCCAGTCCCCTCCACCGCGGGGTCAGCAATGCGACCACGCGCCAATCACTCTGGCAGCGATGTCCTCCTCACTTCCTCCCCGACCCTGTCAAATCCGCACGACGCTCCCTCCCTCTCTCCATCCGTCGCATCTCCACCTCCTCTCAGACCGCCCCAAAAGTTAGCTCCTGGTCTAGCTCCCATACCCCTCGCACGACCCCTGTCCGCTCCTCCCTTCTGTCGAACTTAAGAATCACACTGCTCACTGCGTCGGTTGCGCTGACGCTCACGTTGGGCTGGTACTATGTCACGGATACACGGTCGGGGGTGCATAGGCTTGCGCCGAGGGTTTTGAAGGCGGTGTGCCCAGACGCGGAGACGAGCCATGAGGTCGGAAATGCGGTATTGAAGGTGTTGTGGAGTTTGGGGGTGTATCCAAGGGAACGAGGGAGAAAGGGCGGTGGGGAGGGAGGAGAGGGGTTGGGGCTGGGTGTTGTGGTATGTACAGCATTCAGATATCCCATACATGGACCACTTCCTATCTGCTTTTCGACAAGGCGCTTCGCGTGCCTGGGAACCCTCTACGGCGGCGAGATGTTGCCCATTACACAGTCAACGTCGCTAAATCAACGTTGTATAGGTCTGGGACAGCCTCCTCGATAACCCCATAGCCATCTCCGCTGGTCTCGACAAGACAGCTTCCATACCAGACGCGCTTTTCGCCCTTGGTGCCTCGATTGTTGAAGTTGGAGGTGTGACGCCACTCCCTCAGCCTGGGAATGAGAAGCCCAGAGTCTGGAGAGTCACAGGAGAAGAAGGAATGGTGAATAGATATGGCTTGAACAGTTTAGGGGCGGATGACATGGCACGGCAGCTTCGACGGAGAAAGATCGACCTTGGAATCACCGACAACCTTACCGGCGGAGAAGAAGAGAGCGAACGTGATGCCTCAAGCGTGTCCGTAGAAGTCAAAAATCCCGGCAGCTTACAGGAAGGAAAATTGCTTGCCATCAACATCGCCAAAAATGCCAAAACAGACAACGATGATACGGACGCCGTGATCGAGGACTACGTGACTTGCGTCAACAAACTCGGACCATACGCTGATATCCTCGTTGTCAACGTGTCCAGTCCGAATACCCGAGGCCTCAGAGGCCTGCAAACCTCCAAGCCGCTCACCAGAATCCTCAATGCCGTGACCACTGCCGCATCTTCGATACAGAGCCACAAGCCTAAAGTCATCGTAAAGATCTCCCCCGACGAAGACTCGCCTGAGCAGATCAGGGGCGTGTGCGAAGCTGTTGTTGCTACCAGCGTCGATGGCGTGGTGGTCAGCAATACTACTAAGTCTCGACCACCACCTAGTGCGCTGCCATCGTCTTCCTCGTCAACTATCCTGCCCCAGCCAGGAACAGAAATCCTGCGAAGCGCAACTGACGCGAGAGCTTTGGCGCAAGAAGGCGGATACTCTGGCCCCGCGATGTTTCCGAAAACCTTAGAATTGGTAGAGAAGTATCGGGAGGCTTTGGACGAGGCAACTGTAAATGGTAGAAGGAAGAAAAGTGGCGGTGGGAAACGAAAGGTCATCTTCGCATCTGGAGGCATTGATGATGGAAAGAAAGTCCTACAGGTACTGGAAGCGGGCGCAAGCGTTGCTATGATGTATACGACCCTCACGTACCAGGGGGTCGGGGCTGTAGGGAGGGTGAAGGAAGAGGTGAGGGGGGAGCTGGAGGCGTGGAGGGAGGGGAGGACGGAGGGTTGAGTGAGCTTACCTTTCTAATGGATATGCATGATATGCACTTCTTGCTGCACGTGATGCGAGCCTTTCTACTGTATGAAAAATCGTGAAAGAGTTTTGAAGAGAAAAAGAGGACTGATGTCTAGGCTAAGAGTCGAGCGCTGAAATGAGGTTCGGTGGGGTTCTGACGGAAGAGTAGTCGAGGGGAAAAAGAGCAAAAATATAAGGGAGATGCTCAGACGAGGGCTCGAATCTCGAATCATCAGGAGTAAGAGCCTAGAAAAGGCAGTTACACAGCTGATCACGAGGGTCTGCAAACACCCGAAGGCTGCACTGATGGGTTCCTGATATGCTACCATTGCACCACCTGAGCTTCATGGATTCTTGGGTGCTTATGGGAGTATATCAATGTGGTTTGAAAGATGCAGAAGCCTTAATGAAGCGTTGATCCTCAATTGTTGCTTTCGTGTTCTACATGCTGGCGCGGGTGGTCGCAGCAGAATGGATACTTGATATGAGCCAGGGCGGTGAGGCGAGGAAAAGGGCCTTCGATCCACCAATAATACAGAAATAAAAAAAGATTGAGAAGAAGATCTAGAGCTAGCTAACAACAGATAGAAGGCAGGTAAGCTCTCATCCTCTGCTGAGTTCCACAAAAGAAAAAAGAAAGTTCTGCCCAGACGAGGATTTGAACCTCGAATTTCTAGGGGTCAAAGTTGTAGGTTATACACCAGTGGCACAGGTGATCATAACGATCTGCAACACCCGAAGGCTGCGCTAATGATGTCCTGACGTGTTGCCATTTACACCACCTGGGCTTTGATAGCACGACGAGCGTATTATTGATATATCAACGTGCTTTTGATGGTACAGCTGGTGGGGACAAGATCACAGTGAATGTATAGAAGCTTCACGCCCAGGCGGAGAAGAAGAGAAACAAGAAACAAAGCACAGCAGAGACAGAAGGCCGAGAAGACGGTGAATGGTCCATTGAATTGCACTTTGGGAGGTGAAAAAAAAAATGTTGCTCAGACAAGGACTCGAACCTTGATCTTCGAGAAGCATTTGGCTTGCGGGCGCAGCCTCTTTGCTAGTAGTGATCACAAGGATCTGCAACTCCCGAAGGCTGCCTACTCTTCGCACCTGATGTGTTACCGTTACACCATCTGAGCTTGGTTATCAGAGTCTGAAAATAAATATATAAGTGCTTTTTGGGGCTAGGTTGGTGGTAAGGAGCTACTGCGTGAATCACACCAATGAGATCACAATGCTGCTTGAGAAAATCCCCGCTCGAGATTGGGAAGTGGAAAGCCCTCAGACGCGCACATCTCCTGGGGAAATAAGGAGAAATCCGACCAAAAAAATGAAGTGAGGATGCTCAGACAAGGACTTGAACCCTGATCTTTAGGAAGGAAGAGCCTTGTTCCATGACAGAAATGTGCCACAGTACTCAAGCTAGCAGTGACTATAATAATCTGCAACACCCTGAGGCTGCCTGCTTTTTGTACCTCATGTGCTACCATTGCATCACCTGAACTAAAAATCTGAATCTACAAAAAGCGCCTCCATACAATATATGATCTACACTCCTGGTTTGGACCCCGAGGTTTATGGGAGTTAAAAAAGAATGTCTGTCAATTGCCCAAACAAGGACTCGAACCTTGATCTTCAGGAGCACGGCTTCCACTGGCCGGTCACGACCAGTGGTTCCAAGCCAGCAGTGACCGCAGGGATCTGCAACGCTCGAAAGCTGCCTGCTTATAATCCTGACGTGCTACCATTGCACCATCTGAGCTTCGCTTTCAAAGTTTGAACATCGATTATAATACTTTGTGGGTTGCAATGCTGTTGAGGAGCTACGATGTGATTCACACCAATGAGACAGCAATCCTGTAAACTTGAAATCGGCAAACCGTCTCGAGAGCGAACCCTTTCGGACACGGGCATTGACCGCAAGCCAAAAAGGAAATGAAATTGCTCAGACAAGGATTTGAACCTTGATTGATAGGATCACAGTGTACCAGTGCCACTAGAAACCGTTACTACGCAGCGACCTTGAAGATCTGCAACACCCGAAGGCTGCCCGCGTCGTATATGCCTACCGTGATACCATTAAACCATCTGAGCTTAATGAAAGTTTCTAAATTGTACTCCATTATATATACATGGCAGACTGTTCGCTTCCTTGATTTCTCAGCGGTGGATGTGTACGGGTTGCCAGTGTAGAGCATGAATGGAGTATCGCTCTCAGATGATGCCCTTAACAGTGGAAGTGCAAGAAGCGAGGGGGAATCAGAATGGCTGCAAATTCGAATCGGCAAAAAGAGAAGCATACACGCTCAGACAAGGACTCGAACCCTGATCACTAGGAAGACAGGGTATCGGACGCAGCTCCTGGGCCCGCCTGACCCGCAGTGATCTCAAGGACCTGCAACACCCGAAGGCTGCCTGCAATTCTGACCTAATGTGTTACCATTACACCACCTGAGCTCGAATAAAAAGGTGCTCTTGGAATTTAATGATAAAGCATCTGCGGCAATATACAGGTTGAGCACCATCTCACTGGCGAATGACAAGATTCGTGACTGGTGGGATAGAAAGCGATCGAAAGCCACGAACGAGTGGGGAATGAAAGTGAATGAACCTGATGAGGAAGGAAAGGCCGAAAAATACTTCAGATATTTGAACAATATTGAATAGATCCTGATCTGTTGATCTTGCTACCAAGCGGTTTTCCATGTTGTATCGATTGCAAGCACATATGATTCTACCATTGTTGTGCCGACAAAGGCACCTCTCCGAAGATTTGCCAGTCCTCTTCATAATCAACGAGACTAAAGCACTGAAGGATGCAATTATCATGTGAGACCGTACGAACTCTATTGAACAACTGATCATCCACATGAGTCCGATTTCATAGATTCCGGCGGTCGAGCGCTCCCAATGTATGACGGCTAGCGTCTTCGCAAGCCTCAACATCGATTTCTGAATGCGATTCGAATGGGCGAAGAGATCATGATTGTCCAGAGGTCTCTTTGCCCCGATGCATTAATGAGGTGGGTTATCAGCTTGATGGAACCAGGCGCGGAGCCAACCAAAAGGTGTAAGCCCCGCTGCAGCTGCACGTCTCCGGAACTAGTGGCCTTCACCAATCGGTCGCCTAATTTGGAAAGGGGAGGGGCCGTGTGGCGAACAGAAGAGAAAAACGTCCCGCGAAGAGAGAGAAAAAAAAAAAAAGGCAAGAGTGCTCGAGAGGTAAAGCACCCCAATCCAGTGCTTTAGCCAAAACAGGGGTGAAAAAAAGAAAAATATATGATGCTCAAACAAGGACTCGAACCCTGATCTTTAGGAAACAGGTGAAAAGTCTCATCATACTACTAGTAATATGATGAGGCTTTTCATCGGTTCTGCAGTGATCACGAGGATCTGCAACGCCCTAAGGCTGCCCGACATATGTACCTAATGTGCTACCAGTTGCACCACCTGAGCTTGATGTTCTTCTCTCGTAAGTTGTAATATAAAACACGACCTGCAGGAATCTTGGAAGTGAAGAACGCGAAGGACACCAAAAGGGGCAAAAGGCCCAATATGAAAAGACAGGAAATTTGCTTAGACAAGGGATTGCAGCTTGATCGTCATAAAATTCGACAATCAGTTCCAATAGGACCTGAGGGCAAGTGGTCACAAGGGTCTGCAACGCCCGAAGGCTGCTCTGCCTGCCTGTCTTTCGTCCCTGATGTGTTACCGTTACACCATCTGGGCTGAAAACCCAATGATGTATTCAATTAGATCAACTATTGTCGATGAGCCAGCAATTATGATGACGGGCCGGTCTGATTGGTGGACATAAAACTAGGATATTTGACAGCCAGAGACCAAGATAACCTAAAGCCCAAGCTTTCTATCAGCCTCAAATCCCCCCTCCTCCTTCCGAAAAATGTAAAAACTAATTGCTCAGACAAGGACTTGAACCTTGATCATCAGGACACTTCCCAGGCCCCCAACGACCCGGGGGGCAGTGGTCGCAAGGACCTGCAACACCCTAAGGCTGCCTGCCGTTATGTACCTGATGTGCTACCAGTTGCACCACCTGAGCTTCTTGTCACAGAGATACAGAATCTGAACTTTTATCATTACTCTCCAGGCAACACGACTCGCAAGAGAATGAACAAACACAGTCTACCAGAAGCATCTCGAGCCCCACCATGCACTTAAAAGCAGCCGCCTTGCGAAGATGGAGCAGGTATGATGGGCATAATTCACGAATTAATGATGAAGTATTACAATCCTCACTGCGAAGCAACATTCGTCCAAACAAAGTTCCATACGCACGAAAATGTCTTCCAACTTCTCACACCCGACATTCGATATTTGATCTCCTCCCCCGCCTTTTTGGCCATCATCTGCAATCTTCCTAAATTCGCAAAAATTCATTTAATCCAAATTTCTCTATCAGAGCCGACATCGAATGCCCCCCCTCCTCCCCTCCCCTCCTCCCCTCCCCTCCTCCTTTCCTTCCCCTTCCCCTAACCCAACAAAACCTCAACAACCTGCGCCCCAACAATATCCTCCGCCGCACGAATAGGATATCCCCCGGCGGTAGCCACAAACAACGTATCCTGATCCTTTGCCCCTCCTCCGCGAGCAAAAGCACACCCACACCCCTCAGCAATGTCATTACTATCAGCCCGTCCCGCCACCTCTTCCTGCGCCCCCAACCCCCCACCCCTCCAGTGGTAAGATCTACTCTAACGATACTGTTTCCCCCGGCAGTAGTGACATAAGCGAACTCCCCCGCCGCGTCGAGCGCGAAGTCGTCGAATACGTATACCGCGGTTTGTGCGGCGCTTAGGGTGGGTGGGGGTTGGCAGTGGGCTATGATCTCTACCTCCCCATTTATTGCTGCTGTATCGAGAGAGATTGGGAGGGAAAGGCGGCCGAAGAGACAGGCTGCTTCGTTGGTGAAGTAGAGTGTTGCCTCTCCTGGCGTACTATTTGTTAGAGAAGAAGGGGAAGGGGGAGGGGGAGGGGAGGGGTGATGGATCTGGATCCCATTGATGCCCAAACCTCTGCCGTTCGGTGGGAGGAAATAAGGCGAGGAGAGAATGACGCGGGATTCGCCTGTTAGAGTGGATATGGAGGTTATGGTGCCGGCTAGGGAGTCTGCGGCGAGGATTGTGGTGGGGTTGAGAGTTGTGAGGCCGTTGGGGAAGAGCATGTGGGGGAGCAGGGTTAGGAGGGAGACCTTTGGTGAGGATGGGAGGGGGGTAGAGAGGGGTGAGTCGACAAGTCTTAACTGGGGTGGAGAAGAGCTGGCCGTGCTGCCGGGGGGTTTTGGGCGGACGTGGTGGGTGATGTGTGACTTGTGGGGTTCCAGGACAAGGTGTCAATTTCACGTGACGTATTTGTCCCTGAGCTGTTGGGCTGGTTGAAGTCAAAGCTGTAGATCGCTGTGCTGTTGGCTTCGCAGTGTGGGCCGCCTGTCAGGTCAAGGTTTCGAACGATGATGACTTGAAAAATGTCCGGGGAGGACTCTGTGATGCCAAGGGGGTTTTCGTCTGGATAGAAGCGGTGGACAAGGGTGCTCTGGCGTGTGGTGGGGTTGATCGAGAATACTTCGGCTGAGAGAATGGATGTGACTAGAATGTCGCCATTTGAGCGAACTGCGATGTTCTCGAGCCAGGTGCCGTTCTTGTATTGGTAGATCAGGTCGGTGGGGTAAAGAGCTTGAGATATCGAGGTGCAGATAGCAAGCAGCAGTATCGTGATTACATGTAGAGCCATTGGGAGCGATGTACCTCGGATTTCGATGGCTAGCAAGAGAGTATCTGTCGTAAATCGCAAGCAATATGACGGTGATGAAGGGCACAGGCATGTGGACTATGAAAGGGTTTATATGGCTTTCGCTATCGATCATATTGCACGTGGGCCCACTGGTTCCGAAATAAGACAATGAGGTGGCACAAGTCGGGATGCACGGTAGTTGATGCACGAAGTTGTTCGTTTTTGGCTGGACCTGCTTGCATTGCCTTATAACATCAATTCTCACTTCCCTTTACCCGCCACCACTCAACTCAGGACGTAGAGTCGATACGGTATAGGAAGGAGCGATCAAGCTCGAATTCGTCTGTCGTTAAGCAAAATAAAGCCCTGAGTGCTTGTCCCGTATTGGTAAGATCCCGCGTGAGCAATTGCATAATTCGATTTTCCAAGCTCTAAGCGAGGTGGGCTTCGCTTACGCTTCGTGATGAGCATGATTCAATGTTGCTACCTGTAAAAAGCGAGAAGCAATATCAACTTGCCGGTCCATTCCATGCGGCGGCAACCGAAACTACGCATGTTCGTTCCTGAACCGGTCTCGGCAAATGAATGGTAGATACTGGGGTGGCAAATGCTTGATTGCCTGTGTAGTATGAAGTGACTCGTTTTCGATATGCATGAGATGTCTTGAGGCGATTGTTGCTTGAGTACGACGCTGTATCTCGCGAGAAAGATGAGTCTAGCCACGTAAAGATTTGTGTGTGACGCAGACGCAGCGTTCAGAAACAAGACGGTAATAGAAGCGTGTGATGTAACTGTACTCTCCATAAGCATTCCTTACCTACTGAGAACAGCACTGGGCTCAGATATCTTTCCACGGGTAACGCGTTGATACGATCAATCAACAAGCCACGAAAGTAGTACAATGTATAGCTTACGACCTTCAACCATAGCCACGGAATTGAGGTTATGTCTCTGTTTCTCTCTCTCTCTGATAGATCCGCGGAGGAGCCATGAAGCAGCACGCGCGTTGAAGATGCATGGCATGATTGCTTTGCAATTCTCTTGTAGGACGTGACGAGGGTGAGTTCAAAAGTGCGCTTGCTAATTGTACAATCATTAGAGAACTGAACCCATTTGCTGAGGCCCTCTGCTCATGTTGGCTCGAACTTCCCCACAAGTTTTGCTGAACCTGGAGAGAGGTCGGCTATTGTAGCCATTTAGGATCCCGTTGAGTAGTGGCTGACTAGCTGCTCGGCTAATCCTTCCAGATAGTGCTATTGTGTCTCCGATAGCGCTTTGCCAAGACTTTATATGCTCCACAAGCCGATGAGTCTTCAAACTATCATGGCACAAAACAAAATCCCAGCGACTTTTCAATCAGGTAACTAAGGACTTTGAGCGCTAGATCATGGCACAATTACCAGACCCAACTGTAGACCTGGATTGGTCGGGCTAGTAAGTTCATACTCTGAATAATCTTTCCAACGCTGACTTGAGATTCTCAGTGTGGGCTCCATCCAGGAAATATTCGCCCGCAATGCACAACAACATCCCGACCGAGTTTGTGTGATCGAAACGAAGTCGTCCACTACTCCAGAGCGGATATTTACATACCAACAAATCTTCGAAGCGAGTAATTTGCTAGCACATCATCTTCATGAGAAGGGTGTCAGCAATGGCGATATTGTGATGCTTTACGCCCACCGGAGTGTGGACCTTGTTGTTGGTATCATGGGGATTCTGGTGCGTATCTTCACGCTCCATTCCTATTCGTATACTCATTGCATCGTTTTCTTTTGACCAGGCTTCGGGAGCGACCATGAGTGTTCTGGATCCCTTGTATCCGCCTGCGCGGCAAAAGATCTATCTTGAGGTCGCGCAGCCCCGCGCGCTTGTCAATCTCAGCCGAGCGACTGCCGAGGCTGGTGAACTGGCACCTCTCGTGCGAAGCTACATTGATGATGAGCTTGATCTAAAAGCCGAAGTGCCAGCTCTGCAGATCGATGACAAAGGCGTTCTCTCCGGCGGCTTTGTTGATGGTAAAGACATCCTCTCAGAGGTGAGAGCGAAGGCGTCGGCACCACCGGACGTGCTGGTCGGTCCTGACTCCAATCCTACCTTGAGTTTCACCAGCGGAAGTGAAGGAAGGCCTAAAGGTTTGCTGACTCCTTGTCATCACACCCACCAGAGGGGAATGTGCTCTTCTAATCGTGTTCTCATGACCGCTGATACATGAACATCATTAGGTGTCCTTGGCAGGCACTTCTCTCTTGCCTACTACTTCGACTGGATGTCACAAAGGTTTTCTCTCAGTGCTCAGAGTAAATTCACCTTACTCTCTGGTATAGCACATGACCCTGTTCAAAGGGATAGTAAGTCCTACCTTGGCAGCATTTCCCCCACCCAGCCTTGTTCGTGAAAGCAGTTTTATACCTTCTTTTGACTTTTTCAAAAACCGTGGGTCTCGCAGAGTTTGGGCACAGCTTTGAGCCCCAAACTTGTTGAGGGTCAATTATGGAACCACTTCACTGTGAGAATGACATTCCGAGGGTACTAGACACTGTCTGTGTTTTTCAAAAGAAAGATATTCCTGCTGTACGGTCATTAAAATCCACAAAAGTGAATTTTGATAGGCTGTTACAAGCCAAGCGATGCTTTTGAGTATCTTATATGTGCCATCAATACTGACGGTAGTCAGTTTTTACACCTCTTTTCCTTGGAGCCTCCTTACTGGTGCCATCCCGGGAGGACATACAGCACGAGAAGTTAGCCGAGTGGATGAAGATTCATGAGCCGACCTGCACCCATCTAACGCCAGCTATGGGGCAAATACTTGTTGGTGGCAGCACGGCCGAATTTGAATCCCTGCAGGCGGCTTTCTTCGTTGGTGACGTGCTTGTAAGCATTGCCCTCAAGACGACTAAGTAGCCTTTTTAGCACGGCTTACGTCTATATACAGCTCAAGAGAGACTGTAGGGCCCTTCAATCGCTGGCCAGGAATTGCCGCATAATCAATATGTATGGGACTACAGAAACTCAAGTAATTCCCCCAGATCCTCCTTTTTGGGCTGGCAAAGACTAAAATGAATAAGCGTGCCGTGAGTTACTATGAAGTCCCGAGCCTAGCTACGGATCTGCACGCCCTAGATAAGCTTGGTGATACTATTCCTGCAGGCCGAGGTATGAAGAATGTGCAGCTCTTGGTAGTCAACAGAGAGGACCGGACAAAGATGTGCGCCATCAACGAGATTGGGGAGATATATGTCCGGGCGGCCGGCCTTGCGGAAAGGTATTTGGGTGATCAGACCTTGAATGACAAGAAGTTTGTTATAAACTGGTTTTTGCCGAGGGAAAAATTTGTTGAGGCTGACGCGGAAAATGACAAGGCTGAGCCTTGGCGAAGATATTACAGAGGACCGCGCGACAGAATGTATGTTGGACATTGGGTGTCCTGAACCCTTAATCTAATCAAATTATAGGTATCGGACCGGGGACCTTGGAAGATATACCGAGACTGCTGACGTTGAGTGCACTGGACGAGCTGACGATCAAGTTAAAATTCGTGGTTTTCGAATAGAGCTGAACGGTATGCCTTCGCTCCGATTCCAGGGCCAATTCTAGACCCAACAAGCCTTCCATCTTCTGTGGACTAATATTTGGGTCAGAAATCGATAGTAATCTCAGTCAGCATCGGCTAGTTCGCGACTGCAAGACTCTGCTAAGGCGCGACAAGTTTGAAGAGCCGAAATTGGTGAGCTATGTGGTACCCGAAATGAAAATATGGCCAGATTTCTTGAAAGAAAGAAACCTTAAAGACATACAAGATCGGGGTATTGAGGATGGTCCAGTACGATACTTTCAACATCGGTTCTCAGCAATGCAAGATGAGCTTCGACACCACTTGCAAGGACGCCTTCCGGATTACGCTCGTCCGTCAATTCTTGTTGCTCTAGAGAAGCTCCCACTCAATCCAAATGGAAAGGTGGATCGAAATGTGTTACCAGCTCCTGACGTTGCAGAGCGAAAACAAGAGGCCACTGCTGAAGAGCTGCAAAGATGGGAGAAATACACACCTACTGAGCGGGCGGTGGCGACTCTATGGGCCGAAATAGTCAGCGGTCTTAACGCGAAGAAGATTTCGCCCGAAAACGATATTTTCCAACTTGGGCTTCATAGTTTGCTTGCCCAGCAGCTGCTTCTTCGGGCTAACAAGCAACTCCAAGCGAACATCTCTATCAATGTACTTTACCAATATCCTACGTTGGCTGAGTTCAGCAAACAAATTGACCGAAGGCTTGTTTCTACCAATGGCACGAATGGCACCCATGTTTCTGAAGAAGAGCAATCCTACGCTAAGGATAAAGATGATCTACTGGAGGACTTCCCAAAAAGTTTCCAAGCTCCGCAGCCAGCCGGACTGCGGACGTCCGCCGAAACTGTGGTGTTCCTGACAGGCTGCACTGGCTTCGTAGGCAGCTACATCGTCAAAGATATCCTCGAAAGAAGTAACACTAGACTCATCGCTCTTGTCAGAGGTGTAAAGGACGCGAAAGCTGGTCTGTCCAGATTACGGCGCTCCTTACAAAGCTACGGTCTTTACAACGACAGATGGGAATCGAAGCTGAGCGTCGCGCTGGGCGACATCTCCAAGCCCCAGCTAGGCCTACCTCACGAAGAATGGACGAGACTATCCGAAACGGTCGATGTCTCAATTCACAATGGCGCTATTGTTCACTGGGTGAAGCCCTATCAAGATATGCGCGCCTCCAATGTTCTCTCAACTCTGGAACTCCTTAATCTATGCAACATCGGCAAACCTAAGATCTTCACTTTTATCAGCTCAACAAGCGTCCTAGATGCCCCTCACTACACTTCCCTCCCTCCTCATCAGCCCGTCCAAGAATCCGACGACCTTCTCGGCAGTAGCACCGGGCTCGGAACCGGCTACGGCCAAACAAAGTGGGTCTCCGAGCAGCTCGTCCTTGAAGCCGGTCGTCGCGGCCTCTGCGGCTCTATCGTCCGACCGGGCTACATCCTCGGTGATAACGTCACCGGCATCTGCAACACCGACGACTTCCTCATTCGCATGCTGAAAGGTAGCCTGCAGCTCTCCTGCCGCCCCGCAATCACTAATACCATAAATTGCGTCCCCGTCAACCACGTTGCGCGCGTTATCGTAGCTGCGGCTTTCAATCCCCTGCCCAACGTTGGGGTGAGCGTCGTGCACGTCAACGCCAACCCGCGCCTCCGCATGCAGGAATTCTTGGGGTTATTACAACGATATGGGTACGATGTCCCCGAAGTCAGCTATGAGACTTGGAAGCAGAGGCTGGAAGCGTATGTCTCTGCGGGCGCGGTGGGGCAGGAGAGAGATCAAGAGCAGTTGGCGCTGATGCCGCTGTATCATTTCTGCGTGAATGATTTGCCGGGGGATACGAAGGCGCCAGAGTTAGATGATAGGAATGCTAGGGCGGTATTGGGGAAGGACGTGGAACTTTGGGGCGGGGAGGAGGTGAGAGAGGAGTATGGGATTGATGAGGAGGACGTAGGAAGGTATTTGAGGTATTTGATCGAGATTAAGTTTCTTGGCCAACCGAAGAAGGAGAAAGGGAAGAAATTGCCAGAGATACAGCTGGGGGAGGAGGTCAGGAAAGCGATGGGTGGGATGGGAGGACGAGGTGGAGTGGTTGTGTGAAGGGTGGAAATGCTTGTGTTTGAAGTATCTCAAAAGTCTGGAGCAGTTTCGAGCCCAGACAGGACTATCAATGGCAGGACCAGGAGTTTGACAGGTGGCTGAGAGGTCAAAATAGACGTTTAGCGATGTACAATATTTGAATAAAAGTTTATCAAGCCCACTCTTATTAATATATAGAGGGATTCGTCGAGCTTTGACAGAAGTTTTGGTGGGAAATTATCTCCGAATCTTATCTCCTGGTGGGGAACTTCATAATATTCCTAGCTATGAGTTGAGGTCGTTCATTTGCTCATCTCGCGGGTTGTCCACCAAACGATTGACCACGCTGGTCTGAAGGAGGAAGCCATATAAAGATGAGTTTTGGGAGAGCCCCATCTTGCAAAATATCAGATGCGGCTGTCGTCTCGACCAAAAAAGTACGACATTAGCATGAGTCTGATTTTTGATTCGAGGCAGGTTTTGCCTGCCTTCCAGCCAATGTACGCACACAAAGGGTCCAAATAGCCTGGCCAAGGGCGTAGTCGGTATTGAGTTAGATCCACTTAGAGGTGGGAGCTGCTAGTGTGGGTGACAAGGCTGAAGAATCTAATAGTGGGGAGCGTCGTCTCTCCTACGGAAGGCAGTGAGACAAGTAATGCTGAGCGAAAGACTTTATCTAACCAAGATATCTGGCTATGGAGTCTGCTTCTGACATCTTCCGAGAAAGATTACGATGCAGAGAATGTGCAGCTGCTGGAAATGAATGCCTGTACAGCGCACAAGACAATCGAGGTGATTGCGATCTGTGCCGAAACAGTGGCATCAAATGCGTCTGGGATGACACAACTGAAGACAACTTGTACGATGAGTGTATTGTACTTTTGGGCCCAAGTGGCTCTGGCAAGACGTCATTCATAAATCTTTGCGTTGGCGAAGACGTGCTTAAAGTAGGGCATGATCTAGGTGCTGGTAAGCGTACATTGTCGCCGATAAATCATACAGCCTAATGATTAGTACAATAGAGACAACAGAAATTTCAACGGTGAAACTTCAATTCCAAGGCCGCATGATCCACCTGGTGGACACCCCGGGTCTCGACGACACAAACCAGGATGATGTTCAAAAAGCAATCTCTTCGTACTTAATTTGGGCGCGTCAAAAGAGAAAGCAGGAAATCTGTCTCATCTACTTCCATCCCATTGACTGTTCACGAATGACCTCCAACCTGGTGAAAAGCTTCCGGTTGTTCAAGAAGACAATGGAAGAGAACCACATATCGGCCGCCGCGATTGCAATAACAAAATGGCATTCTACTATGGGTAAAGTCTTTAAGAAACGGGAAGAGGAGCTCCGTGCTGGGCTTTGGGAGTCTCTGTTGGGAAAAGGATTGAAAGCGGTACGGCTTTACGGGAAGCAGCAAGATGCACACCGTCTTTTGGAGCTGCTTCCGCCTTCGAAACTCGAATCTAGAAGTATATGCTCTTGCTTTTCCAACGTTAGTTCCGGGGGCTAAAGTATGTACAGGTAAAAAGAGTCAAAGGCGAGTCCTCGGGTAGACTTCAAAGGCGATAGTATTGACGTGTCTGATGCTCGAGACAGCTTCATGTCCTACTCGGCTCGTGTTCCGGATTCCAGTGCCAGGCCTGTATCTTCCAGCGATGACTCTGAGGGCGACGCAGAACTCAAGTCGCATGTGGCCCGCGTCCAAGCTAGGAAAGCCAGAGAAACGCCGCGAAAAGGGATCCCCGACTCAGACGATGTTGAAATTATACAGCCAATCAGCCTTCAGCGTCAGGTAGAGCATCAGGGTCGTCTAGAGCTAGCCGATCAATTGTACAAGAATAGCCTGTTTGCAAACCTCAAGAGCAGCACAAGATTTCTAAAGGTAAATAGCCAACTTCATCAGGGCATATACGACAAGATCAAGCCAAAGACAGACCCAGATTGGAATCCTAGACAATATCTACCTACTACGAAGGGGCCATTCCCGGTTGTGCTTGACCGCTTGACCTTGGAGTCACAAGATCTTCTTTTCAAGCCAAACGTTGGATATGAGATGCGTGTAAGATTATTTCCACACCTAATGTTGGTTCGGAACATCGCCACTTTAGTAGATCAGAATCTCACCAGAATGGAGGAGGCTCTACTACTAAAGAGCACATTGAGCGCTATCGTGCTATCTCTGACAGCACCCGGCGTAGTGGAACTGAGACGCATTGAGCTAACGCTAGTCCGGTCGCTCTTGAAGTCACTAGAGAAAGCAGCAATCGTATTTCACTCAGGACCCTTTGGCTTGGACATATTGAAAGCATTAGATCAGGCCGGAAAGCATTCATGTGGTATATTGCGACCTTTTCTACCGTCGGTGGGATGGGAGATTGACCGTTATCTCAATTGGAGCGATGAATTATCTAATAATTTCCTCGACTCAACGTGGATTCAATCGAACTCGGAAGATCTTCTTCAGCATATGCTCAGAGCCCTAGGGTTCTGTTTCGCTAGCCTTGAAAGGTTGGATTTGGCTATACTCTCGTATCAAGGTGCACACACAGCAGAGCTGCGGGAATCATTCTGTCTACCCACACCGGGTATCATTCGACTACATGGCGTGGAAGTACATGTGGATGTCTATTTTCCTCGCGGTTTCATGATGCTTCTTCCGTTGAAGTGCCCAGCCCCCTTCCTTGATTTTCGCAAGGTGTGGGTGTTTTGTGAACATGAGGAATCAAGCACAGACACCTTCTACCTCTCAACGGATATTGAGACATTTGCAGATGTATGGGGTCCCGTCTGGAAGGTCCCACATCCGACGGATCATAGCCTAACCATCAGATACAACTTGGTGGGCGGTTCAATCATGCCTTGGCCTGCGGACAGAGTTCGAAATCCAGCCCCTGCAGAAAACCAGCGTCTTTGTCATTGGGTCAGCAACTTCGACTCCTTCGAGAAATCTGACACATCTTCGACAAATTCCAGTAAGCTGCGCAGTGCCCCAGATCGTCGCGCTATGTGACGCTAATATTTCTTTAGGCAGTGCTTCAGATAGTGGATCCGACGAAGACCTTTCAATATACGTAAAAAAGGAGGTTTCTTTTGACGGTTCCGAGACTCTTCTTATTGGCGCGAATGAAAGCTTGCGGTTGCGATGGAGAAAGTGTCATTGCTCTCCCGACTTACTTAAAAGATATCTCAAAGAGGCTGATTGTTTGAGTCACTCGAGAACCTCAAAAGCATACAAATATGTCGATGCGCGGCAGAATTCGCTTGTAATTGGCAGCCATGGTGTCCAGGTTGGGCTGCATCAAGTATACAAAGACGTTAAAGAGACATCTGTGAAGATGGATATTTTGAGTCGGTGGGAAAATGAACCGCATTCTCGTGATCCTCGAGAGTTTGAAAACTTTTGGGGCGTCGTCGTTTCTCTGTGTACGATGAACGCACGACGCGTTCGTCTGACCGAGCTGCTGGGGGAGACTAGCGTGCAATCTTTGTTGAGACAGTTCCGCTGGTCTGACGAAACCCCAGAGTATTCAAGTCGAAGATGGCATGATTTTCGCAATGCTCTCCTAAGCTCAGACCCCCGAGCTCTGGGAAATCTTTGGGATAACAACCCCACTTGGAGGGATGAGCTTGGTGTCGCCCTTCTGATCTGTTTACGCATTCTTGCCCAGACGGGCTTCGACGAAAACAGGCAGGAATTCAGCATGTTGTGGCTTCCGCCCAGCTGCCATGGACCCAGGCGAGTGACGATCAAATCCCATGACCAGAAATGGACAAACGTTCTTAGAGATAGCACATACTCCATGACCGTTGCCGTGCTCGTCGATGACAAGCTGGGCCATGGGCCACGGTGCGGGCATCAAGATGAGCGATGGTTTCGCGACCCTTCGATTCTGGAGACAGCTATATCCATAAACAGCAGCTTACAGTCCGCAATCGGACTCAAATCTGTTAGTGATAACAGCGATAAATGTGACTGGATGATCAGAGCAGATGGTATTCCTTGGAAACAGGTATGGCAGGTAAGCAGTCTAGATGACAATTCCTACTTCCGGATAGGGCCCCACGTTCGACTCGAAGTCCTAACACATCTGTCACAATGGCATTTACTTCTCAGCGTGAATATCGTCAAAAGAGCAATCCTTCGCGACGTGATTGGCATGAGCCCGAGCGAGCGTCTGAGACATCAGGAATATACTGATGAGGGGGCAGAGTCTGTCAGTGTCAGACCAATTCCGGTGCACATTATCTCCTGAGGAAAGAGACATCACACGATGATACAGAATACTTCGTACAAGTGGGAACATATCACGATCAACAAGAATTTAACGACAGACTAGATATTTATTTTCATAAACTAAATATCTAACTTTCTACTTCCACTTTATTATAGTTATAAAGGTATACACTAATTTAACATAGTATATTATATAATCTACGTTTTAATAGCTACATAGCTGATCAATTGATGTACTTTATATATATGCAATACTATCCATTACGTTTCTACTGCTTTCTCGCGCCTATCCCCACTAAGTGAATGTACTTCGCCACCCGAGCTCGTATCATGCACGTTATGACGGGTGAATGTGCCCGCATGTGCCCGGGTCTACTTCACCGCCTTTGCAGAGATATCTGCAGCCGAAGTGCTTCCCCTCTTCTGATTCTTCGAATCACACCATTGACTTTGGTGGCTTGATCCCAAGGCTTGTCACAGAGTCATAAACTCACAATTCTTTTCCTATGACTCATACCATACTTTGAACTTTGAAAAGCGATTCCCACAAAGTCTCTGCATTCTTGTTCCATCATTGACATACCATCATCTCATCTTCTTTCACTACAACCTCATTAGCAACCTCACGCAATGGGCTCGGAGCGTATTGATCCGGCAAAGCACTTCTTTCAGGGTAGAAAGCCCGGGCCAGGCCCTTTGAAAGACGACGACATTGACTCAACACTTGGTGGTTTGCTTGGTAAAACGTTTCCATCATGCTGCCCTCCGGGTGTTCAGCCAAATACCAGGATCATAGCTATCTGTGGTATAGCCGACTGGGTTAATAAGCATACAGTCACCGATATTCCTCCACCTGTTCTCAAAATTCAGGTCAAGAGCCCCGTCAAGAATGTACTCTTGAAGAGCAAGGATTTTTTCTCAAAGTCGCGTCGTGATGAGAGGAAGGAGTTGAAGGTCGCTAAGGATTCACAGACGACGCAAAGAGGCATGGCCTCTCCGCACCACGATGGGTGGTTCTTTTCGGATCTTTTCTTATTTTACCAGTTATTTGAGGGTGTAGGTTCAAACCAATTGTGGTTCACCTGTGAGTCACCAAGCCGATTAGTTGCCAAATACGACAAGTACTTGCACGGTGGTCCGAATGATCGGCGAGTTGTGATGGAACAAGTACACTTGGACGCAGTCCGCCAACAAGGCAATTTCAGGGTGTCTTCGAGGGGAGATCTTCTTGAAGATTTCTTGAGAACACTACGTGGGGAGTTCCAACTCGCTCAAGAATTGAATCAACCTGTCTTACTTCTGATCTTTGGACATGGAGACATGGATACTTATGGCGTTTGCATTGGAGGAGAAACGGACGAGGAAAGCGCGCCTCGTCTCAGGGTTGAGACACTCAAGAGTATGCTAAGTAAGTTCGATATCTCGGTCACGTTAATGATGACCTCGTGTCACTCTGGTGGATGGCTCTACACGCCAGACCTGAACGTCTCTGGGCTGACATCAGCTGGACCGGGCCAAGAGTCATTCTCATGGCCAAACACAGTGGGTGGTAGAGCTCATGGCTCCTTGTGGGCCACAGCCGTCACCTATGCTTTGATCAAATTTGAAGATGAACGTCTCACCCAGCCCAATCCGTTGCCCCAGAAAGGTTTTGTTGATCCTGAGTTGACCCAGACGTCAAGTACTTTTGCCAACTTGTCCCGGGTCATCCGAGAGACTCTCATTCACGATGTCGCCTCAAAGACGTACCAACACCAGGTACGTTTTGCCGCACAAGACGATGCTTGGGAAGACGAGTGGAGAGCACGCTCTGGAATCCCCTTGGTAGATTTTCGTCATCGATGGACTTCGCTACAACAAGTCTCTGGGCCCAATGTCTGGGGCGACAAGTCTATGAAAGCTAACGCACCGAAACATCAAGACTCTACGCCTGGTTATTACAATTGCAAGCATGAACTCAACGAAGCACAAGCACGTTCGATTGTGGCGGACCTTGCAGAAGCGTATATGAGCAGCTTCCCAGGACGAGACGAGGCTGGGTCAAACCACACCGCACATGCTCTAGCAAAGCAAATGATCTCGAAAGAACCGATGAGCAACGGTGAGGTCAGAGGGGTGAACAACACTCTACGTCACCGGATGGATAAGATGAAAGTGGCAACAGCGATTGTCCAAGCACTCGGGGTGGATTTCCCTAACTGTGAAGACTTCAGCGTCGAGCAGTGGCAAGAAGACATATGGGCGGAAGGAAGTGGGAAAGGAAAGGGTAAAGCCAACCGGCATCCTAAAGAGGAGCTTTTCTACTCCCTATTTCGCCAAATTGTCGATTCGCAGCTTTTGCCTCCTCAGGACAATCAACTCAGCTATCCGAAAGCAGAACGCTACCTTGCGATTGCATTTGTCGAGAAGTTCGAAGTGGATGAAGCGAGGAGAATGATTGAAGTTATGAAGAGAGGTAAGTCAATTGGGCCCTCATGTATATCACCGAATGTTCTAATCAGTGCGTCTAGGAAAGGACACTTGGATCCAGGATCTAATGGCATTGATTCGAAACGAACGACAAGTTCGTCAAGCCGCCCGACAACATTTTGAGACTCTGGGCAAACGCCTTCGGTCTCCATCTCCACGCAAACGTGGACCGATCCCTTCTTTTGGACAACTCACCATCGACTAGATCAGGAGGTCGGAGATCATTGAAAAATGAATAAACGTGCATGGATTTCTCTAAATGCGAGGCGTCGGCGATTCAACACACCGAAAGCTTGAGACTACAGACTACACCTCAATTCAACAAGTATGATTTTCTACAAAGGTATGAGAAAGACTTCGGTCCAGTAGAAAGACTGTAGCATAGAGACAGATTATTACATAGCCCATCAATGATACAGATACATGTATCGATAGAATTAGACAAAGAAAGAAAGTGTGGACCGTCTTGAGATAAGTGGAGACCAAGAGATAGATTGTATTGTTATCTCCAAAGCACAGATCATAGTGCCTGGCTTTGGTCAAATTGCTTTGTCATGATCCCTGTGTGGTTGACTTGGAAAGGAGAGTTTACAACCTTGAGTAACATCTATTGCACAGAAGTATTGATCTTCTCTCAACTCTTTGCCATAGAAAATCAAAGAAGTACAGCATGAAGTACAGACATCTACTTGCTTGTTGAGCCGTTCCTTCATCTTTTGATTGTCTAGCTTTTGCTTTTCACTTTCCGCTTTAAGCTTGTCCCCATTATGCTAGGATATGTTAGTAAAAGCTGAAAGATAAGGTCTTGCTAAAAGGACCTTTAGTTCTCTGTATTCTTTCACTTTTTTTTCGAAAAGTAGAGTAATGTGCAATTTTTCACGATCTTTAGGCATAGCTGCTTCCACTCGTTCTTGGTATATTGACATCGTTCTATCTTTATACGTAGGTACTAGATCAAGCCTTGGTTTCTTCAGTACTGGATCTGGTATCTGGGTAAAATGTGCTTTCCGCTTCAGTGGGGTAGAAAATATCTGTAATACTGTGGGTATCAGTATTGACAGGAGCATTCCTACACTGTCATTATCTTCACAAGTTTCCTTACAAAATATCACTATAAAACAGCTCACATCACCTCCAAGCCATAACTCCACCTCGATTCAAGGACATAGACATGGAATGCAGAGGTTGAGAGTGCAATTTTGAGCATGAGACCACTGACTAGTCAAATCAATTCACACTCATAACATTTCGACCAAGAAGGAGGAACTTTTTCTCGGCTATCCTATGGAGTGGTTTTTCGCCAGAACATCATGACCTAGGAGCCATGGTCGGATGTAGACTTCAACGATTTATTGTATGAAAAATGGATCCTTCCTTCCAGATCTTGTAAACCTGACTGTCTCCACGTTCATCAGGATCTCCAAAACGGAGCGTTGGAATGCCTTTCGTTCTGATCGGTCCATTATCTAACAGCATGGAATAAGTCAAAGAGAGATGTAAAATCCGCAGATAGCTCGATGAATCGACTTTCTGGTTGGCGATAGGTTCTTTCAGCAGCGTTATGTCATCGAAGTTCCTGTTTTGGGGCCGTTACGTCCGCGCTCGATGCTTCGAGACTCACTACCCGTGGTGCAGGAGTTTGCTTTCCTAATACCTAATCTCAAAATACAAAGAATGATTGTCAATTTGTTCGCGTTGGAAAGTCTCGCTGATTTGATCTTGCTTCTTGTGCAAAAATCTCCAAACGTCCTTCCTTCTGCGATAGACTATGCATTACTATCAATGCATCGCTCCTTCCTCAAAGGAGCTTCGACAAGATAGACGCTTTTCGTGCGTTTCTCGCTTGATTGGAAGACATATCGTAGCATCCCGGCCTGGTTTTGAGACATTTCTTTATCAAGACAGACAGAAATACGACCAGCAATTCATCTCCGGTAAGTCTTTCGCGAAGCTCGCAAGAGAAGGACTCAGCCGATATTTGAATGCTTTATTTGACTTACGGTTGAGAAGTCAGGCCACCGCTACATGTAGAACTTCTGGTAGGAGGCTCCACCATTGGAAACACTAAATTCTCCAAGCTTTAGGAGGGGAAACGTTCAATTCGTAGGTATACGTGGATCTCGGAGCTTTTGGACCATCTTGCGCAGCGACTAAAAGGGACAAAACATATGTATCGCGTTGGTATACTCGCTTGCTTCAGGGTTAATTGACTTTGATTTCTGCGTAAGAAACTCGGGCAATAATGAGAATCATCATGGTGAAAGGCGTCGAAGGTGCATTTAGGCCCCTGTGCAAGACTTGATAAGCATAGTTCGTGCCAGAAACAGTCTATCCAGCTGCTCAGCTGAATTAAATCATGTGGCCAAGTGTCTATCGAGCAATGATAGCAGATATCGGTCTTCTGCTTATTTGACAGGTCGAAGCAGCAAGACGAGCCAAGCGCAAGAGACATAGAACTTATCAAATCCCTCATACTGCGACCGATGTCGCTTTGGCATTACCTGCGGTGTCCTTTGATAAAGATTGTGTATATCACAGTAAGATAACATAATTGTGTGAAGGCATCAAGCAGGCAAAAGTCAACAATTTCCTGTGACTTACGCCTTCCTGGCTTACTTAGAATGGAGACCATGATGCCCAGCAGGCTGAAGGAATTACCAAAAGGATCAGAGTAGTAAAAATTAGGTGATATCCGCCGAGAACACATCCATATCTTGTCCAGGTGGCTTCTGTAGCGGCATTTATGCCGGTCACCTAAAGCCCATGATAAAGTTGGCATGGCCTTTCTGTGGCAAGGGCAATTGCGTTTAGGATCACCCAAGAGCCGCAACCGTGATCGTTCTCTGCGACATGTTTTCTTCTCTGCAACAAACGATTGACTGCATTGAACTCGCGCACTTCGCCATGGGAAGTGTGCAATTCTATTGCTGCCCACACACATACTAAGCGATCAGATCTTTGCTGGATCACACTCTGATCGAGCTGTACGAAGTCACTCGCCTATGCTTCGTTCCAATTTTCTGATCAGGACGCGAAACAGCAGCCAGAGAAAATCCAACCCGACGCAAATTGATAATGCCATCAGCGTCGAAATCGGAAGAGTCGATCCTCACTTCGAGTGCAATTGTATATCCAAGAGTCTTGCTGGTATCGTCTCTAGACGACAGAGCGTTGCCTAAAAGTGGATGTTCTGCTCTTCTTTTACTATTCTTTATTCTATAAGCCAGATGCTAGATATACTGATAAATGATTCCCGGGAATTTAGACCGGTTTTTTAGAACTGTGAAATCGGGTTGCTGTTTCTAAAGAACATTGTCATTTTAGAAGACGACATCGGAATAATGATGCACGACAGCCAAAGTGCGAGCACATTCAAGGAAGACCTGTTTCAATAGAACAAATGAGCAGACCGGCGTGGTGGACTAGGGCAATAATATTATCGTCAGGGTCAATTATAACTGATGCGTTCTTTAATGGAAGCAACCAAATGCTCTCAAAGTCTGACTGACTTCGTCAGCCACAGCAAGGGGGCACTTCCGACCCAAACGACCCATAATATGCTTAAATCCCCATTGATCTCAGCTGAAGCCGCGAGGGGTTGCCAAAATTCGACGAATAAGGCTGCTGTACTTGGCTGTCTATGTGAGGCATCTTCCGAAGTCACGTACGTTTCTTGCGGACAAGCTTTGCACACTATTGCTGATGTTGCTACTGCTGTAGCTGTCGCTGTTTCTGTCGATGTTGTTTTTGTTACTGTTATTGTTGTTGCTGCTACTGCGCGTCCGCACAAATATATTCAACGAGAGACATAGATCTTTTGGGGGATCTTACACACTTGCTGACCGCAGTACAACATTTTGAGTCCGACTTGTGGTGTCTCAGCTTCTTCCACGACTCACTAAGCTCCCAGCTTCCATTGAGCATGTCTGGGAAGTTGGTTGGGTAGATGTCAAAGACGTGCCCAAAGAACAAGAAAGAGTCCCATCGCCATGCCTGTGAGTCAGTAAGAATGAACACTGGGACCAACACCAGAATGTTAGCCAAAGTTGAGACTCCTGGCTCCAAATTCGGAGAGGAACACTTCGGGGTAATAAGAAAGCGTGATCCAATCTGTGAAAGACGACAGAAGACCACACGATGTCGTTTTCAAGACGCGACTGGTATACTTTGTATGGGTAGGTGTTTCCCCAAAAGCATGAATCTCACCAAAATTCGATGCCATTAGTAAAAGCGAATTTATCAGCGCCATCGAGTCCTTTTGTTTCTGTACACGAGGTAATGTGCGTGAATGTGCCAATTGCGGCCGACCATACACCGATCATTAGCCCTCGAATAGCCTTTCTTGTGTGAAATTTGTCGGTGCATAGTGGACTTCAGGTTTGCCACAGACTTAGCTCTATGCACTTCTACCTTCTTCAGTAGTCTGAGCAGTGGAGAAAGACTGACGGTGTATTAGTAACAAAATGAAAGTGTAGGCATGAACGAAAACAAGAGCATTGATGCTGAGGGTATATGGGACTGTGGCGATATGAGGGGCAGGAGTTTACCCAAAGCTGGAAGACGCGGCATCCTACGCGAGAACTCTGAAAGAGCTGGAGGGCTAGCTAGCTGATCGGAAGATGATGCTCATAAATAGAGACGGTAATGATACGAGGGGCACAAGTCTACCCACAGTTGGAGGACGCGGCATTCTGTGTGAGATCTCTAAGAGTTCTGCATGTTTGTATTGTCTATTAGAAGACGGCAACAACTCTATATATTTAAGATGAGAAAAGAGCTGCATCTAGAAGAGTGGTAGGGGAATTGTCTTGCTCATGATGACTGTCGATGTACATAAAGGTGTCTCACCTTCAACTAGTAGTTGTGGTGGATTGTGGAAGAAATTGAGCAAGGAACATGACACGGCGGAGATGGATAGAAAAGCTTGTAAATGCCGGCATAGTCGGTTTTGCATCAGTGCTTAGCTTGTCATGAATTGTCGTGATAAAGCAAAGAGAAAGGCATGGTCAGTCTTGAGTCACACGAGGAAGACCTTCATTTTACTTTTAAGGAACGTGGAATCAATATGTCTTGGTATGTAGCAAGAACATTCTTCTATGACAAAGGGGTTATTCAGAGGGTATGATGGAAGAGAGCAGAGTATGATCAAAGCTGCCTGTAGGTTTTTGGATGTTTAAGAAAGAAAGAAAAGCCAGGAAGTTGTGGAGGTAGAAGCTCCTTTTAAGGTGAGCATTTTGCTAGCGCCGGAGCTAGTGAACGTGAACGATTCCATCATTGAATCGGCTCGCGTGAAGAGCCTCTGGATACACGCTTCTTTCGCAGAAACCAAAACGTGGCTTTTATCTGCCTACTTCACATTAGCGATCGCATGCGTCATTTCGACACCTGAGCATTTGCCACGGCAGCCGTTTGAGCATTCCCCAAATTTGGCGCAATATACCCACTGGCAACTTCGATGTCGCCTCTCTCCGTATTCTTGACTCGGAAATTAGTACTCGTGCATTGATAATCACGCCACCAATCTGCCAGTCCTCCTAAAATCGCAGATAGATCGCTCCATTTTATCAGAGCTCGTCCGCCAGGGCCGCTGTTCTGGAAGAAGAGGGTGGCGCTGCCGTCAGTCCAGTGGACCGTCTCTTCTTCTAAGTCCGAATCTCCGTCGTTGTCGTAGGCTTGCTCGGCGACTTCTTCGAACGCGGAGACGATGAGTGTGAAGAGAGCGCCGAGTGAGATCGCGCCGTCGTAATTGAACAGTTCGAGATTCAGGCGAGAATCAAAAATTGGCCAAATGATGGGTTCTCTTGAAAGAAAATTAGTATAATGTGAAATCAATTATTTTCCGAGGGGATCATCGTACTGGTTGGACCTGTTCGTGGCTGCAAAACTTTGTGAGACCGACGAAGTGTGGGTGGAAGGGGGATGTGGATTAGAGAAGACAGGAGCTCTATTCTTCAAGTGTGAGCTACGTGGAGTCCGCGACAATGATTTTGACGTAGATAGGTTGAGGAACATAAAGTACACAGCTAGTGAAGCAAGAAAGCTGCGCATCATTCAACTATACAATCATTGATTACAGTGCCGAAGGAGGCAAAATATTCACGTCCAGTAATCAATCAATCTGCGAGGGGCGTTGATAGTCTTCACCGATCTGATGCACGGACAGCTCTGTGCACGGGGTGTTCACCCGCAAAGCCGCTGCCAGATGCGCGCCGCACAGCCTGACATTCCCCAAAATCGAGAATAGTACTCGATGACGGCTCAGCACGTGTGTCACATATTAAGACTTTTGGACTCCATGGCCAGGGTGGTGTGGTCAAGGCACCTCGAAGTTCATTCCAAGGAAAATTACTGACTGTGTGCAGGTGGCATGTAAGGTCGTCGGGGCTTTAAAGGGCCATTTCAAAGAAGGAAAACTCCTGCATCGCAGTCTGCTTGTAATTACAACCCTCTGAGAATGGGCTTCTCCTAATGAAGAGGTCGTTGAAGTTTCCAGCACCAGCAGAAGGGTTTAGTCAAGCGATAAGAGAGGGATTAGCGCCCTCGACACATCGCATGTCACGTGGCCAGCTCTGGACGAAATCAAAACAATATTTTGCTGGGAAAGAAGTGTGTTCATGGCATGTGTGAGACGATTCGAAACGCGTCTCGGCCAGTTCAGAGGTAGCCTCAGCTAACAATTGCCGATTCTTTCATCTTGTCCACGAGGGTCATCAGCGGTAATCCCAGCCGCATCCGTACGAATCGATGTTGCTGAGAGGACTCCGATGTTTTTACATATTCAACCGAAATGTCACGGAACCTTTTCGTTCTGCTGAGCGCGCTAGAATTGAGGAAATAGAAGTGGAAAGACTTGCCGACACACTATACGTTAGACATGTAGTGTCGCGGCCCGAAGATTCGATGTGTGATGACGTAGTTTTTCAATACCGACGCTTATGCAGGGGCAGAGTACCTCAACGACTCGATGGTTCCTGCTTCTAGATTCCTTACACCTCTGGAGATAGTTCCAGAGGTCATAGGTGTATCGCAATACTGGCTATACACGCCAGAGCTTCAAATGATTCATCTCGACCTCTACACCCATGAGAGAAAGCCCTCGAGCCATAGGCGGTCTATATTAGTCTAGAACCAAAGTTACTAGTGGCATCACATTGCTCAACAAAATCCTCAACGTCAACAATTGCACAATTCTGGCTAAATCAACGAATAGCGAAAATATGCGCTGAATCAGATCTCCAGACACTGTGCCAGCCCATTGCCATCGTGGCCTTTCTCACGCTATGATTGTGCACCATGACACCTGCGAACGCACCCTGCGCGTGATTGCACCCTTTGCACCCTTCTGCTGAACAACGAACGCCTCATCCATGCTTTCCCCAACATTTACCACCTTTTCCCGCGCCTATTCACCACCAGGCTGCCATCCCGCGGCTCCCAACCAATCCTGCCCTTCATTATTGACTTTCTGGCTTCGGCGCCTCTGATATCAACCCCAACCCCAACCACGCTACACTGCTCCACCTAAATTCCCAACGTCTTCCACACACTGTTCTGCCATCATACCCCCCTCCCCTCTCTCCTCTTACGCTCCATCGACCTCATACTACACATCCATCTCATCATGCCTTCAAGTCAACCGACTGCTGGCCATCTGGCTGTGCAGCCTCAATACCTTTCCTCACAACCATCTGCAGCAGCAGCAAAGTCGGAGCCAAACCGAAACCCAAAATACAACCCCAAACAGCCACACATCACAGACACCAAAATCTCAAGAAAGAATTGGCATAAGCACGTCAACTGGCTCAATGTCACTCTCATTGTGAGTGCTCCAGCCGTTGTTGAGAGGGGCACATGGCTAATGGAGAAACAGGTCATCGTCCCAATGCTTGGGCTCCTCACTGCCATATGGACCCCTCTGAAGTGGCAGACAGCCATCTTTGCCATCATTTACTATTACTTCTCCGGCCTGGGCATCACAGCTGGCTATCATAGACTATGGGCACACTCAAGCTACTCAGCAACCCTCCCACTTCGCGTATTCCTTGCCCTAACAGGCGCCGGTGCTGTTGAGGGTAGCGTGAGGTGGTGGGCGAGGGATCATAGGGCTCATCATCGGTTTGTTCTGCCATACGAATGCTGGAAAGCGTCGCTGACACGGTATCTACTATAGCTACACGGATACCGACAAGGACCCTTACTCCGTCCGCAAGGGTCTCCTGTACTCCCACTTTGGGTACGCTACTTTCAAAGCATTACACGTGTGAAACATAGGACTGACTGAATATGGTAGATGGATGGTGATGAAGCAGAATCCCCGCCGTATCGGCCGCACCGATATCAGCGACCTGAATGAAGATCCTGTCGTCGTATGGCAACATCGCCACTACCTCAAGATCGTCATCTTCATGGGCTTGATTCTCCCCACAATCTTCTGCGGCCTCCTCTGGAACGATTTCAAGGGCGGCTTTGTCTACGCGGGCATCCTCCGCATCTTCTTCGTCCAGCAAGCCACCTTCTGCGTCAACTCTCTCGCCCACTGGCTCGGCGACCAGCCATTTGACGACAGAAACTCACCCCGTGACCACGTTCTCACGGCTCTCGTAACACTAGGCGAAGGCTATGTACGACCCCCCACCCTCCCACAATCCTCATTAGCTAACCAAACCCCAGCACAACTTCCACCACGAATTCCCCTCCGACTACCGCAACGCCCTTGACTGGTGGCAATACGACCCCACAAAATGGAGCATCTACCTCTGGAAACAAATGGGCCTCGCTTTCGACCTCAAACAATTCCGCGCCAACGAAATCGAAAAAGGCCGCGTGCAGCAACAACAAAAGAAACTCGATCTCAAACGCTCAAAGCTCGATTGGGGCGTCCCGCTGAACCAACTCCCCGTCCTAGAATGGGACGACTACAAAGACCAAACCAACAACGGACGCTCTCTCATCGCCGTGGCGGGCGTCGTCCACGACGTCACCAACTTCATCAAAGACCACCCTGGCGGCAAAGCGATGATCTCGTCTGGCATCGGCAAAGACGCGACGGCGATGTTCAACGGGGGTGTGTACACGCACTCGAACGCGGCGCATAATCTGTTGAGTACGATGAGAGTTGGTGTTATCAGGGGGGCTGCGAGGTCGAGATCTGGAAGCGCGCGCAGAAGGAGAATAAGGACGTGCAGTATAGTGTTGATGGACAGGGGCAGAAGATCATCAGGGCGGGGAATCAGCCGACGAAGATTGAGGAGCCTGCCGGTACTGCGGGGGCTGCTTGAGTGCGGTGTTTGAGCTTTGGCTGGCAAAGATGAATAGGGAGGGGGGGGGCGGTCTACAGCAGTAATATTCTATCACGATCGTTATGAACATGGAATTCGATCACGGGAAAGCTTGCAGACGTGCTGAATCACGCGTCACGCTTTAGTGTGGAGTACACACTTGGCCGGCTGGTTATATTATCGATGTACATAGACTTGCGTCAGCTATATTATAGAGCGCACAATACCCCTTTCAAAAACAGGAACATGGCGTGGGCAAGGAGCGATGAGCTATGGTTACAGAATCATGCTCTTAGCAACCAATAAATAAAGATCAGAATGTTGCAGACTCAGCGATTCTAATTTTCGAAGTCAACGTGCAGCGTTTTCTCATCATTGAACGGTTTAGAAAGGCGGTAAGTGAAAGCTCTCGCAGCACGTTCCTTCAAAATATTGCTCTCATTATCCAGCTCGGTGATGTTGCACCTATGGCTTATCACATCGCCACCGTCCGTCCGCTACTAGATCTATCCCAAGCAGCAGAACTGCTCTAACCGAAATCCACCACCCCTCTCCAGCAGCTACACGCCCAAAGCGTAATTAACACTGAGTCTCCATTCCTCGAGCTTCAAGCCTCGTCCGATGAAAACGATCTTACCCTCCCCATCTTTGCTCGCATCCCTTTCCAATATGACGATCTCAAAAACTTCACGTACGCCTTGAATCATTACTTCCCCTCCCGCTTTCAGCCCTGCAAGCCCCTTCGTTCTGTGTACTTCGAAGTCCCCTTTTACTGGCTCACCATCCTCATCCTCATCGGTCGCGAACGGCGGCGGTAGCACGTTCGCCCAGAGGATGCAGCGCAGCCAATCCTCTAATCTCTCGATTCCTGTTTTGCTGAGCACGGGCAGCGGGAGGGTGATGGTGGAGATGGTGGGGTCGAGGTGTGCGTGCTTGCCTGCCGCCGGGTTGGTGGGGAGGGAAGAGATTTTGTCGTAAGCGTGGAGGTTGAGGAGGGCGCCTTCGAGGTTTGGAGGGACGGAGAAGGTCGTGTGGGTAAGGGGGGCGAGGGCGTTGATGGAGCGGATGCGGGATTCGATTGCTTCGATGTCGACGGAGGGGGAGGAGAGGGTGTCGATCTTGTTGAGGAGGATCGCGTCCGCGGTGGAGAGTTGGAGGTGCGCTACTGTTTCGTGCTTTGCGTCATCTTTCTCGCTGTCTTTTGGGTTGTCGGAACTGGTGGGGCGCTGGGCAGTGGCTAGATGGTCGGGATTGGGCTGATCGAGGTTCCGTGATAGGTTTCCTGCGTCTACGACACAAATTACGCCGTCGAGGTAGAGAGAAGAGCCCAGGGCGTCATCGAGCCAGAAGAGGGGAATTATGCCGCCTGGGTCTGCGAGTCCGCTTGTCTCGAGTACGATGTAGTCGAAGGGCTTCTCGCCGGGTGTGGAGGAGTGTTTGGCGAGGAGGGCCTCGATAGCTGCAACACCGGTATCTTTGACACTGCAGCAGATGCAGCCATTGCCGAGCTCGAGGAAGTCGATGGCGAGTGGTTGGTCTGTGGAAGTAGAGGAGGGGTTTTTGACATTTATGGCGCGCCGTTCAATGGTTGTTGTGTCGCCAAATTCTGTAAGAGACGTGAGTCAGTCAACTCAGGGGGGATGTGAATACAGGAAAGATACGGGGGAAGTGTATGAGGCGAATGGCATAGGTACCCACCAACCATTCAGTATCACGGCTATTTTCTTGCCGTGTTCGGCTTGCAGGATATGATTCACAAGGGTGGTCTTGCCAGATCCAAGGTAGCCTGCCAACAATACCATCAGCTCTCGGAGTATCTAAGGGATATACTGGAAGAGATGTGCTTTTCCTACCAGTAATGATTGTCAGAGGCACCTTCGAGAGGGACAGGTCCGACATTTGAGCTGCGACACTATCAGATGCCAACCGCGTTGTTCCAGAGCTGATCGAAGCAGCGTCTTCGACAAGCTCTGGAGGAGATTCCATTTCGAAATCCATGATGCGAAATATGTTTACGGAGTTGCGCGAGGGGTGGAATTCAACATTAATCATAAAGTTCCGACTCGGAAGCAATTCCGCCGGATTTTTCAGGAACTGCAAATTCGACAGCTACTGCTCCTGATTATAATATCAGTGAACATGGCTTTTGCACGCTCGGTACTTCGAAGCATACAGCAGACATCTTCCATATGCAGTCGCGACCTACCTCCCTCGTTTCTAGCTCCAGCGCTCGCCCAATGGGGTGGGTACCAAATCTCAACATCTCGAACGCTCTCAACCTCTGCCCCTCTCCTAATGAGAAGATACAAGCGCGACAATAATCCAGAACGTGGAGTCTCTCCAATGCGTCGAAGAGGATTCAAGAAGCCTCTAAGCATTAGATCAAAAGTCAGGGTTGCAGGCCTACCAAAGCCAGTCTTAGATCCAGAAAGGAGGTCGAGGATTGAGGTAGATCCGAACCATGGGTTATGGGGATTCTTCAATGAAAAGAAGGAACTTTTGACACCGCCTGACGTAGAAGCCTCACATGGTATGAGCTCTTGCCAGGCTGATTGCGTTAGGCCCTGAAAGCAAAATGCTAATTCATTTGGCTTACAGGTCGAGCATGGTATTCAGATGAGCTCCGGCATAAGTCTTGGGAGGATCTACACTCCGTATGGTGGATGTGCTGTAGAGAGCGCAACCGGCTAGCCACCGAGTCTGCAGAGAGACAGAGATTGAGGATCAAACAGGGGAATGCTGAAGCCCATGCACGGGATCTGACTGTGAGTCCGCTCCCTGACAAACAGAGTTTGGTATTGAGGATGCTTTGCTGATTTCATGGCTTGCAGCTACGAAGAACAATGAAATCAATCAAGTGGGCTTTGACGGAACGGTACTACGCATGGGAGGGCGCACGAGCGCTCGCCGAGAAAGATCCGGAGGTGGATATGGATGCTGCAGACTTGGAACAACCGATATATGGACCTATGACTAAGCAAGTGAGTCAAGGTGGTCGGGATGACCGTTGACCAAATGCTGTTGAAAGCATGAGGAAAGGAGTTCATAAATCTAGCGATGACGATATTCTACTGCATCGAAGGTGATCAATCATTGTACATTGTCCATAATTGATTGACCAAGACTCAAGGTCTTGAATGTCAACATTTGTCCATGAGTTTCTGCAGCGAACACCTCCATGCTGATCTGTTCCACAATGATTGCCCGGCACTCGGTTATATCCCCTTGAAATCCGTGTCTTCTGCCTGTGACGTCGAATCATTGAAGCGACTAGTTGTCTTGCCTCAACGTGTATATTATCAAAGTCGCAATCATGGACGAGATAGCTACCGAATATGACGTTGTCGTGTTAGGAACAGGTGCGCTGGATAGCTTTGTGCAATTGATACATGATGTACTAAGCCTCGACAGGTCTGACGGAATGTGTTCTTTCCGGGTACACTTCTGCTCAAGCAGACACTGCCTGACAACGGTGCTGATCATGGCATCCTAGCGTAATGAGCGTCAAAGGCAAGAAGGTGCTGCACATAGATCGAAATGACCATTACGGAGGGTCAGCAAATAAGTTGCGGAAGGACAAAGCGCGTGCTAACATGTTGTAGAGAGGCAGCCTCTGTTAACATCGAGGCTGTGAGTCTATCTATGGCAAATCTGCAGCATATCTGATTGGGTTTCCAGCTCTTCAAAAAGTATGGTAATTACAGCAAAGGCGAGGAGCCATGGAAAAAGTACGGTCGAGTCAATGACTGGAATATCGATCTGGTACCCAAGTTTCTCATGTCAAACGGCGAATTGACGAACATTCTTGTCTCCACGGATGTCACACGGTATCTCGAGTTTAAGCAGATTGCGGGTAGCTACGTACAGCAAGGAAGCGGGACCAGAGCGACTGTTGCAAAAGTGCCATCAGACGCTGGGGAAGCACTCAGATCGCCGCTCATGGGCCTATTCGAGAAGAGAAGGGCAAAAAAATTCCTGGAATGGGTTGGAGCCTTCAAAGAAGATGACCCAGCATCTTACAACGGTTCAGACGATCCTTATGTTACGAAATGGACTTAGGAGATGCTAACTGGTGTAAGGTCTCGATCTCAATAGGTGTACAATGAGAGAAGTCTATGACAAGTTCGGCCTAGAGCCGTCGACGCGAGACTTCATAGGTCATGCAATGGCTCTTTACCAAACGGATGGGTACATCAACGAGAAGGGCGCCGCTAAAGAGACCGTACAACGGATCAGGCTCTACGTCAATTCAATGGCTCGATATGGGAAATCACCATACATATACCCACTATATGGCCTAGGCGAGCTACCTCAAGGATTTGCCCGACTTTCAGCTATTTACGGTGGAACATATATGCTCAATACTAACATCGACGAGATTGAGACAGATGAGAAGGGTAAGGTCTCAGGAATCAAAGCCACGATGAGGGAAAGAAGCGAAGACGCCGACGGAATGAAGTTTTCGACCAAAACCAAGAAAATACTTGGAGACCCATCGTATTTCTCTGGCAAAGTCCAAGTGACAGGCCACCTCCTCAAAGCCATCTGCATCCTCACCCACCCAGTCGCAAATACCGACAATAATGACTCCGTTCAGCTCATCATCCCTCAATCACAAGTCGGCCGGAAACATGGTAGGACTTACTCTAATTTTCGCTTACTTTTCCTTCCAAGTCATCGAACCCCTTGATTCGTTCTCTCCCGCACATCTTATAGGACACCACACTAACCCCCAAATCCAGACATATATATCGCAATCGTCTCCTCCGCTCATAACGTCTGTCCCAAAGGCTACTATATCGCCATCGTCTCCACCATTGCCGAAGGCTCCGCAAATCATCACCTAGAGCTCCAACCCGGCTTCGACCGGCTCGGCAAGATCGAGGAGAAGTTTCAGGGCCCACCAATCCCCTTGTACGAACCACTAGAGAGTGGTATGAATGACCAAATTTTTATCAGTAAGAGTTACGATGCGACTAGTCACTTTGAGACGACGACAGACGATGTGAGAGACATTTATAGAAGGGCGGCAGGGGAGGAATTGGTCGTTGATGGATTGAGGGGAGAGAATCTCGTAGCGCAAGAGTAATTGTACGGGGTATGGAGCGACTGTCATTGTTTTGTATGCGTGCTGGCAATGCGTGGATATTTTCCATATATTCAAACCTCTGCACCTCCACATCCTGGCGCGTCTGCTGGCGGTATTGCTGACTTTCTTGCCCAACTAACAAGGCATAGATTCATCAAACCTCGATAGAAATCGACGAACGCGAACGCTGACATTCCTAACTAGATAAGGGGTATATTTGCCTCAGGTCAAAGCTGAAGCAACAAGTCACTCATTGTCCTCCTCCTTCTCCTCGACCTTTACCATTGTTGAAACAGAGTCCGAGCTATTACTTCTCGGCAAGCTACTGTGCGAAGGAACATTGCTATCTTGATCTGTCTGCGAACTTGTAGAAGTCGCATCCGTAGCCTCAGGCTCATTAACCACAGGCGACTCCTTTGCCTCTGCAGTCTTTGAAATAGCAGCAAGCGGTCCACCTTTTCCTTCCAGGGCATTGCCTTCAGGCATGACAGTTGGCTTTTCTTTCGCTGGACTATGCTCCCCTTTCTCCTCCTCGTCCTCCTGAATAGGAGCAATCGCACTGCCTACACTAGGCGTAGCTTTATGCCTCCGTTGGGTGGTCGTTGTCTCCCTAGCACCAACTCTCTCCTCTTCACTACCCTCCGTCTTCACTCTTTTCTCCGGACTCCGGGGTCTCGCTCTCTGCTCCCCTTCCTCATCCTCTTCACCCTCTTCTCCACCCTCCGCCTCTCTCGGAATAGTGTAATTTTCCTCAGGAATCAACCCATATACATCACAAACAGTCTTATACAACACATACAGCCCCTCCCGTCCCTCTACCTCCAAGAAAACACCCCGATGCTGAAACCACGCATGCGCAAAAATCCGATAGACTCTTCTAATGATATTCGTCAATTGCCTCACCCCACCCTGCACGCCCCTCCCCCTTGCCCCTCAACTCCAAGCGTCAGCCTACTTGGAAAGTGCTTCTGGCTCGTGAGGATGTAGGCTGCCCAGTCAAGCGTATGGCATGAGTAGTCAATCGCGCAGCATGGTTTCGGAGGCTCGTGGACGGCGCAGAGGTATTGCCATTCTGAGGCGCGCATTTCAGGACAGGTGGAGGCGGAGCAGGGTGGGGTTTCGCGAAAGAAGGAGACGATGAGGTCGTTGGCGTGTAGGACGAGGAAGCGGGTTAGTTCGTAGAGCCAAAGGGAGCGGTCGACGCTTGGAGGTGGTGTGGCAATATCGAGGGCCGTAGACGCGGTGATGGGCTGGGTTGTTGAGGGAGAGTTAGGAGAGCGCGTGTGGTGCGTGTGGAGGGCTTTGAGGTGTTCTTGGAGCTGGAAGGGGGAGTCGAGCTGGTGGATGTTAGGGCAATGATTGGTGGATGGAGTGAGGGGACGCACTTCACTTAGAGGGACGAGCGGTGGGCCGGAGATCATGTCTGCTGCTCTTGTTCCTGGCCGTATCCTTCTGAGTGACTGAGGGTCAGATTTGGAGGAGTCAGGAGCTGAGACGGCGGGCATGCCGGGGGATTTGGGTGGTAGTTGAACTTCCGGAAAGGGAGGAGGGCTAGGTAGGCGAGGTGAGGTCGCAGGCGATCTACTGCCAACAGCTGCTGCCATGATGAGCAAGGCTTTGGCGTTTTCTATGCTGTATGAGAGATCTAGAATGATTTAAACGTTTTGATGCTCTGGCGGAGCGATTCCGCCAGGAACCTCCGCCTTCACTAGCACACATCCAAATTCAATTCATAGAGCTTAGTACATCATCCTCCGAGACTCGTAGCTGTCTGCTACCTATCCCAGGCCACCATGAATCGTCAAGGCAAGTCTCCGCAAATCTCTCACATGATTTGTTCCCACGTCCAGCGTTTGAAGCATCCTCACCACCTACCTTGTGGCCTTGTCAAGAACACTGCTTTACAACACTCCAGTACGAGGATTTCTATACTATACTGATCATCCATAGAAAACGTTCGACCGGGTGCACAAACACTACGCTTTCCAGGTTACACAGGACAACCTCCCCAGGGTCGAACAGGCAATCTGGGATCAGGAAGATTACAAAATACTTCAAAGCTGGGTACAGAAATATCTGTCTGTCTAGCCAGCTGAATGGCTGATCAGAGTGAGAGATGAAGGTAATGGGACAGGTGCAAATTGGGGCTTTGGCGCGCCAACGAACGGGATATCGGGTCTCACGAACACGCAATCAAGGCAGGCTGGTACCGGGTCAACGAGCTTTGCTAGGACTATAGGAGGGAGCCACTCCGCTACACCTTTAGATCCCAGGTGAGTAGATTTCATTAACATCAACATCAACACCAGCATCAACATCCATCATGACCAGGGGAGGAGGAAGAGGAAGAAGACAGAAACGTTATCTCATGACCTTTCCCAGAGAAGCTGACGATGAAAGTGAATTCCCCTCCCTCTCTGGCAATTCACAGCCGCAATTTGGAAGTACGAGCAACCCAATATGGCAAAGACCAACGCAACAGACTGCCGTTCAACGCCCGCCGCAACAATCACATGCAAACGCGGGGCAGGCACACCCCCAAGCAAATCCACAACACCCCGCTTCCCCCTCGAATGAGGACATGTTCGTTGGACCATCACACCTACAAGGGTCGCTAGATGACTATCGACAAGCAGGTCAGAACCAAATGACCTCACGGCAGCCTCCGAGTCAGAGTGTTGACGAATTTCCTCCACTAGGCAGAAACGGAACAGAGGGGCATGACTCTGATCAGCGAGGGGCATTTGGCGCTTTCAACTCCCAAAACGCCTTCTCTTCGCAACAAGATGGTACACAACCACGACAAGGTCTACCCTTAGGCTTCGGTAATCCCACAGATAGTACGCGGTCATCTTCAGTAGTCGAACGAACCATATCCCCATCCTCCTCAAATCGCCCGAGCCAAAGCGCAGCCAATAACCTCTCCACACTCCTTTCTGGCTTCAACCCCGGCCGGTCATCCTCCGCAAACACACAGCAGCAGCCAATTCCCGACTCCGACAATCGAATATCAGACCAGAAGGTCGAAGAGATGAGCGACAGAGATCGATATGGTCTTGCAGGGCTATTAGCAAGAATAAACAGCGACGATCCGATGGTGGCAAGTATGGCGAGGGGGCAAGATTTGACAACGCTGGGTTTAAACCTGAATTCTTCCGAGTAAGTTGTACCAGAGCAAACCCACCTACTCCCTGTTGCAGTATATCTGACCTATCAAAACCAGTCCATTATGGCCAACCTGGAACGGTCCCTTCGCAGATGCCAACTCACGACCGCTCCAGCCTGACTTCACCCTTCCTGAATGCTACACCGTGACCAACGTACACCAAGTTCGAAACAAACTCCCCAGCTTCTCGGACGAAACGCTATTTTGGATATTCTATACGCAGCCGCGGGATGTGATCCAAGAACTTGCGGCGTCTGAGTTGTACGTTCCCCTTTCCCTACCCCCTTTTCCCTCCCCCATCTCTCGCTTCCCCCAATTCTTTCCCTCCTCTTGCTTTCCTCAGAGTCTCCCCACTCGCATCCCATGCATATTCTAATGGCGTGGATAGGACAAACCGTAACTGGCGCTTCCACAAATCCATCCAGATGTGGTTGACGAAAGACATCACGCTCCCAGAACCGCAGCGGCTGACAGAGGACCGCGAGAGCGGTAGCTACGTCTTCTTCAACCATCTGCGGTGGGAGAAAGTTAGGGTTAGTCTCCCTTTTCCCCTGCTCGCCCCTTTCTTACTTCCTATCCCTCCCCTTTCTCACTTCTTTACGCAACTTCTGTACCATCCTCCCTACTCAGTCATCATTTCCCGTCCACCCTACCCTTTTCTCGACATCCATCACCTTCCCTTTGCATGAACACAATGTAGAAGCTAACCATCCTGAAATGAGCAGAGAACAGATTTCATGCTCGAATACCACGAATTAGCGCCCACGTCAGGGCGGATGAATGGGGGTGGCTGAATGTGCGAATTGTATCGAGAGGTGCATGGGCAGGGGTAGTTGAGAGGTGACGGTGGGGGAGAGAGGTAAATGGTGATGGAGGAAGACTTATAACTATCATTACAACCTCATGCTTCTCACTTTTCCCCCGGTAGTGCAACTGTTGCCTACATACCCACCTACCTACTATCTACATTACCCTGTTCCCCAACCCCTCCCAATCCTCATCCTCGTTCAATTCCTTATCCACCCTTTCTTTTCCATCCCCCTTTTACCTTCCCATGCCCTTCTCCTTCTCATTGGAAGTGCCAACGCACGATCATATCAGGCAACGTGTCGGGCCATGAGATGCGGTAGGTTTCACTGAGGGCTAGACTTCCTTTTGATCTCTTATGGATTGGAGAGACTATATAGTCAAAGTAGGCTATATATACCTGACTTGTAGGATTGTAGAATTGTAAATTGAAGATAGTAAGGTAAAGTAGTAATATATATCCCATCAAGAAAGAAAATATATATATATATATATATGAAGAACCCAACCCTCGCTCGCTAGCTCCCTTGTCGAAATTGTAGTAGTTGTGACGGTCATGCTCATATATCATCTCATCAGATGGGTCATTGGCGTGTATAGTATAGTCCTCGCATGATCTTCATATTCATACCCACATTCATATTCATGAAACTTCGCTTCTCCCCCCTTCTTTCCCCCTCCTCCTCCCCTGGTATCCTCCTCATTCCTTCGCCGGTTCACAGAATTTTGATAGAGAGAAAAGAGGTACTGGACTGTTCTGTGGACTGGGTTCTGCTTAGTACTGTCAATCCGTTCATGGTTGGGTCTGTTGTTCCCATCCTATCCCGTTCTGCTGCTGTATCGTATCGTATCGTATCGTAGTCTCGCTCGCTGAAGTGCCGAGGAAAAAGACAAAGAAGGAAAGAACAACGCCATGAGATGCCACCTGCAAATGAGAAAATGGGGGGTGAGGGCGTCCTGTTTTGCCACCCCCAACCCCAGCTTACTGTCGTCAACCTTCTGTGCTCGGTCTCTCTGTTTGACACTTATCTTACTTACTCGTCGTAATTATTAGTGATATCACATCGTTGATCATTCAGAAGCGGCTGCTGTCATTGTCCGTGCAAGTGGCTTGCCTGCAAGGACATCTCACGACCCAGGCCTTTCACTTCATCCTCCCTTCTCCATAGACTGATTGTCTTCACCCTGTTCTCCTGGTCCATCTGCCCCACCCAAACCACCTGCACCTCCCGACCCACCCTCAGAAAGCTCGCCCATCAAGCTCATCTTCGCCAGATCATCAGTGATGCCGCTCCGATGGGCTCGTTCCTTGAAACTTAGACCTTCGCCGATACCGACAAGGTGCATGTCTGCGAGGCCGGAGTCTGTGTGTTCGATGCTTTGGGTGGGGTAGGTGGTGGATAGCGGGAGGGATTTGTGATTGTCGTTGTTGAGAGCGGGGCTGGTGTTTGTGTCGGGTTTCGGAGATGGCGGGGCGTCTGCGTATCTGACTTGTTTGGTACGGATTGTTTGGTCTTGCGGGATGGATGCGGTGATGGTGCTTAATGTATGCGCTGGAAGGGGGGCAGGAGCAGGGATGGTAGGCGGATCGTCGCCTGTGTCTGCGATGCCGGAGTCGACGTGGGAGAAATGGCGGTCGGCGTAGTAGACACTACGTCTACGATTCGTAGGTGCGGCTGGCAACGATAGCAGCGGGGGGTTCTCGCTTTCAGGTGAGAGGGGCTCAAGAGTTGAAGGGTGGATGAGGTAGGGATCCTGGCCATTGGTGATAGCGTCCCACGAGGCTGAAGCGGTTGGGGTAAGGGGGATGAAGTCTTCAGTGGCATCTTGGAAATTATTATGATGATCCGAGTCCGAATGAATGCTCCTGCGAGGTGACTGTTCTTTTGTTGGAAGGACGGGAGCTTCTTGGGTGGTGTCGCTTTTGCTAGTTCCTCCCAACGTTGATTGATCACGACTGTACGCTTGGGACGAGGTCTGCGGGTCCATAGAGCTATGCGTGTCTGTGTTCACGGGTGCTGTGAGAAGGCCAGGAGAGGTAGAGGTACCATTCGTGTACTCTTGTTCTGTTTGTTGAGCGGTCGCAGCGATCATATCGGTGTATTTAGGCCCTTTATTGTCAGGGCTTCCACTAGAGTCTTTTGGACGGCGTGGAACAGAAGTAGTGACTTCCCCGGATGGGTCAGCTTTGGCATTCTCTTCTATTTCAGGAATTTTTGCGTATGCTCTGGATGTGCTGCCAGTGACAACAGCCGTGGAGGGAATCTGTGTAGCAGGCTTGAGTTCCGGCATCATATCCATGTCTTCTTCTGACACAATGACGGATGCCGGGAACTCCTTCAGCAATTCCTGTGCCGACTTTCGCATCACAGGATCAGCGTTCAGGCAGCTCTCGACCAAACCTCGAAAGTAGCCGGGGATATCTTCTGCAGCATTGTCTAAAGTCAAAGGCCTTGGCTGCCGTTCTGGTTCGTCGTCCTCCATTGCCAAAGCCCAAAGGACCATCCCCAGCTGGAAAAGATCTGACTTCAAGCCGATAAACATTGTGATTCTTTGCCCGCTTTCTATCAGCTTAGCGATTTCCGGCGGTTCCCAGCCCACAGGACATCCTCTACGGTTGATATCAATGATCTGAGCTTCATCATTACCGTCAATGACAATGTTTGAAAGCGTAAAGTCTCCCTGAACGAAGCCTGCTTCATGGATTTCGGAAAGGCCCTTAATGATCTGCCTAGCCCAGCGTTCACGTCGCTGCCAGGGGAGGTTCGATTGATTGTCGTATATGATGTCGATAAGAGCGTTTTTCTCAGCATACGCAATTACAAGGCCTTTGACGCAAGCTTCATCATCGCTTAATACGAGCCCTTTGAGCTCAATTACGTGAGACGCGTTGGTCAAATTACTCAAAGCATTGACTTCGTATAGGAACTCGTCGACGGAATCAGGACCGGGAATCTCCTTCTTGATCCATGTGTTGCCCCCCACATTGACCTTGTAGACAAAGCCAGACATGTGTTCAATGAAATGAAGTTCGCTTTCTCTGAACTTCTTGATATGAGGTAGGTGACTGATAGCCCGCGTAGGTGGATATTGAATTATTTCATTCACATCCTCCGTGACATGAACATGGAGTCTCTCGTCTCTTGTCTCCAGTTTCAGATTCGTGACAGTATTGTAGAATTGTATGTCAGTCAAGCTAGCCCTCAAGGCCTCATACACCCTCGCGCTCTTCTCCCTCTGACTGCCCATGATTTGCAGATCAGCCTCCAGTGAGTCGACTTCTGCATTGCGATAATCGCACGAGACGGTGACGCGTCTCCATTTCTGAGGCGTCTCCGCGTAAGTGACGAAGAATTTCTCGCGCGGGGATTTGTCGCGGAAGTGCATTGACAAGTTGAGGATCCATTTTTGTTCCAATTCGATGCGTATCTCCTCGTCGAGCGTTCTACTGGTGCCGTCTGATTGCTGGGAAGCCCCGTCATCATCTAGGTCGTCCGGTCTTTGCATCGGAGGTGGGGGTGGTGGAGGTGGAATCTGATCAAGGTCATCGTAATTAGTATTTGCAAAGTCATCTCGCTGTATTCGGCTCTCTATTGTCGGGAAGGCATCGCAGTGGTATCCCAAGTCCGGTGCCGAGGTTTCTCTCTTTGGCTTCTTCGGAGGTTTGGGGGAGCTGCTCAAAGCCCGAACGCGTGAAAGCTCTCGAGGCTTCTGTATTGGAGATGCAGTTGGCTGGAGATTCTTCCTCTGTTCGTCTTGCTGTCTCTTGAATGTAGTCGATCTTGGTATTCCCACTCCCACTTTTCTAGAGATTCTTCTTCCCAGGCCTGGCCGCAAGGGGGTTTGTGGGGGGGTATCGGGTTTTTGGCTGTCATTGCTCGGTGTTGTCTGCTGTTCTCTCTTTAATTTCCTCAGCCAATCCCACAACCTCTGCTTCTGATCAACTTGATGTGCCTCGTGCTCTTCGATCTCGATATCGTACGACATTGGGGGCGGCGTAGGGGGTGTAGCAATGGCGGAGAGGGCCATAGGGTGTCGGGCGATATCAAGGATTCGAGATCATCAATTGTGGTTCTCAATTGGACGGGACGAATATGCAAGATGGTTATGCAAGTACCCAGAGTACTCGACGTGTCAAGTGGTAAGGAGCTTTCGGTCAACGAAACGATTGATGTGGGATTGAAGTTTGGGTGGTGGTACAGAACGAATGATGGAGCGGTGGAGGCTTCTTTGGAATAGCATGCGGTGGTAAATATATACAGCGAAGAGGATGACTAGGAAATGATTTGGTGCCTCGCGGCGGGTCGGTCTAGTAGTATAAAGCAAAAGGGGAACGGTGAGGGCATCAAATAATCATGCTTAGTCGGTGGTGAATATAGCAGGGGGAGGTACGGGGTCATTTCTGCGCCCGCGTAGTGTCGTGGTCTCCTCCTCTCGGTGCGCCTCGGAAGGTTCGCACTTGGCGCGGAGCTTTAGGGGGTTAATGCGCGGGTGCCCGATGCCTGAGTAGCCCACCCTAGAGCCAACGCATGTGCAAGGAAAGGATGGTTCTATCCTCGATATCTACTCGTACCTCAGGCAGATTGCATCATCATCCTCCAACGCCATTCAATTGACTCCAATTGATTACTTCCACTGACTCAGCTGCCTCAGACTCTATTCAGGTCCGGGCTCTACTAGAAGCACCATCTTGCGACACGCCCCAATGATGAAGGGCTGTGATGGGGCTGGCCTGTTGTCTTACTCATGGCATATTCCCTCTCCGTTCAGCTCCACAGCTGCATTCCTACGCTTTCCGAGACCGTCATCCTTCACGACAACATAAATAGGGGAGACGCGGCTTCGCGAACATGTCATATGCTTTCGAAGAGATGCACGCCCAAAGGAGCATATCGCGATGCAGCATGCCTGTCCGTTGCCCCCCCGCATTATACATGCATGCATCGTGACAGCCATTCGAGATATTGATCTCATCCGTCTGGCAATCCTGCCATTGGTTGCTCCGATCAATGCCCTCCCTTGATCTTCTCCACGCTTCTGTGCGCCCTCCCACATCGAGTCCGAGTTCGCAGCGCGGGGGTTAGATCAAGGCCCGTGAACGGGTTGCTTCCAGGGCCGTGCATTAGTTCCCCTTCACCGTGCGTGGGAAGGTGAAGGGACGCACTCACCGGCTCTCAATTGACTTTCCGCCAGTTGACGTGGCAGGCTCGTGGCCATATATGTTCCTGCCTCCTCCTTTGTTGCTTCACTTCCATTTGGTAGCTTATTGTCTGCTGCATCTGTCGCTTCTGCCCTTTCCCCTTAGGCCTCCTTTAGGCATCTGCCTGGTTTGACGCTTGTTGACGCTTGTTGGGGCACTGCTTGATGGATGGTTCATGCCATGTGCGTCCATCTGTATGGTCGGCCCGTTGTGCTTAGCCTGAGGATTCCTACATTTGGTTGCCGTAAAGGTTCACCGTTGCGATAGTGCTGTTGCTTCATCTGAAGACGTACCGGGGCAGGCTAGATGCCCAAAACCTCCTCTTGGGCGTTGGAGACGCTGTCTTTCCTACTCAAGATATAGATATTGCCTTCTCAATCTCATTGGTGAAACCTTCACCGCACCGATCTTACTTGTACCGAGTACACGAGGAGAGGTGGCCAATGAGCGTCTTGCCGAGCCTCCATTTCGACCATGATGCGATGTCGGCATTCAAAATGCTGTTGCTCTGGTTGACACTTGCGCGGTGTCACAAAGTTGTGCAGAGGCAAGCATGAAGTCATAACCTTGTGGTGAAGGGCCAATCTTTTCAGAAAAATGACCCGGGGTTTATTCTTGGAAGTATCGAAAGGTGGTCACAACGTGCGCATTCCCTGTGAGATGGTAGTATGAGAAATGGAAAACGATGAGCAGCGACCACATCAGATCATCGATCATCATGGCACACGGTGTGCTCAACATCGGGTCGCCACAAAGATGGAGTACCTTCTCTTCAAAATTCACCCTGAAAGTCATCATTAGGCTTGAACGGGATTTACAAGCGCTGGATTGAGTCAGCGTCGGGGGAAAGATCGGCGAGTCTTGATTGCTCGGTATTGAGTGGCAATCGTTAGCCAGCCTATGATCTCAAGTCACTGCCCAAAGAGCGGCTGAGAAAGGGTGTGTGAGAGCCCCAATGATAAGAGCACGGCAGATCTCAAAGTCTTCAAAGAGAGCGATAGAATTTGATTGAGTCCATCACTTTAAGACCAATGATGTCTGAAGTTGTGATTTGTATGGTGGCTCTGGAAACCCAGTACCACAGGCTTTGCTGCCGATTGCGGGTGGAGAATTGCTCACTACCCAATTCAATGAAGGCTCCTGGCGGCTATCCTGTTGTGACCAGCATCTATTTGATAGAACGTGAATTGGTTGGTGCAGCATAAGCTTCATTTCTGTCTATCAATTTGCTCGAGGGTCCTTTGATGCCCTGGCAGAAAGCACTGTTCAAAAACTGCTGAGGAAACGATTTGGCGTACAAACCCGATGTATTGTGCAATAGATGAAAGGAACAGCCGAAATTTTGATACGCTCTAATTTTCTTGTATCTATGTTATAATGCTCTAGGCTCGAGGAGATAAGTATGATATACAGTATGGTTTTTTTTTTTGGTAAATGATCATCTACACATTCGCAATTCCGTTCTTCATATTACCACAATGTAGCCTAAGCTGACAATCATCAAAAATCCGTTATCTGTCTTTCCAATGGCCATGGTTAAATGTGTCCCAAGTCTGATAGAGTCCTAATGCTCGAATTTCTCAACGTGGTGACCCATTCCTGGGGGCCCAAGTCCTCTCACCTGTCACATCTTTCGCCCGTGTCTGTAATGTCTGCTGCGGATATGATGGAGGGGCTCGATGCACCAGGTCCTAGATCAACATATGCTCTACCATCTTTGTCGTGTCTCCAAGGGCATTCATTTCATCCATCGAGGAGGCTACACTTCCAAAGTCCCATGCGAGCCTGTTACCACTGCCGCCGTGGTATAAGATCTTCGTATTGTAGCAGCACTTCTACCACCCGGTCGCAAGACACTTCAGAATGCCATCCACAGGTCCATGGCTGCCTTAAGAGCACCGCCGCCCACAGTACTGCAAGATTGGCTGTATGATCGAGTGCATAGACATGGCGCAAATGCTGTTTAAAGGGACTGTTAGTGACATTTGAAGCGATTTTTGGAAATAAATTACCTGGATCAGGACTTTTAATGTCTGGTATGCCTTTGTCTCCATCTCGGCAAGATGTGTGCGGAGAGCTCGGCGAATGATCCAGACGCCAGTTTTGTCAGTAGAATTCATCTGATAAAGGTCTCTGTCAGGAATATGCAGATTCAGGATCGGCGGTTCCAATAAGCTGAAGAAGTACATTAGGACAAATGGAGGCCACGAAACATCTTCGGCTAGTCTGCGCAGAGTTGGATAAACATCTTCGACTATTTGCCATTAGTGGTGCCGCAACAGCTAAAATCAAACACTCAAATCATACATTCGATATCACGTAGCGATGAGAGCTCATTGCGCGACTCCTCTATGGAACAGTATAGCCGTCCTCGATTTAGATTCGATTCGATCTTCCCAATTGCATGAGTCACGAGCTGTGGTATCTCTGTGTCGTCGCATTGATATATGTCCGAAAGCTGCAAGAATCGCAAATTGTTGTCTTCGACGCTGAACAGCCTTGGGCGTTCCTCATCGGACTGCGAAGTCCATTCCTTAGCAGAAGCCTCTGCGATGCTGTCACTGGGCCCTGGCAACAGAGGAATTTTCCAGTCGTTGAATTGTAGAGTTGGCAGTTCGACACACTTAGATCGGATAGAAGACAACGTGTGAGCACTATCTTCCAGTGGTCTTCATAAGACGAAGCACCGTTCTGGATTTGAAGCCTGCTTTCTCCATATCAATGTCTTGGAACAGTAAATTCGACCAATTTACAAGTTGATCGTCAACAACTTTTGGAGACAAGCTGGCTACAGATGTCTTAGATTTGTCAATCATATGACGAAAGTTCTAATGCTTTATCAGCATCATAGTTAGTCGTGATCGAGCATTGACAGCACTCAGCAAGTACAAGACTGTGTAGCAGATGAATAGGTCTTCTCATACGTAGTCTTCATCGTTCACGTAAATGACATCATGAAAAACTGAGGAGGCCAAAACAAGGTAGGGATCGATTGACATACCGTGTAAAGAAAGCGGAGGAAGAGTCGGGTCTCGTCTCCGAGACCTTGTATGCAAGCGTCGAGCTCGGTGGAGGACACTAGACTGTGCTTGAGTTTTACGTCTAAATAGTCAATCAAACTTCTCTTGAAGCCGAGATCGTACTCACGTAGTGCAGAATGAAATCTCAAAGAAATTCTCGAACCAAGAACAAATTTTCCTCGGAGGGCATCGTAAATATGCAACGACTTTGAGTGACCAAATTTACAAGGCCGCACGTATTCCCGTGGATACTTTCCCGCATTTTTGCACAATGAGCCCGTAATCCAGCCTGACTCGATCTGCTCTGTGATTGAAAGGATATCTCCTTGACTAAACTGAAGGGTTCCCGCATTCGAGGGTACGTAATCATGGAGCGCTTCGAAATGGGTCCGCTCTTCCCTTGTATAGGGTACTACGAGGTATTTCGCTTTAAAGCCGTAAAGATGGACTTCAGATATCAGATTACCCTTCACCAGGAATAGTGAATGTGAATCCCGCCTTTCTAATGAGAATTGGGGATCATGTGCTTCCGCCGCAGCTACTACATATGGAATGACACAACCATCTTTAATACAGGGATACTCTTGGTGTATGAACTCGAACAGCCTTTCTCTCAGCCCTGAAAGGCCAGGTGCAATAGTGAGAGATTGCAATGGGACATCGTTCACTGATGACTGTATAGGAATTTGGTCTAAAGCATCATCTGGTACAACCGCAAGCGTCGTATTAGCTGTTGTAAAGGCCTCCGATGAGCTAGATATGATAGTATGAGACTGCAGAGGCACCTCGTTTAGTGTCGAGCCCATAAATCTGTGTTTTGAAGCATTATCTGGTATTTCTGTTAGCGTCGTCTCCGCTTCCATAAGAAACGTTCTGAGGGCGTAATGGTGATCAGAAAGACCCGATTCTGAGCCATAGATGCTAGAATCAGCTATGGAAGCCCTGTCAATATCGATCTTGTGCTGCATCTTTCTGATACGGGTATGCACCTCTGAGAGCTCTGATGAGACTGCCACATTATTTGTACTACGCCTTAGTGTCAATAAAAACCGAGACATGGAAATCCAAGATAGTAACACATAGATTAGCAATGCCAAGAGCCATCTCCAGATTTTGCTTGTGCAACGACAAGCTTGCTTTAGTATCAGTAAACTCCTTCTCGCGGTAAGCCCACAAAAAACCCCGCCACTTGCTTCTGTTGGGTTTCGAAGTTGCTTTGACAAAAGGCTTCAGCTTGTCAGAGAGCGCGTCCAAGTCTTTGACACAATTGTGCAGACTTTGATTGAGGAAAAAGAAGACAAGTTCCGTAGCAGCCTTCTTCGTGCCAGTTGCCTGCGAGATGACGCTTTGAAGCGCCGCGAGTATATCATTCAAAGCGCTCACTTCGTCTGATAAGTCGACTATGGCCTTTGGAGCTCTGTCAATATTCTCAATGAATGTTTTAAGCTTGCGACCAGTCTGCAGCGCAACGGCGGTCGTGCCAATTACGCCAAAGGTGATCGAGAGAGGGTCCGTCATTTTTCATATTATCCTCAACGCTGCAATTGTCTTGGCTATAATGGCGTATAGAGAGTCCGAATTATCATGGCAACAGACACCTCGATACGACATTACAAGTCGTAGCCCTGCCAGGTATTAGCTGAAAACCCAGAGACAGTCTAATGCGCGACATCTCGAATCTAGATCAGAAGTAGCAAAGTACCTGCCGGCAAGAAACTTGAGTGGCATCTATTTCAGGTAAGTGCATCATACTAGGCTGCAGCTTGATCACATACTGAGCCAATCGCAGGCCGCGACCGAGCCGCATATATATGTAGAGCCTACAAAGGCAGATCGTGATACCCAGCGTCTACGCTCAACACGCTGGTTAGATTGGTCGAGTGTAGTAGACCAAAGGGTGTTATGAACAGTGAGTGTGAAAAGGAGGACGCGCATTTCACAATCCAGCCTAAGAGAATGACCCAGCAAGAATGACAGCCGCAAATTCTCATTGCATGCCTACTCAAAGACACATGTCGATGAGCATATCTATGGAGAATTATTCTATCACAAGATTCGCCAGAGTGGAAATTCAATATTTACAAACCATAGTAGCGTCACCACTTCCCACGTGGCGACGTCGACGAACGCCAATGCTGACTCTTTCAATCCCACTCTGGGGGCTTATGTCAAGAGCCTTGTAAATAGCGTTACTATACCGAGAATATGCAGTAGATACTTGATCATAGGAACAACCGAAAGCAAGCTCTCACAGCGAGCAGAACGAATAGGAGGAAGAGGCGGAATGAACTCAATCATCTTCTTCCTTCTCCTCCCCCGCCTTGTCCTTCTCGGACTTCTTTGCTAGTGCATCTTTCCATATGTTATTAGCTTGTTGTGGATCTATGTCCGGGAAGACAAGGTCAAAGACGTCCGAGTACCAGTCCGCGGCGTGGCCAGTGATGCCTTCCTTGATATTCTATACCCAGGTGTTAGATCCATTGATCGTAACTTGAAAAGCTGGACTCCCGAAAAGTGGGGAAACAGAAGAATTAACTACTCACCTCAGGCAACTCCAACCAGTCTCCCCAGTTATCCTTAGGAAAGATAATTGTGCCAGCGCCTGCTCTTCTTGCCGCGACCGTCTTCTCCCTAAGACCTCCAATTCTCAAGACCTTGCCAGTCAGCGTCAATTCACCAGTCATCGCCACAGTGGGGTCTAGACTCTTTCCTAGAGCTAAAGACATCAGACTCGTTGCCATCGTGATTCCAGCGCTCGGTCCATCCTTTTGAACGGCACCCTCGGGACAATGTAGGTGAAGCTTCGCTTTATCGAAAAATTTGTTCTCGGAGAACTTCTCCGCCATTAGACCTTTGGCGAATGAATACGCTATGTGTGTCGATTCTTTCATGACGTTTTTCAAGTTACCAGTACGCTCAAGGCCCGGCCGCGATGAGGCGGAGAGTGTTGTCTCAAGGATCGACTCTACATACAACGCAGCACCGCCCATGGATGTCCACGCCAATCCCATAGCAACACCAGGCGGTGTGGTCTCGTACAACCGATCAGATGTGAAGATGGGAGGGCCCACATAGTCTTTCAAATTCTCTCGCGTGATGGCTATGGAGACACTGTCGGGGACTTTGAGCTGTTTTCTGGGATTCGTAGTCGTTTCCTTGTCGATCGAGGCTGGTGTATCTTTGACATCCGAATCGTCCTTCTTGGCCTCCTCTGCAGCGGCTTTACCTTCTTCGGTCAACCCTTTCTCTTCGCTGAAGACCTCTTCGCCAACGTCTTTGATGATGTTAAGGGCAGACTTGCGGTAGACTTTCTCAATCTGCTTCTTGAGGTTGCGCACACCGCTTTCGCGACAATATCTGTTAATCAATTCTTCAATTGCTCCCTTGTTGAGAATTACGTCCACGTCTTTCAAGCCACTGAGATCCTTGGCGGCAGGTGCAAGAAAACGATCAGCAATCGCCATCTTCTCGTCCGCAACGTAGCCTGAGAGCTCAATAACCTCCATGCGGTCTAACAGTGGTCGCGGTATGGTGTCCGTCATATTGGCTGTGCAAACGAACAAAACTTTTGACAAATCTACAGGTACGTCCATGTAGTGGTCCAGGAAAGAGTTGTTTTGCTCGGGGTCTAGCAATTCTAGAAGGGCTGACGACGGATCGCCTTGATGTCCACGACCGACCTTATCAATCTCATCGATGAGAATAAGTGGGTTCTCTGTCTGGCATTTTTTGAGCGCTTGGATGATACGACCAGGAAGCGCGCCGACATACGTCCGTCGGTGGCCCTTGATCTCCGCAACGTCTGAGAGTCCACCAACACTGAAGCGATAGTACTGCCTGTTCAGAGCACGCGCTATTGATTTGCCGATACTAGTCTTGCCAACTCCGGGGGGTCCAACAAAGCACAGGATTTTGCCCTCAACCGTGCCCCGTAGTTTTCCTACGGCAATGAATTCCAATATCCTATCTTTGACATCCTTCAGCCCGTGATGATCTTCATCTAGAACAGTCATGGCATTTTGAATACCGAAGTTCTCGGCACTTTGTTGGCCCCACGGTATCTGAGTGAGCCAATCGAGGTAGTTTCTGGTCACATTGAATTCAGATGCAGCCTGCTCAAGATGCGCAAGCTTGTTCAATTCTTCGTCGAAAGTTTTCTTGACGGCTTCAGGCATTGCCAGCTTATTCGCCTTTTCCCTAAACTTTTCGATCATCTTGTCTTTACCATCTGATTCAATGCCAAGCTCTCGTCGAATGCCTTTCATTTGTTCCATCAGCCAGTATTCTCTTTGCCTTTTTTGAATCTTGCTTTCTACATCTTTCGATATCTTGCTCTGCAGCTGAGCATTCATAAGCTCTTTCTTCAGCACCATGAGCGCCTTTTGCAACCGCTCTTCTATATTCATAGTCTCTAGCACATCTTGTAACTCTTTAAGTTCACCTGCAGAGACTGCCGCTGCAAAGTCCGCTAGCTTCGCAGGATCTTCATGTACATTGCCAGTTGACTGTGTGAGCGTGAATGTGGAGATTTGGTCTCGAAAAAGGTGATTCAGGTTTGCGACCTCCCTGAACACGCTGACTATTTCACTCGTCACGGCTCGCATGACAGGGCTGTTCTTCTCCTGCTTTTCTTCAAACATATTCTCGACATTGACAAGACTAACAGGATAGTCCTGGAGGAACGAGGTAATCTCATATGACTGTGTTTCTTTCTCTTGTGCCTGTGTGCTTGGCTCTTCAAAGCTCGCCACGACATCTCCTGACTTTTCTATTGAGGGCTGATGTTTGGGAGGTTCTTCATCTGGCTTCTCGGCCTCGACTATGGTCGGTCCAGCATTGGAAGTTTTGGGAGGCAAAAGCTTCGATATGCGTATCCTACGGTGCGGGTAAAGTACGACCGTTAGGCTTTCGTGTTCTCCAGTGACTGGAAACGCGCTTGTGATCTGGGCGAATACTCCAACGTCGTGCACGTCATCCATAGACTCGATAATGTCTTTGTCGAGGGTGTCATCCTTGAACAAGAATGCGCCTACATATGGTTGACCACGCTTCATCATTTCTTGTATAGCCGCCGTCACATTTGGATCCCGAACCGTAATAGCCTTGTAGAAACCGGGAAATAAGGGTCGTTTTGCTATTGGGATGGCCATGACCTGGGGATAGATTTCGGGTATAGAAGGTTTCTGTATTGCTTTCTCACTTGAACTTTTACGTCCCCCCTTCTTACCACCGTCTCCACTTCCGGAGCCTGACTCTCCTCCACTACCCGTAGCAGCACTACCTTTTCCATCGCTGACATTGGTTGCGCCAGAACTTGGGCTCTCTGGCGTCTTTCTTGCCTCGCTGGAGCCATCTACTTGCTTCTCTAAAGCTCCTAGTTCCTTGTTTTGCTCAAATGTGATTTCTTTCTGTGGTATAGGCTCAGGAATCTCGTCGGGTTTTTTTTCTTTTCGCCGAGGTGGCGAGGTGGTGAGAGGTCTGTGCGTATTGGGAAGACGAGATGGGTGAGTCTTTGAGTATATCAGGGATGGCGAGGGCCGAAGTGACGATATGCGCCGCTCGTGTATTGGATACCGAACTCCAACATGGCTGCAACGGAGGCAAGTCGACGAATAGCGTATGGTTGACCTCCAAGGGAGAATCTGGCCGTAGACCATGCTCTGCAGCGGGAGTAACGATGCGCAAAGATAGCAGTCAATACAGGATCATTGCACGAATATAGAAGTGGTAGTTAAGTAGATCTATATGCAAATTGAACGGTCTACCGGCAGATACTGACAAATCCTCAAATTCCAAGTCTCCATCTGATGACGACCTCTAGTCATGTCATAACGCCGCCGTCTTATCTCCATGCCAAGCCTTGTATTTTCCCCCGACGAACCCCCTGACTTTCCATCAAATTATTCAACCATTTACAAGACGTACACAAGACTCGAAGAACTCCGGAATCTCCATAGTGACACGTTAGGATTCGTTCACACTTGTGCTCTTATCAAATGCAGCTCTTGTACAGCTTTCGCCGTGCAGAGTCCGCAAGGTTTTGGAGAACATCATAAAAGTTTGACTCGTCCGGCAAATGTGTCTTTACCCTTGATGGGGAAGGGGAATAAGTCTGCTGAATCGTTCTCGCTTGATCATATAATTTACGGTCATGTAGTAGTTCTTCATTGAAAGCTTCTAACTTGCTCAGTCTACGTTCCTCGACCATTCTAAATTCTTCGCGTTCTTGAGCTTCTCTTTGTCACCGGAGGACTGACCTTACCAAATACCCGGGATCATCTTGTAGGGTACCGCTCGCTTGGCCCTATCCCACTCCTTTCCATAACTCTCTTCCATATAACCCTCAAGGATAGAAACTGAGGTAGCCCAGAATAGATACACAAAATTCGCCAACATCAGCATTCCGAACGCCCAGCCTCCACTCGCGGACGCAAAAGCTACCCTCCAGATTGTGAAACCAAGGAAATTTGGATGTCTGACAAGGCCCCAAACACCTCCAGTATAGACCTTGCCACGATTGCGCTGGTCCTTGCGGAACAGATACTTGCTGTGATCAGCAAGAACGTGCAAGACCCATCCGAAAACAAAGGGGATCGGTGTCCATCTGAATAGCTGTGGCGACCAAGTTGGGTTTCTCGCGGCCAAGTAGACGAACAGTAAGGCGTGGACGGCATCAATGAGGTTGACTTGCGTGGTGATCTGGACTGACCCGCCTTGGCCGGTCATAGGTAGTCGTTCGCGACGCCAAAGCAGATTGTACGCCGTGAAAGACAATGAAGGTAGCGTGACGCCGAGAAGAAGCAGCGACCCATACGATGATAGCCCAAGACAATCATTTAGCGATCTCAGCAGACCGTCAGGTAAACCAACGATGTAAAGTTCGTCATTTGTAGGAGGGTCCCTGGATGGCAAAGCCCAAGGAACCTTGGAAAATATCGAGTAGGGCGATGATGTTGGGGCGAGGAGTGAATAGAAGAGCAATGGCAGTGTCGCGCGGACGCTGATGAAGAGTAAGGCACCAGCCGAAGAGCCTCCATATTGACCGCGAAATGGAAAGAAATCCATAGGATCGAGTGGAGCTGGTGTCGCAGACTTTGATGCCATAACTTGCAGTGCTCGCGAGGTAATCTTGAAAAGTTGGAATTGCTGTAGTAAGACGTTGATGGACACTTCTGCTTCGAATCCTCCTAAAACAAGAGTGAATTTATGAAAGGAGGTTGGGAGGCCTTTGATTGTCTTCATTTGCTTACTGCAATGTAAGCCCTAGACTCTGACATTGGTACACTAATTCCAAAATGGACAATGTCGGTACCTTCCGTCATCTTAAACGAGCAACAATGACAGCAGATGTCATTGACTAGGAGCAACGAAGCTCCATGGTATTGACAAGTTATGCTGTAAACCTGACAGGTAGGTTGGTCTGCCATGGCGCATCCTACAGGGGTAAAATCTCCATTCTTTCTGCGAATTGAAGGTGGGAATGCTGGATCACTATTCTCACCGAGGTCTTACTAAGAGCATTCTACTTACATTACTAGTGGCAACATTTATGGCCATCCGCAATTGTCTCTGCGGTGCATGCGAGACACGTCACTTTTGGCGCGCGTCCTGATCCGAGTACAAGACAAAATGTGTGGCAGAGTGAAACAGCTCGGGCATGCTTATATGCTGGAGACATCCACAACTCTGTAAACATGGGGCGTGTGTGATCATCGCATTTGGCACTTGATATCTCATAAGTGACGCTCAGAATGTCACGAACATTGTTTCAAGCGGTCCATCATTTTATCCTACTGCTGGTCTTTTCCTCTCCTAGACTTAGCAAAGAACCTCAATGTAAGAGAGGCTCACCTGAGTGGCCTGCCCCCAGCAGGCCAAATTGTGAAGACGCCCTCGGCTTGTGGCTAAACGATATTGACACTAATTACCCCAACATTCGGTGGGTGGGCCGCCACGAGAGGTGGAAGGGCGACTATGTCGTACCCAAAGTCTACCATTCAGGAGAAGGGCAAGATATCTGCTACATATATATTGATGTCTTGAAAGATACCGATTCTGATACCATCCCATTGTATTACCTAGCGGGTTTCGCTCGGCGGATTATGACCTACTGTTTAGATCCATCTAGAGGGGTTCCAGGTCCAGGATTTGAAGTTGCAGACAGTGTTGTTAGAATCACACTGCTCGGTCCACACATCAAACCTAGCGGTGGTGACGCATCACCGAATGACAACGCTAACTCGACCCTCGATTCGATGCTCACGGCAGCAGCGCAGAATGTTTACCGAGAAGTGGAGTCGGTGCAAAGAACCACTCTTGACTAGAGTCATGATGAAGAGGCAGGCTCACTAGCCAATGCTGCAGTCAGAATGCCTGCTGTCTTCAGCGGCAGTTCCGTCGAGAGGGTGTTAGAATGTTTATACGCCAAAGTCACTTAGAAAGCCTTGTTCTTCGGCGGATATTTACGTAGACTTGGACAGATCGGCAGTTCATTGAGACTGCTTCGGAAGCCCAAGCTTGGTCGCGTGTTCTTGGACTAAAGAAACTCTTGACGCAGGCGAACGATGACATTAAGAGGAAGCGATAGGTCTCTTATTGCACGCGCTTCTCGAGGCGGTGGGCTGGTTGTCCGGGCGTTTTGCTCATTTCAACGCTCCTTCCGTAACTGATTATTTCCACGTTTGTACGTCAGCCTGCGCAGAAGTGACAACAGCCCACCTCTCCTCACCTTTGGTGATATCCTTAATCTCGAAGATAATGCATTGGGGGAACGAAATTCTATCTAGGCATTTTGGATCTTGGATACAATGCCCTCTATTCATCGACCGAACGCACCTCAGCGCCTGCCTAGTGCTGCGATTGAAAGTTCCTTCTTTCGTGCAAGAAACGATCAAAGCCCCCAAAGCTCAAACGGTCCAAACCCATCGATCCATTTGGAGTCACTAGTTAATACACCCACGCCAGTCTCTCCGAGGACAACCGTTCCACACAAGCCTGCAAGAAGAGACAGGAGCTCTGAAAGCACGAACAGTCCAAGCTTTCCCATCCCATTTTCGACAACGTTGCCCTCGGCCTCAAGACCAGAATGGCGCAGATTGCAGTCCGGAGGAAGCGGTAAATCCGATCAGGCGTCATTGGGAGGACAAAAAACGCCGACGACTCCAGACTCACCAGCATCTGGCTGGCTAGAGCGGCAAACACCAGAGACGGCCTCGCTATCCGAGTCCCTCAAATCTGAGTCAAAGGACCGTAAACGTTCTTCCATTAGCATTAAAGCTCGGAATCTTCTAGCTATCCCACAACTGCGAGTCTCTAGCGCAGCTACCAAGGATGGCGGTCCACCTCGTGAAGCAAGAAGCGGCTTCCGATGGCAGCATGAGATGTCAGGTCACTGGCTTGAGATCCGAGTGGGGCAAAGTAGACTCGTCGAAGAAAATTCACGAAAGCCATCTCGTGTTGGTGTAAGAGACCCACCCAATTTGTCTGCAAAAGCTAGGGAAATTTCTGGCATCTCCTCCGTTTCGCATTTTGCACCGGAGATCGACAATCTGTCTTCAACTGGCGTCACCTCCGACAATGTTAGGAGCAAAAACCCAAAGTCAAATTTGCACGAAGGTCTCTTTCAGAAGACCAAACGCCGACTCGGAATCAGGCGCTCAACTTCTGCTAAGAAATTCGCTTCATCTCCTCCGCTACCACGAATAGCTCCAATTCGCCGCACTCGTACTGGCGAAGTCCTCGAGCGGACAGCATCTGCCCTCCGCTTGATCTCCCTCCAACGCTTCTCTACACACACCTCTAATAGTAGCGCCCTCTCTATCGCTGATCCTCGCCAAGTGCGCCAAGTACCATCCAATGAAGCTACAATTCGCACTTCCACAATCCACTCTTCCTCGTCGTCAGATTCTATGCGCTCCTTCATGCAAGGCAAACCTCCCCTGCCGAGCCCAGATCAAAATGAAATGTACATCGGCGCCGACAACGGCCAGTATTTCCGTGTTGAGTTGACAGACCCTGGCGCCCCGACTTTTCTCCCCTCCGAAGCAAGGAGGGTCAATACCCCACCTATCAACAAGCACAAAGCCCGAGGTTTCTTCTTCAACTACAAACCCCCGAACGCAGACGATGCCATGCCGAAAATGTTCAAAGACCGAAAGCGGACCTACACCTTCTCCGAAGAGCAAGAGGAAGAGGAACTATCTCCCCCTCTTTCACCTCCCAAAACACCCATGAACCACGACCACCACGAGGCTGGACCAAAACACATGCACGAAGAAAACTGGAAGACCGGCGCAGGGTTTCATGCCGGCGGGAGCGGCAGGAGGGTGTCCGCGACAGAATGGTATAATGTGCAACTTGAAGCGATCGAGGCGGAAGCGGCGACTAGAGAGCAGTTCCTGCAGGAAATCCCGGATCACTTGGATACGTCGCCGTTGTGTCCGAAGAATTTGCGTAGTAAGGAGAAGGGGATGGGGATTTGTTCTATGCATGGCCGGAATGAAGAGGTGTGGGCGTCGATTGCCGGGGGTGGGGGTGGGGGGAAGGATTGGGCGAGGAGTGGAGGTGGGGTTGGCGGTAGTGAGGGTGAGGATAGCGAGGAGAGCGCTGAGGTCCTTCCGGGACGGCCAGTTAGGCGGACCGTCACGCGGACGGATTCGGAGCAGAATTATGGGCAGACGCATCGGATTGAGTATTGAGCTGTGCTAGTGGTGGTGGTATGAGCGGTGGGGACGTGAGTGGTGTGGTTCATTTAGGACTGTGAGGATAGAGCGGCAATTCAGGATATTCATTTGCGTTGCAGTCCTGTCTGGTTGTCGTCCCCTTGTCCCAAGATCGCTGGCCCAGAGACTGTACCACATTCTCATCAGCATCATATCTCAGAGCTTCTCTGGCGCCTGTATTTTGTCGGTTTGACATAAGGATCGGCTCAGAAGAAGTCGTGACGATTCTGGAATAGCCATACTTGCAGTGAGAATGCACACCTCCGGCAATCGGGTAGTCTTGCAGGCGTTACTACTACGACAGGCTGCTTGAAATAGATGCGAAAGTCTTATCTGATGGCGAGGGGGAAATGTCAAAGAGTTAGTTCACCTTCGTCCAGGTCGGTCTGTCCGACCCTATTACTAGTTGCATAGCAAAGAATGCATGCTAAGCACGACTTCAAGCACCTTTGTGACTGTATGTCCGCTGCAGAACACAAGATCCGATTCCAATCCAGGGGCAGGCTGAACTGAGCCATTGTGTATATGCCGAAAGCATTGACGAATCTTGCTGAGTAAGTGGGTACGAAAGGCCACTCCATTCAAAGAGTGGTCCCATCTCATCCACTGCTTTGCCAACACACACATGCGCGGCTATGGATCGCTATCATGCTTCCTACAACGAATATGCCGACAGCAAGGATGTACTGCGCTACTGAAAAGCCGCCTTGGATATCATTGCGAACGTTGGACCGCCACAGCGCTGCGGCAAGACTTGCAACGATTGAGAAGATTCCGAGGAAGATGAGCATGTAGCATGGTGGAATATAAATGGAGTAACGATTGAGGAGAGTACTCTGTAAATGCTGGGTATGCGATTCTGGCGTTGGCGAGGGTCTTGATGCTTGGAAGACTGTCGCCGCCTCAATGGCTGTGCTTGGTGCGGTGCTGGGAGGGCGAGGCGGGTGCGCATGTGACTCATGTGGATTGAGAACAGGCGACAGCTTGGCTGGCGACTTCTTTCTCGACAAAGCCCGGACGATTGGTTTTGTCTCAAGCTCGAGATATTCCAATGGCGCCAAACCAACCCTCTGCTGCCCTTTCAGACGCGCTCGGCACCATCCCTCCTCTTCTAGCATATGCGAAGTCTCCACAATCTCGAATATATCTCCTTCCTTGAACTCCAGCTCTTCCTTGTGTTCTGCGCCAGGTGTGAAGTCGTATCGCGCTCTGGCTGTTGTGGGTGGAGGTGGTGTTTTGCGACTTGGAGGAGGTGCCTTGCGGCGGACTGAGCGAGATGGCCTTAGATGTACGCCTGAGGATTCGGATTCTTTGATCCGCATGGTGCATGCGATACATTCAGAGCCTTGATCGTTAGGGCAAGGCCATAGACCTGATATTGATGATGGTTTTCAAATAACGAGCACAGTCCGTCAAATCAAGAAAACTCATAGTGCTAGATCAAGGGAAGTGCATGAGGGCAACGGTTTGATAGTCGGAGGGTGAAGGTCAGAAAGGGGCTCAGCATCTCAATTGACCGATGTCTTCCAATCACTCTCAGATGCAGACCTTTCGCCTGGCAAGTTAATACTTGGGATATCAGATTGAGGTGTAAGGGTGCGTCACGTGCAGCTGATGACAGCCTGAGGGACGGCCCGGAGAAAGCTAAAGATCGAACCAGACGATCAGTGTCCGGGCCACATCCTACTGCCTCAGGCTCTCATGACTGCCCTAGAATACAAGGGCATCTCGTAAGGAATCGTTTACGGGCAAGGTGTCTTACGAGCTTACCTATGCTGATTCACCTTGTTGATCGCTTGGCATTTGAGCACATCCTTCGGCCTTGGAATTCGAATGCCACTCTTGAAGTTGAGGTAAACTGGAAAACAATGAGTTAGACTTATGGTGTGTTCTAACACGACTATATGCCTCTTTTCAACGTGTGAGCAGCAGGTGAGCCTCAAATTGGTGTCATAAAATGCGTCTGCTTCAGACTACAGATATCACGCTACACAACTTTTACGATGATGACATCCCACCCTACGCAATTTTGTCCCATACGTGGGGTAAAGTTGAGGAGGAAGTGTCTCTGCATGATTCACGCGATGTAGCTGTGATGACACGCCCCGGATTCGTAAAGATTCAACGCTGCTGTGCTTTAGCAGCTGAACAAGGCTTGCAGTACGTATGGATTGATACTTGCTGTATCGATAAAACGAGCAGTGCCGAGCTCTCTGAAGCCATCAATTCAATGTACGAGTGGTACAAGAATGCGCAGGTTTGTTATGCCTACTTATCAGATGTTACTACAGCGCAAGGGCGCGAAATATCTGCATTCGATTCGACGCCTTCCAAAATTGTGCTCTTTCAAAGCAAATGGTTTGAGAGAGGGTGGACTCTACAAGAGCTTTTGGCTCCATCAGAGATTGAATTCTATGACCAAGCTTGGGGCAAGATCGGGACAAGATCGCGGTTGCAACGACTGATCTCAACTGCAACCGGCATCAGCTTTCCACACTTGAAGGATCCTAACAGTGCTTGCGTTGCTGTCAAGCTTTCTTGGGCTGCTCACCGTAAAACTACCAGGGTGAGTTATGTTCGAAGTCTCCCTTCTTTACTTGCCCTTTGTTTCAAGTCATGCTTGAACTTTCAACGCAGCCTTTTTCAGACTCTAATTTCCACTTAGGTCGAGGATATGGCCTATTGCTTGCTAGGACTTCTTGATGTCAATATACCCTTGATATATGGAGAGGGGCCTAGGGCTTTCACTAGGCTTCAACAGGAGATCATAAGGAATTCTAGCGATGAGTCTGTGTTCGCTTGGACAGACCCTGAAATACAATATAGCGGAATGCTGGCTCGCTCGCCGGCTGCTTTTGCATTGTCTGGTGGCGTCGTCGAAGCCACATTCGAGCATTCGGACAGACCTCCATATACGATTACGAATAAAGGTTTGGCAATCCAGACATTCCAGAAGGAACATGACCCACAGTACTTTTCCGACTCCAACAGATGTGTCCAGTTATTACATCTTCAATGTGCTGCATGGCGTGGTGAAGCCGAAATGTCGTATATTCAGCTAAAATTAACCAGGAAGACGAGGAATGAGTGGGTTCGCTCAGGAGCATGGATTAGCCGACCTGCCCCGGTTTCTCGCACCCCCATCGTCGCGTCAGAGAGGGCTGTGCCGGAGCGAGTAACTTACATAGACGCAGTATACAGACTCGACGCAGTCGCAGGTCTACAAAACACCGCAAGTAATGTCAAAAAGTCGGTCTTCATCATAAATCGGTTCACGGCGGGCATTCGCAAGAAAACCTTTCCTGTTCTACGCGAGAAGTTCTGTCTAGATGGTGAGGCTGCCGTTTCTGAGCGGAGGATCCAAGTTACTGCTCACGGGCCTTTATTTGCCGCACTACTTTTACAGTGGCAAGAAGATCTTCTCTACACTCTGATAATTAAATCACACGAAAACGACGCTCAGATAAGAGTCATTTCAATGGACGGTAAGAGTCCCAATCTCTTGACACAATCTGTCTTGGACACTTTCATCGACGAGCACCGTATTGGACGGTGCTGTTTTGCAGATAGCGGGCCCAAGTCTCAATTCACCTGGAGGCGAGGGATGGGTCTTCAGGCTGACTTGAACTATCTCTCCGGTCGAATAATTGCTGTTCCAGGTTTCGAATTAACGCTTTATGATATCTCGCTAGCACCCACCTCGCTTCAAAGTTGGCTATTGAAGCATATAGATGGCAAGTAAAGATGAGCACGTCTGATCTTGACAGCGAAAGGAATGGCAAGGCAACTCTAGAGTGCGAAGCTGCTTGATCCGGCACTAATTTGGAAACGCTTTTGTTGTCGCCTTCATACAACTTGACGTACGCTCCCATCCATGTCGACCTTTCGATAGCCAGGTAAATGGGTCACCTGATTGCGCATCAGCATCGCTCGTTTGAATCGCTAGCTTGAAAATGTGGTCGTTTCGCCCCGAGCATTTCCAAAGTCACTCTTCATAGGTATTAGGGTGAGCGCCACCCTCTCATTAGTGAACCTGGTTTAGAAGGTGCCTAGCTCACGATCTACGCTAACTCGTGTGGCGCCCGCAAGCGTTGCAACAGTAAGAGATGAATGCCTTCTTGGCGTGCTAAGAGGCTTTGAGATGACGAATAGGAAGTTGTTCCTGTCCAATACTGTAAATTGAGGTTCGCCCGGCGGCCCAGCCCTCGACGACCTTGATATCTGCTACCATGCTGTTTACACGACCCTCGGACCTAGTCTATGCATCTCAAACAATTCCAGCACGATTTGTCAAGATAAGAAAAGCAGGATATCGAGAGCGCCATGGAGGTACGAAACGTCGTACCTGCTACTGTTCTGTCACGGCTTCGAGTACAACCTTGCAACAGGTGGGCAGCAAGCCATGCCGCTGGCCAGGTTTGTTTTAGTCGTTACGTGGTGTCTCGAGCTTACCTCGCCTGAGCATCTGCCCCTAGGCCACCTGAGCACTCGCTCGTGGCCCCGTCTGGAGGACAAAGTGGGGACCAAGCACTAGGAGATCGTCACCTTAGCTCACGAGTTTCAGCCACACAAATGGTGTCAGCCTTGTTCTAGCATCTGGCCCCATGCCTTCTCCTTTCTCGGCCGTGGGCTATGATACGCTATCGCTTCCTACTTATGGCCGCGTTGGCCTGTATGGTCGCATTTGTTTGCTTTAACATAGCTCTGCCAGGCCTGACCATCTGGGTTATCTTTCCGGGGTGATTAAAAAAAAGTGAATCTTCAAAATGCAGTCCAAATTTTCAACCGATAGAACACAGCGGATGACCAGAATGCACAATATCGGCGGTGGAACGGAGTGAAGCCAAAGACCTTGGGTGGCAAATTTTGTTTTTTGGGCAGAATTTTGAGTCTTGTTGAACCAATTGGGCTTCCACCGCATTATCGGGGATTCCCAGTCTGGTTTCCAAATGACGAATTGTCCGAGCCCATTCGATACTCTTCAAGCGCTGCAGCTCCCGGCTGTCAAGACATGGGACACTCATTGCAACTGGACAGCCTACCTTGAATCAAATACCGCATCCCTTGACAGTGCTTCTTACCTTCGCAACGAGTGTATGAGCCGGTCTGGCAGCAATGAATCGAAACAGTGTCCTTTGCTGGATCAATATTGCAACAGCGCGGAATTCGTCTTCGCCTCCAGGCCTCTCCTGACCGTATGCTCGCTTTACCCGAATGTGACTCTTACCTTGCCTGAAATCAAGACGTCGGCAACCAATATCACCATCAATGATGCCTCGCGAAAATACACACGTCGACAAGCATTTGAATTGTCTTCAATAGTATCAACAGGCCTCCTTAGCTATTGTGCCTTGCTACCCAAGTGCTCACGATCAGGGGCTTGTTCCACAGCCACCCTCTCAGATATTGATGGTCAACTTTCTGGTCATGGTGTAGTAAGGTGTTGGGACCAAATTTGCAACTCATACGTCGCAAGTGTAAATCCTGATTTCGGTGGCCTTGGTGTCCGTTTACAGCTTTTGAAAGAATGCCTTCTCCGCTAATGATATGACAGATGATTCTATCTTACCTCATCCAGATATCAATCGCCATACTTAGTCTCGCAATAATCGCCACACCCCAATTCGTCAAGCTCAGTCGATCAAACGAACTTCAAGCGCCAGTAACCCAACGGCAGCACTCACACTCCTCTGACAAGACATCGCACACCAAGCCCCAGCCAAAGGCCTCATCCCACCTCCTCAATTTCCACCGCTTCCTCTCCGACTTCCACACACTTCAATGCTACTACTCAACCACCCTCCAAATCGCCACCTTCATCGCCCTCTACGGCCCCCTCTCAACTTCCAACAGCATCAAAAACCCCTTCGACGGCGCCTTCCTCCTTCTCGTCAGCACAAACGGCATATTCCCCATCGCAGTCACATTCTACACCCTCCTCCTATGCAACAGACTTACTCTATACGACGTGCTACTAACCAGTCTCTCAGCCATTTTGGGCTCCTGCACCGGCATCGAGCTTGTTGGACTACTCTCGAAACCGTATAACAGAACCCAGGCAACGAAATTTGCAGACAGAGGTTGGCCTACTGCCACGGGCGGGTTGGCTCCGGAGGGAATCTGTGGCAGGAACTATGAAATTAACTACCCTAAGAAGCTGAAACCGGAGAGATTCTTCCTAGCTGGGGCAGCGCTGTGCGATGCACTTATTGTCTGTGTGATCGTGCGGTGGCTAGTAACATCTTTTCCATCCCCCTTGTCACGAATCAGATGTTGGTGGACGCGTCTTAGGCATATAAAGTTAGTCGGGCGATTCTCTTTCGCTGAGCATACGGGAAGGTTGATGAGAGCGGCGGTACATGTGGCAGCAGGGTCAATACTTGTCTGGTGCACTGCGATGGAGTTGTTCTTCTTTTACCAGATGCTGGTACCGCAGTACGATCGTATTGTCAATGTTGAAGATTGGGGGTTTGGCCAGATCGTGGGAATTGCTGTCTGGGCTGCCGTGGTTGTTGATTATGTGAGGCATGAGCTTGGCTTGTGGTGGGAAGACCGTACCTAACCATGTGGTGGGAGGGGATTTCTCTAATGTAAATAGACTCTGTAAGCTATACACAAGTCTCCCTACCATAGAGCATTTTCTACAAACCCACAAGTGGTACCAGTGATGGTGGGAGAGGGGCTTTGGATCTTGTATTTTAAAATTTTAGGGATCGTGTGCTGTATTTCCATCTTTGTACATTGAAACGAATTGTTCTAGACGGCCTTACAGTGTTTAAAGTCTGGTGTCTTCTCAATGATTTGCTGCCTCCTACAATCAAGCTGCCTATATTCCAGATGAGCAGGCAGTGGTTTGTATCTATGGACTCTACGACGACTGGAAATCCAAGGAGGCTAGTCTGTGCCGAGACCGCTGAGACAAAACCCCTGTAGTCATTGACAATAATATACCAGTAGTCTGCTAAGGTTGTAACATTGTAACGCTTGTCAAAACAAGAGAAAAAAGGGGCCATCAGTATTAGTGCCGCGACCTTGTGCACGCGACTCACTTTTGGATCTGGACTTTTCTGGCAGCTGCCGTCCCAATCTACTCTCTTCTTCTTTACAAAATGGCAAATCATGACCCACTGATCAGTCTGCGCCAATCTATCGCCTCCGAAAGCCCAATCAGCCTTTCCGCCTCCACAGATAATAATCCCACTGAGAACCTCGCCGTCGCAACCCACCTCTATTTTTCAGCTCCCGAACCACACGCCATATCCTTAGACACACCAACGCGCTTCATTTCGTCCGAGAAGCCCGTCGACCTCCGTAGTATCTTTTTCGCCTGGCAGAAGCGTCATGATGCCATCCAAGACTATATTGATTCTGTTCAGTCACTCAGTGATGAGCTCGAGAAGTCCGGCCAAGCTGGACGAGTGACAAACTTAGTGTTCGTTCAGAGACTAGACTTGATCACATGGCTCGAAGGGGCTTCGGACGAGAGTGAATTCATCAAGCCATTAGAAGGAGACAGCGCGGCAGCTAAATCTGCTCAGCTTGCATCCGGGTCGGCTGGGGGAATCGCCACAGTACCTAGCAGCGCTGCCGCTGCAAGAATCGGGAAACAAGTCGACCCGCGACTACAAGAGATCTATAATCTTGAGAGAAGGATGGGGGATAGAAATAGCATACTTCGTGGTCACAAGCCTACAGTGAGGTTACCATGACCTTTCCACACACGCCAGAATACTAAGATCTCAGGACTTCTCCTACGTCCGCAAATACTCCGAGACCTTCATCAAAGACAAGAAGAAACCCAACGCCCCCTCCACCATCCCTGCAAACCCCACCACAACCCTCGCCTCACGCGACAAAAAGCCCGGCCGACGCCCCGACCCCATCATCCTGCTCTCCCCCTCCGCTTCCTCCCTCCTACGCATGTCAAACATAAAATCCTTCCTGGACAGCGGTACCTACGTCCCCGCAGACTCCTCCTCCACGACAGCCAATATCCTGCACGTATCCCGCCTCCTCCCCAGCATCGACCCGCAACGGCCTTTCCGCTTCATCCTCGTCGACACGCCTGAGCAGTTCAAGCCCGATTATTGGAATCGCGTTGTGGCGGTGTTTACGACGGGGCAGACGTGGCAGTTCAAGAGCTATAAGTGGCAGAATGCGCCCGATCTGTTCAAGCATTCGCTCGGGATTTATCTTGGGTGGCGGGGGGAGGATATTCCGGCTAGTGTGAGGGGGTGGGGACGCGGGGTTACGAGTGCGCAGGTCGATAAGTGGAATCCGGCGCAGGGCGTGCAGGGGCGGTGGAGGGATAGGGAGGTTGTGGAGGGGATTTGGGGGAGGGTGGAGGAGAGTATGAGGAGTAGAGGGTGGAGCAAGGATGGGGGGCCGGTGGAGAGGTGATGGGGCTGGAGACTGGGCTTCGCGCTCTGGAGTAAATTTTCGAGTGGGAAGGATGAGGAAGACTTAAGCGTTGGCGTTGTTGGGAGATATCTGTCCTGGCAAGACTTAACCTATTGGAAATTGAAAAAGGATTACTTGTAGCTATCAAACTACACGGCTCACAAGCTTGTGCAAATATTACACTCGTCTACTTTCGTCTTCACCTACTTCACCATCACTCTCAGCCCCTTCGAATCAAGCTTGGGCAAAGGCAGCATGAAGTCATGCACCAATTTGACGTCAGTCTCATCAGTCTCGAAAAGCTCGAGCTTTGGCCCGCCGGGTCGGAAGATGCACGCAAGTACGATGTACAGTTCAGCGGTGGCGAGACTAGATATCAAGGAATCAGTTACAGCGAATGAATGGCATCCCGAGTACTAATGATGATACCAATGGGAAGGAAGACTTACTGCATCCCTAGACACTGCCGTGATCCTTTGGTGAAGGGCACCCAATTCCTGTCCATCAGTGGATTGTAATCTCCAAGCCAGCGGTCGGGGATGAACTTGTCAGGCTCAGGGTAGATTTTGGGGTCTGAGTGCATGAAATAGGCGGACATGCCGACAGATGCCTATAGATGTGTCGAAAGATTAGCTTTGGCTCCATAGGTCGATGGAGCGTAAACTCACGCCTGCGGGTATTGTCCACTTTTTGTATTGGATGGCGCAGTCCGGAGAGCAGCGTGGTAGTCGATGCACTATGCCGTAGCCGAGACTGCCAATGAGCATTAGCATTGTTCATTATTTTGGCAGTCATTGACTTGCCGGAGGCCTTCTTTAATGACAGCGTGCATATATGGCAACTTCTCCAGCTCGTCAAAGGTAGGAATCTGCTCTGGGAAGCCAGCAGTAAGGTGTCTGAGCTCTCGGCTTAGTCGTCCCCTGATGTTGTCATTTGCCATAATGTAGTAGGAAATAAAGTCGAAAAGACGACCGGTGGTGACAGATCCGCCACCCAGTAGGATTTGAGCTTCTCGGGACAATCTCTCCGTTGACTTCTCTGATTCTGGCATGTCACTACTCATGACGTGGCGGAAAATGGAGGTGTGAATCTCAGCAACTCCGCCGCCGGCGTCTGCTTGCTCTTTCGCACGCTTTGCATCCAAGATATGGGCTTTGGACATCTGAATCGTTGTTTAGCAGCTTTCTCTTATGGAGGGAGACATCAGTCCGACCGCTTCGTATCTAACCATAGCATTTCCGCCTGGAAATGCCCACAACAAGATTGATTTTGGTATCAGCGCGACGATCCTGCACCCTTGCATTGAGACGTGTGCTCTAGAAAACTGACTCTTCTTAGACTCACCTGATAAGCAATGGTAGATTAACGAAAATTGGCATGGAGAGGGCGATAGACTCCAGTGTATTGAACCTGACACGCGTGAGCAATCGCCACGGTGGGAAGTTGGCTTTGGTGTACCATTCAGGCGAAAAGTTCGGGTCGTCAAGATAGCTCTCATCTGACTCGGTACAGATGTTGCGCATGACATCGCCAGTCAATGCTGCGAATACATGATCTAAACGGACAATAGTATCTGTTCCTTTCAATTGCTCAAGCCGAGCGAGCAACCGCCGGGCACAGTCATTCAGCATGGGAGTAAGTCGCCGAACGCCTGCTCGAGAGAAGAAGGGTTCTAGTGGCTTTCTTCGTCTGCGATGTAGGTCGTGCTTGTCCGTTATAAAATGTGAGTCTTCATCGATCAGTCAAATACCTCGCCCCCAGTGGACTTGATATTCCCTACCATCAAAGCCCAATCCTTTCGCAAAGGCATGATAGTTGTCTGTTCGTCGTTTACTCTCCACAACATAGATCTCGTTGTAAAAATCTGCGTCATCAATGGACAACTCTTCAGGGTTGACTCTGACAATAGGGCCTTGACAAGACATTAATAGTGTCTTCTCTCATACGTATGCATCATACCATAGTCTCGATGCATTTGCTCGATGCGGTAAAGGTACGAGCCATTCTTCACATAATCGTAGTAGAACTCGTAGAGTCCTGTGACCGCTGCTATCTTTGGCCCAGGAAAGCCTGCGAGTGGAGCGAAGAACAGTCTGTATACAACGAGACCAAGATGGTAGGCTAGAAAGACAAGGAACATAACAAGAGACAGCCCAGCATTGAATGCTTCGGGCAGAAGCTGCGAAATACCCTCCATCATACCATGAGAAACGTGGGACAGCAATAAGGAAGGGCGATGAGAAGATGAGCATTTCTTGCCTTTCTACAAACTCGAGTCCTTTGTCAGACCAAAAGTCTATCTCCTCGCCACAGATTCAATGATATGAGAGCGCGTTAATGGATGTGTCACATGCTCGCAAGTATGCATATGCATATGTCTTTACCGACTCGTGCAGCTTTGGCTTTTGCAGATCATTTGACGACAGCCCAAATGCCGCCAATTGCAGACATGTACCGTCGTACAGTGTGGGGTTTGCATCAACCATTGACTCTGAGCGGGCCAACCCACGAGTCAGTGATTTGTTTAGTTCGATATCCGACATAGAACTTATGCAAGGTTGACACGTCCGCCACGGGCCTTCTGCGGCCCTATCCTGCATTGTTCTCGCGAGGATTCCTGCACTACGGTTCTAGGAAGGTCTAAGATGAGAACGCGCAAATAGACTGGCTTGCTGATCGCGATGTGCTCATGCCTATCGCTGACCATAATACTTGCATTTTACAACCGGTTGATTATCTTCCCGAATTCTTGCGGGCTTTGAATAGGGGTTTGCCAAGCCTCGTCAGCTGTTGCTGAGTCAGCCGCGGGGCGCGCCTCCTTCCGCGTTGTTTACTTTTTGCGACTTTGGATCATTACCCAACGATCACAGCCGCGAACGACACTCACCGTCAAGATGAGGATCATTGAGCTCGTGATTGATGGCTTCAAATCATATGCTGTCCGTACGGTCATCAGCGGCTGGGATGAGAGCTTCAACTCAATTACAGGACTCAACGGATCCGGAAAGTCGAATATCCTAGATGCAATATGTTTTGTCCTTGGTATTACGAGTATGAGCACTGTGCGGGCGCAAAATATCCAGGTGAGTCCTGATCAAATTTGGTGATTCACCGGAAATGATTCTGAAATCATGTAGGATCTCATCTACAAGCGAGGGCAAGCGGGCGTTACCAAGGCGTCTGTCACCATCGTCTTCGATAATCGGGACACCAAAAAGTCACCGATAGGCTTTGAAGAATATGCACAGATCAGTGTGACCAGACAAATTGTCCTCGGAGGCACCTCCAAATACCTCATCAATGGCCACCGCGCGCAACAGCAAACCGTTCAGAACCTCTTTCAATCCGTGCAACTCAACATAAACAATCCGAATTTCCTCATCATGCAGGGTCGCATCACCAAAGTCTTGAACATGAAGCCTGTGGAGATATTATCTATGATCGAAGAAGCTGCAGGCACTAGGATGTTTGAGGATCGCAGAGACAAGGCTTTCAAAACCATGAATAAGAAGGAGATGAAAGTTCAAGAGATCACGGAGCTATTGAAGGAAGAGATTGAGCCGAAATTGGAGAAGCTCAGATCAGAGAAAAGGGCTTTTTTAGATTTTCAGACTACGCAGAGCGATCTGGAGAGGTTAACGAAGTTGGTCGTTGCTCACGATTACCTCAAGAACAGAGAAAGAGGCAAGCAATCCGCAAACGATCTAGAGCTTAAGAAGCAACGGACGGCTGATTTGGAAGACGGTGCGAGGAGAATGAAGAGCGAAATGACACATCTTGAGGAAGACATCAAGAGAGTAAAAGCCGCAAGGGAGAAAGAGCTTAAGAAAGGCGGAAAATTCCAGGCCTTGGAGGAGGAGGCAAAGATGCACTCACACGAAGCAGTCAGACTTCAGACACAGTCTGATTTGAAATCGGCAAGCATGAAAGAGGAGCAGACGAATGGAACGGGACTCAAAAGTACGGTCAGAGATCTCGAGGCTCAGCTGAAAGAAAAGAGCAAACTTTACGATAAATTGCAAGCACAATACGACAAGGCCAAGGCTGATCTTGACAGCCAAAACGAAGAGGTAGAAAAGAAAGAGGATTTACTGCAATCGTTACAGACAGGTATTGCTGCAAGAGATGGTCAGGAAAGCGGGTATCAAGGACAACTTCATGAAGCCCGAAATCAAGTCAGCGCCGCAAGTACTGAGCAAGAGCAGGCTAGGATGAAGATCCAGCATCTAGAAAAGCGAATCAAGGAGGACGAGCCACGCGCCAAGAAAGCAAAGGAGCAGAACTCAGGCTTGACGAAAAGCCTGGAGACATTGAAAGCTCAAGCCAAAAAGCTGGAAGCAGAACTCAAGAAGTCGGGCTTCGAGCCTGGCAAGGAAGACGAAATGCATCAACGCGAAACCTCACTCCAAAAACAGATTAGATCTTTGAGAGAGCAAGCTGACGGGTTGAAGAGAAAAGTGTCGAGCCTCGATTTTTCGTATAATGATCCTTCTCCAAAGTTTGATCGGTCGAAGGTGAAAGGCCTAGTTGCACAATTGTTCACGCTCGACAAAGACAAAACTAAAGCTGGTACTGCACTCGAGATCTGCGCCGGGGGTCGGCTTTACAATGTAGTCGTAGACTCAGCGGAGACCGGCACTCAATTATTGCAGAACGGCAAGCTGAAGAAACGTGTCACCATCATCCCGCTAAACAAGATATCAGCCTTTAAAGCATCCGCAGACAAGATAGGAGCTGCCCAGAAATTGGCGCCAGGCAAAGTTGATCTTGCCCTCTCTCTGGTTGGGTATGATGATGAGGTGACAGCGGCAATGCAGTATGTATTTGGCTCGACGCTCGTATGTGAAGATGCCGAGACGGCAAAAAGAGTCACCTTTGATCCTGCCGTCCGTCTCAAAAGTGTCACGCTCGAGGGAGACGTTTACGACCCTTCGGGTACCTTATCCGGAGGCAGCTCACCTAGCTCGAGCGGAGTGCTTGTTATTATGCAAAAGCTGAACCTTCTTACTCAAGAAATGCAAGGCTATGAGGTGGAGCTGGCAGAACTGCAAGGTGCTATGGCAAAGGAGAAGAAGAAGCTCGAAAATTGCAAGAAAATAAAACAAGAGCTTGATCTGAAGACGCATGAAATAACATTGACTGAGGATCAAATTAAAGGAAACTCTTCGTCCTCCGTAAGTTTATCATGGGAGGAGATGCTTTGACTCAACTGACTCTTTACAGATTATTTCAGCGGTGGAGGAGATGAGAGCCAACGTCGAGCAGCTAAAGCAAGACACTGTTGAAGCGAAAGCCAGGCAAACAGAGGCGTCCAAGGATATCAAACGGATTGAAAAGGATATGCAAGACTTCGACAAGAATAAAGACAGTAAGCTCGCTGAGCTGCAAAAGAGCGTCAACGACTTAAGGAAAAGTCAAACGAAAAATTCTGTCTCGGTCAAGACCCTTCAAAAAGAGCTTCAGTCAAGTAGACTCGAGGCCGAACAAGCAGGGGCCGATCTCGGCGCTGCCCAGGATCAACTAGCAGAGGTTAATTCGACTCTCAAAGCACAAGAGGCCGAGATCAAAGCTCTACAAGGAGAGCAGGCTCGAGTCAAGGTTCGTCCATCCATGATCAGCACTTGAACATCTACTCACATATTCTAGGATGCCCAAGATCTTGCACAAGCAAAGCTAGATGATGAGCGCGCTAAATTGACCGGCTTCGACGAAGAGCTGAACGCGCTTGAGAATACGTCAAGGTCCAAATCTCAACGGATAGCTGACGATGGTTTAGAGCTCCAGAGACTGTCACACCAAGTCGAGAAGTTTGTTAAGGATCAACAAGCTGCTAATCAAGTGCTTCGCGAGATGGAGAAGCAGCACGACTGGATCGCCGAAGAAAAGGAAAGCTTCGGTAGAACCAACACGCCCTATGACTTCGCAGGCAAAAACATCGCTGAGTGCAAATCCTCTATGAAAAGCCTGACCGAGCGCTTTCAAGGCATGAAAAAGAAGATCAACCCGAAGGTCATGAATATGATCGACAGTGTTGAGAAGAAAGAAGCTGCCCTAAAGAACATGATGAAGACTGTCATCCGTGATAAGACAAAGATCGAAGAGACTATCGTCAGCCTGGACCATTATAAGAAAGAAGCGCTGCAGAAAACATGGACCAAAGTTAACCGTGACTTCGGCGCCATCTTCGCAGATCTCCTACCTGGCAGTTTCGCCAAGTTGGATCCTCCAGAAGGCAAACAAATCAGTGATGGTTTGGAGGTGAAAGTTAGCTTAGGCAAGGTCTGGAAGCAATCACTCAACGAGCTGAGTGGTGGTCAACGGTATGCCCCTTTCCCCTTTCCCCAACCAAATCCCCTTCTTCTCCAAGAGAATAAGCGACATGCTCACAAAGTCACAGCTCCCTGATTGCGCTCTCCCTAATCCTCGCCCTTCTTCAATTCAAACCCGCGCCCATGTACATCCTCGACGAAGTGGACGCAGCGCTCGATCTCTCACATACGCAGAATATTGGCCGCCTTATCAAAACGAGATTTAAAGGTAGTCAATTCATTATTGTCTCGCTGAAGGACGGCATGTTCCAAAATGCGAATCGAATATTCAAGACGAGGTTCCAGGAGGGTACGAGCGTTGTTCAGGCGTTGACGAGTGCGGATATGCGATGATGATGGTATTGACGATGTGTATGCACATTATTTGAATTGGGGACATCTTAGAGATTAGCATGGTGTCTGGCGTGAATGATTTGTTTAGGGGGAGGTATATACAGCATTGTAACGTTGATTGTATTGGTTTCTATTAGTATTAAAACTCAGGCAAATTTTAGTCTTCGACTGTTTGTACCCTCCTAACTTTCCTCAACTTTTCCCCTCTACCTACCATGACTATCCCACCCACCCCCCTCCATACCTACCACTGCCCCTGCTCCACCCTCCTCTTTTGTACACCATACAACCTCTCTTCCCTCCCGCGGCGCAACCCTCCGTCTCTCGATCGAGCGTACATTCTGCCTCTCCCTCCTACCCCCTCAACCAACCCCAACATCAATACCCCCGGCCCCACCACTACTGAGAATGCCTTTCTACCCTCTCTGCTTTCGGCAAATCTCCTCCCGGCCCGCAAAATCACTGTTGTGAGGAGAGAGGATGGATATGAGCGCCGGAGAGTGCATAGGTGCGGGAGGTGTGGGTTGGGTGTTGGGTATGAGGCTGAGAACCCAGGGGGCAACGGGCAGTTGGCAGAGATGGGAGGGGCAGGGGCAGAGGAAAGGGGGAGAATGAGGGTTTTGTTTTTGATGGAGGGGTTGGTGGAGAGTGAGGAGTTGGGGTTGGAGGGGAGCGGTGGTGAGGGGGGTGGTGGGAAGTGAGGGTGTCAGAGCTCGAAGAGATCAGGCGAATATTGGATACGGGCATAGAGGTCTATTGGTTATTGGATACAGATGATGTGAGAAAGGACAGTTCAGCCCACAGCGCTGGGGGAACTGAGGTTCATTGCGGCTGCAATTCGGATGATGAACGAATGGCGCCCGCATGCTATGTGATTTCCAGGGAAATCGAAGGAAGAAAGGGCCAATGACTGGGCAACACGAGGACAACGCATGGGGAGAGGCCAATCAGTGGGAGCATCCCAGCTCCATATGCAGTGCTCTTTACATGAAGAGGCTTCCCAGCCCACGCGACGTCCTATTTAGTTCCTGAATCCGTCACATCATGAACGCCATAACCGATGTTGATTGTGAAAGAAAGTGAAGAGGCGATGATCAATTCGCTAGAATAGTGCGGACGAGGTCTGCTAATTGTCAGCGATTTCATTTCGTGGGCAGCAAAAGAGTATAAATATACCGGTGTAATTGATTTCTCCACTGCTCGTGTCTACTGCCTTGAGTAGTTCGTCCACCTCTTCATCGCTCATTTTCTCGCCGAGATTTGTAAGTACTGGAGAACAAGTGCGTTAGTCTCGTCACCCTTTTTGCAAACTTGACGTCAATGTGGACCCACTGTATCTCAATTGGCCCACACCAATGAAGCCCGTCATATCCTTGTCAAATACCTGAAAGCCACGGCAGTACTCTTCCGGCTCGCCTGGATCTCTGAAACCGCCTGGTCTGTTGAGTACTTTTTGAAATGACTCGAAATCAACTGCCAGAAAAGGTGCTGATTAGCTTCAATAATTCCTCCAGCTGCTTCATACAGCATCTCTTGCGGGTCCTGATACATACAATCCCCACCCATACTCTTCTCCAAATCCTGAATCTCAGCGAGTGTAGGATTTTGTCCGCACGCTCTTAGCAGATCTCCCAGGGAGGAGAGAGCGACGCGACCGTTCCCACGCTTGTCGAAGAGGGCGAAGGCTTCTTTGTAGTTTGTGGAGGCCTACATGGTGGTGCGATGTTAGAGACATTGCGCTTTGTTGGGCGCGGAGAAAATGAGCGTGATTAGGTGTGAGGTAGTTTGTATCCTCCTCGCTTATGGGAGGAAGTCTCTCCATTGAGAAATTGATGTGTTTCCTCTTGTGCAATTTTGAGAACCTGGCAGGGAGGATGCGCTGCAATTTGGAGCGAATGGGAAAGGGATAAGTGGGGGACGAGGGGGAACTGACCATGCTTCGGATATGCAAAAGATTCTGGATCGAACAACAGTAGTCTCTTGAGAGTCGGATGTAATACTTGCGAATGTTACTATTTGAGGATTGCGATTGCTGTGTAGGTTAGGAATGTCTTCGTCGTTGAGGTAACTTTGTTTACTCCGGCTTTAGATATTTCCTTTCGAGCTTAACCCCGGGTCTTGGCGCTCAGCGGGCCGCCCTGAGCGATTCGTTCAATCGGACACCACGACTTTGCACGATATCGTGAATGTTAACGATTCAGGGATTACAAACAAAATCCCTGCGTCATCGACCATGCACTCATGCATCATGACTGCAATGTTGCCTCGTTGTCACCAGCCTTGCTGTTGTGATTGCATGACTCGTTATTCTATGCCTCGTCCCCACTGAACAACATCATACTAATAAATATCTTTTCATACTTGAAGAAAAATGTTATGATTCGAAGAGTACTACAAGTGTGCTCCCAACTCTTCACACACTCGCAGCATACTCGGTCTCCGAAGAGGCGCTCGAATCTATCTAGGAAAGGGTCTTCCCTTACAGGTCAGAATGTCTCAGGAAGATCATTGTATAGTACAGTGATCAACACTGACCTGTAATTTCCGGGTGTTCCAACGCCTTTTCTAGGCTTTGAGGGCTGGAGGTTTGGCCTGTATTTGCCGGCGCGAAGCCGCTAGACCCTTAGACCCGGTCGACTAATCGTTTGCTCAAAGGAGCACATGCCGGCAGTGAGAGACGCTCGAGCGTTCATAGAGACCTTTGCCAGCGGACAGCTTTGGATACTTTTATTGCAGGCAAAGGTGTTCATCCTTGCTCTTGCAAACAGTGGTCCATGCGAGGGCGACGTTAGAATACTGATATCCTGCATATTTCCTTCCGGCAATAAGGCAGGTTCATGACATGTGGCCTCTGTTGGATGATCAACCTGTCCATGTTGCTTCTGAGTACTATAATTGTCACTTGTTAGTAGTGAGTCTCTATGTCCATCGCCCCAGTTGCTTTACCTCTTCTTTTCGTATTCTGGCATTGGGTCATTCGTTCTTAGTAGGGACGGATAGACCTTGAGATGGCTCAACATCACACCCACGTTGGTCTTGTAGGAGCTGGCATTGGCGGACTAGCAACGGCTATAGCCCTTCGGCGGTCGGGGGCAAATGTCACTGTCCTGGAAGCAGCTTCAGAGCTAGGCGAGGCAAGCAATTAATCAGTATTCATTGATCTTGCCAGTCTGATCATGGACCACAGATTGGAGCGGGCATTCAAATGGTTTGCAACCATTGATGGCGAGGAGCTGCAAAGCCCGACTGATCGGAGAAGACACCTAATGTAAGCCGCTTGCTTCAAGCATGGGGCGTCGCAGACGTGATCGGAAACGACCTCGTGTGTGTGGACGAGCTCAATCTGCGCACTAAGGATGGATCGAAGATCGGATACACACCAATGAAACGTGTAGAAGAGACAACTGGCCATCCTTGGTGGGTAGTTCACCGCGCACATCTGCACGCCGGACTTGTCGAGGTAGCGATCAAAGAGGGTGCAGATATCATCATCGGTTCTACAGTCACGCGACTTGACCATGAAAGCGGTCATCAAGTGCTAGTGGAGACATCGAAGGGCAAGATATACCACTTCGACCTCCTGATCGGTAGCGACGGTATCAAGTCTATCGTCCGCAAGACCCTCTTTCCAGACGTCAAACCCACACCACCGACTACGAACTGCGCCTATCGTGCTTTAATTCCCTATACGCAGGTTCAAAAAGACCCTGTCGCCTGTACTCTGGTCAAAAGACCAACAATGGAGGTCTGGATGACTGAGAATGCCTACATCATCTCCTACCCCATCTCCGATGGCACGCAACTCAACTTGGTCCTCTCGCACCACCGTCCTCATCCTGTAGCCTCAGTCGAAGAGGTGGACATGGATGAATTCCGTGCTACGTATCAAGACTTCGATCCTAGAATCAAGCGAATAGTCGACATGGTGCCCTCTGCTAAACGATGGCCTTTACTAGTCACCGGCCCCCTCGACACATGGAGCAACCCCAACAAGAAGGTCGTCCTGATTGGCGACGCCGCGCACAGTATGGTGAATCACATGGCACAAGGCGCAGCCACGAGTATGGAAGACGGCGCTTTCCTTGCCAAATGTGTCGGCGAAGTCGTCAAGGGAAACATGAACCTACGAGAAGCAGTTGCCTTGTATGAGAAAGAACGCATGCCTAGGGCGTACGAGAAACAACAGATTAGCTTCTTGAATGGTCAATTTTGGCAGTTGCCTGAGGGTCCGGAGCAAGAGGCTAGAGACCGGGCGATGAAGCCTGAGCTAGAAGGCAGGCCGTTCATCAGAAGTCCGAATCTATATGGTGACCCGAGTACAGTATTAGAGGTGTATGGGTATGATGCTGAAAGGCACGCTGAAGAGGCAATTCGGCGTTGGAAGACGGGGAAGGAGGAGAGAAATGAGAGGACGGGTGTGACAAAGAGGCTGGAGGATAAGCATTTCAATTGGTTTAAGCCAAAGGCCAACTTATAGGCCACGACATAGCTAAGTGTACAATTAACGCTGTCTACATTGACCCATTTCTCTTCTATGCTATAGAGCATTCATACCCTCCCTTGATCTCATCAGAGGGCATCTCTCACACGTGACTACCCATACCCCGTCTTCGAGCCCATCATTCCATCCACGCCTTTCCTCTGCGCCCTCACCACTACTCACTCATCTCCCCATCCCCTGCCTCTTCCTCCTCCCGTTCCCTCCTCTCAGCCTCCCGACTCGCCCCCACAACTCTGAGCCCATCCATAACGCCCCCCACAAACCCCCTAACCTCACACAACTCCATCCCACTGATCCCCGTCAAATGCGTCTCTTTCCCTCCATCCAGCACGCCTATCCCAGTCCGAATCTTCGCCATCCTCACCTCTCTCACATCCCGTATCAACCTCGTCACTTGCTCCGCGTGCGGGATATCGTCGCTCGCGTTCGTGAGAAGCATATGGCTTAGGGGGAGGAAGAAGTGCGGGAGGCGGTCTGTATTTATGCTTGTGGATGACGAGGCGGTGGCTGTGGCGACGGAGGTGGGAATGAAGGGCGGAGAGAGTGGCGTGCTATTAGGATGTGGAGAGGGGAGGGGAGGGGCGGGAGAGAAGCGTTCGCTTGTTTTCTCCCACTCGAGGACTTCGGCTAAGGATGTGGGATTGAGCCAGGGGGCGCGACGATGTTGGCGCGGCGCTGCTTTTTGAGGAGGAGAGCGAGCCAGAGGGGTATGTTGGCGCGCTGGGGGGGGATGAGGGGAGGGATGGGGCCCTTTGGGCGGGGTTAGTCTGCTTTGTAGAACAAAGACCGCGGGATAGCAATAGGGTTTCCAAATAGAGGTAACGTTTCATGTTAAGGGAGAAACATACTCCGAGTAATTTCAGTCCTTCAAGACGCTGACGAGGAATTATTGTCACGAGCTCCATTTCACAAAGGAAGGCCGTTTCTGGTGGGGTGAGGCCCACGGGGAGTGGGAGGGCCATCGTCGAGGCGATGATAGAGACGTGTAATGCATGAAGACAATTGAGAGGCGAATGTGTAGGTTTAGTGTGGGTGCTTTGAAGAGTGCGACTTCATTTTGCTTGCTCAGCGCTATTCAATTGATAGATGAGTGTCCTGTGCCAAAGAAAGCTTGTTGCTACGGCAAGGACGGGCCGCTCCCTCAATGCTTGACTTTCCCCACACGAACTTCATCTCTTCGCCACCTCTTGCCTTGAGAATGGACTGGATGTCCAATATTATTATTGGGTCTCGGTTCACTTGTGGCCGGAGGTTACATGTCACGGCTGTACTTCCTGTAATGAGTGCTATCCGAGTGACAAGCAGTGCAGCATCGAGCTCGTACTCATTCCTACAGCCTTAAGCAATAGGGACCTTTTCGGTTACATTCGAAGCGCGAGGAACGAGGAACGAGCTATCAGCCTAATTGTCACTAACTGCGCTTAGATCTTGCAGCGGTGAGCCTCATGGGACTACAAACCCCGACACTGTTACCTGACTCAGCGCCTACCATAATCCTAAGCTAGCACCCACGGTTAGTAGCGGCCGTTAGCTTCGTGCTTTCTACCCTGTTTGGGTAATATATTGTGGTTTTTGCGCGACGATGTGCTCTTTATGTTTTCAATTCGTTGGTTTAATTGAGAATGTTTCATCGTCACATTTCAGCTTTGCGCGGATGAGTCAAGGAAATCGCTTTCAGCTCCTCGTAGGAAGAGAGCCATCAATAGAGTCACGCGGAAAGTAATCGAGGGCTTTCCCTGCCAATGACTAGAGGTCACGGGGATCACCGAACAGCAATGGCGGTGAATGTACTTAGACTCTCTGGCAAGGCTGGTAATGGTTCCAACGGTACAATACATAAGATGTAGGTTCCTCTCTGCTTTGAAGTCAAGACAAGCTTTCAATCACCCTGCACAATCAAGGAAGACTACTGTCCATCTTTCAAAATGAGATTGGAACTTTCATACTTTGTTGCTTTGCAATATTTTTCCTTTGCAGTCGCCTCTAATCTAGTCAAGACTTCACAAGTCAGTTACGTCAGTGTGACAGCCAACGGAGTGGAAAGCTTTCTTGGAATTCCATTTGCAGAAAGCGTCAGCGGCGAAAAAAGATTTACCAGGCCAACGCCAAAGAAGTGGTCTCAAGGGCACACTTTCAACGCCACACAACCAGGGCCAGCATGTCCCCAGGCAAAAGTGCCGGTGCAAGACTTCATTTTCCAAAACGTGACAAATGCAAAAGAAGATTGTTTAAACCTACGCGTGGATAGACCAGCGAACGTTAGCGCTGGTGCAAAGCTACCTGTCATGGTATACATTTATGGAGGTGAGCTATTAAGAAGTACACATAGGATCAGCGGATTGCACCCTAACAACCGCAGGCGGAGATTCGATCGGTCAGGCCTACGATCAGCTTTACAGCCCCCAAGGCATCGTGCTCGGGTCTGCAGGAATCAACAAACCTGTGATATATGTCGCCATGAATTATCGACTCAACATCTTCGGCTTCGCAGCCTCTGCGGCCCTCAGCGCAGAAGGCAACACTAATCTGGGCTTACGTGACCAACGATTGGCTCTCGAATGGGTCCAGCAGAATATCGCCTATTTTGGAGGAGATCCTGAGAATGTGACAATCTTTGGTGAATCAGACGGCGCAACTGGCGTTGGCCTACAGTGCACTGCGTTTGGTGGAAAAGGAGGTCCAGTTCCTTTCCATAGGATGATCTTGGAATCCGGCGCTCCAGCTGCAGACCCTCTTGCTGCCTCCGATTTTGTTGCGAACAACACGGCAGAGGTTGCGAAAGATGTAGGATGCCTCTCTTCGGACAGTGCACAGACCCTGGCATGTTTACGTCGGGTTCCTTATGACAAACTGCTGAACGCAACGTTGACACATGACTCCAGCCTCACTGCATTCGGCTTTGATGTTTTCATAGGTAATGCCGGTGATGATTTCATTCCTGCGGCACCTTCGGAACTTGTTCGTTCTGGTCGATTTTGCCGAAATGTACCGCTCATCATAGGATGGAACCTGAACGACGCCTCTTTATTCACAGACTCAAGTCTGACCGACTCAACTGTTGCATCATATTTCCGCGAAAGCTTTCCCGGCCTCACGAACGATACACTGGCGAAGATGCTATCCCTCTATCCAGCGTCCGAATTCACAACTATGCCCGGAAGCAACGCCAGTGCAGGTTATTATCGTGCCTCCCGCATTGAACGTGATATCGAGTTCGTCTGCCCTGCATTACAATTTGCTCTGGCAGCCTCACATTATTCCAATGCAAAGGCTTTCGTTTACCAATTGGAACAAACGCCGCTCGAAAACTTCTTCGCAGAGTCTAATAATTCAAATTACGGAGTCTCTCATTTCAGCGACATCTTTTACGTCTTCAACGAAGTACAAGGATTCTCTGCAGTTGGCCCCACACAAAGCGACATCGATCTTGGAACGCGCGTGAGCGGGAGCTGGGAACTCTTCGCCAACAATGGCGTCCCAGGAAATAGCCAGCTTAGCAAGCAGAATGCTAGTTTGGCTGATTGGCCAGCTGCTTTCACTCCGACAGATGTGGGCACCTGTGAGCTGGGCGATGTTTCGCAGCTGGAAGTATTCGCTATTGGAGGTAGCCATGAGGGCCCTGTCATGGTGAAAGATAGCACGACCCACCAGGGCTTAGACAAACTATTGGAGCGTTGTGCCTTTTTGACCACACCGGAATTCTTTGCGCAGATAGCGACTTAGATCAGGTTGGTCCCAGGGCAGAATTCCGAATTTGTCGGATCTTTTATACGCTCTGGACTCCCGGAAGAAACGAAGTTGTTCACTTGAGATTGAAAGGCTGGATGAGCAAGTCATTGTGATTCGGCTGATTTCTTTGGTAGACGTGTCCAATATCACCATCTGCATACATATACATTACACTGCTAATGCTCATCATCGTCGCCTGCACAAATCAAAATGACTAACAATGCGTCTCAGAATTCTCAAAAAACAGCTCTTCACTCTTCTTCCACTTCTCCTGATGACAAGTCCACAGCACAACCATGTAAGTTGACCATTGCACCTCCACCCCAGTCAAACTGTCAGCTGCACTTTGGAACGTCCGACTAGCCTGATCGCTGATATCTCTCCTGTCCGCATGATTCTGCTTCGACCGTTTCACGATCGTGTTCAATCCCAGATCTTTGCACGTGGTGTCCCCTAGATTAAAGCAGTGCTTGGAATGTCTGAAATGCTGGTCCGTCAGGCATTTCATCGCTTCCACGTCATCTTCGGCCAGAAGGTGGCGGCTGGACTCTCGGGGCGCGTGATAGCAGGCTTGCCATTTCTGTCCTTCGGTCGAGATGCCGAAACGAGCGCGGCAGGAGAGATACCAATCTTGCTCTTCTTTGCACTTCCTTAATGCCAAGTAGGGGTGGAGACTGAGGCAGCTTTTGAATTTCTCGAAGTATTCACTGCAGCAGGTTACGATGTTGGAATCCTCGGCTAAGGCTTCCACGCATGTGGGATCTTCGCATGGATTCGGCTCCGTGTAGTTGGGAGGGTTGTAGGGAAGATTATGTGGAGGAATTATGGCGTCGGAGCCGGCGAGTGTGAAGGAGATAAGAGCGAGGAAGGAGAAGAGGACACTTCAGCTGTCAGTCAAAGAGTATCAGAATGGATGATGGGAACATGCCAGAAGAGATGCATGGTGCCGTTAGATTTCAGGGCTGTGATCTTTATTGTATATGTTTATATATATATATATATATGTGTGTGTGTGTGTGTGTGGAGGGATGAGACCTGGGTGGAAAACCTGGACAATCAAGACCCAAGGAGAACGTATAGAGAGAAGCACGGTTAGAGAAGAGACCCAGAAATGAGAAAATCTGAACAAGAGGAAATTCGGATGAGAGATGATTGAAGAAGGAGAGATGAAGAAGGGAAAACAACTCTCTTTATACCCTTCTCCCGCCATCCTGATTTCAATTGACTTCTCGATCAAGGTGGAAGCTTTGGTGGATACAAGCAAGTGGAGTCACCAAAAAGGAGCGCGTGACATACGCCACCAAACACAAGGGTACGAAACCATTTGAAGGAAGAAGAACGAAGCTCCACAGCTTCTGGTTTAGACTTGAGGGAGAAAGGGTACGGCGGTGAGGAATTTCATACGTTGACGATTGGGAATCGTTGATTTTGCAGAATGTGTAGACTAGGAGGTGGACCATGGACAACAGTGACGAGAATTATTGCTCAGCTTTTTCGGGCTCCCAGAAATTGAAACCTAAAGGCCTCATGGTTTACCAGCAGTTTATGCAAGAATCTGGATAAGTTTGCTTTTAGTGAATGAATATTTTGTACGCAGAAACGCCATGTCTTGCAACCTAGTACGGAAGGGGTGGTGTACATTTCTCATATATATTTAAACCTTCTTGATATCATTAGACGTCTCAAACGAAATCGGTGGTCATCACAAGGTATTACGGAATCTTTGCGGTCATATCACTCTACAAAGCACCTATGTGGAGCTTGAAAAGTTTAGCTTTACCATTGTGTAGCCACCCGTGCCAAGCTTAAGTACCATTGGTTGCCATAGGAAAGCGCTCTGTGACTCTTTTAAACCAATTCGATGCTGCTCTCTTAGGCACGTGAAGCGTTGCGTGTCTTGATTCACTCTGGAGGTCTCAATTGGCCCATATTCTTGTATCTGAGATCTTCAACAGGCTTGTTTCGTTCTGGCCACTCCAGCCACTCTCCCAAACCGAAATTTGATCAGTATGTATAGTCAACGAAGTGTGATGAAGGCAGAAAGAAAAGGGCCGTCAGAGGCGATGGTTGACATGTTTGGTGAAGTCACAAGCCTCGTGAGATCGACTTGAAAACCAAGAAATCCTTTTTTACTCTCTCACTTCGATAATCGCGATGGGATTTGATTTAGCGCTATTGATGGCTTTCCATGACGATACTAGGGGCTCACATAGCTACCTTCCTGCTAACGGACTCAGGCTTCTAGGTCGCAATAGAGACGTGAGGCGGGAAAGGCAGAGTAGTGAGCACACATTCACATACTTGGGTCACCTCACCCCAGACTCCAGAGGGATCTCTCGAGGCAAGAAGTCATGAGCCTTTGAGGAAATGAAATGCCATGCCCATTTCTATCTCTAATTTTCAGTCGAGTGTCCTCACTTCATACAAGAACAAGGATGTATGCTGCATGGACCAGGAAAAAAACCAAAGCAAATGAATCCTGAGGTCTCCCTACGGAGATGGGATGGTGAAATCCAACGCGCCCATAGTCATACTCTATCTCATCAAGCGCATCTCAAGTCTTGTCACGGGCATTGTCCCTTGTTCCTTGTTCCATTCCGGGAAGATTCGCAAGAATCTCGGCTACTTCAAGGTCATCGAAGGCCAGATTGGTACGTTCGCTGTCATCAGTTCGATCTGTGCCTCGCCTTAATAATGCTTCTGGCGCATCAATAACAATATCAGGGATGCCCATTGCTTCTGATGAATGTCCCTGCGATGCTTTGATCGCGGTTGCGGTTGCGGTTGTCAGAGCCAGATCAGTGTTGTCGCTGCTTGGAAGAAGATCGTTCCGAGCGTCGTCATTCGTTAGATATGCGTCAAAGTCGAAAATTTCATCGGGGAACGCTTCTTTAGATTGGCGCGTTCTCCGCTTCTCTAGGTGGTAGTCTGCTAGGGTGATAGCGCGCTCATTTGGGCTCTCATCGTCTTTTGCAAAGATCGTGTAAGCAGGCCGGTGTGGTTGCAAGTCTGCGAGGAAATCATCCCCGTCGATATCCCCTATCAGATATTGAGGGCGTTCAGCCTTGGTCGAAATGTCTGAGGTGCTGCTGCTGACTTGCGCGTTGTCTACTCTGTCCCCATGTTGGCCTTGGTTTGAACGACTTTTGGTTCTGAGTCGTGATTCTTTGCGCCTCGCTTTGCGCTCATCTTGAGAAAGCTTATGACCCTGGCGGCGGAGTCCTTGCGCCTTTGCTCGAGGGGAGGAAGACAAAATATCGAGGACAAGTGTTGCAGACATTTACGAATTGAATGAATCTCAAACTCAACGAGGATTGCGGATGTCCCGCGACGCAGGTGCAATTCTCAGCCTGATCGGTTGCCAATGGCGAAGTGAGTGAGGCGAAGCAAAGTGGGGGTTCATCAAATGCATTATCAAATGCTGAGGCTCCAAGGAGTCTGACGTTTGAATCAAGGAGTAGTACGTTGTCGACACCCCACTTTACTACTCAAGTCCGAAGACAAAAGCCCCCATCTACGCTATACATCACGTGATTTGTCTCTTGTCTGCCTAATTGAGCAATAGTCTGGAGGCTGGGAGGAGGTTGGGAATAAGGTGGCGGGTAATTATAGGTATATGGTACAAGCTGCCCCCGGCCTGTCAGCTTTACAAGAGGGACTTTTGGGGCCACCCCCAGCATTCCCTCCAATGATGCCATCACCAAGCATCTTCGATATGAGCTTGACTGTTTGGATTTCGGCTCTGTCTATCTCTGATAGGGTACAGAATTACCGGCGCCAGCCTCTTTGGCGGTCTATGCGGTAGCAATTGAGCAGAACGTGCAACATAGCACTGAACAATATTGCCCAGTGATCCGGTTGCTGGTCTGACAGCCTGGGCGTATTATTACCAGCCGATACCAACCGAAGTGGACTTTGATTGCCGCATTTGGTAGTGGTTTGCCCATAAACAGGTGGTTGGCTGGTAAGTAGAATTTGGTTAACATTCTTTTTCTGCCTCTACGTTGGTCTTCCATCTTTCTGCAACCTCTTCCTACTGCAATCACCGAACTTCTCTCCTGTCAAGATTCATCTTCTAAACGCATTTTGGAAATTCGTCCGCATCTACTCACCATATAATTCAATCATTCACACAATGTCTAACATTGCTGCCACCACAGACTCGGACTGGAGTAATAGTCCTTGGTTCATCGGTACCACGCGAGTCCTGATGGTGATCGGGGCAGTGTTTTTGCTTCGTAGCTTTTTTCAACTCGTACAGTACAGTTGGGAGAAAGCACATGGTGCCCGACGCACCTCCTCGACGCGTATGGCGAGAGACCCTTCCGTTCAGCATAATGCGATCTCACTGATCATCCATAGCTGGTGTTGAATCGAGCGTTGGCATGAGTCTTGCTGATATCTTCCCTGTTACCTTGGATAACGCTTCCCTCGGCCCCGACCTCGAGGCATCACTCGGTATCAGCGCCCATCTCCCTACTGACAGGCGCCAAGGAGAAGGTAACGATCTGCATACGACGCATATCGACAGGATCGCTCGTCGGCGCAGTGAGCCGATTGCTATAGAGCATCCTCATACGTTGGACAGCATCACCCTTGGCCCTGACATCGAAGCAGCAGTCGAGGTCAGCGCGCCTCTTCCAATCTACAGGCGCCAAGAAGAAATTGACGGCCTGCATATTACGGAAGCTGAGAGAATCACCCGTCGCCATAGTGACCCGATTGCTGTAGACCATCACGGCCTGCGCGACAGAGACAGTCCACTTCGCACATCACGAAGCTGACAACAAGAATGCTCAGCATGGCGCACCATGGGCCATCAAGTCAAGGAGCATCATTCCGACCTCATGGCTTGTTACAGCAATTCCTGGGTCTGGGTGGCCCGACTCTTGTTGCCCAAATGTGAGGAGTAGGGGTGAGAGAAATGGGAAGTAAGGACCGTGCGATGGTATTACTCTGATATTGTCTTGCCACCATCTTAGCTCGGAAGAACATCTCTTATCATGCCTTGTCTGTAGTGTATAGGATGTATATCGAGACATTGATGTCGTAATGTCACTTTTGACTTTTGACAGCAGCAGATAGGGTTGGGACCGAGCCGTAGAGCCTGACAGCTGCCATGCGGATAGTTTGGCAAACTTATATCTCCTCAGGAAAGACTCATTCTTCCCTCTTTAGACTTCAGTACATTGCTCAACTCTTCCCACCAGGCATGCCGTTCCCCAAGCGGAAGCTTTGCCTGCTCACGGTCAGCTCCGCTATCAACTTCAGAGGCAGCGTCAATCTCATCGGCCCATTTCCAGACCACTTGCATGGCTCGCCAAGCAGGAGGCACATTCCCTCTTGAGTCGCCACAAATGGGCTCAAACCATTTGCGCACGACAGCCCGGTCAGCTTCTTTGTAGGCAACTATTCCTGCGATGAAAACGGCGAACATCGGTGTTTGAGCCGTGAAAAGTGGTCCGGAAGTTGGCTGCCAGTCGATAGTCCGCAGTAACGTCTGCAATATCTTCTGCACGGTGGGGTGACGTTGCGACCGTCTGTGTGATGGCGTGTTAGATAGAAGAACATGTAGCATGAGTGACCTGGTACGGACCTGAAGAAGCGGCATTGCAAGTATATCTGAGCTGCCGTCACGTAGCTTTCCCCCACGAGCTCCGTCACCTTGGTCGCCGAGGTAACTGTGCCATTCTCGTCTAGTTCGCAGGAGTCGAGCAGGTCCTGTGACGAGCCGTAGCCCTCGGACAAATCTGACCATTGCCAAAAACGTTGTAGCCGTTTCTCGAGCTCTTTGCCAACCCTTGGGTAGACTTCAGATTTGGGGTTCTTCGAGCGCGTCAGTGGTTGACATTTTCCTCATAGCGCTTCACATACCTTGGCCGATTTACTGCTGAGATGCGTAATCTTGGCATAATAGTGTAGCAATTTTGAGCAAAGCCCAGTCGTGCCCACAATCTTGCGTTGTTCGGTCTCACTGCCCTCCAATAGCCATGGATAGGAGCATCTTGTCAAGGTCGGATCTAGTGGATAAACGCAGTCGCTGAGAATATTCTCGAGCCCGATTATGTGAGTGAGCTGCGTTCTGGCACGATTACACTGTACATTGAATGGGAAGCTATAACGATAGCCAGGGTCGGACTGGCTCAGTACGCGTTCCCCAACTTGTCCAGCAAGGTACCACTTTGGGAGGTCTTCGCCTGATCGATCTACTTCCCAATTGACCACCTAAGAATTGTTAAACACAGGTGTCTTTTCGTAAATTTATGATGCGGGTGGACATCGTTCACTCACTTCATTATGTACCAAGAGCGAGATCGCGGCACAGACAGCTTCTTCTTTTCCGGGAGACTGGATGTCCATGTTGCTGAGCTCTTCCCCAAGCTTATCCACGGCATTCTTGTGATGGTACTCGGCCTTGGCCTTGATTGCATGATCTGCTCGATTGAAATCCAGAAGGTAGGTTGTCGACAGGGCCAACAAAGCGTGTCGCACCAGGTCACTTCTTTCCACCATAGGTGCAATCTCGGTCTTGTAAGCATTGTCGGTGTTGATAACGGTTCTGCCAGCGCAGATGCCAAGTATGACTGTCAATGGGGTATCAGCGGGCACGGCTAGCAATAAGGAGCATACTCACAGAACCGATAGAAGCTTCGATCTAGGTTGTCTAGTTTCCCAACATCCCCAAAATTCGGCGGCAGACGGGAAACAGGTCCATCAGGGGACGACTTCGTGTCCATGGCAGTTTTTGCAATGTCTGGCCGCTGTTGCAACAACGACGGTAGCCGTTTCCCGTGGTTTTTACCCTTCTTCTCAAACCAACGAATCTTGATGAATGCATTTGTAGACTTCTTAGGCTTGTAGTACGTGAGTGCTACCGGGTTTCTTAAGGCCGGATGTACCACAGCCGCACCTTGCTCCTCGCCAAAGGGATTTGCGATGCCAGCTTGAGTTATTCGATTGGCTGGTAAAGGCACTGCAGGCAGGAAATCTGGAAATATGGAGGGCTGACCAATCCATGCTGGCAGTTCCTGTGTGTTATTGTTCACGGAAAAGGCGGTTTGGAAGTCTGTAGAAGGAAAGTCAATTCAAGTTGCAGACCCCTTCCAGAAGTGGGCAGGCTGTACCTCGCTTGTGAGAAGCATCGTCATTGCTACTCAGCAGATCAAGGTGTAGAGGTAGGTGTCCCCACTCATGAAAGATTGTGTCCTTGTCTGCATCATAGCTCTGAGTATGATGCGGGTTTTGAAGGAGGTCTTCGAGGTTGCCAAGATTATCTTGCGTGCAGGTGGTGGTCAAAACCTCCGGCCCGTCATCGGAACTTTCCGCTGACAGCCCTAATGGAATGCTTTTGGGGTCACATTCGACAATAGCTTCGTTCACAACATTCATGGTTCGGAGTTCCTTGGCTTTCGAGAGCAGGAATGCTGACAATCGGGGGCGTCCTGCGGATGGAATTCAGGAGCATTTGAGAAAGCCAGAGCTCGGAGCAGCTGTCCCACATAAGTCACCACGGAGGGCACACAAGGCTGAGAATGTCGGCAGGCTACGCGTTTTAGTCTCGAGCCTGGGCCCATGATCAACGGTCTCCAGGCTAAGCAGAATGTAGATAGAAAAGAGGAAAGAGAGAAGAGGAGAGAGGCAAGAGACAACATGGGGCACGAGTCCTGTTCGAGCGATGAGACTAGTTTCGATCAACGCAACGAGAAGCCTAGAGTGGGTCACAACGTCCAATGGATGCCAATACCGGATTGTTCACCTCAGCTCTTCCATATGCTGGTGCAGCAAAGGAGACTTGGCTGGATGGCGCTCTCCGTACCGAATTCCCCCGCATCGCTGCCGAGGCGAAGGCGCGCGAGGATTATTTTCCAGAGCTTTGCCCCTTGGCAGACGTTGGCCAGTATATAGTCAGAGTACTGCAGATTCTCTCAAAACTTACAGACCACTTGATCAATGGCAGCTTTGTTGGCAATTATGTCAATGGCAAACTCTCTAGTCTGATCGACGAAGACGACGGCAGTGTCTCGGAATACATCGACGATAAACATCAGGCATTGGGGTAGGCTACCTACGCATGATTGTGTTGGTCAGATAATTAAGGCTACGTCTCAGGAAGATTGCAAGGCAGATTAAAGATATTTCCAAGGATTGCGGCCGCGTCTGGTCAAGCAGCCCGGCGCCGCCTTTTCATTTGCAGTCTCACCCATCGGGATTGACTGCATACGAACCTTATCCTGTAAACACTGCGCCGCCGTCTATCACTGAAACGGCAGCGTACTCTTCCGGTCCCGCCTACGAAGGGCTGCCGACTAGTGCTCCGAACCTGTACGGAGACCAGGAATATACGTCCGTTGCCACTCGCGCGGGCCACGCAGGATCCTTGGCCTTCGGTGAGCAGAGGATAGAGGACATCATGGCCCCTACCACCGATTATTCCCATCAAGGGCAAGACAACCCATCTATAGATCAGTTGAAGTCTCGAGGTAAGGGCCAGTATACATGCCCGCATGGGCTGGATTGCAAAAAGGGTGGTGTCAAATCTGATGGTCGTATCAGAGTCTTTACGCGAAACCATGAATTTCGGTAGGAGCCACTTTGCTTTCCTTGCCAGTCAGTTCAGGAGTTGATGTCTAATACAGAACTCACCTAGAGAGGCATGAGAAGCAGTATAAATGTGACCTTGAGAACTGCCCCAATAGATCTGGGTTTGCGAGAGCAGACCAGCTGGAGAGGCATAAACGCACGGTCAAGCACGATCAGCCGTCTTGGATCACTGAGACGCCTTCGTGATCAACTTATGAATGACGTGAAGACGTGACGCACAGATGAAATGATTGGTATGATAATGAATGTCGCTGTTTTACATTACATTACCCTCTTGAATTGGTCAAAAGACCCACATCCCAGCGTTTTACGAAAGAGCTCTAGTTATTGACAATATCCGCCACCATCTTCAAGGTATCAGTGACATCCTCCATGTCCTTGATAGCTCGTCTCAGATGTCTCGCGATCCGTCGTTTGTCGCTGTTCAAAAGTTGGTCTTCCTGAGAATGTGGGAAGCCGCTTCGCCTTCCTTTCGTTGCCCTAGCCCGTTTAGCTTTTGTTTTGAAGATACTAAAGATGGAATATGCTCGACGAGGTGAGCCCTCTAGCAATGAATTACCTTACGTATCTCTTGGCTGCTAGTTTTGCTTTCTCGTCATTGTGATGGTCGTCAAAAAGAGCACCAATGCCTTCCAGGTTCATTTCAGCATCTGCCTCATCCAAGTGTTTTCCATCTGCTTCCATGCCAGTCTCATGGCGCGCACGGCCTTTCCCAGTTCTTCTTGGCGTCTTGAAGGAGGACATGTACTCATGAAGCGAGTTGTGCTCATCCTCATGCGGTTCACATTCAAAGACCAGATCTTCGCCGTGCGTGGTTAAACAGCTACTATCTCCTCCATGATCAAAGTCAGCAACAGCATTCCTGCCCCCTGGACCTAATCTCGCCGGGAATGTCGCTTCTGCGTCGGACAGAAAACGTTGCATCGGTACCGATAAATAGTCAGCACATGGGTGATTTGGGCCGAGAGTGCTTGAGAAGACTAGGTCACCGGATACGGATCGCGAGTCCCTTCTGAGTCCATGAGTGGAGGAGGAACGCCTGAAGGAGGTATGCTTTGTCGATTGCTTTTGGTGAGACATATCGGCCTTTCAGACCTTGAAGTAGAGCGATCTATTCGGGTAATATATTGAGACCGGATAAAAGATATTGATCTATAAAGATTTCATCGAACGAAAGAGTCCAACGAAAGGAAGGGCGCGGTTGATTTATACATGTCCCTAGGGCAGGTAAGGAACGCCCCAAAGTTCATGAAGGCACCCGTTTGTCTCACACACCCATGAAGCAAACACATCATCCCTTTAGATGGGGGCTTTGCACAATGGAATAGTTCTCTCTTTTCGCTTCCATTTCCGATCGGGTAATCTAAAGGGAGGACGACGAAGCCTGGTGGCATCTTCGGGCGAGCATTGCATAAGAGATCGAGTATGAGGTAGGGTTAGGATCTTGTTCTCTCTTTCGCTTACTGCTTATGGCCTGTCATAGAGTCCGTGCCTGACAGGTCGGAGAGCCCCAGGGCGCATTTTGTCGCAAACCTTCTAAGGGAAGAGAGAGCAGGGCTGTTCATTGTTATCCCTTTCGCTTACCTTTTTGGGGTCGCTTATGTCAACGGTGCCTGAGATATTGACTCGTGATCGACTAAACACTCACACTCTGACCTCTAGGAGCGGTCGTGAACTACGCTTTAACCAGTCAACCTTGCTGCTAGGTGGCCGCGTGGAGCGCGAGGCAATCCAACCCAAGGATTGGACATGAAAGCAAGAGGCTGAAGGAAGGGAACGACGCCTCAGCCGGGGCCCCTGACCGTTGAGCCACAACGAGATGTTCACTTCTTTTGCTTGGCAAGAGGAAGTAAAGCTAAGTCAGATGAGGAAGCAGAAGAGAGAACTTGACTGATTGATGACTAATTGAAATGGACAAATCAACTCGGTCGCGACCAGCCTCGGCCACCAGACTCTTTGGGTAAGTTCATCCGATTAGCAAGTGGGGCAGAGAGGAAAGAGGAGAGAGCGTCTGCCAAGAGAAATGAGGAAGGAGACAACAGCAAGGGCTAGAAAAGGCAATGCACGCTAGAATAGACCTGTGGGCTGTGAAATCGATGACGAACGCGTCGAGAGTGGCATAAGCCATGAAGAGAAAAAGGATTCTAGCAACGGACCCCATTCTGCTTGCTGCTGCTGCCTCATGCTTCCGTTCATATCGCGTGGAGGAGGCTTTATTCGATCGCTATTCAGCTCGACCAGAATGACACAGACAGATGACTCGTACCTGATCATTGGTGCAGGAGTCTTCGGCGCCTCTACGGCGCTTCATCTCATCAGAAAGTACCCGAACTCGAAGATCCGTCTCGTAGATCGGGAACCATTTCCTCCCCAGAACGCAGCATCATGGGATCTCAATAAGGTGGTGCGCGCTGATTATGATGACATCTTCTACACCGAGAAGGCCCTGGAAGCGAAGGAGCTTTGGAGATGGGATCCTTTGTTCAAACCGTTCTACCATGAGAGTGGAATCTTCTGGATCTCAGATGCGGAATTGGCATCCAAGATCAGTGACAACTACAAGAAACTGAATGCCAAAGAGGACTTCCGCCTCGTTTCGTTAGATGAAGCCAAGACTGCCTATGATGGCATGTTCGAAGCCGCTGATTACTCCGGCGTTTCTCAGATCTTGATCAACAAGAGTAGTGGCTGGGCCGAAGCCAAAGAAGCGCTCAAGGCCACTATTCAAGCGTCTGTTGACGCCGGTGTCGAGTACACTGCCACGGATATCGTTGGGGTTGAATTTGACAAGAATGGCGCTTGTATTGGAGCCCGGTCAAAGTCAGAGGAGATGTTCAGGGCTAGAAAGACCATTCTTTGTACAGGCGCGGGTACGGCTAGGCTTCTGGCAGACAGCTCTCCTTATCGAGAAGACATTCAAGTAGATGGTCGACTTGTAGCTGCAGGCATATGCACCGGGTTTGTAGAGCTTAATGATAAGCTTGCGGAGGAATTTAGCAAAGCCCCCGTTGGGGTTCAAGACCTTCTACCTGGCCGAGGTTCGTGAGAGATGAGTTCTTTCTACACCAAAGTAAGGCTAATCATCGGAAAAGGTGGAAGCTTACCACCTACTGTGAGACATGAGCTCAAATACTGGCGCGATGTCAGTGTTCGAAATTCGATCAAGCATGCTTCTGGTCAAGTCTTCTCTGCTCCGCCAGACAAGCCCCTGTATGACCAGTGGGAAGTGCCTCAGACGTTGAAAGATGAGGTTCGATATGTCAGCGAGTCACTATTTGGCAAACGTGAGGACCTCAAGATTAGCAACCACCGTCTATGTTGGTAAGTGACAGCATGTTTCGGACAGATTCCAGAGCTGAGTGTCGATCTTAGGGAGTCGGTAACGCCATCAAACGATTTTATCATTAGTGCTCATCCACGATGTGCAGGCTTGCATGTAGCAACGGGAGGATCTTTCCATGGATGGAAGTTCCTTCCAATACTTGGGAAGTATGTGCTTCAGATGCTGGATGGTACGATAGACCCTGCTTTGGCCAAGCGATGGGCTTGGGATCGCGAAAACCTTGAACCTGACCTCAAGGACTCTTTTGTGGCCGCAGCGTGAGCTATGCGACATGGCTTGAATACTTACATATATATGACTGCTCTTTTAAGGATCAGTACCTATACTTTAGAGTGCGACCGAGAGGGCGCGGTATGGCATACCTTTAAAAAGTTCATCTATTTGCCCCTTTGCTCTGTCAGCTTAAGCAAGACAAGGGCATTTACTTCTCAAGGAAGAGAAAAGGCGATGTAACTATTCCATCTTGAGCTCCAATCTCCAATGTCAACGTGCTCTCGTCTTGAGTAGAATCTTTAGCTATATTGAATCAGAAATTCCAGGTTCAATATTTATTCATTTGGGCTATGAGGTTAAGCAGCCATACAACCCATCCAATTTCGGTAGGTGGGACTGTGTCCTCTTGCTCGCCTTATTCATCTCGAAGTGTCTATTCCTGGCTCACCCAAAGTAGATAGCCGGTCCGAAAAGTCAATGATCCACGTATGATCTCGTCATAGGAAGAGGCGCGCACAACAGCCAATCCAACCTTTAAGTCAAGAGAGCTTACCACCTACCTTGATCCAGAAATATAAAATTCCGCGATGCCCAAGCTAGCCCATGTACTCACTAATACAACAGAGTCCGAAAATGACATCAAGCCCTCCATATCGCATCAGCCATCTTGACAGCCTGGCCCATCTCTTCCACATCATGCACTCTTACAATATCCGCACCGCCTTGCACAGCAGACACCACACAAGCTGCCGTACCCCATACTCTCTCTCTAGGCTCTTCTACACCGGTAATCTTGCCGATGAACTTTTTCCTCGAAGCGCCGACAACCCAAGGAAAGCCCTGCAAGCCCTCAAAATTTCTCAGCTCGTTCAACTTTTGCAAAATCTCCAAATTCTGCGCTTGATTCTTCGCGAAGCCGATGCCAGGGTCCAGGATGATCCGCCACCGGCGGATTCCCGCCTGTTCTGCTGCGCGGACGCGTTCCAAGAGCTCGCTGCCTACGCCTTGAATTACTCCGTCTGGGTATTTTGTAAGGCTATTCATTGTCTCAGGAGTTCCACGCATATGCATCAGAATGCACGTACAGCCTAGTTCGGCTATAGTGCGAAGCATTTCCTTGTCTAATTGCCCTGCGGACACGTCATTGATGATGTCGGCGCCTGCTGCAATTGCAGCTCGCGCAACGGAAGCTCGATAGGTGTCGACTGAGATTGCAATTTTATCCAAGGATGACTCAGCGCGGATCGCTTGTATTGATGGAATAATTCGGGAGAGCTCCTCTTCAGGCGAGACTGGCTTTGCATAGGGCCTAGTTGATTGGCCTCCTATGTCGACTAGTGTTGGCGCACGATTTTGTTGGGCTTGCTGCTTCATTTTATTGACATAGATCTCCGGCTTACTACTTGAATGAAGACCTCCATCAGAGAATGAGTCTGGAGTTAGGTTTAATACCGCCATCAAATGTGTTGGCTTCTTGGTAGACATGCTTGCAAGAGGTGGAATTGAAGCACGTATTGGGGTCAAAGGCGACAGATTTGAGCTTGCTTCTTGGATTGAAGCAAGCTGATCTTTGAAGCTAATGAATGGACTGCCGTTAGGAAGGAGACCGTCAGGGGTAAGACTACGATTGTAAGCCTTCATCCCTGTAAAGTTGGTATCGGGTTCTCACTCGCACAAAGGCTTCAGAACAAATTCTCTCTCCATTATTCTCGCGTGTGGAATGATCAGATCAGAGGTATTGACAGTCTCCTTTCCATACAGTAAAATATCCAGATCAATTGGACGTGGACCATTCTCAATACCTTTGATTCTACCAAGTTCCTTCTCGATGCTCTTCAGCTTTTTTAACAAGTTTGCGGGAGTCATATCTGTCTCAATCTGCAAATAAGTGACAGTTAGTAGAGCGGCAGAATTTTGCAAACTATACTAACCTCGAATACACCATTCAGAAAGTCCCGCTGGTCCTCTAGATACATAGGTTTGGTTTGGTACATTGCACTCGTACGCCATACCAGGATTTCGCGCTCTTCCATCAATTTAGCGGCCATTTCTATGTGAGAAACGCTCTGCCCAACATTACTACCAAATGCTATATAGGCTCTTTGGCAAAGTGTGCCGGATTTGTGTGCCATCCTTTTCTCATCGAGCTTGATACGGTCATAATCAGGGCGAGAGAGACTCATCACGAGAGCAGGCATGCAAGACAGACGCTTGTGCCGGTTAGCTCGCCGAAACAACTCGCCTCTTGAGGGCTCTACTGAACAACGTTCTGTTGTACCACAGCCAGATGTCTGCCTTGCTAGATCGTATAATCTAACATTCAAATGATGCACTTGGTTCCAGCTGGTGTCGCAGCCGGTATCGTCAGTATTCGCCATGGCAGAATGCAAGGAGAAAATAGGATGGACATCATCAGGTGTTGAGGGTTTCCGGTTACATGCAAGTGGCCGACGCGGATACACAAAGTCTTCGAGAGCCATGTCGTGGCTCGTCGTGATGGTGAATCTGTCTAGAAGCAAAGGATCGACGGCGTCTCCGTCTCGTAGCCAAATCGACTTCCAAAAAATTCGGACGACATCAGAATCATTCAAAACGTTGCCATTCAAATTGTCAGTTGTCGAAACACTGAAATTCATATCGACAAGCTTTCTGTCAGGCAAGAAGCCTCTGTCAGTCCCCCATGGAAGAAAATTGAGCCAAAAATGTTTTATGGGTAAGCTTAAGGTTGATAACCGCCTACTCAATGACTTGAGACACTCCCCTACCACTACATTACCATGGCCATTTCGAGGAGCATATGATGACAGATTTTTTAAATAATCATGTATTGCAGGTGCGCCGTCGATCAGACAAGTATTGCTCTCTGGGTTGGCCTTGATGCCAACATCGGCCCGCCAAATCTCGAATGGCCTGGGCGCCGTTCTTATAGCGCGTTGTGAGCATTTGCATTAGGACGAGTATTACGCAGGACGTGATTGAATGTCATAGACTTACTCAAGTAGCGAGACCTTCGACCACCTTGTCATCCACGCCAGGTCATGCTTTGGTTGAGCAGCTTGTCTCAGGCCACGCGAAAGCCCAGCGGAAGCTTTTCTTCTGAAAATATTGCTGCTTTCTCCTGCAAAGCGACAGAAAATCATTGTATTATCCCATGTCCCAATGAAGCATCCTCGGTGTCCGAGGACACGATCAACCGCGTCACCCTGCTCCTTGAATGCTGTAGGATGGACCGGATTTTCTAGAGTCCAAGTATATACGTCGCCTTAGGCTTAGCTCTAGGGTCAGAAGTACCTCCGCTTAGGTGCTGACATAATCTCCATAGAACTATTAAATGCCGAGGTCCAGGATGAAAATATGAGGGCATCGAAATGTGATGCTTGTCCTCCACTTCCAGAAAACTTGTGCTTCCCCACCAGTCGACTGTGCTCTTTCTTCTCAAGCACACTCTTCCAGCCCAGTTCGTCAATTCGTTGTACACAATTCTCCATCATGGCCTCACCACGTAGGTCTCCCCTCACCCACCCGGTATAGATCATCAGCTTACCTTCTCGCAGAACAACTCCGCACCCCTGTGACCGACCTCCTCCACATCAACCACCCCGTCATGCTAGCTGGCATGAATGTAGCCGCGGGCCCCAAGCTCGCTGCAGCAGTCACCAATGCCGGTGGTCTAGGCGTCATCGGCGGCGTGGGCTATACACCAGACATGCTACGGGAGCAAATCGCTGAGCTCAAGGGATTCCTGAAAGACAAGGATGCGCCATTCGGCGTAGATCTACTCATTCCACAAGTCGGAGGCAACGCGAGGAAGACGAAGTACGTGTCTTCCTGATTCATATTCCTCTCAAATCATCTCAATCGCCTTGTGCCTCCAGTAGCCAGTTGCATAAGCTGACAAGGAATTTTCCGCAGCTACGACTACACCAAAGGGAAACTCGACGAACTAGTAACCATCATAATCGATTCCGGCGCCAAACTCTTCGTCTCCGCCGTGGGCGTCCCACCGCAAAACGTTGTCGACCGCCTCCACAAAGCCGGTATCCTCTACATGAACATGATTGGGCACCCAAAGCACGTCCCCAAATGTCTCGAACGCGGCGCAGACCTCATATGCGCACAGGGTGGCGAAGGAGGCGGACACACCGGTGACGTGCCTACTACAGTTCTGATACCGACGGTGGCGGAAATGTGCAAGAGTAAGAAGAGCCCGCTTACTGGAGGTCCAGTGCAGGTCGTGGCTGCGGGCGGTATATTCTCGGGACAAGGTGTGGCTGCTGCATTAATGCTGGGCGCGAGTGCCGTGTGGGTGGGCACGAGATTTGTGCTTTGCGAGGAGGCGGGCGCGCCGAAGGCGCATCAGGAGGCTGTGAGGACGAGTGGGTTTGATGACAATGTGCGGACTCTCATTTTCACGGTATGTGTATCTTCTCTGTGCTCATGTTCAAGCATTATTGTTTTCAGCGTTGGTACTGATACAGCCTAGGGCCGTCCCTTAAGAGTCCGCAAGAACCCCTACATCGACAACTGGGAGACCAATCGCCAGAATGAGATCAAGGAGCTTACCTCCAAGGGTACGATACCTGTGGAGCATGACTTTGAGACTCTGGGCGATGACATCGATGACGATACCATGGATAATGCTCGCCCATTTCTGATGGGCAAAGCCGCGGCTGTTGTCAACGAGAGGAAGTCTGCTAAGGCTATCGTAGATGAGATGGTAGGCGACGCTGTGCAGATGTTGGGCAAGGGACAGAGCTGGGTCACTGGTGGCAGGAGTAAGTTATGAACATGTATGAGCTACGAAGATATGTAGACCTGGATGTAAATAACGTTGGAAAGTATTTGTTGATTAATGCGTGCGTGCTTCATGTTTGCCACAGCTACGATGTTATTCATTAGTAAGATCATTTCGATTGCTGTATTCTCATCTCACATCTTAGAAAAGAAAAACCATCCAAGCCACATTTTCATTCAACATTGATCGCAATCTCACAGGCGCATCCGCCTACATGGCTTCTCCAGACATACAAAGCAACCAAATCACCGTCTTCAACACAAGATAACCCATTAACATCCTCCACCATCCTCCCTTCCACCAACTCAGCCCCTCCCACTCCTCGCAAATCTCAAATTCTCCCTTCCCTTACACTTCCTCAACCCCATTCTACCCATCCCCCTCCACCTCGGCCCACACCTCTCCTCTCTCCCCCCTTCATTCCCCACCTCCCTCCCATCCGAGCGCTGACATACAAAATAATCCCCCCCTCCACTTCACTAGTCCCAGGACTCGGGGACGCAGGAGAATATCCCGGCGTCATTGCCCCCGGCGTAGCCAAACACCCCGGCGACGTATACCCCGGCGTATCAGCCCCCGTCCCCGCCGGGACGCGCCAGCTGCTCATCCTGCTAATACCAGGACGCTGCTCACTGACGCTGCCCCATGAGAACTCCTCAAACTGGGGCATTTGCTCTACCTCCTCGGAGAGCGCAGCGGGAGGGTGGTTTGGGTGGGATTGTTCCCGAGCCCGCTGCTGGGTGGATGGCTGGACGGATTGTTGGCGGGATAGCCGCCGATGGTGCTCCGAGTAGTGGGCCCCTACTGATTTGGCGTACGCGATACGCGCGGTCAGGTCGGTGACGTCCAGGGGGATGGTGGAATTGCGGTCGCGGTCGAGAGAGAGGGAGGGGATGGCGGAGGTGGAGGTGGAGATGGTGGTTGGGTGCGAGATTGAGGGTTTGGTGCCTGTGGTGGTGTTGGTGGTGGTGTACGTTGTTGTGGGGGCGGTGCTGGGGAGGAAGGGGCAGCAGTCGGGGTTGGAGATTGGGTCCGAGATTTTGCGTTTGTGGGCCAAGACTGTTTTGGTGTTAGTATAAGGTGTCTATAGCGTGAGTGGAAATTTTAAGGGATGCTGTGAGTTAGGAAGGGACGAAGATGACGCTAGGCTGTTGGTGACAACAGCAGATGTGATACTAACCCTTCCCCTTAGTCTTCTCCTTGATGTCTGTGGCCTTTGTTTGGAGAGAGCCGCCGACCTGGCTGATCCCAGCCTTCGACTTGCTGCCAAAGGCTTTGCAGACTGAGCCAAAGGAGATATACGCCCCTTTCAGCACCTCATTGACCGGACGACGGAGCTTCGGGCAACATCTCCCCAATCGGAAGCGCTCGGTCTGGGGGTCTGAGTGGCGCCGGAGACATTTGGGGTCAACGACCTCGGAAGTATTGACGCGTCTTGCATGGTCATCTCGCGTTCGTACAGCATAGATGGGGATAGTCCAATTGCGAGCGTCAGGTATGTTCGGTGGGAGACAAGGAGCACTCATGACGATGTCGAGGTTTGCACTCATTTTCGCTGAGCTTTACACGTCGCGAGGGCAGGCTTACGTGCGAGGAGAGGTTGGAATTGTGGAGAGAAGCAAATTTGAGAAGAAGAGTGGACGAGCAAAGCAGCTGGAAGTAATTGAGAGGTCTATGGGTAAAAACGACGTGTGTGTGGTACAGAGAATGTTTGTGAAGAAGAAAAGAAAGAGCCTGGGCCAGCAGGAATTTATTGAAAATCGAGGCGCTGGTGATAGTTTCTGTGGAGACACGTGACTGGCATCCTTCCTTGGGAACCCACATTTGGAGTAAGATAGAACTTCGTGACGAACAGCTGATTTCCGATTTTGGAGTAGGAGGCTGGATTGTTGTGTGGAAATGAGCAAAATTGACTTTCTAAACAATTGTGTACCCTGTTGTGGAGAAAGAGCAAGGGTAAGGCTGCCGCCACAACTCTGAACTCAATAATATTCTGCTTATATCGGAGCTTCATCATTGGGCACACTCATGAGTAGAGCTCCACGAAAAAGCATGACAAAATCATCGAGGTGGTTAACAGTGAGAGTGTATATGCCAGAAAAGAGGGTTCGATGGCATATAAAGCCGTGAAGAATGAGTCAGAGGCAGATTAAAAGGAGAGTTTCTCAATTTTCAAGGCAAGAAACCATCTCTTCTGACGCGAGGAGCAAATGCTCACTGTATATTGGATTGTGCTAGGCTCTGCAGTGAGCTAGGCCTGTTGCCAAGACTCGTTCGTCTCAAGGGTATGCTCAGCGAGCAAAAATTCTGCAACTTTTGGCTTGAGAGATCGAAAAGGATTGGATTCCGGCCATCTAGAGCTTTTCAAAGGTGCGACAGCTCATTTGAGAGCTACAGAAAAGTCGACAACACTCGTCGAAGCATGTATGTATTACTGTAGCTTCTGTCCATTAGAGTCTAGGAAGGAGAGTCTTCCTACAAATCTCGGTTGCTTTGCTCATCATCAAGACGCCGGATTGCATGATGTAACTACCTGCGAGGTCCTTGCTCTGGACATTCCACGGTGTGACGATGGTGAATGAGAGTTAAAGACGCTTATTATATATAATTTTATATATAATCACCTGTTCGAATGAGACTGCATTTGAACCTCAGAGCATAGTGCCATATTGACACAATAACCACTTATGGTACTTGCACGCCAGCCAATATTCTTAGCCCATCCAGATGCGTGGTTTGGTGATTCAAGAAACGCAATGTGAATAGCATGAGAAATTGGACCTGGCCAGGACGCAATTTATGCAAGTGGGCCCACCAGGCATAAGCGTTACACGTCTCAGCCAAATAAGCCATTGGAGCATAGCCTGTCCAATGCAAAAGGTAAATTGACCGGGCCAAAGCTTGCAGAAGGAGCAACAAATACTGACAAGGTCTGGAGGCTTCAATAGTTATGTGCTTTACAAATATGTATGTAATGATATTGCTTGGTAGGTGTTCTATTATTCGTGCTTTGAATCGTCCTCAGCTAAGCAAGTCATTTGTTTGTTGAAGTTGCTGCTGCTTGTAGAGGCGAGTCTTAATAAGGTCAAAACTTGTGAGTCCCATGATACCTATTGATGCTCATCCTGATCGTTTTGTGAATACAGGTAGGAAGACAATCTCGAGACTTGTTTGCGGTGAATCGTCTTTAAAGTAGGACTGCATGTTAGTGACGGCAGTCGCAGTTGCCTGTGCGATGTCAATCCCTTGATCAGCTCTGTCGATCAATATCTGGACATCTGCAGGCGAGTTGGTCCTTTCCTGCATCCTCTCATGCACCGTCTCTCGAAACACTTTCCACTTCTCGTGGAAGTATACATAACTAGCATAGAATCTGCAACATACCGTTGTATTCTTTAACAAGGATACGGCCCGAAGAAGAATCTGGATCGCCTCACTGTCCATTTCCTTGTTCATCTTAAATGTGATTTTACCGAATGTCGCCCGCATCTCAGGCCCTAAAGTCTCAAGCCAGGTATCGTATTCTGCTCTGACGTTTTGGTATATGAATTTGTGAGTTTGCAGAAGGTAATAGCCACCTAGACTGAGATTCCGTTGCGCATAAAAGACAGGAAGTCCCTCCAGGCGTGTCTGTTTGCAGAGTCTAAAGATAGCGGGCTGAAAGATCTGTGCTGTGTTGATGATTTTAGAGACTGAAGATGCGATGAGTGATGACGACGTATTTCCATAGAACCTAGCACAGACCCGCTTAGCCTGCGCGGCATCGAAAGCGCATGGTAATTGTGTCACCAAGAGGTAGATCTCGTTTCTAAGTTCGGCAGGTAGCTTGAAAAACGGAAACGGGCTATTCTATGTCAGTGGTGACTCGAAACGTTATTTTGCTTGAGAAAGTCCCAGACTCACTGTACAAGGTCATAGTCTTCGAGGCGAGCTTTCAAGACTTCCTTAGTCCCCGAAAGCGTCAATCCACGCTGCTTGAGCATCGATTTCATCTCTGATACCTTGCGCGGTGGAATAGGATGTGCAAAAATTTGCTCTTTATCTGAAAACTTCCAGTACCGCATCTTGAATGCTTGCTGAGATTTAGTGTGGTGTGAAAGTGATGTAGTGCGCTTAGTTCATATCGTGAACCCCATGGAAATTTCTGTATCGAGACCCAGGTACTAAAGCACGAGGCTCAAATAGACCAAAATTGCTCGTTTACTGTGATAGTGGCGAAGCAAGAGTTGCGTGATTAAACGATGGGGTTCCCCTGAGAAATTTTCACCAGTCGGTAGTAAGGGCAGATGGTAAACGTCAATGTGAGTGCTTTGTCGAGACCTGGATACGAGAAGGCTAGACTCAAAATGAGCCAAATGTGATGGTTCGCTGTTGTCGTGACGAGGTAAGATTTGTATGATTGGAAGATAATGTTCTCTCGAGAAATGTCAAAGAATCGGTGAAAAAGATCGAGCAAATGAATCGTTGATTTACGAGTTATTCCTTTGGATGGAAGAAGTGGTTGTGCTATTGTGAAATGATAATGCTGTGAGAAATGGGCTGTGGGAGAATGACCTGTCAGAGCGAGGTTGGTTGGAGAAAGGTCTCTGAAGGAAGGTCAATGAGAGGAGAGCCTGCGTGAGATAAGTCTGTAAAGAGAGGTGGAGAAGGCACTCGCATTAAATCAGCTCTCTAGTAAGGTGATTTTAACCGCAATCTTCTTCTTATAGATGACAATTCTAGAGCATTGTGCCTTCCATAAACGGCTCTAAATTCGCGGACCTTTCGGAGCTCCTGATGGGCTAACGAGTGCTATCTGATGAGTTCAGCTTTTCGCATGAATCTTGAAAATGAGGAGAGACTGCTCGAATTTTGTAGATCGCTGATTGAGTCTCACTCCTGGCCTTGAAAAGAAAAAAGGTAGTGTTTGCATATGAATGCGTCCCTGAAACATATAATCCGCGCTTCGCGAACTTGGTGAATGAGTCTCTTGATTCTCAGATCTATTGTTTTGAATGCCTGTGAGGATTAGTATAGGCCGAATTTGCAACTACGAGAGATCAATCTTACCTAATTATGCGGAGCTTTGGAGAGTGTGTAGTCATGAAATATTGGGCGGAAAAATAAGCACATTGGTTAGCATATCTGAGCGCAAAGCAATACTTTCGACGTCGGAAGGCAAGGGAGTCACGTCCTCCACGAAAAATCCGCCGTCGCCTTCGAAGACCATTCGAAGCTTCATTGTTCTGCCACCCACCTGACAGCGGCCTTTGAGGTACTTATCCCACAATTTCGTAAGAGCCCGTATTCCTGTGAGCTGGAAGGTCATTTGAGTGTCCTTCGGCACGTTGGCGATGAAATTTGAGATTTGAGTGATGAGGCGAGTAGTAAGGTCTACAGGTAAGTGGGCTGATATGGTGGTAGGATATCCACCCCAGCTACCGTCAAACGGCTGGCGCGAGAGGTACGGTCCAAACCCCAGCCATTCTGTCTTGTGTAAGCCGTGTAAAGCAATATTGAACTCGTGATCCCGTAGAAAAATCGGCAGTCCTTCTCGGCGGGTTTGTGTGCAGAGGCGAAAGATGGAAGGTTGCATTATATTGGCAGTGTTGAGCATCTTGAAAAGCTGTTGGGTCGTAGGAGTCGAGCCATGTGCTTTGACCCATCGGCGCTTGATATTGCTCTGTGTAGTGTAGCCCTTCTGCCCGGCAACCATGGTGTAGATAATATTTCGTATCTCCGGCGGCAGCTTCAGAAACGGGAACGGCCTATCCCACAATCAGCACCCTCAACCACGACCATTGCAAGAAAGCAAAGTCACGGATAGAGGCCATAATCTCCCAGACGAGAACACAAAACTGCCTTGTTACCACTCGTTTTCAACCCGCGATCCTTGAGCATCTGCTTGAGTTGCACATTCGTGTAAGCAGGTTTAGGGTAGAATATCAGCTCGCTGCGGTCCTTTTTCCAGATCGCAGTGTGCTTCGGGGCTTTTTGCTTGGCTGTAGAGCTGCTTTCGGACATATCCTCAGGATCTGTCGCTGGATGGTGGTAGATTTGAGTCTGCCAAATTAAGAATAGGGCTTCTCTTCTGTTGGTAATGTTAAAAGAAGGTCTCTCTATGAAAACCCTAGTTGAGAAAAACGGTTCCTTTTCCACTATTCATGTCAAGAAGAAGCTCTTATTGCTATTGGTATTAACGGAAAGGAGGCGGCTCTCTCAAGAAGAATGTTGAGAGATGGGTTGCTCTTACGTAAATGTTAGTGATGAACTGTTATGTGCGATCTAGTGTCTTTTTGAAAGAGACTTCTTCAAGCGCTTTCCAATGAAGCGCAACCCCTTGGTAGTGAATGATGCGTCCGAGAAAAGGCCAAAATTGTGAGAGAAAGAGAAAAAGCAGTCAAGAAAGTTGGCAAGGGTTGTGTTTATCTACACATCACTTACGACCCACTGGCTTACGCTTTTCAAGTCTCCATTCATCATTCACTTCGATCATTCATGAAAATATCTCCCCTTCCTCATCCGCTCCTCTGCGTCTTCTCTCTTCACTTTATGCTTCTCGTATTCTACCAATGGACACAGTCCCTCCCTGACCGCCGCTGTAGCTTTTGTGCTGGGCGCATCATAATCGACCGTGAAGACACTAACGCTACTTTCGCAATTGGGACCGTTCACCACCGTCGTCTCCCCTGGCAGACTGCAGTCCCCATTGATGCATGTATTCAGACCCGGACCATCAGTATTCCCGAACGTGAAGAGCTTCGAAGTCTCATTGAAGACAGCCTTATCGACCTGCGCGCCTCCCGTCATGCGTGTCTGGATGAACTTTGGCTTCACACAGCTGGTGTTGGTGAAGGATGTGACGAAGGGGTAATTGACGCTGATACCGTAGCCGTAGGGCAGAAGTTGGGATTTGTTGGAGGCGCCGGCGATCACCTGCTGCACGAGATCGACGGAGGCTTGGGCGTAGATGGTGGCACGATCTGGGTACCCAGTTGGTGTCGTCTTGTTGATATAGGTGTAGGAACGCTGTTCGGCTGTTGCATCGGAGTAGGCGATCCCAGGGATGCCGCGTTCGACGGCTGCGTAGCTGTATTCTCGTTAAATATGAATAGGGGCAAGGCGACAAGGAAGAGCCTTACGTGGCACCGATCGTTCCTGAGAGAGTGTAGAAGAAGGGACCAGCGTTCAGGCCGAAATTTGGACCTGAGACGAACAGATCCACCTTCTTCCAGCCGGTGAACTTTGGGACGACATAATCGAGGGCGAAGAATGTGCAGGCAGCAGGTGTACCATTGTAGTACCAAATGTGCGAGTCATGGGGGTCTGTACCGAAACTTGGGGCTCCTGCAGGCACGAGGTCATACTCAGTTGGCTTGGTGAGTTTGGCTTCGGTGGTGAAGACTGCGCGGCCACCTTGACCACTCTCATTGTCGATCGGTGCCACTATCCAAGCGTCATGGCCAGCTGCTTTGAGGAGGCGGTAGAACTCCCTGATGTTGGCGGAGCCGAAGCCATCATCATTGCCAACGAGGATGTTGAGGGCATTGCTAGTAGCCAGAGCAGCAGCAAGCAGAAAGGCTGAAGGGAAGTGCATCCTGAAGGAAGAAAAGCTTTCAAGGTACTTTCACAAGCTCAAAATTGACAAGAAATGCAGGCAGAGAGAGCTTGGGGAGCTCCATTAAGTAGCTGCAGGAGCTGCGGAGAAAGCTCACGATTACCGTGACTCCGGGAGCCGTCACTGACGACAGATGCACAGTCTAGGGCCGTAGTGTACCCGTGCGTCTGGATAACGGTGGCATTGGTGGACGTGATCAGGTACCGGCAGGCAGCTGGGAGGAGCTGCAAGGACCTGGACCAGATCTGGGAAACAGGCGGAAATATTGAACAAAATGGCCCAAAAGGGAAGGTGAGGAAGGTGGTGCATTGGCCAATGAACAGTCGCGCTTCGACCACGGGAGCCAAATGTGTATGTACAAGGTCCACCACTTGCAAGAGGCTGTCATGATACTATAAGAGCACGAAATGGTTCATCGATTAATGATGGAAGAAGGTGCTATATGAGAGATCAGTCATGCAAAAGGCATGAGGCGAGTGACTACCATGAAACTCTCTGGGCCACAGTAGCCGCTATAGTCGCCAATACCACGGCGTAGTTGCGGCACATGTACCATTGCCCGATCTCTGCTTCATATATAATTCCCTCTACAAGGCAATTTCAACTACATAACATTCACCAGCCCTTTCGTTTCATCTCCCTGACCCTCGCAACCGTAGCCCTGAAACCGCGTAGGAAGAGCTTCCTCCACCTCTCCTTCTTCAGCCTCTTCCGTTTCTGTCCCCTGCGTTCATAGTATTTCTGCATCACTTGATCCCTCCGTACGCTGTTGCTCGACAATGTCGTCCCCAGTCGTGCCAATGCTCTCCCAAAATCGATTCCCTTGCTCAGGTTCACCTCGACGATCCTTCCCACCTCTGGTCGCGAACGCACCGTCCGCTTGTTACGGGGGGTGCTTGGTATCTTCTCAATGCTGTCTTTAAGCAGCGCCCTGTGGTCTTCTGCGGTCATCTCTTTTCCAGACCCGCTTCCAGAAATACCATCGATAGGGGCTTGCATCTTTTTCCAATCGAAATCGCCCGTGTTATCTTTCGCCGTCTGGAAACCTCGTTGAACCTCGCTCGCCAAGTTCATTCCTTCCTTTGAATCTGATTTCAATCCTGACAGGATTCTATCCAAGTGATTTTGAGCGTTGGATTTCTTTGCTTTTGAGGAATTTTGTCCCTTTATTTGTTCCGATTCGGCGGGTTCATCGAGGAAGTCTGGCCGTTTTGCCGCAGCTTGAGACGCGGCGAATCTGCATACTGCTGTAGAAAAGGACTTTCTAGATGACGATCTCGTAATTAGGTGCTTCCGATACGTTGTACTTATGAGTACATGGTAGAGCCAGTTTTGAGGTATCGAGGGGGTTAGGAAGGGCAGGATTTGAGGAGACCGTGGTCTTCGCATTACGTCGTAACAAGGACGGAAATTGAATGCCGCCTATAATTAACAATTAGTACTGATTCCATCTGAGCATCAAGACGGCGACAGCTTACCATTGGCGGACGATTAGACTGAGATGCAGCTTTGATGGGAGACTGTAAATTTCTTTACTTCGAAGTTCAGCCCTACCGGAGTATAGATGACTAAGCAGTGGATTTCTACTCGAGCGGCTTTGGGCAGTCATAAATTGATCAGAGCAACGCATTTCATGGAGCAAGAGTCAGTCGACAAGCGTTCTGTCACATCCGTGGTCTACAATGTATACCTTGCATTTTGTGTGCTGTCGAGCAGTGGCGTTGGTCCGCTTAAGGTCAAGTATCTTTTGTGCCGTCGAATGTCGAATTTTCTATCCCTTGCGGCGGTGAAACACACCCACTACTGCGGAGCTAGAGTTCAAGCTTCGGTCAATCACGCATCTGTGCGGGACGTTTTAAAGGTGGATCATCAGAGCAACGGCGTTCTCAAGAGACTTTTTCCGATCAGTACGCCGTGGGCATTGCCCTCAAGCATTTGACAGCTCAGTACAACGACACGTCAAACGCTTCCTTTGGTATAGTCTTTCATACACAGTTGCTCTCTCATCTGACGCAGCTTTCGCAAGTTGTTGGGCTGCTCAGCCTGAGGATCACCAAGATTTGCCTACCAAAGAAGCCGTACCAGATCGGGATTAGCGCAGGGGGAAACTCAAAAGCCCCTGAATACAGTTCCGTTCTCTGTTAGATGAAGGCCCCTTATGCCCCAGAACCGTCCCAAAACAGATGGGCATATGCCTTGGCTAGCCTCTTGAAGCTGGTCTACTTTCGCGTGGCGGTCATTAATCTCTATAAGGTCTGGACCGTCGTGACATCCCCTCCGTCGAGACTCTCGAGAGGCTTGCAAGGTTCTAGACTAAAATGAATGTTATAAGAGCGAAATCCCACTGGCGACCTTTTTCCCTTTTCTTCAGTTCTGCAGATGGAGCCCCAGGTAGGATGCGTTCATATGGCATATCGTATTTTGTTATATCATCTCTGCAGCTTCCATTTTGCTCCGAAACATCCAATATGAAAGTCTCGCTTCAATCTCGCCATCTAGACATCGTTCCTTCTCCGTCGACGAACCCCTATCACCCGATCAACCATTTGCTTCCTTTATCAGTTGAAGATCCTTTCCTTCATCATGTATACTTCCCCAGATACCTTAACCATGAAGCTCCCCAACCTCAAACAGCCCCATTATAGCCTCCATGGAACACGTTGGCAGCGGCTTCTCATCGCCGTCATCTTTCTCGCTACCATCTACAGCACACGCTTCCCCTTTCACATCTTCCACCAATCAACCATATCGCCAAAACCCCACCAAGGACCTCTTCGTCACCTCCTAATCCCGGCCTCTCAACCCGATCCCAACCTTTGCAAAACCATTCTCTCCTCCACACTCCTCCACTACCCAATCCCCACAATCATCAACTGGGGCCAAACCTTCAACAACCAGAGCTTGGCAAACGGGGGCTCCCACATCGCCAAACTCCAAGGCCTGTACTCCCATCTCGCCGCACTCGGTCCCGACAAAGACGACGAACTAGTCCTCGTGGTAGACGGCTATGACGTCTGGTTCCAACTCGACGCCCAGCTACTAGTGGAACGATACCATGCCGTGAACGCCCGCGCGGACGCTCGACTGACGCAGGAGATTGGGGCGGAAAATATGCGAAATCTATCCGCGCAGCAATCCGTAGTTTTCAGCTCGCAGAAACGCTGCTGGCCAGGCTCCCCCGCTGATACTCAATGTTACGCTGTCCCGCCCTCGCCGCTACCCACGGATTTGTATGGGGCGGATACGGATCAGGATATTGATGATGGGAGTGAGCGGTACCTTTACGCACGATATAGGCCGAGGTATTTGAATAGTGGGGTTGTGATGGGGAATGTGGGGGCTATGAGGAGCATGTTTGAACGGGCGGTCGCGGTGCAGAGGGAGGGAGAGAAGGAGGGCGAGATTGTAGAGAGTGATCAAGGGGTTTTCAGTCTGATCTGGGGGATGCAGGAGTTCCAGCGACGAGTTATTGGAGAGCAGTGGGAGATGGAGAAGGAAGAAGAGGGTCTGGGGGGGTGGAGGGAGTGGAAGGGCCGGTTTGTCGGTAAGGAAGGAGTAGAGAGCGAGATGATGGGGGCACCGACGGGTGTTCTTGGTAAGCATCCAACGCATAAGAAGCCGCGGTTGTGGGATGATATGAATTATGAGTTCGGCATTGGGTTGGATTATTGGAGCGAGCTTGGCCAGGCGACCGTCTTTGCGAATCACGATATGGAATGGGTGAGATTCGCGGACAAGGAGAGGTTGCAAGAGTCATGGGAGAGAAAGAACGTCAGTAATCCTGGAGGCGAGGAATTGGCAGACGATATTAAAGCACGGCTGAGGCCATTCGCTATTCTGAATGAGGGCGTAGGGTTAGTCAATTACACGGAGGAGCAAAGCAAGGAAGGAGGAAGAAAAGAGCCAGGCGGTGGCAAAGTTTGGATAGCGGGGGGTAAAAAGATGAAAGAGGTGACACCACAAACGGCTGGATGGGATGATGTCAAGCTTTTCACGAACTTATGGACGGGCGTTACCCCCGTCATGATCCATCATAACGCGCATCACGGCGGATTGAAGCAGAATAGAGAGAGCATGTGGGGAGCGATCTGGTTTCAACGTTCTGCGAGGGTCTTGTTGCGGAAGATTCTGCAACAAGGGAAGATGGAGGGGGAGGAGAGGATAGCGAAGGAGTATGGGCAGAAGAATCTCGTGCTTAAGACTGATAAGAAGGGCACGCCTTGGGTCGGGTGGAATGATCTTTGTGATGCGGAGATGCAGGAGGAGGTTTTTAGGGACGGGAAGGGTGTTGAAAAGTTTCGCGGTGATTGAAGCAGGAGTGGAAGGAAGAGAAGCTGCTTGAGGGATGGAAGCATTGGATCTGGAATTATTATGGGAGGCATTGTCAGCGTAGGATAAGGTTCGACTAGAAATCTCTACATTCAGTCGTTGGATGGATGGTTGGATGAACGTTGGGATTGTGCTTTTGCATAGCGGTATGGAACGTAGATACATGGTTAGGTTATTAATGAAAGTGACTTCAAACGTAATAGACTATTCAAACTTTGCTCAAGAGGCTCAAGAGGCTCACGTATACGACTGAGTGACTGAAGCATCTTGAAAAATCCGCCTCAAGTACTCGCCATCACTCGGAAGCTTCCTCATGATGCCAAATTGATCCAGTGGGAAGTCAAGAGTATTATGCTATGTCAGAATTTACGTCAGTAGCTCAGTCTTTTCCTGGACGTTGTGGTCCTCAAGAGGCTCCTTTTGAATTGCTCGCAAGAGACGAGCTCAGGCGCACTGAGATTGTCTGGCTTTGTCGCATGGAACCTCGCACACAGCAAAGGGTTTCTGAGCTTTCGCAGACAATAGCATGTCCTTATCTTAAAGCTGACGAATGCCTTCGAGAAGCTCAGCAATGGCGACTCAAGTTCTCAAGTCACTATTTGCGGCCGCTGTGGTTATGCTGCTTGGACAGCTTGAACTCACCTCAGGTGCAGCTGTCTCTAAAAGAGCACCAGACAATCCGTTCACTGTTCGTCCAAATCTGGGAAACTTTGCGATACTGACTCTTGACAGCATAGACTTAAGTGCGATGGACCACTCCCCGAAGATTTCAGCAATGAGCCAGTAAATGGTCAGAAACCATTTCCTGGTGTCTTGGGACGATGGGCATATTTCACCATGAAAGGGCACAACGAACTAGTCAACCTCTGCTCTGCCACCAATTCAATAGCAGAACCTTGGGAACATTACACGCTGGAGTGTGATTGCGAAGACGGCCGTGTCGTGTGCAACCCTGACCCTAAGAGGCCGTGGGAAATCGCGTTGGATATTCGCCATTTCCCTGATTGCATTGCTGGCTGTTATTGTGAGCCGCGGGCGGTGTCAGCAGAAGATGACTGTCAGGAGGCCGAGTCTGGAGACGTTGCTGAAATGGACCTCAATGGGGGAAACGTAAATACAACTTGTAAAAAGACAATCATGCCAGCTACTGAGACCCAATGATGCAACTGCATTTGTTCAGAATTACAAGGCAAATCCAAGACTGAGTCATGGCTATAGTGACTGCTCATGATTCGGGCAACTTAAGAAACAAGAAGTGTATTCACCATCTCAATCAACATCTACTCGTGCTGTTTGTTGGATCTGTGTCCTCACCGTAACAGAGACTTTAACACGCGTAGTCTTCCACACACGTTGCCCGGCTTGGCTGCTTCTCAATAAACATCGCAGAATTTTTGAGCACTATAGTATTGTCCAGAATTGTATATGGAAGCGATCCTTCAGCAATTACGAAAGATGTCCGTACCAGTATGGTCTCAGCTGAAAAGGGGTGTCGGTGTGAATATTGAACTCAAGGCAGACCAGCCTACAGGCAAGCTGACAACAGGCTATGTCGGACAGCTTCTCGGAAGTGGCAACCACCCCAGGGGGATCAAAGTGCGCTTGATGGATGGTCAAGTGGGGCGAGTCAAGTCATTAACTTCACTGCCTCCTATAGATATCAAGTCGGACACCCCTGACGAGGTAACGTTATTCGAGAGACAGTTTGGCAAAGCCATGGGTAAGCAGGACGGAAGAAGAAAAAGTAGAGAGGAATATAGAATGCAACATGACTACAGAGAAGACGAGACTGCGCCTGATGCAAGAAATCTAGAAGATTACATCGTCGTGAAGCCAAAGAAGACGAATAAGAAGAGTAGACCTGCTTCGCAACCAGTCAATACTCAAGCGCAAGATGTTTCCGCCCAAGATATGATGGAACAAGAATTTCCATCCTTGGACTCGACCCTCATAGCGGCTACTTTGTCTGAGCATTCGACCATCGAAGCAGCAAGACAGACCTTTCGAGCCTTGACTTGACTTGACTTCCAGCTGACCTGACATCAAATCTTCCCTTTAAAAAATGCCGCGCAGGACTGGAACTCGGAGGCATCGAGGTCTGTCTTACTCAAATCTAGTCATATTGAGGCGCAACGGTCTGTCTTTTACATCAATACATCAATCGGTAACGTCATGTTGTTTCTTAGTCGCATATCGCGATTGAGGACAGGAAATCTACATTTGGAACGACTTTCGCGACACGAGACAACCTGCTCAAAGCAAAGCAAAACATATGTAGCTATTACTTTGCGAGTCCATGTCCTCGATAGAAATAGCCATGTGGAAATCTGCTGCAGTACTTGCCGATTTGTACTTGCTGTGGTTTCAACTATCGTCGTCCACTCCTATCAACACCGCTCCTTTGACAACCGTCGAAGGTGGCTCATCTCCCACCATGTACGACGAAGCAGGTCCCGATGGTGATGCTTACGATACTAATGATGAATTAGTCCTGCTATACTCAACTCTTCGGCTGCCGCAGCTGAAAACGATCCTTTCGACCTGCGGATTTCCATCACTTATGAAGGTACAAAATTGAACAGCGAGCCCTTGTTCCTGTCACTTCTAAATGGTCTCTATCGGATAGCACAAAGACCATATAGTGGTCCACTTTTTCATGGCGTCTTTCGTGACACCGAACGTGCGCTGGTGCCTGGCTTAGATGTCAATGGACCATATGTATCTCAGAATTATCACGCCATATGGGCTTTGGAGGCTCTGGCTCTACAAGTACGGCATGATGAGGGATATTCGTCTCTCAAATTTCAAGCTTTTGACAAGAGCCGCCAACAGAGGGTATTTGGTCAAGTGTATCCTCAGCCTGAGTCGCAGCCCTCACAGGTCAAGATCAAATCTCCTGATGCAAATGCGGGCACAATAAACGCAAGCGAGGTACCACCACTGGATTTGACTGGCAATTCGCTAGTCTCTTCAACCAGTCTCGACGGAAACCAATCCCCTAGTAAGCCTCCGGAGAACGCATTGGACTTGAACTCGGTTAACTCCACAGACGCTGGATATTCATCTCCAATCCCGAGAAATTTTCACACCCTACCATCTTCTCTCCCATCTGGGAAGCTATTGCCCTCGAACTCTGCATTGCTAGTTTTGATCAAGGCTACTGCAGCTGTAGCCGGCCTCATCCAGCAGAATCCTCCTACAGCTTCTGAGTACAGAGACGGTGGCGTCGTCTTGCAAATTCTCCGGAATGTCAACATTCCAGGGCTGCAGAACGGATGGCTCAAACAGGGTTTCCTTGACATGGCACATGAACTCTACGATAACGGCAAATATCGTGACATTCAGATGATTTTAATGGTTGGTGACAAGCAGATTGGTTGGATCACAATGTACAATAATGACGGCCGCAATGTAACACAATTCTGACATGACAAATAAATGAGCAATCGTCAATCCATTTTTTTTAGACAATTCAATGTCAAATAAACAGAAACTTTGCAATGAAATTCACAAAAGCCACGTCAAGAAGCAATCCAAAAAGTTGGTCGCCCAAATAGGTTAGATCTCTTTATATTTGGTATCTCAAAGCGATTGCCGTAAACAAGTGGGCAAACAGGGCTGCCATCTACGATGATCTACGATGGCGCCCTCGAAAGTCCTAGAGTCAATCATAGAGATTCCGTCCTGCCTCATGCGAAGTATTTAAGATCAATGCATCATCCTCCAATCCAATCCGCTCATTAGCACACCCAATCCACCAAGCGACCAAGGAATTTCATTGACCACTTGCAAAGATGCCTCAGCAACAGCCAGACCTACCAATCTCACATTCCTCTCAGAAGCTGACAACTTCAAGCGCTCCGTCAAATCCACAGACCGCATCACCACCCATCACAGCGTCCCAAACCTCACAATGGACAGTCGAATCAGGTGCATACCCTCCTCTTTTCTCCGCCAAATCTCCACTAACCGACTCCTCTAGCTCTCTCTTCCTTTCCCCTCACTCCCTCCTTCAAACCTCAACCCTCCACACCAATCCCCTTCTTCCACCTCCTCGAACGCCTAAAGACAACCCCCCGAGAAGGCTGGCGCCGCTTCCACATCAAACGCCCAGAATCCATCGCCGACCACATGTACCGCATGTCAATAATCTGCCTCGTAGCGCCTGACTCCCTCGCCTCCAAAATCAACATCGGGCATTGCGTGCAACTCGCCCTCGTCCACGACATGGCTGAATCCATAGTGGGAGACCTAATCCCGCGCCAGGTCGAAAAGGAGGAGAAGGCAAGGAGGGAGGGGGATACTATGGCGTGGATTCAGACGCAGGCATTAGGAGGTGTGGATGGAGGAGAGCAGGGTGGACGGCTAAAGAAATTGTGGGAAGAGTATGAAGAGGGGAAGACTGAGAATGCGAAGTTTGTGAAGGATGTTGATAAATTGGAATTAGTGTTGCAGATGGTGGAGTATGAGAAGGCCGGGGAAGGGAGTGTGGACTTGGGCGAATTTCTGGACGCGAAGGAACTCATTAACGGGGACGTCTGTAAGGGGTGGGCTGAGGAGCTGATCAGGGAGAGGGAAGACTTTTGGAGGCGGTTGGGGAAGTGTGCGAAGGGCATGGAGGGCTATGTCGAAGAGAAGAAGGAGGAGCCAAAGGAAGTGTCAGAGTGAATGCTAAAGGAAGTGAAGAACTAGTGTGACCGCATAGGCAGCGGACGTGACGCTTGAGATACCATTTCAGCAGACACGACAGCGAGGCGTTTGGGAATCTTTCGCATGCACTGACGAGATGGAGACATTGATGCGGATCACTCCGCCTGAGATATGGTAGACATTAGATCCATTAGAGAGTGGCTGAGCGTTAATTACTCTATGCAAACATTATTACCACCTATAGTCAAATCCAAGCTTCTTCCACGAATCGAAGAACCATTCCAATATCCATATCAATAGCTGCAAGCCTCCCCCTCTTTCAACAACATCCCCCCCTCTCACGTAACACCCACCCACCCCCAAACAAACCCCAACAAAAGCACCCCCACCCCCATCACCAACCCCACCCTCGTCGGCCTCACCCTCCCCGCCCCTCCCCCCGTAAACGCCTCGCAAGCCTCATCCCCACAATGCGCCCTGCCAATCGTATACATACTCAACCAAGCGCTGGAGCTCCCACTAGCCGTCGAGTTCAGCAGCACCCACGTGCCATTCGTCTTGTTGCCCGCTGGATAGTACCCACCACTCGCCGGACTCAGCGGGACCCCACCCACGCCGCCACCGCCAATGCCGCCCGGACCACCGAGTATTGGCAGCGGCTCAGCTGTAGACGTGGGCTTGTGCCCCCCTGAAGGATACGTGGGTGTTTTGCCATGTGGACTTTCTGGAATTGAAGGGGAAGTGGACGCGGAGGGGGCGGAGGGGGCGGAGCCAAGGCCTAGCGGCGCGTCGGTGGGAGGGAGTATAGTGGTGTCAGGGCTGGCTGTGACGGTGGGGTCCGGGATGGGCAAGCCCGGTTGTGGGTCAGAGGGGCCTGCGAGGATGGTGAAGCGTGGGGAGTAGTTGTAGAGGCCGGATTGGGTGATTTGGAGGGAGAAGAGGGCGGGTTTTCCGGTGGAGATGGGGGGGGTGAAGGTGAACGAGTTGCCGGTTTCGGCCACTGTGTGGGAGGGAGGTTTAGTTGGGTTGTGGTATTGGGGGAGAGGGAGATGGGGAAGGGGCTGTTGCATGGGGAGGAGGGGGGAGAGTTGTAGTAGTGGAGACGAACCTGCGAGTGGTGATACTCTTTGCAGGTTCGATGGGTCGCCTGCGACGAGGGTGATATTCACTGGCTACGTGAGATGAATGAGTCAGTCGTGGGTCGGATTTTAAGAGGGAGCCGTTCGAGACCTACCGTCCCATCGCCTTCCCAAGTCACCGTGAATGGCTTTCCTCCTGTGATGCCATCATAATCACTGTTGGTGAAAGAAATTGCGTCGGTCGGACTGAAGAGAACTGATATCGAAATAAGTAGACGCTTCGGGATAAGCATCTTGCGCTCCACGAAGAAGACAATGGCAATGAGAGGACGCTGGCTCAGACCGGTGAGTGCAGCAACATTTGGAAATTAGTAAGTTGGTTGCAGGAAAGGGTAGATGATAGATCGTGTACTGCTCGGGGTTCATTTCCCGTCACGCGAGCACATTCCGCAGATATATTCGCGTGAGGAATGGGGAATTCGATGTAATTTGAGCAAAACCCCATGCCTGAAGCGAAGAGGACACATGGTAATAACTGACAGATAGAGTAGTGCATGGTCGATCAGATTGCAAGTTCCTATTGAAGCTGATGTGGCCAAGAGGTATGCGTGCGAGAAAGCTCTCTCAGCAAAGGCAACATTATGCCGAGAGGCCACGCTTCTCCGATTCGCTAAAGAAGATGATCATACGCCAAAGCTTCTTTACCAAGGCTTCAGCTTCATCCTCCAAAGCCTGGGTTCTATTGTCAGTAGAGGCATATCAGAATATGGGAACCGGACTCACCCCTTCAAGCTCTTCAACCAAAGTCTGAGGAGTACCTCTCTTACTTATGTGATCCTCCACAACCTCAACAAGCATCTGTTCTTGCACTCCTAGATACTCCACGATCTTTTTCTCCACAAATGGTTTCAGCTGTTCGCTAAGGACTGTCTGGTCCACGAATTCCCATTTAACGGGCCACTTCCACAGGCCATCCTTATCTGAGGGGATATCTGCTGCCAGCTGTCTGACAGCCTGCGCGCGTTCCTCTTCCGTAAGGCCTTGAGCATCTGCCGCACTATCGAATTTGATAGGAACAAGTGTTCTCTTCTGTGTGCTATCTGCTTCTTCTTCATCCTCAAGCAGGCCTTCAACTTCAGCCACGGTTCGTTTGCCAGTGTTTTGTTGTTGCTGAGCCTTCTGTGCTGCTGCGCCAAGAGACAATTTGAAGCGTTGGGGCTCACGTGGAGCCATTTCCATAGCCTGGCGATTGAGGAAGTCGTCGGCCATCCCTTTCGCTTGTTCTTTCTGTTGCTCTTCTTTTGCCTTCTCCCTCGCCTCAGCTGCTCGATCTAACTCGTCCGTGGCTGCCTCTCTTTGCCGGAAAACTGCTCTGTTACGTATCCAAAGACTTTGATCCATGTAATATTCCTCGGTTTTTCGGCTCGCTTCAACATCATCATTCCATTCACTAAGACGACGAGCGACGGCATCCTTTTCTCCATCCTTTCGGCCTTGGTCCTCTTTCTCCCTGCCCTTTTCTCGATCGACAGCTGCTGTCCGACTGCGCTCTCGGTTGAGCCATCTTCTTTTCTGATCTTGATACTGCTTTTCTTGTTCAGCTTCTTTTTTCTCCTTTTTCCTTCGCTCAATTTCTCCGTCGCTGGCATCGCTATCTTCATCCTCCCTGTCTATTAGACCTGAACCGGAAGCTCCATTGATACCCGTACCATTGACAAAGGTCACACCTTTTTGATAATCTTTAGGTATCTGTGAGTCGGTGTAGCCTTTCGGTCCGACTGGGGCATTCGGTACACCGCGGTCTCTCGGTCCCAATGGAATGCCATTAGCGCCCCCAGCTGGACCAGCGGGTGGTGAAGCGAGTCTACTGACCCTTGGTCCACCCATATTTCTTCGCCGCTCCATAGCCTCAAGCTCTTCTTCTCTTCGTAGACGTTCCATATCACGACGTGTGCTTCGATCTCGAAAGGCCTGAATTTCTCTAGCCACGGTCTCACGCATCTCCGCCGGGATATCTGACAGCTCGTCATCTGCTGAGAGGGGTATAGTAACAACCTCGGCGCTGTCCTTGTTGTCTCCGTTAAGCATCGACAGATCACCGTCCTGATCTAGCTTCGAAAGTTGCTCACCAGACTGTTGTACTTCAGATGGATGTTCAAGATCTGCTAGGACTCTAGCCAGAGCACTTCTTGCAGCATCAAGCCGTAGCTGAGCTTGTATGGGATCCGTGTCACCTTTCGAATCCTCCCATTTTTCCAGATACTTATACGTAGAGTCGTCAATCATGACCTATTGCTCTCAGCATCAGAAAACACGCGCTTACGAGAACACATACCGAGAGCTTGCTCTTGTCCACTTTCTCGTCCTCATCGCCCTCTTGCTTCACAAGAGTGGAGGCCTGCGCTTTGATAGGCACTTCGACATTTCTCAGTACCTCAACGGCGGTAGCAAGACTTTCGGGATCTTCGTACTCTGCAAAGCCAAATCTGCAAGCCTTATTTTCCGCATCTATTGCCCGAATCCAACGCTTAAGATTTCCCGCGCATTGTAGAATCCGCTCAATACCCTCATCTCCTCCTGCTCCTTCTGTGATGCTTCCCACGAAAATTGTTCGGACAACCTCCTCTTTTGTAGGCGGTATAAGCTGCATCATATTCTCTCGCAATTGCTGTCGTTGGGCGTTCATATCCATACCGAGACCGGCGCGCACAGGTCTCTGCTCCGACTCTCTTCGTCCTTCTGACCCTAGCGGTGGTTGTTTTGAGGGACCTGTTGTGCCCAACCGGATGACGGGCGCATTGAAGTTTATGTTGGGCATATTAGGAGGAGGCTGGAAATTTGAAGGGAAGCCGCCTGGTCGCTGGGCTTGCTGTTCAGCAGATTGCATACCGGGCGCAAGGCCTGTGCCAGGAGCAGCTGCCATAGATCAATATGCGTGCCTGAAGTAAAGCAGGAGATGGCTCACCCATGCCTGGTGGTGCTCCCATTCCAGGCGCATTTTGACCAGGAAAGCCGCCACCAAATGAGGGCGGCCGCCCATACGGAGGACCACCTATATCAACAAGAGTGAGCAAATTCTTGACTTGTCTGCCCGCGAGATTGGGCAATTTACCCTGATAGTTGTACATGGGGACAGCTTTCTACACGCTTGATCGCGTGAGCGGTGTTCGAGAAGTACTCGCACGCATAGAGATGTGGAAACAATGCAGCTTCCTCATTCGAAGCCCATCGACAGGCGGCACTGAAAGTTGATGTGTAAGGTAACACTTACGAAGACTGAAGTGAAATCTTATTACCGTCCGTCTCAGCCCTACGAGACGTCGCCGGGTAGCCTTTGTGGGAATCCAAAATAAATTACAGGTCACGCCATATCTACTTCGCGGGGGACTTGCGCCTAAACCACAGCACTTTACAGGGGAAATTCTAGGGGAACCCCTGAAGATGCCCCCGGAGAACGTCAGGGTCGAGAAAGCGAAGTGCAGTTTCCTGGACCCCAACTGCTTCTGCTTTTTATGTTTTCTATTCTTACGTTCCTAACTATCCCAGTACTCTTGATATCATGTAAGATTTCTTTTCCATTGTGTTCCGTACTAGCCACTCGATTTTCAAGTCACGAACGGGTCCTGCCAACAGCAGTGTACCATTAATCCAAAGATCATCCAGCAATGTGTGAGCGATTGAGTAAGCTATCCCCACTCATGCCCATGACATGCCCATTCTTGTATCGAGAAACAATCGCGCGGGGCACTTTCCTACGAATACCAGAGCCGGTGGCGACCGACGTCACTGCTGATGAATGCTTGGTTGTGAACGACGCAATGTTCAGGACTAATCTCGGGATCCAACGCAGACCGCCCCTATTTACTAGGCGGAAATTTTGTAAGAGCATGATTGATGGTAGTTTGTTGATAAGCTGAGCATCGCCACGGCAAACATGACCGAGAGATTACCAAGGTAGAGCAAGATTTCACACTAGCCCGAGCCAAGTAGGGGACCAATAACGACGTCGACGAGATTCATTTAGATGATCTCAATCGTTGCAATCCAGATGACGACGGTGCAGGATTTACCTGATTGGGACGGCGTATATCGGATTTCGATATTGCCTTGTTAACCTCGCGAAAGGGGTTTATTGAGCTGAGTAGATAGTGGCATCACACAAGGCAAATGTTTTCAGATTGTGGGTTCTTCGCATACCAATCCTCAGCCTTCAGCAAAGCAGACGCGAGCCGCCATGCAGTGCCGTCAATGTTTCTGATGATGAGCAACGCGCTCACCATGTTGTAAAGCCACTTTGCCGATCCAGCTGAGTCGCGGATACAGGGCCAATGTTCAACGAATATGAAGTCTGCCTCGGTTCCTTGGGCAACGAGCATTTCGGAATACTCAGGCTTGAGCCGGAAGAAGGAATCTGTCAATTCGAAGCTTGGGTACTCGCCCGCCTCATCGCGTAAAGGAGCATTATCTTGGCCGATGAGCGTCCACTGGTCCCCAATCGCCGTCTTTGATTGTTGGCTGTTTGACTTGAGGTTGCGATGCACTTCCCCATCTCGTCGCACTAGCCGGAGTTTAAACTTGGTAGAAGTCGTCTCGATCATCAGCGAGCGGTTTGTAACTCCACAGGTCAACAGCTGAGCCCTCTGTGCATAATTTAAATAAGTCTCCAGGGGCTCCGTGCGTTTTCTCTTCAATATTGAGCCTGGTGCATTCTTTTGCAGTCGTGGATCCTCGTCCACATACGCAGCCATGTCGCCTACCCAATAAAGATACTCAATTCTACCTTTCCAGCCTGTCCAACTCCAGGAAGGGAATCCCGAGCGTCGAGCTAAAACGTGCGCGTTGTGTGGCACCCACACAAGAGCTCGATGAAGGTCATTCATCGGGAGCCCGAATAAGAATTCTACACTTGCTTTATGGCTGAGTCTGTTGAGAGAACCTTGACAGGCTCTGAGGATGTCTGATGGATATGTCAACTCTCGGCCCGTGAACACAGAGATCAGTGCATCGTAGTTCTTGAAGTCCCAGTCTGTATCATCGAGGTTGATGCCAGAGCCGTCTTCTCTAAAGAAATCGTCGCCGAGCCAAGTTTCCACGCCCTTGCTTGTTGAGTCCAGCGCAAGACAATCATGGAAGAATTCCGTGCGACAGGTCATAGAGACGTGGGTTTTGGCGAAGATGATGCACTTCCGAAAGAGGAGACGTTCCTGCAATGTCCATCCTCTACTGTCCCAGACTGATTTGCCGTGATTGTCCCAATTGGAGTAGATGAAAGTAGCCATCAATTGCCCTTGATCAAGCCTTACAGTCGGCTGCTGGGTCTGTAGTAAGGGTCTTGACACTCCGGGCAACCCCCAGTCAGCATTCGGTCCATCCAGGCTGACGAGGGTTAGAAATGCCGATGCAAAAATCTGATCCATGATGTTGATCTGTTCTTGCTTGTGTCCATCTAGTCGCTGATTAATGCATATCTGGTCGATCCAAAGAAGACGTTCGCCGATGTGTTTCACAAACCGTATTGCGTCTTCCATTGTTTGAGGCAATGGTGTTGCCAATTCCTGAGCCTCGTCTATTTCACCATTTTCTTTGATGGCGATGGCTATGTCTTCGCCCGGAATGGTATCAGACCTATCCGATCTCGACTCCTTTCCCCAGACATAACTGAGAGCAACGAAGCGGTCCCCCTTACGATGGCGGACAAGGGCTCTTTTCTTTACGTCAATGAGGTAAATCTCTACAGGTAGCCCTGATACGTTATCATCCACCTGACATTCGTGACCATGTTCATTAGAACATTTTTGAAGCCAGAGTGACACAAGCTCATAATTTACAGATCCATTGAAAGCCTCCAATGCTTCTCTGCGTCGCGGGATAGCCTGACTGCTGTGCGTTTGATTGATTGTATCGCCATAGAAGGCAGGCTTGAAAGTAATACATATGTGAGGCTCTCCGGTCGTAGTTGGCGCGCCAGTCTGCAACCAGACGAATGGGCAAGAGGACAGACTTGTGTCGATGCCGGCCTTGATATACCAAGGCTTCCCATCCGCGTCGCTTGCAAAGTATATGGCAGTATCCCGCGGCTTCAGCAGCGCGTGGAGTCGTTCTGAATGGCTTTCACTCCCGACTTGAAATGCCTCAATCAGGAATTTACAGCATGCGCATGATGATTGATTTTCGACGGCGTGGAAAAGTTCGCCGACTCTCCGACGATACGGTCTGGTTGTCGATTGATTTACCTTGAATATGGATGCGATTGGAATTGAGCGGCAAGATTCGCAGAGAAAGTTATGCTCGGCAATCGGACGTACAGCAGCCGTTTGAGATGCTCCTAGAGCGCCGTGAATATGTTTGGCGCTTTGGTAGGCCGCCTCAGCATTATGTAATTGAGCTTTAGCTAGCTCAAGTTCGAATTGAGTCGTCTTCAGGTACGCAGCCGCTGCTTCGAGAGCGTCGTTCATTATCTGCACATCTCCGACCAGTCATGTACGGGAAGTGGCGGAATCTCATGACCTCCCACGTAGTCCCTACTCCTAGGAGCATGAATGCTACCAATCAATTCCATAGACGAGGCTGTGGTACAAAGGTAGAGGCAGTCGAGGGAAATGACCATGAGGGCGCAAGGTCTGGTAGATGAGAAACGTAAGGTAATGCTGATACCGTAGCTGACAGAAATCAGCACGCTAGTGACGTCATCTCACCAAAATTCTATTTCGAGGGACCAGTTCCAGGGCCATTGCGAGCTTCTCGATGCAGCTATCCGGTATGAAGCGATGTGTATTCAGAAAGTGCCTCAGATCATATGTATGTTATCGACCGTGGAACCTCACCTGATCAGAGCCTAACCTACCTGCCCCCCCCGGCGTCTGGGGATGTACCGATGTACAGCCCCAAAACGCCTCTCTACACCGAACGTGCATTTGGTTGCACTCTACCATTGATTCTCAGGGATTTTGAAAGCATGAGCCTTCCTTCGAGCACAGCGAGTCTGTGAGGTCCAGTGGACAGTGAACAGAAAGCAGTTGTTTGGTACGTCCACGGTACGCAAGGATTGATCAATCGCGCACGCGCATCTCTCATGGCTGGGGTTCGATTCCATTCGCCATGACGCACATTTAGCACCGGGCCTGACTGACTTCTGGGTCTTGAACAAGGTTGGGCGGTTCCGATGTAGTGTCTAATTTAACCGCATGTTAGTCGTGGCAGAGGCTTCTCATCTTTACTAGTCTTTGCCACAGCAATCTGTATCATGACACCGAAACTCTCGCAGGCCGTGGCAAGATCGCGATGAGTGCGGCTTTCAGGGGCGAAAAAGCGTTGAGAAGGTTGGGATGTTACAGTGGCTGTGGACATCCCACCCAGCATCCTGCAGCTAAGCTGCAACCCGTCACTTCTGCAGGACCGAACCCTTCGACTTCCGGGAAATATTGGGTCGCTCAGAATCCCAGTGAATCCCAGTGAATCACTCACAAGTCCCTAATTCAATTAGACGGCCTCTCGCACTATCATTTGATCGAACCGGTGATATTTCGCACATTCCGTTGCGTGCCTGTCTGTGAGATAGGCACCTGCATAAATCTACGCTAAGACCTGCCTTGTTCCTCTAGAACATGCGGGGATATCGACCTTGTCAGCGCTGAGTCTACTGCAGATCTTTCTCCACGCTTTCGCAAGCTAAGGAAGTATCTAAAGAAGCATGGGGGGTATGCCTAAGTAAACGGGCGCTGGCTCTAGCCCCAAGCAGAGCCGTGTCAGAACTCTTCACCTTCTTGGGGGTGGGCGCTACTTATAATTGGCCTCACGTCTCGCTAATGTTTTGGTGGCTTATCATCTGTGTGCATGAAGGCGCGAGGCACATCCGTTGACTGTCGCCGGCGTCTAAGCATGAGCTCCTGCCCGTCATCCGCGAAACTTTGCGTCTTTCTATCTTCCTCCTTCAAAAGAACCTTCGTTTGATTGCTTGAGCTCTCCATGTATTTCGCGGGTATGAGCTCTACCAATCAATGACGTCCAAACTACAGGCCTTCATCTCAAAATGGCTACACCTTCCTACGAGCACTACCCCCGTCTCAAATCACCCAAAAGTCTTGAGGTGACTTCTTCGACACCGTCACCCTTGTGCTTTCAGCTGAAAATGGCATAGGGAAGATCTCTACGGATGGCAAATATTTGTGAGTATCAAGCCTTCAAGAAAGAGAATGGGTACATATTGACGCGCAGATAGTTCATATCAGTCAGCAGCATCATTGGGGTCACCATATTTTATTCAGATGGCGAGGCTCTAGAGGTCGCCGGCCCATCAGGCGCGTTGCTGGCTTTCGGCATCGTCGGTGTAATCGCTATCTGCGTTATGGAGTGCGTTAGTGAATTAATACAAATGTTTCCAACGCCAAACGCTATAGTGGAATTCGTTCGGGTGTTCGTGGATGAAGATTTGTCTTGGGTGATTGGAGTTGCATACTGGTAAGCTGAGAGCACCAAACTGGCCTGTTCTTATCTGGAACTCACTGTTTAAGGTATACTTGGTCCTCCATCTTCGCAACACAGATAATTGCTGCTGCTGCATTCACAAACTATTGGGGCTTCGCACAAGTGTACCAGACAGTCTTCATGTACTTTCTCACGCCGGTCTTACTCTTAGCTATAAATCTGTGTGGCGTGTTTGTGAGAACCCCTTCCCCTGGTGGATTTTGTAGTCGCTGTTGACGCTTCACAGTGGTTCGGCTGGATCGAGACTATTGGTGGATTGGTGAAAATTGGCATGGTGTTCGGGACCGCCGTCTTCATGTACAATATACATAGAACCAGTACGTTGATGCGGCGTCAGTAGAGCAACGAGCTGACTGATGCTTAGATCACATTGGGTCTAAATGTGAGCAATAAACCGATGTAACAAAATCTAAAAGGAATCATGTTGACATTCATCAGTCATCGCAGAAGGTTTCACGTACAATCCAGCATATGCGATGAACGCAAATGTTGCGGGGTGGTATGTGCATGCCTTGGCCAGAATCTTCGACGATTTTATGCTGACCTTAGTCTCTACAAAGCTTTGTTATCCCCCTCATCTCATACGGTTTTCTTGGAGTCGAAATGATCTCGGTGACCGCGTTCGAGGCAAGAGACCTGGTCTCATTAAAAAGACCCTCACAGATGATCGCCTACTTCATTTTAGCACTCTACTTGTTTGTAACATTAAGTGAGTTCATGAATGTGAAATGGACCAACGATAATCTTCCGGATCTTTTTGGCGCTGGTGGAAAAGATAGTTCTACATATGCCGGCGGCACAAGACTTCGTTCACACGCAATAGTCGTCATCGCTGCGCTCGAGGCTCGCTACAAGCACGCACCTGGGATACTGAATGCCTTCATGATCTATTCAACATTGAGTGCAGCCAATTCCGCCCTATACATTTCCTCGCGGACGTTACACGGCATGACACTGAAGATTAAAAAGACCTCGCGGATCAGTATATTCCGAGGTCTCGGTAGTGTCTGGCAAAAGACGGGGGTGCCAATGAGAGCCCTGGGTGTATCATGCGGCGCCTTTGTTTGGCTACCATTCTTACAATTAAGGCGTGGTATAGCCGTAGCGGAGGTTGGTCGACGCCGAATCGTGCCTTGTTTGGAATCACTGACTTGGACTAGCTGCTCGAAATAATGGCGGTATCGTCAAGCGTCAGTGGCCTCCTCGTATGGGCCTCTATCTGCCTGGCTTTCATACGTTACTGGTATTGGTAAGCTCACATGAGCCCACTCCCAAGATCAGCTCACTGATGATGTACTTAGGTTTCGTATACATAGAACTTTTGTGGCTGGCAACTTCAAAAAATGGAATCGTCTGGATCCAGAATGTCAATCTAGCACTTTGCTAGAGGCCTGGCAACCAATACCAGCTTGCATTGGACTTGTTGGGTGTCTCTTAATCGTATTCGTTTTTACCACAGCGACGTGGTGGAACTCGCCTGTTTCATTTAGGAAGGTTGCTGTCGCTTTCGGTGCTGTGCGTACAGACCCAGAAAGCTCGCAATGGAGCAGGAATTCGTACGCTAATTGCTGGCAGCCTCTGGTCTTGACGACATTCTTTCTCGTCTTGAAGGCGTTTTCAAGAGAAGGTTTCGTGAAACTCACAACAGACAGAGGCAAATTTCAAGAGGCTGTCAATGGCCTGAGCCACCATAAAGAGGAAAGGAGAGAAGGACTCTTCGCACCATTCGAGTTTCGCTCACGTCCACGTTCACGTGGACACATGGAGCAGGCCCAACCGGCAATGAATGATCACCAGAGCCCTGCCATCCACCTCAACGGATTGGCCACGACCAATACAGACCTCCCTACAGTACAACGTCTAGATCCGCCTTCAGGTCCGTAGCTGAAGTATGGTGACAAGCACATATCTTGTCTGGAAGTGAGGAGGTGCGGAAGGTACTATAGGTGTAGATATTATAGAGATGTAGAACTTATAGACTGAATCGATGTCATGAATAGAATTGCAAAAATGTCCAGGAGTATTCAAATGGCGTCACGGCGGGGTCATGAATGACGGGCCCTAGCCCGAAGCTTTAGGGGTCCTTTTTAGGCTCCGACGTAGCTAGAGCACCATCACCACCTTATCCATCTCCTCATCCATCCATTTTTCATCTTCCACAACCCACCCCTTCTCAGACTTTCTCTCATCTCTGATCATGCTCAAGTACTATTTCGTGTATCTCAATTAAATCTGGAGATTGCTCCTGATCAAAACAATTGTCTTGCAGATTGTGACGCTTGCCAAGTTTCCAAGCGTCCGTCCTGTAGGAGGATTTATAGATAACTATTTCCGAGTACTAGAAGTATTCAAACTAATCACAGGGGGGAACAAAGAGCTCTCAGTCTCCCGCGTGGTATCATCATGCCATGGGAAAGCGGCAGAGGCGTCGCACTGCTGATGAAGTCACCTCAAAAATCCAGAGGTCCATCAAAAAGTGCTTTCATCAGTCGAATTCCAATGGCGAGAGGTTTATCTGCAAGCGCGGTCTCCAATCTGTCTGGACAGACCACCAAGTCGAGTCTATCCCTGCATTCAAGGCCGAAGGTTTCAACGGAAAGGACTACAAGGTTATCAAAGAGAGATTCTTGGTTGTCCTGTCGATCGTCATATTCATAGACTGGGACAACTTGGAAGCATTTCGTGAAGTATTCGTCGAGCAGAAGCTTGATGACAACGCCTTATTTTTCAACGAGGACCAATTGAGAGGCTTACGTGGTGGTAAAGATAATTTCTTAACGCAACAATATCTCTTCAGACCAACGGTGATTGAGGAGCGTTCGGATTGCTTCATACAGAACATTCCTTCCGATCACCGCTTGCCTTTCATTAGTGAACCTGAACGCCTCGGGGAGGGAGGGTATGGAGCGGTGACGAAGAGGTATGTCGCCGTCCGGTGTCTCAAAGAAGGCGACAAAGACAACTCGGAGGTAAAGTCTCAATTCAGCGTTTGACTGGGTGTATCACTAATGCTGTAGCGCAGCCTGTGGCAGTCGCATGTAAAGAATATTTTACTGACAGACCGCAAGAAGACTTTGAGCGAGAAGTGCACAACCTCAACTTCCTTAAAGAGTCTCTGAGAGAATCTAGATGTGTAATGAGACATTTAGCTGCTATTGTGCATGGACCCAAGTTCCTAATACTCTTGCCTCTAGCAAAGTACTTCAACTTAGAGGTTTTCCTTCGCGATGGGAAGGAACCTGTCAGAACAACTCAACAGTCTCGCCAGAGGTACTGTTTCGTCGAGAGGTTCCCACATCTGAACCATGATGGGCACTTACACAGAGCCATCGTGAAGCAAGCATACGGACTATCTGATGCTCTGTTATGGCTGCACAGAGATCTACGAATCTTTGAAAGAAAAGATTGTTACCTCGCCCACATGGATCTAAAGCCAGAGAACATCCTCATTGATGGTGATCCTCACAATCCTGACACACCAGCTGGTGAATGGATGCTGTCGGATTTTGGTATTTCTGCCTTCAACAAAATGTCAAATGAGAAAGTCTCTCAGACACCGGCCATTCGCGACTTTGTGTCTCGTGTCACCTCGCAAGCACCTTCGATCAGAGTTCAACGAGGCCACGGACCTTATCAGCCGCCTGAAGTCGCTTTGGAGCGCGATAGGGAGGCCTCGACTTCGAGATTCTTGGCTACAGTTCGTCCGCTTGACGGGCGCAAATGTGATGTCTGGTCTTTCGCTTGCATACTCTCTGACCTCCTTGCTTTTGCACTGGAAAGGGGAAAGGGTCGTAGAAGGCTGCAGAAGGCTAGAAGTGGTACAGCGGACGACAACTTCTATTCATTCACCAGTCTACCCGAGGAAAATGTTACGACAATTACAGCTAAGAACACGGAGATCAAGAAAGGCGTCGTGGGTTGGCGTAGGCAGATTGCAGAGACCCATCCCTCGACTTGGGTTGTCGATTATACGGCAATGCTGGAGAATGTCATGAAGCCTTGTCCACTCAATCGCCCAAACATTGAAGTCATTGTCGATTGTCTATTGGATATAGGGCCAAAAATGGTCTCCGTTGGTCAAGACGTTCAATCAACCAATTCTCAGCTCTTGCAGATACCAGGTTGGCATCTCCCTCACGTCCCGCAGCCTATTGGATCACCACAGAGCGGAAGGTCATCGATCGCTTTTGCAGATGAGCCAACCTCTCAATCAATACAACCTGCAACTTTAGAGCCAGCTGATTTAGTCATCCCGACTGGTCAGAGTCACGTTCCATCGCCGTCTCCCCAGATACATACTAGGACCTCTGTGAATAACGATTCGGCAGTAGGAAGCAGTCAATCTTCAAGCGGCACAATGGCCAGTCAAGATAATTCGAATAGCACACAAAATATACGAGATCAAAATGGGGTAGCGCATCCATCTACTACTGTGATTGCTCAACCTTCGTTGAACGCTACTCATCGAATTCAACATGACAGGGATTTTCGCGCATGCGAAACAGAGAATCTGCACCTTCCAAAGGAGGCCCACATCAAGACCGTCGCGCTCAATGTGACAGGTACGAGTGTGGCTGTCTTATTTGAGGGATACGTGCAGGTTTTCTCTACTGCGTCTGGCGCTTTTCTCACTGAACGTATAACACCCTCAAGCCAAGGACACTGGTCAAAAGTACGGCTAGCTGACCCTTTCCTGGCACTTTATGGCAAGAGTACATCACACGAGAAGCACGTAAGTCTTGCTTTGCTCTATGTCCCATCGTCCTCCTTAGATACTTTCTAGCATTCGATCTCGATGCAATTGTAAACACTCGGATGACTAACAGCACAAGGCTGAGATATATGATATAACGACTCCAGTAAAAAGAATCTTCCCTGACAGTGCTTATCATAAGGTCGATCCCTTACTTGATCTTCTGCTCTCCAAAAATGGCGTCGCTGCGAGTATCTACTTACGTCGTGTTGCATTCGACTTCTTGCAGTATGTTCAATCCGGTGTTTTAGCAAAGCAGTGAGCTCACGCATGACTCAGCTTGAAGCAGACAATTGAAATCCAGATTCCTGATGATTTAGGTGACATTCAACGAGGAGCATTTGGGTATGACGGACGCTATCTTTTCGTATGGACAGTCAGTGCTGCAGCAGGCAGCGCAATCGCCTACGAAGTGAGGTCAGAAACTCTTTCTGTAGAGATTCACAACGGTATCAGATTTCAAAAGGCGAGAAATTGTGTCTAGCTCGTGTCCCTCATTTCTGATTGTACGCAGGATAGTGCTCCTTGTAAACATCGCAGTATATGGCCCGCGCCATCATCCCTTTTTGTGTCATTCGCGAGAATGACGGGGTTTTCGTGGCTGACCTTAGTAATTCGAAAACAGAGATCGTTCAAAGAAATGACTTCACGTTACGCCACGTTATCAGCGCTTGCCTTCCATACGATGAACTACTCATTTGCATTGAGACAAGCACGTTCCGACATAAATATATCGTCGCGCGTGAAATTACCTCAGCGGACTCCGGAGAGCGCAACGTTTCGAGCAAGTTTTATCGGCTCGGGAAAGTGGATAAACATATCGACCCTTCATCCAGTGTCGCGTTGCAGCCAGTTCAAGATGGGCTCGATATAGTCGTTTGCTGCGTTGATGGGACACTTTTCAGATATACACAGTCCTGATCGAGTTGCACCTCCGTATCCCAAGACGTCCTATTGGAACGCGTTTCTCGTTATAACTTGATGAAAGGCCCTCAGTCAATATCATGGGCCTCTGAACTTCAGTGATACTGATTTTGGGAATCCATGCCAGCCCGCATCATTATGGGGTTGATGAAACGACTTCATCAGAAGATACAACACGAACGTGACTGCTGTTAATGGCAGCCATGTTATCACATAGATCCAGAAATTCTTTGCAATCACCAATCGACGAGTATCCTGGTTGAAGACAAATAAGTTCATGCCAAAAAGGGTCTGATGAGAAGTAAATCAGTTGAGCCTGGAAAGCTCGTCCCACAGGCTAGGACTTACAGCCACAAAACTGCCCGGTAAGTAAATCAGCGTCAGATAGGTGATCCATTTAACTGCCGTAGTATCCCTAGTTGATTCTTCTGCAAGTTTCGAAACATGTTCATTAATGTCGGCACTGGTATACTGATTTTTGAGATCCAGAGCATAAGCGAACTAGATCAGAGGAATACCAATCAGCAGCGTGGTCTACGACACGGATTCTATGACGCTGGTCCTTACCAGGTTGATCGAATTGCTGATCCTGCTTGTCAAGGATTTGAGGCTATCAGTGAAGCCGTGCAAACGGTTCCTATATGGCTGTATGGACCATTCACCAGAGAAATGGTCCGCGAAGGGGCTCTCTAGCATATCAATTACGGCCATTGCACTCTTACAATGAACGCTTAAAGACAAAGTGATATCTTCTAGATCTCTTAATTGCTGAACGTTATCGAAACTGAGGCTCACTGCTGCTGGAGTCTTGAGGTCCAAGGTCATGCCTTGATCGTTCTGTAGAATTGTTAGGCTCAATATCCCGATCATTCGACTATCAATCTCGCCTTTTTTTGGAATTGACTGCCCAAATATCGGAAGTACCATCTCCAATTGTCGATATAGAGCGCGAAGGACATCAAGTGCAGCCGAAACGGGTTTTCGAAGATACTGTTCCTTAAAGATGAGACTTCTTTCAAGCCGATCAATTGCTGCTCCAGCAGGCTTTGTTCTGTCGGATGCAAGAAGATGAAGAGGTCGAAATCATCCTTTGGAGAATGATGGTGGTAAACTCCGGTCTGACGAATAGACCATGGCCGTAATTCAGATCTATGATTTTCCTCCACGTACCGAATCTGGTATGAGATATCTACAAAAGAATTTAACGACCGCAGAGAGATATTGAGGCTCATATCTTACTCCTTGACCCATCGTCGGTGACATTACTGGCAATATTACTCGAGCCGCTTTCCGAAAGATTTGGCACACCATCAAACGAGAAAAGTACCTGAAGGAAAGCTGGGTCGACTTTGTAGAACATCAGAATCTGGCGCATTAGAGACTCCGTAATCTCTAAGCCGAGTGGTGCTTCACTCGCATGCAGCGAACTGCTGACGTGAGAGACGGTTCAATAAAATGCTCCAGGGGTAATCACATGATTCTTGTCCGTATTGTCCCGACATTCTGCTCTCGAAGAATCCGTTCAACATGAGAGGCCTCCTCAAATGCCTTCGTGCCAGAGAGAATCGATCCTAAATAACCTCAGTCAGATCAACTACCACAATCTCGGCCGCCAATTCTCGTGACGCTAACCATCTCGCCCAATGTCAATCACACGTAGATCGACAGTCCCATAGAACAGATTACTTGCAACTTGCTTCAGTCGAGCATTTAGTAGCGATGCAGACCCTGAAAGCATGGGAGGGTTCCCGATCCCAGCGGGATAATTCTGCCATCCTTTGAATGGTCCGCCATGATCAAAATGCTGCGTTGATAAATTGGCCAGCGGAATCATATTCAACTGGGAGGCATGTCTGAAGCAGAACAGGTGGGAAAAGATAGGATATTGCTTAGCAGCAACTCTCCTCTTCTAGTCATTGGAAAATGACGAATGCGCCCATTTGAGAACCTGATCAATGCAACCACAAGGCTCAAGGACGAAGAAATAATAAGCTGGCAGCTTTGGAGGATGAAACAGGCATGTCACGCTCCCATTAGTTGCATACGGCCGAAGAGGTGAGGTGCGTGTGCCCTAAGGTATGCCCGTTGTGAGCCACCAATCAGATATTCAGCAACTCGCTAAGACCTAACGCCATAGATGCCCGCGGACGCCCACTGCTTCCAAGGAAATTGTCCAATGCTACCCTACAGCCTTATCCAACAACACCCAACCCAAAAGCAGACCGTACTTTCATCAGACACAGGGAGCTTCTTCAAGGACCGCGCCGTCCACGAACGTGTATTTCGGCTGCTAAGTGGCCCATTCAAGGGTTTCCCGACCCTCTGCTGCCGGCGGAGCTTGCCGATGCCATTGGCGCTGCGCCCTGGGCAGTCTTCAAGGCATTCTTTTCGGCCCGCAGCTGCCTTATCCAATCTCTACCCGAGCGTCAGCAGGGGTCAAAAGCTCACTTGGCTCCTTGATGGGAAAGGAACTTGTCGCAGAACGTACTTGACCTCCTTATCCGTCAATTCTCGCTCGGAATAGTAGATCCATCGTCCGCTCTTTTCCTGCCTTGGGTAAACAACTCGTCTCCGGACCCGGTAGACTCAATCGGGCGGCAGCGCCAGGTACCTTAATCTCGTCTAGATCATATGGTCTGTTGAATACCTTCTCCAGGAATCTTTTGACATCGGTCTTCACCGGGATGTACCTGGTCTGATCAGACGTGAGGCAGTATTCGAATGTCGGCTGGCTACTTGGAGGGGCCATGTCTCGGAGGAACACATGAATAGCCCCAATATAGATGGTGCATGTGTTATCGAAGCGGTGTCAGGCTAGGGCGACTGAAAGCTTGCTTTTTCAACGCAAAAAGGCTCTGGATTACGACTTTGCAGAGCCGCATCCTAGATAAGGCTGAGTGGGGTGTCTATGTCTGGCTGCATGTGACCCCGCACGACTGCTTGATCGACCGTCGCTCTTGCAGCAAAGAGGCGCAAATGAGATCTTCGTATTGGCTGAGAATTTGCTGATGGGCATCTCCTTACTCTTCAAGCATCATGGGTCTAAAGAATCTCGCTTGTATTGTGCCGCTTGTGTCTACGCAAGAAGTACAATATACTGGCTTGAATCTATTGGGGGATCAAATCAGAGGGAATGGGTCTTAGAGACGTCTGACTCCCGTATAAATCTAATTCTTAAATGGTCCTGTGGGTCCAAAGGGCGTATCTGAAGGCTCTCCTGTAACTGATGCACGAGTAAAGAAAGAATAGTTCTGCCTGTTAGGGCTCACCGGAAGACCTCTTCGAACGATTTGCTTGAAAGACTGTAAGGTGAATCGCCCTGAGGCAGGAACAGCATAATGCTCCTCTGGTAGTCTAGTGCTCTCGTGTGCGTTGTGCAATCCTGGAAATCCCTCACTTGGTTCAAGAGAGCGCCTGCCAAGCGATGTGCCAACTATATTTGCTGTCAAGTCATTGGCAGGACTACGTACACTACCAAGCGCCTTTTGCTGGGATTTTGGGACAGCATTTGGTGAAGGAGGGCCAAAATCTCCCCACAAGATTGGGAATGAAACGCAGTGGCCGAATATTACGGCTCCTTCTCTTGCGAAGGAGTTGGGAGAAGTCAATTGGCGGCTCCGAAAAGCTGTTGAGCCAGCAGGAACCAACAATTGGACTCTATCGCATGGCTTGGAACCCTTCTTGCTCCAGTGTCTGTGGCACTGGCACGGCTCAAAAATTTTACCTCTAGGCGCATACCAGTCAAAATCATTAGCAATTCGCCAAGGGATGTCGACTCCATTCCTATTGCGCTGGATCTTCTCCCCCGCTGTCGAGATACTCACAGACAGCAAGTCTTTACCACTAGGCACCTTGGTCCAAGGAGTGCAAAGACTTCCAGCATTAACAGGCAGTATGAGGTCGCCAAAGTCGTTCCCAAACAGGGTAATTACTTGGAGCGACCTGACAAAATCTACCCAGCCTGTACCCAGGTCTTGTAACATGTGCACATGCGGGTACAGTGGATCTTGATCCTCCGCGATGTGAGCGAAATCAAATCCCTCAAGACGGCGGCGGGGGCTGCCTCTGAATTGAATGGCATACCCATCTTCGCTGGCTACCGCGTCTTGCGCCGCAACGATCTCTTCTAGGACCTGATATATATGTTCGACTTTGTCGCTGAAGCGGACAGAAGTCGTCTTGGTCCTCGTGACGGAAGTGATTTCGCCTGAAGATTTAATCGACTGCTCCTCCCATTTTTCGACGGGCCTTTTGAAAAGCTTTTGTTGCATGTTGTGTTCATCAAGAAGGACGAACTTTGCAGCTTTGGATCCCGAACAGGGCTCGAATGATTCTTTCATATCACTCCAACGGAATAGGCAGTGCTCGCCGAAATCTCTGTCATCTCGTAAATGACTGATAGAAGACCTGACCAGATGAAGTAAAGCGCTAGCACCATCGACCAGCCAAGCTGTTTTGTTTTTGACGTCAAAAAGTACGACAAACTTCTTGGAGATCCACATGAGCTTCCTCATATAATCATCGCGTGCCGGTATACGGATTGCTTTGTCCTTTTTCCCAATAGCAACTGTTACGCTACCAGTGATATATTTACTGGCGCCAATGGTGACCTTTTCAAGAACACAACCGGCATGGGCTCTTTCCAAATTACATGGGGTAATCGAATACGAGGCGTGGGGACTTCCTGTTTTCTCGATAGTCAGCACCATTTCCAGACGGTGAGGTGGAGGAATACCTGTCAAGTTCTTAATCTCCGGGCACCAGCCTAGGATATGTCGCATGCTCTCAAGTTTATCACTAGTCAGCTGTTCAGATTGCGACAGTAATTTGGAATGAATCCGAGGATCATTGTACGAAATTCTTTCTCCCTGGCTGCTGATAAGGTGCCACACAAGGATCCCTTCTTCTACTCGCGTCGGAAACGCCATTGCAGCAAACCCCTTAAGAAATGGTAGACCGTTATGCCAGGTGATAAGAGACACCTGGATAAGGTTCGCCATGACATCTAAAGGGATCTCCAGCCCATTTATTGGATTTGATCGACGGGTAACTAGGAATCCTGATGCTATTAAAGGGTTCTCAAATAGACCGTGCCAGCATTGAGACTCATCACCTTTGATGCTCGAACTAGCATGATGGTCCAAGAATGTCATAATCCGGGTTGTCATTGACTTCTCCGTACTTAAGCGGTTCCTTTGGTGGGAAGACAAAACTAATTCGACCTGCAGACTAGGTCCACAAATTCTGATGCCGCGCCGGAAAGGGGATGTCCGCAGCGTTGATCCAAGCCAGGCCATTGCTTCTCCCACCTCCAGAATAGTAGACGAGGTTCCTTCCACGATGATCGAAAATACTGAGCTCTTGAAGGTACCTTCTAACTTTGTTCCATCATCTAAATGATCTATTCAACCAAAGCAAGAACACTTAGGTCAGTCAATCTTCGTTAATAGAATCCAGAAACTTGCACTCCACTTTTTCGTTCTTTCTATTAACAGATGAATCCAATAATAGCAGACGTTGTACGAGAATCATCACAGAGGGCCCGGTCAGAGGCCACACATATTCAAGGTACTGCGCGGCGAGCATGGCTTGTGCTTGCTCTGGTGTTCCCGTCAATGTGATGGCCCTAGCAACGACTTCTTGAGGGTCAAATGGTACTGTTGTTCTTTGAAGAACTCTAATGGATTCCACTGCACAACGTAATTAACGATATGCGCTTTGGGTACGATGGTCTGCTGTCCGATATCAATGTCAACCAACGTAAGGGCCGGTACAAACGCTCCCAACGCTCCCTCAAGGGCTACGGAGACGCTCTCTTCTAGCGTATTAAGTGCAGTCGCTCTCACGATCTTGCTGATCAGCCACTTGTATGATGCTGTTCCTGCAATTCTGTCGCTGAATTGTTTCGAGAAGCTTCTTTCGCTTTCAGTTCCCGATTCGTACTGAACGTCTTTGCGAAAGCGCTTTCCGTGTTTCTTCCAATCCAAAGACTGTGGGCTATCAGATATCTCACCAAAACATTCTGTCAATTTACTGCGCGAGAACGTTAGTATCTTCCAATACCACAAACCCTCTATCAATGGTTAGGAAGAGATGTACGGACATGTTCTGCTCCAGTATGAAAATCATAGAACGGTCATCATTGGAATTTTTCTGGCAGTTTTCCCAGCCAAGTCTCAAGGCAAAGTCCCTGAACAATGTCGGCAGTTCGCGTTTGATCATCCCAGTCACATCCATATTCCAAATCACCCTCTCAGCCGTGAGTCGTTGCCAAAGCCCGTCTATGAAATCCTTGATGTAGTTATCTCTCGTTAGTGGTTTAACAAGAGCGTCCACCTCACCCGTCAACCGAGCAGCAAACGTCTCTATACTTCCAGAAACTTGTTCGCAATCATCCTCAGCAGGCTTGCTGAACCGCCACTCTAAAGCCTTGCTTTCGGATGACTCATCGGGGTTATCACGCGTCTTCGCCGACCTAAGGATTCCTCGTCTTTCCTCTCTGAGCTCGGGGTTCCAGTCTCTGAGAGCAGGTGTCAGAGTCTCAAACAGAAAATCTGCCTTTCAATTACCTAAGCTCTTGTTTCGTTAATGGACGCTCAGCATAATATGTCCATCGCCCAGCTTTGACCTACTATGAGTCAGCGCAACGGACAACTTATTGCTATACAATCTCATCTGAGCACGCACTTTGATATCTTTCAAGTCAAACTTTCTTCCATAGATCCGCTCTAAAAGTTTCTGAACGTCCGAAGGAGTGGCCAGATACATTGACAGTGCATTGGAGAGATTTTGCTGCTCTAAGCCTGGTTCATGGCTGAATGATGCCATAGTGAAGTCATGAATCCACAACGCGGTTACACTGGTCTCTTGCTTCGTGACAGCTTCGAAGATATCGAAAGACCAAGCCTTGATTGTCTATTGTTCAATTTCAAATACAAGAAGCCACGGATGATGAAGCGGAAATGCGTACCAGGCACCCAGATAAGGCTGAGCGGGGAGTTCAACGAGCAACCCCGCGCTATGCAGAGGCTTACGCTGCATGAATTGACCTAGTGAAGACTTGGGTTAGCTTTGTTTCTGAGACCTCTGTCGGCGTTAAGAAAGACCAGGCTCAGCGCGTGGATCCTGCCACGGCTTTGGTGGGATTTGGAATCTCATAACACAACTACCTCGTACGACAGGTCTTACGAAAATACAATCTTATGATTGAAGATACAACGAGAAAGACATTTCAATATATCCAAAAAGAAAGGAGAGAAACGTGTACTTCGCCTATGCCGTCTCAAATCATGTAGTCATTGAAGTGTGCATTTTTGAGCTTGAAAGACCTCTGAGGCTGTGTTTGTAAGTTCAAGGATGTCTGAAACTCAGCTTCTGAAGTCAGATTGTTATTCAAAAAAGCCTACTTGAACTAGACGCTGACCTGAACCTATCTTCTTGATTAGACACGTATTTATTTCTTCTAGGCTTAGCAATCTCTTAGGAACAACACTCTAGATCTTTCTGAGGAAGTACCAACGATAAGAACGTTAACTCCGCTATTCAAACCCAATTTGGGTGTCATATTGCAACATACTGACGGCCAGCTACAACATTTATCTCAATTCTATGGTAATTATTTCCACACCTTTGAGACACCTAGTAAGTACTAGGTTCTGGTCAGGTAGTCTTCCGTTATGAACTAAATCCACGGTGCTAGAAACAGTCGGTGGGCAACAATCTCCAAATGTTTGACAAATTCTACTTCTTGTCCAGGGACCCAATTCAAATGAAAGACAGTCTATCTCAATACCAAATGCTCTTGATCTTCAGTACTAAGTACGTCATTCCAAACCCATCTCCGGGCTCCAAAATTCAGAAAGCATATCCAAGCCTTATGATTCGTCGCGAACTCAACAGCACTCGACCTAATTGTCAATTTAAATGTGACCTCCTTCCTTTCAGTGTGGTCCCATTCCTAGTCTAGATTCTGAACCGTCAGATGTCTCCTTGAACCCCTTGTCTTTCTCAACGCTAGAGACTCGCTAAAGGTCTTCCTCCTTCATCTACGTCTCACGTTAGTCGGCTTCTACGGTACAATAATGGCGACTGCACCCTTCCTCCTTTCTTGCTCTCGAATTCGGTCTTTGTCGTTTCCACTACGTCATCGTTCGACTCGTCAGGTAAATTTGATGGTGCTTGCGGAAGAATCTGCAGGGTTTGGAGGGCCTCTGGGAAAATACGATATCAATATACGGCCACTGAGTTGAAGCCTTCGTACATACCTTTCGAACGGTACTTGAAGGTGAAAACGGCAATTGGTTCGAGTTCCACCTTCTCTGCCTCAATGTGTCTGGACTGTTCGATCTTGATCTCTTCCTTAACTCTGGGACTTGGTAAGCTAATATGATGCGGACCAGGTGGTGCAGACTGACAAAATGGTATGGGTCAAATTATGGCCCTCGAGTGCCTCCTTCGTCATTTGAAGCTCTTCGGTAGGTGGACAGTCGCTGCCAATAATCTTTGAATATGATGAAATCGAATGTTTCTGTGTGATCTGTTTGCGGTAAACCTTGCAGCAAATAGTACCCATTTCACTGAGTCGCTGATTATCGGGTGTATCAAGGAGCTCATCGTCTGCAGGTTCAACTAATTTCCAACTCAATTAACAAATGCTTGCAATGTGGTCGAGCTTTCTCACCGATATTGATTTTGCCAAATTCGAAGTGCTGTAATCTCGAACCATTCTTGTCGTGGATTGGAATTCCTATTATGGAGGAATACGAATCACTCTTGTAATTATCAAATTGCTCTTTGGTCAATGTTATGTTACGCCTCATGTCCCCGTCAAGTAAGAATTCGAAGCTTAGGCAATTTGTTGTCATGTCAAAAGTCTTGGATACTCCGTGTTTGATAGTGAACAATGCCCCAGAGATTGACCCTACGTAGCGTGAGATCTCATTGTGTTTTGTGATGCTACCATGTGGGTCCTCATATTCTTGTAGATCGACGCCGTTGACTTGAATAGAGACTTCGATCTCGTTCAAAATTGCCATAACGTAATATACTATGGGCGATGCAAGGTTGTCATGAATGAGTGGCTGCGTTATAGAGGTATGATTGAGTGAGGCAACTTATTCAATTTAGGAAGGGGCCAATATTTATAGAGGTGCTTCTTGGAGAAACATTGATTGGAGCTGTGTTCTAGTGCCTTCGATACATTAGGTCAAAGGACATGATTGCTTATGTTGATGGCAATGAACATCATGAGCCAGCCTCAAACTTTGGTAAGCATCATCAGCAAAATGGTAGATGTTTGTATTGACAAACAGCTGAGTGAACTTCGTACTCGGGAGGCATTACACATTTCACGTAGAGGTTAAAGGATCGGCCAGCTCGTGGTTGTTCTTGTGTATACACATACCCTTGAATGTAAGGATTGACGACTTTTGTTTTACAGATAGAAAATTTTCGGCCAAACTTAGTCTTCTTGAGACTCTGGCACACAGCGGGCCATTGCATCAAGGCAAAGATCACCAAAAAAACAAGGAGATGAACCATATGGCTACTATCAATTAGATGCTTGTAACCGTCCTTTCAAGAAAGGGCCCTGGGATTGTCTGGAGGTAGCAAAGTCCCTCAGGATGAGAAATTTCCTTCACAAGTAAAAATACCTTAATGGCCTAACAACACGATGTATGAATTCCATATTCCAAACTTGCTGTCTTGATTGTATTTTTCAACACGTAAGAAGTGGGACACTAAAACCTGAGTTTTTTTGTTACCACAATCTGAAACCAATAAACTGCAGCCTTGCGTTGGTGTGCGAGCTGACTCACAAACCAAAATCACGGACGGAGCATGCAGAAAATCAGCGCTGAAATGAAAGGTGACAAAGCATATCGAATACTGTCGCCACCAGAGTCGCGGAACAAGAAAAGTGGAGTGCTGGCGAGTTGTGAACAAAGCTGAGGTGGCCGCTTTCGTTCAGCTTTGCCTCTCGCACCTCAATGAAAGGAAAATTACAGGCCAAACGAGGCAATTTGTCATGCTGCATTAGACTTTTGGCACGTGTCGCAATCTTTTGATCACGACGACAAGTCATTTCTGAACCTAGCTAGCCGACTTGATCTTACTTTGCTTTTGCCTTGGCCATCTTTGCTGCACCTATGGATTGCCAGGAGATCGACCATGGAGACCCTGTATGTTCAAATGGAATTTCCGTCAAGAAATGATTTCCCTTTGGTTGCTGACTCTCTAGCCACCTTCATATATAGAAGCTCTAAATGCCAGAAGACTGACGATCAATGCCCGAGCCTCAAAAGAGTACAGTGACGGCGACAGTATACCGTGTTCGCCTCGAATAGACGCACGTGAGGACTTTGATGACTTGGTGTGTTCTCCACTCGCCCTTTTGCTGCAATATCCCGTGAAAGGCTAACAGCGGCGAAGTCCACGATCGAAGCAGCCGCTGTCTCCAAAAATGACGTTGGACCAAGAAGTTTCCGACTCGACGATGGTAGCCACACCCCGATTATTGAAGAGCTCTCGACCGCCCTAGACGCCATGATTCTCTCCGTCGCCAAGAAAGATCGCCACGTAGCTGAAGTCCAAGATAGCCTCGTGGCTCATCATATCGCCATCAAAGAGCATAGACATCGTATTCTCGAGGCTCGAAGCGTAATCTCTGCACACCAAGGTGCCATAGCAGAAAACAAAAATTATATTAAAGAGGCTGAAGCAAGTCGGAACAAAACAGCGGCGAGGACGGAGCTTGGTACTGCGTTTTCGATGCAAGAGACCTATCAGACAATAGAACGAGCTAGCTCTGCTGCGATAGCTGAGAGTAGACGGAGAATCTTTGAGGCGGACGATGTGGTATTGGCGCACCAAGCTGCTATTGCCGAGAATGGACGAAGGATTATTGAGTTAGAGAAGGCGAGGGTTGATGTTATTCATGAGAGAAGGCGGAAGAAGAATGAGGTGGCTGATACCCGGTCGTTGATGGTGAGATGCCAAAGAGATCTGGGAGTGACAAAAGCTGCGAAATCAAGGGCAACAACGTCGTATGGGGTGAGCTTGCGACCACAGAGCGAGGCCAACGTGAGCTTCTTGCCGATTTAAAGGCTTGAAGCGCTTGAGGCAGGTATTTGTGAACCAGGCTTACCAGGGACTCTTAAGTGAGCGATCTTAATCGCAACGTCCAAAATGACTACCACATGAATCTCTGTACCTTACCAGGCTCGTGACCCCACTCGAAGCCACGAAATAGAAACAAGTATCCTGTAAAGCCATTGATGCAGATGAACCAAAGCGTTTCCAATGCCAGCTGAGGGTGGATTTGCATGAGATTTCTTGCTCTCGTGGCTTTCTTGTCTTTCTCATTGACCTGCCTTGCCGGATCGCCAACTTGAATGTGCAGTCGCCAAAACGTCCAAGGCAGAATGCAATACCTAGGCTCAACTAAAGGAGCGGTGCATAGATTGAGCGTTGTAGTCGCAAGCCAGATCAGGACCCATAAGACTGCGAGATCGCCGGTGTGCGTAAGAGACTCTTTAGACTTTGCGTTTTTGTTTCGGCCTGCAGCTCTGCTAGAAGTCTTGTGACCGAGCGCAGTGAAAGTGGCCCAAGCACAGATAAAGTACACAGGTACAGCTATGTATTTAATGGCGGGGTATCTCAACAGCAGTCGAAAGACGTAGAACACGTAATGTCGGTTGTCAGCAAGAGTGAATGGATGGACGATAGTGTTGTAGCGCACGACGACCGCCATCGCAATGATTGTCAGTACTGCTACCGTAAGGCGAGGCTTTTGAATATCCTTCCGTAAGAATATGGGTAGGAAACGTGAAGGTATTGCCACGTTAAGAAGATATGGAGCCAAGAGCGGCAGCGAGAAAAACGTTATGTACGGCCAGATATAGAGCATTTGAGCGGCGTGGATCGTAGCCACATGATTTCTCTTATCGCCTTTGATTATTAGATTTGTGATGTTGTCAATGGAGTACTCACCTAAAACGACTCCCCCATTCCACAAGACAAATCCAAGGAAAGCAGCTACGATGGTGATGTAGGGCCTTAATCCAGTGATGAATTTGGATAATCTCAGGGACGGTAAAGTCTGTAGGACTGTAAGAGGATAAGCTACGGCTGTCTTGATGTAATCTGAGTTCTTTCAGCATAGTTTACGAGTTCTGGCGAATTGTAACAACCTTCAAAGTAGGCATCAGTAACGGTCATATCATAAAGTACTCCATCAAACCAAGTGCGCTCGGATGCATCGATAATTGTCAATCGCTTAACACTTAGACCGACAAGCTGATCTATCTTCATCACACCAAAGTACAGTCCGACCCAAAATACGTTCGTCTGTCGGAACCACAGACTTGCTAGACCAGCGAGGAGAAACCATCTGCTTCCTCGGAGATGAAAGTACCAAGCCACAAGCACGGAACAGACCGAAAGCACGTCCGTATAATACAAGCCATATAAGAAGAACAACGGTGGAAAGAGAGCGATATTAGCGATAGTATGCGCAAGATGAAAGTCGATCTTTTCCCGCTTGTTCTCTCGTTCACTGTAGCATAGACGAAGTACTTCCTCGATACTAATCGCTCCGATTAAATTTATAATTCGTAGATCTTGGTCCCGCCCAGTGAGCCAACTCAAGGGGCGTATGATATTGCAGATATTCGTGAAGATATATGAGACTAAGTAAAGCCCTGGAGGGGTCGTGATTTTGTCATCCCAGATTTGCCACTGGCCGTTTTGGTAGGCTTGGGCTTGGCGAATATGGAACACTTCATCCTGGAGTATAAATTAGCCACACGTTTGTTGGATCATCAAAGCAAAAGTCAAGGTGGCTTCGCCTCATATTTGGGCCTAACGCCCCGAAAATCGACTCTGTACACGTGGGACGAAGCAGAAATGGATATCGTGAACCTGAGGTAGATGAACATAATTCAAATATCTCGTCCAGAAAATATAGATTGGCCAGTGCTTTCAATCAGTCATCCTGTCAACGTTTGGTAAAGGGAGAACCTATGCGATAAGATCATGGCATTTTGTACGTTAAATTGCAGGAGCTAGAGCGAAAAAGCCTACCAAATAAGCCTCTGGCACCTCCCTTCTGACCAAAGCATGCCAATACGACGCGCAGAGTAGTGGAAGCAGCAAAATTGTCGCCCGAGCCAAGAAATAAGAGCTCATTGCTTTGTTCACATAGACCAAGGTGTTGGAAATGTGCACAGTAAATACAGCGAGCCGCGTTTGCCGCTAGTGATTCCCTCTTTGGGACTCACGTATCATATTCGTTTTTTACAGATGCCGTGCGTTCCAGTGAGACGCACAAACAACTTTGCAGCTGTACATACTTGTCAACCAACAATTCAATTATTGCCATTTTACAGCTACATCTCATCTGATCAGCTCATCACTCATGTCTCATCTAGCCTCTCCGTCACCAACGAGCTATCTACGTAGCCACGACAAATGTGAATCTCGCATTCCAGCTCTATGATTCCATCCATCCATCTCAAAACTCACGGTTCGTGGGTCATTGCAACCCCAATTCTTTGTAAAAAGCTTCAGTACTCGGCTCCCTACCCAAGAAATCCCTTAACAAGTCCACCGCATCCCGACTCCCGCCCTTCTCCAGCACAGTCCGCCTATATCTCCTGCCCTCCTCTGGATTCATTGGATCCTTCGCAAACACACTATGGAACATATCCGCGCTGTAGACTTGACTGTACAAGTACCCATAGTATCCAGCGTCATAGCCAGAGATTATGTGGGCGAAAGTAGTGTGACCGTGGCCCCAATCCCAACCCTCGCCTAGCTGGGCCGGCGAATCTATATGCTGAATTTCCCATCCCAGCTTATTATACAGCTCCGCATACTTCCACTGCTCGACCTGAATATGGCTTTCCGGCTGATAGATTGTCATGTCAAAGATCCCAAAATGCAATTGTCGAAGATTGAAAAGCGCATCGTTGACATGCTTACTTTTTACCAATTTGTCGACCAGGTCGTCTGGTAATGTTTCCTCAGGTTGCTCTGCGTCCTTTCCCGCACTTTCTTTCCATGCTTGTTTGTATTCTGGGGAAATGTAGCTGTAATGATGACTGAGGTACTTGAGCTGCCCCGGCGTCCAGCACCAATTTTCCAGCATTTGCGATGGTGCTTCAACAAAGTCGCGCACGACATTTGTGCCATGAAAGCGGGACCACTTAGTACGGCCGACAAGGTCATGGATACCGTGACCGAGCTCATGAAACAGTGTGACAACCTCATCATGCTTAAGTAAGCTGGGCTTGGTTTTAGTTGATGGAGTGAAATTGCAGACGAGGGCAGTCGCGGGATAACGCCTCTGGCCGTCTCGGCCAATGAAGCCGGGCTGAAGGTTGAAGTTTGCGGCATGCTTGTATTTGTCGGGTCGAGGGTGGAGATCAAGATATAAATATCCAACAAAGCCACTACCTTGATCTTCGCTATCCCACACGCTGAAGAGGTGACAATCTTTATGCCAGAGAATATGATCGCCATTGCCATCTGGGGAAAGTTCGTCCCTTTCCTTGCCAACGACTTCAACGAAGGCCAGACCAAGCAGTTTTTCGAAAATTTGAAGCATTTTTGGCAAGCAGGTGCTCAAGGGAAAGTACTCTGACAATTGTTCGTGGTCCACAGAGTAGTCTTTTTCGAGCATGATGCGGTTGTAGTATGGATGATCCCAGAGGAAGTAATGGTCATCAAAAGCCTTGCCCTTGGATTCAACATCGCTCTTTTTCATTTTCATGAGAGCTTCCTTCTCCGATGCGCCCCCTTCTGTAAGCTTTCCCCTCAAGTCTCCAAGAAAGTCATTGACGATCTTCGGTTTCTTTGCCATCTTATTCTCGATCTTCAGGGTAGCGTGATTGGGATATCCTAATAATCTTGCAGCTTCATCTCGAAGTGAAACGACCTGCAGAAAGATACCCTCATTGTTCGGCATCTTGTTGCTGTTACCAACATATGCTCGGTGACGCGTCTCTGCGTTTTGGGCATACTTGACGGTTGGGAAATAACTTGGGTATGCAAAGTCCATCTTAAGCTTTCCTTCATTCTCGCCGGTTCCCTTGTCCCAGGATCCGACTACGTCTTGCGGAACGCCTTTCAGCTCTTCGGGTGTAAACCATACACCCCCTTTCTCCTCCGCCAGATTTCTGTCAAAGTCTGTTGTCAGATTCCCAAGCTTTAGTTGGATTTCCTTGAAACGATCCCGTTTTGCCCCAGCCGGGAGGCCCATCCCTTGTCTAATGTAGCCCTTGTATGACTCTTCTATCAGCTTCGTATCCTCAGGATCAAGTTGTTCTTTCTTCTCGTATACGGCTCTTATCAAACGAAATATATCTTCACGCATGGTGGCCTCGACCTGGAAGTCATTATGGATCTTTTGAGCCTCAGTCGAAGCATCTCTTAGACTTTGATCTTCCGATACGGCCTGATAGAAAAGCAGAATTTCCATTGTCAGGCTATCTTCGTTATCCTGCAATGAGCCGTCTCTCATAATATTCTCAAACGTCGCATCCTCCTCGTTAATTTCATTGGCCCATCGATCGAGCTGCTTTCTACTGTTATGTATAATGTCTTTCATGTCCTTGAGAACGGATTCAGCAGTACCAGTGAATAGCGGAGGGGCCTGTGGAGGCTTTTTGTAGACCTGTGGGGCCATTGTAGAGGTCGTGAGAGGCCTGGAGCTTGATGTTGGTGTCGTGGGACGAAGTTGTGAGCCGATAGGCCTGAGATGGTTTACAACTGCAGAAAGACGATGTGTTAAGCGTAGAGGATGAGCCAGAACGAAGACGATCCCGGAGAAGAGAGCGAGGAGGAGGATAAGGAGGGGCCAACGTCTCAGCAAGTTCGTTTTGTTCTGAGATGTCATGAGTCACTAATAATGATAATAATAATGTAGAGGTAATTGGACGTAAGCCGTAGAGCGCCTGATCATAATTCGTTCCCCGCTTTATACATGGACAAGCTGGTGAGATCCAAACGGCAAAGCATAGTAAACATTTATTTTACAGTGTAAATTTCTACTAGCGCCGTATGTTAAAGTTCCCTGTAGTTTGCTCGAAGAAATTACCATAGAACGATTGCCAGCCATTAAGCTTTCTTCCTATCTTGTTGACTTGCAAAGATAACGTTAGCAATACAGTAATGATTGTCAAGGTACCCACGCCCTGTAAATCTTATGGGATTGCACTAGGAATGATGGCTACTGTCATGCTAAGAAGTCGGAGAGAGGGAGGCGTTAAAGCCTTCCTATTCAAAGACACTACGAATGAGGCAGCGAATAAAATAGACTGTTTTGCGTGATTTGCCTAGTCATACTATCTCGCCGACACTGGCAAAGATGATAGTACCGTTCAAAGCTGCTGGATCTTGGCAAAGGTCTGTCTGCAGACCATACGCGAGAAGGCCGAGGCAAGGTTGGAGCAGTAGATGAAGACAAAAAAAATTCGAAACAAGCTATCAAATAGCAAGACGAAATTGTACCAAAATAATTCTGAACCAACTCATCTTGATCTGTGAGGCGGGGATTGTTGTACGACCACAAAGCAGCCTGCTCACGATGAAAGGAGCCATTCGACCGAGCAAATGATAAAGCGTTCTAGAGACTTGACGCACTTTAACCAACAGGTGCATCAAGCACGAGAGATAAAGCCTCTGTCTCTTGGCAAAAGCTGACATCCTAAGGACGAATGAAGCAGCTGTCGCAACCTCATTGGAAACAAGGATTCGCATCGGGCCAGTGACATCTCGAGGATGCTGGCAACTTGCGTGAATCAACACACTATCGTACTGCATCGGAGAACTTTCTGGTGGTGCCTGCATGGCTTTCATCTCATCGCTTTCGCTCGGATACGTCTTCACAATCTGGATTGGCCAACAGTACCGATGCAAACCCTTCAAGCTTCGAATCTCGACGATCTCTGAGCTCATCAGTAATCGGAGATCTCTTGCTTTCCATGAGGACGTCATTCATTGCAAATAGCGAAAGCATGAGACTGCCAGCACCCGGAAAGATTTGAGGCTGGCTATACTGTCCCTGATAAAGTTCTACACGAAACACTCAAATTCGAGAACCTATCAGGCTGTCTTAGCATGTGTTCTCTCGTGTCCACTGTTGCACTTTCAATGCCGGCGAACGAAAAGGTGGAATGTTGGCCAATGTTGGATTTTACGCCGCTGAAAGCGAATCTTTGGATGGTCTTTCAACGAGATATGCATGCATGCAAGTAGCGGATAGCATGAGGGTATGTCTACTCAAGTAAGAGCTCTTGTAACGGCTGAGGATTTGAGCTTGTGACGCCATGCAGTCCAGTACTCGGTATTTATACTTAGCAGTGCCAATAAACTGGCCTTGTAAGTATGGCTTTTCTTTTTACTCATGCAAAACAAATACTGCCCATGTTTGAATATTTCATTCTCCAAGAAGTTTAGGTCCTGTTCCCCAACGAAGAAACGAAGGAGGATCTGCGTTACTAGCCTTGCATATCCTTGCAGAATGCAAAATACGTGCAGATGTCTCATCCAACGTACGTACAGCAGAAGACTAACCCACCTTGCCATGTGGAAATCTGCAGATGCCCAGACATGTCCTACAGGCGATGTGGACGCGTTCAATGGAACAACATCAGGAACATCATCAAGCATTATGACAAGCGGATGACATCCGTCAGGCGTGATCTGGAATTGCCTAGGCTGCACGTGGAGTATCTTAAATATTACTACGCAGAGAAGGGAAGTGAAGAGGAATTTATGGACAAGCATCTACGTCGCTCCTGTCTCCCAATCACCGTACTCGACTTTATTTTCGGACGAAAATCTTCCGATGATAGTCACACATATGATAAATACTACTTCCTCAAAAAGAGACTTCAAAGGTTAGAGGACGACAAAAAGAAGTGGATCAAATGCTACAGCCAGAGATTCGAGTGCCATCATAAAAACCATATTGAATCTTGGCAAGCCCTTCAACGGCTAAACATCGGCCATACTTTAAAGGGCGGATATTTCATAAAGAAGCCAGCATCGAGCTGCTTTCACCTTCGACCCTCTTGCTGTAGACCAAAGAAGGAAGTGGGGTTCAAGACTATATCAAGACCAGAAACGAAGCCAAGGAAGAGACATCCTCCTCATGAGGATACAATTATTACGAAAGTAATCAGAGGGATCGAGAGAGTCATACGAGCAATCGAGTAAGCGATTGGTCGATTGCACCGCCGAATGCTTTGGAAACGACCTTGACTATCATAGTCACCTTGGACTGGTCACCATCCATCATCCACCATTCAAGACGGGCACGACAAATGTATCATCAATGGACAGGGATACGACGCCTGCGTGATATCGCATGCATTCTCGACAGTCCTCTTTCATAGCATTCTGCAGTTGAAATGAACACGCAATCAAATCTCCGAGCCTCTGAGTTGCGGTTTGAAAGAAACCTACCATCCAGCATACTTTCATTCAAGTACTTTCTCACTTCAAGCCAGAGATTCGCATCTCATTTGCATATCAGAACGAACAATATCCCACGGATGCGTAGTTTCATGTACAATTGCCTGTGAATGCCAACATGCGTCCTTCTCTCACCAGGCCGCGAGAGTCAACGAGATTTCAGTCGGGCGTCAGCGGCTCATTCGTTCCCTGTCCGTTCCCCGCCCTCTGCCCCGAATTTTTGCAACGCGAAGGCAAGAAAACCAATAGCAAGTGGCTTGCAAACAATATGTTGAACATGATTAGGAGGGACTCACGGTAACGTCTGGCCGTCATCGAGTATGTGTTATACACGACTAGTTAGCGCTTGTGATGAAATATACGCAAGTTAGCGCGCTCTCAACCCTTCGTGCCTGCCCTAAGCCCCAGCCCTTAGGGCAGGTCTACGGGCGTTCCCGCTGGCTCGTCGCTCGATTTCTCCGCGCCACTAGGCACGCATCACATATCCTTACGACGTAAAACATGAACTGCGCGATTCCACATATGTCAATTGCGAAGCTAAAATCATGGGAGTTCATAGGACAATCTGCATACATTTGGAAATGATCGAGTCCTCTAAGGAGGTATTTCGACATATGGAGGTCTACGTTCGATCCAATCAACAATATACAACCCCCACATTTCCAATCCTTTACTTGCAGATTCATAAGCCAAGAACCTCCATTTGCGACACGTAAAGCCATTGCTCACACCCCCGAATATCTGTCATAAATATCGTGCTATTCCATGCAATTTCCCCGTCGAGAAAGGATTCGTGAAACACGCTGCTCCGACTCCCGCCCGTTATTGTTGTGGCCCGAGGATGCCCCAGATGCAAAGCCCAAACATGATCGCCATCAAATGCAGAGGCGCAGCTTTCATATTCGGCGTTCAGATTGCAAGCCACCCGGTGCTATGACGTAAGCATACTTTCGGTGCGGCTCGGTTTGACAATCGTGTGTCCAAAAAGTCTTCCTATCATATTGCACGCGTTGGAGAGGCCACCCAGTGGTCTAAGAGAGTCAAGGTGCTCTGACAGTTAGGAGACGCATGACTTATGTTCGATGATCTCGATCTCTGATAGCTTTGCTTCTTGATCTTTCAGGCAGGACGGTCTGATTGGCCTGAGCAGTCATGTGGTTCGCTCTTTCGACTGCATGATCAAAATTGTGCTGGGCGAGCACTGGTGCGTATTTCGGCTCTTTAAGGAATTTGGGGACTGAGTCCTGAGAGACAAGTTAGTGCGTTGCTTCAGTATCAATTCTAGGGCAAAAGCTTACGCTGCTCATCAATTTGAAAACGGATGTCTGAGCCTCTCTGAAAAGGGCCACAACCTCTTGCAAGCTCTTCAACAATGAATCGTCGTCACCAACAGCCCTTGTCATACGTCCAGCCAGACTGTTTCGCAAGTTATGATCAATGTTGAGTTCGCAAGGTGAGCCTGGAGCCAGGAACGCATTGTAAAGTCCTGTAAAAGATCAGCACAGACATGTAACCTTTCATCCTAATAGACGTACCATATGCAGCGGCCAATTGTTCTCGAATAGCGTCCAAACGTGTGAAAGCCTTGGCTCTTTCGGCAGAGTCATAGCTTCTTGTGAATTCCCGAACCTCAATATAGAAGGCTAAATTTTCTTCGCAGTGGGTGTCGCGTAAATATTCGCGGAACAGCAATCGAAGGGCTGGATCATTCACGATGATATGAAGCCGATTGTTGTTTGAGTCACGCGTCGTGACCGTTTTGTCTCTACGGGCGTTGGCCATCTCTTTCCTGCTCTCTTCACTGCTTGGACTCTCTTCTCTAGGCAACCAACCAGCAGTACGCTGACCCTTGTCAGTGAAGCCGTAGATAGCATTTTTCGTGGGCTGGAATTTGGACGCGCCCGGATTTTGATGAGCATAGACCTTGTCCTCCACAACCGCCCAAATGAGACCACTCGTGACGAATAGCTCAGCTATTTCAAAAACCTCTCTTCTGTCCACTGTTGTACAGCAATCCATGAGCCAGTCAACTCCTGCCTTGCCAGTGAATGTATTTGGTACAACACGGTCGAGAATCTTGCGCTCCTTAGCAAGCTTGACTCCAACCAAGCCATTGTAGTAATCACTCAGGGAATCGTTGTCCGAAGCAGAGGTGGAGTTTTTCACGTTCGGGCCATCTTGCCCGGCAAACCGCCGGAAAATGACATCGATGGTCGCCCGGTCATGGGAGAGCTTATCCGTGGTACCGTCTCTTTCCAGGATGACCAGCTGCATTGCGTTTCTCGGACTGTCCAAAAGGTCGAGAACGTGTCTTTGATTGATGCCATTGCGTTGGCAAAACCTGGTCAGAACATGCATGCCTTTAGGCGTTAATTGCCAGACAGCATTCTTGAGCGGAAAAATGGGTACAATTTTCGAGTCTGCATGTTCGACAAAGCGAGCGTCCATGAATCTTTGACATACTGATCGTGCCATCTCTTTTGCCATTGAGAAGGTTGTAGTGGTAGTGGTCGTGACTATCCGCGATGGGTCCTTAGGATCTGGCATGCGATTGGACTGAGAGAATTTCAGAGAGCCAAGATTATTGATTGCCTCTTCTGATGTGAATGTATGATCGACTTTGGCGAAACGGACACGGTGAGATGTGAGAGGCAAGCTGACCATTAGTGTGGAAAAGAGATCCTCGAAGTCTCTAGTGAATGGTCTCTCCTCCTCCGTCATTCGAAGGAGTCTAGATGATGTTTGATGCATCTTGTTCTGAGCGATCTGCTGAGGGCTTTCTGCTGGCGGTGAGGGTAAGTCACGATTGGTGGGTGACAAAGACCTGTCACGAGCTTGACGCTTATCCTGCGCACGGTTCGGATAGCCCACCGTCTGAGGGACTCCGTCTGCACCAGGACTTACTGCACGTCCTGGTGAGGTTGCCCCACTCTTATCAATCCGCACCTCTGGTCGTGTAGTAGAGAAGCCAAAATAACCCTTCTGGTGCCGAGCACTGCTGTCACCAGGTAATGCGAAGTTGGAGGCTGGCTTCGAGACACTGCCTTGCGAGGACGACGAGGAATGTAATGATTGCTGAGAGGTCTTGGGCCTGATCGAGGCAAGTGCCGCCTGAGTCTTATCACGGGCAAGGGCAGCAATAGACAGGCGGTTACGATGTGCCTGGTGGTTTGAGGTAGTATGGGTATTGTCTGAGTTGGTGAAGGACGTGAGAGGATTGCGACTAGAGGTAGAGCCGTAGGAAGCGATGGGCTGAGGGACGTTTTCTGTGTGGTCTGACAAAGCGTTAGGCGCTTAAAGCAAGGGTAGTAGATAGAGGCGGGAGAGGGAGGACAGAGTGATTGAAGGGTAGAGGTAAGAAATGAATTTAACGGAAAGAGGCCACACCCGTCATGTAAGGCAGTTGAAAGAAGCAACAGGCCCACCCAGGGTATGAGCGAAAGTGTGAAGCGTCCGTAGGAAGATGGACGGCGAGAGTTTAGTAGAGGCGGGCACTTGAGCAGTTGAGAGCGACTTAGGCGTGCTTAGTAGTCATAAAAAGGGGGTTTTCGGTCAGTCAATTGTCGGACGGAAGCCAATAGTGTGTAGAGGCCCTGGTTAGAGTTGGGGGGCAAAATCTGACGAAATTTGTAGACTTTTACGTTTGATCTGACGAAGGGGAGAGATTATTTGGGGGAGAGGTCGGAGGAGAGAGTCGGTAGTGGATTGGGCGGATTTCGTCCGCAGGTTGGCCGCTACAGCCGAACAAAAGAGCCAGCACCCAGTCTAGCACTAAGTAAAACTGTAAAGAAGGGAGGAGAGACCGAAGAGCGAGACTGAAGGCGTGCTGAGAGTGGGAAAGAGGAATACCCCTGCTGGTCTGTGGGGTTTAGATCTGGTGAGGATTCTGTTCGATTGCGATGACGCTTTTCTTCGATGGGAAACGGACGCTTTAAGAGCGCGACGAGTACAATTACAGCCTAGAAAGCCAGAGTGGTGGGCGGCAAAGCTCAAACAGCTACTCAACTGGGCTGATATTATGGCCAGTACCATGACAGTCATGCCAGTCTACAGGTCGGCGACGTTGAGACGCTCTGCGTTACCGAGTGATGGAATCTGTGCGGCAGGGCAATTATTGTACCCATCAGCAGGCAGCACGGCTAATAACCGTATAACCTGGGCGGTGCTTGTTCAAGGTATGTCAGAAAAGTGATCGCCACATGGGAAGCAGGGTTTGGCCAGCTAACCCAGCCACTAATCAGTCCTTTAGTCTTTAGCCCGCACAGCAATGTCCGAATAAGACCATGACTTCAATGCCCCCCCTTGTCTGGGCGCCTTCAGTAGCACCTAGCTCACTGGGGTCTGACTGGAAGCCTACGCAGTGATTCACTCAACCATCAGCAGGGTGAGTCGAAGGTCGGACATTCAAACGTGACATGTCGTTTCGCACTGGCGACGCTGACTGTGGCGGATGGAACGTAGAGGCTGCCCTATCTGAGACCTCAGACCTGTGCTTGGTTCCGGAGCCTTAGGAGCATCCAAGACATTTCAGGCGCGCACGTGGAACAACGTGGCGAAGCCCTTGATGTCATGTGGTAACCGCTCGATCCATGTGAAACTGCGCCGGCGTCGGAAGTCGACCAGTCTACCAAGACTCCAGAATTGTACGGAATGTATGAGTTATATGTCCGATCAACGGACAATAATAATCATGGCGACAGGATGGTGACCGCTCACCGCATGTGGCATAAATGAAGGCCTTTCAGATAGGGACCCACACCGGGATTTGTTGTTGCGCTGACAGGCTGAGATCGTGGGGTCAAGAATCTCTGCACGCTGACAAGCTAAGGAAGGATTATCTTTAGCCTTAAAGTCTAATTTGGTAATTACCGAATGGTCTTGGAGATTCGAAAGAGCCTCCTCGGATATATCAGTTCGCTTCCACCTGCACGCATGAAACAATAACAGTAAGGTAGTAGATAAATGAGGAGTTTCTTCTGCCGGGACGACCGGTGCGTTTGCTGCATCTCGTGTGCAGCGAGCGCATTATGCAGCCGCCATGCATGCTGCAGTCTGTACATATCGTATGCATTCGGTGTTTACGCATCCTAAATGTCCGGACTGCGGCTTCGCCCACCATTAGTCGTATGCTGGAGAAGCAAGTATCGTCCCTGCTGCGGATAGCAATGAACTGCTTTATGCAACATACCTACAGCTGAGTAGACTGCCTTGCACTGCAGCACGCATCTGTACAGGACCAGCAAACGACTGTGTAGCTCCATCAGAGTCGTCGTCTTCTCCTACCAGCATTTGGCGCTACGAAGCCATCGAATGTCGGACGAGTCATCATTGACTGAGGTCAGGGTAATTCTGGAGTCCTGCGAACTCGTACGTGTTCGCATTGTCCCTGTTGCGCAGTAAAAAACCGTCCTCCACATACTAGCTGCAACATCTTTCGAACCATTGACGCGTGGAAGTCTTACGCGTAGCAAGATTTGGAACTGATAGGATTAACGGTGACCGCTTTTCTGACCCTTGGCCAACATAAGCACTACGGTTTGATACCCGGCGAGAACATGGACATGACTCGCCAGAAAAATCGAATCATCTCAATCGGGACCATATGGTTCTTTCATACTGTTGTTCTGTAAGCTCCAGCTCCTCGTGTCTGATTAATCAACCAAATATCATGCACAATGAACGAGAAATGACGTCTGCATCGTCGTCACGTCAATTTCCGCATGTCAGAGTCGGATGCGGGAAATCATAACTTAAAGACAATAATCATGCTGCACAACTTACGTATCTCAACATGGACTCTGGGAAATTAGAGCCAATTTGCGAGGATGAACCACAGACGGACACCGGCGTTGAATCGTCGCTGCGTCGGAAGCTGCACTTCCACGATCCGATCACTCAACCTCCCCTGACGGCCCAGTCCCAAATCTTTGCAAATAGCTACTTGCGTGGTGGCTCATTTGGTATTGCATTCCCCTCCCCTACCATATAATTATTAATGTGACAAATTTTGCACCTCGCACAGACCTCGATCCCTCGGCTGGACTAGCAAGCGGCTGTCAACTACGCCTAAACTTGGACGAGCTGAGTCTAGCAGCGCTGCCGACACCGTGATTGCGCCGAGATTAAGCTCAACCAAACTTCGAATTTCCACGTGTGAAGCTGCAGGGAAGATGACCCACTTAGCAGCCGTCCGTTGTTCGCTTCCTGTGTGTGCCGCAATCGTGGCTGCCGCGTGGGCGACCGAGGGGACCCTTGTGACCACATTATTATTGATGGATCAGGGGCACCGGCTCACCTAGCGCTCAGCCAAGACCAATGATAATGAACTTCATGCACGTCAAGTTTGCTTTACTATCAGATTTGAGCCGTGTCTTGGATGCCACAGTTCAAGATCCTTCGGACGCTATCTGATATCAACACGGCTTTGATAAACCATCAGTAATCCGTGCCCGCCTGGCTCGAGATCCCAAGCGGAAGTTCTTGACCCGGAACTCGTCGTCATCGCTTCTCGCACCCAGATGGTGACCATTGTCTAGGCTGGACGCCTTACATTAAGAAGGCTGTGCTCAGCACTATCTGAACTTGGCGACACACGGGCTGGGAGCTGATTTCCACAACTGTGGTTACCACCACGCTTGAATTTCATGCATGCTTCTTGATGTCCGCGCCAACAGGAACAAGAGGTTGAGAGAAGGACGACTTTCATGGTGATCAAGGAGATTCCTATGTTTTCAAAGCTCCTGGAGTTTACGAGGATCCGGATCTCCCTCCTTATGTGCATAGTGTTACTTGCAATACTCTGCCGTCATGTTCGCGATCACTTGGCAACGCTCGAACAGTCATAAACAAGAGGCCACATCCCGCGCAAGTTCCTCCTTATCGATAATGTCTTGTATTGTACAAGCCCTTTCACTCCTAAGTATATGTCATGACATATGCTAATAACGTGCCCGAGAAGATCTTCCATTGCCAAAGAATGGACCACGGCCGTCTTCAAATAAGTCCTGTGCTATGCTGCATTAGTACCGGTTGCACTGATCGTTAATGGGCACATATTCCAGCGAAAATACGAAATTCTCAGACAAAAAGTCTGAGAGACTCTTGAATCAGTCAAAAGCTACCTGTGGATTCCGAGGGGCGGTGGGAAAGCCAGAAATCGGAAAGTTGTAGTGTATAAGGATGAGACCAGCAAGAGATGCCATGAGCGCCGTTTCAGACCACTCTCTGTATATATGAAGCAAGTATAGCCTGTTAGTAACGTGTTGTCTTTCACAAGCAGCGACCAATCGAGCATGTATAGAATTTGTTCAGGAGTGGGGGAGAGCTAGACAGCCAATCAGACAAGCCACATCACGTGCTAGCGCATCACACGCGTTCCCTCCTCATCTTGAACTCTTAATGCCGTCAAAGCCCAATTCACTCCCAGTTGCCTTGGCATAACTTCAAGAGTAGTGTACAATGACAAATCTTCCAAGAAGGCCTTCGAAGCGTCAAAGAATTTCCGAACCTAGCTGCACTAAGAGCCTGGACAAAAAAGGCACACTCAATCCACATGAGAGTAGCAGTGCTGCTGCCGTACCGGGAGGAGTGGGACCGTCGCCACTCCCAGACTCACAAGAGACCACACGAGATTCATCAGAAGATACACAGATTGTCTCTACTTCCGACTCGCAAAGTAATCACACATCTGGCGCTGCGGATGAAGAGGAACACCCCACAACAAAGCGTATGGCAATGAGGACGAGGGATACAAAATCTCATGGCGACAAAGGAAGTAGCGCGAAGGGAGAATATTTCTCACGATTTTCTACTCAACACCAACCCTCGGGCGGATCTGCACCAGCACCAGATCCCCAAACCCCTGTTCGAGGAAAGCGAAAGCCCAACTGGCGCGGTTGGGTGGAGGTGCAAGAAGGGGAAGCGTTACCCACAAACAACCAAGACCAGTTCGAGGCAATAAGACGAGCAGCAGCCGAGGCTGCAGAGGCGGAGAGTGGAGCAGCTGGTCGTAAGTCGTTGAGAGAAAAGAGGAGCTCTGGACCTTCAGATTTGCGGGGAGGAAATCAGTTGCCCAAGACTAGGAAAACCAAGGATAAACATCAAAGCGGTCGAAAGCAGAAGCCAGAAATCAGTAATGAAGGACTAAGACAAGCAAAACGAAACGAAAAAGAGGGAAAGAGTAGAGGAAGGGAAGTGGAGATGGGAAAGCAGAAAGAGAAGGAGCTGCGGACTGCCGTTATCGCGAAAGAAAGCACACCCGACGGCTCGCGAACGAATGCAACGTCACCTGTCCCACAACAGCAACGAGCTGGTCAAACTCAAGATTTAGCGCCTCACGATTCGTTGGGCGGGGACGCGAGTGTTCTTGGTGAGAAAGCCGAAGAATTGGAAGAATTGTTCACTATGTATCCTGATTGCCTTGGTATCATTCAAAGCAATATTCTTTCCAGACTGGTATTAGAGGAGGCCCCAAACAAAGGGCCCGAGTATGATAAGATCCACAAACTACTGTCTCAAACAGTTCTAGCAGGGGAAGGAAATTCCATGCTCATTACTGGACCTCGAGGAACTGGCAAGACAAGACTTGTCGAGATGGCAGTATCTGATCTTCAACGAAATAATAAAGACGACTTCCACGTCGTTCGCCTCAATGCTTTCATACATACAGACGACAAGATCGCCCTCAGAGAAATATGGCGGCAACTAGGTCGGGACATGAACGTTGATGACGAACTCGCTAGTGGACGTACGAATTACGCTGACATCTTGACAAGCCTATTGGCACTTCTATCCCACGAGGAAGCTCCATCAGCGGAGGAGCCTTCCCCGCGAAATCGCTCAATTGCCAAGTCGGTCGTGTTTGTTCTCGACGAGTTCCATCTTTTTGCCTCTCACCCTCGCCAGACACTTCTCTACAATCTGTTTGACCTTGCTCAATCTTCTACAACTCCTCTCGCCGTGATCGGCCTGACGACGCGCACAGATGCCGTGGACATGTTAGAAAAAAGGGTGAAGTCCCGATTTGGCCAACGGATGGTTCAACTTACCCCGCCGCGAACACTAACGGCGTTCAAGGTCATCTGTCGGGAGGCCCTCATGTATCGTTCTCGAAGCCCAACGAAGTCCGCCTCTAGATTCGCGCATCCAAGTCCATCGCTCGGTCCCATCGTCGAAGCATGGAATACCTACATCCCACTGCTCCTTTCCTACCCCGAATTAGATCATCACATTGAATCTATATACTCTACAACCCGTCAACCCTCGTCCTTTTTTATCTCCGCCCTCCTCCCGATCCTGTCTCTGAATCCCCAATCACCGGTTCCAACAGCTTCGTCTTTCTCACTCAAATCCCTTCAACCACCAGATTCTCACCTCGCATCAGTCCTTCCATCTCTCTCAACCCTCGCATTATCCTTACTCATTGCAGCTGCACGTCTCGAGATCATCCTCGCTCCGAATCCCACGACCAACACTGCGATATCGAACATGGCCCGCACCGCCGCCTCTGGCCCAAGTGGCGTCAACTTCGAGACTGTGTACGCAGAGTACATGTCGCTCGCTACGAGAAGCAGAGCGAGCGCATCAGTCGCTGGACATGTTGGCGTAGGGGGGGCAGAATATGGGGCAAGGAGGTTGCGGAAGGGGAGTGGGAACGACTTGTGGAGTTGATGGCGGTGGTCCTCGTGTCAGGTGGGAAGGGGCTAGGTGGAGCAGGACTAGCGGAGGGAAAGTGGGTTGTTGATATTGGAGGCCTGGAGGAGATTGGGGCGTGGATCGAGAGTGATGGAAAGGCCAATGGGGTCGCTACCGGGATGGGAAAATGGTGCAAGATTTGATCTCTGACCATCTGTCTTTCGTATACGGCATCCCTGCTTGGATATGCCAAGCCAGAGATCTTAATTCGACAGCACAGAACCCGACAACGACTCCTTTCCTGATGGGCACGGGATCCTTTCTCGACATGAAGTTCCTTTTGCTCGAGCCTTACGTCACTCACCCTATTTGCTGGATGCTCCTTCCTAGGTTACAATCGATTAAACATCGCATTCCGTTTCGACCGTACTCTGCCCGGCACTCTCATGAATGTAATCTTTCCACAGCTACTCTTTCGAGCACTTAGCGACAAGCATGGACTCAAGTCAAGACATCGTAAGTTCTATCGCCCCGGTTTATCAGGCCTGAACCCTGAAGACTGCCTATAGCCACCTCACACTGAATCCATGGAGCCCGATTCGGAACCTTACCTTGTTAATGGGTGTGCAGAAGCGGATGAGGCTGCTGAGGAGCTTGTAAGGGCAATAAATGATTAGTCCTAGCAGAATTCACTAAATATCAAGGTCACGTCTGTTAGTGCTTTACATCTGGAGGGTCATCGTCGCCCATCAGATGCCGAGCGACGTGTCATCAGCCACATCTGGCATGAAACCAAGCACCTACTGACCGAGGCTCTGAACGATTTTCGCGCAATTGCCGATCAACTCAGAGTAATCAGAGATTCTGCTGCAACCGACGGCTCTCCGCAGTTGGGAAGCTCAGAAATGGAAAATTGCCTTGAGATGATACGTGGCAAATGCGAATCTGTGGAAAATCATCTTGAGACCCTCGATGAAATAGGAGGAAATCCATCCCTTGGCTCGCGAAGTGAGTCGGTCCGTCAAATACATCTTGACGCGCAGGATCTTGTTGAGGAGGCCAGATTGTGTCAAAGATGGACCAGTGGATTATCGGTGACAGTCTCTTCCAGGGGAGGGCAGGGTGATGGGGCGTCAACGCACGAAAGAGATTAAAGCGGATCTCGTTACCGCCCATTATTACCACTCGCTAGATTTTCCTTGGCCTCTATGGGTCGGTCTTGGTAGAATTTCTGCTTTCGTCTTTTCAACCTGATATTCAGCTGTTCTTTTCTGCAAAAATTACAGGCAGGAGGCTGATAGGGGGAGCGCTTAGAATGCGACTATCCATACTCGAAAATACATTTCACTCTAACACCGGTTCAAGAACCTGAGAGGAACGCTCGTTGCACCTTACGAGTGAACTCACGGATTCCCGCCCCTGCCTGCGCCAACGACCGTACCTTCTCCTGTGTCCGCACCGGGCAATCCTGTTCCGCCTGTACTTGTACCTGTGCCTACCCCACTCCCCGTACTCGGTACCTGCACCTGCCCATCCGGCTGGTTATTATCATTACACTGATGATACCCGCTCGCATCCAAGTTTATCTTCCCATCAACCCACAACAGCTTCCCCTCATCACCAACATCCGAATTGGTAAGCACAGCACAGTAATCCGTCGTCCATCCTCCCCTCTCAGTCTTGGTCCCATTTGCCTGCGGAACCACAAACACGACAATGTCAGTTGAGAGTTTCCCCATCGGCGCCGTAGGTTCCGGGACTGTGTTGTTAGCCGCGTTGGCGCCAGGGTACGCGATGGGCAAAAATAGGAGATCTTGGGAGAGGTCGCAGCCGGCTGCCGGGATGACTGTGTAGATGTCTTCGTTTGCGTCGGATCCGAGCTGCGCGGAGGGATGGAAATGGGCGGGAGAGCCACCGCCTTGGCTGGGGATTCCTAGTAGGGATTCCTCGTAGCCGGCAATACCCAATTCTATTCTTGAGGCGATTGTTTCAATAGAGAGGATGTGCGCGGGCTCATTATTTGTTTCGCAGACGACGCCTTGGGAGGGGATGCCTCGAGCGACGAGCGAAGCGCTCGTACCTGCATCTTGTTGGGGTTGGGATTGGGGTGCTGGATGAGCAAGCGTGGATGTAGTTTGATAGGCGAGGACGAGGAGCAATGAGAGTAGCGACATGGTCAATGAAAGCGGCAGACTAGAGATTGGAGAGCCTAGCTTGATTGATTGTGGATAACATCAAGGCAACACTGCCTTGAGCTACTATGAGTCTGCCCGTAAGAGTCTTTCAAGATGCTTTATATGTCATGCATGTGAACCACGGCTCGGTCGGATGTCGCAAGCAACCCACAACGGAGCTTAGTGTGTACTGAAACGTCCGTTTCGAGGTGACAAGCGAGATTCCGTTGGGACGAATGCTTCCAACCATGAGCATGGCCATTTGATTCGAGCAGTGACACGACGCGATATTCACTGCCCTCTGCGTGGCAGTTCAGTGCGCTTCACCGAGCCGCTTGCTCTTCAAGTTAGCTTCAAGCCGTCGGGTCTCGATGGTCTGTGATTCCCGCACATGCGGAGATGAACCTCTTGTCGCTGCGATGGAGTCTCCATTGCTCTCTGTCAATTAGGCAGAGTGTAGAAGAATGCGCTACATACATCAGATCTAGAATTGCTTTAGTGTTAACGCACTCTAAAGTGATTCATAAAACTGAAACTATGTTAGAGCGTTCACGGCGCACAAAGATAAGAACAAACCTCCCGCCCCCTCAAAAGCAAGAAGATAGGAATGATTCCAGGCGATTCGAGAAGACACAATGAAGATAATTTTGCGAGATCAAAGAGCTTCATCGCCGGAAACCCTACTTATGAAGATGAAAGGGAGGCAAAGGGACGCTGCAGATGGAAGTTGCAAAGGTTGGGCGGGACAGATCATTTTGAAAGTATATACAGCTTGATATGTCGATAATGCTCAAGCGCCTAAGATCCTGTAGATTGAAGCAAAAATGGCATCGCAGACTTCAATTTGAACTCGTTCACACGACGACGCAGCAATCACACAATCTTGAGTCAACGCTTACAGTGGGCCTTTGGGTCGGGACTGTGGTCGAGTGGGACTGGCTTAGCCCAGGCACTCCAAATACCAGGACCATTCACGAACTTTCCTTGAGAAGTCCGTGGAAGGTTCGATTCACTTTTGCCCAGATTCACTCTTCCTGGTTTGAGTCGTCAAAGTGCAGGTGAAGACGGGTGATATACCTTTAGGCCTTGACCCTCCCAGAAACTCTTTTTGCCCAAATTTCGAGCGGTTGTTGGGCTATTGGGCCTGCTTTCCATGTGGTTCACGTCGTGCTTTCGTTGTTTGCGATGGCCAGACTAACCCAATTCGGGACGTGTCATATCAACACTCATATACCGTAAGCTTCAGGGACAACCATTAGGAAATTCAGCGAAAGAGAAACTGTACCTTCTCTTGATCACCCACTCTTAAGAAACGCCATCTGCCACGAATGAAGCCACAGAAAGTATGTCAGGGATTGATACTTTGAGCTCCTAGCGGGCCAGGTGTCTTAAATTCGCCACGCCCCAAATCGATCAACAACACACCACAAGTTCAAGATTGAGAATGTCGCAACATCGAAAGGCAGTAGACATGCAATGGGAAGCGGACTTGCAGAAGGCCATAGCTGCGTCGCAAGAGACAGCAATGCAGGAAGGAGTGCCAATGTCGCCGCAAACAGAAGTCTTGGAGTGTCCTTCGACTCCAACACCAAAGTCTTCATCGTATAAGGAAAGGAAAGTCTGTGGGAAGAAATCTGCTTCTCGAAAAAACGAATATGAGATAGACTCTACCGTTAACACCGCCTCCCCAAATTTCCTAAGGTCGACCCTAGGACGCATCGGAAAGCAAAGCCTCCAAGAGATGATTGAAGACGAGTACATTGATCAGGATCAACGATCTGAGGGTGGTATCTCCACAGCTTTCAGCCAGACTGTAACTCCAAGGAAGAAATGGGACCCCTTCAGACACAAGCGACGAGAAAGATTCAAGGCGTCGCGTCGGATCCCACAGATACGCTCTCCTTCGCCACCGAGGGGGTTTTGTACTCAGGAGCAATATGCTGATGCCGAGCGGCAAGCAAGATTGAATGCCCGTTATTTTCTTGCACGACTGCCGCCTGGGAGAAGAGTGGAATATGGGTGGATGCCCGCAGAATACAAATACTCTGAGAACGGTCACCGGTACCAATTAGATGAAGAGTGGGAGACTTTGGGCGGTAGGGTGGTATATGTGGATGTTGAGATGGAATGCCGGAGGAGAGGATATAGACCAAAAGAGGAAGTATATGTGGAAAGCGAGGCAGTCAAGGAGGCCAGAGCTTGTGCAATGCAGTGATATAGATTGCAGGAATCCTTGTCGGCTCGAAGCTCGGTCTTGGAGGGCAGAGATAGATGTCAGATGAGCGAACCTCAGGAGAGAAGGTTATACGGTTGAAGGAACTGCCGTCGAAAGGGCACTTTCAGGGAAGCTTGGAAGCTTCCAAGGCGCCGCTTCCGTTGGAGGGCATACGGCATAGGATAGGGTCCTGTATCGAAGGTGTATATCGAAGCAGTAGCTCATCTGTCCGACCTCATTTCTCTGTGCGTCCCAATTCAATAATTATGCGAGGCTTAGTTGGTCAGAAGATAATCGAAATACGCCAAATCCAGTACTAGGGTCACTTCTGAGGGGTGGCCAGGTCCGGAAGACTTCCGCGTTAGCTCTTCCCGCCAGACATTGCTTGCGAGGCACACCAAACAGCTCAACCTCTCAAAATGCGGCTCGATGTGAAGGTAAGCTGCTATTGCTAGAGCCATACAGTGGTTTCGGATCCAACTGAATGTTCTCTACAGCGACAGCTTTTTGCCCGCTCAGAGCGGGTGAAAGGCATCGATTTCCACCCTACTGAGCCATGGATCCTAACAACCCTCTACAGCGGCCACGTTTACATATGGTCGTACGAAACCCAAGCAATCGTCAAGACGTTCGAGCTCACAGATGTTCCTGTACGAGCAGGGCGCTTCATCGCTCGCAAGAACTGGATCGTATGCGGGTCAGACGATTTCCAAGTACGGGTCTACAATTACAATACCTCTGAAAAAATAACAGCCTTTGAAGCTCACCCTGACTACATCCGTGCTATTGTCGTTCACCCTAATCAGCCATTTGTTCTTACCGCCTCCGATGACATGACCATCAAATTGTGGGATTGGGATAAGGGATGGAAGTGCGTCCAGGTATACGAGGGTCACAGCCATTATGTGATGAGTATGGCCATAAATCCGAAAGATACGAACACCTTTGCTTCGGCATGTCTAGATAGAACCGTCAAAATATGGAGCTTTGGGTCTGGGCATGCTAATTACACTATGGAAGCGCACGAGACGAAGGGGGTGAATCACGTCGATTACTATCCTCAAGCGGACAAACCCTATCTGCTTACAACATCGGACGACCAGACCGTCAAGATCTGGGACTATACCACGAAGTCGCTCATCGCTACGTTAGAAGGCCATACAAGTAATGTTTCCTTCGCCTGCTATCACCCTGAGTTACCGGTCATAATATCTGGTTCTGAAGACGGGACCGTCAAGATCTGGCACGCGAACACATATCGATTAGAACAATCGCTGTCTTATGGTTTAGAGCGCGCATGGTGTGTAAGCTATCAACGCGGTCAGCAGGGCATCGCAGTCGGATTCGATGACGGTGCAGTTGTAGTGAAAATGGGCAGAGAAGAGCCTGCTGTTTCGATGGACAGCTCAGGCAAGATGATATGGGCGCGACAAAACGAAATCGTTTCCGCCATCATTAAATCTGAAAGCAGTATTGGGACGAAGGATGGCACACCACTCAGCTTAGCCTCAAAAGAGCTTGGGAATTGTGAGGTTTATCCACAAACTCTTACTCATTCTCCAAATGGCCGATTTGTATCTGTTTGCGGAGATGGTGAGTATATTCTCTACACCGCTCTAGCATGGCGTAACAAGGCGTTTGGTCCTGCTCAGGATTTTGCGTGGGGGGTGAATACTAAGACGAATGATTATGCGATACGAGAATCTGCAATGAGCGTCAAGATCTTTAGCAATTTCAAAGAGAAGAGTAGCGGCCTGGACGTAGGTTTTCAAGCGGAGGGTCTTAGCGGTGGCCACCTCTTGGGCGTAAAGGGCCAAGGGGGCATTGGTTTATTCGATTGGGATTCAGGGGCTTTGGTGAGGAGAATAGAAGTCGACCCAAAGAACGTGAGCACATTGCCTCCTGTATCACTTCACTAGTCGTCTGAACACTCCTAGGTATACTGGTCCGGCAGCGGTGAGCTCGTAACGCTCGCTTGCGAAGAGACCTTCTACGTCCTGCGCTTCTCTCGCGAGAACTACGAATCCGGTGTCTCTGCCGGTCTCGCAGACGAAGACGGTGTCGAGTCCGCCTTCGAAGTCGTCACCGACATCAACGAATCCGTTCGCACAGGGCAATGGGTAGGTGACTGCTTCATTTACACCAACAGCACAAACCGCCTCAATTACCTCGTCGGCGACCAGACATACACCGTCTCCCATTTCGACAAACCCATGTATCTCCTTGGCTACCTTCCTTCGCATGGAAAAGCCTACGTAGCCGACAAAGACGTTGGTGTAACATCCTACTCCCTTTCCCTCAGTGTCGTCGAGTACCAAACCCTCGTCCTTCGTGGCGACATGGAGACAGCGGCAGAAGTCCTCTCCACCATCGCTGACGACCAGAAGAACAAAATCGCTCGTTTCCTCGAAGGCCAGGGGTACAAGGAGATGGCGCTCGAAGTGGCTACAGACCCAGAACAGCGCTTTGACCTCGCTTTATCCCTCAACAATCTCCCTGTCGCCCTCGACATCGCTCGCGAAGCAGACGTAGAACATCGCTGGAAGACCGTGGGCGACGCCGCTCTGGCAGCATGGAATCTCGCACTTGCCGAGGAATGCTTTGTCAACGCTAAGGACATGGGTTCCCTGCTGCTGCTTCACACATCTACAAACAATGCCGAAGGGCTGAGGAAGCTAGCGAGTCAGGCTAACGACTCCGGTGCGTACAATGTCGCCTTCTCATGCCTGTGGCATCTAGGCGACGTGGACGCTTGTCTCGATCTACTCCTCCGCACAAACCGGACGGGTGAGGCTGTGCTCTTCGCGCAGACGTACAAACCGAGCAGATGTAGGGATATCGTCCTACAATGGAAGACGGGCCTAGACAGAAGTGGCAGGGGAAAGGTGAGTCGGATGTTGGGCGTGCCCCCAGCAGAGGGGGAGACGATTTATTCCTTAATTGGGAGGAGCACTTGAACTTGGAGCAGGCAGGCGAGAGGGGGGCTTGATTGATGCGGGCGAGGAAGAGGCGAATCAGGATGTAGATGGGGCTGGGCAGGAGATTGAAGCTGCTGCTTAAGGCACAAAAAAGGTAGGAAGCTGCTGCTTTAGCCAAAAAAAGAGCAAAGTATTGGCTTTTGCCAGAATTGAGATGTCTATGATACGACGATAGTTTATCAGCGAGTATTCTGTGCTGGTAATCGGTTGCTTGAAGGGTTGTGTGGTGTGTAAAGCGCCCAATTGAAGCTGATGGAGAAATGAGAGAACCCTTGAATGCCTCCCACCGTTGCAACAAGACTTCATGACCGTTCCTTGCATTGATATTCATATCTTCATTAACGATACACAGTCGAAGTCATTCCACGAGACATGAATTCCGAAACCGAAAAGCCAGCCCCAATCACCGAACCTGCGAGGTCAGTCTAGCAAGCGGCGAAGTCTGCAACCCATCCCCTCCACGCAACGACGCAGCGTCTATCATTCCATCCTCTCCAGAAGTTGGTTCGGGGGTGGCACTAGGACTATGCCCTATCTTCGGCCGGCTCTTAAACACACTATCGTACCCGGCACCAGGACTGAAGATCTCCTGGGGAGGTGTCAACTCCCTTGACAAGGCCTTGTGTGGAGTCTCAAACTGATTGACGGGATACGTTTTGGAATCGCGGCGGTTGTTGAGAGATCTCCGCTGAGGCTTGATTTTGGGTGGGAGAAGAGAAATCGATTGGCGGGTCCGTTCTACGAGATTCGCTCGAGGAGCTAAGGAGCTGTTTTCTTCTATTTGTGGGATCGTAGGGCGAGGTGGGGGTGCCATGGTTGGAGGTGAATCGTTTGCGGCGAGGCGAGTAGATGGCGTGGCGAAGGCCATGGACTGTCGGGTCCTCTCCAGGAGCGAAAGGGCAGGTTTCACGGGTGTCGGGGCGGCATTGAAGGGTTGTGGGTCAATTAAATTGGCTGTCTCATCTTCCTCTTCGATCCGATCCGTGCCAAATCTGCGGTCAATATTGGGTTGTTGGACTTCCAGCAGGCTCGACGGTGGGCTTTGCAGTGCTGCTTCTTTCGCAGCAAATGGCTTTTGGATCTCACTTGGACTGGGTTCTTGATTTCGAGGGCTGCCAAATGAATTGCTGGGAGACGAACGAGGAATGCCCAACTTTGTTCTGTCATCTTGATTGAGCTCAGAAAAGCTTAAGTCATTGTGACTAGTTTCATTTGGACCATTGAAGATGGAATCAATACGAGAGTCACGCCGCTTTAAAAAATCTTTCGGGGTGCCGAATGTATGAGCGCCTGCATCAGAGATGCTATGGGCCTGTAGCGGCGAGTACTCAAGGCTTTGTACCGGTGACATAGTTGCTTGAGGCGAGCTAGGCGCAAATGCCAGAGGAAATTCACTCTTTCGAGGGCTTTTCCTTGGGCTGAATACAAGATCCTTCCCTCTCCGCCGGTCCCCAATCGTAGTGCGAGTCCTTGAGGGAGACGAATCTTGCGGTCGGAGAGGGGAAGTTGGCTTCGCATTCGTCTGCATGCCGGCCTTCAGGGTCTGCCATTTCTGAACACGCTCATTCTGTGCCCAGACTCGCTTCGCCAAGTTCTCAAGCAGACCCGATGAATCAACGCTTAGATCTGGGGTCAACGCGCCATCATGAATGCCTGGCCAAAGGGTCTCAAATGTCTCATCAAGCAGCGAATCCTTTGCAAATGACTTTTCGTCGGTCGTAAGCGCATCAATATAACCCTGATTTCCTTGCCACTGCTGCTCAAATTGCTTTGCTACCCTTGCAACAGTAGCTTCACCGGCAATGTTCTCATCCAGGAAGCTCTGAGTCGTGACAATGTTTTCAAATCTGCGATCTAGCTCACGGTCCTTTACATCCAAGACCTTACCAAAATGGCAGTACCTTTCCTTGAGCTCAGCCTTCCTGAGCAAGATCCGATTGAGAGCCGAACGATGTGCTGTAGCGAGTGGCAAGAATGATCGGTGGTCCGATGAAGACAGGCTCTGATTGCAACATACGTCGCGTACAATGCTGTCTCTCCCTTCAGCCCGTTCGGAGACGACTTTGCGGAGAACCAAAGTCGAAAACGCGAAAAGCAGCTCGATGAACTTTTCACCCTTGCAATCATCAAAGGATGATTTCCGCAAGATGGTCTCCTTTGGTAAAGCTCCCTCTAGCTTGAGTTTATTAAGACACCGAAACAGTGCAGCGCGAAGATTGGCAGATTGAAGTGGCTCGAGAGAAGGAAAGAATGGCTGAAGTTTCTACACTATACGGTCAATCGCGTATCTAGATCCCACCGTACGGAGGACTGTACATTAGATGTTTCCTCAGGATCCCAAATTTTGAACAGATGATACAAGCACCACTCAGCGGCCTGGATACGCGCTTTCTGGTTCGGGCCGGCATCCTTGCTCATCAATGCTTGCGGAGACACGATCGACCAGTCATCTTGGTTGTCGAGATCAAGCAACCGAAGGTTTGTTATGAGTGATCTGATGCTTTCGCTCGGCATCGGAAGTCGTTGAACTTTTGGAATGTCATGAATTCAGCTGCATCCTATTCGATCTACAAGCCACAGAATTACTCGTGTTCATGTGATTTGTCCCTTGAATGAATTCCCTTGAGAGGTTGTAAATAGACGCGCACATCCACAAACGCGATGTCTTGAGCCCTGGCGCTAAGCTCAAAGCTACCGTATTCTATAATTGGCTATCCAGATTCCGGATCTCGCTGACGTTCCATTTATCTTCATGCGACAAACGTTCTCGAAGTCTACTACCTACTCCTCACCATAGCACGATCATACCAAAGGGATCGCATATCTATTCACACGCTCGAAATGGCAGACAGCCAACAAACCATATCACTCCCATCCATAGTTCTCCTCACAGCCGTCAGCTTTTTCGCAGTCCGATATTTCTTCTTTCCCTCAAGCCCAAACTCCTCTACCGGCTCCCGCTCTCAGCGCTCAAGACAAGCGGATCCTAATGATGTGGAACGAATAGCAACTATGTTTCCACAAGTGTCGAGGCGGGATATAATGTGGGACCTACAAAGAAATGGAGGGACCGTGGCAGCGACAACGGAGAGGATACTGTCAGTCGGCGCACTGGATACGGTAGGAACGCTAGATTTGGAGCACGTTATATATTTACTGACTTCTCTGTCACCTCAGCCGCCTCAAAGCTTCCAGCCCGTCATTCCAAACGCAAGCTCTTCAAGCTCAGGATCGTCCTCGCAGACTAAGCCTGAATACATGGATCTCATAAAACGTTACAACCTCTCGGACAAAGTATCCACAGCGCCATCACCGGTAGGTGACTCTGCTTCTTCGAAACAACAGACTTGGAGCCAAGACAAGAAAGAGCGACAATCGATGTTTCAGAAGCGAAGGGAGGATATGATCCTTGCTGCGCGGAGGAAGATGGAGGAGAAAGAGCGCAATGATGCTACATGATCCTCTTGCAAGTATTTTTCATCTTGGCTTTGCGATGGCGTTGGGGGTACCATGTACATGAAGAGGATTCTGCAATCAATCAATTTATCTAGCTTCGATGAATAATGACTCCTAGTCATACTACTTACAAATTGCCTCCGAGTACCTGACTCTGGGGTTCCGAACGCTCTCAGCTAAGCAATGCTATATCTGGATGCATTCCGCAGGCACCGTACACTGTACTCAATGTATCCATCACACGTCCCATCATCCATTCTCCCACGCATTGACCGACAAACAATGATCTCCCAGTAACCCCTTAAAGCTCACAAACCCGCCCTTTTCACAGCTTACTCTTCATGCCTTTCGTCTTCTCCCTATACACCTTGTCCGAGACCTCCACGCTCTTCGGATCCATCGCCACCTTCCCATGCTCACACGCTGCCAGAATCTTTCCCAACTTTCCCCCACCCTCATGCCCCTCTGCTTTCCCTTGCCCTTCCTTCTCCTCCTCAACGGCTCTCATCACAGCCCTCAAATGCGCCATCCGTCTCCCATACCCCACAATCTCACACTCCACCTGCACCGTGCACCCTTGCTTCACAGCCCCAAGATACGTCACGTTGAGCGTCCTACTAACCCCCCAATTATTCTCCCAGAACCCGGGTCCCTGAATCAAGCACAGGGCGATGGACATGCAAATGTCGAAGATCGTAGCCGTAGCGCCGCCATGGAGCTGCCCTAGCGATTGGCAGAGAGAGTGTGTGATGGGGAGGGTGAAAGTCATGGTAGGAGGGCCGGGGGATACTGTGGCTGAGGAAACGGAGAGGAGTTTGGCGATGTCGAGACCCCAGCCTACGTAGTTTGGGAGGCGTTGGAATGCGTGGAGGACGGCGCGGGCCCTGGTGAGAGCTTCGGAGTTGGTGGAGGGGGCCATTGTGCGTGTGGTGGGGATCTTGTGGGAAGCTGGGAGAAAGGCATTGCGTGGACTCATGTATAATAGAAGAGTAGCACTGTAGTCTCACATGGTTGAGTGTCAAAGGTTGGATTAGGAAGTCGGACGCTTGTTAGATGTTTCAACCCGCACGAGTTATTTCTTTGGAGTATCTTGCGATTCGCAAGACGCCTCAATCATATGGATCGAACCATTCTGGCTACTCTTTGCGAACACTTCGTTCCTCGTCGCAATCGTATCATCCCATCGTATCTACAACTTACTATTCCCCCACCTCGGTCGCCTCTTCTCACTAAAGGCCCTCAAGCCCTCCCCATAATTTTCTCCCCCAACCAGGTCCTCATAGATCCCCCTCTCCAAACTCTCAGTCGCCTCCTCCACGCCCCCTCCATCCCATGCGCTCTGCACACCCTCCTTACTAACAACCACACTATCAGGACTATTCCCCGCAATCTCCTTCGCCCATTCAATCGCCATATCCACAACCCCCTCCCCCTTTCCCCCATCAGCGACTGCATTAACCAATCCCCACTCCCTCGCCTCCTCCGCACCCACCTCCCTTCCAGTCAACACCATCTCCATCGCCCTGACCCGTCCCACAACTCTCGGCAACCTCCCCAACGCCCCCGCAATAGCAACCACCCCCTCTTGACCTCCGGAAACGCGAATCTCGCCTCCTTACTTGCAAGCACAATATCCGCATTTACCACCATCTCGCACCCGCCTCCAAACGCCAATCCATTCACCGCCGCTATCACGGGCTTTTTCCCCCTGCGCCTACTAAGGCCTCCAAACCCGCTCTTTGGCAGACCGTCCCTTCCCCGTTCCCCTCCACCTTTCCCTGCCCCCACCCCTCCGACCCCATTTTCACCAGATCTCGGACGAGAAGAGGCAATGGCCAGAGCTTCCTTCAAATCCATCCCCGCGCAAAAAGCCCTCCCTGCCCCCGTGACGATCGCGACGCGCAGGGCGGGTTCAGCATCGAACCAGGTGTAGATATCATGGAGTTCAGTGTGGCCAGAGCGGGGGATGCAGTTGAGTTGTTTGGGGCGGTTGAGGGTGATGAGGAGGACTTGGGGGGTGGGGAAGGCGAGGAGGGTGAAGGATGTTGTGGGGGGAGGGGGGGTGGAACTTTGGTGGTGGAAGAGGAGGCATGGTTGTTCAGATGGAGCGATAGTCTTCGTTGGAGTGGAGATGGTCTTTGTTGATGATTTGTAGAAGTATTAGGCCGTTGAGGGGCCTCAATTGGAGTTTCACATTGTCATGCTGAGGTTGAGAATAGATGGAAGCTCAGAGCCGAGGTCAATTGAGGTGATCGCGAGGGTAGGGGGCCGGAAATAGCCTAAACTCAGGGCTGATCGAAGGCCACTAGCGCAAAATATCCGAAAAAGGGGCAGGCAATTCCATTGACTCTCATCGATTAAGTATTACCGCATGTCATGCTATTAAAGAATACCACCTGCATCCTCCCACTCTTGACGTCTATACACGTCCTCGGCAAATCCAATCAAGGCATCTCTTCTTGGTTGGAAGCCAACCTGACAGCGGCCTTGAGGAGCATCCCCGGGTCCAGGGTCCTGGCGACCCATATGATATGCAGCATTTTCCGAATGCATTGTGGTGTAATTCGGTTTCTTTCTTCTAGGAATATTTTCAAGGAAATCGAATTTGGTCGTCTCACGACGGGTTGGGGGCATCTCCACAGGGTCGGTGGGGTTGTAAATCTCTGTCTGCGGTGAGCTGGGCTGCCTCGTTTCATCACTAGACTCGCCATGCTTTCCGCGGCTTGCAGGCGATGGAGTCTTTGCTTGACTCTCCTCCATTCCCTGATTTTCTTGAGGCTTTGTCTGTGGATGCTGATGTGTTTTCGGCACTCGATTTTGGATGTGGTGAGTTGCTGCGACTTGATTCCCGGCACGAGTGCTTGGACGTGACATCGCTTGATCCTTGTGAGGATTTGCTACGCCTTGGTTCCCCGCTCGAACGCTTGGAGGTTTCGTCGCTTGATCTTTCACGTTTCTTCTTGAAGCCTCTGCGAAGTTTTCTGAAGTCGCCAAGCTCTTCTGCGGCCTTTCTCGTTGTCTCGTCTGCGGCGTCATCCGCGAGGGTTTTGTTGACTTTTGCATTGATAATGGCACTGTATAACTCGTCACTGAGTTCCACTCGACCTGTCAGGCTTCTGAAAATGATCATCAGGGAATACTTACTCGAGTTTGCTGGTGCTTTGGCTCGGTCGACATGCTCTGTTTGACTTTTGGACTCTTCTCCTTCAGAGGCTGACGGTTTGGGCATAATAAGCGGGTATATATTTGGATGCGGTCGCGTCGATGAAGTCTTAATGATTGTGGGAACCGATGTATCGTCGTCATCGTCATTCAAAGGACACTCGATCAGCAAAGACTGAGGCGGATCCTCGTCTTCCTCTATTGCGAATGGACGGGTGAGCTTTTTGAACGAGCTCGTGCGTTTTGGTAGCCTTCGTTGCATTTTTGTCGATCTGAGCGGAGCCTCTTGGTCCGCGGGTCTGGAAGCATTCTCATCCACAGCTGTGGCTCTCACGTGTGCAAAACTAGCGTCCGATGCAAATCTTGCAGTACTACCTTGGATAGCCAATGACTCATTTGCGAACCGGACTCGAGGCGGTGGGACCGTCGGGTGCTCTGGGAGACGTAACCCTGTTGGGAAGCCCCAGATGTCATACATCGGCGATAGACCTCCTCTTTCAAGGCATCTCGAAGTATACTCTAGAGCTAAGGTACAAGTCTCAGTACTCGCCATCTCTTAGGTTGGAGCAGGACAAATCTCTACCTTGATTGGGAAAGCCAAGCTGTAAGGTCGAAGCAAACAGAGCGTTTTGGTCCTTTGAAAGACGCTTTTCGTCATTGATCCCAAACATGTTCTTCATCATTGTTCTCACAAGTTCCGGGGCAAGGCAAATTGTTGATTTGTCTGGCAAGCCTCCAGGGAATTGTACTTCGTTGAGCCGTGTCCGGCGATCGAACACTTTAGGGCGAAGCCACATGAAAAGCTTTGCCATCTGAGGGCGATCCTGCTGAAATGGGCTGCGATCATGTTAGCATTGGGATTCGATGAGTGGTGCGCATTTAACATACTATGGTTCATCAAAACTGGGAAAGTGAGGTAAGGCTCGCTCCATGAATTTGGGATCGCTTTCGGAGGTGATCAATTGGCCGAGAAGCTCGATCTCTCTCTCGTTGCTGTTGTTGCAACTGATGCGCCTGACCATAGCGATGATGAAAGACTCATAAAGCTGGTAATCGAAGCGACGATTGGCCTCCTTCCAACCGTCTGGAGCAAAGTAGAGGTTGGTTTGGCTCCGTTCATCATTAGCTAGGCCATCGATAAATCGACTGATGCATTTGAGATCATCCATGCCTTCTGCTTGTTGACTATTTGCATTGCAGAAAAGCTGGTGTTCGCGAGAGACAGGAACTGAATGCGCAGGACAATGTGTTCACAAGGAGAGGGGAAAGTGGCTGGGAGATGAGCAGGAGCAGGAGCGATCCGGCATCACCAATCGGCGGTGAGGTGGGGCAAGTCAGGTTGAACAGTGTTGAACTGATACTCCCGTGAATAACATATGACACGCGGTCTGGAAGGTGTCAAGTGCAACAGGCAAACCCGTGTAGCTCGGATCAAAGGGGACACTTCATTTATGCCTAGGACGGCGATATCGAAGCTGCTCTCTCACCGCTTGTAGGACAGGAATGCCTTATGCTTTTTGTTTTCGTCACATGCGCTCAATGCATCATTCACTTTTTCTGCACCTTCTCCACAATCTTCACAACGTCGCCATAGAGCTTGTCGGATGAGCTGAGCCCAGTGACCTCTTTGACCACCGTCGCAGCATCTTGACTCTTGAGCTTCTTGCCAAGCTCGAAACTCTCGTCGTCGCCTTCCACATCCACGAAGGCGAAAGTCTGCTCGATTGCGCCCAGAAGACCACTAATCTTAGCTCCCTGCTCTGCTAAGGGCTGGGCAGGCCCAATGAAGCGTTCCTGTCGCCCGAGCTTCCTCAGCGGCGCACGACCAACGCGCTCGACATAGTCCTCCAGCAGAGGATTTGAGATCCGTTTCACAATCTTCTCTACGTAATCTTTCTGTTCTTGCGTAGGGATGGAGTGCTTGGAGACAATCAAATGGCTTGTCTCACTTAGGACATCGCGCACCGCATCATTGATCTTCTTGTCGTCAAGCGCTTCAGCAATGGTTTTCTTGCCCAACGCCTTCCCGTAATAGGCTGCAGTAGCGTGACCCGTGTTGACGGTGAATAGCTTCCGCTCAATGTACGGAACCAGGTCATCAACGTAATGGATTGCGTCCACCTTAGGTGGGCTATGAGGAGCAAATGGGGACTGGTCTACCACCCATTCGTAGAAGCTCTCAATTCTAACGTTCAAGCCCGCATTCGGGTCCTGGCCTGGCACTATGCGGTCGATGGCTGAGTTTGCAAATCGAGCCCGATCACTGATAGACGATAGGCGATCTTGTGGAGTATTCTTGCTGTCCTTGATGAAGCCTGCGAGGGTGTCTGTTGCACCAAGCATGTTCTCACAGGCGATGACAGCCAGTGGCGTCTTATCTGTGCGCTTGTCTATGGCCTTGCCAATGACCGGAGCAATGAATTTTAGGATATTCGGGCCAACGGCGCAGGTGACCTAGTACCCATCAGCTATTGAATGCTACGGGGCGCTATGTCAAGGCTTTTCCTTACAAGATCTGCTGTAGCGATCTCATCGATTGCTTCTTTCTCATGAGTCTTGGTGTTGAGAGCCCGGTAGTTCTTGATCGTCTCTGCTTTCTCGCCTTCTGTGCCTATCGTTGTCACGGTGAAGGTTGGTGTGTTTTGAAGCTGCTCGATGAGCTTGTCTACGACATCCAGGAACACGACCTGTAGCAGGTGATCAGCGGTCTGATATGAGAAGCTGAGCCTCGGCTGCACTCACTTCATAGCCCGACAAGCAAAGCTTCTCGGCCACAAAGCCACGGCCAATGTTGCCTCCGCCAAAGTGGACTGCTTTCGGGGCCATTGTGAATATGAGAGGGATTGTGAGTGGTAAAGGTCAGCTTTACGTAGGCTATTGATAACCAGCAACTCGAAAGCACGAAGGGATTTTTGAGTAAAAATAATGGGCGGTGTGTTTTTGAAATGAGCGTTAGAGTGAGTGAAGTTGGAAAGTGGGGCTCTGACAGCAGAGCATCGGGAATTTTTTGCTGCTCCCCGCCGGAACGGGGCCCGCATTCGGGAACCTAATTGGGCCGGCGGAGCCCTAAACTCTGCCAAGCATTTAGGGCATTAGAAGCCCCTGAAAGAAATTTGGGTCATCCACGACGACTCGGTTCTTTCTCATTGAAGCATCGTCCTGCTATATGTTCAGATATCTACTGCTGTCGGCAATGGAATGATTCTGTTTGAGATTCAGCAGCCTTCGTCACGTCGCTTTTCACTATGATTGGTCTACGTTATTCTATGGCGAAATGGAAACCTGTGGGGAGTCAGGTCCAGGCTTGAAAGCAGAGGAATCAATGAATGTCAGGTTTCATTTTCTTCCACAAGGTCCTTCGACTCAATGGAGACCGTAATACAAGGCGTAGCAGGGCTACTTGAACGCATCAGACCCCAATAGTCATAATCTCTGATACGGAGATGGGAGAAGGATTCAATGAAATGGCGAAGGCCTCCAACTTCATTTGCACCAACCAATCTCAAGTGAAAGTGTATTTCCTTAGGCTCGCAAGATCTGTCCAAGGTCTATTTAGAAGTATTCGTGAGTTTTGTGCCATACAACTCCTCCCTCTTTCAATCATGTTGAAGAGCCGGCCGTTGAACTGTAGGCTTTTCCATTCGCCGGGTGGATAGCAACCCAAATCAAAATCCTAGTGGACAACATCAGCAGATTGATTGTCGTCAGCTAAAATACATAGGATAGTACAGTCGCTTGCACGGGCACAGGCGGACAGCCATGAGCTCACCCTCGAAAGAATGTCTAGACTAGGACTTATCGTAGTCTACTCCTTCCAGCTTCGAGTCGCATTTGAGACATTAAGCGACTCAATCTACTTCATGCGCAGGCCCTACTTCCATTTGAAAGAACCTCATGTAACCATGTTCCACTTCCTCAGCCAAGCGTCACATGTTCGAAAGACGACTTGATCTAACCGTTTGGCAGCCAAATATTATCGTGATCCCTGCTTAGAAAGCTTTATGTCGGGCGGAGCTTCTAGAAGGGCGGGAATGCGATAGACATAAGCCCACGTCGATTTCAGAGCCTGATTCACCGTGATTCGTTGGTTTGGCTCATACTGCAGCATTGAGCGTAGCAACTTTTCCAAACTCTGCATTTCCGCATCGCTGTAACCATTGACTCTCGAATTGGACTCATCGTTAACGTATTTACGGAGACGCTGTGCTAAAGGCTCTGGACGCCTGTCTCAGTTCCGTTGTGGCCTTGCTACCATGAGCCATCTTCTGTAAAGAATTTGGAGCGATTGGGCTAGGTTTGCCACATGTTGTCTGGTAAAGAATCTAGAGTGCTACTTGCTTTGATAACGATCGTATCTTCATCCAGACGACCCCAATACTAAGTCAAAAGCTTCTCGCGTCCTAGGATGTCAAAGATCGTCATCCCCATTGACCAGACATCCACAGAATTAGTGACAGGATAGTCAAAGATGTTTTCCGGAGCTCGAACAAGGTACGGAGTATGGAGCTCCTTCTTTTCGAAATCTTTGTCTGAGTCTCCCACAATGAAGGCCTCACCAAAATCGCCAACCACAACTTAACGGTTGGATGCGACCGTATTACTAGGAATGTAAGTAGACAGCACCTCGATCTGGAATTTCGGGACGTGCTTCCCGATTGGCGCCCCGTCGTATCGCCACACTTCCAGTCTCTCGGGTTGCTCATTGTGTGCTGCAAATGTCCAGATCTTGTCTTTTGGCGCCTCGATAAGGATGTTTTCGGTACATAGATCTTGCGCGGGAGAGTCAGCGGTTTTCCCTTCATACGTGAGGAGCAAAACATACCTCCTGGACAATGCCACAAGAGTGAATATACGATGGAGCCAACAGTGATTGCATGGCGATGCTCCGCGCTACCTGAGGAGGGAACCGATTATTTTCATCAGTGTTAGCGCCTTGTGCTACTCGGACAGTGTTGAGAGTGACGTGGAACACAAAACACTGGTGACGCCCATTCGGACCCTCAAGCACAAAGTCATCATAAAGCATCCTCACGAACCTCTTTCTTAGATATGCCAAGTAACCATTTCGTAGAGCATAGTAAACTTTTCATTCGGAGCTCTTAGGTTGCTTCGAATTGGGCAATTCCGACTTTGCTATCTTGACCGAAACCTTTTGTTCCCTCTGAAGATCTCTGCAGAGCCAAACTGTAGAGTAACCGCCGAGTCCAAGTTTGTGGATGACTTGGTATCGATCTTCGGAAAGTCTGTCAACGAGCTGGACGGGATGAACGCCGCCCAAACCATATCGTTCCAAGCTCTCCACGTCCTCGTGCAACACATACGGTGGTCCCTTGAAGTCCCGTGGTGTCGTGGGGTACAGACGAGATGAATCTTCGGGTGAGCTCATTACCAATGTCTTGTCGTTGTAACAAAGATAGCTAGCAAATCTTGGCTTGCTACGTATCCAGAACGCTCTGTTTTTGTTCGCTATGAATCGTAAAAAGCCGCGCGCTCGGTAGCGAATGTTAAGATCAGTCACGAACGCCTAAACACACCTCTTCATACCTCAAGATGTGGAATTTGTGAAAGCAATCCTTTCGGACCATGTTTGTCATTGGTGATGATCGGTAATTCCGTCGATACAATCATCGAATTCGACTGTTTCAAGGTCGTCCAGGTTCTCTAGCGGTCAATCAACGAGGGAAATAGTACGACTGCGATTCACCAACAGATATACACTTGGAAAGATGATTAACCCATGCAGGATGCAGTCTCCATAAGTGTGTGTCGTCTGCAGCTACGGAATATCTGCACCTCTCTGTAGTGTACCAGATGCTACTTGGGACTAATCCCACTAGCAGATGGAAGGATTGGTAACGAAAATGCAGTGAAGCATGTAGAAATCCTGTCCTTAGCACAAACGTATACGTCAGCACTTCGATCTCTCAATTTGGTATATAGTCTTCGCAAGGAGATCTGCTTGCTGCAATCTGGCTCATTTTGAATGAAGACTAGCTTCATGGAGATGGAATTTTTTCGATAGCAGCAACCGTTTAATGGACAATCAGGGTTTCAGGCATCCCAACAATTTTGATATCTGTATGGTCATCCTAACCAGGGCTCCAAACAGACCAGCTGAATGGACATCCTCAAGGCTCAAGTCTCACACCGATCCTGCTATATCCCTTCCTAAAATCAAACTAAGAGGTCATTTCAAGATTCTTCCAGTGACCTTGAGCCCCTGATGCAAATGACAGGCTGACAGATTCGCGACTCGAAGCCCATTCTGATGGTAACAAAGGATCTTCAAGGTTGTTGAGGCTGAGAAAGTCACTGCGAAAGACATGTGTTTTGGCACAGGCTATGGAATTTCCAAAATATGGTGTCTTTATCCAATCATTTGAAAACTTTTGGACTGATCAACATTTCAAATGGTGATGTCGAAATGCCATTGGCTAATTTTAGTCCAAGTCCAAGCGCTATGGAGAAGTGTTTGCTTGCCTCAGAAATAATTTGACAGCCGGCTGGAGAGCGAGGTATTTATTTGCGCCTCAGTCAACGTCGGTGGCGGTGCAAAAGGGAGTATAATCAAAACAGTTGTTTCCAGATGGCCGTCACTGTCGTTTCTACCCACTTGAGTTCATGCCTGCGAGCTGGTTGTCGGTTTTCATTGGCATCGCTGCTAAAGAGGCATTAGGAAGTCGTTTATGAAAGCCAGCAGGAGATCAGAATGTACTCGAAAAGATTTTTGTCTCGTTTCTTCTTGACATATCTACGACAGTAGAATGATCGCCAGGATAAGTTTTCGAAATGGCCCTCATTTCTAGCTCTTCTGTCACAAAACATCGGAAATAGTCAATGGGTTTTGGAGCTGTACTGGTGAAAACCTCAAAGTATCTCCAACTTTACCTAATTGAATGGTGAAAGCTGGTGATAATCCATTGTCCAGCAGACAAAGATTGCTCTGAGTGTTTCATACGGGTCTACGCCAGGAACGGCCCCTTAGAGAACACTGCAACGTTCTCGTAAATTCGATTGTTCGGTCCCTATAGTTGACCCTGAGCTCTTTTGATCTCTACACTGCTTACTTTGTTATGCATATTTTATATTTCTCTATACTCAGCAGAATTGAAACATTATTATAGAATATAACCCAGTAATGTTGCATTCACTTTGTCGAAAATGGTTTTGTACGACCTTTCGGCTTCAACAAAGGCTTGAAACCTTTTGCCTCAGGACCGTCCCTGGCTACCTACCTGGACCATCATATCTCCACTGTTGGATGGGAGAATTCCTCTTTACCGTTTACTAAAGTATTGCATTATCAAATAGTCAAACTTTATCGAGTTAGACCGTAGACAAGAGCTTCACGATATCTCGTATTCACCCTGCATTAGTGGGACAAAGCACCGACCATAAATCGTGGAATCCGCAGATCGAGCTTTGAAATAGTCGAGGTTCCACAGTTCATTGCCATGCGTGACTGGACAAATCAAGGCGTACGAAGCATCGAGCGCGCGCCTTGCATAAGAGAAACGAATCCCCATGATTTGGTCGTTCTTTGCACTCCCTATACATTGGAAATTCGAGCTTTGCAAATCCAGTCGAAACCACCTCTTTCAGGAAATTGATCTGTCTGGTCCCAGAATGTGCATGAAATATGAGAGAGCTTGCAAGGATTGTGGGCAGCTTATGAAAACATCTGTTCCATGTCCGCGAAAAGAAAAATACGATTCAAAGTGCTACCTTCCTATCAGCCTCGCCAGTACAAGGCCCTCCCATCGTTGTGCATCTTGTGCTATCAAACACTCGAAGGGTTTCCGTAACGAGTATCAGAATCTGTATTACCGTGATCAATGTGATACCACGGTGGAGCTTGGATTTGAATGGCCTTATTCAGCTTTGGGCAAGGAAGATAAAGCATTGGTAGATGAATACCGTAAAGGCAGAAAGATACAAGAAGACCAAGCCTTCCTAGACATAGGGGGCTATTACGATCCAGTGACAGGTCGTAAAGTCAGACCACCTGGTATTCCTCTTTCAGACAACCAGTCTCTTCTTGCACAAAACGCACCTACTTCATACCACGAGAGGCAACGAGAGGCTGATCGCGCTGCTAGGGATTGCCTCTTGCAAGAATGTTTGGCGCGTCAAAAGCGAAGCGGTCAGGGAACCTCAGAAAAGTTCACATGATGATCGTGACGGTGTGGTGATAGTGATGGCTATCGCAGGCGCCGAATTTTGAATAATGCACATTGACAGAAGATGCTATTTGTCCAAGAGTGGAGGCGGAACTTGCTAGCCTAGGAAACCTTCAACATGCGGTATCTTCCCAAGGAGAACAGGCGATTGTTGATAGAGCAGCTGAGGATGGAAATAGAGCCGGACTGTCTGCATAGCGGTTTTGCTTAGAGATGATGAGATAAGGTGCATAATTACGATCCTTAGCAATAGATCTAAGATCAACAAGCATAGCATGCACTTGAAAGTGAAAGTCCCGCGTTTTGAGTACAATCACGGTATGATGTTCTGCTCGACAAAGCGTCCATGCTAATAGCATACATTCTGTAAGATTGTGTGAGGATACCAATGAATATGCTTGCATTGCCAGTCGACTAGAAAAGTTAAGCGACAAGGCAGTTGTTTTCATTCGAAAGATTACATCGCGAACTGGGGAGACTCTTTTTGATTTTTTGAGGGCGACTTGATGTTGCTTACACCATGGCAGTCAATACCTTCACTTCTTCACCCAGGCGCGCAACCCGCTTACTGCCGATTTCTAGGTGCTCGGACACTTATTCTAACCATGCAGTTAATCTTTCTTCCGTGCCTCAGGGTGGTGCTCAGCCTCATCGTTGTGGGCACTTAATCTACCTGCAGCGGAAGGCGGGAGGCTACGTCGGATATCAAACAGAATGGTGATATGCGCCTCGAGCCGTCACTTGTTGGGGGCTCGCTGGCCACTCGCATGGACTGAAACATGTTATGCCCTGAATAGGAAACTTGGCATGCGTTTCCACTAAGCCGCTATCAAAGTTGCTGGGAGCATCTCAAGAGCGACGTATATGGGACACCAATATCCGTATCTTGGGCAATCCCTTGGTGTAAATCTTTTCTGCCAATCGCAAACGGTATCGAGCCTCTGCAGCCTAGAAAAAGACAACATGCTATCGCATCATCGACGTCTTCTGCTTTGTCTCCTATCGATCCTGATGCTAAAAGCAGTGGCAGTTTTCGATCCGAACAACCCTGGATACCAAGAAAACTTCGACCCTGCAGAAGCTGATCCAAGTGGTCAAATCACCTGCCAAGGACCGCCGCCTTCATTCAGGATACCTGTGATCTCTGGACTGACCAGCGATCCAGCATCTTGGACATTGCAAGAAATCTGCGCAAAGCCACAGTATGGTGGCAGAGGCCAACACCAGCACGCTGGAGGGTTCTGTCTCCACTATGCAACACCGGAAGAACGTCCCCGTGTGGCGTTCGACGAGTCGGTTCATGCGCTGACTTCACAAATATTGCAAACTCCAAGAGTCTTGACTTACTGCTTACTACGATGTTTTTGCACCAATGGCCTTAATCGTCAGGATGCCTACTTACAAATTGAGCCCATTGATGCTCCTGGGCATTTGGTGAGATATGTGTCGCTCGACCGAGATCTAGTTAGCGGACTCGGCATTGGCGGTGACCTTACACCAGGTCTCGATGATGAAGTGCCTGCATATGTAATGATTCTTTACACACAGCTCGCTGCCCAGCAATATCAGGCAACACATAATGGTGCGTTGGTTGATCATCACGCACTCGATCTTCTCTTTGTAGCTTTTCGACCAGACAATAGGGTGCGATGCGAGGGCACTGTCCCTCGTATCTCTTTGACACTTTATGATCGGCGTGGCCCAAGCTATGGTACTTTGAATTGGCGATGGTCACCGACTTTGAACATACAAAAGCTGTGTGCCAACGCCCTCTCTGATGGAACACAGTACGTTAAGATTCATATCGCTTGGATGTACTCTGATTGCTTCTCCTAACCACTTGGCGTAGTGTCTTGAATGCTGGCGCGTATTGTCATCGCATGCCCGATGGGACAAAGAAAGTGTGGTTTAGCGATGATATTACACCCAACCTTGGATTGACTTGGCAGAACTTTGCTCAATCACTCACAGTACGGACCTTTTGCTTTTCAATGTGCTATTGCGAACCAGGGGAGAAGGACCCAGACGAGGATATCCGTGATCAGCACGTCACGATACCCGGGATTTTCCAGTTCACGCAAAATAGAGCGGTTGGTATTGGACCTAAGGGCAACGTTGACATCCTCATAAGAGGCCCAGGTGGAGAAAAGTTGAACACTATTCCCCTTATGAAACCTGCGGACGGAGGATCGCAAGTTGCCAAGGGTGCTTGCGAAGGCGACGATAAACGATTTTGTCCGTTCGAGGACTGGCCAGAAGATGTGCTCGGACCCAAACCGACTGTACCAGTGGCAGATCCGCCACCCAATGAGGTGGTGCATCTAGAGCAATGTGGGATGGAGTGTGACGATGACAATGATTGCAGCGGCACATGGGACAGTGGGTGTCGTTGTGTGCCGCCCAAGACTCAACCCAACTACATACCTTTGAATCTTATCTTTCCTGACGTACCTACCTTGGACAGAGGCCAGTGCCTAACAATGCCCGAGTACATACTGAGGAGCGCTGCAGCTGCTTATGTTGGTAGGAAATAAACATTGTTTTAGGGAACTCCATGAAGTACTTGGCTATCGTGCAAAAGTGTACCGAGTCTTGAAGACAATGTCAGTAGCAGCCATTCGAGTTCCCAGCTAAGATGAACTGATGTAGATGCCACCAGAGTTTACAGTGTTTGCTCTGGGGCTCACCGCCAAGCCAGGTGCCAAGACTCGTGCCAAGAAACTCGATTGACTTTCACGGCCCGGGGTCAAGCGAGGCTCTATGTTTTCTTACAATGCATCCAATCAAGTCTCATCATCACAACAGTCCTTCCTAATGGCTTCACATACAGCTGCTCAACGGTATCTCAGCACACGTGGAGGCTCCTACAGTGTAAGGCCAGGGTTTCTTCTGACTCTCGAAAAGGATGGCATTATCTATCGTAACGTTTGCTGATGCAAAGCAGCTTTCCTTTGAAGAAGTCGTTCTTAAGGGTCTCGCACTCGATAATGGACTTTTTATCCCAGAGGACATTCCTTCACTGCCACAAAATTGGCAGAACGACTGGCGTGATCTTTCTTTTGAGGACCTCGCGTTTGAAATCTTTTCTCTGTACATTTCAACAGCGGAGATTCCGTCCGCGGATCTCAAGTCTATCATACAAAGGTCATATTCGAACTTCAGATCACCTGATATTACGCCAACCGCAACGTTAGATGGTGGGAAGAAGATCCATCTACTGGAACTATTTCACGGACCGACATGTAAGCCAATCTTCAAGAACTTTTGCCCCAGAATGGTATGGCTAACTCTGATGTTTGCTTGAAGACGCATTTAAAGACATCGCTCTTCAATTTCTTGGCTATTGCTTTGAATTCTTTCTTGTCAGAAAGAACGAGGGAAAGACAGGGGATGATCGCGAACATTTGACAGTCGTAGGAGCTACAAGTGGCGATACTGGAAGTGCAGCGATTTATGGCCTGATGGGTAAGAAGGACATCTCGGTCTATATATTATATCCTACAGGAAAGGTCAGCGCCGTTCAAGAGGCGCAGATGACGACTGTAACTGTAGGTAAAGCAACCACGGAATTATCCTTAGCCTAGATGGACTGACATTTGGGTATACGTAGGACGAAAATGGTAAGTCTCTGACTTACGCTTGCCTTCTTTATGGACCTAAACCTTTACAAAGCCTGGACCCAGGCTTAGCTAATTGTGTCATTACCAGTGCACTGTTTGAGCGTCGATGGAACCTTCGATGATTGCCAAGTAAAGCCCTTTCTCCCTGTCCCAGAGATGTATTTTGACCACACTCAATAGGACTTTGTCAAAGCGCTTTTCGCTGATCCTGCAATCAACAAGACCCAGAAACTCGCTGCAGTAAATTCGTGAGTACATTTGGGACTACGTAAAACGAGCTCTTGGTCATTTTCAAGACAGAATTTGCTGCCACACTGAAACTTAAGACTGCTCGAGGTCGTGCTAATTTTAAGCCTTGTTCAGGATTAATTGGGCAAGAATCCTCGCCCAGATATCGTACTATTTTGCAGCCTACTTCTCTCTAATCAAGTCCAACAAATTCGACCCTTTGACCAACGAGATACGTTTTGTAGTCCCTACAGGTCAGTACGCATTGAACAGTAATCACTAATCTTACTACGTTCCAATTCTACCGTAGAATCATGGAGTGCTTGTGAATCTGCACTGACGCACCACTGTGTTCAGGTAATTTTGGAGATGTTCTAGCTGGCTACTTTGCCAAACGAATGGGTCTCCCAATGTCAAAGCTCGTGATTGCAACGAATCAAAATGTAAATGTTTTCAAGTTACCCGATTCATCTGCGTATGTTTCAGCCTTTAAGGGAGCCCTTTACTAACTCAATATGTGTAGGACATCCTTCATCGCTTTTGGCAGACCGGTACGTACGAGAAACAGGCCACCCACGGTTCAGCAGCCGAAGGCGGCTTCGCAGAAGACGGTGTAAAGGCGCATTCTTCGGGTGTGAAGGAGACACTTTCTCCAGCGATGGACATTCTCGTAAGTAATCTTGTTAAAGGATAGATTGATCCTGATGAAGAGCTCTGTCATAGGTATCAAGTAATTTTGAGCGGTTGTTGTGGTTCCTTGCATTTGAGGTTTATGATACCGACGCAAAAAGTGTCCACGAGAGAAGGCAAGAAGCAAGCTCAAAGGTCAAGGAGTGGCAGACCACTCTAAAGGAACGGGGAGGATTTGGTGTGGAGCAAAAGATCCTCGATGCGGCGAAGAAAGATTTTGCGTCTGAACGAATCTCCGACCAGGAAACCTTGACGAGTATTCGAGACGTCTACAGCTGGCCCAACACGCCAGGCTTGAAAGGGTATGTTCTAGATCCACACTCAGCAATCGGTGTGACGGCGGCACTGCGATCAGCGAAGGCTTCACCGGGCGTGCACAATGTAGCCCTCGCGACTGCTCATCCAGCCAAGTTCAGTAGTGCCGTGGAATTGGCACTGAAAGATGCGAATGATTTTGAATTCAAAGATATCTTGCCTCCACAATTTGTTGGCCTTGAAGAATTACCTAGGCGGGTGATATACGTGAAGAAAAGTGAGGGGTTAGACGGGCTGCGAAAAATCATTGGAAAGAAGGTAGAGATCGAAGATAGAGCTGTAACATAACGGCAGATCTAATGTTCATTTGATTTACTGACTACCAGGCTGTCGCGGCTTCTTTACAATCTAAGCTCCCCTTATTCAATTTTTCCAAAACAGCAGACTGGTGCAGCAGTGGCACCAGCATATCTAAGCCAGATAATCCCGCACGTGCAAGTGACAGTGACCAAAAGTTGATCAACCAGCGCCTAGCATCAAAGATGATCCTACATTTTGAGGGTCATCAAGTATCGAGTGCTGGAAATCATAACCATCCTCGTAGCACTTGAATGTTTTGCATTAGGTCTCAATCTTATACAAGCAACTTCGGGAGGCCTCGAAGACATCTGGCGTCTTTACCCGACCCCCTTCAATAATTGTAGGTGAGTATCTGTGCCAGGAAACATAAATTTGCTTCGCCTAAGTGGATTCCTCAAACTCTTGATATGAACAATTGCCTAAGTTCTTCGTTTCAAATCCATGGAGAAGGGACGGCTGTTTTCAATCCAGAACACCTGCAGCCTTCTGAACGCTTTTATTCTCAAGATTAGCTGAAGATACTGGCAGCGAGTCCTAATGATGGAATAGTACTCCTGATCGTGGGATTAATTTCCCTGAAATCATCATATCCACTTTCTCTCAGATCATAGTTGGCAGGTGGTGGGTTAGCACAGCAGACAGCATGTGCTTTCACCGAAGCCCGAGCACTCGCTACTACTTTCGCAGACCTGATTGAACGGACAGCAGGAAACGCAGCGGAAGAAAACACACGCTTTTCAATCTCTCACATTGACGCACTCTTGACCTATTCTCACCATCTCTGTCGATGTTGCATTCCCTTCTAGCGTTCTAGAAAAAACGATGACCTTGAAATCAATACAGAGATACCAGGAAATGATTTATATCATAGATCTGTCATTAAGTTTAGATCATCGTTGCGCACCAGAATAAAGAGTAACGGGTTCGTGAGGTCATCTTTCTTTACATCAAACTTTTCCAAGATACTTGGCCGCTAATTTTCTGAACGAGAATCTCAAACCTCTCCGTAGCCTCTCGCTGCCTTCAGCCATCTCCTCTGCTCCCACCAGGCCAGCGCAAGCGATGTCAAGCACAGCAATGTCATCGTCCAAGACAGAGTGATGAACGTCTTACCAACAGTAGCATAAACATTGATCAGATTTCCCCCGGCATTGATGATATCGCGAACACGATATATGAAGAAGGTATGACTCAATGTTGCGAAAAGGAAGAGTCCAGTCGTGACCTAGAGGAGGGTAACATGTCAGTCAAGTCAAAACACAGGATGCTGGTACTTACCGCGTTAAGATAGAATTTGATCCGCAGAAACTTCCATGAGGGTTCAGCCATTATAGTCAGCCCTGTCGTAATCATGGCAAGAACGTTTACGATCAAGCCTAGAAGGTAAGCAAGGAAAATGACAACAAAAAGGGCTTTGGTGCCCTTGACCAGATCACTAATCGTCTTGGTCCATCCAAGATCGGAGAGCTTCTTATTACCCTTTAGTTCTTTCTGAATATCAGCAGCAGGATCAATGCCAGAAAATGCCTTAGCAGAAGAGCACTTTGTAGGCTTCTTCTTGGGATGATGCGTGGCATCCATGACCGGCGATGGGGTATAATCTCCCTCACAGTGGGTCATTAAGTGGTAGCTGTACCATTCCTTGATACCGAGATCCTTTGCAGCTTCCTTGACAGCTTTGTTAGCTTGATTCTTTGCAGCGTCCTTGCCTTTGGCTGCTGCGCTAGTAACAGCTGCCTTGGCAGGCTGAGTGGAATCAGCAGCTCGCGCAGCAAGCTTACCACCCGTGCTCAATTGACCAATGTACGATGTGTTGATCTACATGATCTTAGTGAGAGTCGCACATAGAATATTCGAATACTGACCGTCATTATGTCCATGTACTCTAGTTGACCAGTCCGAGTGCCCGCAAACACACACATGAATGATATGATAAAGGCGCAAAACAAAAAGATTACTGCTAGAAGAGGCAGCTTTCGAAGCCGCCTCAAAAGGGTGGTGTAGACGCTCAGCATCATCGTGAATCGAAATTGGTCTAAGGGTACGAAGGGTCGAAGGGAACACAGGAAGACGTAAATGAACAATAAGTCGTAAGAAGGAATTGAAAACTGTATATGTAGTGTGGATTGGAGAAGAAGAGCAGCAACAAGCCTTTGAAAGCATTCTTTCTTCCAAGCAGCGAATGAATGAAAAGTAGTCCTTGAGTACAATTCCTCAAAGCCTTGTCTTTCTACGAACAAAGAAGCCATACTTAGCCTCTACACCCAACTTTTTCATCTTAGCCATTGTTTCTCCTTTTGAATGATTCTTTGTGGCTGTTGCTCCAGGCCACCTAGTCGTAACGAAGCTTTCATGCGGTAGATCGTGATGTCCTGCGGCCAGAATATGGTACTGTACCGCTCAATATCTACGGTTGTCCTGATTCCTGTTGCATTCAATACGCCACTAACAGTGGGGTCATGCAATTGTCTTGTGTCGAAGACCGACTGTAAGGAATGCGTGATTAGAAAAGACCCACTGTCTTGATGAATATCTTCGTACAGGGCGAATCTCAGCATTGTCCTCGTGGTGCATATGGCAGTGCATGTCCATCTGCGCCAAACTGATACCACTTGTAAGTCAAGTCTGCAGACTTGGCATCCCTATCTTACTTTGCGGTATGCTTCCCAGCCTTGACTTGCAGCGCGATTACCCGTAGAAAATAATACTTCTATTCAAGAGATCTCATCTCCACTGAACACCTAGCATCCTCAAACCGGCGGCTTTCTTCTTCGTACCTGTATCTGTTGAAGCGTTTTCCAGATAGTATCTAGGAAAGCCCGGTACATCCAAGGCAAGGAACCTGTACTCAAAGTCTGACTGACCAGGCCCCTTCACCATATGTAGCTGAACGACGCCTTTCCGCTCTGACCCCTCAACATTGAAGTGCATACGGAAGTGCTCTATACCCGTTGAGTCCTTGGATACATCGCTTGCTATTGGTCTTGCAAATGGCCTTTTATTTGTTGTCGGCTCACCATATGCTTTGATGGTAGTCCTTGACCCAAGCAGCTCCAGCGCTTTGGGATCAGCTCTTATACGATTCACAACTTGATTGAATCGCCTTGTTTTACTATTTGATCCAAACACTTCATCCTTCATAAGGTAGATGACAATGATCTAAGCGATGTCAGTCAAAACGATCTATCTTTATAAAGTCTCCTTACAAGTCCTGCAACTCCAGCAGCGATGATGGTTGCGTTGCCTGTTTGTTGAGCAGTTCGGGCCACTTTCTCCCCGGTCGTCAGGCTCTTCCAGGATACGCTTCCATCATCATTGACCACTGTAATTTGTTTCCGGGACTGAGTTGTATAGCTTTTGATTCCGTCAATACGTCGCAAGTGAGGGAGCTGCGCGTCCAAAGCAGAGGGCGTCGCTATCCAAGAGCGCCCCAAGTTGAAAAGGCGGGGACCACGGAGAGCTGTAGTATAGATTGGCTTTGTTATAGCCATTGCTGAACAGCGCCATTCGCATTTCCCCCGGTGTTTTACTGGATGCCCAACGTCGCCAAAGACCAAAGCGTTCCTAGGATATCGACCACCAGGACTAGCGCGAATTTGAGATACCAGCCTGCGTATATATGATATCGTTCCCCTTGCGATGAATCGAATTCTCCTTCAGGACATCAAAGCATCCCTGAGCGCACTGTACACCGATCTCTGTAAATTGGGCCAAGGGCGCTGAATTTACTCGCTTTGTTTTGTTATTGCTGTGTGTCAAGACTCCACGTTGCTATGGCGCTCGCTAGCAAAGCACAGTCTCAGAAAGTATTCGAGAAGCTCAAATCAAAACCTGCAAACAAGGTACAAGTTCTCATAATTTCAGACGTGAACACAACGCTCACGTGGATTCTCTGTAGGTATGCTTTGATTGCGGCACTAAGAACCCGACATGGTCATCTGTCCCTTACGGTATCTATCTCTGCCTCGACTGCTCCTCAAACCATCGTAACCTGGGCGTCCACATCTCTTTCGTGAGATCTACGAACCTTGATCGTAGGTTCACTAGAGGAAGATACAACCGTCATGTGACTGATAGCTCGTAGAATGGCAATGGGACCAATTGCGAATCATGAAGGTAGGGGGCAACGAATCAGCGACAAAATACTTCCAGTCACATGGTGGCACGGCTGCCCTTGCAAGCAAAGACCCGAAGACCAAGTACACGTCCAACACAGCAGTAAAGTACAAGGATGAGCTCAAAAGAAGAGCGGCGGCAGATGCTAAAGAGTATGGACTTTCTTAAGGCCATACTACTACCTGGACTAAAATATTACTAGATCCCCTGAAGAGGTCGTTGTCAGCGATATCGTAATTTCTACACCCGCCGAAGAATCTACGACTCCAGAAGGTAGCGACGACTTCTTCTCATCATGGGACAAACCGACTATCAAGCGCCCCTCCAATCCACCTTCGAGAACGCAGACGCCGCCAGTCGTCGGTCGAACCGCCTCTCCTTTCCTCAACGCAAATGGCAATGCGCAGCCTCGATCCAAGTCACCTCTAAAAGAAGTCATTAGTGATGCTCAAGGCGCAACTCAGCAAGCGGTTCCATCAGCCGCTATTCGTAAACCCACGACTTCCACCGGACCACGGAAAGCGAATATTCTCGGCGCAAAGAGGGGACAGAAACTGGGTGCGAAGAAGATAGGAGCGGGGGAGGCTGTAGACTTTGAAGAAGCTGAGCGAAAGGCAAAGGAAGAAGCTGAACGGATAGCAAAGCTTGGGTATGATCCGGAGGCTGAAGAGGCTGAAGCTCAGAGTAAAATGCGATCCGCGAGCGTTAGTGAGAAGACAAAGATAGCAGCACCGACACCTGTGAATCCTGCACGGCCTAGCGGAACATCAGGCAAAGGTCATGAAAGAACGAAGAGTGAAATGGAGCGGCTAGGCATGGGGATGGGACGACTTGGATTTGGGCAAGTTGGCACCAGCAAGCCTACCGCAGCTGCTCCGAAGAAAATGGGCTTTGGTGCTGTTGGTAGCAGCAAAGCAGTGGAAGATGGTACGTAGATCGAAGACTCACCGTCTTGCATTTCTAACATCATTTCCAGATGACGATGAACGCTACGCCCGCTCAAAATTCGGCACTCAGAAAGGCATATCAAGCGACGAATTTTTCGGTCGCAACAACTTCGACCCAAACGCTCAAACTGAAGCCAAAGATCGGCTACAAGGCTTTGAAGGCGCTACATCTATTTCCAGCAATGCGTATTTTGGTCGTCCGGAGGAAGATACACCCGAAGGTGGAGAGTACGGCAATTATGGTGACTTAGAGGGTGCGGCGAAAGACTTTGTGCGAAAGTTTGGTGTGACTGCTGGTGACGACTTGGAGAACCTCACGAGTATGCTTGGCGAAGGTGCCACAAAGTTGCAAGGTAAGAGGATTCGCCTCAGCTTAAGACTTCTAGTGAATCATACTGACAACTCTTGGTGACAGGTGCTATACGAAACTATTTGAACAATTAGAACAGCGTGTATAACGCCGATTCAAGAGCGTGGAATTGATGTCGCCCGTCTGTAGGCAAGTTAATGTCTGCTGTTCGTCACAGCATCACGATTTGCTCATAGAATTAGACTGGAAGGCATGAGCATTTTCATCTATTAATTTATTCCCATCTCATTCAGAGCGACTAGAGTACCCTAACCTCCACGACCGAATCGAATGCTGCATGCATCTATTGCCTCGTTGAAAGCTCTAATGCTTTAATCTATCATTCAATTTTCCAACCACTTTGGTTATTCGAACCCTAGCTGACACTTTCAGGATTTGGCCACTCGTTGGTCATCATTGCGAAAGCTTCATACGCTGTATTATACACATAGTGCTAATGTAATGCCCGTTTTTTTACCTTACTTGAAAGTTATTGAATGATGAAATAGAAATAGAAATTACAATTAAGTATTTAATTGAAGACTTGATTCGGGATACAAGTTCAATATTGACCAAAACATTGGATGGTATCAAAGATTGCGGCATACGTAATAGAACAAGAAAAGAGCACACATAATTATTACGAGAGGCTCAACTAGCGCTGTTAGCATACTGTATTTTATATTCTGATGAACCGATTTGAGCTCGAATGCAATACTTCGCTTCATGCCCAAGTCCCCTATTCTTTGTCGCTACGTCCACAAGCTCATCCAAGAACAATTTCTAGCTTCTCCTCTGCGGTCTCGTCAAATGTCTTCTTCAAACCCCTCAATCGCAACCCTCAAACGCATCTCCGCCCCGGATCTCCGCACCCTCCTCCTCTCCCCCAAAGCCTCCACACTCTCCGTCATCGACGTTCGTGACGACGACTACATAGGGGGCCACATAAGTAGCTCAATCCACGCGCCTACCAACACCCATGACCATAAGATTCCTGAGCTCGTTCGGAAACTAGCAGATCAGGAGATCGTGGTATTTCACTGTGCACTTTCTCAGCAGAGGGGGCCGGGTGCTGCCCTGAGGTATATGCGGGAGCGGCAGGCGAGGGGTGAGAAAGGGGAACTGAGTGGTGGGGTTATGACGGAGACGAAGAAGGGGGGTAATGAGACGGTGGAGGTCAGCGATCCGAAAAAGGGTGAGCAGGAGGTCTATGTGCTTGATAGGGGGTTTGTGGGATGGGTGCAACAAGGGTATGGGAGGGACCAGAAGTTGACGGAGGGGTTCCGTAAGGAGGTATGGGAAGATTACGAGTGAGATGCTAGAGGGTTCAGTCGAAGAACGAGAGTCCTTTTGCTCATTTGGGATCTCGCCTCGGAATGGAGCGATCTACCAGGAACCTTGGTAGGGTGGGATATGGTAGGCCCTCAAGCGCCGATCTAGGATCATTCCGCCTGGATTTGTGGCTTCAGCTAGATATCCGACAGCGGGAGAGTCCAACAAGCCAGCAGGTACGAGGCCGGCATGATGAATAAGCACGCCTGTTTTGACGGATAGAATACATCAAACGACGGATCGCAGGAGTCGAGACTAGTATTGGAATTAAGCCCTCTGTCATTACACTACTTTGCTCTAATTTTCAATGGGCGAGGCGAATTGGACGCTGATTCAACTCGGTGTCACAAACCCACGCGGCATCGGGTTTTGAGCGCGGATGGAATTCACGGCAGTATTCAATACGAACAAAGTTGAACCTAAAGAGCTTAGGCATTCTGAGGATCAAAAAGTGGAACGAGTCTTGAAGAGAGCTCTCTACACTGGCAACATGTTGGAAGATTTGAAAATAGTGAAGACGGTGTGGATATGCATCGGAAGCGGTCTGAACATATATATACCCTCCGCTCATTCTATTTTTCTTTTTTTGAATCACATGGCTTTTAAGGGTTACGGTATACACGCCGCCCACCAATCATTCGATACCAGCCCCATCGACCACTTGACGCTTGTTTCAGAGGACAGTCGACATATTTGGTGTATATCGTGGTGCTAATCTCCTCAGGGGCCCGTGACCGATCCAAGATCTGCATCTCACAATGCGCGGTGTGATGCACGTCACCAATGTAACCATCCAGAACAGCCCCTGCGAGGACTGCTCTGTGCATCTTCCTCCATATATAGGTGTAGCGCAGCATGTGGTATTCCTGCGTCACGTACACCTCATGGTAAAGGCCGGCGGCGACGGACGTGAAGTTCACGGTTTGCTGGCCTTCGGCGTCAAGGTACCATCGCCAGTCTCGTGCAGCTAGAAACTGATCCACAAGCTCTGGGTCGAAACATCGGGCTGGTAGCCAGGCGAACGAGATTACGTCGAGGCCGCAGCGGAGAGAGAGTGCTTCGTTACTCAAGCTCCCACAAGTTTCCGATGCGGGAACTTTCGATGTGAGGTTTTACAAGAAAAAACGAGACCGAAAACAATCATTGCCACTGCTAGAGCGAGGAGATATCGGAGGTATCTTGAAAGGCGTTTGACTTTTTGGACCACCACGTCTGTTCTTCAAAAAATCCAGAACCGGCAATTTCGCCAGCTGTAGGGGAGTCTTGTATACGAGGCTTGCTATACAGTGTCCATGTTTACCGAATTGAAGACTCGGAGATTCAGATCGATTAGTGTGGTGAAATTGTTTTGGAACAATCTCTCGTCTCACAGGATTTCAAGAGAGACGAGCTACCTTTCATACCTGGCTTTGATGCTGCACGCGCCGCTCCTCGGGAGATGCTCTGCTATGTGATCGGTCAGGCCAAAATGGGTGTCAGAACAAAGAAGTCGAGTATCAAAAAAATGGATAGTGCTCCCATTCCTTGACTTTTGACCCAGGTCTCTCTGCTTTCGGATTTTCGTGGGTGTGTAATCGTAGCGCAGCTAACGACCTTCTAGCCCCGAGCAGAGGCCCTAGTCATGCGATTCTTGCTTTCATGATCCCAGTATAGTAGTCGAAATTCACATCTACTTGACTGTGGATCTCTCTCGTAGGTAAGTCCTATATGGTGGTAAAACACACTTCTTATACTTCTGCCTAGGGATAGGCAGCTAAACGAACGTCGTGTTCTTCTTGAGTGAACGCTCATCCCCGAGCCCAATCCTGTAATTTTCCGAAAATGCGACAGACATGTGTGGTTTGTGCATTAGGTGCTGGCCTGTGGTGATAAGGATTTACGATCCATGGAATAGTGCTAACATCGGAATAGCACTGAATCGTCTGCCGAATGGAGTCCACACAATTCTCTACGAAATGAGCAAGGGCATTGGATATGGAAGCATTGTGAAGGCAATTCCATACCAAGGTGAATCTGATACTCTGACAAGGCGTCTCCTGCAAGACCCTCCTTCTCCCTGTACCTCTCGGGATATAAGGCTCTGCGAATACTATTCTAAAATAACTCTAGCGACAGGCCATCATTCAAAGCATCAGTCCGTATTACTAGGCAATGCAATTGACGAAAGACCGCAATTCCCACAATGTAATGATAGTCATCTCCAGGAATGGTAAGTGATTGAGTGGGAAGGCACAAGGCCTCACCCTTGTCAATCTGGACAATGCCAATATCTGTGTGACTAAATAATGGCTTTCATATGTCATGAAGACATAAAACATACCGCTGTAAAGCTCGTTCCAGCCCTTATCTACCTCATCCGTGGAGGCCCCTGATATGGCGTTCTGTCCTCGTGAAAGTTATTGTGAAAGATAACTTTCACGTGTTCAATCGCAGGATTGGCCGGTGCTATCGTAGAATGAGTACATCCACCATCTTGTCCAGGCTATACCAGTAGGCTTACAATATAGTTGTGCAACAAGGCGGTCATATCATTGTCGCAGAAGGAACAGTAGCAATAAGACCAGAAAGCAAATCATACATATCCCTGTATAGGCCGCCAACTTCCATGTTCGAAGAGACTTTTGCATCGCAGCCCTCGCATGTCTATCGCTTGTAGCCTCGTCCTCGCTAATTGAGTCTAGAAGTTTCTCTATAAATACGGGTGAATACGACTCTTCACCGGCTTCCTCTTGTGCACCCTGTAGCTTGAACATCCTTTGGGACATTGATGACTTTATTTTTGTGTTTGTAGTACTCTCCTCATGTTCGCGTCCAGGAGGCTGGCTTCTGGTACGCGGAAATGATTCGCCCACTGCTCTAGTACAGATTGATCTCGCTAAATAGCTACTCAGATAACTAGACAGCTTCGTAACGACTGGTCTCTATGTTGCTATCGAAATTTCATACCGGTATTCATCAATTGTAGGCATGTCAGACCCGAGAAGACGACATCGAGAATCATTCGGAGTACTTGATGGTGGCAGAATAAAGCTGCAAAGTAATGACCCAACTAATCTTTCTTGGTTCTTACCGGATCCGCTAGGGACCTGCTGATTGCAAGATGTTCAGTCATCTGTTGCCTGCAAAACATAAGATTTTGGCAAAGTGGTGTCGGAGAAGCTAGCAGACGACCCTAGCTACAAGATGCTCACCATACGAACCAAAGCACTCCGCAAAAAAGGGAGGGTATGGGCCAGATCTACGTGCATACGCTTAGTAGATGATCAACGCTGCTTATCCGAACATACATACGCGAGATCGACGTAGCATAAGCTGACGCTTCTCGGGCTCCCGACAGGGTGAGCTGCGGATATCTCGAAAAGAAATAGAAAGTCATGTTACAAAGTACAGAAAAAATCTTCGTCGACTGAATGCCTACCGATTTGAGTTTAATTCATCGCTTCTCGTAAATTTGCTGCATGTTGTCTGCCGTCGACACTGGGAGCAGGCGAGCGAGCCTTCGTTCGGTGGCCAGCACCAGACTGACTTCCCTATCCGCTGAATACTTGATCCATCCAACGATGTAGACCCATCGGGCTCGGGCTGTCTCAAGAACTACTCAAGTCGACAAAGGCTTGCATTCAACGATATAGATAGACAACGATACTCTAAAGAGTGGTTCGCTAGATAGTGCTACTGTAATAATTGACTAGGCATAGGGAAGCAGGATCTCGCACGCAAATTGACAAAGACGACCTAACAGACATAGATGCTACAGATAGAAGTTGAAATCTTGAGCAAAATAGTGTGCTGTTCAAGTCGTCGCTGCTCATTTCATTTCAATGATCTCGGGTTGTATATCTGTATGCGATCCTTATTTCAGGAGAACTTAATGATTTCGCGGGTGATTTGCCTTTTGCAATATACCACCGTGTAATGTGTTTGATATCATGCGACTCGTCGAGAAGAGACGCTGGCTATCGCTTAAGCTTGCCAAGATTCTTGGAGGTCGCGTAAAATTGCCTCGTCTAGACCAAGTCTTTTTCAACTTCCTCTGGTACCATTTGTAGCAAATTGTACATAAAAAATCTCCTCGCTTGAGCGCGATCAAAGCCATCATGAAGACGACCTGGAAGGACATTGCTCCTGTGCCGTCAAATCAAGAGTTTCTAGATGTGGTTTTGAGTCGCACACAACGTCGCCTACCTACTCAGATCAGACCTGGGTTCAAAATTAGTAGAATACGCGGTGCGCAAATTGATGATGCCTCACATGCTATTTAATCTAAAAGTTGATAGGCTTCTACACTCGTAAGGTCAAGTTCACACAAGAGACCTTTTCCGAGAAGCTCGGGGCAATCCTGGAGGGCTTCCCTCGCCTCCAAGACATACATCCTTTCCGTGCGCTCACCACACTGTTGAGACTATGAAACTTTCGCTGACTGCTACATCAAGACAAGGATCTCCTCAATACTCTCTATGATGCCGATCATTTCAAGATTGCGCTCGGACAGCTCTCAACCGCAAAACACCTCATTGAAACAGTCTCAAGGGATTATGTCCGCCTCCTCAAATATGCTCCCTCTCTCTACCAATGCAAACAACTGAAGCGTGCCGCCCTTGGGCGGATGGCTACGATATGTCGGCGACTGAAAGATCCACTTGTCTACCTAGAACAAGTACGGCAGCACTTAGGCCGTCTGCCTTCAATAGATCCAAACACCAGAACGCTCCTCATATGTGGCTATCCAAACGTTGGCAAATCAAGTTTTCTCAGAAGCATCACAAGAGCAGATGTGGACGTCCAGCCATATGCCTTCACCACAAAGTCACTTTTCGTTGGACATTTTGACTACAAATATCTTCGATTTCAAGCAATAGACACTCCAGGAATACTGGATCATCGCCTAGAAGAGATGAACACTATAGAAATGCAATCCATCACTGCCATTGCTCATCTGCGCTCCGCAATCCTCTACTTCATGGACCTTTCGGAACAATGCGGTTACACGGTTGCCTCTCAAATTCAGCTCTTCCAAAGCATCAAACCTCTTTTCGCCAATAAGCTTGTCCTCATAGTCGTCAACAAGATTGATCTCTGCAAACCAGAGGATCTTGATGCAGAGACAAAAGCCCAATTAGATGGCATCCTCCAATCTGGTAGTGTTGAGCTGCTCCAGCTTTCTTGTACGACAACAGAAGGCATAACGGAAGTCAAGAACGCTGCTTGTGAACGACTCATCGCCGATCGTGTGGCTCAAAAGCTGAAAGCCGGCACCAATAGCTCTGGTACCGTTGGCGGTCGTCTGGGGAATGTGCTCAACCGCATACACGTTGCCCAACCTCTTGGCGGCATAGTTCGTGAGCCGTTTATCCCTGAAGCCATCAGGAATATGCGTAAATTCAGCAAAGACGACCCTTTCCGCCCGCGTCTTGCGCGAGAAATTGAAGAAGAGAATGGCGGCGCGGGTGTCTTCAATGTGAATCTCCGGCAAGACTACAAACTCGACAATGACGATTGGAAAGAGGATCGTGTCCCCGAGTTCTTGAACGGGAGGAACATAGCCGATTTCATCGACGCAGATATCGAGTCCAAGCTGGAAGCACTAGAAGCCGAAGAAGAGGACTTGCAAGCAAAGGGATTCTATAATAGTGATGAGGATCTCGAAGATGCACATACCATTGACATACGAATGAGGGCGGAGGTAATCAGGAAGAAACAAGATGAGATCAGGGAAGAAGCCAAAATGAGGAAGAGTCTCAAGAATCGTGCTCTCATCCCACGGGCTAAACTACCGAAGAAGCTATCAGTGATGGAAGATTCTCTGGACAGACTCGGATATGACACCACAGCTGTCACTGCGCGAGCCAGGTCACAGTCACGTGGCCGGACCTTGCAGAGGGCTGAGAGTGAGGGGGACGCCATGGATGTCGATATCCCGGAAAGTAAGCAAAGAGCGGCAAGGGCTAAAAGTATGGTACGGAGTCAGAGTAATCGGAGAGAGGATGGAGTGAAAACCGTGGTGGCGAGGGAAAAAGCGGAACGATTGATGAAGCTGGGCCAGCAGCGAATGAACAGGGCTGCGAGGCAGGGAGAAGCGGATAGACATACTACTTCTGCTAAGCCGAAACATCTGGTGAGAACATGCTCGTCCCTTTCTTCAGTCTCTTTCATTTTGGTCCGTGCTAATCAAAGCTGTAGTTTACGGGGAAACGAGGAATGGGAAAGACAGATAGACGGTAATAGAATTCATGAATCCCAATTTGATGCGTCATGCTACGATTCAAGGGAGTTTACCGAGGCCTTCTCTCCCCTGCCGAAAGCTGCTCTCGTTACTTTCCATGAAGTTTCCAGTATAGAGAAGTCGATGAGGATGGTGATTCAATATTAGTAATACTGCTGACTCCTAGGACCTGCGCTAAGCCTGCAGGTATGCCTTCGGTTGGGCTCACGAGGCTGAACGTCAGTTGGGAGGCTATGCATCTCAGCTTGCGCCCTCGGACCTTCAATAATTTCGCTCCTCTCTTCTCGAGGTGAGATCGTCGTCTATCTTTGCTATGGAAGGGGTCACCTAGCAGCGAGCATATCTGGTTTGGGAGAAGCAGCCGGCATCGCTGGACTCATCACTCTTGCGGGGCAAGGGATACATGTAAGCTCAGCTTTGTATACCTTCATCAAAACGTACAAGGCTGTGGGACCGAAGCTTCTCGAGGTTGCAGATGAGGTCCAGCGATTGCAAGGAACGCTCAATGGTGTTGAAGCGATCGTTACTCACGCGCCCGTCGGTACGTGGATGTCTGAGTGCTGCTTGCAATTGCAAAGCAAGCTCAAAGCCTGTGAAACCAAAATACAGAGATGGAAAGAACGTATAGCACTGGATCTCAGTGGCTCATCTAAACCTAGAAAGTTCTTTAGAGATGTCAAGATTGCGAGCAACCATGGATTCTTTGGCGAACTGCGCTCCCAAGTGGTGCAATGTCGGGAAGAGCTGATTCTTGAGCTCTCCGTTTTCCAAAGGTAAAATGCTGATCGCTCCAACATGTGGAGGCCTAGAGTTGACGATCCTTCTACAGTGCGACAGGCTGCCTTGTAATTGAAAAATCACAAGCTACGTTCTCAAGCCTTGAGACCTTGCGAGGGCACCAAGAAGATTCTTTTTCGACAATTAGCCAGAATATGAAGAGAAGTTCTCAGAGACTTGGAAATAGCTTGCAAGTGTCCGACATTGCTGGCATTGAAAGGAGATTGGACATGCTGTCTAAATCGCTTCAACAAGTCGCAGGTCAGGATCTTATGCTCATGACCGGGCCCATGCCAACAAATACTTCACAATCAAGGAACGACTCGCAGATTTCTCTTGTGGATGCTGAGCCGGCCGCTATCCAGAAGAGAGTCGACCGACCTCTGCAAGCCGAAAATTGCCGGCGGTGGAACATGGTCTTCCGACTCGTACAGCCAGCAATTCTGGCCTGTGACCACGACGGGAAATTTAGACAAACACTCGTGGCACTAGAGACCCCAAAAGTCGCGGCCCTTGGCCAAGACCAGCTTCTGCCTTTGCTCCAGTGTTACTTAGATTTACGTCTCATCATATGGCTGATCCAGCGCACCAACATCCATGCCTTCAGCTTCGCTGGGGGTGGACGCCGGTCTTTGCTTTTCAGAGAGGCCCAAGTGTCTTTCGTTTGTGATATCCAGCATCGTCTTAATCTGATTTACGTATGGGAGGAAATTAAAGATCAGCCTAAAGATCGGATGCAAATTGCCATTGACACAGTGATTTTCGCCTTCTGGCTGCGAACATTGACATTGAAGGAATGACGTAGTCTGTCCAGACGCAGATTGATATATATGGATCATTTCTTGAAGGAATACAAAGAAAGCATCATCGACATTCAATACCGTCTAATGATTCACCAGGAGATCTTGTCTGCCACTAGAGCTCGGAGGAAACAAGTTCCGATGGGAGATCAGGAGCAGCAAGCCATTGCTCCACCTCAAGCCCATCTTCATGAAGAGTTGACCGAATTGTATTGTGGACTCTATCGGGGACTTTATGCAGCAAATCCAGGTATTTGTAGCGAGTTCACGTATTCATAGCGCGCTTGAATCTTCAGACACTCTATGACATTGAAAATGCACAAGTTTGAACTTCCGTTCGCACGTTGAGGAAAGTTTTTGTGTCCTTAGACAAAGACAGCTCTTAGTCATTTCTATCGTTCAGGAGGCAGAAGCGTACAGTTTGCGGATCTCGACTTCCCTTTTGGCTCATACAGTATGGAGACACACGGAGTGAATAGAAGAAACATACTGCTCTGAAATATTTGTTCACCATTAACGCCTATGAGAGGCACCGGTTGAAATAGAGTCGCTCCCACCAGGACGTGGCCTAAACGGCCCGTACTTCCAGGCCCAGCCTTCTAAGGCCGGGTACGGCCAGGGAGCAACCGAGGGAACCCTAAGATGCTTGGCGGGTCAAGCCAAAAACATCCCGGAATAAATTGGTCCTCAGTGGACTGCTCTGTCCGGTATATGTTCCGCGAATGTTCGCTGTACCTGGGTGGTCCGTCGACCCCTCTACTCTGAAGACCCAGACTGTACCTAAAAGTTCAAAGAGTGGCAAAAATGGCTCGCAAGCACAGACTGCTAAGGCGCAAAAGTCGAAGAAGAGAAAAAGAGAAAGTCATGGTCCTGAAGTGACCCAGGAAAACGTGGGGGATTTATACAAGAAATTGATCGAAGAAAATGTCAAAAAAACCGACTTGTCGACGGCAGATGAACAGATAGAAGAGCGCAAGTCCCAAAAGAAACAGAAGCGAAAGCGAAACAAGAAGGAGGCTAAGGTTGATGGGGAGCTCAAGGAATCCCAACCAAGTATTGCAGCGTCATCAGCAACTGCTGAAGCTCCAAGTGCAGATGGAAATTCAAGGAAGAAACAGATCAATGGCAATAAAGAACCACCACGTACTCATAATCCTACACAGCAATCCAATCCATCCAAGAACCCAACTCCTGATCCGAAGACTAAGAACCAGAAGCCCGACAAGAGACACAACCCTCACTCCCAACCTCACCTACCACCTTCATCCTCTCTCCCACAAAATTCCCCAACCACCTCTTCCATCCCCGCCCCTGTTCCCCCTCCACAAGCAAAGCTGACGCCCCTTCAACAAAAAATGCACCAAAAGCTACTCTCTGCCCGATTCCGCCATCTGAACCAAACCCTCTACACCACGCCTTCCATCGCTGCCGCCACCCTCTTCTCCTCCGACCCCACGGCCTACAGCACCTACCACAGCGGGTTCCGCGCCCAAGTAGCCAGCTGGCCGTCCAATCCGCTTGAGGGGTTCGTCGAGGAATTTCGGGTGCGGAACTCTCTTCAATCGGGGAGAGATAGGAAGGGCAGGAAGAAAGGCGGAGAGAGTGGGGAGAAGAAAGGGAAGGACATGTCTCTAGGGCAAGCTCTGCCTCGAGATCACAAATCAAACCTCTGTCGAGTCATCGATCTTGGATGCGGAGACGCGCAATTATCCTCATCCTTACAGACTCTTAAACACTCCAAAAGCAAGCCAGGTATCAAGGTCCGGAGTTTCGACTTCCAGCTCCCTGAAGGCCCAACAAGCTCCTTGGTCGAGAAAGCAGATATCACGAACCTGAAAGCTGTGGGAGTGCAGGAAGGGGGGACAGATATCGCGGTTTGTTGCCTCAGTCTTATGGGCACGAATTGGGTGAAGGCGGTGGATGAAGTGGGGAGGGTGCTGGTGAGGGGCGGGGAGGCCTGGGTGGCGGAGGTGAGGAGTAGGTTTAGGGGGAAGGAGGAGGTTGAGAGGATGAGGAGGGAGAGGGAAGAGAAGAAGGTGGGGAAGAAGAAGGGAAAGAAGAGGAAAGGGGGTGATGAGGAGGACGAGGTGGAAGAGGGCCCAGGGATTCTGGAGGAGATTGAGGGTGGGAAGGGTGAGGGTGAGGGAGAGGGAGAGGGAGAGGGGAAGGATGCAATTGATGTTGGTGCGTTCGTGGAGGTGTGGAAACGGAGGGGGTTTGAGTTGAAGGGGAAGCCGGATTTGGGAAATAAAATGTTTGTGAAGATGCAATTTGTGAAGGTGGGGCAGGTGCCGTCAGGGAGGTCTAGGGGAGATGGAGACAGGGAGGATCAAAAGAAGAGATTCATAGACAAAGATGAGCCGGCGTTTGATCCGGTGGAGGAAGGCAAGGTCTTGAAGCCTTGTGTGTACAAGACGAGATAGCCAGAACTAGTGGCATAACTTGACCGCCATCAGAAACCAATCTTGAAGGAAAAATGGGATCTCGCATGTAGTTGACGCTCCCCGGAGGATCACACTACGGAAAAGTAGGTCGCTATCTTGCAAATCGTACATACTTGAAAACACCACATCGATCATTGCTCATCATTAGATTCTTGTAAAGCCGCTCAAAACGCCCTCTCCTCCTCCTTACCACTTATAGCACTCCCCAGCACCGCGCATAACCTTCCCAGCGCTACTGTCTCAGTAGCAGCATAGTAGTCCAATGCATCCAGCAACAATCTCAGGTGGTGCTCAAAATTCTGCTCATATTTTCCGAGCAAGTCGTATAAATCGTCAAGTTTCTTTGGTGGAGCCGGAATGGTCTGTTCGGATGGGATAGGGCGAGAGCCGTAGATCTGGGCGAGATGAGTCTTGTGCGCGGTGGTGTTGAGGAGCGGTGGCTGTTTTGTGAGTGAAGTAGTCGTGGTTGAGGAAGGTGAAGGGGGAATGATGAAGAGAGTGCGGGTTAAGCTAGAGGTGTAGGTTGCAAATAAATGGCAGACGGAGGTCAATTTGCTGTGGATCTGTAGAGGCGTGAGTGCCGGTCACTTATGAGAACAGGAGCGAGGGAAGCTGGGAAGTCATCGAGATGTGATTTAAGGGCATCAGACATACCTTAAGTAATTTGGAATTCATAAGCATGCACTCTTTGAGGCAGGTGTCCAAGAAGTCGACATGATCTTCCATAAGCTCATCAACCGTCCTAGAAGGTTTGGGTGGTCCACCAGAGCCTTTGCTACCAGTAGTAGGCTCCTCACCATTCACCCGTGCCATTAAAGCATGCCAATTGGGTTCTATTACTTCTGAAGTACAGTAATACGTCGTCTGCTGTACGAATGCTAGCATTCTCGCCCTCAGCGTCCACGCTTTCCGCTTCCACATCTCAAGTTTGCGGTCGCCGGTACGATGAGTCCAGCTCAGGACCTTGTTATGATCTTGCCAGCTATTGACGAGTAGATCCTCCAGGTGCCGTAAAGAGAGGAGGTATCGAAACAGGATCTGGTAGCGAAAAACAGTCTTGCTGCTTATTACAAGAGAAAGTGGAAAGGGAACCGAAAACCTGAATTCCAGGGCTTCAAATCCGGTCATCTTGTTTTCTTCATCCGCTTTGTCCTTGCCTGTCGTGGCTGGCGTGCGGTATTTATCAACAGCAGAGTCGTCTTGTGCCATTGCTTCGTCAAAGCCCTTGACATTCACAACACGCATCACTAGTTGGGTCAGACCTACGTCGTTCATGTGTATCCTGACATCTTCTTTGAACTGATCGTGTGCAGCTACCGTTCCCGGCTGTCGAAGCACAAGATCGAGAAGAGACTGCAACTTTCCAACGTTGACCAGTCTCCAAGGCTTCTTTAGTTCTGACGTACTAAGATCGAGGAAGTAGGTGAAGAAGTCAGACCGGTCGAGAAAGAAGTAGTGTTTCATTGAGCGGAGCCGGTCTGATAATGAATGTGTTGTGAGAAGAAGATTGAGCAATGAAGAATTGGCATGTGCATATGCTGCGTTGACATTATCAAGAAAAGCCGGGTCATCAAAGCTTCTTGGTACGTCCTTCACCTCCTTGCTGATATCTACGCCACCGCATTCCCGGACGACGTTCAGGTACTTTCCTGCCAATAAGACTTTGTCTTTGACAGCCTCAAGTTGTGGAGGGACACCATTGTCTCGAATTGTGTACCTTTTCTCCCAGTATTCGTCAGTGTAGTCTTCTTCCAGCCTTTCTCGCTTGATACTCTGCTGCTCTTTGATCAAGAACTCAGCATGGGGATCCTTGATACCTCCGTGGTGTAGCCACTCGTTGAGCATCTTCATGTATGGACGACTCGCATCCCTGACAAGACTCTGGAGCACTTCACGTGCAGCAGGATCCCCAGACATGTGTGATAGGCGCTCGGTCAAGAGCCTCAGAATGTTGCCTCCTTTGCAAATCTTCTTTCCCATTGTCCCAGGCATCAAATCGCCTCCGTCACGAAGCTGCTCGATGATATTATCTACATCATCCAGGCCATCGACGGAGTCATCTAGATCTTCTTCTAGCAAGGCGTTCTTCTTGAGTATCTCCTGAGCTAATGCATACAATTGAAACATTACATGACTCATCTTCAACGTGTGCAGGTGTAGCTGATGCAATGAGAATGAAGGATTAGTGATTAGTTGATGCTCGAGCTGAGCAATAAAGGTCATATACTCTTTCAGATATTTTGATATCGAAGCACACAAAGCGTGGTTGATCATCCCGAATTCATCTCGACTCTGAACTTCCACAAAAGCTTCCAGCGCCTTGTAATATGTCGCCATTTTGAGTACAGAGGTGGCTAAATCCCTCAAGCTTGGATCTAATCCTGGCGAAATCTTATAGCTTGGGCCAGCCAACCGTTGCTTCTCGGCTGACGGATCATATCTTTCGAATCGAATGTATTGGCCTTCATATCCCATAAATACGAAGAGAAGGTCATCCAGAATGGCAGCCTCTTGCTTCTCAGCCGTCAGCCGTTTCAATGGCTCCGGTTCGAGCGAGTCAGGTACAAGCGAGGATAGTGGAGGTACTGAAATGCGGGGGGCTAATGGAGCCTTATTTGGAGGTATAAGACAGGCCGATGGTTTCCAAGGTTCTACAATTGGATGGTCAGTTCATGGCCATTGCGCTCCGGTATTGGTTCTCACTTAGGGCTTGCTTCTCTTTCTTAGCCGCAGGGACAGACCTCGGGCTTGATTGCGGTTCTTTTCGTAGAATATCTCCCACTTTACCTGCATCCAAGCCATCAAAAGAGCTTTTGGGCGGACTTCGCGTTCGTATCTGAACAGTGTCTCTTCTTGTAGTCTGCGTCTTGCTTGTCGTTCTTTCATTGATTGTCTTCGATATACCATTTGGTCGACCCTGACCTGATGGTGCTCTTCGATGGGATACATTGCTAGCCGAGTCGTCTGGGGCTACTTCGCTCGAGGGAGGTCTCGCAGCGCGTGATGTGGGGCGTCTTCGGAGAAATGAAGCTGTCGTGCCACGATCGTTCTGGGATGGGGCACGCGCAGTGGTAGTGTTTGACATTTTCAGCTACTCTCTTCTGATTGCATCACGGGGTATCCTTTGGCTCTTCTTGTGGTCGTACTTCTTTCTTTGATTGTTCCCATGCACATCGAATCACTAAACGCGTCTGGTGGGCTTAGCGCCAAGCTCAAAGCTGAGCCGGGCACCGGCGGTGAAAGCTTGAAGCTCCAGGTACCTTGAAGTTGCGTATGATTATTCTTGCTCAAGTACGGCGTGATCAGCAAAAGTTTCTTGCCAAATAGTTTCTTTTCAGCCGACTGAAAGTCTAGCAGTTGAATTACCACAATTCCTTTCACCTAAACAAGTCCACCATGTTCATAGCAAGGTCGGAATATGGTAGGGCGCATTCTTCCCCTACCACTTTACACAGGCTAATGACTTTCAGACCGGGGGATCAAGTACGACTCCTCATTTCATTGATGCTCAGCATTTTGATCCTAATATCTCTGCAGCACATTTTCCCCCGAAGGCCGCCTTTTTCAAGTTGAATACTCTCTCGAGGCCATCAAGCTCGGATCCACAGCCATCGGAATAGCCACCTCACACGGCGTCCTTCTAGGCGTAGAGAAACGTGTCACATCCACCCTCCTCGAGACCTCCTCAGTCGAAAAGATCGTTGAGATAGACCGGCACATCGGGTGTGCGATGAGCGGATTGCAAGCTGATGCCAGGTCAATGATTGAACACGCAAGAGTAGAAAGCCAGAGCCATCATTTCAATTACAATGAAAAGTTGGGAGTGGAAAGCTGTACGCAAGCGATATGTGATTTGGCTTTGAGGTTTGGGGAGGGTGCTGAAGGAGAAGAGAGTGTGATGAGCAGGCCGTTTGGGGTTGCTTTGTTAGTAGCCGGCGTGGATGCTGATGGGCCACAATTGTGAGTGATAATTCCCATTCCTATGTCTGCAAGATGCATACGTAGGCGAAAATGCTGATGCTAGGGAAAGGTACCATGCAGAGCCGTCAGGGACGTTCTATCGATATGACGCGAAGGCTATAGGGTCAGGTAGCGAAGGAGCACAGGCAGAGCTTCAGAACGAATTTCACAAATCTTTAACGTTAGAAGAGGCCGAGGTATTGGTGCTGAAGACGCTAAAGCAAGTGATGGAAGAGAAGCTGGATAGTAAGAACGTGCAGCTGGCAAGTGTGACAAAGGATAAAGGCTTCAGAATCTACGAGGATGAGGAGATGAAAAAAGTAGTCGAAAGGTTACCATCAAATTAGTAGAGATAGTTAGATTCAATTGTGATGTCCTGAGCTAGCGACCACTATCTTCCCGGTGCAGAAGATGTACACCTCCAGGCAATAATCTGCATCGAGCTCCTGAGTCAGGTCCGGTTGCGAGCAGTATTTTCGAGAAAGTATTCTGATGATAGTACAGTCATTCAAATCAAAATATCAAGTGACTGTTGATTGGTTGAATGTTTCCATGCCGTTGACCGTAATTGCTAGCCCATGCATATATTGCCTTTGGTGTGGCACAGAAAGGGTCTGGAGCTTATAAGCTGATCTTGAGAGTAACAAGCTTCACTGACCTTCATGAGGGGGGGATTTTGGGAATCTTGGATGCATTGCCACGTGGCATGCTTACCAGAAACGAGCTAAGGAAGCGAGTCAAGCTTGCTGATGACATTGGCTTCTCTTGACTGAACTACTCGGGGTGTTTTCGGGTAAGTATTGTGCAGTTCGTGCCCGATAGGTCTGTTTATCTATGCATATGCGAAAGCACGAAGTGAGCAGTCGTTGCAGAGCTGATAGTCTCGAATCTCCGTGAGACTGTATAAATATGAGGGAGAAGACCCGAGAAATGCTTCCTTCAGAAGCTTTGCCTGCTAAACTTTATCATTTGGTACCATTTCAAGGTGAATGTTGTAAACTTGCATCGATGCAGGAGCTGCTAGACGCTGAGACTGGGCGAAAAGAATCGGTAGAGGGCGAGGCAGATGATTGGGCCCATTTTGCACACTGAATTGAGTCAGCCGAGCAATGAGTTTGATATGCGTTCATCAATTGAGTAATTGCTCTGACATCCTAGGATCGGCGCATATTATTTGATGGCGATCAAGGGCAATTGCGTACCGGGCCAGAAACGGCGAGAGGTATCTCATTCGGCAATTGCCTTGTTCAGGGGCACGACGCAACGGGCAGTAGTTGATCAGTGGGTCAATCATCAGCCGATTTCCAGCAGGTCGGTTCAGGGTACAAGCCGCAGGAGTATTGACCCGGTGCCATGGAACTGGAATCGAGGCTGCAAGGCGAAAGGGTAGACACGCCGCATCCTTGCAGCTGCGTGGCTACCAGACCGCAAGGAGGATGGTCGGTACATGCGGTAAAAGCCTACGTAAATTAGTACAAGGTTCCCTCGGCTTTAGTCGTGCATTTGTCTGGCTTTCAACTTCGCAAGCTGAGCAGCCCATGAACATTGTCCTAATACGGCATAGAGCACACTTCGTTCGCTGGCAAGCGCTACACCAGCCAAGCCGAGCAGCCAGCATCCCATGTACTTCCGGTACCACGATGACGGGCGAACTATGCTATCGAAGCCAGCAGCAGCGGGATTGCAGCCCTAGCCAAAGACCCTAACTTGGAGGCCCTTTTGCGGTGTGCCGCCTAGTGTCGTCTAGTGTTCACTATGCCCTGGGCTCTAATGGTCCCGTCCAACACGACTTGAGACCTCCCGGGGATCTTCAATGCATTGTGCGGATGTCCTTGGATCTCCGCAGTCCGTCCGACTGCAAACCGTGGCCATTGGCATCATAGTCGTGGGATGCAACATTGCCTCCAAAGTCTGTAGATTCCAAGACCGCAGCATCCGTCGCTTGACACCAGAAGGAAGGGATCCAAAACCCTGCAATCAGAAGATCCTTTGAGATTCATACCGAAAGGCCAGGATTAGTACCCGCTAAACATAGCCTTTCCACCGGACATACGGGGGAATCACAGTTAGGTTTCCTGCTCATGCAAACAATCATCGAAAGCCTCGGTGATTCAGTGGTGACTCTACAATGACCTCCCGGCCAAAATAGCCAAGGTTCAGACGCCCGTTACTGAGGCCTACATGATTTTCTCAGCAAGAGTGTTCTGTGTCAAACCGGTTGATCAATGCTAGCTTGAGACGTCACAAGTTTTGTGCGATTGCGTGGATCTTCCGAAAACGATCATGAATGGCGTAGGTAATAAGCATCGATATAGGGATACCAGCTGAAAGATTAGTAGGAACCCACAAGATGACACTATTGAAGTTGATGAGAGATACCTCGAGACGGTCGAGATCCATGGTCGAGAATACCAAGTCCATTCGATCGAGAACAACATTCACCTTGTACCAGTTGACGAGGTGACTTGACCTAGCGAGAACCTTTTCGTCACGTGCTAAATTATAGCAGGAAGAAGCTGATAGATTATTGCACCAACACGAAGTCTTCAACATCATATTCGACGATCGACTTATCTTTCCACCAATCATCAACCCACGGAAAATTCTAGACTGTGGATATGGAGCAGCTGCTTGGGCCAACGAGGTAGCCGAGGCATATCCTGGGAGTGAGGTAAGATATAAGATGATGCTGTTCACACAGGCAATTGACCATTCATCAGGTCACCGGAGTCGATATCTCTCCTCATCTCAAGCCAGATGATACCCCAGAGAACTTTTGGCCGCAGGTAAGCACCATGAAACGCGGTCGGACGCCTTCGTCTTTAGCATGCTGAGAACAAACCTTGATGCCTGCAACCGAGCGACGGTTACGATTGGTAATTTTAGTATCTTTATGCTGACTTACTGTACAGCTTGATGACCTCAACAAGACCTTTACGTTTGGCCCAAACACCTTCGATCTTGTGCATTCGAGAATGGTTGGGGGAGGAATCAACGCGACGAGATGGAATACATACCTTCATGATATCAAGAGGTGATGCAACACTTGCCTATCTCAAGGTCATCTGAGCTGACATTCGAGAAGGGTGCTGAGGCCGGGTGGATGGGCTCAGATGGTCGAAGGTTATCACATGTGCCAGTCAGACAATGGCAGTCTCACGGAACAACATGCTCTTCGTCAATGGAGTAGCAAGTATATCAGTTCCCTCAGCGGTATCAAGGATCTTAGGGCCCCCTTGAGGCTCCAACAATTGTTTACGGCTGCTGGTTTTGTGGGCATTGAGAGTCGGATGATACAATTTCCACTATGTGGATGGTCAAGTGGTGCGCCCACTGACCCACCGTCACTGCATTCCACGTTGGTATGACTAGATAGCTGACACCTATCGGTTGCAGATAATCGACAACGACGGATTGGCAATGCCAACCGGGCAAATGTTGAACAAGCGTTGAGGTCGTTAGCCATCGCTCCATTCACCAGACGTCTTCACATGAGTATTCAGGAAGTGGACGACCTCGTGAACCGAGCTGTTCGAGACGCCATTAATCCAGCTTTGAAAGCGTACTTCCCAGTGTGAGTATCTTGTACCGTTGGGAACGGATGTCATTAACACTGTCAGTTATGTTTGCATTGGACGAAAGCCAGGTTGAGGGAAAGATGCACTACAGATAGATATGCTTTGAGGAAGTGTATCTATCGAGAGTCTCACACCTCGCTCAGGAACTTCCCTACCTGCCGGATTCAGGTCGTGAAAAGCAAGTAAGAGTCGCAAGCACGATAGATTTGATTTGTATTGAAGCAGGGCAGCGTCGGTTAGATGATGAAGAGACGAATAGCAAATACAACGGCCTTTGAGCGCAATGAGGACTGGAAAGGGAATGAGATGAAGTCGAGGAACGACCCAGCAGTCCGTCACCCTAGGCAAGGATGGCCGAGCCACAATTCGCCATCCGGATGATTGCCACGTGCCTACCTTATCTTGACCTCACTCGAAGAATGTCTCCTAGAACAAGCAAGCTGAGAGAAGAATCGCTGGAAAGACAGGAGCTGCGAGACCTCGTTTACTCTATTGTAGAGGACTTCATTTGCTCGGCTTATTTGTCACTGCCAACAGCGAGATTTATCTTGTTCTCCTGCCTACTGGCGGCGTCACCGTCCAGTACTTCCAGTTCATCAGCCAATCTCCGCAGCTCCCAGCCCAACTAGTTGCGTGTGACACATGTGATCCGCTGTGCATGAGCCACAATTCTGGCGGTTAGAAACAAGCGATTGGTTCTTTCTCCCCAAGCCGCAAGCTGTCGAGTATTATTGACGGACCGAAGTAAGGAGAAGTAGTGGATAGCATTTAAGTTAAGCTGCCTTAGAGCTCAAAGCTTCACGCCCAACGTCCTTATCTTCACGTGGAACCCCTGTTCTCTCAACGGATCCTTACCGGAAATCGACCGCTAAGGCGGAAAGCTGCATCAGATGAAGATCAGGTGACGACGCTAAGAAACTTCCTAGACACCAGCAATTCCCACGATCAACTTATACAGAGCCCGTACGTCAAGATGCCGAGCAATCATAATGTTGACAAACCATGGGACACTGAAGATGTCGACAAATGGAAGGTACTCTTGACGAGACCCCTCATATCTCTGAAAATGCTCACCGTGACCACCAGATCGACGACTTTACCGCCGAAGACAACAGAGGTGGCACCTTCACCGAAGAATCATCCTTCCTAATCCTTTTCCCCAAATATCGTGAGATCTACCTCAAAGAAGCATGGCCCCTCATAACCCGCTCCCTCGCCACGCACCACATATCTTGCACACTCGACTTAATCGAGGGTTCCATGACCGTGCGCACAACGCGAAAAACCTTTGACCCCGCCGCCATAATGAAAGCGCGGGACCTATTGAAGCTCCTCGCTCGCAGCGTGCCAGCACCACAAGCCGTAAAAATCATGAACGAAGATGACACAGCTGCAGATGTGATCAAGATCAGAAATCTAGTCCGGAACAAAGATCGCTTCGTCAAGCGCCGCCAACGCATCCTCGGCCCCAACGGCTCCACGCTCAAAGCCCTCGAGCTCCTCACAAAATGTTATATCCTTGTCCAAGGCAACACAGTCGCAGCCATGGGCCCCTTCAAAGGTCTGAAAGAAGTACGCCGGGTGGTCGAAGACTGTATGGCGAACATCCACCCAATTTACCACATCAAAGAGCTCCTGATCAAACGCGAGCTTGCTGCAGATCCTACATTGAGAGAGGAGAATTGGGATAGATTTCTCCCGCATTTCAAAAAGCGGAGTTTGAATAAGAGGAGGAAACCTTTCAAGGTGACGGATAAGTCGAAGAAAGTGTATACGCCGTTTCCGCCCCCGCCTGAGCAGAGTAAGGTGGATAAGCAGATCGAGAGCGGGGAGTTCTTTCTGGGGAAGGCGGCGAAAGAGAGGAAAGAGCGGGAGAAGAGGGACGAGAAGCAGAGGGAGAAAATTAAGGAAAAGAAGGCGGCTAAGGAGAGTGAGTATGTGCCGCCGGCTGAAAATGGGGAGGAGCGGGAGAAGAAAAAGAAAAAGAAGCGGGAAGAGAGGGCGACGGAGATATCGGAGGATGGTGGAGTGTCGCTGAAAGAAAAGAAACGAAAGAGGGATAAAAAGCAGGAAGATGGTGTAGATAGTGTAGAAGAGGGGGATAAGAAGCGGAAAAACAAAGAGAAAAAGAATGGTGTGGACGGCGTCGAAAAGAAAGTGAAGAAGCGAAAGAAAGAGCGGAGTCATGATGGGGAAATGATCGAAGAGCCCTGAGGAAATGTGGCTATGAGGCCCAATTCGAGTTTCCATATCTTCAGCCAACAACCTCACTACATCCATAAACCACGTCGCCCCATACGCACCCATCACTGCCCCTTCTTCCCTGCCTCCTTCTCCCTCCTCATCTTTCTCAACGCCCGCTCCCTTATCCCCTCATGCATCCTCTTATTAATCCACAAGGCCACCCCACTCCCCACTCCCACAGTCTTCACAATCCCCCACTCCATAACTGCATGCGTCCACCAAGGCGTTCCACTCGCGCTCCACCCCTGCGCACCCCCCGTCCTCCCCACTTTACCCAGCACACTCCTCACATACTCCCTTGGCCCGGGGACCATCGCGCTCGTCCTCCTAATCTTACTCATCGCCGTAGCCACGAGGTAGCTCTGCACCAAGTGCACGGTCACCCCCTGGTCCGCCACTTCGGCAGAGAGGGCGGAAGACCATTGTTGCAGGAAGGCTTTGGAGCCGGAGTAAGTGGCGAGGAGAGGCGTGGGGAGGGTTCCGGCGAAAGAGCCCATGGTCAGTATCAGTCCGTTTTTCTGGGCGAGCATGCCGGGGAGGAGGAGCTGCGTGAGGCGCAGGGTAGAGAGGCAATTGACATTTATGATGTTTTCGATTTCTTGTGGGGGCGTGAGGGCGAAGGGGACGGGGATGCTGTGGGAGACGCCGACGTTGTTGATGAGGATGCTGACAACACCCCCGCCCCCGCCCCTGCCGTTGCCGGTGGTGGCTTCGATGTGCGATTTCAGTGCGTCCCAGGCCTTGGTGTTAGCAGTGTCCGCGAAGTCGATGGCGAAGATGGAGGTTTTGGTGTTGTATTTCTTGGTGATGTCGGTGGCGAGAGCGGAGAGCTTGCTTTCTGTGCGGGAGAGGAGCAGGACGTTGAAGCCCGCGCGAGCGAGTTGGAGGGAGTATTCGCGTCCGAGGCCATCGGAGGCACCGGAGATGACGGCCCAGGTTTTGGAGGGGGAGCCGAAGGAGGAGAGCTGGAGGTTGTAAGTCAGTTGAGGAAATGGGCTGAGGAGTGCAGATTGTACCTTTTTGCCCGATAGTATGAAGAGCGAAGCTATCAGTCTAGCAACAGAGAAGAGCCATGCTGTGAGGACAATTCCGCCAATGATGATGAGGAGGGAGGTGATTATGGGAGGAGCAGCAGCCAGCGGCTTCGCAATGAACGGCAGTGCATTCAGCTTTTCTGACATGATGCACGAGACGTAGCCTTTCTCACAATTGGTAGGGAGTCTCATGGTGATCGAGGGATTGGGCTTATATTTATGGAGCCTCGATCAAGCTTTCAGCCTCCGCGTCGCGTACCTGGCGGAGACTTTGGAGCCGTCAAGTGGGCAAGCTAGGCGTGCTAGGGAGCCGTAAATAGAAGAACGCGTGAGCAGGGAACTCTTTACTCTGACTGTACACCTCAAGAATGGCCTCCTACCTCCCTGAAGCCGATGGCTACCTGCCATACTGGCTTCTTTTCGTCAGTCTCATTTTCCTCTGTTCAAGCCCCCCTCAAATACAGCCTCCTAATATTTCCCAGATCGCCTTCGTCAGCCTCTTCAACACAATCCAGTCCTTCCTCACGACCTCGATGACTGCTCAAGTCTACGCTCTCGCCCCATCTGCCACGAACGCCTCCACTGCTACCAAAGACAAGAGCTCGCCCCGTGCAGAAGACATTCAAGTGACGCCCCTCCAATCCCGTCTTTTCGGGACCTGGACTTTCGTCGCCAAGCTCGTTCGTCTTTACGCAGCCTACAACATTCACGACCCTGCGCTTTACCAATTGGCGGTCCTAACCTACGTTGTTGCGTTCTTGCACTTTAGTAGCGAGTGGCTGGTCTTTGGCACCGCGAAGTGGGGAAGAGGGCTGGCTGGTCCCATACTGGTGAGCGTTACGAGTTTGATGTGGATGGGGACGCAGTATCAATTCTACATAAAATGAGGCAGAAGTGTGGAATTTGTGTGGACTTTGTACTTGTAAGTATAGGCCAATCGAAGCTTCAGAGGCTGTCCTTTCTTCAGCTGAATACAAGGCTGGCTGCTATATCCACATTGCCTCCAGCGAGCGTCAGTGCTTGGATTGCTTCTGTGCGTCCCATCCCCATGTCCACTAGCTGTGAAATGTGCGCCTCCGGAAACGACGCAGATTGTGAAATAGATGCGGATGCTTGTCCTGCTGCTGCTGCTGGTTGCGACGCACCGCCGTGCGCGGATGATGGTCCAGCCCTGTTTTGAGCAGCTTTACTAGTCGACGAGCCTTCCTCCTTAATAGTGCCTGTGATTCCTCCAATTTTCGTCCCATCTTCCCCTTCAATGACAGGTTCATCTGCTCTCTGTTCCTCCGTCCCTGGAATATCTGCCTCTCCAAGGAACGCCACTTCGTCATTTTGGATCCTGAGTACGTTCTTCTGGAGGTCAATACAGGCTTGGAAGCTCTTCAACATATCCAATCCCAAAAGCATTTCCACATCTTTACCCTCCATCACTGTAAAAGAGCAAGCTACGAAGCTTGAGCCGATCTTGATCTGTGCTGAGCCAACCCGGCCCAAGATTTTCGCAGTACCTACACCACGAGCTATACCAGCCATGCGTGTGTTCACAAGCCGCATTATGCCACAGCGTTCAGCGCAGTCTGGAGACATGATTGTTGTCTGGGCACCGGAGTCAACGAACGCTTTCACTTTCTGCCCATTTACTTCGACTGGTATGTAAAGCATAGTCACTCTCGCAAGGACTGCAGGATATGTTAGAACCACATCAGCAATGAAAAGCTGTGCGTGAACACTTACGTTCTGGATGATGCTCTCGCGTGTATTCCCAGTTCTCATCCACTGCCTTCAACCGAATGATTTCTGCCATGCGGGTCTGGGCCTCAATACCCATAGGGTCGTTTGCCATCAGCTCCTCGTCTCGCCTGTTCTGCTCTTCAACTTCCCTCTGATGCTTCTGTAACTCTTCACACAGCTGACGCCACCGATCGGGTTGGTTGATCACATCTGCCAACATAGGAATTTGTTGCCTTAAGCTGTTAAGATGCACTGGACTGGTAAGGTACATTTGACGAAGCATTTCTGGATTATTTAGATCCGGTGCCTGACTTTCTCCAGGAGCGCGCTGACGATTCTGTGACTGTCCAGCTCTGCTTGCTCCAGGCTGGGCTCTCCCTTGTTGGGGTGGCCTTCGTGCGGAGACAGCGAGAAATGCGTCAGGGCCGATACTGCACTGTTCAAGTGTCTTATTCTCGTCTTCGAGCTGCGTGTCATTGTAGCGAAGTACTTGCTGGGATGGAGGGATGGCGGTCTGAAACTCTATGCGTTCTTTGAGAACTGTAATGGTCGAGCTTGGCTCAACTTCGATGAGGAGGATGTCGCCATCGGAGGTGCCACCAGTAATAGCTACTGTGACTTGCCTGTGTCAAAGTCAGTGATGGCTGCGAGTTACCGCGAGCAAACCTACATGCTGCGGGCACTTGTCAAGTAAGATAGATGTGTATCAGCGTTGATTTTGTTTAGGCTATGAAGAATTTAAAGCATATAGGGTATGAAAATGTTCCTGTTATCGTTGAGGTAAATTGAAGGTATATGACTTTAGTCGATTGTATAACATGCTTCGCAGCTGTGGAAACAGCTAGAAACAAGCATTTAGTCAGACACTCATGCCATAGGTATGGTCGGCACAGCTGAAGGCGCAGGCTAGAGAGTCTCAAGTGTTACTTGAAGTGTGTTGAGAAGGTTGCGTAAGAATTTGCTGCCTTCATCCGGCTCGTCGATTTATACACGTGTGGAGCAACGCTATCGCCGGGCAACATGACGAGCCAGCTTTTTTGCAACATCCCATTGCCGAGAGACTTTTCCTTCCAGACTTTCATGACTCGGTATCCAACCATCTCAAAGAACACTGTGTGAAACACGTCGAAGGTTTCCTCGCGTCGATCTCATGTTCGTTCTTAGCGCCGGCGAGATGGCCACCCAAAGATCTTGCAGCACGTGATCGTTCTACCTTCTGATAACACCCATGGATCCTGGAAAGTTCCACATCAAACGCATAAATGCCGCGAGATCTCAACCTAAGCTCGAGTCCTGTCGTTGCAAGTCCTGAGTCAAAGACCCCTCGGCCAGAGGACAACGAGGAGACGGCATTAAGGGACGATAACTTTAAGGAATTCACCATACACCGAGATGAGAGGCATCTGAGCATGCAACTACTACGAGAAGGCCGTGCAAAGGCCGACGGGAGAAATGAACTCCATCCATATGTGCAGACTCTGAGTTTCTCGAATCTGGAAAGCTGCATCGCACTAGAAGATGCAATCTTTCCTCCACAAGAGCGCTGTACAAGAGATAAGGTACGCTGGTTTCACGCGACTGCGTCCTCTCCACGTCGTGATTGCGTAGCCTTTGACAGATAATATGTCCAGGGCTGTTGATCGACGCCGAATCCGCAGTCATCCAAGTCACAATGGGCAGCTTACATTGATCAGTTCGAATACCGTCTCAGTGTCGCGCCCGAGCTGGCTCTTGGTCTTTTCTCCACTATGACTAGCGATCAAGATCTGTCCTCCGTTCCCACCTACGAACATGCCCGTCCGGCTTATTCCGCACAGGCCTCACGCAAACAGACGCTCGTTGGAATGGTGATTGCGACCAAGACCTCTGCTCCTGGGGTCACAGATGCCTCCATGGAGCGCCCAGACGGGCCGATAGATGGGAGGGGTCATCACGAAGCCGGAAGAACAATTTGCATACATTCATTTGGAATCTTACCAGCTTTTCAAGGACGGGGTTTGGGGAAGGTCTTATTCAAGAGCTACCTGTCAAGGATGGAAAGCAGCGGGATCGCAGATAGGATTGCTCTGATATCGCATGAACAATTGACGGGCATGTATACCAATCTTGGCTTTATGAATAAGGGCAAGAGCGATGTCAAGTTTGGCGGCGGGGGCTGGACTGATCTGGTGAGGATGCTCCTTCGAAGTTGGATTCGTAGCCAGGATTTGGCACTAACGAGGACCTTTAGACCTACGAATTTAACGACCACATATCAGGATTTGGCTTTTAAGGATGATGGAATGATCAGTGACGGCCACAGATGTTCGTTTCCAGCCTGCCACAGCGCCTTCATTTGCATGTATTTAATGCATTACAGCATATATGTACTAGACTCGTCGGGTAGAGCAGTATCGAAGGTACGCTACATATTCCAAGACGGTTATGTATGTCCAAATTACGCCTCTATCCAGGGTAATCGAATGGGATGAACATGTAATCAAATTTCTATTCGCAGCACGTCATGACAATGACCGCTTATGACCCCGCCATCAGCCCAGTGCGCCGTTTGTGGGGGATCTGCGGAGGCGGTCCGCTTGGAATTTTGACGTTCAACAACCATTATTCTTAAAGAACTACCACCATCCTCCCAATCACCCTTTCTCCTCATCTGCACGACCTTCCACCCTCTGCTAGCAAGCACACAGTCTGCATCACCGAAGCCTTCCTCTTAGTCAAGCCTCAACTTTGAATCGAAATCCTGCAATGAGTAATTGACCCTTACCGACTAGAAAGAAGGCGACTGAGTGTGATTGATGTCGCGAGATCAGGCCGATCGTTGGGCCCGTGTACGCTATATAGGATAGCACATCGTCTAGGAACACAGGTCTCCCTGCATCAAATCCCGTGCAAGCCTTACTTGAGACTCAAGTACTACCTACTCCGGTCCCCCAACATACTCCACCATGGAATCCCTCCAGGTGACCGTTTGAGAGTCTACTTTCTTACAAGAGCAGATCAGAGCAGCTTCGTAAATCTCTTGTTCTCACCTTCTTTCATCTTTCGTCATCATGCATATTTCAGACAAGCTTCGTGAAGCCCAAAAGACTGGGCAACCGGTCTTCTCCTTTGAATATTTCCCACCAAAGACTGCCCAGGGGGTCCAGAATCTCTATGACCGCATCAATCGTATGCATGACTGGGGGCCAGCCTTCATCGATGTAACATGGGGCGCTGGAGGCGTGAGGTCAGACCTCACGTGCGAGATGGTCAACCTTGCACAGACTTACTTTGGTCTCGAGACCAATATGCACCTCACATGTACGGACATGGCGGTCAGCAAGGTCGACGACGCCCTGGACACAGCCTACAAGGCAGGTTGCACAAACATATTGGCTCTTCGGGGAGATCCACCGAGGGAAAATGAGAAGTGGATCGCGAAAGAGGGTGGATTCAGATATGCTAAGGATCTAGTAACATACATCAAGAAAAATTATGGCAATCACTTCGATATTGGTGTGGCCGGGTATCCCGAGGGTAGCGAGGATCAGAAAGATCAGAAGATCCTTATGGAGCATCTGAAAGAGAAAGTTGACGCTGGTGGAACCCATATCATAACCCAGATGTTCTACGATGTTGACAACTTCTTGGATTGGGTGAAAACAGTTAGGGAATATGGTATTGATGTGCCCATTGTCCCTGGTATTATGCCAATCCAAACACATGCTGCGTTTCTCAGGAGGGCAAACCATATGGAGGCTCGGATACCCCCAGAATGGACGAAGGCCCTGGATCCAATCAAGAATGACGATAATGCCGTGAGAGAAGTTGGCAAGGACTTAGTCGCTGATATGTGCCGAAAAATAATCGATGCTGGGATCTTGCAGCTACATTTCTATACCATGAACCTGGAGAAGGCGACTCGTATGGTTCTGGAAGAATTAGACTTACTTCCAAAGGATGGCACTCCCAACACCAGATCACTACCTTGGAGACAATCGCTTGGCTTAAATCGAAGAGAGGAAGATGTTCGACCGATCTTCTGGAGCAACCGGAACAAGTCCTACGTCGCACGAACCCAGCATTGGGACGAATTTCCCAACGGAAGATGGGGCGACGCACGTTCTCCTGCATTCGGCGAGTTGGATCAGTATGATATTGGATTGAGAGGCACCAACCAACAGAATATCGAGCTCTGGGGCAGGCCAGAGAGTATAAAAGATGTCGCGCAAGTTTTCATCCGCTTCTTGAATGGAGAATTGAAAACCCTCCCTTGGAGTGAAACAACCACAACGAGCGAAACCATTCCTATCAAGGACAAACTCATTGACCTGAACAAGAGAGGACTTTTGACGCTGACTTCCCAACCCGCCGTCAATGGTCTCGAGTCCACACATCCTATTCACGGCTGGGGTCCCAAGGGAGGCTATGTGTACCAAAAGGCCTACCTGGAGCTGCTCATTCCTCCATATCTTATCGACGAGCTATGCGACCGTATCGAAGCCAATGAGAACATGACATACTACGCCGTCACGAAGAACAATGATCTGAGGAGCAACGCCCCAAGCGACGGTCCAAACGCCGTGACTTGGGGTGTCTTCCCCGGCAAGGAAATTGTGCAGCCAACAATCGTTGAAACCGTCAGCTTCCTAGCCTGGAAGGATGAGGCCTTCAAACTCGGCTCGGATTGGGCCCATTGCCATGACCACGAAAGCATAAGCCGGAAATTGATCGGCGAAATCATGGATACCTGGTATTTAGTGAATATCGTTGACAACGACTTCCACAAATCAGATGCCATATACGACCTTTTCGACGGCATGGGCATCCCTGATCTGGCAAAAGCGGTACCAGGATCAAGTCTACTTATCAACGGTCATGCCTACAACAACGACGAGCCTAAAACAAACGGCACCATGCCACGCATGAACAACGTAATTCAGCCTTCTCCGTTGAGAAATTAAAGGCTTAAAAGCCGTTCATAAGTCGTCTTTCATACTCATCCGCCTTTCTATCTCATCTGTCTTATCATCCGCAACGGCTTCCAAGGCCGCAATTTTTCATCATATTTACATCCATCATATCGCACATCTCTGAAATTCCACCATAGCGACCGAGTATCAGAATTGGCACCACTTTTCACTTCCTTAGTATCTAAAATCTGGCAGATTCGGTGTTTCAACTTTGCGTTCGCGGCCACCATGATCTAGGCCGAGGGTTCAAAAAGCCGTTATCTCTACAAAAAAGCAGGCAAGGCCAGGAGGCGGAAGAGGCAGACCGTCAAAAGTAAATCTCAACGCTATTACGAGGACAACGAAACGAAGGTATGCACATCGGAACGCTGCAAATAAATAGATCAAAGAAAGAAGCAAGCGAGGAAGTAGACATCCCCTCTTAACAGGGCATTGTCGAATTCAATATGTAGAGATGAAAACTGGAGTTCATGGACCATTTTCAAGGAGCACAATCTCCATATCCTTCTTGTTTGCTCAGTTTCCCATCTCAATGCGACTTGCGAAGTGTCCCTATTCAACTAAATGACCCGAACAAGCTATGCATAATCCTAGTGCATGCGAGTAGAAACATGAGAAGTAGGAAATCCCGGTTACTGCGAACGAAGAGAAGTCTTTCATTAGGTTCCCCAGGCAGATGGGAGCACATCCAGTAAACACCAGCACGTACAATGAAATGAGCGATGGACCTTTCTTCACAGTCAATCTCGACATTCCTTCTCAACTCGGATTCCCTCTAGTCTTTCATTTATGGTAAATAGTACATCTTTTTTTCCGACACGGCATCAATCATCATATCATCCCACACATCGTACAAACATTTTCATCCCCAAGCCCGCAAGCAAAGCAAACCACCCACCTCATCTAGTCATACAAAAGGTCAATCAGCTAAAGCCAAATATCGAAGCGAAGAGCCCGAAAGAAAGCACCGCACCCATCTTACACATCGCTTTTTCCAGCTCCTCAAGCCAACATTACATAGCAAAAAAAAGGCCATTCACTCTCCCAGATTCATCTCCTTCATATCCTCCTCCATACTCAATATCCCCATCGCCCAGTAAACCCTTGTCCCCGCATTAACCTTCACAAACCTCCTATCATTATTATCCTTCGGCTCGCCCATCAAATGGCTGGGATCCCTGCTCCGCCCAGCAACTCTATCGTCTTTAGCCCCCTTATTCATCGTCCGCTCATACGGCGGCCCCTTTCCTAAATCCGCAAAATGCATCCAGGCCCTCTCGCACCCGCTCGCGATTAGCGACGAGGTCTGCCAACCCGTGAGACGCGCCACGTCGCGAAGTTTGGTGATCATCCAGCCTCGTTGCGCTGGGTCACGATATTGGATGCCGGCGTGGAAAAGGCCCATGCAAACGTCCATGAGGGCGGCGCCGTGGTGGGGGACGAGAGGGGCAGTGTTACTGACGGGTTGGATACCGGCGCAGATTCGGCCGATGGTGTTGGCGTAGGAGGCGGTGTGTGGGGCTGCGACCCCTGAAGCTACCATGGCTGCTGGAGGCATGGAGGGGTGCACGCGGGTAAGAATGATGCGGCCGCAGTAGTAGAGGCAAAGAACGCAGGCGATGCCGTAGGAGCGGTAGTACATGGCCGGCCCAAAAGGGGTGGAGAGGGGAGTCATGTGTTCAGCGGAGAGTGGCTCGTAGGATGGACCTAGGGCCGAGAACAGGACGTCGAAGGCGTGCGCGATGGAGGTCCATTCTGTTTGCGCTTCGGCAAAGGCGATGTCCAACGGCTGGGAATCAGCATTTGTGGGAGAGGTGTAGAGCTTGTCGTGCTCGGCCTGGGAGAAGCCGGTGGGAACACGGACGGGGCCTGGATCCGGAATCATGCCGTACATGGGCGGCGGACGAGTAGGGCTTGTGCTGCTCGAGGAGGGTGGAGAATTGCGGGCTGCTTTCGCCGCCCTTTCGGCCTCGATGTGAGCACGCTTCTTGCGGGAGAGATCCTTGCCGGCGAAGTCCGCTAGGCGTGCCATGAGAAGGTGAAGATGATCCATGGTTCCATGAACCGCATCAGGTCTTCCAATTGGAGCCCTTGGAGGCACATGAGCCCATCTTTCATAAGACAGCCTGGATCAAGTCAGCTATGAATCTCATTGACTTATACATTGGATACTCACAAGAGTCGGTTGCCGCTAATGATGCTTTGGTACGTGTCTTGCTTGGCGTACCACCAGAAGAGGTCAACTTGGGTTTCGTACTCGTCGACATCCTTCTGTGAAACTGTCTCTCCCGGCTCCGGGCTGCCCATTTCACCATTGAGGATCTTCCCAGCTTTATCTGGTCTAACATCCCAACCCATGATAGTGCTGAGTAGGCCCTTGTCGAGTCGCTTGTCGTTCAAGATGCAGATATCTTTGTACTTTCTAGCCGCGGTGTCTGGCAAAAAAGTGTCGCCGCATACGGCCCTCTGCTCAGCCTCGTCGGCGTCCTGCTTGCGCCGGTAAGCTTCCACTTTCTTAGACATCCTTGCGTAAGGGATATCCATAACCAGCTCCCTTGCACCTGAAAGATGGCTGTTCCACTTATTATGCTCTGCAGTAGTAACCTCATAGTAGCCCAATAGCAAGGTAGCTGCCAGCGTGGCTGGCTCACGCCGCTTCTTGCAATCGCCAAGAGCCTTCGCAACACGTCGTAGAGCGTAATGATAATGACGAAGAGATGGTGTGGGCGATGTTTGTTGAAGTTTTGCAATATGAAGACTTGATATAGCAAGCATTGCATGGAGAAGACCTTGGTGGTGTAATGCCAGCATTGGTAGCGTGTACGACCACAGCGCCTGCTGGGGCTTTGGGACTGGGCGTCCGGAGAATATGACACTAGGATTCGATGGATGCCTCTCACAAACATGAAGTGTAGGTCCAGTCGAAGTAATAAAATGGCAAAAAATGCGGGCCGTCTGTGGGTCCTTGAGGGGAGATGCTGCGTAAGCGGGGTTGTATGTCGAGAGAATATTTGGCTCGTTTAGGTAGCTGGTCAACGACCTACTGTCACCGTTATTCTGAGATGCATTATTGTGTAAGAGGACGCCGATCTCAGCGTGCTCTTTATCTACCTTTGCGGCTTGCGTTTCGTCGTCTGATTCCACATCAAACCAGTCATCTTCTGGTTCCTCTTTAACGGCAATCGGTTGAACATCTGCACCGTAAGTTTGATTAGAGAATTGCACTTGGTCATTAATAAAGTCCTGCGCCGAGTCTTGTATCGGCTGCAAATATCTATCTGAAAGTTGTACATGGTTTATGTGGGCTTCCATTGTATATTGCTGGCTCGCCCAGAGTGGAGGGTGGGGGTTTTGCGGCTGAAAAATATCAGCTTGGTTGAAGTTAGATTGTGTAGGGGTTTGTGTGGGCTGCGTTGCGTGGGAAATGGTTGACGCCGGACTGTAAGGCCATGTTGGCATCGCGCTCTGAACAGGTGTAGAATTAACGCCGTTGCTGGTACTAGACGTATGTGAAGGGAGAGGTGTACCTGCATCCGCGGTCACATGAGGGTACGCATAACTTGTTGCTGTGCTATATGTATCGATCGGAGGAGGCAATGAGTACGGGATCGCATGTGCAGTTGACGCTGCTGAGTATGGCTGATTCATATACCCAAATGCTGAACTATCGCCCGGGGTCCAGTATGCACCGTTACTGAGCTGTCCATAGCCCGGGTGGCCAGCATTGAACGACGGACGTGGGGCAATTGCAGGGTAAGAGGCAGTGTCTGCAGAGCCCCCCGAGGCCATACCGTAGAAGTTGGCCGAATCTACGCCGCCATAGCCTGGTTGCGCATAATAGGGACCTTGCAGTGGCACGCCTGACCCACCAGCGGGCTCCTTGAAGATAACCCGTGGAATGTAGCCCTCGCATTCTCGTTTTGACTTGGTGCAATTTTTGCAAGTTGGGCGCTCTTCGCCGCACTTGATCCGTCTCTTGCGACATGCTATGAAACGGTTAGCTGTGAAAGCATTTGTAATTCATGGGCAGGAAAGCTCACTCAAGCAGCCAGTCTTGGTCCGTTTCCGCGCTTTCAATGCATTAGCAACCTTGTTCGCTTCTGACATAGGCTCCTGCATCGCCGTAGGCATTGGCATGTTGGAGTAGGTCTGTGGAGTGGACAAGCCTGTGTGTAGCTGTCTCGGGGTGTGGGAGGGATGAATATGGGGAAAGGGACCGGCAGATGCCATTCAAGTATGGTTGTCTATGGTTTCGGGTACTGTAGTATACAATTAGGAAAACGTCGGTCGGGGTGCAACGAATGAGCGCGCCGGCTATGTAAGGATATTGTGCGGTAAGAACGAATGGTGGAGAAGTCGAGCGCGACGGAGACTCGAGACTCGAGACTCGAAGTGGCCGTGTCACATCTGATTGGGGCCGAGGGGTAGGTGCCAGTATGTCATGCAGCAGCGTTCACTGGCGTAGAGTGGTGTTCATGAGGTGGCAGGCTGCAGACTGGGGGCTGATGCTACTGCTGCTCTTCTGGAAGCGGTTGCGGAGAGGCAGCGATCTGATTGGTGTCGTGCTTGAAGGGGGAGTGGGGAGGTGGTCAAAGACGGTTCGCGTGTGGGAGACATGGTCCCTTTTATGACCAGATCCGCAACTGGACTTGAACAAGGAGGGCAGATGAGATACGAAAGAGCGAGCAGGCAAGCAGGTGAAAGGAAGCTAGAGGAGCAGGATCAATGCACTTGCAGCTTGAGTACCAAACGGTTCCATGCATGATGCATTAACTTTCTGAGTCTGACTTTCGCACGTTAACGTGCCAACTTCCCCATAGCCATCCTCCATCCTCACCACTACCTGCATAGCTTCTTCTTCCCTTGCCAAGCCCGCCTTTACAGCAAACCAAAAATAAATCACCTGCAGCTAGAATTAACCAGACATACTAGGGGGGCACTAATTCCAATCGTCCCCAGTTGTTATTAGCTTATACATCTGGATGCAAGCAGGGGATGGAGAGCGCCACGTCCATCATTCCGGGTGATTCGATCGCCCACCCATCAGCTAGAGCTAAGGTCCCTCTGACATTTCATTGAGCCGCAAGGCATTCCCCGTGCCCGATTGCATTTCCATTAATGTTATTGCTGTTCACTATATTCATCCTGCCAGTGATGACTGCTTGTCGCGCCACATCTGCGTTGGCCGCCTGCCAGCTGACAGACCTTGCGTCGACGTTGCGTATGCACCGCGCTGTGCGCCGGCCCTGTTGAAACGTGCAGGAGACACGAGGGCAGAAAACGTTCCTGGCACGATAAGCCAATCGAGATTCTTTGGATCAAGCGGTGGATGAAAGGCCGACGCCTACGGAAGAAGACGCACGTCTATCGTTGCGCGGCCATTCCGCGCCTGCTTTGGCCCCGGCGCGGCGTAAGGTGAAGGTGACCGGGTCTGAAAGCTCAAGCCAGGCGGGAAGTCTGTTTACGCGGAGTCATTCGGCCATCCCTACCACTAACCTACTACTGTCTGGTCTCTGCCTCACCCTCGCTCTCTATCTCTCTCTCTCTGGGTCAACCCCTCTGCCACCTAGAGCAGTCCTGCGGCAGGCTACCAGGATGACCCGCAGCTATGCTACGCCGCAGATCTAATTTCAACTGATCCTATCTTGTTGTAATAATCTTCACCCTTCACAGACATATGACGCTTCCCGATTTACAAACGCCGGAAGGGACCCTTGGACTCTATTCGTGCCACCAGGTGCGGCCTGGGGGCGGTTCAATTGGGTCTGACAACTGCGAATTATCTGGCTCTTTGCCATTGGCACGGCCATGAGCTCTCTGGTGGCTTGAAATCTTTGCGGCTGAACCATACTCACCGCATGAGTACGAGTCCGGTACACGGCCAGGCTGGTATTATTGTCCTATGCCTTCCGAGTAACAATTAACGCTTGTTTGATCGCGCATAAATGGGATTTGCCTTTGACCAGGCAAATGACATCAGCCTAAAGACGCTAGGGATCAGGCGGGAGGAGCAATGGCGGGCGGGAAAGCTGACTGATCTGACCCAGGGCTCACACCATTATTGACACCAACCGTATTGACCTTGCACCAGTTCGGGACAATAAGCACTTTGACCGGCCTTACGGCCGTCAGCGGAGAGCGCCATTCAACGTCTTATGGGCTGGACTGAACTAGGCGGGGCTGGGCTCCCTAAGCGGTCCTATAAATTTTCGCCACTTGTGTTCCTACCCCCTGAAACAACATCATTAGCAAAGAATTGTAACAACTTGTATATCAATTGCGTCTTCTTGCTGACCCAACATGACTCCTTCAGGATCATGATCTGGAAAGGAGAAACATCGGGGGCACGGTCATCTGATCATAGTGCATTTGGATTTCGTGCAGCTTTGCCACCACATCAACCCCATTTTTGGCTCCTCTAAGCCTGCATTGTCTCTGCCATGTGCGTCGAAGATCTGATTGAATAGAGCCTGAACTCAAACCTACACCGAGGTTCGGAGGGGGATCAAAGAATAAATTCTCCGCTTGGGACAACGTTTTAGGGCCAAGACCACCGTCCATGGTCCAGGTCTCTACCGTTCCACGAGTCGGTGGAAGAGTTCACTTGCGCTCGAAGCAAACCAGCGCTGGACCTGCGCCGGTCTACTTGGACTTACCGGCATAGAAAGCAGGTCGACGTCAGGAGAAAACAAGCATCCCGAATTAGGTGCACGACCGTTTATAGCGCGCCAATTATCATCCTGACTCTCGTTCCTCCGCCCCGACCTCAAGAATCTCGATCAGAACTCAGGCTAGGCCCAGGCACGCGACCAGTACACCAGGTACACTCATGTCAATCGTAGCGGGTGTACTTATCGACGTCTAGCTCGTGCTTACGCCTGGACTGCAGTACTCAGCATACCCTAGCAATGAGAGAGCGTGCATTGCGATCATTCGCGCAAGAAATGCGCAGCACCCGCGGCTGTGGGAATACCAAGGCTTACTCCATCATGCGATGATGCGCCACAATACAGTAGGCGTAGTCAATGACTGTCGCGCCGTGACAAACAGATATCAGCAAGGCCAGATAACGGTGTAGTCGTATCCGTTATTTGCGACTTCTAGACCAAAGACGATGTTGGCTGACTGACACGCTCTAAACAGCCGAGTGCTGCATTATGCTGTTTAGGTCAGCATCTTCATCCTTCGTTTACCGTTTTGGAGGCCGATCTCGTTTGGTGAAACTAGAGCGTCAATGCCACGTGGGCAGCCACGAAGAATACGCAATGTCTCGGAGACTAACCATCCGATTACCTTTTGTGATGTTGAGTCGCTCGACCAATGCAAGCCCCCAACATGAACGAAACCGAAATACGGTCGAGTAGCCCGAGGCACCAGAGGTTTGGTGAAACATTTTAGCATTCGCCTGCAAAGACGACGTCAACATCTCCTTCAACAAATCGTCCATGCCAAGCCTCTCGGATCGTCAAACTTGGTGAGACGGCATTGATGCAACGGTTTGCAGGGTCCAAAAGGACCAGCGTGTGCAATGCCCCGGCCTAGACTTCAACTAAGAGGCTGACTATCATAACATTCTGCATCTCTATTACCGCAAACGTTGACGAGAAAAGGGGCGTCATGAATCTTTCTGCATCCGCCTGTCACCCAGATCAGCCCGAAAATGGTTCTTTGGTGAATGAGATCGAGCGAATCCAATTCTCAAACAGCCGATGATGTCCCTTCCTGCCATTTCAGAGCCGTCCAAGCGTCTCCTAACAAGGTGAGGAAAGGTCCTTAGAACGGCACCAGACGGTGTGACGGATCTGGTGGAACACGCCTGGAGGCGGTGTCGTGTCAGATGCAACTGCAATATTTTTCGCACTGTAAACCTATCTCGGACTAGTCAAATCCTCAGCTACAAACTAATAGATCGTCTGCATATCAATCCATTTGCCATTGTGCCACCAAAGTCATCGTCAGCAATTTTCTTGTGTTCAAGATTTCGCACGGTTTCAAAGCTTATGTCATAATGTTCCTAAGCTGAACGTATATCCTACCTAGATCTTGGCAAAGTGTGTTCTGAGCACTCAAGACGACTTATCGTAAATATTTGCGACCAAGGTCATGGCCGCGAGATGAAATTTTAGGGCAGACTTCGTGATGAAATCAATGAAGGACAGCAAACAAGACTGAAGACTTGCTCAATTGTCTTTATTTCGCAAGCTAGTCCACTTTCCGAGCTTCCATGTTCTCATCGTTTGTATGCATAAGTCTGGTGACAGGAACTGTCGCTGGCCTGCAATTGTGCTGGTGTTGTGACATTGCGGGAGGTATTGCTTGAACACCTTAGAACCTCAACTGCGGATGTGTCAGAATAAATTACTCCTATACAGACTCCCACTACAATGACGCAGAGCCTTAGCAGCCTGCTCAGGAGTGATATCCCTTTGCGGTTCAGCCATTAGTTCATACCCGACTAAAAACTTCTTGACAGTCGCGCTTCGTAAAAGTGGTGGGTAGAAATGAATGTGGAAATAGCTGCTTCTAATTTCCTCGTCACTGCCTTCGAGTGGAGCTTGGTGTATGCCCATCGAGTATGGAAAATGTGTTTCAAATAAATTGTCGTAGCGTCGCGTGATATTTGACAGGGCATCTGCCAGGTGTTTCCTTTGCTGCACACTTAGGTCAGGTAGAGCTCGAACGTGTTGAAGAGGGACGATCATTGTTTCGTACGGCCAAATTGCCCACCAGGGACAGAGTACTATGAATGAGTCGTTTTCAAAGATGATGCGCTCTCCTTTCTCAGTTTCGAGTCTTGCATAGTCTTGTAGCATGTGCCTCCCGCTGTGTTCAGTGCGATATTTCTGCAAGTTTTCCAATTCTGCGGCGGGTTCTTCTGGTAACCCTGTGACTGTCCATATCTGACCGTGGGGGTGGGGATTTGAACAACCCATTGCAGCACCCTTGTTCTCGAAGATCTGCATATAGCGATATTGGGCATTCGACTTTGGGAGGGTGAAACCTGGTATTAATGGCTGGGAAGGTCTGGAGCTTGCTTTTTCAGTGAGAGGAGAATTGGCGGGCAAGTGCGCGTTATAGATCTGTGTCCATGTGTCTATGACGACTGAAATCTGAGCAGATTCAAGGTCCGCGAGCGTCAGGTTGTGTCGGGGGGAGAAAGTGACAACGTAGCATTTTCCGGTGACAGGTTCCGCGCGAAGCAGGGAGGTTGCGAGGCCTTTCCAGGGTCAGCCTTTGTACTGAATTTTTCGTTACCGTCATACTATTTTCATCTTCTGCCACTTCATATGGCGCCTGGTCTCCCTTGACGGCACTGTAATCATTGACGAAGACGAAAGTCGACTCATAATCTGGGTTGACGTCTCCTTGGGCCCGCTTATTCTTAGGACAAAGGTAACATGAGGGATCGTGATCGGGTAACGTTGTTAAGGAGGGCGATTCTTGCTGGCCTCTGATGTGAAGAAGTCAACGCCTGCCAACGCTACTAATGCAAACAGAGCTCACTGCCATGGCCTTTTGGTTCTGTGTGGCGACACAAGCACCCAGGCATTTTTCAATGGGTTGAATCGTCGATGTGAGATATCGTCGAGGACTGCATCAGGCATCCTCGGCCCTGTGAAAGGTCTCAGCGTGGTGTGCAGTTATAGAACTTTGACAACAACGAACATTTGGAATTCTTGATTCGGCCTGTGTTACGAAAGTTGAAATACAGGTGAGCTTCGCCTCACTGAATTGTGATTGTCCATTGTGAGTTTACAGTTGCTAGAATGACATAAGGCGGGGCTCGGGAATACAGGTCTGGACCGACGGGAATGGCCATCACCAATCCCCAAAATAGCCTTCACGCATGTTGCTGATGTAGGCTTCTAACATACCATTGCGATGACTGTACATGCGCCTGGCTGTAGAAAAGGGATAAATAAACAATAGAATGAACCCAGAACGCACCTGCCTTCAACTTGCCAATCATTGAAATTTCTGAGCTTGTTGATGCTGAGAAGATGGAGAGCCGAGTATCGGATCTTTTCGATCTACCAAATGAGGTCTTGTCTCCCTCTTGCATCGTACTGATTGCACAGCTGATCGAATAAAGATCTTGCATCTGGTGCTCTGCAGAAAACCAACTTCGGTGTTGCTCCCAATGCGATCGGTCAGCCGTCGCTTCCGCCACATCATCGACCACATTATATATGAGCGCTTGCTCGCAGCCGCCTTACTCGATGATTGGAGGCTCATCATTGAATGTTATCATCCGTGGGATCAACGGTCTGCGGATTACGTATTCTGTGAATACCTAGAGACCCCGAGCTTGAGCTTGGATGCTCGACGGTCTGGAATGAACGGCATCCAAACTGATAGTTTCAAGAACCTCCATGCACGTTTCAGGCCGTGCAAAACCACTCCAGAGCTGAGCTATAGGCGACGACAACCGCCCGGGGACATTCCGGGCTCACGCACTTCCGATGCTGCCAATTCTGCGGGGTTGTCTGGAGAAGACTCGGTCAAGCTGAGAATCAATCTAGATAGTCACGAGAACTTCTCTCAGCTCATCTTCAGTTCAAGTCTAGTCAGAATCGGACCGCGAAAGGGCGTTTTCTATTCTCTCGCCAACGTTTTAGATAGAAAGACCATGAGATTATTTCGCAGCTGGCTTTCTCAGAAGGCTGATCTTGACAAACCAACGCGGGGGCCCGAAGAAGAGCTGCCAGATGCGACGAGACTAAAGGTCGATCAAGCGAAAGCGAGTCAACTAATTTGGATCGATGACGGGACGAAGATCGCAGGGCTTGATATCGAGTTGAAAGAGCTCAAATGGAACAGAACAGCGCCAATTCTGATGGACAGGGATGAGGAACGAAATATCAGCTATTCTATAGAGCTGAAAGGTATGCTAATCTGATTTGACGTGCTCAAGCCTAAAATTAACGACAAACAGAATTGCGAATTAGCATGATACATTTATTATTAGCGTTAGAGCGAAATATGTCTGAGAATGATGATAGTAGCGGGAAAGCGATGATTTTTGGTTCTTTTCCGACTTCAACGGCGGACGTAGAACAAGGAAATGAAAATGAGAGCTAACCTATGTAGTCTTTGAATACAATCGCGAGTAGAGCCTGTTTCCGGAATAGAAGCTGCATGTGGCTAGAGAGTATATATCGCAGAGCTGCTGAGGATAGAGAGGAGTGTTTGAAGTGCATAGAGAATAATCAAGATTCAGAGCATACTTTCCACCATCCGTGCTACCTCTTTCTTGTCAACAAGCTGACCGTCGAGCGTACCTCCAGGACCAAGAAGCTTTTTAATTACGCCGCCCTTGCTCGCGGCTTGTCCGTCTCTTCGAAGGGTCTCGACCACTAGTAGAACGGACGCTCTCACAGCATCTTCACTCAAGACGTTGCTATCTTCGATATAAGCCTGCAGGATTGAAAGTTGTGATAACTCCTTGTCACGTAGGTCATTTCTGTGAGCATGTTCCGCCTCTTGCGCCGCACCCTCGGAATTCTTGATGCGTTTGCGGATGATTTGAAGCATGTGAGAATCTGTTTGCGCAACATTCGATGCCTTTGCTGCGTTGGTAGCATCCGCGATCAGACCTCGAAGCACGTCTAGTCTTGGAGTATCTTTTGCTCGCATGGCAACTTTCATATCATCTCGTATTCTCGAGAGTATTATTGGACTTGCTGGAGCGGCTGAGGTGCTAGTCGAGTAGCACTTCCATACATTCTGACTGCAGGCACGTGGCTTCAAGCGAGAGCGAAGCATGTTGCATGCGGTGATGATTTCCCTGAACGCTGAAAATACCGTGACACAATATTGGTACCTGACTAGACGGGAGCCAACACTAGCGCGTGGCTGGATCTCAGCCCTATCAACTTTTTGGGTTCGCGAATCGCATGCTCAAATTCTACGCCGGCATAGAGGCGTTGAAGTTCACTACGTCTCGAGAAAAGTCACAACATCCCCACTTCAATCTTCACGTCATTTGTTGTATCTCTACGTTCTTTCATGGCATTGGATCTTTTCAGCACCTCTTGGCTTAAGCTCTGCGAGCTCCGTTCAACGCGTCTTTGCACCATTCTCTTCACATTCTAGACCGCGATGTCCTTTAATATACCTCAGACTCCACAACGGCCCCTTCCCGGTGCATACCTTCAGACTCCTGCACGAAATCCATCGCAGTCGACGCAATCACAATCACAACAGCAACCAACGAACCAGAGCCAAGCGCTCACGCAAACCCAAGGAAATGGTTCAGTAATCACCAGAGGCTCGAACGATCTCGAGCCCGTTGAGAGGGCTTCCAAAGTTGTAAATGATGCGCTGGTACGAGAAACACAATATCCTGAGCTCGATAGCTATGTCAGCCGTAAGTATCGCCAGTACTGACCGTCGGACTTGTTAACGCTTCAATAGAGGGTATCTCTTCCAACTACGACATATCGCCCCAAGCGGCCTGGGCGCCGTTCCAGAGAATCAGGATATATGACGTCCCGGAGAGAGTCTTTGAACAGTACAATAGGGCACAGCTGTCAACTTCGATGGGTCTGTTCGCAGACTTGAATCATGCGTGGATATCGATCGACAACGCCTTGTATTTATGGGATTACACACAGCCAGACCCTCCTCTGATTGGCTTCGAAGAGCAACCGAAGCAAATTACTGCCATCAAACTAGTGTATCCAAGAGCGGGAGTCTTCGTCGCGACGATTTCACGACTCCTCGTCATAGCAACAACCACGGAAATATATCTGGTAGGACTGGCTTCTCAGCCCGCCGTGACCGGAGGACAAAGCGTACAGATTTACTCTACAGGAATGCAAATCAATACCAAAGGAATTGAGGTCAGCGTCATTGCAGGCTCTGCTGCAACAGGCAGGATATTTTTCGCGGGCAAGGACAGTAACGACGTTCACGAATTGACATATCAACAAGAAGAACGCTGGTTTCAAGGTCGCTGTGGTAAGATAAATCATACGGGCACGGGCATAGGCGCATTCTCTCCAGTTCAGCTGCCAGGATTTAGCAGCAAGCAGCCTCAAGAGCATGTTGAACATATGGTTATCGACGATAGTAGGAACTTGCTTTACACCCTTTCATCTCGATCAACGATCCGTGTCTTCCACATGACAGCGAACAATGGGCTCTCATTGGCTATCACAAAATCACTACACAACATTCTTCAAGATATCTCACACATGCAGAACGCTCTATCGCAGCTTCTCAAAACGCAGCCGTCTATCATCGCCATTGACCCGATCTCATCTCAAGAAGGCCGAAATTGGTACCTCCTGGCCACAACATCGGCCGGGTGCCGCATTTTCCTAAGTGCAACTTCATCTAGAATCTATGGGCCCGGATCTTCAAACGCTCCAAATAGTATGCAAGTGCAGCATGTCAAGTTCCCACCGTCAGACCCCTCTCAGCCTCCACAACAGCAAGATCTGTCACAGCCAGCACCCTACATAGCGAATTCAACCGTGAGCACCTTATCATCATCATTGACTGCCACACGAAAGGCACGAAGGTTTGCGCCGGGCTACAACCTTTGCTTTGTGCAAAAGAATGATCGATCTCCAGCGCAGACCGTGTTGCTAACAGCCCCTGACTCCGGTCAGATCGCCCGGCCACCCGATTCAAGTAGAGCGTCTAGGTTTCCCGAGCTTGGTATGTGGTTCAACCTTGGCGCAGCAGCAGAGGATGTAGGCTCAGTGACGGCACCATTCAGCGCTGCATCTACACCCCAAGGTTTCGCTAACGAGCTCGCCGTTCAATACGATCAACCAGCCGCTGTTCTTGCTATCATGACGAATGGCGGTATTCACACTTACAGAAGGCGTAGACTAGTCGATATTCTAGCATCTACAATTCGTGTTGGTGGAGGGGACGAGGCTCTGGACATGGAAATTAAGAAGTTCATTCGTCGATATGGTCGAGGCGAAACTGCCTCAACTACGCTAGCTGTTGCCTGTGGACAGGGTCTCGATGTAACATCAGATGCTCGAGTTGCCAACATCACAGATCCTGAAGTCTTGGAGTTTGCTCGGAAAGCCTTCATTGAGCATGGTGGTAAGCCGCAATTCCTCGAGAACAATGTTGTCGATCATTCGGTACCAGCGATTGACATGGTCCACCCCTCACCTCGTCATGAAGGTCTGTCTCTCTACGTAGCAAGGCTGGTGAGATCCATATGGAAAGTACCGATTCTTAAAGAAGGAATTTCGCCTACAGCGGGGTTCGTGGTAATATCGACTGTCGCGCTGGTAAAGCTAAGAAGTATCTCACAAGATTTACTCAAGCTGAAGGAATTTCTCAACACTAACAAGTCGTTTATTGACGGTCTCTCTGGCCCTGACGCATTAGGAAGAGCCTCTACGAAACAAGAGGAGATCTCACTCCAAGCCGAGCATCGAGCCTTACATTCGCAGGTTCTCTTAGTTAACAGCATCATCGAAGGTATTGCCTTTGTGCAAGTATTCTTTGACGAGCGCGTTGAAGACATAATCCTCTCACTCTCTCCCGACGTCAGGCAACAGGTCCGCACTCTGACGTTTGAAGCATTGTTCAGCACTGGTACTGGTAGGGACTTAGCCAAGGAATTGGTTAAAGCTATCGTCAACCGGAACATCGCCAGCGGATCCAATGTAGAAACGGTCGCTGAAGCATTGCGGAGACGATGTGGTAGCTTCTGCAGTGCTGACGATGTCGTAATATTTAAAGCACAAGAACAGCTGAAACGCTCATCGGAGGCTGGTGGTGACTCCGAGCTGGGGAGGAATCTGCTGAATGAAAGCTTACGACTCTTCACTGAAGTTGCAAGCAGTCTATCAATGGAGCAGCTATTGTGGGCTGTTACTAGCTTTACCAACATGCAATTCTATGCTGGTGCCATACAACTCGCTTTGACCGTTGCCCATGAGAAAGATCGAGGCAACTCCGCGCTGTCCTGGATCGAAGATGGCCGGCCGAATAATGTATGTATCCTGGAAGATTCTATAATCCCCACTAACCCCCAATAGGATCCTCGGATAGTGTCCTTCGAAGCGCGAAAAAAGTGCTACAATCTGATACATGAGGTCATAACAACTATAGAAGACACCGCGCCTAACGTAGCCGATGGTCCATATTCCCTTAATGCCAGGAGGAGGACAGAAGCTTATGAAGTTATTGATACCTCAGAGGATGAGGCATTCCAGACAGATTTGTATGATTGGTACCTATTGCAGCAAAAGAAAGACCGTTTACTCGACATTCAATCGCCATACATCGTAACATACCTTGAGCGAAGGTCAAGTGACTCCGTTGAAATATCCGACCTACTTTGGCGGTACCACAGCAGAGTGGGACACAATCACCAAGCAGCAAGTGTCCAGCTCGATCTAGCAAGAAGTCCTTTCGACTTGACATTAGACAATCGAATAGAATACCTTGGAAGGGCAAAGGCAAATGCTTCAATGCCATCGCCCGGTGTCCCCCGGCAGAATAGATATCAGCTCTTGCGGGAGGTCTCAGACTTACTGGACATCGCAAATATTCAGAGCGATCTTCTCCAACGACTGACGAATGATCCGCGCGTTGGAGCAGATCGGTTACCATCTCTGGTGCAAGAGCTCAGCGGATCACTGCTCCCAATGAACACTGTAAGTGGAAAGCATATAAGACTCATATGTAAATGCTCACAAATATTACCAGCTCTACAACCAATATGCAGACCAAGCAGGCTACTTCGACCTCTGCATCCTGATCTACCAAGCCGCCGATCACCGTAACCCCGCTGACATTCGCCTAACATGGAATAATCTCATCCAGACGACTCACGAGGATGCCGTTGACCAACAGGAGCGCATTTCCCAAGCTCCTAAGCCATACGAAGTGGTCATCGAGAAAGCCCGGAGTCTAGGTACGAGACTGAACCTGAGCGAGACTATGTTTCCAATTCCAGACTTACTGCCAATGCTGGAACGCTACGCCTACACGCAGCAGAGAGACCAAGGGCCAGAGACATGGGTTGTAGACACGTTGGTGGAGATCGGTGTCCCGCACGAATCCTTGTTCCCAGTGCTAGAGGGAATGTTCTACAATGATGAACAGCCATTTCACGGACGAAATCGGAGGGTCATCGCCAATGATATCGTATATGTCGTCAAACTTTGGTTTCAAGAAACGACAAGAGGCAAAGGCAAGGTCTTGGGTGGCGAACAGAACATGGCAGCTGTCAGCCAAACGTTGCTGATGCTTCAGCAAAATGGAGGGCTAGAGGGGTCAAGAGCAGAGGAGTGCGCGGGGTTGAGAGTGAGAATTGAGCATCTGCTTCGGTAGATTTGATTGCGTGTCTAGTTGTATATGCATTGGCGAGAAGATACCACAAAAGTCCGCTTTATCGATGGGATGGGATGGATGGAAATGTCTTGGTTTATGTGGCGCAGACAGTGTGAAGCGGACGCTCACCAGAGGAATATACAGTTCATAATCTAACGGTTCTTTGCCTCCGAGCGCAACTCTCGTGGCCGTCGTCTGCATTTCGAGCAACCTGCTAGCCTATTCCGTCAATTCTTGAGTTCTTGCGTTGGAACATTGGTACCCTTTAGGAAGCGGTTGTAACACCATGCGCAGGGTCGAAATGGTAGTGATACCGTTGTGAGACCGTTGCTGGTTTTCAAGGCCCTAGAGGGTACCACCCCAATAAGGCCCGCCCAAGGCAACCTTCTCTAAGGCATCCACCACAATCTTCACTCTCCTTCCCCTATTCACGTTCCTGATGCTCATACCATCAACCCACCTCTATCCCACTATGTCTTCTCCCTCCTCCACCCTTACCAACATACTGAATAAAACATACCTCATCTTCTTCCTCCTCCACATCCCCATCATGCTCCTCATCGACTTATACCCACTCTACCCGTTCGAGTACCGCCCAAGCTTCATGACCGCAATCCGAACGTGGTATGTGCAGACATATAAGGATCGTTTCTTAGGTGCCGGGGAAGGGCCGCCAGAGTGGTTCGAGCTCTTTTTGAGATTGGAGGCTCTGGTGCATTTGCCCGTTAGCTTCATGGGGGTTTGGAAGTTGGGGAGGGGAAAAGGTAGGTGCTGTTTTGTGTCTCGAGACTTTGCTTCTGTGGGTTTTTTGAACTGAAAAAATTGGGGGCGGCTGCCTCGATGATACGTTTCTTTCTTTTAGTGTTCTTCAAATTGGGGGTTTTCTCCGACTGTGTACACGGATAAGGCTTTTCGACGCAGTCAGAGAATTGCAGAAGTTTTTCGGGACTCGCTTGGTCTGAACATTTCTCAGTGCGATCGTAAATATTTTGAATGGCTCCGCAGGATTGAAGAAGGCGTCCACGGAGGAGACGCAATAAAGAACTTCCATTTGATTCCTTGTGTCTGCTCAGTCTTGACTAGTTGACCCTTTTGTCTCCAAATGATTCGTTCTGGTCAATACAGCGTCTTCTTCATGTCCAACTCGAGCTCGTACTGATGAACCGTACTTCCAGACACGGCACTCACTCACCTCGTCTTCCTTCTCTTCGCTCTACAAACCTTCCTTACAACCGCCGTCTGTATAGTCGAATATCACTCGTGGCCTGAACTCAGTTCTGCCGGAAAACGCAAGCTTGGTGGACTTTACGTACCCTACCTCATCTTCGGTAAGTCCATTTCTGTTGCTACTCGCCCCTCTGACGTTCGGTTCCCTCCTATCAAAAAGTTTTTCAATTTCAGCCTGGATTTTGACCGCTTCTTATTCGTTACTATTCATACTTCACTTGTCTTCAGCCGGTCACTAGTACAGTGAATATGCAGGTTTAAAGGCAGTAAGCTTATTCAATTTGTCGTGCAGCAATTGTTCTTGGTTGTGACATGTACCTCCGCGTCATTGCGGCTCTGGATGTAGAAAAGATTGAAGAGAATCGGACCGCGATAGAGGCATCAGGGGCAAGAACGAAAGGTATGAAGGATAGCGCGTGTGAATCAGACAATAAAATTGCAGCACTAAAGAAGAATGTCGCGGAGGTTCAGCAGAAAATGACAGGGAGATGCTTATAGCGAAGTAAAAGAGCTAATTGAAGGATGGCATGCCTGTACTTCTTTGATCATATCTTGCTTAATCCTAAAGCAGTAAGTAAAATTGATATTTAACAGGAGGCGAAGGTCAAGCGGCAGAGTCAATGTTTAAAGCCAATCGTTGCTTTTGTGGACATCCCTATATACATGATTTGTTATTTCAAAATCCTACGATCTTGTTTCACGTTGTATGAGACGGTAGGATAGTGAGCGAAGTGCTCATCTGCAATCTCCCTCCTTGCCTGGATCTTGAGTGATTCTATAGGGCTGCGTTTAACCTTGAACTCTACGAAGCCTTTTGGGAGTTGAGCTTTTTCTGGACGAACAAGGTAAAAGTATCCGTATTCTGGTGAATCTATGTACTGCTAAAAAAAGACCAATGCTTTCCGCGTCATTTGAAATTGCAGATAGAAAATATAGCTTCCATGTGTCTTCGTTATGCTTTGTATTTAATGGTATATCACCCTATACATGGGCGTAATCTTTTGTAAGCCAACGACGGCAATTTGTATAACTCTGGGGATGAACCTAGGCACTGTTGTCTTTCAAAGGCCTTCACATGTGCGCTGTGATGACGGTCCTTGGATCAAGTTATGTATGTTTCAGCTTCCCCTAACAATGGCTAAACAAACGACGACTTGACCAATGGTCATATCTCACGCCTAGATGGTTTACTTGGCGATCAGGCCTTTTCGGTTTTGATGACTTAGGCCTTAAAAGCCTTAATATATGATTATTGACTGAGAAGTTTGCGCGTTTCACTCTGCCACAACATCATGTGATCGTACCGTTCTAGCACCCACTCTTATCTGCTAAAACTTGTTAGGATACGAAATAAGATGGGTCGCTCAGATTTGCCAAGATATGGAGACCACCTCCGAGCGAATGGAGCCGCTTTTTTATCCGTCCAAAATGTATCTCATGCACAAATCAGTAGACCAGCATAGTATGCATCGAGAAAGATGGTCCTCCGGTGTCCGTATTTTTTCATCGGTACTACATGCCTTTCACCCGTGCTGGTAGTAGCACTTTGGCAACGGTCTATGTATTCGTCCCAGACTCGCCATATTACTCGATTCACGCCAGGAGAATAACTCAAGGGCCAGAGAAATAGCAGTTCAAACTACTCAGAGTCCTAAAATGAATTCTCTGGACCATACGAGAGCTTGGAAACCCCGAAACTCCCAGGTGAAGCCACCTACGCTTCTCTGCAAAGCAAAGATTGGCGTACATGGCTATCGAAAAAAGACGCACAGACATTTGCTTATTAAGTCAACATGACAACAAGACATAATAATAGATGATACTAAAATAAAGAGAGATACTAATTCTGAGAAAGCATATAATTTTTAATTGACGTAGTGGGGAGCATTCTCATAGATGCGCGATCAAGATGGAAATTACGTGGACAGAATCCGATGTAGAGTATGGGTTGATCCAATTTGGGGGTTGAACCCTTCTAAGTTAAACATATCTATTCCTAAAATCAACTTTTTGAAAAGTAAATACAGACAACAAATTGTATGATACAAAGAGCGGAGCATACAAATTTCCAAATATGCGAAGAAGCTAAGCTGAGATGCATAGCCTCCTACCTAACGATCAGCCTTGTGAGCCCAACCGAAGCCGCGCGAGGGGCTAAGAGAGGCTTAAGCTACTTTTCAAACCATTCGACCTCTATTTGCAATGCGAGTACGCGTGTGTATACCTTTCTCGCCATGTCGGTAAGTGCTCTTGCCCTTTTCCACTTTGAATTGCCGCTATACTCAATCAATTGCAGGTTGGCGGGAGCTCTAATAACGAAAGCCTCCCTCATGGTATTTCTGACCGCGACGGACTATCCGCGGGCAGCAGCTCTGGTACGAGTTCCATATATCTCGAGCCTGCTTCGCGGTCAGTCCTCCCGTCCTTAAAAAAGCGTTTCACCCGTCCATGGGCTCGAAGGGACATCGACAACGATGACGAGAAAGCCGGCCGTGGCCCTCTTGGGCTTCGGCTTCTTCATTCTTCCCCCGAGGCACTCATGGACATCATACTCGTACATGGTCTGCGGGGTGGGTCAGTAAAGACTTGGCGGAAGGGGAAGAACCCCCGAACTTTCTGGCCTCAATATTGGCTGCCTCTGGAGCCTGAGCTACACAATGCCAACATACACAGCTTTGGTTATGACTCAGACTGGGCCAATACCAAGTCCAGCATATTAAATATTCATGATTTTGGGCAGTCCCTTTTGGAAGAAATGCGAAACTCTCCGAGCCTGAGAGACAAAGAAAACGTAAAGTCAGGGATGCCATCAAAAGTGGCATTGTTAAGTCTCACAGGGACCCATATTCCTGATTGGTCATTCCATGGGTGGACTCGTAATCAAGAGGGTAGGCACGTTGACGTGCGGGTATCTGAGGAACAATTGTTCAAGCTAATGATGATAGGCTTTTGTCCTGGCCAATGACATTCCGGAGTTTCAGCGACGCATCCAATGTGTATTCTTCTTGGCCACTCCTCACAGGGGATCTGACTACGCCGAAGTCTTGAATAATATTCTGCTCGTTTCCGGAATAATGTCCTCACGTCACTATATTACGGATATCACGACTGGGTCTCTATCAGCTCAATTGATCAACGAAGAGTTTGAGAAAGCTGCTAGCGATTTGCGGATATTCTCTTTCTACGAGACCCTTCCGATGAAGATTGGTCTTTCGTCTAAATTGATTGTGGAGAAACGTTCGGCGATTCTGGGTAGGGCCCTTTGATCATGCTCATATCAACGTATGTAACGAACAATCTAATGGTCTCGTAATTGAAGGGCTTGGGTCTGGACGAGAAAGGGTCCAGTACCTCAACGCGAATCATCGGGACATTTGCAAATTCGACAGCCCGAAGGACGAAAATTATGTAACTATGAAGAACGCCATCATAGGTGCGACGCAGGACATCCTGAAAGACGGCACGTGGAAATCGCAATTAAGATTACAATGTCAGAACACTGACAATTGACAGGCACTGCAAGCATTGTGCAGGAGTCTCGAGGACAAATGAAAGTCTTGAGGTCATTTCTAGGTATCACAGATCACCCGAATGAGGACTATCATAGAGTTGAAGGTTCATGCCAGTGGATCGAAGCCAGAGAGGACTTTCAACATTGGATGGATCCAACTGGACAGCTTGTTCGTTGCCAAAACTCGATGTCAGGGAAAAATCCTTGCATGTTCTGGGTCACTGCAAATCCTGGAACAGGTAAAACATATCTCGCAGCACATGTTATAGATCGGTTGGCGCAGCTCCAGCTCGCGTATTCTTATTATTACTTTCACGTCGGAAGTAAATCGTCCCGATCTCCCAGCCACTTTTTAAGATCTACCGCATATCAGATGGCGAAGTCAAATGCTTTGGTCCGTGAGAAGCTGATGGGAATCTGTGAAGAAGGATCGATATTTGACAATGAAGACGCTACTACCATTTGGACCAAAGTTTTCAGAAAAGGCATTTTTCAGGTAAGTGAACGCAAATATCTGGATGTTGTATCCTCAAATGCTCATTTTTCGAGGTCAACATAAGGACACCGCAGTATTGGGTGATTGATGCAATCGATGAGTGCGCCAGGTATCGAGAACTCTTTACTTTACTTAGAGGCATTCAGTTGAAGTTCCCACTCAAAATCTTTCTCACGAGTCGGAAAATTCCTGAGCTCCACAGCATACAACGCTCCTTGGAAAGTTGGATGTCAATATCATACTTTGACATACCAGCAGAGGACAGCGCGAAGGATATCGACTGCTATATCCAACAGCGGGTTCACAGTCTGGGTAGCCAGATGGTGAATGGAAAAGAGAATGTAGGTGAGACTCTTTTACGAAGGTCCGATGCCTGTTTCCTATGGGTTCGTCTAGTCTTAGACGAACTCGAAAAGGTATATGTTCCAGAAAGCTTTACGCAAATACTCAACAGTATACCTAGAGGAATGGTCCCTTTTTATAAGAGGACTGTTAGCGCAATGGCGAACAACACCGTTGAGAAGTCTATCGCTCGAGCTGTACTTGCTTGGGTTGTTGCAAGCTCAAGAGACCTATCTCTACCTGAACTATCAAGTGCCTTGAAGTTGGATATCAACACTGTTCTCCCCTGTGCCAAAACTGCTGTGGAAGGACTTTGTGGTCAGCTGGTCGTTGTTGACCATCATTCTGATTTTGTCAGACTTGTCCATGCCACAACACGCGAGTTTCTCTTCTCCGAAGATGCTGGGGAGTTTTACATTTCTCAGCCAGAGGCACATGAGAGAATTGCTTTGACGTGCTTGAAACTGCTTTCGAGTAGCGAAATGAAACCACCTCGAAACCAGAAAACGTCGTTTTTGGCTCGTGAAAATCGAGACCCATCGCCACTGATGGATTACTCAATAACACAGTTCTCAGAGCATATTTGCTCTGCTTTAGCCAAGACTGATGAGATTCTACTGGCATTAAGCCTCTTTTTCAAGACGAACATTCTCTCGTGGATCGAGAGGGTCGCTCAGATGGACGATCTGTACCCTTTGATCAGGGTGTCAAAGAACTTAAAGAGCTATTTGGACTGGAGAGCCAGATACCTCCCACCACTCAGTAGCGAAGTACAGATCGTCGATAGCTGGTCGACAGACTTGAGTAGAATTGCAACGAACTTCGGCTCAGCTCTTTTGCAGGATCCGTGGTCCATCCATTTTGTTATTCCCCCTTTCTGTCCGCTTGATTCCGCTATTTACAAGCAATTTGCAAGGCGACCGGGGCCATTGGCATTGTCGGTCGTAGGACACAAGGAGAACACGTGGGATGACTGTGTGGCATTCGTCAATTTTGGAGAAGATAGCGTAGCTGCGGCTGTCTCCTGCGGCGAAAATCTCATTGCGGTGGGTCTAGAATCTGGCGATATCAATGTTTTCAACCGCAAAAGCTGTCAAAAAGAGGGCGTATTTCACCAAACACATCCGATTGATCTTATTCATTTCACGGACAGATCTATTGTGGCGTGCACGACCAGATCGGTCGTTCTTATGGATCGCATGGGAAACCCAATATGGCAAAATCGGCTCAGGTTTCGCTGTATTCTCCTCACATCATCGCCCGATGCTATTGTTGCCGTATCCCAACATGGGCACGTCCTGAAGTGGGACATTTCGACCGGTGCCCTTCTCGATGATCAAGCGTTTATGTATACTAGTCCTGAAAGTGATGGCGGTGGCGAGCCCGCACCCAAGGCCCCTGATGTCGTGTCTTTATCTGCCGACCTGGAAATGCTTGCGATAGCGTATCGGTGGGGTACGGTGTGTATTTTCGAGGTCGAGACAGCTGAAGTCATTGCATGGCCACGTGATGAATACAACAGGCTTGCTGCGATTCTGTTGTTCAACCCAAATCCCAACATCAGCCTACTCCTTATAGTCTACACTGATCATAGACTCGCTCTCTTTGAACCAGAAACAGGGTTCCTAGTGAGCGCTCAAGACGCCCCAAGTGCTGCCGGCATCCTCTCAGCGTCTTGTTCGCCGGATGGAAAAACGCTTGCTACCGCCAATAAGCTAGGGGTTCTTCAAATTTGGGATTTTGAGTCGTTGGGCCTTCTGTATCACGTCTCGTCCCCAGCGACACCGTCTCGGATCATTCACTTTGTATCAGATGGATCAAGCGTAATTGACGTGATAGATTCTGGCATGCGGATCTGGAACCCAGCAGCTCTTGCCCGTAAGAAGATCAATGAGGACCAAAGCATTAGCGACGACGCATATTATCTCGTAGCCACCGAGGGCGAGTATGAGACACGCAGAATAGCAAAAATTACGGCATTATGTGCCCATCCCACTTCACCGTTTATTCTTGCTGGGAAGCACAATGGACAGGTCATAGCTTTCGACACAAAAACAGGACTACAGATTCAAATGCTGTACAACCATCCCGATGGCGCTACCATCAGCGGACTAGCGGTTAGCCACAGCGACATATTGGCGTCAAGCGATGTCAATTGTGGTGTTCAAGTTTGGAAACTAAAACAAGCCCTTTCACCGGCTCACCTGTACACATATTCCTCGGCAACACTCAAGGGAGCCATCAAGCAGCTGTGCTTCAATGGTGATTACCTCCTTGTGGCAACGACACACTCGGACCAGGTCTATTCCATGGAAGACGGCTCATGCGTAGGAACATTGCAATTTGAACTTGGCGAGAGAAAGGTCTGGCGGTGGCTCCAAGTGCCCTCTCAATCAGAGCAGCCCACACAATTTGCTCTCATCCAAGGCCATCTAATGACTAGATTTAGCGCCTCTGATTTCCCGTCAAAGATCGATAACTTCAAGGCTGATCTAGAATACGATATTGGGGAGGGTAACAATGAGACAGACATTAATTCAGCAGTCATTCACCCAGAAACACAAAATCTGATCCTCGACATTCAATACGCCTCGGGATACGTCTCGTCATCCTCCATGTTTTTCTTCAACCTAAGCAAGATGACGACCATGAGCGAATTGATTCCCAAATACTGCAAGCATTTCATCGGTGTGAGCGAGCGGACGCAAACTTTTGTGTTCTTGCACCAAAATTCATGGCTTTGCAGCATTAGCAAAAATCAACTCGCGCTGGGCCAATATACACAACACTTTTACGTACCTGATAAATTCATGTTGCTTAGACACCGCGTGTTGCCTACGCTGACTGCTGACGATGACGTGGTGTTTTGTCTGTATGACGAGCTGACTGTGGTGAGGAACGGGCTCATCTTTAAAGAGACGAAGGTCTTGAGCTAGCTTTTTTTTTGACAGTCCAATGATACAGTCATGGACGCCCACTGAGTAGACATCTCTACGGATCTGGCGATGATGACACAAAGAAAGGCTCGAATATTACGGGCCTTAACGGCCAAGATAGGGACAAGTAACCGTCGGTCATTTCATGGGAACGGCTGGTCCTGAGTGCCTTCTCCAGCATTCACGCCGTGAGTGGTCATTGTGGAATAGCTGGAGAGCTAGAACGCAAGTACGTCAAACTTTATAAAGCCCTGATACTCAGGATCTTGAGCTTATATTTGTAGCAATGTCTCATCGCAATTCCCCATAGTTCATGGAAACCGCTGATGGCAATGTTTGTAACTTTATACCTTTAGACTGGTGTATTTCTTCTGTCGTGCCGAAAGCCACCTGTGAGAATCTGGTCATGGCAGAAGGTAATCACGACACTAGCAACAAGCAGCCTGCACGTGAAGACTCCCTTACTCCAGCCTTACCAGCGCCAGCGTATTCTGTATTCGAGCCCGCACAGAGGAGATGGATCATCTTCTTCGCCGCCTGAGATGGGCGGTTCTCATCCGGCGTTTATGGCCTATGACCTAGGCGTATCCATTTGGAAAATCAACCTTACTGTGACCTGATACATGATCGCATTAGATTTCCAGTCATTACCAGCAATACTGCCGACAGATATGGACGTCGTATCGTTCTCTCCGCTTCGCTGGCTGTCTACACTGTAGCCAACATTGGTATCGCCCTGCAAAGATCATATCCGGCGATGTTCATGTTGAGAATGCTTCAAGCTGCTGCAATATCGGGTAGCTGCTGCAATATCGGGTATTGAAAATGTTGAACTCTGCTTGCCACAGTCAGTAAGATAGAACATTGTGGGCGGCTTCTCCGTCACTTATGGTGTTATTGGCGATCTGACAACACCACACGAGAGAGACGGCTTCTCTGGGAATGCCTCAATATTGTACGCTCTCTAGTCACACAAGATGGCACTTGGTGGAGCCTCCACTGACCGATGCCCCAAGTCTAAACACGCCAATAAGTGTCGCCCCTATGATCACCGGGTTGCTTCTCATCAGATGGGCCTGGCCATCCATTTTCTGGTTCTTGTCCACCATATCCCCACTTGTGCTGTTGACAATGTTCAGTTTCCTTCCTGAGACATGCAGGCGCATTGTGGGCAAAGGGAGCCGCCGCACTTCTCGCGTCAACAGCCCTCTCATTCCTCTCCTGCGCCCTCAGCAAGATTCGTCGTCGACTTCTCAGCATGAGAAATAAGACGATGTACCCAAATTGCCGACCCAGTTTTCGCTTCCCTTACCACTAAAAAGCGGTGCAACCTTCGCGGCTGTCTTGTGCTATGGCATCTGCTATACGGTCCACTGCTGCTTACAAGCATCTACATCTACACTCTTCGCTTTAATTTACCACTTGTCAGCAGATCTGATCTATATCCCTTGGGGCGTTGCTTGCTTGATAGCTTCAGTCATAGCTGGTACTTTGTCCCTCGCCTGACATCTGAATCGACTTCAACAGCAGCCCAAAAAGCTGAATCTTGTCCTAGGTAGAATCTTCGATCGAGATTACAAAGTAATTGCCAAAGCCAAAGGATTGACCATTATCCGAGTCAGAGGGGACGATCTATCGACCTTTCCCATCGAACATGCCCGGCTTCGGATGCATAAGTATTCCATCATCATCTGCGCATCCTTGATCGCCGCATACGGATGGGCTCCACATGCTCAACCGGTGAAGCATCCCATGCCGAGTGTTTGAAGCCCTCCGCTTACAAAGCCAGCACATAGTAGTATCCCGTGTCCTCCAATTTCTTACAGGATTCTCCAACCAGGTTCTTTGCACAGTAAGAGCCACTTCGCCTTCAATAGAGCCAAAATCTATAAGCACAATCACTGGACACCCTACTCGTGTCTTATCACCCTGACCAATCTGCTTCTTTGCAAGCCGTAAACAGCATCATCAGATGCATGCTCGCTGCAGCAGGCCTAGCCGTCTTGGACGTCTTGCTTACCAGGTTGGGTCCAGCTTGGTGTTTTATAATGTTTGCTGTTCTGCACGCCACTACATTTCCCATCTTCTGGGGTTTGGAGCGACAGGGGCCTGTATGGCGGGTGGCAGGCGGAGAACGCGTGAGCTGAGGCTGTTTGTGATATAACATGCCTCGCTCGCACTGGCCATCTAGGGAAGAATTGTGGGGATTTTCGAGGAGGCTGCCCTGGATCGGTTGGAAAAATGAGAATGCGTACACCCGGTTGCAAGTTCAATGGCCTTCGCTACCTCTATTCTAGCGTCGGCGGTATTGGCATGTATCTGAATATCAAACATGCGGAAAGGCGGATGTGAGCCGCTAAGTCAGAATAGGGATCAGCTGAGATCTACTCCCTTCATTATTTGGGCAGCTATAGAGAGGTCGACCCCAGAGCGAGCCCTACTAGCCCGTCTTCAAGTTCACAGAAAGACGGACGAGGGTTGGTGAAACAGCACAGAACCACGCCAAATATTCCAACCTTCGCTCTCGAGGCAGCCATAGGGAGACCGGCCCCAGCACGAGCCCTGTCAGCTGATCGTCGACGGGAGCAATGGCGCCTTACATCCTACCATGGACATTTGGCGGGGCTCGTCTTCGACTAGTCGACCTATGGGATGTCGTCGGTCAGGAAGGTCGTGTTGGAACCAAAGCATCAGTAGGAAGCGAAAGAGATAAATATGGACAGTAACAGCTAGGTTCAGCGAAGCGCGGCCATATGCAGCTGTGAGAGTCAAATGCTAGGCAGTGCTTGAAGAGGTAAACAGTTTACTAAGACACAATTCTTGACTCTGACGCCTTGCACGAGGCGGGCAATCCACGATTTATTCTAAAGCAGCCCTGATTTCATCTACCATCGATTACAGTAATGACTAATTCTATTTTGGAGTATACGTGATAGAATATCTATGTTAGAATAGCTGCGGCGATCCATCCACCGGTTGCCATCCCTTCATTGAAATTTTGCGTAGATCGGTTCGTGTTATGCGTGAATATACTGCTGCACCTTCGGATAAACTCCAATGACCCTATTGTAAAAATCCGGATGATCCCGCATCAAGACATCCGGATCCCATGCCATAGCCACAAAGATCGTATCTACTCCGCTTCCCAATGGGGTCATGAAGATCTGGCACACCTGTAGTCCGATCAAGAAGCTAAATGCCATAACTACTGGGGTGAATTCGCCGCCTTTGTTGTACTCCGGATTGGTAAATTGTAGGTAAAGGAATGCTAGCAGGGCGCAGAGATAGCCGACGAAGGTGGCTCCCATGGTCAGGACGGGGCTGATCAGGCAATCGTTGACGAGGGCGTCGACGCCGCGGTTCTTCATCATTGTCCAGGTATCTTTGGCGGCCGGGATGTATGCTTTACCGTACAGGGCGATGTGCGAGAACGCATAGCGGTTGATGAATCTAGATACCTCTTTAGCCAAAACATTATGAGTTCATGGCTTTAGGATACTCACTGAACGGCCCAGTCAATAATGCCAATGATGCAACCCAGCAGGCAGAATAAGATCGAGGCGACCATATTACCTTCTGAAGCCTCTTGCCGCTGCGCTATACTACAAGCTTGTCGTACCATGTTGATCAGTGCCACAACTAGACTCCCCAGACTGATGCTCCCAAAGGAGTACGTCAATGACCGCCTAGCCGCTCCTCTCGTAGCGCCCGACGGCATACCACCAGGTTTGCCGGCGCAGAAAAACCAACTTCCATAAACGCCCGCCACGATGCTGTGCATGGTATTCTTCAACCATTCAGTGATCCAGTATCCGGCAAATGTCACGAACACGATCAACCCAATGACTTTCGCGGAGGAGCAGCCTCCAGCACCACTGCTTCCACTACCAGCTGAACATGCAGGATTTTGACCTCCTCCACTTGGCTCGTACTTGACGTAGATAGCCACAAGAGTGACACTAAACCACGCGCCAAACGCGACAGAAGCAATCCCACCAATAGCCGAAACGAGAAAGACATGCCCAAAGCTCCTAGCGATATCCATGGTCTGCTGCAGCATGGCCACAGAGAATGGGATGCGCGGTATCCAGCTGACGAAACAAATGATACTGAAGATGGCAAACAGCGCGAACACGATGCCTGCGCTGTAATAGTGCTTGATCAGATAGTACACCGCGGTGCCGATACCGAAGACGATCTGCAAGATACCAGTGATCCAGATGAATTGCTTGGTGAACATCCGGGCTAGCAGGAAGTAGGACCATGAGAAGACCAGTGCGACGCATAGGACGAAGACGAAGAGGACGATGGTGTTGGTGTTTAAGGAGAAGTTGTTATCGTTGTGATAAATGCCGTTTCCGCTCGATTGTTTGTTGGCAGAGTAGCCTTGGAGGGAGATGCCGGATATGGCTGCGAAGCCGAGGACTGTGAGGATGAACTGTGCACAGTCAATCGTCAGTTATTTCTTGGGTTTCGACCTGTTTATAGGAGGGGCGCATACAAGTATACCGGCCCACAAATCATTGTACTTGGGCTTATCAAGCTTGAAGGTCTGTTCAAACGTTTGCTTGCCGTCCGAGTAATTGGGCGCCTGTTGTGGTGGTCCAGGGTTGTAATTTGATGAATAATTGGGGGAGCCTGCTGGTATGGTTGTTGGGGCTCTTGGTATTGCATGGGCTGTGGACCGCTAGGGTCATTATAGTATGAGTCTGCTTCTCTGTGCTTTTGAGCCATGGCGTCGCGTCTCTGGCCTCACAGCCCACTCTTATTGTCGGAATGGATGTGCGATGCTTCGGGCGCGTCGGCCAGGTCGTTCGAAAATTATGGAATGAGAGCAGATTGCATGCGAGGCAGAATCAATATTGCACGTGAGATGGACGACAATGGCCGAGCGAAAGCAAATTGATCGTTGAGCCTAGTCAGTGTACGAAGTAGCTAAAGCAATGGCAGACTAGAATTTCCAAGGTCTTGGACTCTTGGTCGGTCTGGACGCGATGACGTTATGAGATCGGCCGGAACGACGGCAGGGGGCATCAGGTTATGCTTATCTGTGCCAAGGCGCCACTAGTCCCTTTTGGATTTTGCTTGATGAAGCCACCAGAAGCCACGGCGCTGACGGAACGGAAGTCTAGAAAGGGGCTGAGGATTGCTTCATGGTGTCGACAAGATGCAAGAGGAAAAAACATCATATTTCATGCTTTGCTATTTCACGTTCAACTGTGTATCCGAATAACCCGCTGGATACATACGACCCCGCCCACGGTTTTGCTCATTAGAATGTTTATCTCCCGTCTCATCGCTCACGCATATCGTGCAAACGTAGCTTCGTAATGCCCTTTCCAACTCATCCATATCGTGCATGTTCTTGGTTGAGGAAGTGACTTGCACGATCGTCCATTTCAAACACTGTTATTTATCGTACAAGCTCTCATGAGTGGGATGAGGCTGTTGTAAGGTTTTTGCAACCCATCTGATGTTCTGTATAATCCGTATAATGTAAAAACATTCAATCTCACTACTGGCCCTGTCGCCATTGGCTGTGAGGTGGGTAGGATCCATTGCTTGACCCGTGAGGTGGAGGTAGTTGCTGTGATTGTCCAAAGCCGTGATCGTTTTGCTTCTTTGCATCATAAACTTGACGATTTTGCAGTTGACCATCCACGGGCGGCGCACCAGTCTGGCTGTCAATCTGCATCACATCGTCATCAAGAGGCATCTCCTCATCGTATGTGTCCGGAAGGCCGGTGATATAGCTGTATGTCTGATACCGCCGGGCAGCAATCTCGGCTGCTTGATCATTAGGGCTCCGGTATGCAGGTTGAGGGTTATCCTGCGGTTGAGGGGCTTGGGAAGCTTCATAATGCATGTACTGGGGGCCAGAGTTACTTCGCGGGTCCCAAACTTGAAGTTGGTCCGGTTGTGCCTCCCCGCTTGGAGTCCCACGTCCATACTGGGCAAGCGATCCATTGATACCGGTCAATGCCCAGGCGAAAACAGCGACCTCGCGAATGGAATTGATGAAAGTTTCCGTGGCTGGGCCTCTGTTCACAGCAGCCTCGGCTTGTTGGGCAGTAGGATTGACAGGGAATCGGTCGGGTGCAGTGTTAGGCGTTAATGGCCCACTCCGGTTATCCAGATCAGGTATGATAGGATTATTTGCCCACGGCGACGCGAACAAGCCATTCCGATACGGCTCTGCAGTAGATTCTGAGCTGATGGCATTTGGGACAAGCGGTCTAGCTTTGCGGAGCACCACCACCAATCCGTCCGAAGTACACGAGACGACGGCCTCGAGCTCAACCTGATTCACTACTTGCGACGACGATTGCCTTGGCTCATCTGGTACGGATATGGAGGACGTCCTCGAATCTTGGCCTTCTGCTCTGTCGAAAATCCTATCTTGGGCATTGGCATCCGAATCCGTGCTGTTTCCCGAAGAAGTCCGCGAAGTCGGTTCCATGGGTTGTGGTTGCCGTGACTCCCGTTCTACAGACGACCTCACGGAATTAGACGAGCCTGTTGTAACTGCGTTTTCGCTACCATCTTGACTCATCAACTCCGATAGATGGACGCCTCCGTCATCATCATCTCCACTGCTGTGGTCTTCACTTATGCGCTCATCACGATTAATCCGGAAATCTTCCTGCCGGGGATCGCGGAACCAGAAGCGAAGATATGCTATCGAATCGTTGGCTTTAGCACTTTCGAGGCACTTGACGCCTTCACGCAAACAATTCTCTTGTATGCAATAATAGAAACTCTTGCCAATGAGCTGGTCATTGGTGATGCCTAGAAGACTGGCGAGCCCGTTCGTAGCAAACATGATGGTCAAGGTTCGAGAGAAACGATTGAGAAACAAGGCGGCTCGTGGCTCATGAATGTTCGGTTGAATTCGATGAGAAAATTTGGCTGAGATGTATTGCAACATGTGGTAACGTGGGTCTCGAGGGGACGACGAGAAGAGTCGCCGAATGACGGGTGCATCTTTGGCTCGTTCTAAGCTTCGGTTAGCCGCCGATTGGACACATCTGCTGGATTGGAACATACTCTGGCTTCTGACCCCTCGTTTGTATATACTAGTACTTGCAACGAGAGTATCGTGCACCACTGTAAATACACACTCACATCCTACCCATTGCCCCTGCTTGTTCTTGACTTGGCAGTAGTTCAAAACTGCGGCTTTGTCCAGACGGATACTTCTTCCATGTATTGCTTGTGCGAAAGGGATCTCGTCTGGGTGGAAGTACTCCCAACATGACCTGCCTACGACTTCGTTTGGATGGTATCCAAGTATGTCTTCGATAGATTGCGATACATAGAGGATTCGAGCATCTAGGGATACATCTGCATGACCTGTCAGTGTCTGATCTTGAGCTGCAGAGCAAGGCATGCCGACATACCGTGTATTGTGATGAATGTGGTTTCCATGATGGCTTATGTAAGGATGAAATCATGGATGAGATGACGCAGTGTAGAAGGAACGATTCAAATGTTCGCCAGCGACAATCGAGGATGAGCGAGTAGGTGTAGAGATCAACGTTTTGAGGCTAATATAAACCACCGGAGGACGCTTGTACTCGGGTGTCAAGCTTAAATGATTTTGATGGTTGACTTAGTGAATGATGTGGTGGGGTGATTGCTATTAGGGATGGGTGACGCTAGATCCTCGGAGCAGAGGATATCAGAGGATATGACAACACTAGAGTCACGAGCTTGTCCTTGCAGTTCTTCACTGCTATTTTACGCTATCACGCGTGCGTTGCGAGAATGATTCTCCACCCTTATTATATGAGCCCTCCTGGCTTGCCACTAAGGCTCCGACGAGGGGAAATAGGAATCAGCGAATTGCACGCAACGACTGCATCAAATCGTCTGATAGGCTAAGTGCGTATGTGCGAAAATGAGTGTCAAGAAGGCCGTAATGTGATCCAAGCAATGGGTGGCGTTCTCGTCTTGGATCCGGGCCAAGTGACCGGTCGTATTGCGGCAAAAGCGAGCAAGCGGTGTGATCGCAGAGGAGGTGATATTTCAGGAGAAAGAGTCCAGATAATGCGTCGCGAGATGCTGTTGCAGACTGCAATGCCGGCAAGGAGCACAGGGCAATTGGAATTTGCTACAGAAATGGAAATGGTGCAGAGGCACGCAGACGCTGGGCGGATGCAGGGTAAACCTTGAATTAGCAGTGACTAACGCCTCCAAGCCCTTTCCTTCGTTGCACAGACCAGGCGAATTGCCGGAAACGAATTGGCAGGGCAGAGAGCGCAGGGAAGGCAGGGAAGACGAGCAACTTGACCCTCGCTTGGAAGACACTGTGCATCCCCAAGGTCTGAGGCACTTTGGCGACCCTCACATGGCCGCTGCAATCACATTCTCGCCCTTATTAGTACCCTCATAACGTGATTGCCACTTTCCAGCAGAGCCTCTCGATGGAAGAGGGGCCTCGAGCCTGCGGATATACAATTCCCTGATTCCTCTCGCAATCGCTACCCCTCGGCTCCGTTGGCTTGAGCTTCACTACTACTGCTACGTTTAGGCTGAGAGTCATGTCTCTTACAGCTTAGTGCGCCTTGCCTTCAGATCCGGACGAGGTGAGCGGTCCAAGATTCGACGACCCTGTGCAGAGCTAACCCTCCGTTCAGCTTGTTTCACGGCATCGTCGATCATGCTTGTGTCGCAGCCAACGCACCCTGCCGAGCCTGCAATGCATCGGGTAAAGCCTTTTCCTGGCCTCGACTCATCGCCGATTGCTTTTAAAGGTCTCGCCATTTGTACACTCAACCCAATTTCTTCCAATGACTTTCGGTTTTTTTCGTGTCAGTCGTCAATGCGTTGATCCACAGTCACCCGACCCACGTTCGCCGCAAGCCGGACGTTTCGCAGCCGTAGTGAGGGTGGAGGCCTGCCTAAGCGAAGAATTCTGCGAAATGTGCTGAGTGAGGATGGCATTGTTGGCGCTGCCTACCATTAGAATGCCTGGGGTTTCTCGAAAACGAGAAGTCAGTTACCTTGTCGATAAATTTCTGCGGGTATTGAACACGAATGGCTGCAGGCTCGCGAGAGCAGTAGCCTGCTTACTTCTGCCAAATTAATGATATGCTCACGCTTGTACCGGCTTCACGGGATGTGACAGACCCAATTTCAAAATTGAATAATTAGCTGATTTAGGACCCACCAAGGTAAGAACGAATGTCGCGGCCCGAATGTTGAAAATCAAGCGGCACCTGGTGGCTTGTTTGCCGAGACAATCACGGACAGCTCCAGCAATTGGGGCTGGTGGTTGGACGTCTTGTGGTTCTTGATGCTCGGCGGTATTGATCGAGAACGATTTTCAAGTCCCTCATGTTCTGCACTACCATTCTGAATCTGGTGCCTCCAATATGCTCTTACGCTTCTTCTGAAGTTCAAGACATCCCCTTGCCGTTGGAATTGAAAGAGGCTAGCTTTCATTGTTTTCCCAGCTTTCCCGACATGGTTTGTAAAGGCCAATCGAAGCCTTTGCGCAACGCAAAGCTAGTGAACATAGAACCCCGAGCACGCAAATTTGGTCTCAACATCCAAATTTCAGTAGCGTGTCGATCATGGAATTCACGGTCGTGAGCGTAACCGAGACCATAAAGCAGCACCAGTGATGGCATTTCCAACGGAATAGCAACAGCTGTTCCTGCTGCATTAGGCGCACCATCGGTGATGATCCTCACGAAACGATTCTTGAATCCTCATTCTGTAAGGTCCGAGAGGTGTGGTTGACATCGTCCATCAGGATCCGAGCGCATGTGCCTCATGAAGGGAGGCCAGTCTTCGAAAAGCCACCGAACAGCGTACCGATGGAATAGCCTGGCCTCGGCTCGTTGGCGCTGGCGTGTTCAGGCTTCCTTGAGCTAGGCACTAGACTGTGGGGGCATGCTATTGCGTGGGATACACAGAGCTCGAGGCCTCGAAAAGAGAGAGCCCTCAAGGAAGAAACCGAAACGAGCTGCTTGAACGGGCATTTGGGCATTCTTGTGGTGGGCTGTCAGTCAGATGGCGTCACGCCAACTCACACTTAGTCCTTGAACTCTTCATGCCACCCAGTTGCCTTGTTTTAGGACCTCAAGAATTCCGCTTTTCTCACAATGATTGATGCTGGGCGGCTGCGTAAGAATGTACGACTCGTCCAATGCAATCGAGCCTTTGGCACCGTGGCCTCACCTTGAATGCCAGGGTGAGATTTCAGTGGAACTCCTGCTGCAGATCACTCAGGAAAGGCAGTGGCCAGTTGCTTTAGTAGAGCCCTCGTCGATGATGCGGGTGTAAGTCCCAAGATAAAAGGTTACTGGGTTTGGAGATCAGCTAATCGGTGTCTCCCTTGACCCACCCACAAGTTCAATGCGAGAGGTAAGCAGGATAGGACTTGCTCAGTCATCAGATTGTCATCACGATGTCATACATTCTATGCAAGAGCTAGCACTAATTATTCATCCATTTGCTCGTTTTACGTAGCTCGTTTAGCAAACTCGACACGGAGAATCAAATGTCCGTACCCATCTACGGAAAATGTCAGCACTGTTCATAACGTTTCGAACCCACAGCAATCCTATGCGCAGCAAGACTTACAGCCATCAATCTTCTCACAAGCCTTTGCGGCATCGCTCCTATCCGCAAAGCTAATGAAAGCGAAGCCCTTTGCCCGGCCCGTATCTCTATCCTTCGCGAGGAAAACCCGTGTTACTCGTCCGAAGCGTTCAAAAATTTCACGAAGATCATTCTCCTCTGCAAACTCTGAGACCTGTCCATCAAGTCAGCAATGTGCACAAGCCCATCCAGTACTCCTCCTTCTGCGTCGCGTGAATACGCACATTTGTGACTCTTAGGGTAGCTAGGTCATCCCTCTCGTACTTCCCACCCATTCTTTCTCCTCCCGCAGCATTTGCTCCCTTCCTCAAATGCGGTGGCACGTAGCCACCTGCCCCAGAGCCCAGCCCGCCCTCTTTGACTGCACCCTCTTCGCCGTCTGCCCCTGCGCCATCAGCAGCGACATCTCCATTCTCACCCATGGGTGCCATAGTATCCTTGAAAGGACACCGAGCTGTAAAATGTTCTCCGTCACAAATTCTGCACTTGACTTTCATGTTCTTCAGCTTCTCCTTAGGGTCATCCTTCTTAGTAGCCTCTTCCTTGTCGTCTTTCTTCCATGTTACGCTAGGTCTGAATATAATGTTCTCGCCTACGGAAGTAGTATCAAAGGAAGGACCGGCTGGGTGACCCTTTTCGAGTCCAAACTTTGGCCATGCTCGCCGTTCTGCGACTCGTGGGTTCACCGTTTCTTTGACCACCGTCGTACGTATTCGTCTTGTAGTCTTCACACGCTTGCCATCATCGTTAAATCGATACGATATAACAGTCTTGGTGCCATCTTTGTTGGTTGTAACTTGTTGCGGGGGAGGGCAGAGGGGTCGTCAAATTCTGTGCTTCTTAGAATATGTGCGTGCCTTCAAGTCGAGCTTACTTGCCTTCGTCATCAGCCCAGTCTGGACGCGTTGCTAATTTGGACATCTTGGTTTACTTTGATCTTCGATTTTCAATGTAGTCAGCTCTGTAGGCGTAGACAAGAATATTCTAATAGAATGAATTGGTCAGAATAGGTGGGCGAAAATTTTAGGGTTTACCTACGATCGGGCCGAGGTAGTTCCCCGTTTCATGCTAGCGCCATATGCAAAGAATGTGTCCTACGCGGCAGCCGCTCACTGTCCCTTTCAATCTTCAAAATGAGAAACTCTTGCAACCGCAATGAACATGCTGAGAAACAGCAAATGCTAATGATATTACTAAGATCGCCTTTTACCTAGCGTGCGAATCTTATGAAAGGTAGCTATGAAAGAGAGCATTTTCTGCATGCGCTTGCGGTAGGATACTTCTGCTTCTCAGAACAGGATCTTGACAAGCGATGCAGATCTCTCGGTGAGCTAAACGTTGTGCAACAATGTTACCTTTAATCCTTGTTCTCGAACTTCAATCCTGCTTCCTGTCTGACCGCTCCATAAATACCTGCGATGTCGCCTTTCGATCCCATATGTTTTTGCACATCTGTGAGATGGCCATCAGCGACCTCGATATCCTTCATCCTGGTTCCTGATGCTTGAGCAAGGTCCATAGCATGCTTAGCATCCTTTCGTGCCAAGTCTACACCGAAAAGGGGCTGCAAAATGTGAGTAGTGGAAGGGATTCTGCATCTTGTTTCGACACACCTCTTCCCGCTTGTAGTAATCCCCGCTCATCATACGACCAGAGTATGCTGTATATACCCCCGGGAAAAGATTCTCGATGAACTGATGGAGATTCTCATTCCCCAAACCGCTCTTTTCAGCAAGCGCATGACCCTCAGACACGCTTTCAATCATGTTCAGGATGAAAGTATTGCCAATGATCTTTAGTAAAGATGCCTTTTGCTGAGGCTGGTCACTGAAGTCAATATTCGCGCGGCCCATGACTCCCTTGCAATACGGCTTGACCTTGTCTGTAGCGGATGAAGGGCCTGCTAAAACACAGACAAGCTGCCCACTTTCCGCCATCGCAGGGGCCCCAAATACAGGACAGCTCACGAACTCAGCCCCTTGTGATTCAATTGAGTTTGCAATTGTTCCTGTAGTCGACGGGTGGACGGTCGAACAGTCCACAAACAACTTGTCCTTGACATCCTGCTTCAAAGCGGTCGCAATGGCGTCAGTGATAGCGGTATCGTCACCAAGGCAGGTGAAAACAATGTCCGCCTTTTGCACCGCATCGCCCAACTCTGACGCTACAACAGATTTTCCGGTGCCTAGCTTTGCATTGAGATCATCGGCACGTTGCTTTGTGCGGTTGAAGATGATGAGTGGCTTCTCCAAGTTTCCTTTCGACACGAGGTTCTTACACATGCCCTGGAGCACGATGAGCTTTACTCTAATCGACAGGGTGAAATACATGCCCGACCCATGTTTCCCAAACCAATCCATGCTAATTGCGGAGCCATGGTAGTGAGTCTTATTGATGAGTACCTGACGCAAAAGAGAATCTAGGACGAGTAGGACGCAATATGAAAGAAGAAGAAGAAGAAGGATTGTCAGATAAATTTTCGCACTACAAGCACTATTTGACAGCGTCCAACACATGGCCTTTATTTCCGAGGCCTATCGACGAGAATCCCACGGGAGTAATGCATTAAAGTAGCATTTACCATTTTAGATTTTGAAGGTACCGCAACCAGCATGGTCGCGCGAGTCCGGGCATATGCATAAAAGCCCGATCGAGCAGCTTTACTTAACAATTAGACGCTTACATATCTCTGTAGAGGGACGGTGTGGTGAGGTAAGCAAGGGGTGATGTTGTACAACAAGGCGGAACAGCGGAAATGGTGGCAAATTTTGTGCGCCAAGATTTGCCGACCAATCAGCGCACGCAGTTGATGGAAAACAATCGGAAGAAACATCTTGCAGTCCTCTTTTGATTTATCCGATGGAAAAGTAATCCATATCTCCATGGGCAAACGCCTTTGAAAATTAAAATGAAGCTTCTACGTGAACATGAGATACTCCAAGTGCCACATATTGGCTATGACCAGCAACCTCAATGCACCATGCACTGGGAGTCCTGTGTTGATAGGAAGCATGTTTACATTGCCAGCAATTCGAGGAATACAGTGTCATTTTCTTTCCTCGAACAACAGCAATCGGTTTCTGAAGCAAGCTAGCTATTCTACATCGGGACCCCATCCAGATAAGGTCAGCAAATCCCTTAACTTCTTATTCGACAAGTCTCTGATTATTGCATCAACAGGAATTGTTTCGCGATGTACTACACTCTTCGACAACAAAGCGGGAGGCGAAATCATTTCTAAAAAGATTTCAGCCCAAGGCCCAGGCCGAGCGTTCCAAGGTGTCAAATCCGCGTAATTCTGGGGTAAACCTTGGCCTCCTCTTCGGATCAGGTGAGAAAGGGCGCGATGCTGGACGAAAGGATCTCTTCGCGGTTGGCAGAGGTCATGAAGTGTTCCATACTGCGCTGCTGAAGATCAGAGCACCTGAATTAATTAGCAGTGACGCCTTGAGTGGCATTGGACGCACGTTATCTCAACTGGCAAAACTTGGTATGTCAAGTATCCTCGTTGTTGATGCATCGAATAGCCGTGCTTCCGATGCTGCATCTCATGCTCGAGCTACTCATAATCAAGCGGTAAGAATTGTAGACGCTATACAAGAGAGCAACGACCTAAGGGCACAAATAATCGATCAGGCATTCGACGTGTTGCCATGTGCAGTGGATGCTTCAAAGAGTTCTCTCGGATCAAACCTGACTGACGTCCGGGCCAAAGTTCGACTCTCGAGCCCGAGCTTGTTATGTTCCGCCTTCTTCAAGGGTATCCTTCCTGTCGTTACCCCAGTTGGCCTTGTACATTCGGCAGGCTTGCAGCGTGTAAGTGTGGCTGCAGATGACGCGATGCTTGCTATTGTGACGGAAATTGTGAATAGTCCGCGGCGCCAGGTTCCTACCTCCTCAAAATTGTCAGAAGCAGAAAATCTGTCCACTTCACGAATCGAAATCTCCTTAGACCGTATTATTGTTCTTGATCCGCTTGGTGGAATACCATCCACTGATCGATACCATGGTTCACATGTGTATATCAACCTTGAACAGGAGTTTGAGCTCATCGAAGCCGAGCTAGATCACCATACAATGGTGTATCAAGGAAGTGCAGCAGTTGACGTTCATTCTGCAAATCTAGCACTCCTGAGAAAAAGCCTTCGGCTTCTCCCCGAATCCTCTTCGGGGTTGATCACAAGCCCACAAGAAGTTCTAAGGTCCCAAGCTCTTCCGTCACAGCAGAGTGTGAGCCCAGAAGTTCAGACACGTCGCAAGCGTAATCCCCTCATTCATAATTTCTTGACCGACAAGCCTGCTGTCTCTTCCTCTCTTCCTCATGGCCGCTCTTCAAGACCAAGCCAGGCGAGCTCTTCCTCAACATTCGTAAAACGAGGAGTGCCAGTAACCATGATTCCAAACGTGAAGACTGCTGCGTGGGCGCTTCCACTGCCTGGGTCAGACGGCTTGTCTCTCTTTGATCCTCGCATCGATCTAGGTAGCCTTGTCAAACTAATTGAAGCTTCTTTCAGACGGAAACTCAACCTTGACCATTTCAATACAAGGATTGGACATCGTTTAGCCGGTGTGGTTGTGGTGGGACAGTACGAAGGATGTGCTTTGTTTACTTGGGAGTCCCCGCCTGGCTTTCCAAACATGACGGTACCCTATCTTGACAAATTTGCTGTCTTGCCTGAGCATCAGGGTACAAGCACATGTATCTCGGACGTACTTTTTCAGGCTATGGTCAGAGACTGCTTTCCAAAAGGTGTTTGCTGGCGCAGTAGAACAAGCAACCCGGTAAATAAATGGTACTTTGAGCGGGCTCATGGGACATTCAAAATACCAGGAACAACTTGGACATCCTTCTGGACGACTGAAAACCCAACAGAGATTGAACTCGGAGCATACGAGTCAGTTTGCCGAACTGTCGAACCAAGCTGGGCAGACTGAGCTCTAGGCCTTACCATACAGGCAATTCTAAGGTCTTGTGAGACTTCAACGCTATTCCACGATCACCAATAGAAGGATAATGACAAATACAGTACCGTTTACCGGCTGACCTGCTGAGTTCAAAGTCTGCCTGGGATCATTTTCCCATTTCGTACCTTTAGTAGGATTAGTTGCCTAGGAGTGATGGCCTCATCCTATAGGCAATGCCACCTTAGGTAGTACGCGAATGTCATTGAAAGGTAACAGCAGACAATTGCAGGTTCGCCACAGTCTCGCCGAGCTGTCAATTGTTCTAGCTGCACGAAAGCTGCATTGACGCTACGGGGCGGATCGCATATTAGTGGCCATCATGTACTATTCCAATCCGTGGTGTCACTGGTCAGCTATATCTTCAGTGAATGATCATGGCAGCTTATGGCTAGCGATTTGGGTAGGTACATCATCGACCATCCGTTTCATTCGCGTGTCGTATATGGAAGAAGGCACCCTTTGCTGCTCCTCTTACGCTCCACTGGGTTGTACAGCACTGAGGCTTATCAAACGCATCTCCGACATCTGGTCTCCCCCAAACCCCCTCGGTGCGTCTTATCATCGCCACTTGTCATGTGCAGCACCACTCTCAGCGTATAGTTCTTCGCATCGTCGGTGAGACCGCAATGCTGTTCCGGATTTTTTCCGTAGCCAGAAAGTCACCTGGCGTTCTTTCACCACTGGACAATACTTCATGCAGGTACCCTCTTCTTTACATGTCATCATCCCTTGTTCTTGGTCAACGGCAGCATTCTTGAGCTCGATCGAAGACTCGAGAGCCGGTCTTCGCGCCTAGCTTCCCCATCATTCATTATCGAGCCGACCCGCAGACTTTGTTGGGATCCTCACGGTGTAGCTTGTCAGCTGGATAGCAAGACTCTTGGACAGTGAGCTTGGGAGAGCTCGGTGAGCTGGTATACGCCACCCATGACGGATGTGTGATGCATATTCACCTCTTTCGAAAGTTTTAGCTGGATGCCTCGTTCTCAAACCCGGCTTGCTCCAACAAATTCACTGTCATGACTGGCTAACATCTCTACTGGCGTTGGTCATCCCAATATGCAGATGCCTACATGTTCATAGCTTGTAGCCCTGAGCTGAGTGATATAAGGAGACCGCGATCCCCCCCACCTCTCTCATCTTTACAACATCGTCAAGCATTATTCTTTTTCAACAAATATCAAGTCTAGTCCAGCTTCTCTCTTCCTCTACTTATCTTCTCTACCTATTCGATCCAACAAGCCTCTCTTGAGAAGACTCTCGACGCATATTCTTGAACCATCTCCTCATCACCCTTCCTCAATATCGACTCCTACGGTGTACGTCATTACACCGCGCAGTACGAGCTATTCAAACCTGCTCATCTCTATTCGTTAGTCGTATGTACGTTGGTTCGATCGCTCTCAATACCGTCTATAGCTGTTTGACGGAACACCTTGCTGCCATGCCAGACGCTAACTGCAACAGTTTTGAGAAAGAAGAATATTCCTCTTGCAACACTTTTTACCCTACGATCTCTCAAGCACCTACCTTCCTCGAGCATACCGAACCACTCGATTGCTTCAATCCCACATCCATAGAAATCAGGATCGGAGCCTTCAGGTCGGAGCTTCTGCTGGAACAAACCATTGCAACCAGCAGTTCAAGAAGTGTCATATCCCCACGTTCACAAGTGTAAGAAGATGTCATCTCCAGACTCAACACACCAGGAACACTCTTCGCAACAGAATTCTCCCTCAATGCGACAAATCTACAGGTCCGGCAATCTCGTCGGCTCCCACGAAGCAAAAGAGAGGACTTCTTTCTTTTGGCATGCTGAAGGTCCAACAGACCACCGTGTTGAACACAACGGCTCCGATTTTCCGTCCTCCTCCATCAAAAGAACACGCAGACGCTTTGTTAACGATTACAATGACCAGTCACTAGCGGCCGGGCCGCCATATCAAGGTTTCGTGCAGGAAGGCCCAATGAAGGAGCCAAGTGACGGGATTCAGCAGCTGAATCATGCTGCTAGGCAGACTTTACCCCACAAGTAAGTTGCCTCTGGGCAAGAACATTGCCTCCTCCCCCTTCGTATTTAATCCTGCTTTTCAGAGTTCCGTAGCTTGTTTCTTCACATCACCAAAGAGCCTCTGTAAATGCTCTTCGTGTCACTAAATATATTTATATGAAACATCCACTGATACTTTGGCTCTTCTCACAGCACATGGAACGATGGCCTCCTCGAATATTCTAGTCTTTCTCCATTGAACCCTTCTCAACATGATCCTGCAGTTCAGAAAAGCAAGTCGAGGAAGCGTAAGGCGGTCGCTCAATCTTCGACAGATATTCGCGGCTCAGGTGATGATTTCTTCAAAGACGAGGACAATGACCTTGACGGTCATCTTTCTTGTAGCTCCTACGAGGATGCAGCGCTTAACAAAAGGAGAAAAGTTGCTCAACAGAGCGTCAAGGGTCAGACTCGCGGTCCTATGCATAGGACCACCAAAAAGACTGGAAGAGACTTCAGGCCAACAGTCCGACGGTCGAAGGTCTTCGACTCGGCATCGAATCAGGTGGCTTTTCAATTGCACGGAAAATTCTTCCTTTCCGGCAGAATTGCTTACGATGAGCACCATGAAAGAGATATCATCTACAAGCGGAATACTTTCGCCGTGACTGATTGCTCATACAAAATCCTCACAAACCCAGAGGGGCCCGTGGATGAGTGTCTCTATCTCGAACTCCATGGTCTACGCCATCGAATTGCGTCCTTGGCTCTCCAGATAGGAGAGCATCGCGAACCCGCCAACCGCGAGAAGACTGGGCTTCAACAGTTCACTAGCGCAAACCGGGATACAAAGCGAGTACCTCCTCCGTATCGCATGACCCCTTACTTGCAGGAAGACGAAACGGAGGAAAGTGTCATTAGCGCAGCTCGAAGCTTTCCCAAGTCAACCGGTGAAGCAAAGGCTGGGGTATCAGGAACGTGCATGTGGGAAAGAGTCTCCCTTCTCTTTGGTACGGGCAACAATGGGAACCGCAGGGAAAAGCAGACCTTTTCCTGCGTCACGATATCTCTTATCGCCAATCTCGGGGATGGCCGAGAGGTAGAGGTTGCAAGCTGCAGCTCCGACTCCTTCATCGTTCTTGCTCGATCGCCCGCTGGTATCAAAAACAAGCCGCAGGAGAAGAAGTCGCAGAAGCCGAAGAGGGGCAGACCATCAGCAGCTAATGGGAGATCTCGGCGCCACGCAAATGTTATCACAGAAGAAGCTGAGAATGTCGATGGATATTTCGGTTACAATGCCAACGATGATGGCGACAATGACCGCGGTGTGGATGTCAATGATACCGCTCATAACGTTGCCGTGGGTTCAACTCAGCAACATCATGCTGCAGTTTCCAGTACGACTGGCACAGTAAGCTCAACATCCCATCAGCAAGGAGTGATGTCTGGGAGACCAAGATATGAAGCGATTCTAACACGAGGCGCTAGCGCCTACGAGGAGCCGGCTCCCCCTTACCATGATACGCAGCGACCCTGGAAGAACCCTTACCATAATTACGGTTTTGATGCCATGGTTCAACAGACAAGCTATCCGCAGCCGGTGGGAGTCTCCAACGGCGACAGCAGGTTCCTAACCAACGACTTCTCGAATCTCCAGAATCCATTGACATCCCCGGATTACTTCACTGATCCTGGCCTGACCACTGGACCGACGACGATATCGCCAGCTACAGACTTGCAGAATCCAGACCTCAACAACTTCACCACCATCTTCGATCCTGATGAAACGAATGCAGAGCCGGAGCAGAATATTGAATATGCAATACCGCCGGTCATGGGTCTGGACAGCGGCTTTTCGGATCAATTTGGTGCTCGCAAGGCCCAGACAGAGAACCAGCGTGACATCCCATTCCCTGACGAGCTCTTGTTGGAGGTGGGTGTCCAAGACTACAGTGATCTCGAACGGGAAAGGCTATTGAATTTCATTGATTCGATTGATTCTTCTCCTTGGGGGTACCGTTGACCCAATCTCGGCCCCTCTTCCTCCTCCTTCCCAAGAGTGAATCCTGGTGATTCGTTCTTCTAGTTCATCATTTTGCATATAGCGACATTTGGAGTAGACGGTTCTTCTGACATATTGCAATCTATCTCGAATATAGCGGCATTGGGACTAGACGGCTTATCTAGCATTGTACGATTGATATCATGGGATAAAGGCTGCGATCATTTGGACATAGTAAATAAACTCGTTGATCATTCATCATTGCCTATATTTCGCTAGCTGTGCACATAACCACATTTATCCCCTCGCCTGAACTCATTATCTCTTCCCAAATACTGTCAGATGATCGATCAAGTAAGTGTCGCAAGCATGCCCTTAACAATTCTCGAATCGCCGCCTGCAACAACAGAAGAAGATGAAGCGTCAGCACAACAATCACATAGAACGGCAAACACGAGCACTTCCGAATATCTTACGGAGGTAGAGCTTAACGAACGAACTGCATCTTACCTCTCCGATCCTTCTCAATCTTCACATCCTCCCTCCCACCATGGCTGCTCTTCCGCTCAATCACAACCTCTGTGTCGCCTCCGCTACTACTGCTCGAACTACTTGAGCTCGCTCTCCTCCTCCTCGCACGACTTCCCCGCCTCTTTCGCTCCTTTCTCAACGTCTCCTTCTCAATCTCCAGCTCCCGTATCTCCTCCTTGACTTTTCTCTCACTGCCCCTTCGACTCTTTGATCTTGTGGGCAGTACAAGCGCCAAGGGACCGGTGTGCATTTTATTGCTTTCACCTACCTCTTGCACCTCTTCCTCAATGTACTCCTTCTTCCTCCCGTGGCTACGATGGCGCGAGTGATGCCTGTGAGATTTACTTGGTTTTCGCTCGATCACTAATTCTTTCTCGGGCGAATGTGAGCGCTCGCGGGATTTGGAAATCTTTATAGTGGTATTAGTATGGCTGCTTCCGTGAGGTGAGCGCCCGCGGGATTTGCTGCGCCCTCCGTGGTGGGATTCGTGGACGGAGAGGTGCTCGCTGCGGTGTTCAGATTTGTGATCGCCGTGTTTCGATTTGTGGTCGCTCTTGCCAGCGTGACTGTGACCGCCGCCGCCGCCGGCGGTGCCGCTCATGACGTCCCATTCGCGGACCGAGCGAGGGACTTCGGAGTCGGCTTTGTCGATGATTATTTCGCGACGTTCGATGATCTCGCCGCGGTTGGGAGGAGGAGGTGGACCTTCGATAGCGTAGAGGCGCTCTGGATTTCAAATAAGTCGCTATATCACTGGGTGAAGCGGGCTGTGGACAGCCACTCACCTTTGCCACGTTCATTGTACTCTTTGCTTTTCAGTAGCACCAAGTCAATGAGCTCCTGTAAATCACGTCAAATGCTGAGCTCCAGCACAGAGAATAGAAAAATTGAACACTGGGGGCATTGCCATCAAACGGCAGTTCTTGATTACAATGTGGAGACATACCTTATTCAGGGCTTTGAGAATGATGATGAAATGTCCCTTAGGAGGTCAGCAGAGTTATTTAGATTCATAAGATATCATTGCGCATACTTCGTCTGTAAAGTCTTCTTCAAAGGGGTACCCAAGATCCACGAGAGCCCTTTTATTCACAAGGTGTGCTGACATCTTCGTTCTGCCCTTCCTCGGATAGGGTTGCTCAGTAATTATGTCTTCCTGAATGATTTCCTCTCGCTCTAACTCTCGCTCCCTCGGGCGAGGGCTACTTGATCGCCTTCGCCGTCGTATTGTTTCAATCTCTCTCTCTTTCCAGCCATGAAAATTGTCGTCACCATATCGATCAGGTTCCGCAACTCCAATATCATCGTAACCGCCCTTTGAGCCGTACCTCGGTGGGCTCGATCGGCGATGCCTGCCGGGTCCTGGCACTGCAATGATTTCTGGCGGTGATGGTGGCCTTGGGGGACCATAGCGTGGGCGGGTCGGTTTGCGATCAAAGGTGTCTAAGCTGCTTTGTCGTCGTATCAAACCTCCAGGTCGAGGTGGATTACGTCTTCCTGCACTAAAGCGCCGATCATCTTCATATCCGCGTGATCTACCGCCTCGAGTCGGGCTGCCCGCGAAGCTGTCAACCTCATAATCCTCTTCGTGATATCTGGTCTGTCTACCGCCCCTCCCAGATTCGTAGTCTTCTTCGTGATATCTCGTATCTCGCTCGCGCCCTCCTCCTTGCGGCTGCCGGGCTGGTGGTCCGAAGCGCTCTTGCCTGTCGTAGTAGCGATCGTCCTCATGTGTACCACCCCCACCTCGTGAATAGAGTTCGTCGGCAGACGCATCACGTCTTCGATTGCCACCAACGCTCGAGTATGTATCACGCTCTTCATAGCGATCCCTTTCGAGAACAGAGCTTCGGCGGCCCCCGCGTTCGCGTTCGAAGCGTTCGGGTGTCCAACGTTCTGCGGGCGGACCGCGTGGGCTATAGTCACCGTAGCGAGACATGTTGTTCGACACTGCTTGGGATGAAAGACTGTTCGCAGTGTGCAAAGAGGTAGTGCCCCCCGAAAGATGCTGAGGGGTTATCAAGAGACAAGTACACCAGGAGCCGATACGGTTAAGAGGCCATTGAGAGCGGGCTCTTTGCGCGGGATGTGCACGTGAGAATGCAGGTACTGCTTGACCCAACTACAGGATTCACGTTGTTATCATGTAGGGAGACAAGTGAAGAGGAGAAGGCCGAGTGAAAAGGCCGGTAGAGTGTAGAGTGTGAGAGGCTGGCATGATGGCAGCAGCTAATGATTCTACGCTATGACGCAGCTTGTGGGTGCCAAGACCTGGAAATTGACTTCCAAGAAACTCAACTACATTCGTCCACACTTTCTGAGCCCCCATCCAGCTTCTGTGCCTCCTGTCTACCTGTCTACCTGTCTACCTGTCTACCTGTCTACCTGTCTACCTCACTGCACCAGACGGTGGCTAGACGACTTTGTGTGTCTCTTCACAGAATCCAATGTAAAGTCATCAGCAGCCATGGCGGTTGCCTGCATGGGAGAGAGTCTGGTCACGACGTTCCTCTTCTTATAAAGGCTTTGTACTACGTATCCTTGGGCTTTGCTTTTGTGCTTTAGGCTTTTGAAAAAATGACGCTCTCTGTACTTTTTGCTTACAAGATTGCTCGCTCATTGCATGTCAGGAATAGCTTCTCGCATTCTATAGTCTAACGGAATTCGTCCAAGATTTCTGTGTTTGAATTTCGGTCAACATGTATGCGCAGAGGAAACCCTTTTGCGTCAAATCAAAAGTATTGTAAGCAAGCCTGAGAGGCAGCCTGTCATTCTCCCTTGGATCGTCGTTCGACTGAAACGTTGGCAATTTCAGTAAATGTGAATCTTACTGACTTATCCAGCAGGACACGACCGAACAACAATCTTGATCAGGTGTGACATGGCTCAAGCAACCGCGAGTTACAATTTTTGCCTAACCCAGCTCGGAGTCTGCGGTAATTAGTATGCCCTAGCCTTGCACAACATCAGCCACATTCCCGCCATTTTTCTATCTGCGTCAACAATGAGTCTGCTAAGAAAAACGGACCGGGGGAAAGACAATTGGGTCCGCTTTCGATAGTAAGGAACGATTGTAGATAGGTCTTCCGTCTCTGCCTTTGCACTTTATTCCAGGCCATCTGGGATTCCTCGCGTGTGCGACATCCAATGATGAGGCTAGTGGTTGCACTTTTGCCTGAAATTCGTCGTGGTAGCGGGGCCTGTAAAGCATGTCGGCCGTCTCGAATGACTCCCACCATGCAAAAAGGTTACTATTGTCCCTCCTTTTCTTAAGGTCAGCAAGTTGTTCTTAAGCTCAACTTGCCCACTTGTTGACTCACACGTCATTCTCCATAATGATTACAAGCAAGTATCTCGCAAAACCGGGCTCGCCATCGCCAATGAGCAAACCCATCAAAAGGGATCCTGCATCCTCCGAGATCCAACACACACTCGATGAGCCCAAGCAAAGCGCAAACCCTACATTTCCCTTCATGACCCTCGAGAAGCCTTTCGATACAGTCTCTAATTCTGACAGCCAAGCCTATGCAAGCCTCAACATATGTGAAGAGCAACAAGAGGTATCCAACGAGACCATTATCCATCACGACAAGGCTTGTGAGTATCATAATATCAGACGCCCTTGGCCAAGATAGGGGCAGTTGGATGATGATACAGTGGTATCGAGTAGCCATAACGACGATCCTACCGCCGGCCCTTACCATGCCATTGGTAGCATACCGAAAATTGACGGAAAGGGTCCTCTAGGGCCGAAATTTCAAAGTCGTTGAGGAGAGAGCTTGAAGCACTGGGCGTTCAGCATCACCGATGGGTGGGCGGACGGGCGCAAATTGTCAAGATTTGAATTTGAATAATGGGATTTTTGACAAAAAGGTGTTGTGATTGTTGTTCTTAATAAATCATGTACTGAATGAGGTTGTCATGCGGCGCTCTTACTAAATCGCTTTCTCTCGGTTTGGATTTCAGGAACGAACAGATTCTTCAATCTGGCCCTTTGTAATGAAGGGGAGGTTTCTCCAGATCTAATACCAGTATTGGGCCTGCAATCCAGGTAGCACCTGGTGCATGTGGGCACGCACCGATCTCTTCTTTGAGCCAAGAGCTAGCCTTGGTAGCGTTGGCAGGGGTTTCTGCGAAAACATTGAAGGATACAGTGTGCCTTCTGCTGGCGTCTGAACTTTGATGCTTGCAAAGCTGCAGTATTCCGCTTTTTCAGGACTCCTCGAGCTTTGTTGATAATGATCGGGCTCAAAGGCAATGGCACCCGCACCGACACTCAACCTCGTAGGTAAGTCTTTCACTGTGACTGGACTCGTCCGCTTTTGTTGTTTCCGTTCATAGACGCCCCATTTCACAGGCTTCAAGCTCGCCCTCCCGTCATTGACAGGGTGATGACATGCAGCGGTTATAGCTGCACTACAACTGCCTACGAGCGGCATGCCAGCCTTGTATTTTTGGCAGCTAAGCACCAAGCCTGTCACGACGCCAACAAAAACAAAAATGATAGTAGCCAATACCGCACTCGGCGAGTAGCCGCATGTTGTAATATCGTGATCTGGATCTGAAAATCCTGCATCGTCATATGCTTTGAGGATAACGAGAAAGAAGGATTGCGAGACGAGCCAATGTTGGAACCCTGAATACATCATCAACGGGATACCATAACGGTAGGGAAGCTGAAGTCGGTATGTCGAGCGTTGAGTTTCACGAGGTGAGGTGACGCGAAGAGATTTACGAGAATAGGCAAATTCGCTCCATTCTTCTCCCATGAGCATACATGTATAGAGGCTGTTGTAGGCGAAGTAGAGGTAATACAGTAGAAGTTGAGGAGAGTTGGCTATCAAAGTTGTAGAGGTGAGGCTTTTTGACATGCTTCAGATGGTTCGCGTGTTCGTAGAGCCAAAGCCTAGTGACAGATAAGGAATTTTGACGACTGCGTAGATGGCTAAGGCTAGCATGACGACATAGAGCGCTGTGGATGTCATCCATCGAAGACGGCTAGCAGAAGCGAGCCACATGTGGGACTTTGGATGATATGGATGCTGTTGTGAACTCCACGCGCTGATGGTATAGGCACGGGCTCTGCCTGGTGCAAGTGGTGCCCATAAGCCAGTTGTACAGTATGTTTCTTTGGTTGCGAGGCAATGGTCTGCGGTGGTCAGATCTGTACGCTTTGCAAGTCAGCACTTTTACATCACATAGGCTATGAGATACAATGAGCTCTTTAAGATCTCCTCATCATAGTAATCATGGTGTGCAAGAAAATAGTAGAGTAGGAGAGTATCCGACCTGGATCTTCAAGAAAGGAAGCGATGACATCGCCTAATATGACTAGTGGGTTCACATTTGTCTTCCAACAAAGTGATAACATGCATATCAACTTTACCACGTTGCACACAATGACGCTGATCATGATAGGCATGCTGAATTGCAACTCGCATTGCTCAGTCAGATTTTCTATAAGACAGTAGGAGATTGGCTATTTACTATTGTTCCATTGGGTACTATGAGCTGCAATCACACTAGGCTTGTAGGGAACTTGATAGTCGCAGATCCAGGAATCGTCGATGATGGGTAAGCCTTCAAAAAATGACAGTGGTGTACCGAATGATAGCAAAGTAGTATTATCGTTCTCGCCTGACAAGATTAGCAAGACATCTCCCCATTTTGATACGAAGTCCGAACCATAGGCGGCAAGACACGCGCTATTTTCGAGACGCCGAAGTGAATGTTGCGAGGACTGAAGCTTCTCCAAACGAGGCTATCAAGTGCCGAGAGCCCACTATTGACATCAGTACTCGAAAGAACAATAGGTTTGTAAGGTGGGCCCGTAAAAAAGCTATCTGTAAAATGGAAACCATTATACTCCGAGTAAGACAAGCTGGGAAACACAGCGCTGTTGTAAATAAGATGCAGAGGCCCGGAAGAGACGAACAGAAGAGACCAAAGTATCTTTCGCGGCCATGGAATGCGCCACATGTTTCGAATGCTTGGAACGCCGACGTCCATCCAGTTAAGTCGAGCGTGTGCTTTATCGATGTCGTCTCTGACTGGTGCCGAGAGAACCTGCATGCAATAATTGTTTGAGCCGAGGAGTATCGTACCGAGGACGTTGATCAGAGAATGGAGCCATAAGTCTAAGCGTTTTGTCGACCGGCAGCTTCCTTTCTTTATTGTCCCGATTCCACCAGATAGCCCGTTCTGCACTTCGGCAGCCGTCGTCAAACCAATATTCAGGACAGGAACTACTGCAGTAGTCAGAATGCAAAAGAGAATCCCAGCATGATACCCGTATCTCCATTTCGAGTTCGGTCTTGGCGGATCCTGGCTTCTGTCTGCGGCATCATTAGCAAGGGGGCCATGTTCTGTTCTAGCTTTCGATGACGAAAATGACGAAAAGCTGATTTCGGACAAGCGTTTATAGAGCTTCATGGTGAGTATTGGTCAAGAAGTATGTCCGGGGTGTCGACGGGAGAGGTATTATCAAAAGTCTTATCTGGAGTTCGTGTGCGAGCCTGAAGCACTCAATGCAATTAGGCGTTACTTATTAACCTAAGCCCGTTGGAGATAGCAGTCTGCATGGTGATGCACCCGGCGGTTAGTGAGCATAGCTAGAACCTCTTACAGACCAATGATTGGGGGCGAGATTGTTTGAAAAGGGCATCAAGACAAATGTTTTACAAAAACAATTGTGGTTGCTTGTAATATTTTCCATATATCTTTGGGGTGCAAACGCCATCTGAGAACTGGCCCTTTACACAATCGTAAACTCGAAGCGTCCATCAGGGCCCAACTTGCCCGTCTCATTCATTGATGGTGCACAACAACTTCGAAAGTGGTCTCCAAGTGCATCAGCCGTGAAGGTACCATGTCGTCTAAATTGTCTTTCTAGCCCTGTTGGAGCAAGGAGGAGGCCTTTGTATATGTGCATGTGGTTTCGTAACCCGCGTAAGATCGGTAGACAGTAGATGACGTGAGGCATTTGGGCGGTAGGTGTCAATTTCTCATCTAATCGACAAACTGCAGGATGTGATGTGTTATTTATCTTCAAGGCAATATGGGGACTAGGCGAGCCAGCCACATACACCCGAAACAGACCTCCGCGGGCTAGCACACCGGACATACGAATATAACCACCACGTACTTGACCCATCCAGTCACTGTCGGCTGGCAACACTGTCGCGCTAACAATGGTGACGACTCTCACAGCGGATGCCCAAGGCTCTTCTTCGCAGGGTAACGTCCCACTTCGAGCAGCCCATGACCACGTAGGTGCGACAAACTCTGAGTGGGGCTCGGGCTCATGAGGCACTTCAACATCCCAGAGAAGACCAAACGCAAGATCTTCTTTCCAAAGTCCTGCAAGATATGTATCATTTGCTATGATGGTCCTCTGTAGCTTATGTGCAATTCCAGAAAGAGCAATCAGACGATCGGTCGACCTGCTAAGCTTTCCGGATGAGTACATTTTTATGACTTGATCCCAAATCTTGTAAGTACCTCTAAGTGCTGCTGCTTGCCCTTGAATCCTAGGCACGCCTGAATAAGGCAACAATTGTTTAAACTGCTCTCCAAAACCGGCTGGAAACCCCCGCGGAAAGGCCTCGGATGCTTCCAGGCCAGAGCACTCCCAGTAAAGCTGGTCGGCGGCGAAATGCAGGACTCGAGGTGACAGCAGACGTTCTTGTAGCACCCAAGATCGATCATTCAAAGGCGCCTTAGAGATATTATTCGACCAATCGTTATGATCAACGCAAAAAGAATGTCTTCTCTCTCCTTGTTTGTGTACTACTGGTATTGCGCATGGCAATATACGGCGAGGATCTCTGTCGAAAAACAGGCCATGATCACCGTTCTTCGCTGCTGTTGCCGCAAGCGTACAAAAAGCGTTGTGATAGATTTCACCCATAAATGCAGACTCATGCCTCCAGTCCGCAGTGGAGTCTTGCATGATACATAGTGAATCAATCCACAAATAACGCACTTCAAATTCATGCCAGAATCTTCTTGTCATCTGGATTGCGTCTCGAAATGTTTTAGGCAGCGCCAGTACCTCAACGCCATGATAAAGCATAGCTTCGGTATCAGAGCGGAGCGTGAGCGGCTGTCTGAGGCCCCAGCAGTGACTCAGAGCTATATAGTCCACCACGGCATGGTTTTCGATATTCTCAACATCACGAAGCCGAATTGTATTTGCATGCCCGACCTCAAGGAGTCTTCTCGGCAGTCGCCGCTGTATATAGCTCGGCGCACACTGCCTATGTTCCGTAATGCAAGTCCACAGCCAGGCTTTGAAGGCATCCCAGCTTTCTGTAGAGCCAGTATTGGAGCCAACACTACTCTGTTCGGCGGAAACGACAACCTCTTTCGGCCAATCAGCGTCGAAACGATGATGGAAAAATGAATGGGAATCATTCTTTACGCAAGGAAAACAATGAACAGCTGAGGCTTGGATATTTGCTCATCGTAGGTCTGATAAAGTTCACATGAAATCAAATCAATGACTGGGAGAGGGCAGAATCACCTTCGTTTCGAAGCAGCGTGAAATGCTGTTTGAGAGGCTGAAGATAGTCGTCGGGGGCGGTGAGGACCGTCTGATATTTATACTCCACGTAATTCTTCCTTGAGCTCTGATTCTTGGAAAAGATCGCCCTGTCAATAGTAATATGGCAAGGTATCCATTGCGGTTTACTGTGTTTCTGAACAATAGCGTTGCTGAGATCGTGGATTTTCCGTGGCATAGCTGCCCAAAGGAGAATGCACAGATGGCATCCTTTAGACGCAGATGTCTTTAGTTCGGGAAGACTGTGATGGCTAGCCCTCCGGAAAGGGGAGCAAAGTGGTTTACTTGAGGTTGGGATCGACGGACTGAAACTGTGGCGTGGCTGCTCTACCTCATCTGAGTCTTCTCGGAAAACACGGTCACAGGTGTCACATAACATGTCAGCGATTCCAGATATGTTAAGTCCAATCTAAAACACGTATGTCATGGTGGATGAGAGCTCGATCCCAATCATTCGTGAGGTTACATCGGCTTTAGATTGACAGAAGCCCTTGAGCTGGCTCGGGATCATTCCATTCGCGAGAGCGAGTCTCAACGCTGTTCTTGGGGGAAGCAAAAATCAGATTGGCCACACCCGATGCCTCACTCAGTCCTCCTGGGCCTTGAAGGTGAACAGATCTTATTGGACAGAAAATTGAAAAATCGCTACGATACTGTAAGCTAGACCGCAAGGTTGAGCCTCGTTCTGTGGAAACCATCATTTGCCGAGTAGGCAAAGGTGCATTTGACAGAGACAGGCTTTAAATCAAGAGTCAGGGTGTGTAAAGTCTGCTGAGTCTTGATTGCAACCAAATGTTGCGCGGACACAAGCGTGTAGCTCATTGGCGGGACCTACCTTAGACCATCTTTCGGACGCCATCACCCCCATATCGGAACAACCCGAGTAATTTTCATCTTGATTACGTATCTAAAGGAATGCTTCCCGCTACGCCCCTGTAGGCGGAGAAATCCGATCTAGGGGTTGAGGGGTTCTATCTTCGTACGAAAACAAGTTGTAGTCATCTAGACATAGGATTTACACAAAAGAGCACTTATTTACTCTTCTTGAGAGAAACAAAAAGCAGTGACTTTGGTTCTAGTGTGAATCGAACACACGTTTTGGCAGCCACAATGCCATGTAATGACCACTATACTATAGAACCCGAAAAAATTCGGCGGCAATTCATAATATATGCTATTCAAGAAGGGTTATTCGGAAACGGTTACCTCCTCTCATGGATACTAGTCTCTGAGAAGAGGAACCCAGGGCAAATCTCGATTCAAAGAGCAAACAAGGGTAATATATTATGTTGCTATCCTGCTTTTAGATCTTACATACCCACTGGTTGCCGGCCAGTGAATGCATACCCCGTGCAATAGATTGCTATATCTTCAGGCACTCATCATGTCTTGTATCCGTCGACGTAAGCGTAGTAACATATCCCCTTATCCCCCTTGTAATCGCTCTCGAGCATGCAGGTAGACGATGAAACCTCCACTCTTGAATCCAACCAGCTAATGAAGATGTTCCCTTACCGTTCAGCGCCAAACCAATCATCACCTCTATGTTCAATCAACAAAACCCTAACAAGCATCACAACTGGCGCATAACCCCAATGATTTCACTCTCTCCTCCCAATCCGAGCTTTGCAAACAGCACTCTCGAAAAGCGTGACCAGACTTCCAGCAAGAAAGATTATCCCTAGCGATTTAGGTTCCCGAAGTATATCATAGAGCAAGTCGTCGCTGCGCCTAAACAGATCATTTGCTCCGTACAGAATTATTAATCTATTAATAAGCTTGCCAAGACTTGAGGTTTGAATTGGAAGCGAAGCTCCGTCCCACATGCCATTGCCCGAGCATCTGCCTTAAAACTCAGCAGCTCCTTCTACTCATCATGGACGACTGACCCATGTCCTAAACAATGTCACTCCTCTCGTAAGCACCCTTTTCCCCCTCTCCTTTGGACCTCTTTCTGACACCTCACAGCTCCTTCCGCAATCTTTCCTTCCGCTCGCGGCTGTATGTTGGTATCGGCATAATTACCTGGTCAGGCGTCGGACTCTGGATATCCGATCAAGCTGAGGCGAAGTGGCTCAAGCCTATGGAGGAGAAAACCGTCACGGGCGACGAGAATGTGGTTAGAGTGCTTGATGAGGGATGAGGAGGTTTGGTTTGATGTGAAGGAATAGGCCAAGTGAGAGGCAGAGTATGAAATGCGAAGAGAAGCTTGGACAACCATTTCTTGATGTCCTCTCTCCCGTGGTGGCTGGAGGAGAAGGATGTGTGCTCTTTAAGAAGAGTATGCCAATTGGCCCAAGATTTGGACGTCATTGGGGGAATATGGACGTCTGGCAAGGCAGACGGCACATCGAGGGAAATGTCGACTCACCTTGCTAGGAGTGCTGAAAATGTCACACGAGAACGAAAAGTGGTCTGACAATTGCGATTTCACAGGCAAATTGGAAAGAAGGGGGACTATGTGCTGGAAAGCATTAATGCCACGGGTCTGAAGGAATGAAGCCTGACTTGATTCAAAGGATGGAGATGATCTACTACCCGCTCATGGAATAATTTTACAGGACTGAATACGTTATATCGTGATACGCAACTGAGAAACGCCACATATCCCGACTCCAAATCCACCTTGTCATACACGATCAATGGCAAGGTGGGTGAATATTGCAATCTTGACGGAACATGGAAATTGTGGCTACTTTGCCCCATAGGCTTGATCGATTTGCTTCTTGAATTTGTCCAATATCGCTCTCCTGTTCACCTTCTGTGCTGCAGTGGTCATTCCCTGTAGAGAGTTAGGCCATCGCTTCAGAAAAGATTCGGCTTAGCTATAGACTTACGTTCGCTGGCGTCCATTCCTCTTCCGACATGACAACTCCTTCAATAATTTCGATGCCCTGTAAGCCACCGCCCTTCCCTGCATCTTGAAGCTCTTTGAGCACGAGGGTGTTCAACTTTTTGTTGTGCACTAGCTCCTCGAGGCCAGTGCCCTCAACTCCGTTCTGCTCCGCTTTCTTCTTGAGTGCTGGTTCTGCTGGTACAATTATGGCAATTGGTTTGTTCTTGTCCGTTGCAGCATACACGCAGATATTTGCAACGATCGACGACGAGCGATATATCGATTCAAGCTTCTCCAATGCGATGTACTCACCATTTAGGGTCTTGACGAGGTTTTTCTTGCGATCGATTATCCTTAGATGGCCATTCTTGTCAAATTCGCCAATGTCGCCCGTCTTGAACCACCCATCGTCCGAGAAAGCTTCTGCGGTTTCCTTTTCGTTTTTGAAGTACCCCTCGACCACTGGCGTTCCTCTGATCCAAATTTCACCTTGCGGAGGCTTATTTTCGGCATAATATCCGGCATCTGGGAAGTCGACCAGCTTGATCTCGATAGATGAAGGGATGTCTCCAAGAGCGGTATCACTCCAGTGTAATGGGTCCATGAGAGCTCCCATCGCCGTAGTCTCCGTCAATCCATATCCTGATATCATAGGTGTTATCGCGAGGGAAATGAAGCGTTGTGTGTCCTTTGCAATTGGACCACCACCATTCATGCAAACGCGCAGCTGACCACCAGTAGCGTCTTTGATCTTCTTGAATACTACGGCGTCTAGAAGGCCGCTCCCAGGAAGTCCGGATGACATAAGGAAGCTCTTCGCAGCAAGAGCCCCCCAGAACATGTTCTTCACTATCGGGCTTCCTGCGTTCACCTTGCCAATGATACCTTTCTTCACAGATTCCCAAACTTGGGGTACACCCACAAGAATAGTCGGTTTGAATTCCCGGATGTCACCCTTGCAGTTTCGGACAGACGAATCCGACAGCGTCTTGGGATTTCCATAGCCCATAGTGCCACCCCAGAATAGGCAAGCATTCTCAAATACAAATTCAAGAATGTGAGCAAGGGGCAGGTAAGTCAGCAATTTATCGCCTGGCCCAATGTATTGACCGATAATGGTCGTCACCCCAGCGATAGATGCAAGGACTGACTTGTGCTTTAGCGGTACACCTTTTGGAGTTCCGGTGGAGCCCGAGGTATACATAATGCAGCAAAGATCTTCGGGTGACGGTGGCGTGGGTTCAACCGGATTCTCTTCGCCTAACTTTCGAAGCTCCTCGAAGCTCAAGACTTGAGGACTGCTGCTCAGCGCTTTAAGCTTGTTGATGTTCTCTTGTTTGGGCTCTCCGTCGTCATTGTAGATCACGAGTTTCACGTTTGTAGCTTCTGTGAGTGGATTTACCAAATTGCCGAGCAGATGAGGGTCGCAATAGATAGCCTTGGCTTCCACCTGAACTAGAGAATGCTTGAGGCCCTCTTCACCTAAGGTATCATATGCTGTAGCTATAGCAATAGATTGTGAAACCGCGCCATGAGACATCCCCAGCCAATGAGGACTATATGCAATTAGTCACCATGATTTCTAGTGAGTGCGACGGACAATACCTCGTTGCCGCAAAGAGGTGTAGTATGTCGCCTTTAGCAAGGCCAGACTCTCTCAAGCCAGCACCGATTTGCATGCATAGCTTCTCGTACTCGGTGAAAGTAATGAAATTGTATCCGCTTAGCTCGAAGTAAGTCCACTTCTTGTCCACCATTTGCTCCTTTCCTTCGATCATCTTCTTGATCTGTTTCGTCTCGATATGCGTCTTGATCAGCTTTCTCGAGCCAAGCGCTTTTGCATTTCCATAGGCATTTGCACTACGCTTGAGTATGTCGAATATTGTTTTGACGTCCTCCGAGGGCGAATCGATCAGCTTGTCCTTTGATTTCGGATGCCGCCGGGGGATGGTTTCGCCTTTGACAGGTGAATATCCTGAAGCTTCAACAGTAAACGGTCCACTCTGCATCATTCTTGGGTACACCGTCCGGTTGTCCTTCTGGTGACCCGCATAGTTTTTATCTGCCATGCCTGGGACTTGCTTTCGGAAGAATGTATGAAGGAAGTTTAGGTCACACTGTAATTTTCAAGTGCATCAAAGTGCACGAGATGTCGTAAGAATGATTCGTACCGAGGTTGATATTCAAGGCAGCTACTTATTAGCTGCTGCTAGAGGTTTCTTGCAGCCTCAGGTGAAGGTCCGGGTACAGTCCGCCCAGCTTTGCCAATGCGGTCATGCCGGTAAATAATAGGCGCTAGAATTATTACAATACATCTTTGGGATAGGTAATGCTCCAAGTTCACTCCACAACAGCACATGAATGCGTCTCGGACAAGGAATCATGACCAATCCGCTCATTCGATTTTCTCTACTGGTCTGCGGGAGTCTGATGTCCACGTATGATGGATAGAGTTGCATATTGAAAGGGGTTTTAGAATTGACACTTCTGAGCCTCACAGATTGATTTACCCTTTTGATCTGCCTTGTATTCATGGCCTCAAAAGACATCTTCTCCGATCTGGATCCTTTAATTTCAGACGCGGATGAAGAAACATTCATTCTTTTCTCCCAGAACCTGCCCTCGCAAAACCTAGGTTTCATCGACTCCAAAGCCTATTCCCTAGACCTCACTGTCGCAGGCAAAGACTTGACGATCTCTCAATCGCCAGGGCTCCTCTCTTCAACTCGCAAGGATGGCACCACTGGAGCCGTCCTATGGAAGGTGACGCATTTGTTCGCGGAGTGGATCGCTTCGAAGGGCAATTTCCTCTTCAAGCGCGGTTTTGCGAATACTAAGTCCACCGTGATTGAATTGGGATGTGGCATTTCTGGTCTCATCCCGTTGGTACTGGCGCCGAAAGTTGGCAGATTCATTGCTACTGACCAGGAGTATGTCTTCAAGCTTTTGAGGCAGAATCTAGAGGTAAATAGTCCTAACAACGGCAACGTCAGATATGCCAGAGGAGCCAAGAGGCCGGCCGGATCGAAATTGAAGGATTCAGCCAACAACATCGAGGTGTTAGCGCTTGATTGGCAAGGTAATTCAGCATCGTCCTTGTCGTCCTTTTTGCCAAACGAGTCAGGTGTCGATCTGATCGTAGCGTGCGATTGTATCTATAATGAAGAGCTTATCCCCCCTTTTGTTGACACATGCGTCGACATCTGTCGGATAAGACAAAGATCTAAAGACAGAGATACACCCACTGTAATTGCGGTGGCGCAGCAGCTTCGCTCTGATCGGGTGTTTGGTGCTTGGCTTTCAGCATTCATGAAGCACTTTGATGTCTGTAAAGTTCCAGATGACTTTGAAGGAAACCCGTTGTGGTCTAGCGAGGGATTCACGCTGCATATTGCAGTTCTGAAACGATTTGAAATAGAATGTGGTGCAATTACTGCAGGCTAGACAAAAGAAAAGACTAGAGGCTGGACAGGAAAGTGAAAGATGCAAAGATGCAAGTCTTCTATATTTCAAGGGTATTTGGATACTCACAACATTTTTCAGCACGGAAAAGATTCAATCCCTCTTTCCAGGCCCATATCCGTTCATACCGATCCCACTTCCAGGGAATGCGTAGCCGCCGCCTCTTTCTCCACCCATTCTATCCTTCCCATACCGTTTTATTCTTCGTGGCAGTTCCACACCTCTGAAATAGGCGAGACTCGCCGCAACACCCACTCCACAGCTAAATAAACAATACACCACCGTCGAAAAATGCACATGACCACCCAACCCCGCCGATAATGTTGTTGAAGGGGGTAAAGTGGGACTCGAATACCAATGTACAAACAGCCTAAATGGTAGTGGATCGCCAATAACGATCCTGGTGCTTCCACTGCTAAGGCTAGGGCTCGAGTACGCGCTTGCCGCTAAAATGTCTGCGTCCATGCCTTCTAAATCTGGGCTTGTGTGTAGAAGGACGTTCATTTGCGGGTTCACGTGGACGTGGCTAAGTTGCAGTGCCCCGCTAAGGGCGAATATCAGTGGTATGTAGGAGTCGGCCGGGCTGGCAGGTTGAGAGGCGGATGCACTAGGGTTCATGGACTCTTCGGCCGTGAGAGGATGGGTAGGTATGCGACATGTGAGAGGCGCGTCATTGTGGATGTAGAATTCAAGGAGATGAAAGAGAGGGTCTGTGAGGGCGGCGAGTGTACAATTGATTTCTGCAAAAGCTTTAGTCTTCAAATTGATAGCACCGCATGGCAAGAAAGAAGATGTACCCTTCTCCACGCCAAAATAAAGTTCCAGCGGTCGAGACGTCTCATTGCATGTGAAGAATGGGATATATTGAAGCTGACCTTGCTCATCGGTGATCTAGAGGAGATGGAGTAAGCAATAGGAGCTCATGAACGGTTAGTAGCAAGGCAAATCTTCTCACGTGTTCGCCGGTGTCACTGTTCAAAGATTTAGCTTAAAGACTTCATTGTCACGGGCACGCAAGGACATGACCTACATCGTCCTGTTGAGACATGTCACCGGTATAGAATCTCCATAAGCGTAGCTCTTGGTGTCTGACTTTTGATTGGCCCCTTTGGCGGCTCTAGTGACTGCGATATATATGGATATCCAAACATAGCAGAGAAGCCATGTATATTCAAAGCCTCCATGGGCCATAACCAAAGCTCATGAGCGAAAGTGTCGACTTTTCATCTCACTGATGATTTACTGTAACGTTCCTCTACTCTTGTTCCGAAAGTACCGGTGTTAGCGTGAAGACGCTAGTATCGAGCCGCGTGGCACTAGTAATCTACTGACGCTTGGTCCCAGCAGGATACAGCTCGTCTATACTTGCTTGCGTCGCTTAGTCAGAGCATGGCCGCGTAAACCCTATAGGGGGAAGATATGGTGAAATGCCACAAGGCGTACTCCGCCGCGTGCCTCCTTATAATTACCCCTTAAGCTTAGGTACTGGACCTTGGTGTGGCCATGTTCAGACTAATCGACCCTCGTTGGGTGGACGAAATTTTACCGTATTTTGTACCTCGTGACTTTGGACAGCGCTATTCATATGTACTCCGTTATGACCCTGTCGAAAGTCTATGCAATCCCTGCCTTCTTCTTGAACTCGTTGATCAGCCCACTCGTACTACTGTCGTGAGTGGTGTTCTCTCCGCTCTGGTCAAGCTCAGCTTGAATCTTCTTTGCCAAACTCTTCCCTAGCTCCACACCCCATTGGTCGAAGCTATTGATGTTCCAGATCGCGCCTTCCGTGAACGTGAAATGCTCGTAGTAAGCAATCAAAGCTCCCAGCGTGCTTGGCGTGATCTTTTGTGCAAGGATCGACGTTGTCGGGCGATTGCCAAGGAATTTCTTGTGAGGCACGAGGTCGTCGGGTGCCCCTTCTGCTTTGACTTGGTTCTCGTCTTTTCCGACCATCAAGGCTTCTGCCTGGGCAAAGAAATTGGATGCAAGCATTCTGCAGAGATCAGCTTCAACTGCGTCGGGGTAGCTCAAACGATAAGACTTACTTCTGATGGACGTTGTTTTCGATTGGGTTGTGGCTTTCAGCGGCCAGGATGAAGTCGGTAGGAATCAGCTTGGTACCTTGATGCAGGAGCTGGTAAAATGAGTGTTGAGCGTTGGTCGCCGGCTCACCGAACAGAATTGCCCCTGTGGTATATTTGACGTAATCACCAGACCTTGTGATCGCTTTGCCATTTGATTCCATTGACAATTGCTGAAGATAGGCAGGGAAGCGGTGCATGTACTGATCAAATGGCGAGACTAGGTGTGTCTGTGCGCCAAAGCAGTCAGAGTACCACACGCTCAGCAAGCCACCAATGACAGGAATATTTTGCTCCAAAGGAGTATTCTTGAAATGCATGTCCATTGCATGGGCTCCGGCAAGAAAGTCATGGAAATTCTTGAACCCAATATAAATGGCGACACTTAAGCCGATGGCACTCCACACACTGTATCGACCGCCAACCCAGCTCTCAAATCCAAACATGTTTTCCTTGTCGATTCCAAACTTTGTCACCTCTTCAACATTCGTCGAGAGAGCGACGAAATGTTTTGCGATAGCCTTCTCATCCTTGGCCTTCTCCATGAACCAATGCTTAGCGGAATTTGCATTTGTTACTGTCTCGGCCGTGGTGAATGTTTTTGAAGCGACCAGGAAGAGTGTGTCTTCCGGGTCTGAGTCCTTCAGTGCTTCTGCCATATGGGTACCATCAATGTTGGACACGAAGTGCAGCTTCATATCGCGATCGCCGTAGGGTTTCAGCGCTTCTGTGACCATGACGGGACCTAGATCTGAGCCTCCGATGCCAATATTGATAATGGTCTTAATCTTCTTGCCGGTGTAGCCTTTCCATTGTCCATCCCTGACTTGATCCGAGAAGTCCTTCATGTGGTCCAACACACTGTTGACTTCCTCAACCACGCTCTTACCGTCCACCTGCATTGGCTGGTTGGAGACATTCCGGAGTGCGACGTGATAGACCGCCCTCTTTTCCGTGAAGTTGATCTTTTCGCCTGCAAACATATCATCACGGAGTTTTTCTAACCCGGCATCTTTAGCAACTTGAACGAGTATTTGTATCGTTTCTTCTGTGATAAAATTCTTTGAGAAGTCGAAAAGGATCTCTGAGCCGTCAACAGTATTTTTGAAAGTACGCGAGAGCTTGCGAAACCGTTCCGGATCTTTTTGGAAAAACTCTTTTAGGACAATGTTGACGCCCAGCTCTTCGTGATGCTTCTGCAATTTCGACCAGGATGGTAGATCCAACATCTGTGCAAATTCGGCCATCTTGAGGACTTTTGATCAATTGAGTCTGTCGATTGAGTCTATACTAGACGGTAAGAATATCAATAAAGGAAACGAGTTTGGGTTATGAGGAGGAGTTGGCACTGGGAACTGCTGCCTGTCAAAACAGTTGTTTTCCGTGACGTGAAGTAGGTAAGCTTATGTGCGGACGCAGCTGCCCCACCAAAAGGACCCCACTATTCCGCCGTCTTCCGCCGCCCCTGACTTCCGGGGGTTGTAACAAGGTAGCAATGTGCACAGAATAGCAATTGCCAGCTAAGAGGAATGCAAGACATACGAGAAGATAGTGAAACTTGAGAGATTGATTGAGCAATGTTGCTCATGGTCTTCTTGCATACAATCACCAAATGCCCCCGACCGGTGCCCCAACTTCAAAGCCAATGGGCACTCGTGCAATTCTATACTGTTTTGAAATGCATGAAAGCGCCGCCATATCTTCATAATCATCTCGCGTGCAAGACCTACTGATCGATAACTTAACGTGCCACGTCCGAGAAGGAAGGATCCTTTACACTGCCTCCAGCATCCCCAAGCCCAGCCACGGGCCGGTTGTATGACCAGCCCGTAAATTGCTGTTGCATGGTCTGCGAAAGCATTGGTCCTTCCACATATGAATCCGTTGGTGCTTCGGAGGTGAATTCCCGGTCGAAGTTAGCCGTATCAAGGGCATCTGTCACGTTTGGCTTGAAAGTTGGGTCGTATCGCCTTTGGAGCAATTTCCTCCAATCGATAGCCTGGAAGAAAGGGTGTGCTTTGATCTCAGAGGGACCCTTCGCACCAAGCCTCATCGCCGGGTTGCGGTCAAGAAGCTGTATCAAGAGGTCCTTTGCCGCTGGTGGTACGATTTCTGGGCCTGGAAAATGCAATGGTTCTGACAAGATCTTCCGGTACATCTCATTCGTATTTTCGTCGTAATAAGGAGGTAGTCCTGTCAGCATCTCGTAAAGAAGAACACCAAGAGTCCACCAGTCCACTGTCTTATCATAGCCTTGCCCGAGTAAGAGCTCGGGCGCGAGGTATTCGGGGGTGCCACAAAATGCTTGCAAACCATTAGCACTACAACGACCGTTCGCTTACTCCAATTCACTTACTGTTCGTCCTGTCTTCATCTTTCATGTCCATCTTGCATAGACCAAAATCACAGAGTGCAATATGACCAGAGTAATCGAGAAGGATGTTCTCAGGTTTCAAATCCCGGTACACCACATTGAAGCCGTGCAGACACTCCAAAGCACACAGCAATTCTGCAGTGTAGAATCTCGAACGATTGACATCAAATCTTTGCTCGCGTTGCAAATGGTGGAAAAGCTCCCCACCATTGACGAAGGCGAGCACCAAGTATAATTTCTCTGGAGATTGAAAGGAAAACTTTAGAGGAACGATGAAAGGATTGTTGATTTGTGCAAGTACTGATCGCTCGGCTAGTGTATGTGCAACTTCTGATCTGGAGATTATGTGTGCTTTTCGGATCGTCTTGAGGGCGTATATTCGGTGGGTGTCCTTTTTCCTGGAAGACCAATTAGTACGGTGCCTTATCTGGAGTACGCTGAGACGTACATGACCTGCATGACTTTGCCAAAGCTTCCTTTACCAACTACTTTCAGTAGCTCGAAATCCTCAATCTTGAGCGTTCGTTGTCGGTTTTCAACGAAAGCGACCCCAACCTTGACAGAACCAGAGCCGAAAGCAACCTCTAGCCAATCTGTACCCATTTGACCCAGGTGTCTTGCCTGCTGCTGGTTGGCCATAACCTTCTCCCAATCCTTCCTGCCTGTTTTCGGGTCTTCTGAAGAATATTGCCCCTCCTCAAATCTAGGATTGACGCGCACGGCGCCTAAAAAGATATCTTCACTACGACCAGCGCCTGGGCGAGCATTTGGGTTTCTTAGAAAAATTTGTACGGATAGATCTGTGGCTCTTGAAACATCAAACTTATAGGACGTATTGTCGCCCGCCCATAAGGGATTTTGCGGGCTTCCTGAAACTGCGTCGACAAACACTTGTACCTTATCGAAATCCAGCAGCGCATAGGGTAGGTGTCGCGAAGAGTATCTGCCATGGATCGTTGGAGCAGCATTAATACCACCTCCAGTTGCTGATTGAGGTCGATTCTGAGCGTAGGATCCTGCCATTCCACCTGGGGTACGGCCCATAGGATCACGCATGGAGCCCGCCACGCCATATCCTGATGAGATTGAATTTTGTAGTTGAGAGTTGTATGTTTGCTGATATTGCGCTGGTAGAGAGAAATCTTTGCCCTCATGGAGAGTGACTATGAGGATGCCAGGTTTGCTCGGTACTTGCGGCGGTGATGCAATCATATCTTCCGAAGCCGCTACACAACATCAGACACGCAATTGGGAAAGCTCTTGAGATGACTGACCAATGCCATTCGTGCTTGTAGTACTGGTTTTGCTTACGCTACTCGTCGTCGTCATGAGCTTTTCGTCTGACAGTGGTTGCTCATCGCTTTTGACTGTAGAAGTCGATGTAGACCGACCGCTGAGGCTGCTTTTCAATGGCCCGAGATGGGTCTCTTTAAACTCTTTGCAGTGTCAGTAAACTGAAGATCGTGTGACTTGACATATTACTTACTCTTTGTTAGATTCCAAGACATTCTCAAAATGTCACAATACCACTTGGAACGAACAATATACCAAGTCTCCGCCCAAAACTAATGGTAAAAGTGTGGCTTGAAATGGAAGGACAAGAAGGCTATGCCGTTTGTGCAATATCTCGACGCGCCCTAAATGGGAAGTGGTATCGACGGAAGATGGGTGGGAATCGAATAAAAAGAACTGTAGGACCGTTGGCTACTTATATCAGTGTGCGGCTTGGTTGAGGATTACTGGTGAGGAACATAGCATGAACGTAGCTTGAGGTACTCCCTGAATCTCTAAGCGGGCCACCGTTCGTATTGAAAAGTATTTTAGGTTAGTGAGCTGTGGCGCGGTGAAACCTAATTTGCCGCTCCTTAGCCGCATAGGGATTAGGGACTACCTGACGAAGGACGTCGATGATTCCAGTTGATACGGAAAGGAACACAGCATTGCCAAGTACGATCTCGTCCAGATATTGATGTTTGCGTCATTACAGAGTCAAGAACCAAGAGCATCAATGCAGCAAAAGTGGTGTGGTGACTGTGGTCATACACAGCTCCGTAGCACAGTCTTCGTCTAGTCCCCGCTTCTGGAGGTCACTATCCAAGCATGAGATATGGGTGTCCTGAAAAAGAAGTCGGCCGCAAGAGGCACCGAAGGTGGATCAAAATATATTTGTGATGTTTGTTCGGGCGACATCACTGCCACTGTAAGCCCTGCGCTCCGCCATTTGATGTCTTAGCATTCACCTTTGACACTCGCCGTAGGTACGTATACATTGTACTGTCTGCGCGGACTACGACCTTTGCGTACCATGCTTCAAAGATGGTCTCCTGTCACGCGACCACAAACCCGCCGAACACGCGTACTCCGTCATAGAACAACACTCTATACCTATTTACGATCCTGGCTGGGGCGCGGATGAAGAGCTATGTCTATTAGAGGGCGCAGAGAATTACGGACTTGGTTCCTGGTCAGACATTGCTGATCATATTGGCGGCTACCGCAAGAAGGAAGAGGTCCGAGATCATTATTACAAGACCTACATTGACAGTCCTAATTTCCCGTTACCTGAGCATGCCGATCCTTCAGATAGAATCATCATGGAAGAGATGCCTAGGGAGATGTTTCAGGCAAGGAAAAAACGACGGATAGAGATGCGCAAAGAACAAGCCAAGGCGGCACCGCCAGCGACGCCGAAGCAGAAGCCCACAGCCTCTGTACCCGCATGTCACGAAGTCGCAGGTTACATGCCCGGCCGTTTGGAGTTCGAGACTGAATTCGCCAATGAGGCGGAGGAAGCAGTTCAACACATGCAATTTGAGCCTGGGGAAGGTGTAAACCCTCGCACAGGTGAACTAGAACCCGAAATGGAACTCAAAATGGTCGTCATGGACATCTACAACTCTCGCCTCACATCGCGGGCCGATAGAAAGAAGGTGATATTCGAGCACAGCCTTCTTGAGTACAAAAAGAACACCAACATCGAAAAGAAGAAGACTAAAGAAGAGAAAACCCTCCTCGACAAGGTCAAACCCTTCGCTCGAATGATGAATCACCAGGACTTCACCGACTTCGCCGCAGGCGTGAACGAAGAGCTCAATCTCCGGCAAGCCATTTCGCAATTGCAAGACTGGCGAAACATGCAACTCTCCACATTGAAAGAAGGCGAGAAGTACGAGCAAGAGAAACAGGCCAAGCTAGCGAAGCCACCACCTACTGGCGGCCAATTCGACCGCCAACCGGGGTTTCGTCCTGAAAAGAAAGCGGAACCAAAAGTCGTACCAGACCTCTGTATCGAGCTTACCGCAGCCGAGCTCCCGGAGCGGCTCAAGCCTGTCCCACCGCCTCCCCCGCAGCATCAACAACCACCTTCTTCTCATCAAAGAGGCCCCCTCACGAACGGCAATGCAAATGCCACGCCGGCCCCTCCCCCGGTAGCGCCTCACAAGACAAAGTACAATATACAATCATTACCGAATGTACCCCGTATGGACCTCAAATCAGAGAATGCCACAGATATACAGCTGTTGACGAGGGAAGAGGAGGAACTGTGCTCAGTACTAGGCATCATGCCCAAGCCTTATTTGGCTATGAAAGAGGGGATCTTGAACCTCGCAATGAAGAATGGCGGACAATTGAAAAGGAAAGGTGTCAGGGAGTTATGTAAAGTATGTTTTCACGAATTAATCCAAAAGATGCCTCACTAACACGACTAATCAATAGATTGATCCGTCGAAAAGCGGGCGATTATTTGACTTTTTCGTGCACTCGGGCTGGATACTCAAGGCATGACCTTGGGGAGGGGGGAAGCACTCTGATTTATTTAAAGTCGTTCAATGGATGTAGAAGACGACGTGAAACGGAACTTTAACGCTGCTTTTCGAGCGGACTTTTGGGTTGGTATTACTGGATGGACGTAGAAAAGGGACAGAATTATATACTTGGCTTTTCTCCTGAACCTGTAAACTACATGATTAGACCCGCCAGGCATCATCCACTGTATGCAAATGTCGCTAATCATACAATGCGTTTCTGTTTCCCACGACTCCCGGTGAATAATTATAATAGACAGAGCCCCTAACGCCACGCTATTCTTTGGATAACATACCAGATGCCATACGAAATGCTACTATAACCAAGCGACTCCAGGAAATTGCTGCCGTATGCTAGTGTTGACTTTATACTGAAAGATTCCCTCCTCAGTCGCCACGTACCTTGCGCCACTATCAGTGTCCCACCGATCATAAACCATAGAGAGAGACTTACAATTCTCGTCCGCTCAGGCCCCAACCGACGCCCATAGTGACGACTCCGTCTTGTCGGTTGACCCGCATTAGTAGATCGCTCATCGAAGGTAGCTCGCCTTCTTCGCCAGTTCTTGGGTGAGACCTCAGAATACTCAAGCGCTGCGCATTCATCAGATTAAGCTGCCTTTGCTGTTCATTTCTCGACGCTAATTGGTGAAGAGTCTGGAGCTGCTGAAATTGGCTTTGGTAGTCTACAGGATCCGTACTAGATCGACGGTCGAGGTCGCGAAGAGTCGCTGAAGGCGCTATTCTACTTCGCACGCTAGATAGTGCATCGTTACTTGCGTTCATAGCGTTGCTAATGGTGTGCCAAGACGAGTCGAGTGCTGGAAAAGAAGGATCATTCATAACTGATGTAGACGATGGGAGACGGGAAGGCGAAGCCGAAAGAGGTATAGACCCAGTTCCTATTGGTGCCAGTGATGTTGAATCGTTTGCAGCGGAGTTAGAGTTGGAAACGACCACGGAACTCCGTCGCCGAGGATGGAATAACCTTTCGCCAGATGATCTAGAGCTGTCAGAGTTGCGGAGACGCATGTACTCAGCTATGCTTGCAGTTTGGCGAGCATGATTAGTAGATGAGGAATTCGTTCCTTCCCATGGCGGGGTCGGCGGAAGGAATCTGTTCGAGCTGTTGTAATGTATACTGAGGGGCGCAGATGGATCATTATTGTTGTTGTTGCGTCTTGCCCTCCGCTGGCTGTGGTCTTCCATTGTCCGACGCTCACTCTCTGTCAAACGATGCGGGTTGCTCCTTAGATGCGTCAGCTCATTAGAAATGCTCTCTCTATATATGCGTCTTCGATCGGCGGCATACTCCATGAGGTCCGCAGTATTCATAACTGCGGACAAGTAATTCTGAGTTGCAAGTGCTTCGTCGTGCGTGTCGAGAAATCGGCGCTCGATTTCTAATTGTCGCTGTTCAAACGTACTTTCTTGGTCTTGAACATCCACCCTCTTCAAGTCCGATGAGTCTGGCTCTAGATGAATGATTTGGGCAGACTGAAGGGCATTACGCAGATCGATGACATTCACACGCCCTTGCTCTTCCACAACGGCTAAGAGATCCCAAGGGCTGGGTGAAAAACTCATTGAGCGGATCGCTCCAGAAACATTTTGTCTTGAAGAGTTGAGAATACCAATCACAGCATTTTCGCTGTCCAGATCCTCCATGATACGAGCAGTGTCAAATATGGTGATCACGCCCATTTGAGATGCTACGGCGCAGATATGTCCAGATGGAGAAAAGGCCGTGCAGAAATAGCAGTCGGCCTTGTGAGCGAGACTTACTTGTGGCTGACAGATATCTTTCCAGTCCCATGTCCAGCATGGCTTTCCATGTCGAAAGACTTCCTTGAACATTCGTTGATGGAAAAAGACTTGTGGCTTATCTCCAACCGCAAGGAGCATCTTCCCGTCAGGTGAAATCGTGGCGTGATTCATTTGCGTACAATATTGTTCAGGACCATTCAATTCTTCCATTTTAGTGAGTGAGAAGATGCGAATGCTCCGATCATTGTTCCTAGGGGTCATTAGTGAGGGTCTAAATTCGTCTTGTTGCGCCACATCTCACGTTAGGAGTACGATGATCTGGTCTTCTAGCCCCTCACGTCCCCCCGGAAGTCGTTGTATGGCCACCGAGTTCACGATGTCCTCGCCAATGATGTTCTCGTGCACCTCATACCTGACGGGGCGGGGAGGAGAGCGGCTGGTTGACGAGCCTTGCTGAAGCAGACCTCGCGACTCTGGGTCCAAATCCAATGGCAGCAAGTCATCGACTTCAGCATATTGGTACGGTGGTAGATAGCCAGCAGCCTCATCAGAGCCTCGCTTGATCTCGATAAAGGCGCATTGTCCTTTCGTTTCGCCCCCCCAGCTCCCACACAAATCCATCCATGTGCGGCGTCCAAACACAACGGTCTCCATTTGAAGCTTTTGATCAGCCGCCTCCTGTTTGTCGGCAGATGCAGAGAGTATATCTCCATATTCGCGGCATAATAAATGTAATCTTTAACCCTGGTACTGATGAAGTTCTTGAGCTGAGGGTGTTGTGGGGGAATCCTGATCGGGAAGAGGCTCGCCTTCTTGTCAAATATCAACGAACTTGTAGATAGCGGTCTCGTGAAGTCGACTGTCATGTTGAAGGATGCAAGCGAAGCTCAGAGGGTAGGAACCTAGGAAGGGGCTCATCGAGCTGGAGACTGGAACTTTGGAAGTCGTCGTCCTTGATCTCGTGAACTCGAATGCCTCCGCGTAGATGAGACGAGCATGAGAAAACCTTCCAAGGTCCAAAATTCAATCGTCGTCCGCATACACGACGATCATAGTAGATAATGTAAATATATGGATGTGCTTTTGGCCTTGGGAGGCGTTACAAGCAAGGTAACTCCGATGACGTTTGATTGGCTCAATTTGGACACGCTAGGAGTCTTGTGCTCGAGCATGCATTATTAGGTAATCCGTTTTTGAAGTTTTGAACAACGATTGACTTCACAATTCGACGAGCACTTGTCCTGTTGAAGGTAATTACAGCAACTTCTGTTGATGGACTTGGTTTCGACTAAGTACTTTCGTGAAGATCTTGTGGATAAATCATACCATTCAAACAAGGTAGCCATCTTGTGTGAGACCAGGGAAGAATCACGCCGCTTTTTGCACTACTGAGAATGCTGCACCGGCTGGACAGTCAAGGTCGCCGCAATCAGATCGGCGTGCAGCAGTCGCCGATCGACGGAGATTGGCCTTGGCATGATCCTTGCAGATGCTTGAGATGGTAACAACTCACGCTCTGCGAGCGCAGCTACCTGAAATCTTTCGTATTCTCCTCGCAAAAGCTCACAAACTCTCCTGCCACTCCTGTCCCGCCTTCCTCCTTCGTCTTCATCGCTGCCAGTAAATCTTGTCTTGGGCCTGGATGCAGTCTTCCCCATGGTACTACGTATTGCCCTCCATGATTGACCTCTAAGTTCTCTGCCAACCCGGCCCAAAGTTCAGTGTACGCGCCCATCTTCGCTGGATACAATAGCGGACTCGAGAGAAAGCCGAGGATCCATGGCGCATGTCTCAGGAGTGCGGTTTTTAAATTTCCCGGATTCTGCGTTAAAACTCAAGACACCTTGGTCTGCAACTTGAGCTGCTAGAGCATCAGCAAGAAACCAATTGCCAGTTTTGGAATTGAGGTAGTTCCGTTGTTGGTTTGAGGGTAGGTTTGTGAGCTCAGAAATGTGAAGTCCAGATCTAGGGGCGGAGAGATCGACAACAATGGAGGAGGTCCAAACCACGCGGACGGAGGCTGAGGATGGCATTTTCGCTGTCTGTAGGAGGATTGGAAGGAAAAGTTGGGTTAGAAGGTAAGGGCCAAGACAGTTGGTCGCCATTGACAATTCGTGGCCTTGTTTTGAGGTTGACTCCTTGGGCGGGAGAGAAACGCCTGCATTATTGAATAAAACATGAAGTCTTGATTCTTTGGAGGTGAAGTGATCGACGGCGGGCTTGATCGTGGTAAGATCATCCAGGGAGAGCGGAAGGAAATGAAGCTGGCCTGAGGAGTCTGGGTGGAGACTCTTGATTTGCGACATTGCGGACTCCGCTTTTGCCTCTGAACGGCCGGCTATGTATACGCTGCCGCCAGCTTGGAATAGCATGGTGCATAATTCAAGCCCTACACCTGAGTAGCCGCCCGTCACAACAAATACTTTGCCTCTTTGGATAGGGAGATTAGCTTCCGTCAAAGTTGGTGGAGGTGGAAAAAATTGAGAGAACGTGACACCCATTTCAAGCAGATATTGAGGCTCCTGTAATTGAATTTTTGGAAGGGGCAGCAGTCAGCTATGCTAGCACACAACATACACCAGTGCGGTCCTGAATCAAGCCTGAGGGAATTTTCAAGCGTCGTAGGATTTAATTATGACTCGAAAGCATCAACTCAGAAATCAAATCAGAGGTCGTGCGCAAGCGAGAAGCGTTATTCAAGAACTCTAATTATAACACCGACCTACATATACGGGTATCATTAGGAAATGAAAATGAAATTTTGTTAATCACAAGAAGTGGAAGCAGATGGTGTAGAAGGGGGTATGAACGGTTGTTCATTGCTTATGTAATATCGGAAATCAAGCCCGTGAAGCTAGTCGAAAAGTGGATTAGACCATTCTAGATAATTTTCTATCCTTTTTTTGCATCTGATTTGTCTCATTCTCTTCACCCCATCAACGGTCTCGTAAGACACTTTTGAGCTGAGGGTCACTGTATAATACATATTGAAAATGCTCTCAGCAAGATTTGCAAGATCAGTGAGTGCTTGTCTTCGCTTCCCAGACTCCCTTAACATCATGCTTCTTGCTAAAATTTACCAGCTTCCTCGCGCCACCTCAGCACTCTCACGCCCTGCCGCTATCAGACCACACCTAGCATCGAGCTTTGCTCGGTTTCAGTCCACAGGAAGTGAGGAAAAGGTTAAAGGTCAAGTCATAGGGATAGATCTGGGTAAGCGAAAAGATTTTCGAGGTCTGGACGCAAATATGCATATTGATCGTCCGGGCGTTTAGGCACTACCAACTCTGCCGTCGCGATTCTCGAAGGCAAAACCCCTAAGATAATAGAGAATTCCGAAGGTGGTCACCCGGCGACGTCGATCCTCATAGAGCGATATATTAACCCTCGTCGCAGGTTCAAGGACCACACCATCCACCGTTGCTTTCTCACAAGATGAGCGTCTTGTTGGTATATCCGCGAAGCGTCAGGCAGTTGTAAATCCAGAAAACACACTCTTCGCCACGAAACGTTTAATAGGTCGTAAATTTACCGATGCGGAAGTCCAACGAGACATCAAGCAGGTCCCATACAAGATTGTACAGCATACGAATGGCGATGCTTGGGTCGAAGCTCGAGGCCAGAAGTATTCTCCTTCACAAATCGGAGGCTTCGTCCTTCAGAAAATGAAGGAGACCGCCGAGGCACATTTGAGCAAAAACATAAAGAATGGGGTTGTGACTGTGCCGGCTTATTTCAATGACTCGCAACGTCAAGCCACTAAAGATGCAGGGCAAATCGCAGGCTTAAATGTTCTCCGCGTGGTGAACGAACCGACAGCCGCAGCGCTAGCATATGGACTAGAGAAAGAAGAGGACAGAATCATTGCCGTCTTTGATCTTGGCGGTGGTACATTTGATATTTCTATCTTAGAGATTCAAAAGGGTGTGTTCGAAGTCAAGTCTACAAACGGCGACACACATCTTGGAGGAGAAGATTTTGATATCAGTCTTGTACGGCATTTGGTCGAACAATTTAAGAAAGATTCTGGCATCGATCTGTCGAGTGATCGGATGGCTATTCAGCGCATTCGAGAGGCGGCAGAAAAAGCTAAGATGGAGCTTTCGTCCAGCCTACAAACTGACATTAATCTACCATATATCACCGCCGACGCTTCTGGCCCCAAGCATATCAATCAGAAGTTGTCGCGGTCGCAGCTGGAGAAACTCGTCGAGCCGTTAGTGAATAGGACAATCGATCCTGTGCGAAAAGCTCTGAAGGACGCAAACCTCCAGGCTAAAGAGATCCAAGAGGTCATTCTCGTCGGTGGTATGACACGTATGCCAAAGGTGACAGACACTGTCAAGAGTATCTTTGGTCGCGAGCCTGCGAAATCTGTCAACCCTGACGAAGCCGTCGCCATTGGCGCAGCGATACAGGGCGCTGTTCTGGCTGGCGAGGTCATGGATGTTCTGTTGCTCGACGTTACGCCCTTATCCCTAGGCATCGAGACTCTTGGTGGAGTCTTTACTCGCTTGATTAACCGAAACACGACCATCCCGACCAAAAAGTCTCAGACCTTCTCAACTGCTGCGGATTTCCAGACTGCTGTTGAGATTAAGGTTTACCAGGGTGAACGTGAGCTCGTTCGCGATAATAAGCTACTTGGGAACTTCCAGCTCGTTGGGATACCACCTGCACACCGAGGCGTGCCGCAGGTCGAGGTCACCTTCGACATTGATGCTGATTCGATTGTTCATGTTCACGCAAAGGACAAATCAACAAACAAGGATCAATCAATTACAATAGCATCTGGCTCTGGCCTTTCGGACTCCGAAATCCAGGGTATGGTAGATGACGCTGAGAAGTATGGCGAGCAAGATAAGGAAAGGAAAGCTGCAATTGAGGCAGCCAACCGCGCCGACAGCGTGCTCAATGACACGGAGAAGGCGCTTAAGGACTTTGCTGACAAAATTGACAAAGCTGAGGCTGATCAGCTTAAGGAGAAAATCAACACCCTTCGCGAATTCGTCGCTAAGAATCAGACTGGAGAGGGCACAGCTACTGCGGCCGAGCTTAAGGAGAAGACAGATGAGCTTCAGATGTCCAGTCTGAATCTCTTCGACAAAATGCACAAGGCAAGATCAGAGGACAAAGGTCAACCAGGACAGACGCCGCCACCGGGGGATGCGCCACCAGAGGGGCAGGAAGGGCAACAAAGCGGTGAGACCCCACCCGAGGGCGAGAAGAAGCCATGAAAAACTCAACGTACCATACCCCTCGACTTATTCTGATTCGAATATCTGCTTCGATCTACCTAATCTCCGCTTGCTGTAGCATAGAAAAGCTGCCGCCATTGTGTTCAGATACTCCTATTTAGTCTACGGAACAGCGATAGGGCAGGTTGTTATGCATGGATGGCGCTTCCTTGTAAGTGAATAGGTTTCTAACATGGAATATAAGATTCTCCTCTCAAACCGTCAAAATGAACGACATTTGTGCTACGCTTGACGCTTTTCATCATTCCTGTCTACGAAACTGTGCTCACCCAAACCATTGCGGTGTCTCTCACACGGTGCCCGGCGGTGCCTAGCGCAGAGATACCTCAATTGCCTCAGCCCTACAGGATATCAACCTTGACTTGCGAGGGTTACATTCAATCACCTGCCTATCCCAAAAGCATTGCTCAGCATAGCGAAAGACCACGATCTGTTGCGTAAACTGCAGGGAAGCCGAGGACATGGACAAATTCCAAGCTTTTGGGAAGAACATTTCGTGAGCATCTCACGACTGTCCTTTCCGTGCAATCATAATTGACCTCCCCGCCAGTTCCACCATCAACCCATGGACAGCTCGAACACAGCAATATTTCAAGGAACAGATTGGTACAGCCGACGAGAAGGTCCGACCTTTTTCTTGTTCCAATCGTAGACAATTGTGCTCACCCTGGTTTGTTCCAGACTGAGCTCCCGTCCGACTACATCGAGCTCGAAAAGCGTGTCGATGCACTGAAACAAGTGCACCAGAAGCTGCTCTCCGTGACGTACGTCAGACTTTCCCACCAAATCTCCGTCCCGATCCTAACCATCCACTATCTTGCAGTTCTCAATACTCTAATGAGGCCTACGACTATCCCCCTAACATCCGCGAATCCTTCACCGATCTCTCCCGCACCATCTCCGACAAGGTCAACCTCCTATCTCACGCCACTTCTCCCGCAGAAGCTCAAGCAGCCTTGACGGCTCCGCCATCCGCAAAACCGCAGCCCAAGACATTCCCACACGCTATCGCCCGCGCTGCACTAGGTGGCAGCCAGCTGCTCAACGCGCATCCCGCAGCCAACGCCTCCGGTGAAGATCCTCTAGCCACCGCCCTCGAGAAATATGCGCTAGCGTCCGAAAAAGTCGGCGAGGCGCGACTGGCACAGGATGCGCAGATCCAGAAACAGTTCTTGGCGGGGTGGAGCACGACCTTGAATACAAACCTCATGTTCGCGACACGGGCGAGACGGAGTGTGGAGAACGCGAGGTTGGGTCTTGATGCGCAGAAGAGTAAGACGAGGACGAAGAGTCAAGTGGGCATGAGTGGGGAGGTAGAGGATCTGCCTGTTAGCGAGGATGTGAGGGCCGAGGTCGAGAAGAAGGAGGATGAATTTGTGGGTGTCACAGAAGAGGCGGTGGGTGTAATGAAAAATGTGAGTCCCTTCATTTCCCCTTTTCCGGGGTGGTGGCCTGCTATTGAGGGGCATTGGTGGCTGACAAGGTGGATAGGTACTTGATACGCCCGAGCCGTTGCGGAATTTGGCGGATCTCATTGCTGCGCAGCTTGAGTACCACAAGAAGGCTTACGAGGTCTTGAGTGAACTGGCTCCTATTGTGGATGGTTTGCAGGTTGAGCAGGAGGCGAGCTATCGAAAGAATCGTGAGGGTGCTTGAAAACGGATTGGATGAGTGAAGCGTGAAGGCCGGATGGTGAGGATCTGGGGAAATGGGTATGAACAGAGAAGGGAACTTCGTTGAGCCAGTCGGCCTCGGAAGGCTGTGATGACTAGTCGTTTTGAAAGTATACCTTGGAGTAAACACCTTTTCTTGTGGTATAAAGATACTCATTTTCAGCGCCTTTTGTTCTAGGCTTGATCAAAAGCATGCGAATGTCCGTATTGTTATTTTCGGGACAAGTGCGGCACATCAGGATACCTTTGACCGTTGGGCTTTCTCCATCAACTTCTCATCCTTCGCTCAGCCCAACCAAGCCCAGAATAGCGGCCCTTACGGCCCATCTTGCGGTAGCACCAGCAAGTACTAATCCTCCTGCCCAAAGATAGCCACAATTCAGCAGAATTCTTAAAGACTCTGAGTTCTGTAGAGCTATAGCCCATGTAACTCCACTTCTGACCCATCCAACTCCCCTAGCTCCGCTCCGTAGAAATTCTGGCAAGAACAGGTTCGTATCAATGGGCGAGGGTACTGTTAATTCGGTTGAAGGACCTTCCTCTGGCTTCCAAACTATCATGAAGATCGGAAAGACCGACATGCATGAACTCACAAGGAGTGCAGTAGAGATAGATGTAGATGTAGGTGGCTTGAGAGGTTCTACAGCAGTAGCACTAGAACCGCCACCACCACCAGGGGTTGCCGTTCCACTTAATAGTACCTCAATCTCTTTGAAGTCCAATCTCGAATCCTGATGACGATGAGGATAATCACAGAAGCCGAAGTATTGTGCCAAGAAGCGGATCGTAAGATGCTGGGACAACGAGGCCAGACCACAGACGAGTACGAAGAAGCCCCATTGCACAAAGACGTTCAAGTCGAAGATTGCGGGGGAGGACTGTGGCAGGGACTCGATATGGATTTCTGTGAGGTAGACGTCGAAGAGAAGGAGCAGAATCCCTAATCGACGGATTGAGGGCTGAAGCTGAGTCAGCGGGAGAATGACGCCGTGTGGAGATGCGATACGCACGTCAAGGGTCTCTGCGTCGTGATAGAAGCGATTAAAGAGAATGTGGCGATAGACCTGACAATACTGGTCAGCACAAGAGCATGTTCCTGAGAGAACAAAAATTGAGTATACCTGAGGCTTTATGAGCACCAAATCAATGAACAGAACCACGTAGTCATGCTCCACATATTTGTCGGCGAATCGCTTGCATTGCGGGCATTGGGTCAATCTGACATCACTACTGCCGGTACCAGCACTCTTTGGCTCATCACTAGGGGCTGAGACTCGCGGAGGAGCAGGCGACAATTTCTGAGAGCTGGGCGCAAGAGCTAGATTTGCGGAGGAGGATCTTTGGCTTTGGTTTGATGGGGTAGGCGTGACTGATTTCTGACTGCCCGATCTAAAGAGGTGATACAATTGAGCAACGGGGTAACCACACTCAATACATATGGGCATGCTATCTTCGCCGCCTCATGTTGTCGAGCGTGGTATCGTGAGGTAGGCGCGAGGTGGAATATGCACTGCTGACTAAGCAAGCTGCCTCGACACTTGATTGGCTACGAACTCCCCCTTTCTTTAGCGGCAAGGGTAAGGCTGTAATATAAAGTAACCCACATCGACATGCGAGGAATAATAAGCATGCTTCTCACTCTGATGCTTATGATTCAGAACGGGCTCATGATACAGCAACTTGAGATACAAAAAGGCCTTCATACAACAAACGTTCCCGCAAGAGCAACCCCCATTATAACCAACCAGCTACTCCTCATGCCCGTGACAGCTTCTCCTGTAAAGGCAACAGTACCGTTCGTCTGCGAGCTATTCCTCACGGATTGCGACCAATTACCAAAAGCCTGCGACCCGTTACTGACAAGGCTCACATTCTTACTTCCCACCGTTATGTTACTCACATTCTTGCCTCCGACCGTGATATTACCTATTTTCTGGCTTCCCCACGTAGCATTTGCACTCCAGACGCCCTTCACCGCAGTCTGGAAGCTGTTGGTGAACCCAGGCGAGTCCGAGACAACGAAGTTCTGCCCTGTACTCCCCTTTACACAAGCACCGTAATCCCTGCTCGCGACCTTCGCAGCTGCAAACCACACCTTGCTTTGATCAAGGATCATATCTTTTGTGTAGAAGAGGCGGCAATCTGCCGGCTCGTACTGGAATTGCAACGGCGTGTTCGACGTGTCACCTGCGCGCACTTGATCAAGCACGTTGACTCTGTTACGCCCCTCATCGGCGTATTTCATATCGGCTAGCTTCGGTGGCAGCGCTGCCAGCTTGGACGCAGTTAAACCGATCTTAGAAGCAAGCTGTGGGTACTGGGCTGCTCCATCGCGTAGTTGCTCAACAAATCCATCGATGTTGCCCCAGCTGTACACGTTGCCGCCGCGAGTGCCGGCAGCGTACTGCATGGGGCCGTACGTCGGGGTGCCGCCTACGCTGACAGTGAGAACGCCAGCAGCAACAGCCATGAGTTCGGCGAATACAGCACAAGTGGAGCCGCAAAAGCCATCAGTGAGGAGTACTACATCTTCAGGGGCGTAGCGCGGATAGTCTTTAGGGACAGTATTATTGCCGAAGCCAAAGACCTGGGCGTTGAGACCCATACCTTTGGCGAGGTCAGGGTCTGTGAAGTCGAAGCGGGCAGGGATGGTGTATTTGCCGTTATTACTAGAAGTTACTGGGCCAAACCAGGAAGAGAAGGAGCCGAAGCTCTTAGAGATGCTGCTGTCGGCGGCGAATTTCCTGGTGGAGGAAATTGACACCGCGCCAGCGAGTTCATTTTTAGCGCTCGATTGCACTTCCTTGCTAGCAATATTGCCTTGATTGGCTGCTATCGTGTCGAATGCGGATCCAATGGTGTTTAGCGTGTCAGTGGCTTGGGCACGGATCAGTTGGTAAGGATATATATCTGGAAAGATGCGTCTGAAGGTCTCGTAAGCTTGGAAGGCAATGCCTCCTCCATTGCCTGAGATATCGATCACTATTTTCTTGACGCCGGATTTCTTGGCTTCATACAAGGTGTCGGAAACAGATTGGGAGAATGACGCCGACATGTTCTGGGCACTTTCAACGTCGAAGGAAGGAATGCTTATCACAGCTATCGACTCGTTCTCGTAGACGTAGCCAGACGTAGTACCCTGGCCTTTGCCAAAGGGCTCCTGCACAACCGTTGGTTCTGGATAGCTGTTAAACGGCACTTTGTCAGAGGTCGTTTGATTGATCGCAGTATCCTCTAGGTCTACCAGCGGCACAAACGGGATATAATAGGGGCGGTATTTGATATATGCAGGCTCATCAACGCTCGGTAAGAACTCTCGATTTTGGCGCTTTTCTGCATTTTCTGCGTCACCTTCCTGCCTGAGAACCACTTTGTTGTAGATGTTGTCCGCACTCGTCCATTCTTCCTTCGTCATATCTTTCTTGCAGTATCCGAACCACTCCCACGTAAATCTAGTTCCGTTCTCGAAGGTACCGGTCAAGAATTCTCCAGGATAAGTTTGACTGACAGTGAAAAGGGACTCGTCGTTGGTCGCGCCTACTCCGAAAGCATAGGCGGCATTCTCCATCATGATATTCCATTCCGTGTGAGATTCGGCGACACCTACGGTGTTCCGATCCGTCGCTAAGTCAGACAGGTACTCGAGAATAGTTTTACCATCTAGTGTTGCGACAGCCGAAGGTTTCCAACCCAAGTTCACCACGTCTCCAGCTTGCTGAATGTCTTGAAATACGTAAACTTTCGGCAATTCCTTTCCATCCGTTGAGAAGGATGTAAGCTGCCACTTCAACGACCATGCCCACATGTTAGATCCGAGAATGCCGGGTTTGAGATTGAAGTGATAGTCGTTGGCAGTTCTGGCTAGTGATATCACATCTGCGTCGAAATCATACTGTGAAGTATATATTCCAGCTTTAACGGCCTCTGCAATCGTATCTAGGTCTGCCATGATATCTGATGCTGGCTGTTGCCAAGCCTTCGTCGGCTGCTTGATGAACGCAAGGTCTGACTGAAGGATTCCATAGATTTTGGCGTATTTAAGATAGTCGAGCGCGTCATCCTTTAGAATGGGTACCGACGTGAGGCACTGGTAGAGAGTGGTGGCATTCAGTCCAACAGTCTGAGGATCGACGCCTATCCGTATTAGACCGTCATATTTGCCAAAAGCTAGGTCTCAAAGCTTACCATCACCAAGATGATCGGACTGCTGCGTTGCAACTGTCTCGCAGGGGTCTGTACTTTGAGCAAAAACAGCGGAAAGAATAAAGGGAAGAAGCGTGCAGATGGAGAACTCGACGCGCATCTTGAAAGATAGTCTAAGAACCAAAGAAAGATGGATTTTCGGTTGCAAGAAAGAGATGATGCTGTTCGATTCGGAGCAAGCAACTCCGCTTCCTTAACCTGCACGCAAGGACTGAATGGAAGGGTGCATTCGATGAGGTTGATGTAGGATCCAGCTCAGCTTAAGGCCAACCAAATCTCATTTCCTTGTTGCAACGCTGACCGCAGTAGGGACATAGCACTATTCTAGACCAACTGAGTGAAGCCGTGTCAGAACGCCACAATAACGATGATATTCAGAACATATCGCGCGTCTATTATTATCGAGTGCCTCTTCCAAAGCTCGACTGACTTGTCATTGTGGGTATCTCAACTTTGCATAGTACACCATTAGAAGTCCCTCATTAAGACGCCTGGACTTCTTCACATTGAAGGCATTCATGAAGACGACGCTAGACGACCTCTGAACTGGACGTTAACTCACAGAGGCTCTGGAAAGGTATGCTTGAAGCCTGAGGCAAAGCTTTCTAGTTCGCCTAAATCATCTAGCCAGGGGTAGAGTCAGGCACAGCTCAAGGCGTCCAAGTGGTGGCTCTGGTGAAACAAACTTTCCGGGTCTATGACTGGGCGCCTGAAACGGGTCTGCAGACGAGCCCACGACAGAAATGTTCAATGGATGCCTGTCAGTCCACTCATTTTCCTCGATGAGGTATGTCGCTGATCTTAAAGAGGCGGAGTTTTGAGGCGTCCCAGACTTTGCTGTCAGTTTTATTCAAAGCTTAGCGCTGAGAGTAAGCAACCCACTTGGCAATTTGTATATGTTGTATACCAGGTTCAAGCCTCATAAAGTCTACTCTGGTCAAGTCGTCAGGTCTCCGTAAGGCGAGCATTGACGGCTTAGGCCAGCCCGAGTGAAGGGATTAATCTGGGAAATGTGCCTTCAAAGCGGAACATAGAATTGTTATTTAGAGACGAACACCGCAAAGGTCTTCAAAAGCGGATTATAGAAGCCTTGTCCTCTCACCTTGGAGAGACAATGGCACAAACCTACATGAAGCCGTGAAATCTGGGCGGCTTTGGGGAGAACCTTGATCCTGTATGAACAAGTTTTTGAAAAGTCTACACACCTCGTATTGAATTGTCAGTCAGTGAAGAATTCCTCATATTTAGAAAAGTGTTTTTGTTCACCTCACTAAGGCATCCCAACCCCCCTCAATCTCCACGTAAGCAAGGGCTGTAATCCTTCTCCTTCTTCTAATGCCAGTGCACACGTGATCACATGATAGGCGGTGGGTTTTCATTCAAGCTCTTGTATTCATTACCGAAGTCCCAAGGCGCGCTAAACTTACAGATTCTTCATTGCTCTTCCCTGCGCCGCCCTCAATGACGCTTATGTACATTTCAACCTAGCTCAGAAGCAATAGTAGAGGAAGCTGCCAACCCCAGTTAGTCCTACCCCAAACCACCACCATTTATTCGCATCCAGCGGTTGTTTTCTCTTGACAAGTACATGCTTGTTCAGCGGCTCGTCCGCATAATGGTCATTTACTTCTAGATCTCTCTTCCCCTTTCCCGTCTCCTTCGCCCCAGCACCTCCTGAGCTGGAGGTTGGGTTAAGCGTCTGCGTTGGCAGCATCTGTGGTGGCTTGTATGCTAGGTACATTGGATTCAAAGGCGCACCGTCAAAGCGATAGAGGTTCAGACGTTGGGCTTTAGAGAATCCGTCTTGGACTACTTCATATTTCTGTAGAAGGCCCCCGATCAGACATCGCTGGCTGAGATTCAGAAAAGCGCAGGGCAGCGAAACCTACCTTCATAAGTTCAAATTGATTGTAGCGAGTGTAGATGGAATTTTTGTAATTGCAAGGATTTGATTGGAGCTGGCGACCGTCGACAGCGAAAGGGAAAAGGCTCAGGGAGCTATTGGCATTTTTCACGTATTTGCCATGTTGCCATTGTATTATGCCTTGAGGGCAGGAGGGTTGCGTAGCTGTAGTGAACTTTAGAAAGAATATTGCAATGGATTTGATTCAAAGACTCACGGTTTGCGACTGCTCTGTAGTATGCAGATTCGTAATAGCCATCTTTTGTGAATGAATACGAGAAGCCTGTCAAGTCCGGCTCGAACATCTTCTCATTGACAGGGTCATAGAATCCCTAGGCAATCGTCAGTCTTCATTGCATCTTCTCTGTTCATACACAGATCTCTTGACTATGCAATGCACGTACCGGTCCTGTCAAGACCTTTCTCGATTTCGTGGTCCATGTGCCCTCTATTTGTGGGTCTCCCTGTGTTGCAACGAAGGACAAGCATAGGGTTATCACAACAAGTAACGATCGTATCAGATGCAGCATGCGAAAAGCGTCGAGCGGCATATTTGCTCTATACCAGGATCGTTCAAAGACCTGTAACGAGAATTCATGAAATTCATTGACCAAGGGCAGCACAGGGTGCTACGCTAGGCCACGTTGGGCGGCTCGAATGAATCTATTTTTAGTAGTCTGAGTATTCAGACCCTTTGCCACGGAGGAGGTTTAGCCGCTAAGAAAACCACGCTAACTAATATTATAACCCCCTCGTAGTAGGTCTAAGCATATTTTAGCATAAAACGACTATTAAACGTTATAATTTTATTTAAAAAATTTTATTTACTTTAAAATTAATATTTTCTAAAAAAAACTTAAAAAAAAAAATTTATTTAGACTAAGTTTATATTAAAATCTCGCTTTAAGTTATTTTTTCTCCTTAAAATTCTTATTAAAAGTTAAATATTTTAAAGTAAATAAAATTTAAAAATTAAAGCTATTAAATGCTATTAATTTTAGGAGGGATTTTTATTAGTGACCAGATATACGCGGGTGAAAATATCTTATCATGGGTATTCACCACCAAAAATCTGGTCTTGGCGCAAAATCGTGCTCAGACCCCCTTCGGGGGCCCCTACGGGGCCTGGGGTCTGTTAACTCAGACTAATTTTTAGGATCTTGTTCGGCGATTTACACAACTAAATTGGCAAGGGGACCTTGAGAGGTCCTGATCGATTTTGTGCTCTTTACGCTCAAAAGGCTTTGGTGCTGCTCCAGGAAGGGAGTTTTCATGAGTATTCTAAAGCATTATGTGTACGGATGAGGGTTTGCCAGAAGAGCAAATGGCAACCATTCGACTGGCTAAGCGCAGCATTCGTTCAGCTATGCGGACAAAGCTCGCTCAAGTGCCCATACCATCGATAGGATTACAATGTTCGTTCTCATTAGAGAAGCAGTGACCAACATATGAAGCTGATCCGAGGTTTTCAAGCCGCCAGAATTGCAGCAACGTTGTTAACTATGAACGCATACAAAAATGCAGGGTCCATATCCATCTATTTATCAATGCCGTCTGGCGAGGCTGTGACGAACGACATTGTGAAAGATGCTTTGACCCAGCACAAAGCTGTCTTTGTTCCATTCATTGATAATGCAGTAAGTAGAAATGGGGGATCGCTCATAAAGGCAATGAAAATGGATATGGTATCTCTAGCTTCAATAGATGACTTCGAGCGTACCGAAGAGAATCGAGACCGATGGGGTATTCCATCGGTCGCACCCGAGTCGGTGCAAGGTCGGGCCAAGGTCTTAAGGGTTGGAGCGAGCACCGCCCATGACTCTAGCGGTGGCATAGCAATAACAGCCGAGTTTGAAAGATCAGCAGAAGCTACCCTGGACGTCGTTGTGATGCCAGGCATGGCATTTGATCGAAATTGTGGAAGGCTCGGCCACGGTAAAGGCTACTATGATACGTTTCTGGAGGACTATCGAGACAGCAAAGTTGGCGCGTCCGAAAAGGCACATTGTATGCCATATCTGGGTATTTGGTTTCCTTAGGCGCTTCATCTTCCTTGACTACCTTACTAAGCATAGAGTAGTTGGACTGGCTTTGTGTGAACAAGTACTCCACGAAGACGAGACCGTGCCAACAAATCAAGACGACTGGGCCCTAGATGCTCTGGTGGTTGGCGACGGCTCCATCATTGAAAGAAAGCCAAATATTTTTTGAAAGTCTCTAGAGCACAGCACCATGCCGCCATTTGATGAGAGTCACTAGATAGTATCCAGACTTTGTTTTGCTCTTGACTACGTTTCCAATATAGCAAGCTTGGTCATAAGAATGTGTGTTGCATTTTGGAATATATCCGTGATCTTTGTGGCATCAAAGAGCCTGAATTAGAGATACGTTGTCTCCTTTCAGTAAGATTTGGCCTGTCATAAGGTAAGCACAACTCCAATCGAAAGCAAGTTTTCGGTTTACCGAGTTCCCTTCGCGTCTCTTCTGGGTCTGTTTTTGTAGGTTGCTTGACCTCCACAGCATCGTCGATGACTAGGTTCATGAATTCGTCAAACCCCTGTAATGGCAGATTGATTAGTCGCAGCATATGCTTTCTCACCAAGGAGGCACGTACTCGAATCTTTCCCTCTATCCGGATAGCCAATTGTTCAAACAACCAGATCGATACAGTAGACCTCTGTTGGAGGAGCTTGAAGATGAAATTGATAGGTGGGAGTAGCACTTTTCCCTTGCCCCCTCCCCCATGCCCGCCGCGGCCACTCATAATTCAATGCGCACGTAAATGAATGTCCGCCGTGGTACGAGTAATTTTGTCGTTGTGTGGCCTTACGATTCAGAATTCGGGACAACGTCTCCTACCTTGACTTTGATCGATCACGTTTGGAGAGATGTATGAACAATCAGTGGTTTACAATTGAAGTTGTGTGTCTCTCTTAGTTCAAGTCTAAGCAGTAGCCACACAATGCCTGGGGGAAATTTGAAGCTCAAGAGTCCGCATTCGGCGGGCCGGGGATTTGGCCGAGAGGCATGAATTCCTTCCAAGTCTCAATGTTTGTTCACTATCTGTTCAACCACGACATGTTGCGGCACACACCTCCAGCTTGCCTATGCTTTACTTCCTACTCTACTCATGGACAAGTAGTGTTGCAACATCAACCTTGTACAATCTCGGATTCCAAATGACTAGGAACCCATAGTGACCTACCAGCGGCACTTCTTGAACAAAGCTGTCGATACCAGTCTTTGCGCTATGGTCACGAATACTTCTACGGGCTTTGCGCCCATTTTAGACGCTTTGAGTACCATGCAGAGCAACGTCAACCGCACACAGAAGTCACAAGCACATGACTATCTTGAAAAGTTCCAGAAATCGGTCCACCTCCCCCATGGCCAACGTAATAGCTCCGCTGACTTGTATTGCAAAGACTGAAGCATGGAACACCACGCATTCAATTCTCTCCACCGCTGGAGTGACTCCCGAAGCAAAACTTTTTGCCGCTACAACATTGAAAGGCAAAGTACATCATCACTACAGCTCTGCTTTAAATGGATGTTATTGACTTTGTGTAGATCACCTACGACCTGGATCAAATCCCAAGGCAATCTCTACCTGCGCTCCGCGACTCAATTCTCGGTCTTTTGGCTTCGTTCAAAGGAGGTCCTCGACCAGTTCGAACACAGCTCTGCGTATGTCTAGCAAGCCTAGCAATCCAGATGACAGAGTGGAAAGATGTCATTCCCTTAGTTGGGTCATCACTTGGAAACAATGGCCTTGACTGCACGCTTGAATTCCTTAGGATTCTGCCAGAGGAAGTTACTGAAGGTCGAAAGATCAACTTGACTGTATGTAGGGCTGCAACACCATTCGCGTTTGGGCACAGCCAGTCGACGTTCGCTCAAGGAATCAGTATCTAATGGGTTGTCTCAACAATAGGAAGAGGAACTTTCGGCCAGAACAGTGGAACTTCTGGAAGACACTTCAAAAAATGTCCTGAGTCTTCTCATACAGTACTCTCAGTCATCTGGTAACCCTTCCTTATCGCTTATTTCATTGTGATGCTGAATATGTCAATAGCGAGTGCATCAGCGAACCCTTTGCTGCTTGAATGCATATCCTCATGGCTTCGAGAGATTCCGGCCGCAGATGTGGTGAATTCGGTGCTTTTTGATGCTATTATTACGTCTCTCGACGTGGAGAAATCGTTTGAAGCGGCCGTTGATTGCATTTGCACACTGCTGCGCGATACTCGAGAAGTCGATGAATCCATCAAAACCATACAATTGATGTATCCAAGGCTCATAGCTATACAACCAAAGATTGCCGAGGCTGCGAAATCTGATGATCAGGACATCTTCAAAGGCTATACTAGGATATTTGCTGAAGCTGGTGAGCATTGGGTCGTTTTGATCGCTAGGCTACCAAATGATTTTCGGAGTCTGGTTGAGGCGATCCTGGAATGCTGTGCACGAGATACTGACCGAGAGGCAATATCACTCACTTTCATTTTCTGGTATGAATTTAAACAAATGGTCACGCTAGACAAATACGGAGCAGCTCGAAATGGCTATTCGGATGTGTTTGGGCAACTAGTCGATATCATGATGAAGCATCTTGAGTTCCCAACACCAGAAGGCGTGGATGAATCTGACCTTTTTGACGGTGATCGAGAACAAGAAGAACGGTTTCGAGACTTTCGACATCAAATGGGGGATGTACTGAAAGACTGCTGCGAGGTGATAAGTGTGACCGAGTGTCTGACCAAAGCATACGCAAGGATCCAGCATTGGATCTCGACGTATGGCTCTCAAGCTACCAATATTGCGGTTCCCCAATGGCAAAAGCTCGAGGCACCACTGTTCGCGTTGCGGGCTATGGGTCGGATGGTGAGTCCAGAGGAAAGTGTCGTATTGAGACAAGTCATACCTTTGATTGTTCAGATTCCAGATCACGAAAAGCTGAGATTTCAAGGAGTAATGGCACTCGCAAGGTACACGGAATGGACGGCACAGCATCCTGAATTTCTGCAACCGCAGTTGAACTTCGTCATGGCCGGTTTTAAGCACAAGTCGCTGGAAGTCGTCAAGGCGGCAGCTTTAGCTTTTCGATTCTTTGGGGCAGATTGCCGGAAGCTTCTCGCAGATCATATAGACCCGCTTCACCAATTTTACGAGTCCGTGTTAGACGGACTGGCCCCTGCAAGCCAAGAGGAAGTCTCTGAAGGCGTCGCATGTGTTGTTTCGGCTCAACCCCTTGACAAGATCTATCCTTCCTTCAAATTGTATTGTGATCCCATCATCAAGCGGATGATGAATAAGGCCAATGCAGCAAAATCCGCCTCGGACGAGGATGAAGCAGCACGCTTGGCAGTCGCAGGTAAGACATTCATGTGGTAGGTATTCCTGCCATGGGCTGATCGTTCATACCCAGATTATCTCCAACTTCTCACCATTTTCGTACAGCAAATTCAACCGTACGTCTCTCCTTCAGAAGAGAACCCTGCGGTCAAGTACTGCCAGGAGATGCTTCCCGTGATGTCCGCCATCGCCGAGAATTTTACCAACTGTATCCCAATCCTCGAAAGAGTCTGCCGCTGTTGGCGATATATGGTTCTATCTTATCGAACCAGCATTCTTCCTCTGCTGCCATCGTTAGCCCAACAACTAGCCAGCGGCTTCCAAAACTCTCGCCAAGGCTGCTTTCTCTGGGCAACAGACTCAGTCCTTCGAGAGTTCGCAACAGGTGTAGAATTCGTTGACGAAGCAACCTCTCAAAACATTTACCACTTCTTCGAACAGCAAGCCATCGCATTCCTCCGGATCATGAACGACCTGCCTCCTAGTGATCTTCCCGACGTAATCGAAGATTTCTTCAGACTCCTAATCGACGCTCTGATCTATTACCACTCCAATCTGCTCCCCGCAAGTATCTGCTCGCCCATCCTTTCTGCCGCCATCAGTGCCCTCACCCTTGAGCAAGAGCCACCCGTTACAGCAACCCTTCACTACCTCCGCGACTTCCTAAGCTACGGCACCTTACACCCAAATTCCTCCAACTTATTGGATGCCAACGACCCACTCAGGCCCTCACACCAACAACCAAAGGCTGCACCCCAGCTCCAACAAGTTGTCAAGCGCCTAATCAGTGAACAAGGCGAGGTTCTCACCCAGCGCATCATGACAGGAATGATGTTCTCCTTCCCACGCGATTGCTTCCCGGACGCAAGTGGGGTGCTGCTATCCCTTTTCGAGATCATGCCCGAGCAGACGGCGCTGTGGGTGAAGAGCACATTGGACATGTTGCCCCCGGGGACCATGAAGCAGGGAGAGAGCGACCGGTTGATGCAAAATATTGGGGGAAGCTGCAGCAGGGTGAGGTGAGGAAGGTGAGGATGTTATTGCAGGATTTCACAAATGCGTATCGGAGGAGAAATGTGGCGCCAAGGGAAGGGTTGGGAAGATTGGAGGCTACGAGATTCAGGTTTAGTGGCTAACCTTGGGAGACGCGTACAGAGAAGGGCTCAGAGGGGAAGATGGACAGGCATGGAGAATGTTGGAGGTGTTATATTGATCAGAGGGATGATTTGGACGTGGCAAATGGGGTTGAATGGGTCATGCATGGTCATGAGCGGTGTAAATAAATTTAATGACGTGTGCTTCGATTTCCGAGGTGTTCTCCGTTCAGCGCTGCGGAAGGTCGTAACACAAGCACTGGCATTGAGTCTCTCATTTGAATTTGTCTTCATTTCATGCTTGCTCCAGCCTGAAAAGCTTCGCGAAGCGAAGTTATGCCGGGCTTAGGACTGCCCAATCGCTAGAATGTATATAGTGTTGTTACAAAAATCGTCTCCCATCCCTTCCCGTTTCCAGGACTTTGAATCCACCCAGCCCAGTGCCCTGCTAAATTAAAACGCCACGCTTGCTGGTGGCTTTTATTGGACATAACATCGTAAAAGAATCCAAACGCGGAAACCAGCCATTTCCGTCATCATAAGAAAAAGAATGGTCATGTTTCCATTTTCGTCTCTTCCGGCACTGGAGAAATCGTCTTCATTCGCTCGGTCGTAGCAAAGTCCATGGGATTGGCTTCCTCTCTTTTGGGGGTGTCGACGATTGCACTACCCTCCATCGCCGCATCACAATTAGACGCGGATAGCGGTGGTTTAGAAATGCCATGGGATAATTCTGGACTTACGGCTCCTCCATGCTTGGCATCTGTTGAGGATCCTTTGCGTTTGATGTAGTCACTTAAGCTAACTTTCTTCTTTGCAGGAGATGGTTGGAGGGAGCCTCCAGTGGAAGGAGGCTGTAATGGAGTGTGAGTTGGGAAGAGTGTTGGAGGGAGCGTTGAAATTGGTGTTTGAGTCAATGGCGTGGATGAGGCTGAATCTGGTGCTTGTGGTCGTTTGGGCGGAAGTTGGACAATGAGGTTAGGCGGCCGTATGCCGTTGATAGGCAAAGTTTGCGTATTTGACGGCCATGGTGGCGGACCTGGATTGGCAGACGGTGGAGACCTTGGCTGCCCTGGACTGAAATCTTGCTGGTCACATTGAGGCTCAGGTGACTCCCGGCCAGAAACCTTCACTCCGATGTCTACATGATTGCTTGGTGAACGCAAGTTTGCATGATTGCTCAATGACTGCTGATTTGTGGAAGCTTCCGAAGATCGTCTTTTCTCTTCAAGTCTCTGGCGGTCTTGTTGAGAGCGAAGTAGCAGCCGCTTTGTCAATGACATGTAGGGCTTCCGAGGCTTGCTAGGCTTGCTCAGGGCTGGCGCAGAATTGTACCAGTCGTTTTCATCGTCCATGTCTACTTGAACAGCCATGTCCACATAGGTAGAACGAGCGAGCGGCGAGGAAGTCGTTGGCGTGTTTGGGTTAGACCAGGCTTTCCTGGCAGCAATGGTGTTATTACGTGGATGGCCCAAGATGCTGGCTGCTTTTGCTACTGGAGCATCGGATGTCTTTCCGATACCTACGTCGATATACTGAGACTTATAAGTAAAACCGGGCGTATTAGGCTGAGACAAAGAGGTGGCTTGGATCAGAGGTTTCTAATGGGGGTCAGTAGTCACTCCAGCATCTTAAAGCTTAGGCTGATTCATCTTAGTACTTACAGATATCCCGGGACCATTCACGTTCGCGCTTGAGCCGCCGCTATTTCGCTTTTTCTTTTTCGGTGCAGGCTGATGCTTGTCGCCATCAAGCGTTTTCTCAAGCGCTGCTATCTTCCTTTTCTCACGGTCAGAGATCTCGAGGCCAAGGGCGGGACCTTGACTGGCGGATCCTGTGGGTGTCAAGTCCGGGCTACCGGAAGTGGATCTTGAGGTTGATTCAGCGTCTTCGGCGTCACTGTTAGCATGAATATTTGTGGTTTGCCGCCGCCTGCTGTGCCCCTTCGATCGCACCAACCCTTTGTTCTCTGGATCGTAGCGAACAAGCCAACAGGAGTCCGGCATACCGCACGCACAGCCACCAAACTCAGAAGAAACTTTGCCAACCCAATCTGTTATATACTCTTCAGCATCTGGGCTCAAGTCTTTTGCCATATCATTCTTGTTGGAGATGAATTTGCGCATATGCTCGTCAAGTGTCCACCCGATAGTCATTTCCGCTCCATCCTCTATATCTTGTTTGGCAGTGAAGCAGAAGTGGTATTCGGAACTGTTCTCCAGAATTGTCGTCATCGATAAATTTGGTCGGCAACTCCGCCGAAGATAGCGACACAAGGTACCTTCGGACCGCGTGTCAATGTAGATGGGCAGTCTGGGGTGGAAGAAGACGAAGGGTGCCGGATGTCTGAGATAGTCCCACCTATTCTCAGGGTCCGAGATGTAGTCGTTCATATGACCAATTTTGCCTTTCAGCTCACCTATGATGGACTTCCATTTACTAGGGCCGCTACTGGTTAGGTAAATCCACCGTGGACATTGGCCGTTCCTCAAGACGTTCGCATCTTCCCTTATTCGTTTCTGAGGTAGTGGGCCGATGATCTCATCGAGAGGTCGCTCGATCCGATAAAAGACGTCTTTCTGGGAAAACCCACGGGTAGCGACATGAAGCGCATCAACATCATACACCCAGGTCGAAAGGTCGTGAGTGATGTTGATATTTCCAAGCAAATTTGTTTGCATATCCTGCTCACCAATATCATTGTCATACAAACGCATGAATTCATCGCTATAATGCTCTTTGACGAAGCCATTTGGTGTCCGTTTACTCGCCTGCTTGGTTGGACTGAGAACCAAGGACGCAGATCGTTTATGAGGCTGGAAGGTAGAATTTTGAGATAGTGCGAGAGACTGTGTTGTGCGATGATTTGCTTTGGGTCTTTTTGCGGACAGCGGTTGATCGCGTGGACTTCGACTCGTGCGATCCAGTGTAACATCAACAGTGGGAGACCAACCATTCGTCAACACACCATTCTCTGTTGCCCGCACCTTTTTCTTATGACTTTTCGATGCCGCCTTCTTGAGTTTCTTCTCATCCGGCTCGATGTCTCCCATTCGAAGCTTCTGTCGGTTGATTGCAGCCTGAACATCGATCCATCTTGGCTCGCAGTCTGTGCAGAAGTGGGAGATTGCATCGAGCTCATGATTCTGGGGTACGCGATCGTTCTTCTCATCGTAATAGTAGCATTCCGTATGCTGCCAGGTGTTGCACTTCTCGCAGAACACACTGAGCCCATCGTCATGCTTAAAGCCGCAGATGCATTTGATGGTCGAGTCATCCTCGACCTGCGGTTCGTTCGCGAGATGAGCATTGTAAAGCGAAGGAGGCGGATTTTCGGATACTCGTAGTGTATGTGTATTCGGCTGGACAGCAGGCGCTATGTGAGTGTTGTTATCGGGTAAGAGATCGGTCATACTAGGGCAGGAAGAGTCGTCTCGAGTTACGAGTAAGAGGCTGGCGTCGCGATACACCGTCTTAGCCGGTTTCGCATGACTCTGATGTTCTCTGAGATTGATTTAGAAAGCAGAGATCGACAAATGAGGCCTCAGCAGTCTCGGAGAAGGATTCTATTGGGCCTGGAAGGACCACCCTTACTTGCGCTCCGGCACCCAATGATAGCGAATCGTCTGTATATGGCTTTGTACTGATCCGCTAAGCACTCCTAACATTGAAGCAGACTATTTGAAGCCTTGAGGGATCACACAGAGTGACGATAAGGGCAGACGGAGGGGCTCGAGTTCAGAGACAGTAGGACGAATAGGGTCTCAGGGGCGCGGCAGAGACTATATTGTGAGGAGGTTGGAATGTGTTAACCTGACTGGAGTGCCTGATGGGGAGGATGAGGGTCTGGAGGACTGTGGAGGGCGTGGGTATGAAGGCGACGTGAGGGAATGGAGGAAGGAATGGGCCCTTGGGAGGAGCGAAATCAGCGAATTCAACGACGAACTCGAGATCGACGCCAGCTTGGCCATTTGTAGCCTAGCGAGTTTTGTAAAAAAACAGTAGCGGGTAACAAGTCGGCGCTGCAGTGGCCATTGGTCGACGTCCTTTGAGGGCAGAGGCCGAGTAGAGTTTCGCACTAGTTTAAGGTCTTGGCAGTTAGCAGGTGGGCTTCACGTCCGCATCATCATCACCATCCTCCATCTCTCCCATACACGGCCCATCACCTTGCTCTGACTGTGGACAGCACTTACAGCAGATCATCTACGCCGTTGACTTTGTTGTTTCTCGAGGCACATACGACAGCCATGCTTGCTCTCACCGCTTTCGTCTCGGTACTAATTGCCTCATTTGTTCCCGCCAGCGGGCTCTCCCTCTTCAACAGCAAGCAAAAGGTCCTCGATGATCCAAAGGCTAGCGTACCTGGCAAGAACCCTCTTCAGTTCTGTGAAAACAACGGAAACTACAGTCTCGTTATTCAGAACGTTGACCTAGATCCAAATCCACCCGAGTCGTTAGAATACCATTTCCGCCACCGACTAGGAAAATTCAGCTGACACCGCTCTAGAGGACACAAACTCATCATCGAAGCGGAAGGCGAGTTTACCGAGGAAGTCGAGGCGGGTGCTTATATCTCTCTCGTCATCAAATACGGCCTGATCACCTTGATAAAGACCACAGCGGATCTTTGTGACCAGATGAAAGAGGTGGATGAGGAATGTCCACTGAAGGGGACAAAGACTATCAGAAAAGAGGTTGATATACCCAAGGAGGTTCCTCCGGTAGGTGCATGTTGGGTAATACTAGAAGGGGGCTAATGCGTTATATCTCAGGGTAACTATCACGTGCTGGCAGATGTGTATACCAAAGACAACGAACAGATAACGTGTTTGACTGCTCAAGTACACTTCGGGTGATGATCGTGGACTGGTATAATATCCTACAGTCCACTAGACATGTTTCCGGGCACATTCGTCGTACGATTATGTCTTACAACCTTTTGGCGAAGGCGTTAGGGAATGTATAACAAATGTGATCTATATCAATGAATAGTTTGGCTTGGAGCCTGTAATGCAGGGTGAGACTCAATTTGATGAAGCCTCCCGTGCGTTCGATATCATTGGAGCAAAAGATTTGGTTATGACGAGCAAGTGCTTGAGGTAACGCGTTTGGAATCACGGTGTCAGTGGCATTCAAACACCACCAGTTAATTGCTCCACTGATAAGTATGCTAATGTTGTTGTGGAAAGTGCTCCATCAATCATAGCTTAACACCCAATCAAATGCCATACTGCCCATTCCCGCACAAGTTGTCTTCTTCTTTCCGCCTTTCTCTCTTCCTGTCTGTCACTCCCCAAATAACCTCCTCACTCTTTTCAAAACACTATCCTTTTCCGGATCATACGGGTGATCTTTACTCGGGATCTCCAGCACTGACGGGAAAGCCTCCGTATAAGTGTCCACTCTACTTCGTATCCTTTCTGCAATCTGTAAGGGCTCACAATCAGCACCATCTATTTCGTCGCCGGAGTCCCCGTTTTGCCGCTTGGCCTCCTTCTCACTCTGTGTGGCCATGCCTTGATCGGGGTTGGGAGATATACGTGCTGATTGATTAACAGAATAGCGATGTCCTTCCTCTTCTGCGTAAATGTATCGAAAGTTTGCTCGATAATTGACGTTTCCGTCTTTGCATCAACGACGAGGAAATTTTTTTGGGCGTCGGGTGGGGAGTTGACGTGCTGCGATTGTCCTTAGTGAGTGTCTTGGGCTGTATAAATTTGCAGCCAATAAATGACAGCAGTGAGCTAGAACAAGAGGGTTGAGGTATACGCCAATGCCTGCAAGTAGGAGACCTGTGACCGAGTCCTGCGTGTGGATGTCAGCATCGCTTGGGTGAGAACCCGAAATGAGGGTAAGGAGTTGTGCGCTTGTACCTCATCACCTATGACGGCGAGCAAATGACGGTCTTTATATGCTGATGGTGGGGCGGCCATGGTGACCAACGAGAAGAATTATCGTATGAGTCTGCAAAGCTATTTGGGATCGAGTTGAATGATGAAGCTTGCGCTTGAAGCCGCTTTACCCCATTAGGTGAACAACATTTTCCCACCATTTCCCATTATATTATACTTAATTGATGTTTTGAGCTTAGCACTTAAGCTCTTTTGACAACATACATTAACTTCAGACAGGTTTGAGATTAGACATGCATGACATTTAATTTTTAGAAGCCTCGATTTTTTGGTGCAAGATGATTGGGTTTTTGAGCTGTCAAAGCTAACAAACGTATTCGCTGTTTCCCACTCGCCTTCCGTCAATCAAGCCTCAGACGATTGGCTGACCGTCCGCAATAATGGTTTGCTCAAGCTCGTGGCTTCTGCCCGTAGACAGCGTACCTTCAGAACGTTAGTAAGAACAAGTCAGGTGATGTTTTAACACTCACAGAGGGAAGTATGTATGGAATTTTCCGCTCTTCCACTCATTGCGAACTTTCGCAACGAATACTTCAACCTCCTGCTCATTCCATCCCAGATGCCTCACCCAGGGAGCAATCGTCAATCCTTGGATGCCTTCCAACATTGCAACAAGCTGAAAAGCCCCCGTCTCTCTCAACTGTTTGTCTTTCGGCCAAGTGCCAATTGGTAGCTTGAATCGCTTGATTGTCACGTTCACGAAACCAGCCTTTTCCATCCAGTCCGCTACTTCTTCTCCACTCAGTGTCACGCTCAAGCCTATCTTCCTCCATGCTTCCCCCTCATTAAGGCACCACTGATGGATGTGACTGTCTTCTGGTAAGGTCCCATCATCGCTCCTTACATCCACGCTCAGCTCATGGCATTCGACCCAGCCACCAGGCTTGAGGTGACGATAGCTCTGTTCCATGAGGCGATTCCAATCCTGCACGAATGCATTCATAATGCGTGTGTGCACAAGATCGAAATGATCGGCTGGAAATGTCCACGGTAGCTCAGCATTGTCAACCTCGAACTTCGCGTTGGGCGGAACCCAACCAGGTTGGATTGGAGAAAGGTCAGTCCCAATTATCTGAGTGTCGGGCAAGGCCTCCGCTATATCAATGACCCAGATGCCTGTGCCGGTACCAATGTCGAGGATTGTAGCGGGACTATCATCTATCGGAGCAAAGAAGAGCTTGTCACCGAAGGCTAGGCGTAAGGCATGATATTGCAGGTCCATGCGCTCCTGTTCATTCTCGTCATTGGGCAGGTCGTAGTTGACGGCGTGGTTGGCATGGTATCTGCGGCCGTGCTCATACTGATAGGCCGTGATGCTGGAGCTTAGTGATGCTGTGTAGGTAGACTCGTCATACTCACTTCCTAATGCCGAGTCGGTCTCGCTTGATACTTCATCGGAGGACCCTTGCGCTTCGATTGGAGCCTCCTCGGCGGCGGTGGGTGCTGACGATGCTTCGACTGGGGCGTCTGGTTGGGCTGCAGCAGCTTGAGTTTCATTTGATGCTGCAGATGATGGTTGCGTGGACTCAGTAGGCTGGCTAGCTTTTGAGGCGCTCATCATTGAAGCAGCAGCCCGTCCTCAGGGGATAATATTTATCTGCATGCGTGTTCCTCGGAAAACGAAGCAAAGACACTGTCAATTGGCATGGAGTCTCCATGCGTAGCAAGCTTGCGGGGTGACGACCTAAGGAATTGTCACTTAGCACTCGTGCAACCAGAACGTCGTCTGCGAGGGGCAATGATGAAAGGCGTAATTTAGTCTTCTTAGCTGCACCTCACCCCCACCCACTACCTCAAGGATCTTCAGGATTAAAGATGCTTAGTAAGCAGCACGAAAAGAGGAGTGTTTGTTTGCGGAAACCGCGTCTGATATTGCAGCCAACACTCTTTCCAAATGCCTTAGATAGTCACTTGGGCTTATTCACACACCTTTTGGTGCATCTTCCGTTGACATAGAAGGACGAAAGTTTTCCACGAAAATGCAATGGCTCCGCGACTCATTAGAAGACGTCCGTTGCGCGAACGCATCCAAGCTTACCTAGATCCGTGGGATTTTCTATTCTGGCTTTCCGAGAAGCTTGATTCGAGCGAATGGGATCAACTGCAGAAGGAATGGGCTACACCCATAGGCATTTTGCTCAATCTTGCATTTCTTGTTGCGAGAGCGAACAGCAAGTACGCCTTGAGTCCAACAGACGACGACGTCTTCTCGGATGAACTGTACCGTGCCAGATGGTCAACGTGGCTTGTACGTGTCAAGCCGTTAGTCTCAGAGGTCAATCTCGTAGTATCTAATAGTACTACAGGCATCCTTCATTGTGCATCTTCTCTCAATACTCTCGTTAGCAAACGCTATTCATGCCTTTTACCGCAAACGTCATTATAGACTGTTCGAAAGCCCCGTGGATAAAGTGCCCAGCACACCATCTGCACATCGCGTCAAGGTGAATTCCTCGCCTGTAGCTTCATCGCCTTTGCGTTTCCTTTCGAGCGTACTGGCTAGTGAAAGTGCAGAATCGAGAGCACATCCGGATGAAAAGAGGGATGTTTGGGAATTGGCAGTCTGGGACCCGACTCCCATGTCTCTCAGGCTATTCTGTCTCCTGAGTCCAGGCCATGTCCTTGTCTACTGGCTATTCCTACCTACAGCAATCACGGATCCAAGACCCAGTACTACGGTGGTTACTACTGTTCTGGTGGCCTCGCTACTATCTGCTCAGCTCCTACTGCTCTCTTCGAATTTCTCACAACAGGCGAAAGATTCGTCACTCATCCACAAAGAAGTTATGAATGAGTATGACAGCAAATTCGTTCATCCAAAAACCCAGCAACTTATGCGCGACGTCGGGACGCAACATACTCATTGTAAGCGCCATTCGGATGCTTCACAGGATCCTGACGAAGACGATGCGTCAGTAGATACGTATACGCCTACCTACATTATCAATAAAGGGTTTCACACCAGACCGAACCCTTCATATGCCCACCATGTTGACCCCGATGGAGTATCACATGGACAAGCGCTGTCTAGAGGCACTCCTGCGACATTCTCAGGGCAGGTACACACCCCTCCTCATCTCAGAGCCATGTCCCCCCTACAACCACAGACTGCCATTCGACAGCCGCAGCCACGGTCTACTACGATCAGCGATGGCGGAAGTTTAGGAGTGTACTCGCATGCGAACTCACCCCTACGACAATCCACGACCTCGCAAATCCCAGGAACAGCTGGTCATCGTGAGCGAAGCTCGAGTCCACAAAAGCAGCGCGCCAGCAGTCCCATCAAATATGCTCAACTTGCGCCTCTACCAAATGGCTATCCACCTCGACAGTCAAAACATGTGGCAAATCTCAGGAGGACTCGGCAGTTTTGAATGAAAGCGGGGCTATAGAACTGTCAAGCGAGAGAACTTTGTGCCATGCGCTCGCGCTTGATACTCTTTCGAACAGTGAGAATGCTAGCCATTTCAAACTTACGATTCAGTCCCATCTTGTGGTCAGGTAGGCTCTTGTGAAATTAAACCTCAATTTTGACGTTCAGGCTGACATACTAGGGCACACTCATGAATCAGTGTACTTATTGGGAATGCGAGACAAATTTCCTCGTGTTTCCCCGAGACTACCAGAGCTCGATTACCTTGCTTTGTGTTTGCCCTGGTCCAAACCCTTCGAGGATTCATACAATTTACTAAACATTTGGTTTGATGGCTATTTCTCGCAGTCGTGTTGTCTCAATGCTGCGTCGATGCGATATCATTGTTTTTAAAATTTTAGCCCGCTTGTCCTGTTGCCATATGGCCATATGTCTAAAGGCTATCTATGATGCTCCTTCATATCTTTCGAGTCTTTTAATTTCCATCTGCGAGAACAATTACCCAGAAGCCCTACTGTCATTTAAAAATTCTAAATCGTGTTTTTGAAGCGAACTACGTGTGGGCATGGATGGGCGAGGAGCAAATGTACGTGTGACTTGTTCTAGGTCTATCGCTTCACAAATTCAAGAACGGGCAAAATCGACCCCATCGAGTCAGATGGCAGCAGCAACAGTAGGAGCTCTGACGAAGTTCTGTCAAGACTAAAGAACACTGAGCTCAAGAGCGGTACGCGGTGGACATAAACAAGGCACAGCTGGCAGATCGGACATACTGCGATGCAAATCTTACCATATCAGCAGTGGCAACATTATGAATCATGTTAGACCTACCAACCTCACAATTCACAGACGTCTCAAAAGGCTATTGAGATATCGAACGAGGACCGAAAGACTTATATCCGAATTGTAATTCGGTCGGCTTTACACACTTTCAACTACCTACCCGCCAACATCGCTATCTTAAATTCTGTGAACGCGTCACGATCAGAATACTTCATCGCCATAAGGGACATCATCATGGCCACCATGTTCCTCTTACTCATATTCGGACTTGTGAAAATCCTCTACTGCAGCCTTTACTGGGCAGCTCGTCCGTTACAGCTGCTCGCGAGCATTTCGGCATGGATCTCTTGGAGCTAGATAGCTGTTTATGCTTGGGAAAGTTAGCATTGAAATTAGGAGCCGGATTTAACACAGCGCCTGTTCGAAACAGCAATAATATTGACGAGGTCCAGACGATTATAGCAGACAACAGGGACGGTATTATCAGACGAGTTTTCATTCGATGCCACCATCTTGTAGTTCAGCCCATCATGTATACGTCTTTGATAAATCTTGACGCTTCATTGAAAAGCCGTTTCAGCATATTGCATCCAATTGCCTGCAAGACTTCGCTTCCATAAATGCGCTTTACCATCGTCTCCTGTGGTGACTAAGGTGCATCCTATCCCCTACGTTAGAGGCGCCTCAATTATGAACTGACGTTGGAATGACGAACCGTCCATGGTCCACTCCATTTGATGTGCCGATGCTCCTTCGGAAGTTTGCAACTCGGCTACGATCTTGCCTTCATGCTTCGGACCGTTGCCTTGTTCACTCTGAGATACCTCTCGTGGTCGGTCTATGTTAGCCAGACCGGCCGCAATCCCAGACCTCCCTAGCTGCTGATCATTACGTGAACCCCGTCTTAAAGCAGACAAGTTAGAGTGTCCATTGCTCGTTAGAAGATTCTGTGAAGACGTCTGCACGGTAATCTCCAACATCCGGATCTTACCGTCATCGCATGCAACAGCAACCACGTCTTCGGGCTGCGGATGGGCCGGTGCCCAGGCCACTGAGCACACCAGTCCGTCCTCGAAGGGCATCCGCAGCACCTCTTGAAGCGCAACATTTTCATCTTCCGGATTAGCAAAGCGATAGACATTCACTTGACTAGCAGACGAGATTGCAAGAGAAATGCTGGATTTATCAATGCCAGCCCTGAGCGCCTGAGAATTGGGTCCAGCGGCGTGATGGAACGATATCGAAAATCTCGCCTCGCTGCTCCTAGGCTGTTGGCCAAAGGGATAGAAAGCATCGCCTTCTCGCCACGAAGAAAGTGTCGTGGGATCTGCAGGTTCAAGAAGGGTGAACAAGCCCGTGTGAGAGATTAGTGCTACATAGATGTCTTGCTGTCGGACGATGTAGTCGAAGGCTATGTATGCTACACTGTCCACGGGAGTCTGTGAGAAAATGCATTTGAAGCGGCGGCCTCGAGTATGTGCTTGAGAAGGGTTCTCTTGCCAAACTTTGAACTTGTTGTCGCCACCGATGGTTGTTAGGACTTCACCGTGAGAGGAGTCGATCCATTTGACCTTTGGGGGGTGGTAATCAGAATGGGTAACTCAGCCGCTGGTGCTAATGACTTGCATCTAGAACTTCAGCATCATGCCCTCGCCACTGATCATACAACTCCCAATCGTTGGAGTCCACACAAGACTTTTGATAGATACGTAATCTATGATCTGCAGATGCTGTCACTATCCTGTCTCCCCCGGCATCGTACTGGATCGCTGAAACGGCATCTGCTGCAGTGTTCTCAAAGGTGTGAAACCCGCTGGACGTGGTCTCTCCCATTTGCACCTTTACACCGAGATCATGATGGCAACTTGTTTGGAAAGTGAAAGATCTCAAAGCGCGGTCAGTATTTCACCATATCGGGTCAACAAGGAAGGAGATTTGGCCCGCCTTACTTAGCACACTCAGAGCTGGGCAATTGTGATCATGGATGCATAGCTTTCAGACTGACTGTCTCGGAGTCTCCTTTTCTGTACCGTCGAGGGCGTAAAAGGTTGCGCTAGAGTTTAGATTTTCAGGGGTTCAAGCGGCTACCCGAACCTCGAAACGGGAAATCTGTTCACACGGCATATTCACTGAATCGACCACAAATCGCTCCGCATCTGCAGCATGGAAGTACCAGATTCGACTTCTACAATAGAGTATGACGGATTCTGCTTTAAGCAATCAGGAGACATGGAGTCTCTTGGTGCTCTTCGCGGCGTCGGTCGCCGTGATTGCAAACACTTTTCAAGGAGACGGCGAACCGCTTGTCTCGTCGTTGGCCTTCGGCGGCGTTGCATTCTCGATCACATACAGTCTGATCGTATGGCTGAAAGGCACCTTCATGAAAGCTAATCTCAAGGGTCGCGATATGTCAAAGGTGAAGAAAGTAGAAATGTAAAGGGGACCCTGAATCAACAACATATGCAGGAGAGTGGACGCTAATGGGTGCAACAGTCCAGAAACCATGGGAGGCGTTTGCGCCGCCGTCTATCTCTTACTCATGGTCTTGTTCATGCCTATTCTGTTCTATTCGGATATCAAGTCAGCAACGGCCGATCTAGACCCGCTCGACTTAGAGAACGGCCACATTCAGATTGATACTGGCCGCGTCCTGCACCGTTTCCCTCTTGGCAAGGTAGAGTCTCTGCGCCCGAGTCACAATCTGTGTCAATCAGTAACATTTATCGTAGCTTGCCACCTACTTATCAGCAATGCTGTCACTCGCATTGGTGGTTATCCTGGGCAATTACGACGACTTCTTTGACATCAGATGGCGCCACAAGGTCCTCATTCCAGGAGTCGCTTCAATGCCCATGCTAGCTGTCTACTTTCTCACGTATGGCATCACTCATGTCGTCGTGCCTGTCCAGCTTGTGCCATATCTTGGCGAGATGGTTGACCTAGGTTCGTTGTACTACGTGTACATGGCTGCGATTGCCATCTTTTGCCCCAATAGTATCAACATTCTGGCAGGCATCAATGGTATTGAGGTCTCGCAATCAATCATAATTGCTGTCCTCCTACTGATAAATGATATGGTATCACTCTCTAAGATCCCTGGGACAGCACATCCGGCGACTGATCTTCACCTGTTTTCCATTTACCTACTGCTTCCCTTCATCGGGGCGTCACTTGCCTTATTGCGGCACAACTGGTATCCAGCTAAGGTCTTTGTTGGAGATACTTATTGCTACTTTGCTGGTATGGTGTTTGCAATTGTTGGTATCCTTGGACACTTCAGCAAAACACTCTTGCTCTTACTCATCCCTCAGATCATCAACTTTATCTACTCCACGCCGCAGCTGTTTCGACTCATTCCGTGCCCACGGCATCGTTTACCACATTTCAACGCACGATCAGGTCTTCTCGAGCCGTCTATGACCGAGTGGCAGCAGCCTCCTTCGATTGGTACCACATGGTTCCTGAACATACTTGCTCGCTTCCCCCTTTTGCCATTGATCAAGCTCGTAAAAGACTCCGAAGGCCATATTCTGAAATCCTCCAATCTCACTATCCTGAACCTTTGGTTGGTCTGGTTTGGACCAAGGAGAGAAGACAAATTAGCGATAGAAGTGACGGCTTTCCAATTGGCATTAGGACTCATGGGACTGTTCATCCGGCATGAGCTCGCATTGCTTGTGTTCAGTCAGGATAATAGAGCATGAAAGGCGTGCATAGACTACGATATTAGACGCATAATCCAAACCTCACGCAAAAGCCGGGCCCTTCAAGCCTCTTTAGAGCAAGGCCGGGGCGGACGCTAATGGGCGGCTTCGGAGGCAAGACGCAGTTATCTACCCCGCAAAGCTATCCAATCAGAGGCGAGATGATTAGTACCCAGGACAGTCTCCTTCCGATCTCGCAGCATGTACTCCTCCGGAACATGCGATCGAAAGGCCACACCCTAGGTAATAAGTCAAGCTTGTCCTTTTCTCTCCATACTACCTGAATTCTGAAAATTCGACCAAATCCACGTTATCAAAATGCCTACCGCAATTCCTCAACCGCGCACTCTCTACGACAAAGTGTTCCACGACCACATCGTAAATGAGCAGGAAGATGGGACGATATTGCTTTACGTCGATCGACATCTTGTTCATGAAGTGACGTCTCCGGTATGTTCGTAGATTCAATCTTTCAGGCCCACTGCGTTGACAATTTCTGACCATTTCTAGCAAGCTTTCGAGGGTCTTACAAAGGCAAATCGCCGAGTTCGGAGACCAGACTGTACCCTCGCAACCACAGACCATGTATTGCCCCCATACCGATTGATTGAGTAAACAAAATCTCACCTTGGCTAGAATGTGCCCACAGCAACTCGCAAAAACTTCAAGAGCATTGAACAATTCGTCGAAGAAACAGATTCGCGCCTGCAGTGCATGACCCTCGAGGAAAATGTCAAGCAATTTGGCCTAACTTACTTCGGCCTGGGTGACAAGAGGCAAGGGATCGTGCATATTATCGGCCCCGAACAAGGCTTTACTCTCCCAGGGACCACGGTTGTCTGCGGTGATTCACACACCTCAACTCATGGGGCGTTTGGGGCGCTTGCGTTCGGCATTGGTACGAGCGAAGTGGAGCATGTCCTCGCCACTCAGACTATTTTGACAAAGCGAAGCAAGAATATGAGAATCCAGGTAGACGGCGAGTTACCGCCAGGCGTCAGCAGCAAAGACATCATTCTGCATGCCATAGGTATCATTGGCACCGCAGGTGGTACGGGGGCAGTCGTTGAATACTGTGGTTCAGCGATTCGGGGATTGAGCATGGAGGCTAGAATGTCAATCTGTAACATGTCTATCGAGGCAGGAGCAAGAGCCGGCATGATCGCTCCAGATGAGATAACCTTCAACTACTTGAAAGGTCGGCCGCTTGCGCCCAAGTTGGACAGTCCCGAATGGAAAAAGGCCGTGCAATACTGGACCAGTCTCAAGTCTGACCCGGGAGCTAAGTACGATCATGATGTCTTCATCAGTGCGCAAGATATAGTGCCGACAGTGTCGTGGGGGACCTCGCCTCAGGACGTGGTCCCAATCACCGGTGTAGTCCCTGATCCCGAAACATTTCCAACTGATGCCAAAAAAGCAAGTGGTCGAAGAATGTTAGAGTACATGGGATTGACGCCCGGTACACGCATGCAAGACATCGAGCTGGACAAAATCTTCATTGGGTCCTGTACGAATGCAAGGATAGAAGATCTTCGAGCTGCCTCTCAAATCGTGCTGGGAAAAAAGATTTCCCCCAACCTGAAGCGAGCTATGGTCGTTCCTGGCTCTGGTCTTGTCAAAAAGCAAGCTGAATCCGAAGGTCTTGATAGAATCTTCACCGATGCAGGCTTTGAATGGCGTGAAGCAGGTTGCTCCATGTGTCTGGGTATGAACCCAGATATTCTTTCTCCACGGGAGAGATGCGCAAGCACTTCCAATCGCAATTTCGAAGGTAGGCAAGGAGCAGGTGGGCGAACACATCTGATGTCCCCTGTAATGGCTGCTGCTGCTGCGCTCGCTGGCAAGTTAGCAGATGTTCGAGAGCTTGCAGGCACAAATGCCACACCAGCAAAAGCATCGCCTAAACTAGATCTTACCCCTGAGGTATCGGATATTGAGGAGGATGTAGATCTCGAAAACTTACTGGACTTGCCCAATGGAAATGAGGATGTCACAAAGGACGCAACAGCGTCTGCATCGGGGGACAACCAAAATTCACAACTGTGAAGGGAATTGCAGCTCCTCTGGAGAAATCCAATGTTGACACAGACGCCATCATACCCAAACAATTCCTCAAGACCATCAAGCGGACTGGGCTAGGCTCGGCTTTATTCTACGAGCTTCGTTACAAAGAGGACGGTAAAACGGAAGACAGTGATTTCGTTCTGAATCAAGAACCGTTCAGAAAGGCCAAGATCCTGGTCGTGACAGGTCCAAATTTTGGCTGTGGCAGCTCTCGAGAACACGCGCCTTGGGCGCTCCTCGACTTTGGCATCACTTGCATCATTGCTCCTTCTTACGCAGACATTTTTTTCAACAACACCTTCAAAAACGGCATGCTACCGCTTGTCATTGAAGATCAGGCTAAGATTGAGGAGATTACGGAAGAAGCAAAAGCAGGTCGCGAGATCGAGGTTGACCTGGTCCACCAGCAGGTCAAAGATGCCAATGGCAACGTGTTAGCAGACTTTCCCGTTGAGAAATTCCGTAAACATTGTCTAGTCAATGGGCTCGACGACATCGGCCTGACGATGCAGATGAGTGACAAGATTCAGAAATTCGAACTGAAAAGGAGTGCAGAGACCCCGTGGCTTGATGGTAGTGGCTACCTAAAGAGGGGTAATCGGACAGGGCCAGTCAAGGTCGAGGCTGCTCCAGTGCCGAAGACCAATCGTGGGGAGCAAGTTGACGAGCCTCTGGAATGGTGAAGAATGCTGGGCAGAGAAGGCGAAAAGCTAGTGTTGAACAACAATCCTGCCCTTTTCGAAGGCCGTCACTCTCAAGAGCGCGCCTTGAATCAGTAGAATGCCTCATCTAGGCTTTGGTCATTTGGATGTGCGTGGTATGCGACAGACTTGATATTCCCAATTTTCAATCTGCAGTGACGCAGACTTGCTGAGACGGTGCAAGAGGATTGGCTACGACTGGACACTCCTCCGCGAATTTGGGGTCCAGAAGAGAGAATCGCAGCCTCACCACGTGGCTGACCATGAGGCATGAAGAGCCATTTGTGGGGGACTCAGTCGTGAAGTGGCGCGATACTGCCAGAATGCACCATTGGGATCACTGCCGCAAGAAGCGCACGCAGTGGAACAGATCTACGTTGCATCAAGCCAACGCAGGAGATCCTCGCGCCACTTTCACATCCCTTCAAGCGTGCGCGACTACAACAGAACTGCAAATGGTGAGTTGTACACAAGTCCATCCTTTGTATTGTGCAATGTTGCGACATTTATGAGCCCCAGAGACTTCGTTCTGTCTTGTCCGTGCCCAGCAGTGCCAGCAATGGGATGAATACTCCTACCTCTGACGTTTGACATAAGCTTTGTCGGATGTCTTGAAGCACACCTCATACTTCCGCCCTGGTATTGTCCTTCCATTTTCCTTTTTGGTTCCATTTTCCCTTCATTTGCCCCCTTCCTTGCCCTATTTGGCTATGTTCAGCCCCCCTTCTGGTGCCCTTGCAGCTGCAGGAGCGAAATGCATTTGCTTGGCTCTGCAGAATCTGCAGTCCCTTGACGCATGAAACGTTGAGGAGCCAGATGATGTCCCTTGGTCGCTTGTTTGATGTTTGCGACCTGAAACTCGACGGTTGAGGGTCCAGAGGGTGCACAGACTGGTCGCCTTCGTTAAGACACCATGCTTTGCCCCAGGTTTTTCTTCTCCGCACAAACATGTCAAGATGCTGCATATAGCCGCTCTCGCCGCCGCTACCCCAGCTTTTCCCCGATTCTCTCTCTGCGACATCCCCTGAGCTATGACCTTTCCCCATATATCCCCATATAACACGCGCTTAGTATAAAAAAAAGTGAAAATTTGAAAAGTGAAAAGTGAAATCTGGTATGCGATCTGGTTCCTCTATACGCGAGCACCATTTCGAGCTTCATTGGCCTGCGGATGAGACACAACGCAAAAGCGTCATCCGCTCCTTCCTGATATCGTTGCGTCTCCAATCGGCGCGCCAGACGACCTCCGGACGCCCGCTATAAGAGCGTCGGAGGTCGAACCGTCTTCCACACCTCATTCTCATTACGTGAATTCTCACAATACTTGACAAATTCGCTTGAGACAACAAGAACCCCACGTGCCAGAGTTCCATGACCAAACTCTACCTGTGCAATCAGAACCATCAAGTCTTGGGGGTGATGGATACGTATTTGAATTTCCATCGCCAGATCGATCCCGTCGATGACAAAGACCACCCTCGACACCGCCAACTCCCAGAGCCAGAACCAACGAGGCAGTCAAGATGGAAGCCCGACGACCAAGCCCGACATTCAAATTCCCGCTGGATAAACGGCGACGCAGAGAAAGGCTTCAACCCTACCTTCCCATCGCTGCAGGACCTCTCAGACGACTCCCACTCCCACCCCCCTCGCCCGACACGCAACTATCTCAGCGACAGCCCGCCATCTCCATATCACATTGGTCGAGATCATCCCAGCGATGAACACCTCAACAAGATCCGCACCGCAAACTCCATAACCATCACCCCCGAACTCTTCGAGAAGATGTACCTCAGCCCCAAGAACCAAGTCAAGGGCGATCTTCGTGCCACCTTCGCCAACCCGACCCCTATCGGCCTCTTGGGCTTCCTCCTCAGTCTCAGTCCGCTGTCGTGCGAGTTGATGGGCTGGCGAGGCGCGGGTGGGAACGGTATGGCCACCATCGCCGTCTACTACTTCATTGGGGGCTTCTTGATGAGTCTCGGTGGTATCCTCGAATTCTTCCTCGGCAACACCTTCTCCTTCGTCGTCTTCTGTGCTTTTGGTAAGCCCTCCTACCTCTCTTCTTCTTCCCCCTTTCTCAGTAATTCGTCAAGATCAAATCTATGAAAGAAACTCTCTCTTTTCCCCTGCATTCCCCATCCTCTCCACCATCACTCAGAGCAAACTCAACCCTGATGCACATCTCCATTCCCTAACACGACCACAGGTGGTTTCTGGTTTGCCCTTGGTGGCACTCTCACCCCGGCCTTCAACGCCTACGGCGCCTACGTAGAAAACAACCCCGGCACGGATCCCAACCTCGGCATAACATCTGGTCCCTTCCACGCCAGCTTCGCCTTCTTCCTTCTGTTTATGGGCCTCATGTCCTTCATCTTCTTGATATGCGCGTTACGGACGAATCTAGTCTTCATCGCCATATTCTTCGGGCTAATGATGACATTCGTCGTGCTTACGGGTTCCTATTGGCACCTAGCAGCAGGCAACTTAGACCTAGCAGAGAAACTGCAGGTGGCTAGCGGAGCCTTTGGCTTCCTGGCTGTCATGGCTGGGTGGTGGATTTTCTTTGCCCAGATGCTTGCGAGTGTTGATTTTCCTTTTGAGATTCCCGTGGGTGACATTAGCCATTTTATTAAGCCGATGAGCGAGGTGAAGGCGGCGAAGAACAAGTATCCTCAGCATGGCCGTTAAGACTTGGGTGTTGAAGTGTGGATAATCTGTGTAATATTGCTCCAGGATTTTGGAACGGTGTCAATGGCATGAATCCAAAAAGTAATGAACCTGAGTACATGCTTTCTTCGGCAACTGAATACTATGTCTGTAGCTAAGAGCTGTCTGGACTGTTGGCTCGCGTGTGCTCCGCAACCGAATGGCAGAGCTTTTGCATTGCGCTCATTCTTAGCAATGATCGCGCATTTTGTTAATTTATCCATCTATCCTGGTACTGCGTTTATGGTCCTCTCCTCGTAGTAATAGGCCCGCCCAACAGAAATGGCAGGAGCTGCAGACGGGTGACGGCAAGCCGTCTCGCAAATCGCCCATTCCAAAGTCGGCCGGTAATAATGGCCTGCTAAGCATACATTGACTTAAGGTGGATTAAGTATGCTCAAGGAATTCTTTTCGATAGAGCTTCCGCTGGACTAAAAACACGGAGACCCTAGTCTCCGAAGCGTTGATACAAGATCCTCACGCTGCATTGCGAGAGCAGGAGGTGCGTGTGATAATTTGCCTCTTACCCTGGAGAGGCTGACACTCTGTGACCGTCTGAAACGTTATCTGTGTGACTTCCTCAGCCGAGCATGGCCCTCTGCATAACGACAGATAGATGGGAAGCGGTCATTCATAGTCGAGTGAGGGTGTGTCTATTCCACTTCGTAACCAATTTCTTTCAGAAAGGTCAGATGTAAGATGAACGGAAGCAAGCAAGCTTCATTTCCAAGAGTTCAGACCAGCCCAAGGATCATTAGGCTGTTGATGTTGGCTACTTCCTTGGGGCGGCGGCCGGTGATTGGAAGGGTGATATGGATAGCCAGACGAATGAGGTGGTGGTCCAGGAGGTGGAGGAGGCGGTACGTATCCTTGTGGCACTTTGGTATTTTGCTGTGGAACATACTGCGGGCTTTGTCCATATTGCTGTTGATTCGGGTGTGACATGGGCGGCTGATACAAGTGTTGCAGGGGATTGTAATGGGCTTCTTGGCTTGTCGCCATAGTATAAGGATATGATGCTTGTGATGTTGGGGTTGAACGATGGTTCCGCTGCGCCTGAGATTCGGTTATAGGCGATCGATTAAAGGTGCTGCTATTGTAATTTGGAGAGAGGGGCGATTGAAATGAAGGTGATACTGCTGGCGGCCTATTGCCATACACCTCATTTGGTTGTGAGCTTCTCGAGGAAGCTGACGGGCGTGCAGAGTTTGGTTGGTTAGATGATGGTGTTGTCCCTGTTGACATCCGTTCCATGAGGTCGCGTAAGCGATCACGTTCACGATCCGTCTGGCTATCAACAGTATTTTGACGGTCCTGCTCGATCTGATTGAGCAACTGGGCGCCCTCTGCGCGCCGGTTGTTAACAAAACTTTCGACATTCTGCTCGAGATTGTCCACAGTTTCTTTCATCTCTAAATAGAAACCCTGTGCTCTGCCAAGGCCATCCATGAGATCGTTGAAAGCCTGAAAGACTTTTTTGTATTTCATTAGGACCAGTGTACGCTGCCTAGTGAAGTTATCATATTTGGCTTGTTCTGATTTGACCCTTTTGTCCTGAAGGAGAATAGAATACGTCTTCGTCAGCTCTTTCATCAGAGCCGTCTGCTTGTGATTCGCTTGCAAGAGACGATTCTGGTGGGGTCGGAACTTGTCAAGCTCCGCCTGGAAGAGTTGCTGCTCGTGGTTGGAAATGGACTTTTTGTTTAGGATCAAGACGTGCGAGATATCATCGTTATGCACCTGAAAAGTAATTAGCGGACACAATATGCAGCAGTGCTCTCATCAGAATGCCCTACCTTTTCCTTCAGATCCTTCAGCACTTGAGCTCTATCACGCTTGACCAACTCTAACTTCCTGAGTAGATCCTCCACCTTGCCGACTTGATCCATCACACTGGTGCCACTTTCACCGAAGTCTTCATCGAGAAGGAGAGGTTTCGCTGATTGACGCAGGGCTACCGAAGCCATCCCGACCTTTCCCTTTACCGCTGCCGGATTTCATCATCGCTCGCTGATACAACACATCAGCCTCATGGGTCTCTCCAGCAGATCGCATCTCGTCGAAGTCGGATTCGTTTTGACGAGAGCTATGAATTAATAGAGCGTCGCTCGAGCTAGCTTCGTCGATCGCACGCTTGTAGACCTTTATATCACTTTTCAGAGTGGCGTTCAGCCTTAAGCTGGGCTGCTGGGTCCACTCGGCGCCATATTTAGACCTCATTTTCTCACAAGTACTTTCTTCTTGATCCAATGATTTCGAGCATCCCCCTAAAGCGCTCAAAACTTCACCCTTGTCTGCTTGTAAAGCCTCGAACGCCTTACCAAACGGCTCGTGACCGGCTAATTCCTGACACCAAGAATGGAAATCCTCATCAACCGAAATTTCCTGTTCCATCCCGCCTTTGAGGACGATCAAACTCCCAGGAAGTTTCAAATAATCAAGGCTCGCAGCCATTTCGCCGTCTGCTGTCTCAACATTCTCTGCCTCAGCACGGACAAGCTTAGCCTTTTCCTCGTCATATAGGCTTGCGGCCTCAGTTACAGCCATAGGGACAATCTTCTGGAAGATATCGGGTCCAATGATGCGCTGAATGTCTTGGCCTTGATACAGCTCGCCCACAGGTATTGCTTTTGCGGCTGCTAACTTCGGAATCACTGCCAGCGACACCTCCGCAGGAACTGTCTGGTGATATATGAAATCATTGTCTTTGTTACAAGTGGCCAGTCTCTCCTGGACGTTGCTTGTATGCCTCGTCGTCAACTCAAGGAGACTGGCTCGCGTCTCCGAGCTAAGATTCGAGGTAGAAGTAACGGCGGTGGGGAACGAGTTTGCACCACGCACAGCATCTTTGCTTTCCCGCTCCGCCAATTCTAGTCTTGCAATAGCAACGCCATGAGCGTTAGCATCATCGTCGGCCAGGGCCTGGTAGTATTGTGCAACAGATGACATATGGCTGGCTTTGATTTGAGTTAGTAGTAACCATAATCGATCGAAAACATTTTTAGATACATTTTCCTGGACGCCTTCGAGTGCCTGAGCATGGAGTAAAGCAGCTTGGCTTGCAAGCTTCGCAAGCAAGCCAACCTTCCTTCCATCAGCAATCTGTTTCTCAACAAATACCTCTTGGGCTTGAGCAAGCATCAACATTATCAAAGTCTTGACAGTTTCCCTACTTAGATCTTTCGAAGGTGCATGCAGAAAATTCTCATTGATATATGTGAACATGCCGGCTGAAGCCTGAAACGAGTGATATGCCGACTTCTGACCGGAGTCGTCATTCCGGTCTTGAAAAGCAGCATGGCAAGAAAGCGCTGCGGAGATATTGAAAATGATAGATGCTTTCTCAAACGCGAGAGAATATTGAGACGTTGGCTGGTGGGTGAAGGCATCGAACCTAAGTTCAGGAATGGTCAGCAGTGAACGGACCTCTAGCTAAGGTCAACGTTTACCAGGTAAAGGATATCTTGATATGATTTTCATCCACCGGGAATCGCAGGTCCAAAAGCTCAAGCTGCCCGTAGTAGCGGTATAAGAGGTCTCTTCCTGCTGTGCTGTCCCTCCCAGCTCCTCTCATGTCCTGTCTCAACCTGTTGAGCGTATTGCATTCCTCAGCGTATCTTTCAGGGTCATCGCCATAGGTCTGTCGTATGTAACTCTTCAAGGGAAACACCCAGTCAATTTCATTGGTCTGCTTCAGTGGAGTGGATATCATAGGAGATTGAGGCATCGTGATGGTGTATTTCTTGGAGGGGGGCAATCCCGTTCAGTGTGGCGTCTCGGGTTGATCAGGCGGGGAATCTATTGATTGCCTTTTCTGTGTAGTGAATTACACGATTAGAAAAATGGAAGAAGGTGATCAAGTTCATGATTTATGACTTGCTGCAGGGAGGAGCATGCGATAAAAAATGCAGGTAGTAATGAGCGAGGACATCTGGGCAATTTCTCAAGACAGCAGGAGACTCCTCGAATTCTAGACGTCGGAGTAGTTGAGAGGTTATGCGTTCATCTTGCTGGCAGAACGATGACACTAGTTGCTATGTGGACAGCTATTCAGAGGAGTAGCTTACTAGGCACAGTCTGCCCGCTTGGCTAGGTATCTTAAGGTAAGGTAGTACCACAGTACGGGCCGTCGGTCACGAGCCCAATAGGAAACCCCTTAAACAGGATTCCTCACTTCCCTTTGCTCCCGTATCTGGACTATCATTGAACCGGCTGGTGCCGGATTCTCAGTCGAACGACTTTCCGGGGTCTGCATGACGATCAAGAGTGGCTACGGTAGGCTGATAATACCAGCTGCCAAAGTCTGCGTCGTAGAAATGAGTAGGAGTGTTCCATTTAGACTAATTTCCTGCCTTTTACAATATCTTCCCCTGAAAGCTGCGATATTTCTCGTTTGCTTTCTCTCACCGTCGCTAAATGCAACGACATCAAAACAGGATCGAAGTAGCCCCCATCGAATACATCCCGTGCATCTCTTTACGCTGTCCCGCCAGCTTTCTTCGGCTGCTGCTGTTCCTCCTCCGGTGGTTTCAACTCGTTCGGCGGCTGGGAGGTCTCGCCATTCGAGGAAGAATTGTCATGTTGATGTGTGAGCCTGTGCCACGCAGCCTTCAAAAAGCCTTCATTCTTGTGAGCATCAGTGCTTTCCGAAGGAGGGGAGTCTTTTCCAGCGGTGGCACTGTTGGTCATTAGCATTCGCGTGGGGGGACAGGACCGGTGGATGCAGGCATACCTCGTGTTACCAACATTCATGATACGCTTTGCGTTACCGTCACTCATCTCGTCTGCTAGCATTTCCAAGATAGCTCGCTGGTTGGAACTCAGATATTTTGGCATCGCCACTTTGAACTCTACCCTCTGGTCTCCCGCAGCACTCCGCCGACCACCGATCTTTGGCATTCCCATGCCAGAGAGAGTCACTTTATCTCCAGTCGCGGTACCTGTAGCAATCTTGAGCTTGACCTCACCGTCGAGGGTCGGTACTCGGATTTCACCACCAAGACTTGCTGTTGTCAGAGGAATCGTAGCCGTATATAGAACATCGGATCCGGAACGACTAAATTTGGAGTCTGCAGCCACTCGAACAAAGACATAGAGATCCCCGTTCGCAGTTTGTGGGTTTGGATTCATCGTGGTCCCGGTGGCTGGAGCGTCCCCCTCACCGTTGAACCTCATGCGCTGTCCGTCCGCAACACCGCCAGGTATATCGATGTTTATTGTCTTGCGCTCGCGCACGACACCTTGCCCGGTGCAATTGCTGCACTCAGCACCCCTAGGTATTACAATTCCAGTCCCACTACATGTATCGCAAGTGCTAGCCATCTGAAATCCTGCTTGCATGACATGAACTCGTGTTCCAGAGCCTCCGCACCGTTTGCATTCCGTTCGTTGCTGGCCCCTCTTCAATCCTATTCCACTGCAGACTTTACATTTAGACTGCGGGGTAATGTAGATGTCCTTGTTGGTGCCTCTTGCAGCATCCATGAATGAGATGTTGGTCTGAACCTCAATGTTTTGCCCCACCAAGATCTCCTCCTGCTGAAATGGAGACTGTCGGGACGCCCGACCTCTCCTGCCCCCTCCTGCAAACGCTCCAAACAAATCTTCAAAATTGATGTCCGTACTGTAAGCTCCTCCAAAACCGCCCCCCTGGAAGCCACCAAATGGTCCTTGGTTTCCAAAAGGATTGCCAGCACCTTGTCCACCAGCGCTAGACGAATCGAAGCCAGCCCCTTGATCAAACGCAGCCGCACCATACGAATCCCACGTCTCTTTTTTCTTCGGATCAGAGAGAATTTCGTAGGCCGCTTGGGCGTCCGAGAATCGATCCTTAGCCGTAGCATCTTTGTTCGTATCTGGATGGTATTTTTTTGCTAAAGCATAATAGGCTTTCTTTATGTTGGACGCAGAGGCACTTTTACTGACCCCGAGCACGTCATACGGATTCTTAGTTGCATTTCTAGGGGGCTGCGTGTGAAAAGCCTGGTAGAGTCAGCGACTGAGATCCCGTATAGGCTGATGAAGTTCGCTTACCCTTCGCCTTGATGATGACCATTGAGCACATAGGAACGGAGAGGGTTGTTGGGTCTGGCGGAAACCATCAAGTATTTGCGGCAAGCATGGTCTTGTTTGCGCTCGTCTTGCCGTGCTATGTCTACGGGCAGCAGATGATATACCGATCGATCGCAAAGGGGTGGCGACTCTGATGCAGGATCCTTGCAAATGGGCGCACATGTTTGTACAGGAATGAGCCTGCACTCTTGTACGTCACCGTAGCATTTTGCATCAAACAAAATTGACTCTCGAAAGGAAAATTCGGAAAATTGGGAGAAATCTAACGAGCGGAACGATTTCCCCCAAAAGTTGGGAGCGGAGGGACAGTATTCGACATGCGCAGGACATGACGCAATATACAGACGACGCCCCGTAATCAAGAAAATGCCACCCCAAAAATTTGGGGCGGGCTTAAATCCTATTTCATTATTGGGATCAAAAAGCTCATCTTCCTTTCAAGGGTGGAATTTAGATGCACCAATAAGGTTCTTCTGGAAGAGGAAACTTCTTACTACTGACAACGAGCGATCAATAAATTCTGTGGGGGGGTAGTTATACAAGTCTTAAAATTACTTTGACAAGTTGGGTGGGTAGTCAGCCTAGCCCGATCTGCCTTCAGTAAAAGTTTGGCTTGGATCCTGTCGAGCCTGTCAAGTTGCCCACTCAGGTTGCCCACTGATTTCCGGCTTTGGTCAGGAAAATTCACGAGTAGGACCCTCGGCTTTAGCATATGAGGTTTGTAGCAGAGCTTGTCTTACCCCCTTGAGTCTTGGCCTAGCAAGGAGAGAAGTAAAATTACTTCTTACCATATGTACATGCGAAAAGTGCCAAATCAATGATTCAGGTTAGGCTTTTCAATCAGAGCATTTCTGAATTGTTGTGCGGTTTACGAGGTCTACACGTGGCTCGGCTCATTTAGCTGCACATGTATCAAATTTCATTCGGAAGCTCTTGTCTACCAGGCAAATCAGCAGATGTAATAAGGGTCCTGCGACATTAGGGTGAGTAGATACCCTGATTCCGTACAGCGTACATAAAGGAAGTAATTATCTCTTGCTCTAGCACCATCGCGGCGTTGAAATCTTGCCTCACCGCCGAAGCGAGCTGATCTTTTCTAATCCGCCGGCGATTGTCTGGTCTAGCCATTGTGGGCGACATCTGAGCTATACCTGGGCGCGAAAGTAGTCTTTGATTGTATGGATTGGAGAAGGCGGGCGCTTGTTCCATCTTGTGAGCATGTCTGTAAGCATGAAGTAGGGAGCTGTCAAAGGCTGCCCAGTCGATCTGATAGACAGAATCAGCTCAGACATTGCCGCCTACGTCAAAGTTCAGCAAGACCTTTGGTGAATCATCTTGAGCTTCCAGCTGATCTGCATTTAATTGCGAGACGCTAGTTGCGTCCTTCAGCGTGCTACCTACTCCAGAATTTCCGCCGTTTCGTTTGTTTCTAGAGGCATTGCTAACCACAGGGAAACCTCCGATTCTATCCCGCGTGCTTGAGGCTTCAGATTTCGCATCATCGAGTAGATATCTCGATCGCTGGGGCGGCATTTGCAATTCTGTTGTGCTTTGGATTACATGAACAACAGTATCGCGATGACAGGCATTCTCAGAGTTCACGCTAAGATATCCAGTAAATCTTAAGGTTTCGGGAAGTCCCCCACTACCCGCAGTCAAGGGTCGGTGCTCAAGGGCCCGGGCTTGGCTATTGGTGCTGGTGACTGCATCACTACATGAGATAAATACCATATTGGGAACGTCGTCATCTTGGCTTCATGAGTTCGGTTTATCTTAATATACATTGATGATTATCTACAATCGTTGGACAAATCACGTAGGTACAGTCGCTAAAGAAACAGAACCCACCCACTCCACCGCGTCCCAGCAACAGGCAATCAGTTAGCCCATTTTCTCCTCGTGGCCCCTCAATTTGTTTATGCAATTATTCAACAGATTCGCCGCTTCATGCAGTAGTTGCCATCGGCATTTTCGGAATTTGTCATGTAGGACGTATAATAGGCCAAGGCATGCATTACGGTCTTTCATGTTACCAAGGTCCAGAGGTGCTTGTATGGACCCAAATTTCGTAAGGAATTGCCTCATGTCATATGCTTGCTCTTGGTGTGATGCCAAATCAGGAGGCTCCTTGATAGGTCCATCTAGAGCAAAGCCATAAGACCAAACGACCAGGATAGCATAGTAAAGAACCCATGGCCTGTTTAAGAGGAAGTCATCTCGGGCTGAGTAGGGCGTGAAACCGGTGGGACTGCTGTATGCAGCGCCCGGGTCAGGAAGCAGCACCTGCGCAAGGAATTTGAGAGCATAATAAGTTGCATGCCGAGCGCTAGCCCTAGGTGCCCAGTTCAGTCGGATTCTCTTCTGGGCTATATCATAGTCCGACTGAAGTGTGGTTCGACCCAGCAGCCTCCGAGCACCCGCAAAAATTTGACAACTCACGATGTCCACGTGCATCGCCATGTGTGATAGATGGTGCAATACAACCCGACTCTCGAAGATATTTTCCTCGTCGAGCTTGGCAGCTGAGTAGCTTAAGGAAAAATTTTCCTTGCTCATGCTTGAATCGAAGTCTTGTTTCCACGAGTCGAATGCCTTCGTGAGCGGACTGCGCCACACATCCTTTCCGCCAAGAGCTTTTAAAGCACCGAGATGATGAATCTGGACATCGCGTTGATTCATGTGCCATGTCACGCTCAACAACCCAGCCATGATCGCCATCCGTCCAAAAGGATTGGTTTGCACTTGTTTGCCTTTGAGTGTGTTCTTCAAGCCGTCAAAAAAGGTCATGCTTTTTGTTCCCTTAGCTCGGAGATCGGCTTCCTTCTTTGCCACTTCTGCACTCGTTCCGGCTGACCATAGGCTTTCATCACACGGAAGAGCGAGCTTCATCTCGTGAGCAACCATTGTTGCTTGGTGTCCAAACATGGTAGCATGAATTGAGTCGATGATGAAAGCCGCAAAGGCCACTCTTCGCGTAGCTTCATTGGTGACCCAATGATTCCACCACTGCTCTGGGGTATTATTCATCGTTGTTGTGTGATCTACACTATTTTCCGACGCTGCATTCTCTGTGGGCGGCGAGTCCAAAGGTGATCTCCCGATCAACGAGCTCCCACGCCGCATAAGAGTGAGCGTGGTGCCATGGTGTATGTGGGCTCGCTCATGCAGAGTTCTTGTAGAATACATCTTCTCATAAACTTCCAGGAGGAGGAGAGTCTGAAAGATCCAAAGCTGGGCAGGAGGTGAGAAGTCTTTGTGCTTAAATACTTCACCGCGAAGATGCCATGCTAGGAAATTAGCCAGATCAGCACCAGCTTCAGTGACATCAGCACCATGCATCTTATCAAGACAGGAAGCTCCAATCGCGATCACAGCAATCAAAAGCAGTTCTTTAGCTTCATTTGCAGAAAAGGTAGGCTTGTGGAGTATTGGCATTTGAGGGTGAAAATGATACCAGTAGGAACGAATGTAGAGCTGCATTTGACGCAAGCTCAGAACGTGCCCATCGGCATCGCGATCACCCCACAGAAGCTCTTCCTTTTGCTTGGATACTGGCGCATCGTCTGTGAAGCGATTCTCGATAAGTTTTAGGACATCCCTACGCTTTTCGTCAGAGAGTATGGCATGGAGCGATGCAGGATCTAGAATGTTATTGAGAGCCATTGGATGCTGTTGGGGGATGTTCGGACCACTGGGACCGTTCATGAGATCGTACCCTAGCCCAAATTGTCCGTAGTCCTCCATGAAAGCTGTCGTGCCAAACGACATGGAGCTTTGGCGAGGACCTCCTGGAGATGCCGCCTGGGGGTAGGACGTTTCGTTGAAGAGAAAATTGACAAAGTCTTCGGTTGAATTCCGCGGGGAATGACAATAGCTGCCTTCGTTGTAGAATGGCATTTGGTAAGCATTGGAACCATTTTCCATCATTGGGTCTACACCTGGCAGGTTAGGAACAGCGTAAGCATCATAGCCTGCTGCAGTATCCAAGGCTTGATTCGAGCTTATTGCATTAGGATATGTAGACTGCGTACTTTGTAAAGAAGGCTGGGAAGTCCCAAAGGCTGGAGGAGGCAAAGACGCAAACGGCGGGAAGCCTTGTGGTGACGGATATGTATCGTTTCCGAGGCCTGCTTGACCCTGACGGGGTGTCGTTAGACTATCGTAGGAAGATGCCGAAGAAGGTCGATACTGGGAAGGGTTGCCGTGCCCATCTAACCGGGGGTGCGAACGATATAGTTCCCCTTGTAAGGTCTTTTGGGGCCGAGCATATTTCTGAAGTATATCATTAGGCTTTTTCACCGAAAACTCTATGTCAGATTTGAGTCATTTACGCACCGTATTGGTCGACTCTAGTGCTCCGGTCGGACTTCCATAATGAAGCTCATCGCCGCGTGAGCCTTTCAGGGCTAGGTTAGATCTTTGGCCAGGTAGTTCCGCCAGTCTCGGAGGTGGCGAAGACTGTTCTTGCTGACCACCGTGTAGTGAGTAGCCATTGTTACCTGTTTGATAGGATCCATGAGTATGGTTCCCGGTGAGACCATGACTAACACCTAAGGCCCCATTATGAACTAAAGTATATTTGAAGTGTCAGTAGGTGCACAGATGAGGTTTGCAAGAAAAATTAAAATCATTGTGCTTGGTATCATACCCTGTTGCTCTCGTAGCCCAACATGTGATGGATGTGGTGGCGACGGTGCTGGGTCTGAACCACGTAATGCATTGTCTTTACGTTGGAGATGAGAACCGCGGGCTGTGTGTCGTTCCTGGTGTCTGGTACAAAGATCCTGTCTTACGAATTCACGCTCACAGCTCGGATGGTCGCATACATATATCTTCTTCGGCTGGTCTGATCCTCCACATCAGCATTATCTTCCAACTTTTGTCTGTAGTACGAAACGTACGGTTCAGTTGGTGCCTGTACAAATGTTCTGCCCGTGAATAACTTTTACCGCATCCCGGATGAGGACATGGGAAGTTCTTTTCCAGCCCTTTCCGACTCCTTTTTCTCTTTCGAGGCTTTCCGTTTGGCTCATCGATGCCATTCTGTTTCTCATTGCCGCTGTCGTCGTCTTCTTTGGTCGTGGAGCTCCGGTCACGGTCTAGCTGTCGCCCTCTGCGTTCTTCCGCTTCTGGCTGTGAAATGTCCGAACCTGTGGAATGTGGACTTTTGTACGCCTTTTCAGTTTTCATGTACGGATGTGTATGCGAAGAAGCCGGCGGGGAATGCATTGCCAGTGTAAGATGGCTGCTGTAAAGTGAACAGGATTTGGAGGTCCGGGTTTTCTTTCAATTCAGTAGATACGGGCGTGGGCCTTCAGTATTTGAGTAACATGTGGTGTATGTCTGTCGGCATTCCGGATAGGTAAAATATGGATCTTGGACCAACCAATTTCCATCACAATGAGGTAGCGTCAATGGAAAAATTGGTATACATGGCGAAAAGCATTGACCAAGCGGGTTAAATCTTCAAAGAAAAAAAAGGCACCTTTACGGAAGGCCCAAGCGGAAGAATCCTGAGGCAGATGGTCTCTGGTAATTACCACCTTCGGGAAAAGATCAGAGAGGACCGGGAGACATATATGTGCAGATAGTACAATCGAGCCAAGTCCACAGGAACTGGATGGAAGGTAGGCTTGAGACCTGTGGGAGGACTTGTACCGTCGCCGTTTTGTGAGCAGCCGAAGAAGGTATAGAAATCTCAGCGCAGGCTCAAAGCACACGAGGCTCGCTGTGGGCTTCCCCCAGTAGCGTTCAAGACGGGGTAGGATTGCCGCAGGCGACGTATGTGGTCTGAAGGTCTGTGTGGAGGTAGAGTCGCCAGCAGTACCAAAGCAGGATGGATTTTAGCGTCGCAAATGCCTCGAGCGCAAGTCAAAAGATCTTACTCGAGCGCATTTGAAGTTGGAAAGATAGAACTTAAGATTAAGAAGGCGCCCAAATCGATCGCTGGGAGTGTAATCGCACGACGTTGTTGTATATCTTGAAGCAGACTGAACCTCCTGATCTTCATTCCAATTGATTATGGACCAGCCAGCGGTCGCATGAAATCGAGTTTTCTCTGCTGCTTCGCCCAAGCCGCAAGATGACTTACAGACTACCAGAGCCTAAGTGTGGGGAAAACGTAGGCGTTACTACTTTGGGGCTTTAGCCCGCGATTTACCCGGATTAGTGTCACGTTCGCCGCAGGACTTCAGCTGCTTTCAAGAATGACGGGCCCAAAGTCAAGCTACTGCTGCTACTATTCTCAGCTTTGACCCTCTGCTACTTATCACCTAAGGGGTAAGGCTCAGCAGCTAGCTCGAGTGAAGACTATCGAGTATCGAGCTATTTAACTTTCCCATCTTCTCCATCCACCAGCTCCAAAACACGAGACATCCGCAAACATTGCCACCACGGCTCAGGTGTTCAAATCTAAGTCGCTACTAAAGAAAAGCAGGGCTTAAAGCAGCCGTTGTTGAGGCACGATTCATGTACGCATATGAGGTGAATGTCTTCGAAGCATGATGTTGATACTATGGATGCCACATTGAAATTGGGTCTTCCCTCACACGCATGTGCAATAATTTGGACATACGTTTGACCTTCAACTCGCAAGATGGAACTAGTCAAATAAGTCCGCATCGAACACCTCTCCTCTTTCAATCCTCTCAGAGCTGCAACGCTCGGTTTCGACTTCGTCATGAATGCTGAAAATCAAAGCCTGTCCGTCAGGTTTTCTACATTGGCTGCACAACAGCTATTCTTCCACCATTTGTTTACTGAGTTTCCATGATGCCCCTATATCATCGAGAACAGGGTGATATCGCTGACTTCCACTTATGCCCAACGCAAAGCGCGACGATCGCCCACTCGTTCCACTAGTAAGGACCGAGAGTGATGCAGTTGCCTACGGAAGCAAGTCTCCTCGACACAACACTTGTGTCAAATACGGGGTGGCGAGAGTCTGCAGCAAAAGTGAGAGGTCCCATGTGTTGACTTTCTGGATCGACTTTACTCCATCTCGATTGTTCCTCTTCTTGGCTTCAGTTGTGTTCAATATGTCAACTGGGTGCTATGAGGCTTACGGTGGTTTTGAAGTCACTATTGTTGATTAGTGGAGCAGATTAAAGTAGTACATGCCACACATACCATCATACAGAACTCGTGTTACGCCTTCGATTTCGTTGGTGATTCTACGGGAAACGTAGTCCAAAAAATCCCGGTTTTCCACGTCGAAATGGCACCGGGAAGCGGTCATGAAATCAGTGGATGTGACCTAAAGCACGAGCGTGTCAGCCATAATTCAAAGAGGGGCCCTCTGTTCTTACCGCTCTTAGACTTATCATTTGTCCGTACACCCTAGATGTGTCAGTACCTGCTCACCCTGAAACTCCTTGATCCGGGCTGCTTTGCTACGGACTGGGGAGACTGACCTCTTGTCGCCCATTACTCCTACAGCTCTGGTAGGAATCAACGCAGCGAATGCTTGGCTAACCACATGATAAAGGCCGTGGGCTTCCATTTCGGAGATAAAGATGTGATCAGCGTCGCGAGCAATCTTTAGTTGCGTTGCCGTGACATCGCCCAGAATGCGAATAGCCAGGCCTGGTCCTAAATTAGAGTCAGTTCTAGCTGAGTGGAAGTCAAAGCTTTCAAACAATTCACCAGGAAATGGGTGCCTCCACACTAAGGATTTTGAAATGCCCAGTTTAGTCCTAAAACAATGTTAGACACGCCAAGAAGGCTCCGGCTCACATACCCAAGAACTCGGACTTCGTCTTTAAAGAGAAGGCGGAGTGGCTCGATAAGCTTGAGCTTGAGAAAAGCTGGCAACGAAACATTATGGTGAGACTTGATCGTCTGCGAGGGTCCTCCAAAAGATGTCTCTATCACGTCAGGCCACAGCGTCCCCTGTAGAAGCCATTGAATCTTTCCACTTTGCTCCGAAGCAGCTGCAGCTCTTTCTAATTCCTTCGCTTTATCTTGAAACTCTTGAATGAACCTAGACCCGATGATCTTACGCTTCTTCTCGGGGTCTGTAACGCCTTTGAGGTCCTCGAGGAAGCGGTCGCTAGCGTCAACGACAGCTAGTTGTATGCCCAGCTGCTCTGTCAATGTCTTTTTGACTGACACTGCTTCGCCTTTACGCAGCAGCCCGTTATCAATGAGAACAGCATGGAACCTGTTGCCGATAGCAGTGTCCATGAGCTTTGCAGCTACCTACAGCACTGTCAGAGCTTGGCCAGGAACATTGACGAAATCTAGAGAGCTCGCCGTCGAGTCAACGCCCCCTTGCGCACCAGTGAGCCAAGAGTCCCCTCAACTGAAATTGTTTTCTTACCGCTTACAGCCCCGATGACTTGGCCTTTCTCTCCGACTAGAGCTCGGATTTGCGCAATTTCCTTTGAGACGAACTCATCCATGGTCCAATGCTGTCTAGCCTCACAAATATGCACGGCAAAATTTCTCAAGATTTCTGTGCCCTGTGGCGTGTGTGAAACCTCTGGGTGGAATTGGACTCCATATATCAGCTTCCGATCATGCGCAATACCAGCAAATGGTGTATTGCGAGTTGCTGCAATAACAGCAAAGCTTTCCGGTATATGACTTAGCTTATCACCATGGGACATGAAAACCTGCTGAGGACCTGTCAAGCCTTGCAACAATTTGTCAACATGACCGGCAACGCCACTTTGCCTTTTGATGTCAACTTCAGCAAGGCCATACTCTCGCTTCTCGCCCGCAAGCACATTTCTGCCAAAATGCCAAGCTATCTCTTGCATACCATAACACACGCCCAGGATAGGTATACCCAGTTCAAAGATAGCAGGATCAACATGAGGAGCGTCATCATCATACACTGAATATGGTCCTCCAGATAACACAATTCCTTTGAGGTGCCATCAACTGTCAGACGCGCTCCATTATTGTAGGGTCATCAACTTTTGGATTACCTTTCGGCTTCGATGAAAGAGCCGCTAATTTGACAGTGCAAGGTTGCAATTCTGAGTAAATCTGTAACGATGCAAAGTTTCAGCCTACAATGCTGTGCTTCGCAAAAATTACAATATTATCAGGGCTAGATCTTTACCTGAAGATCTCGCAAACGCCGTGTAATCAAATGGGAGTACTGGCTCCCGAAGTCCAGAATCAGAATCGTGTCAAAGCTTTGACTTAGGTCTGCTAGGTCAGACATGTCTGACTATCTAGTGAAGTGTGAAGTGTGAAGAGAGGAATATCCACAATTAAGTCGGAATATTCCACGAGCAGTGATGGGCGAGTAATTTTCGACTTCATCGAGTAGAATGTAGATTAAACAAGCCCTTCGGTACGTGCCGGGAACGTAGTGCGGAGATTCGCTTGTTTTGGTGCAGCCAAGCGGCTATTACCTTAGCGGGACATTATAGACTATTTTAACAGTTATTTAACTACTTTTCAATTGTTGTATAACTTTTACATTTATATAAAAATAACCGCTTTTATATAGTATTTTTAAGTTAAATAAAGACTATAAAAGTAAAATATACTTTTATATATTAAAAATTAATAACTTATAAATCTAATATTATTTCTTAAAAAGATTTTAAATTTTTAAGTAATTTAAATTATAAACTAATATCTTATATTCTAAAGTAGGTTTATATTTCTTTATATCTTTTTATATCTTTATATAAATAGTTTTAAAACTTTCTTTATATAAAAATCTTATTATATACTTATTTTAAAATTTTAATTTTAAAATATATTAATTAAAACTATAAAAACAACTTCTTAAAGATAGAACTTAGTATTTTAAATAGTTTTTTAATAGTTAAAAATAAAAACTTAAAAAATATTTTAATTTTTAAATAATAATATATTATTTTAATTTCTTTTTAATATTTCTAGAAAATAATTTAAAAGTATTTAATAATTTTTATTTAAAATTTAATTAAAAGCTTTAAACTATTTATTTATACTTAAAAATAATATAACTATTAATATATAATTAATTTAAAATTTAAGATTTATAAAATTATATAAAAAGTTATTTATATTATTAAAAAATAAGTATAAGCTAAATTCTTAAGAAGTTTTATATATTATAAAGTTAATAATAAAATAATTATATTAATTTTAAAATAATATTATATTAAGGTTAAAGATATAAGTAATTATAGAAAATATTATTAAAAGTTTTAATTTTATTAAATAGAAATATTTAATATAAAAGTTTTTATTACTCTCTTATAATATATTATATATAGAAGTAATATATATATAGACTTTTATTTATAAAATTAAAATAAAACTTTTTAAAAATTATATAATTTTTAAAACTTAATATTTATTATATTAATTATAAAGTTTTAAATAATATATATATAAAATATAGAAAAAATTATAATTAAAGCTCTTTTATAAAGAAAAACTTTTGTTATATTTTTTAATTAATAGAAAACTTAATTATAATATATAGGCTTTTAAAGAATTAAATAATTTTCTTATTAATTATTTTAATATTTTTTTTATTTTAAATTAATAATTAATATTATTTTTTATAAATACTTAGAGAAAACTATTATTAATATAATATATTATTTTATATAAAACTTAAGTTATAGAATAATAAAATATTTAAAAAGAAATATAAAATCTTAGTAATATTTTTAAATTAATAATAAAAAGATAAAAGAAAAGACTAAAAATTAAGATTATAATTTATTTATTAGCTTAGTAATTTAATTTAATATATTACTTTAGAGGGAAGTAATAAGTTTTTAATTTCTAAGGTAGTTAAACTTTACTTTAAAATACTTTAAATAAAAATTATAAAATATTTAATGTTAAAATTATTTTAAATATAATTTAATAAAAGTTTCTTTTTTAAATCTTTTTTTAAAAAGGCTTTAAAATAATCTTAAAATAGTTATAATTTTTATATAATTCTAAATATTATATTAGAATTATCTTAATAATACTTCTAAGCTATTTTAAGTATATTTCTAGATTAGATTCTAAGAATAAATTATTATTATATATTATAAAAGATTATATATTAAAAATTAATATAAATATAATTTAGTAATATATAATAACTACTTTATAAATAAAAAACTATATTATAAGAGTAATAAATTTTATAAAATAATAATATAAAAATATTATTATTAAATTAAGTTGCCCTTATTATATATTTTTTTATTATAATAATAATTTACCTTAAAGCTTATAAATCTTAAAAAGAAAGTTTTACTATATTATTATTATATTTTATACCTATAGATTTTATTTTAGTATAGCTAATAAAATATATATAAAAGTAAGATAAAAGAATTATTTATATAAGAGTCTTTTAAGCTTATAAACTTAAAATATAAAAGGAAAACTTTATATTCTAAAAGATAGTAATAGTAATATTATACTTATATTAAATAAAAATAAAAGTTTTTCTATATTTACTTTTATATAAATTTTAAAATATATTTCTATTATAAATTTATATAATTTAATACTTATATAGAGTTATATATATAATATTTTAGCTTATATACTTACTTTATAATTAAAGTAATATTATTCTTAACTCTTTTTAATTTGAAGTTATAAATAAATACTATAGTAAAAAAAGAATATTAATATAATATAAAATTTATTTAGTTTTTAAATAAGTAAATAATAGTCTATTTTAAAGTTTAAAAAATAAAATAATAAAAAATAAAAAATAAAAAATAAAAAAAAAAAAAAATAAAAAAATAAAAAAATAGAGACTTATTTAATTAAAAGAATTAAAAAAGTATATTAATTTAAATTTTATTATTATTATTAAGCTTTTTAATAATATTTAATAACTTAATATTTTAGTTAGAAATATAGTACTAATATATATAATTACTAATTTTAATATTATAATATTAATAGAAGTTTATTATAATACTTATTTAAGAATAAAAATTAATATATAAATATAAATTTTTATTTAATTTAAAAATTAGCTTTTTATTTTATTAATTTCTTAATATAAATTATATAATTAATATAAATATATATTATATATTAATTATATAATAAAATATAGTTAGCTTATAAATTAATTTTAAAGAACTTAGTATAAAGTTAATTTTTTTATATTATTTCTAAGATAATTACTATTTTATTAATAAAGTTAAAAATATTTATATATTTTAAAATATAATAATTATTATTAAAGTAAGCTTATAAACTTTTAAAAGTATTATAATTCTTTAATTCTAAGTCTTTAATTATTATAATTTTAAATTTTTTTAAAAAATTATTAATTAAAATTATAATAAAAAAAGAAATAAAAGTATTATAACTATTATTAAATAATATTATTTTTAATTAAAATAACACTTTTTTTATTATTCTAGCGCTAAACCTAAATATTATTAGTAACTAGCTATTTATAGGCGCTAAGAGGGCCTATAGAAGCTAGGATAAAAAGGGCTTAGTAAGCTAAGCTTATTAAATAGTTTTTTATTTATCTTAGTAAGTAAAGTAAAACTTTTTATAGAAAATATTAACCTTTATAAATAGTTTTTTAGAGATTAATTCTTATATATTATTATAAGCCTATTTATACTCTATATCTTTTATTATTATTATTAGCTAAGAGCTAGTATATTAATTTTATAGTTTTAATTACTTTTATTTACTATAAAAGGCTTAAAATAATTTAATATAGCTATATTTTAAAAAGTCTTAAAAACTTAATTAAATTTTAATAGTTTTAGAGACTTAGGCTAGTAAAACTATTTATAAACTAATAATAAGGTAATATTAATAAATTTTTTAATATAGTCTAAAGTAATAACTCTTTAGCTTAAGTTAAAAAACATAACTATTTATTAAAAAAATAATAGAAACTTATTTTTTTAAGGCTAAGAACATTAAATTAGAAATATAAATAAAAGCTAGATTTTTTTAGCTTATTGCTACTAGTAAATTAGTAGCTTTAATTTTTAAATTAAAATTTTTTAAGCTTAAAAAGCTATAGTCTTACTATAGTAAAAGTAAAAATAAGTATAGTTACTAGTTTAATTAAGTTAAAATTAAGTTTTTAAATAACTTAAAATACTTTTTAAATAATTACTTTAAAATTATATTTTATATATAATTATTAGAAAGTATTATTACTTAGTTATAAATAAAATATTTTAAAAATATTAATATAATAAAAGTAGTTATAACTTTTTTTTAATTTAAAAAAAACTTTTTAAATTAAGTTATTAATTTCATTAACTACTAGCTTTATATATATAAAAATTAAAAGTAAGTTAAATAATAATAGAATAAAAACATAATAGATTTTAAAATTTATTTAAAAAAATTAAAAACTTAATTATATTTTTTAAATCTTAATATTAGTTTTAGTTTTTTATAACTAAGTTAAAAAAAACTCTTAAAAATAGAATTTTTACTAGTAATAGTATATTATATATATATATAGAAATTTCCTTAGCTTAGTAGTAATATATAAAAATATTATAAAGTATTTTAATATTTTTAATTAAAACTTTAACTTTAATAAGTTTAAAGTAGCTTAGAAAAAAGAATAAAATATTATAACCCTAGTATTTAAACTAGTAAATAGTATTAGCTAATTTAATTATAAGTATATAGATTAGTTTTCTTAGAATATAAATAGTAGTTAAAAGATAAGTAAAGGCAAAATAATAAAATAAAATTAAGTTATAATTATTTTAAATCTTATAATAAAAAATAAGACTTATATTAAATATAAAGAAATTTATTTAAAGAAGGGAATAAAAAGTTTTATATATATAACTTTATTTAACTTATTTAATAATACTTAAGTTTTAATTACTTTAAACTTACTTAATTTAAAAGTTATTTAATACTCTTAGTATAAGGAAATGTACTAGGTACAAGCCTTAATAAGCAATATATATAATATAGTTAATTAATAATAAATTAATTAAAAGCTATCTAAGGAGCTATAATAGAAGTAGGGCCTTATATTAAGCTAGGTAGGGCTAAGCTAAGCTTAATTAAGATATTCCTCCCTTCTTATATTCTAATTCATAATAATATACTATTAAAAACAATAAAAAATAATGTCCTTATTATTGATATAGCCTTATCTTTATCTATTTATACTCTAGCTTTTAAAAAAAACTATCTTAGCTTAATTTTATTAAGATTTAATCGAATTTTAATTAAAATTTAATTATA